AGTCCAAGAGATGTGTCGGCAAAATTGATCGTGAAACTGGTATGTTGCCCGTGTGGACGGAGGTGAAAGCAGCCTGCTACGAAAGTCAACCATTCACAAACAGAAAATTCGCGAGAAAAGAACATGTTTGTTTACTGCGATTTGATCCCAGAGAATCCTTGACATTACAAGATTGCTTCTAAAGGAGTTATTGGAGAAATGTTCGTTCGGCCGCTTGGCTATGAGGGACTATCATCCATCCATTATTGTCAAGAACTGACATTCTTACAGAGGGCTCCGAGTAGTCCTTGAAAACATCACAGGCCAAACGTACTTCTAGACTTGATATCGATTGGTTGGCTCACAGCCCTGTAGCATTGATACATCGTACCGAAGGAAAAGCTTCTCGTTGTTGGGCCTCTTCAATACACATGTCGTACGTACACTTGATCTACACAATCGACATCACGATTCCAGCACGAAGGAAAGCAAGACTTTGCCCGAGTCTTACTCGATTAGCAGCTGGAGCAGTGAAACAAAAGCAAAAGGGTTACCAGAGAGAGTAGTTATTCCACGATAATCTCAGTCATTCTTTACCATTGTCTTGGCTGTCCTGAAGCTACTTAGACACGAGGAACCGCCCTGCTACCGTCCGTTGATTGTACTTGTACACTACCACGCCAGAGTCCACATCTCGCGGTACCATCCCTATCGTCCTGGGACCGTCCCTCATATTGCTAAGCATCTTCAGTCTAGATCCCGGAGATCTATCGTCACACTGCAGGAAAAGGGACACGGGACATCATTCTCCTGCTCGCGAGGATCATCCTTCCTCTCAAAAAGATCTTCCAAAGCAAACTCAAAAGTCTTCGTTCCCTTTGCCCAGCAACATTCTCCGATCTCGCTCGTCATGGCGGAGCATGGCGAAGCTCAAACGCACGACATCGTGACGTAGAACCCGTATCACACCGCTTGAATAAACTTTTCGTGCTCTCCCCCCCTGACGTTCAATAGTCTTCTAATAAAGATCCTTGACCGTCCTACCCATCCGGTCACACCGCAATTCCAAAGCGCCGAAGAATGTCGATCAGCCATGGGAACAGCCAGTCTTGGGCCTCGGAAAGTCAAGAATGGGCTTTTGCAAAAGCGCATGCGTCGATCTCTGACGCATAAAGGAAAGGAAAAAAGCAAAACCGCATGCACGAAACGCTTCTGCGCTGAAAGCATGCACTTCCAAACGTTGAAACACTAAAAAGAGAACCCTTGCTAGACATGCAGTAGCCTCAAACCTTCCCGGGAGAACGAGTTATTCACCGTTCTCTGACAAGGAATCTCTTTCAAAAAAAAAAAGTGCACAAAATGAGATTGCGGTTCGTTTCTTGACCGCCACGAGATGCGGTGGTTCAGGACCGCGAAGCCACGCGGATGATCGAGCAAGGGATTGCTCCGCGCGCAGGACAAGAACTTCTTCTCTCTCGTGGGTGTAGACCTATCCTTGATAGTCCCGGCGACCAGGTTCGCGTCTGACCAAGCCGGAAAATTCAAAAGCAATGAGGCTGAGCTCGCGACGAGTCGAATGGCACGACCTGGATACAGGCCCTCGCCATCCCAATGGACGCCTCATTTGGAACACGGTCCCGGCTGTCCCGCCATGCCCTTTTCCTCCCTGTGATTCTTCACGCGGGGAGATCCGGATGGAATGGGAACAAGATCCTCCAAAAGCAAGCCTTCACTGTCCTTTGATGAGGAAGGTCTTGGCGGGCGAGAAAGCAACGAGCCCGCACTGCACTGGCAGGCAGGAATCCCGCCCCCCTTGTGAACGTGGCTTGGCTGAACCGAAACCGTGTGCCTTTTGGCGTCCGGGTCAGCGTTTGAGACTCTGAACACAAGAGACCCGACATCCTTTCTTCCGGCCCCTTTACCTCCGCGACACGTGGCAACGCGCGGTGGCGTTTTGGGTTTTCTGAACTGTCTCTGAGTTCCTCTGTCTCTGCTGCTGCACTGTCACACACGTTGGGGGAAAAGGCTCTCAGACCGCCGATACGTGACATGCTCAGACAAAGAAGAAAGGAAAAGGAAAAAAAAGAAAATATATCGCTCAGGTCCAGGGTCATGTAAGTGCCAGTTGTCGGGATCCCAGGGGGAACCAATAGCCGTTTGCCTCGTTTATGGTCGACAACAACGACAGGTCGGTACCACGACCCTCCCCGGGACCAACCCGCCCCCTGGCCCGGCAAGTGTCGGCTCTTTTCCTTGTTGTCAATGAGGGATTAGAAATCATAGTGCGGCAGGTGGAAAGGTAGTGTGAACAGGTAGGACTCTGGAAGATCTTGGAACAGCGAAGAAGAAGATGAAGCAGAAGAAGGGGCTGCCCAACGCCATGTGATACCCGCGACGCCGCTCAGGTGCAGCCAGGGATCGCTTGGAGGCAGCTGTTATGCACGTCGAGCCATTGGGAAGGAACACCAGACCGGTAGGGGGGAACAAGTGCCAGTCACGAGAAAGATAAAGAGAGAGAGAGCCCAAACAGCAACGTTGCAAGGCAGTCTGCGAGTTACAGGATATGTCCGCTGACGTCAACTCGCACCTGAGCAAAGTCGGACAGCAGCAACTCCCCGTCGAGTTGACTCTGCGAGCTGGCCTGCTCTTCCATGCTGGAGAGCAAAACGGGGGAAAAAGAGGCTGCGAACCGATGGAGCCCGAATGCGAACGTTCTAGGCTCCAGAAAGGCGGCAGGCAGGTATGTCGGGCAGGAATTTCGTCATCAGGGTCTCGCTTGCATGAGCAACGGGGCAAGGCGGGGAGGGGAGTAGGTGCATCGACGACCCCGTGATGAAACTGCTCGATGAAAGTGGACAGGTAGGGGTCCTTTAGGATCGAAGAGGAGCAGAGCAACAGCTGGGACGTGAAACCGGGGTTTCCAGAGAGAAAGAGCCCGATGTATTTCCGTAGCTTGAAACGGATTGGTTCATCCGTGCAGGTCTAGCTGGACGCATCTGTGGTTTGTGAATGGCTCGATGTCATTATGCACCGTCCTTGTTCCCCTCCCTTGATTTTCTTTGGCTCGATTCATCCAGCCGGTAGGTCACTTGGAGCGCGCAAACCGCGGTCTCTGGAAATCATGAGAGAGAAGAGGGGGGGTACAGGAACAGGGCGTTGGGCTCGTCTCGGAGGTGTTGGGACTCAGCTGTCTGTTTGACAGAGAGGGCGACGTCTTGTGTGTTCCGGTCCTGCATGCCCTCGTGTCTCGATCTGTCATGCGATGGGTAGACAGACTGCTTCGCTGTCGTGCCCGAGAGACGATGCGCGCTTGGACTTGCTCAGTGGGGCCGGTCGACCGGCGGCCGCCCAATGGCCGCTCGTTTCTCACGAACGGCGTCGGTGCCGTCTCGACGATCCATTCAAAGACCCGATGGATCTCTGGGTCCGGCCCGGGGCCCGCCCTCTAATTCAACCGCAGGCCTCTCTTTGGGGGCAGGGGGGGCGTCCCTGCCATCAAAACGCACTGCAACCTCGATCAAGAGGGGCCAACGTAAGAGGCAACCCGAAACGACCCCTCACCGGTTCCTCGAAAAAGTGAAGAAACAAAATATGTATATCAAGCCCGTATTATCGCGGTGTCTGCTCTCGAAAACGGGCTTGCTAGGTCTGCGACCTTCCGGCCGCCAAGCGTTTGTGCCCGACCGTCACACGACACTGTCGAACCAAAGCGGCAGTCGATGAGAGAATGGAAGTTGGAAGAGTGCCTGACCGATTCTGTTGCGGGTTGGCAGCGGTATTAAAGACTTTGGACTGTTTGGACCAGTTCTCCCCGAGGAAGCGACGTCATGGTCTCGTCATTCTCTGGTTCCGTATATTGATACAGCGTCTCAGCCATCTCGGAGAGAGTGGCAAATTGACTCCAGGTCGTACTGCGTCGTGTAGATCCGAAGCCGAAGCTGCAGGGGCGGGTATGACAGGACGAACTGCAGCCAGCTCCTTTGCAAGCTAGCTCTCATCTCGCATCCCGAGATCACATCGAGATCAGTGATTATCCGAACCAGTTTGAGATAATCCACTCTGCTTGGGAGGTACAAGAAGCTCAAGCAGGCCTATGTCACAGCTTCTCGGCCAGCAAGAGCTGCTGGCCACAAAGTCGACTCTGACCAGGCTCTTCGGCTTTTTTTCTTTTTGCTCTCCTGCAGCATGCCATCTCCACCTCGATTCTTTAGCGAGTGGCCAAGACCCGCGGAAGCGGTAGGCTAGCAGCCGTGGCAGGCTTGATGAATTTGCACTTTTGACACGCAGAGTGCCGACGTATCATATGCAACCCGTATGCTGTGTTACACTACCGGTCTACTCCTCGGTCTTGTTCTTCTCGCCCGGAGACAGCTCAACGGCAGAATAAGCTGCACTTGGGGTGGGGAATGCAGATGATGGTCTGAGCCCCCTTGGATCTAGACACTTACACTCTATTGCCAGGCAGGGATGCTGCTCATTGGTTTGTTCCTGGACGCGTACCCCGGTTTTCAAGGCTCTTGTGTGCCATTCCCATCTGGCCAGTCTGCTACTGCTACCCTCTGGCTAGTCGTGATCGGCAAGTAACATTACACTGTGCAAAAAGACGTTGGAAACCTTGCTTTTGCTAAAAAAGAAAGCATTGCGTTTCTGTATTGACCCATTATGCTCTATGTCTTTTCACAACATCTCTTACTTGGAAGATGATGAACGAATTTGACCTTCATGGCGCACCAGAAGCGCCCAAAGAGGCATGTGGGCCAAAAAAAAATGATTGTTTGTTAATAGGGAACCAATGAATGAAAGGAAAAGAAGGGAAAATAAGAAAGTAATGATTCTTTGTGAGCTCCGATGTAGGCCTACTCATCGACTCCAACGTTTCTAGTGCAGAGTAAGGCCGTGACGAAAGAACATGGTCCAAAAAACGCCAAATGGTGATGAGCTTGCGTACTGCCACTTTCCCAATGACCTTGCCTTTTCTGTATGCCAGACGCCGATACCATAACTCGTCGCGAAAACCGGTTTCAGTTGGGGTACATGCGGAGAGGGAAGTAGCCTGAAGGCATGGGCTCCAGATGCCAGGTCTGGTTCCCCTCCTCGGAGAAGGCAGTATCCCATTCCTTCTGAAGCTCCTCAGGGAGTTCCCAGCCAAGCTCGGGGCTGCGAAGACGAACGCGAACCAGGTGACGCTTGGCTTGGTCGCCGTCGACGAATGCCTCGCGGCGGTGGAGAACGGCGAGGTTGTTGATAAAGTGCATATCGCCAGTTTGGGTGGTGATCTCCAATTGGGTTGCCTGGGCAATCGCCTCAATGGCATCGAGGGCCTCGATCTGACGCTCAGAGAGAGATGGCAAGGTCTCGGGCCGCGGGTGAGCCGTGTTACCCAGCAGAGGGGTTCGACCGAAGTTCATGACAAGGTTGGAATCGCGATGGAAAATGACAGGGCGGCAGTGGAAACGTGGCCTGCATGAGCGCAAGAGAATTATAAGGGATACGGCCGCAAAAGAAGCAAGATGGTGGTGTGAGAACTTACAAGGCAAAGGGCCAATCAGATCTAGCAAGAATGCGAATAAGATCAGGTCGTGTCTCGGCCAGGACATTGTAGACTGTGTATGCAGAAGCAATAATGCACTTGCCACCCTTGGCTGCCGTGTTTCGTGTGAGCCATCCGACAATATCGCCGGATTCCTCATTGTGGAAAGACTAAGAAGGATGTTAGAGTATTAAGAGCGCAAAACCTTGTGTGATGACAGCTTTACAATTGACTTATTAGAGTGGCGGTGATGCTCAGCTTGAGTCGAAGAAGAGTTATCGGCAACAATGTGAACTTATCGAATTAGCCGTCGAGGTTTGTTCTCAAGCCTGTCATCAAGTCTGGTCACTTACCAAGCATATTGCCACGTCCATCCTGACGACCATGCTGGCCGCCGATGTAAGAGTTGACGCCCAGGTAGACCAAGGTCAGATCCTCGACAGAGTAGGCCTCGGGCTTGATGCCTCGAACGAGGCAGAAGCCCTTGCCCTGGTAAAGGTCCAGACCGAGCTTGTCAAGCTTCAAGCCCAACTGGGGCAACGGGAATGTGTCACGCGAGACACAGGAGCCATCGAGCTCAAGAGCTGGGTATGTGAGTCAGTGCTGTACTCACACGTCAAGCAGGATCTCAGACTCACACTTGAAGTATTCGATAGCTGCATTGATCTCGACGAGATCAGAGGCAGTGAGGACACAAGCGTAGTCTTCCTGCTTGATCTCGAGACCGTTCCATGCCAGAGGGCGCTCAAACTTGGCCGGGAAGCCTGCAGGCAAAGGCGAGACCTCAGCGCAGACGCCGATCTCTGCCATTGAGGCTGAGGCAGGCTCGCCTAGATAGGTTCCAGTAGTGACAGTGGCCATGGTAATGACTGGGTCTGATAACCGTCGGCAAGCAAGGTGCTCTGTGCGGTCAGGGATGGAATTCACCGAGGAAGTGAAAGAGAGTGAAAGAAGTCGTAAGAAGCGGCAAGAGGTGAGAGAATCTTATGAGAAGTGAGTTGCAGATGCTGCTCCGAGACGAGTGATGCCGGACGAGAGGAGAAAAGCGGTTCAGGATATGGGCGAAGAGCCGATATAAATATGTAAACATCCACCCTCTGACCGGATTGGAAAGAAGCAGAGGGCACTTTCCGCTTCCAAGGGTGCCCTGTGAACACGATCACCCTTGCCGGTCGGGCAGAGACATCAAAGATGACGACGTAGGGCAAGTGCAGAGCAGTGTAGGTAGTGATAGGCAGGCCTTTCTTTTCGTTGATCGGCCGTGGTGCCGTATCGGGAGCTGCAACAGTGACGGCAAGTCACGTCCTTCTGACCACTCAATGCTCGCCAGATTGCCCTCCTTAGAAGGCCGTCGTTACCCAACAACGACACACTCAAGGGTGCCTGGCCGCTGGCATTGCGTTGATGGGCATTGCTCGAGAGACACAAGGAACGGTCAAGGACGGGAAGAGACAGGAGAATGGCGAGCAACAGAACGATTGGCAGCCGATCAATCAGGGTACACAGCGAACTCGGAGATTCAAGACATGATCCTTGAGATTTGCTAGCCACCGGGTTCGATCCCTTGTCTGTGCTTGGTGAGTCCCTGTCAAGACGGAAAGAAGATCCGGGGGGGCGTGTGAACTTTGATGCTGGCGGCTGGCTTTAAATGGAGAGGCCCGGTTTGATAAATGGCCTTGACCGCGGGCCATTGCCGCTCACCTGACAAAGTACAGAAGTTGGAGAGGAAAGAATGAGGGAGAGAAAGAGTGTTGGAAAAAGCAACGTGATTTTCACCAAGGGTGAGGTAGGGATATAAGAAGTAACAAAAAGGAAAGAAGGAAAAAAAGAAAGGGCAACAACGTCGTAGAGTGACGGTGTGGGTGGGGAGCCAAAAGGACCTGGTTGATGCTGAGGAGTAGAGGCATTGACAGTCAGTCTTGCTTCGACGGCTGAGCATGCACACACAGCAGCATCCAGTCCCAGAGAGACCAACACCGGATTTGAGATCAGGAGACGGGGAGATCGACGAAGACACTGATTGCGCCAAGAGACAGGAGAGAGACCAGCAAAGATTGGAGAGCATCCATCAGATGCATGAGGGGAGCAAGGAATGCTTCCTCGTCTCTGCATAGTCGTGCCCGCCCGACGCGACGGTGTTACCTGTGAAACTCGGCTTCCCTGATCGGGGTACAAGACATCTCAACGATGGAGCCGGTAAGGAGCCGCAGCATGCAATGCGAATTGCGGCGATGACCCGGACACAGAACCAGATGGCTCCTGCATGGGCAGAGGAGCAGGGATGACTGCTTCGTAGCAACGGCTGGAGTACAGCAAGGTGTGTAGGTTGCGAGGACCGGCGGTCTGCCAAGGGGTACGCGGCGGAGCAGACCGGGGCATCAGGAGAGAGAAGGGAGGCTGCATACAACTATGCATGTTCGGAGGAGAAGGAGGGCGCGTGACTGCTGGAAAAACAAACCGAAACAAAGAAGAAAAGAGGAGAGGAGATGGGATGGGATGAGATGAGATGAGATGGAGCACGATGGAGTCGTGCGTGTGAGATGGCGAGATGCAGGGGAAGCACAATGACAGAAAGCGCCAGGGGCTGGGTGGTGTAAGTTGCTTTAGGTAAGAACATGTACGTAAGCAGACGACAGAGATGAGAGATGCCGAAGCAGCACGGAGAGAGTGGAAGTGGCGAGGCGTGCAGTGCTGTGAAGTGAAGTGCAGGCAGGGCGTTTCGATGGCTGGCCGGGGTTGGTTATCCGGGCTCTTTCCTCGAGGGGCAGCTTGTGTGTATGTGTGATATCTATGAAGACGAGGCAAGTGCTCTGGACAAGTAAAGTTGGGATTGATGCAATCCAAGCGTTTGTCGTCTGCCAAGGCGAGAGCTACAGAGTGGCTGGGAAGAGCATGTAACGCATCCGTGCTGGAAGAAGACACCACGATGGGGCACAAGAGAGCAGCGTAAGAGCAGAGCAGGAGCATTGAGAAGAGAGGACACAGGCGGGGGGTCGAGGCAACGCCCGGGCATGGCATGGCGGGTGGTCCCTGTCTCGGCTCCAATGAGCGGGATCGTTCCTGTGATTCTTACGTACTAAGTGATGTATCCAGCAAGCCCCCAATTACCTCATTCAGCTCATACGTCGCACTCCCCCCCCCAGGTCGGGCAGGCGCCGGCATCAGAGGGAGAGAGGCACTCTAGCCCCTGCCCTATGACCAGGGAGCTCTGGTGATCAACGATGGGCGGCTGCAGGCAGTGGTTCTCGCTTCCAGGTTGTGACTGAACCTAGTTCGCTTACCCGCTTCCGAGGACGCTGATCGATTGCCTTCCCGCTCGATTAGATCCAACGACATCCAACGAGGAACCCACCGACAGGAACGGTCGGGATGCTAATGGAGCCATCCGGGACGCCAGCCTGAGGTGAGGGGTGGGGACAGACGCAAGGCCCAGCCTAGGCCCAGTAATAGGATGTGCCAGGGAGGAAGACAAAAGACACGGGCTACCTCAGGCAGGGAGCCATCCGTTATGATGGATGGGTCAAAGGGGACAGGCCAAGCCAGCCATGCCGCAGTGAACGAGTGACACAGCTCCAAGAGAACAGTCTTGACGGGGCTAGCCGGAGCTAAAACCGGCAAGATGCCGAATTAGACATCACATCGGTATGCCAGGTCGGTCGGGTCAGACTAAGGACCTTCATCCGCTGTGGTAAGATAGAGTGATGCAGGCCAGTTGGGACGGCATGGGATGGGATGGGATGGGATGGGATGGATGTGTAATGGCTGGTGGGTGTGGGTGTGAGAGAGCAAGAGAGGGAGAGGGAGGGAGAGATGGCTTGCCATACACCATCACATTCACCGCACACCCTCGGGGAAGCAGAACGCGCAGCTACTTCGTAAAACGCCGAAATATAGGAAGGGTTATCGCAGGTTTGCCTCGAACAATGCACCCTCCCATAGGCCGGGCAGAGATGAGAGACCACCAAAAGCAACAGCCGACTTGCATGGATTAACCCAACCCGGCGTTTCCTACATACAACCGCGCATCTGCAACAACGGGGCTGCCGTGATCAGTCGGAGAGCCGCATGCCAGATACGTAGCGATCGAGATAGGCAAGCTGTTCATGCTCGACTGCGACTTCGACAACGAAAGGAGCGCTTGGGGAGTGGACTCTTGTCGACGCAGGTTGTGTGCGCCACCAAAGACAACAGCATCCTTGCCGCCGCCCCACGAACCGGGGATTCGATTTCAGCTTTCAAAGCGACGCTAGAGGTACCTACAACAGGGCTTTTCCTGCCGGGTAATGATGCACGCTCCGCCGCATGCGCTAATCTCTCTCATGCCAGTTGCTTTTTCCTGTCCTGGTGGATTTGCACGAAGCTCGCCAACAAGCAACAAGACAAAAAGGAAAGGCGAGGGTCCTGTACTCCGTAGGTGGTAGATAGATACCTAGGTTAAGTAGCTTGCTCGAAACAGTGATTGTCCTCCAGCCCTCCCTCCTACCCCTCGACAGCAATGCTCCAGATCAGTTCCTCTCAAACGCAATAAGGAAAATCTTCATGGGTAGTGACCGCCGGATCTGCAAAAGCCACACAGCAGATAGCAGACTTCCAATGCTGTGCTCATCGGCATCGCCCACTCGCCCTTGTCGCTGCTGTTGGTTGTTGGTGAAGTGGAGTCAATAGCCGACGCCACTCTGACCGGCCGAGAACCATGTGCATACCCGCAAATCCGGTTGGGCGAATAGGTGCAGGCATTTCATCTCTTTTGGTGCGACTGCATACACTCTACTGCACTACCAAAGCCCCATGCCCATCCATACAGCCAACCAGTCGCCTCCGCGTCGCAGGGGCATGAATTAATCCATCGTCCGGGGTAGCCAGTTCTGCTCGAAAAGCTGACTGACAAAGTAATAGTCGTTCTCGCAATCCTTGAGTGCCCACACATCTGCCCATTGTTTTCCTGCAGAGAAGGGCGCACGAGGCCATGTCAGCTGTGTTCGATACGCAAGAAGACGACGTTCCCTGCAGCCCTTCTCAAAGGGGTACAGTACAGTAGGGGAGGGGTGAGAGGGGTGTTGGAATAAGGTATAGGCCCCGAGCCTGGTCATCAGGGCCGGACAAGGGACATGCGTGAAGGTGTGGATTGCACATATGAACCACGGGGGTGTCTTACTGTGATCCGCGGCATACCGCCGAGTGTAATGAACAAATTGGACGGCCGAATCATCCAGTTCCGCGAGGTTTCGAAGATCCACTGGCTTGCAGGTTGTAGAGAAGGGGAAGACGCCCTTGTTGCAGTAGTGGAAATATGCCAACAGAGTTGTCGCGCCTGCATGGATTGTAAGCAAAGCATGACCAGGGGCCTTCACGCAGGCTGACATCGTTGCCGGCTTCAGAGGGCTAGCGAGCTCACCTAGGTAGTACTGCTTCACTCTGTCCTCCCGCGCAAAGCGCCTCTGCGGGTCAAGATCAGCAATTCATCCAGTTCCGCATATCTTCGCATCAGCCCTGGGAGTAGGGTACCCGGCTCCTTACCCAGACTACCCCGATCGGAAAAAGGTTGATAGGAGGTGGAAGGGGAGTTCTTACTTTGAGGCCATGCTTTCGTGCATAGCTAGCATCATGCTTAATGACAAGAGCTATGTTGTGCAGCAGTATGAAGGTGACCAGGTACGTCGTGAGCCATGTTCTCTGCTTGTTCTCTTGGGTCATCTTTTGCAGCATTTCGAGAGTTTCTTGCCGTAGCTTGGTTTGGATCTGGTGGATCAGGATCATGTCGAGCTGTGCACCCATTACCGGCGGAAGTGGGGTCTTCCCTGGGAGTGGACTGCTCTCGTCCATGAGATTCTCGGGCATGCCCAGCCTTTCACTCCCAACGATCTCGAAGGATTTGGTAGTGAGGCGGATCGACATCCACAAGTCCAGCGTGGATGTCAACAGATTCCTTTCCTGAGGGGACGATTTAGGATCGGTTGCCAGCCTCAACGCCATGCCGTACGTCTGCCAAAGCAACTTCTCCCGAGGTCCCAGGATCTTTTTGCAGCATTCCACCAAGCCAGTCTTTATGTACTCGCTGTATGCAGTTCTGGCCTTGTCCAAGTCCACCAGCGCATAGGGCGGGATTTCAACACACCTGGTCTCTCCCGTCTCCGTGACCCATGAACGTTGGAGCCTATCGCCTTCCTGAGGGACGAACTCACGTACACGTAATTCGACGGAGCTGGCTGTATATCCCTCAGACACATGAATGATCTTGATGTCTGGCGACGCCCAGTTCTCGATCTCGTCAAACATGTGGTTCTCTTTCCACCGAAGCGTCCACTCGTGACCTTGAACCTGGCCAGGCTTGGAAAGGAGAACGTCATTGATCTTCAGTCGAAGACAGGGCAGCCGCCATATTTTGCTCGCCGATACTTTCTGACATGTGAGACAAGTTCCCTTCTCGTCTTCGGGATCGGCGTTGCACTGTAGACTTGGTGTCAGTTGTGGGAATCAATGTGCCACGTGAAGAGAGATACCGACCCGTATGCGTTGCATCCTACATCTGATACAACTTCCGATTTTCCTCGTGTTCGCCGTCTTCTGTCGCTCTATACGATCCTTGAAAGGCCCACGTTTGGCGGCTGGTGGACGCTGGTTGGGGAAGACGAACTCTGGATTGGTGGTATTCGCTTGCAAGTGCAGTTGAGGCGGATCAGCGACGCTCAGGGAGTCAGATCGGCTGCAGCTGGGGGCCTGACTATAGGATGACAATAGACTGCTGGCAACCGCTTGTCGGGTGAACCCTGGAGTGTCCCTAAGCGTCATTATGCCTGCTGCGTAACCGTCATGGCTCGCCAACTTTGGACCGTGTGAAAGGGCTGCGGTCTTCGCGGCTTGTCCTGTGCCCGATTCGAAACAGGGTGCAACTTGTGGGTTCTCAGGGTAACACATGGCCTCCCTGCTTGTTGTCGGTTGGGCTTTGGAGCTGCGGGACGGCTGTAATGATGGATAATTGGGCAAGTAAGGGCTAGGGAACCCGGGGTTTGTATCAACAAACAGGTTCACACTCCCTGTCTGTTCTGAAGAGACATTCGGGAGGCTGGAACTCTGCCGCTGAATGGCCGGGCCACTGCCGTCGGCGTATGCCTTGTTGTCGGAATACCCGTACGGCGGCATTGGTGCAGTGGTGGGACACGCTGTGGCAATAGATTTAGACACGATCTGACAGTACAACGGGATATCAAGACACATACTTGGTTGAGGTTCATACGTTGATGTTGGTTGGCAAACTGAAAAACTAGCAAAACAATCCGCAAGTTGAGAGCCTAGCTGAGACCCGAGGTTGGAATTCGTCCAGCCCATGAACGAGGAGGTCTGGGCTTGTGGGAGCTCGGGCTGTGGACGACGCACGGGATCATTGATGGTGTGACGGTGCTGGTGAGCCAAGGCCTTCTCGCTCCTATCTGGGATTGCGACGGTGTTGGGAAATTGTGAAGACATGGCGAGATCTGCATCCAAGCGAAGCCTTTTGCTACCCTGTGCTTGGTGCTGTTGACGACTGAAGTCGAGGAGGCTGTCCACAGATACGTGAAGTGTTCGAGCAGCTTGTCCTAGGATGAAATCCCGTTCTTGGTATCGCGAGAAATTCAACAGTCTTTCGACCGGGACGTTCAACACAGATGCAGCTTGTTGTAATATGAAGTCGTTTGTTGGGGAGAATTGAGCAATATCAACAGCCGAGGACGCAACACTGGGGACTGACCCATGGAGCACTGGCTCACTGGGCGACTCCTCCAAAGTGTAGGGCCTTCGCCTCTTCAGGTTATACCCTCGAGGATCCTGGAGACAGGTCAATCCACTGTTCGGTAGGACAACGACAAGAACAAGATCCACGGAGAGTAAGTGCACTACAAAGCAGGACTGGCAGCAAGCAGAGCTGGCTTTGGACACTGACAGGAAGCTGGAACTGAGATAAAACGAAGCATGTCCAACGAGCATCCAGTCTCCAGGTGAAACCAGTTATGTGAATGGGTAGTGCGGAGTTGAGAGAGTATGCTCGACGGGAATGAGGAAGGGAAGTGAGATGATATAGCCAAATACAGACGCTCGAGGAGGAATGGAGGAGCAAAGAGAATGGTTGCTCTTACCATGATGGCTGCGGCAAGAAAGGATGGTGGGTTAGACAAAGGCGTCAGTCAGGTCAGTGCACTTAGATGACGGTAGCAGGTATACACCGGTAGAAGCACAAAGGCAGGGGACCAAAGCAAGGTATCGGTAGCCGTTACAGTGGCCGCAGGAGGTAGAATGATAGCAGGGGTAAGGACGAGAGAGAGAGAGCGCGCCTCGCGACTTGATTGTTGGGGGGAGGGGCGTGTGCGGAGAGATCCAGTGGTCTCACGAAGTTAGCAACGCCATTGCCACCATTGAAGACAGTTCCGGGGTACGATAGGTGGAGGGCTGCAGGAGACACAATCCAGGCAGAATCCCTCGGGTGGCTTGCAAGGGCCGGAGTCGGAGACAAGTGAGGCAGGGTCGGGTGACGGGTCGAGATAGGGGAGGCGAACAGATCAGACCGAGCAGCCGAGAAGGGCGCACGAGGTCTTCGTTCCCTGTCTCAAGCACAACTTTCCTTCTGGGGGGCGCGGCGCGGCCACGGTCAGTGAGAGATGTATCCTGGGTTGAACACCGGTCTGACGTGGTCCAAGGAAAGGGACAGCGGGCACTAAGAATAGCGGTGACTTGTCAGATTGCGATGTGGTGTTATTGAGTGTGATATCGGGATAAATGATTTCTGGACTGCTCCCGGGGTGGTCTCTGGAGAACAGAAGACAGGGGGCTGAGGCCAGTCCAGAGTCTGTATCGTGCTGATCGCGGAGCAGAAATGATATGCAGGCCTAGCTGCTGGTCCCAGGTATCCGGGGGCGGTGGGACGTGCTCACAAGACACCAGTAGGCGGCCTTATTTGTGCGAATGTGGGTTGTGCAGTGGTGCTGCGCAGAGAGATGAAGAAGGAGAGATACCTTGCGCAACAGAATGCCGGCCAGTGCCAAGTTAGGTAGTCAGATCGTCGCGGGGGAATGTGTGTGTGTGTGTATTGGTGTGTTTTCCCTCGAAGGGAGGCCGTCCAAGGGGGCTGGCGTGTGCTGTGCTTGCGCTGGTGCCCCGGATTGAGGTGTTGCGTTGTGTGTCTTGTGATCTCTGCTCTTCTGGCAACAACGGGATATCCTGGCCAAAGCCCGGATGCTGGAGTGCCAGATCGGATCACGCTCCTCACCGTTCGGATGCTCACTGGTGCTGACTTGCCCGCGACACTACCTCCGGGCGGTTGGTGAGTGGCCCGCAGCTCAACAGGGCCCTGGCCTGGTTTCCTTGGCGCAAAGCGTACTTCGTAAGGCGGCAGAGGGTGAACTGGCGCGCCGAGTCCCCTGGCAGGTCCAGTGTTTGACAGAGGCCAACTTGTTGACTGAGCCGAGGCCGAGTACCAGTACCAGCAACAACAGGTCGCATCAGACGGCTGCCGATCGAATGCGCTTGTGGTCAGTTGGGGGAAGGAGGCGGCCTGGAATGTTCAAGGCTGAGAGAAAGAAGAGGGACTCGGTGAGATGAAGAAAGTGTCGATGGCGGCTAGGTTGGGCTGTTAAAGGTTAAAGCACATTGACCGGTCGCGCGCAGCGGGGCACCACACGGCCAAGGACCCAGATGGACCGGGGTTACAACGGAGGTTGAACAATGTGTAAAGGTGAGATTTCATCAATAAGCAAGCCAGTTAAGGTAGGCCGGTAGATACAACAAGGGGGGGTGAGCCCACTCTCTCGGAATCCAAAGCTCATGCGATTTGGTGACCAGGAAATCGACGAAACGGTTCGCGTGGGTGCATGGGTAATAAAAAGGGGGGGAGGGGAGGACGGCGGAACGAGGAGGGAGGAAGACCACAGACAGACAGACAGACAGACAGGGTGGACAGGCGGATAGGGATAGACGGATAGACAGACAGGTTGTCAGGAGACGACCTGGATGATACAGAATCAATTCCAACACGAGAGATCGCATGGCAGAAAAATTGCGCATGCATGCGGGTGGGAGGGGGAGAACGGAAAGGTCTGGATGGCAAGTGCAATCCCAATCCATGTTGCAGCGAGACTTGGGGGATGGTGGGATGGTGGTGACGGAAGTGGTGGGAAAGAGCCAGGCACGCCCAGTGCTAGTAAAGAGAGGAAAAAACAAATAATCCAGATGACCAAGTACAGTTGAGGTTACAACCCGACAGGCAGGCATCAACAATTACACCCCAAATATGACAGCACAGCACAGAGCAAAACCGGGCGGGAAAAAAGCAACGAGCAGCGAAAAGCACGCAAGGCCGGCTCCATTCTCGTCACTTCGTCCCGTCTGGTCATTTCACCACAGCTTTCAATAAATGACAGATCAGTTGGGAAGAGAAGGACAAAATGACAAGGACCAGGGCCGGGACCAGGGTTGATCAAGACGCCATCTTACTTGGCCTACCTTCTCCGTCAATCCCTTCTCTGTAATGTTCCATCACTCGAGCAGGTCTGGCCCCCACGACGACCCCGACTCCAGCTCCAGCGATGCGGGAAGAGGCGCACAACAGCCCGGTCCCCAGACGTTGCCCAAATTGCCATGCTGCCACGATGCAACGGTGCCATGCCTGCCAGTCATTAGTGCCATTACAATAGTTACAAGTACTTCACCATCGAGCATCCAGCATCTATGCATGCGTACCTTGTCGGCTGCCTCAGCCTCCACCGATCCCCGACTCTGCTTGTACCAAATCGCCTCTCATTGCGCTGGATTCCATGTGTGCTTGAACACGCAAGCCCGGTCCCTTCCGCTTTCGCCTTCCCATCTCCAAGTGACTCCAAACGACATTCTTGGCCCGCAGAGAGCAGCTCGGAGAGCTCAAGTCGGCGAGAAGGTGGTGGCAGAGAGGTCATTCGCTTACCAAAGACATTTGTGACTTCTTGCACCAATAGGATCCGAGGGAGCCCTGGACATGGTGTGAACAATGCTGCCTTTACGCCTGTACTCCGTAAGTTCCTCCCTTCATACCCAGTAACTCTTATCCATGCCTCATCTGTCGGGATCGTGACGAGACAGCCGAGCAGTTCACGATATCATATCTCACATAAAAGAAGTGGAAATCTCGAGCGCGCTCTGACAATTCGGTCCCGTCCTGGAGCTATGGTTGACCGAATCCTCCTTGGGAAAAGGATGGCCTTTCTGTGATGCGCACGGTCGGCACCCGCTCCTCCCAACAGCCCTCTCAGACACTCTGCATGCTGTCTCTTACCAAGCGTCGGGACCGCATCCCAGATCGGAAGGCATCGAACCACAGATTCCCGCCTTCTCTTGCTTCCTTGGACCATGCTCCTTATGGATGACACGTTAGATCCTGGGTCGTCATGGCGTTACTGAGCAGTGATCTACATACGATACCTGACCCCCGCGTGCCTCGTGATAGTGCTAGCGCCTATGTGTTGGCTCCAGTGTCGATCCGTTCCGGTGCACTCTGCCCTCACAGCCAGTGTCTCAGTCCTTCTCGCTCTGTGAAAACGTCGCCGAGAAGAGAAGTGAGGATCTCCAATCAAACCACCTCCTCCGATGTCCAATATGTGGGCTACGCTGCATGACAATTTAACTTATTATACCCTCGAAAATCTGTACACCAACTCCTCCAGGACCTATGTAGTCAACAAGTTCTTGCATCTTTGGAGGCATTAGATGTTCCACCAGAGACACCAATGATGCCTCCTTTCTGCTTTTGATCTTTGTTTCACGACAGCAGCGGAATCAATGGAACCATATGACCAGGCATTGCGGGGCATGCTCACAGCTGGCCAACGCTTCCCGTGCAGTCATATATGACAGCCAATCGTTACTGGTCAGTAATCGAGAGACAGAATACCTAGGTTTGCGAGAACCAGAGCAGAGAACCTGACCCGCGGGACTTAGTAGCGCTGACACGACAGAATAGAACCTCGATCCAAGCACTAGGTACGTAGACTGGAAGTATCACGACACACCGGTTCACTGCTTCTACGGCGTGCCGTGCCACGAGCTAGCGTCCACTCGTGGTTGCTTACGGCCACCATAGGAAGTCGGTGCGATGGTGCGTTTGGGCGCCAAGTGACCAATAAAGCCAGCCCTCCTTCGGACGCCACAGGCTAGACGTCGGCTCGAGGTCACCTGTTCTCTTATGTCGTTTCTACAACATGCATGAGCTTGCTATCACGATGAGTTGATGAGTCTTGGAATCCAGGATCGGGACGGCATCACCAATCTCGCTTAGACATGTTTCCCGGATCGGACCTTTTGGTTGGATGCATGGTCCGGAAAGGATTGGACTCCCCATTACCCAATAGTCTTCACTCGAAACACACATTGCTGAAAAAATTATGTCGGTCTGGCAGTCATTGGTTGTGGGTGCCGGCCTCATGCAGCTTGCCTTCCACAATAAGCCAGGCTGCTGGTTTCCAGGAAGCGAGCCAGGCCAACAGCCCGCCCTTTCTGACCGGTGTGAGGACAAAACCCAATGAACGGCATGGCAATGTCGCAAAAGAACCGGCGCTATTGGCGTCTCCTTGGGTGTTACAAGGAGACTGCCCGAGAACAAGCCAAACCGGATCGAATCCCGAGTGCGTGCCCATGGAAGGGTGGGAGGCTTGAGTCGTACACACCGCCATCACTTCTGACAGCAGTACCGATACAACCAAAAACCAACAAACTAATGAAGGGATCAGCTTTATCTCGGATTCCAGCCTGGGCACATGACAGATCTTTGATCGGTCCCCGGCGACTTGACGAAGTGTGATATACGCGCAGGCAAGAAAGCTGTAGTCACAACTTGGCACCAAGGCCCTCTTTGGTGGCGGAGTACTGTTGCTTAGGTGGGGGTCTTGATGCAGGGTGTCCCCTCCGGTATCCTGTGACGATCTCTCAGCGATGTTCCTGCTTGTGAGGGACGCTTTTCTTCTGCAGGTTCGTCCTTCGGGGACCTGCGGCCTGGTTCGCAGGAAGAGTCAGCAATGCACCTTGATGCGACGCCGCTTTCGTCGGTCGGTCTTTGGCGGCTCATTACCACCCTCTCTCTATGTGATCGATGATTCATCATTCCGTTTCTTTGACCAGGGAAGAGACGAAGCTCTGCGAAATCTGTCCAACAGTAAGGACATGCACAGCTGACCAACTTGTGTGTTCGATGTCAACTTCCCCTGCTCGACTATGTCTCTCTTCAGTGCCGATCAAAGCACCTAACCGGGACACTCTTCCACCATCCTCAAGCCTCAAATTCGTAGACAAGGGAGGAGGATGAAGTCGAGCAAGAATGGAGACAATTCTCCACTTTGTTGGAGCCGCCTCTCGTTGCCGCCAGTAGTTACTCCCTAGCTGCCGCCAAGCTGCCGTTGGCCTTGCCATCCGCTCCGGGCCGCTCCCGAATTGTTGTTAGTTTCACCAAGAATTCTCCACATCGTCTCATCCTCTTCTGTTTCTCTGCTTGTGACATCTTCAACGGGATTTTTGAGACATCTTGAAAGCCACGAGGGCTAGGGCGATCACTCCGTTCTTGCGCTACCTAGCCGGGCAAAGGTCGACAGGATCACCACCTGGACCCTCCTTTCTGGCCCGATGCTGCATCTATTTACCGGCATCACACCGCCCGGAGACAGCGTGCATCGGGCTGCATGATTACCCGAGTTTGGAGAGCCTCACCGGTTGCCACGATCATTTCCTGCATTCTCACCCTCACCCTCATTGATCTGGTTCAAAATTACGACGTGGCAGGCCAAAGGTCCATTTCTTTTCCCGGCAAAGCGGCCGCCCAAGCCAGACACGACTATTTCGTCTTGGGAGTTCCGCTAGATTTGCCGCAGAGGGACCCGATGTCGGTCGCTGCCGGCTCGAAGTACCAGTACAGCGCGCTGAATGACAAGGCGAGGGTGTGATTCTAGGTTGTTTCCAGTCCATGCATGCTGCGGCCATGTCTGGATGGCTCGTGATGCGAACCTTGCATATAGGTACCTCGTAATGTAGACCACTCAAAGTCACAAAGAATCCCGGTATTCCCTCTTCCCGCCCCTATCAGGGGTCAAAATATGCATGTGGAGTTTTTCGAGAGTAGGAAATGCACGGTTTGGAAGCTCTGTGAACGGACTGGAAACTCACGCTGGCCGGACGACAGCCCCCGAATATCGAGGATGTTGATCATGAAGGGCCAGCCTGGTGCGGCAGAGATAATCCTATCACCTGCATGCAGGCTTTGTAAATCCTCAACCGACTCCCGTTTTGACCGACTACCAGAAACGGATTTGATGAAGGAACGACTGATTTGTGAGCTAAACCAACTCCGCTTCCAATCCGCCCAAGGCTCTGAGGCGGTTCATCTAGCGAGGGCGAGTGAAAGCCCTTGGGTCGGACGAATCAAGATCGAGGGTGCTTCAATGTTCTGACAGGTCCGGTCAACGGCCGGTTGCGACAAGACCCAATCACCGAGTTGACAGTGGATTTGATCTTGGGGGCGAGAAATCGATAACTTTGTCTGTGGCAGAATATCCCTGCGAAGGACGACTGCCAAGAGCGACGAGCAAGACTGTTCGCATTTTGCCGCCTGATGTGTACATTGCGATAGTGTTTTGGCACTAGCCCATGGGGCTCATGGGGCTCCGGTTAGAACAATCAATTTCTACGTCCGATATTCAAAGGAAATAGGTCGGCATCTTTCTCTCAAGGCAAGCTTTCTCAAACTCATCAAGAGTCTCTTTTGAACTTGAGCATTGAACCATGTCTCAACTGATCATGAGCAGGACTACGACATGAGCAGAAGGCCGGTCGGTATAGGGAGCTGTAAGAACTCATGCACAACTCCGCGATTAGTTGATATCCGGGTCATGCACAAGACCGTCGTTCGACTTCCCGGCAAGTGTGTGGCTGACGTAAGGGACGGTGCATACCACAATACTGCTTCTTCCACGTCCGCCAATGTGGTGCCCAACAGAACAGCAGCGAACCAATCAAAAACTCTTCTTCCCTTGGGTTCGTGGTGGAGACGACTGTCAACTTCACTTCTTCAAAACAAAGACGCGGAACACTGACAGAGGTATCCATCGCCGCCATTACAACCAAGGCTTGATGCGGATATTGAGAGGCCTGGAGAAGCGCTTGCTTGCCTGACTGTCAGAAGCGCCACCGCTGTTCAAGCCCCAGGCTCGGCGGCGCGAGCCATCGCGTTGGTGCCGTTGTAGACTTGCTTTGTTCAACCAGCATGCTAATGCATAACGCGGCTACCTGCACGCAGCCTCGAAGTAAAAGAAGAAAGAAAAGAAAAGAAACCAACCTCCACCGCCAAACCCACCCTTCCTTCCCTCAGGACAGGTCTGCCCTGCCATCCGGGTCTGCCCGTTGGTTGTACACGACCACCAGTCAGAGCGGATAGGGGTTGTGAGAGGAAAATTAACTGCAAAAAGCGGTGGCTTGGAACTAAAGTATCGCAAGATTTGACTGTCGTACCGGGGGTTCTTCCCGTATTGCAGACGGAAAGTGATACTTGACTTGGCACGCGACTGTTCTTGTCAGTTGGTCATGATCCACTTGAGTACAACCAGTTTGCGGGAAGGCACAGCCCGTCCTTGCTGAAAGAATAGCTGGTCGATAACCTGATTCTATCACGTCTGGCCTTTCAGAAGACAAATCTCATAGCCTCCTTGGCAGGCAATCTTCCTTACTTTCATCCTGCCTGAGCGAGATTAAGCAGCCGAAAACCGAATCTCTCCCGGACCGCGAGCCGTCTTTCACTCCTTGCAATACTCGTGCCGCAATACACTTGCTGGAATCAGCACCTATCAATCTCTATATTTGCTTCATCAAGTATCTCTGTGCTCAGACCACCTCTGCGGTTTTGTTCTCGGTCCTCAACCAACACCTGCACAGCCTGGCCAGTTCGCCCACCATGGAGTTGATTGTGGACAATATTCCAGGTATCATCTACCCTTCAGGGATCTGTATGAATAAAGCCTGGAGACCCCTTTTGGTCGAGGAACTTCGCGCGAAAGAGGCGAGAGCGCTCAATGTCGGCTGGGAGGAGTCACAATTGAATCCCAAGAACCGCATTGACAGCCTCGCCTTGCTTTCTCACCCGCTTTGGCGAATCGACGGCTGCATGTCATCAGGCACCCAGTTCTTCGCTGTGCCCTTGTTCATGGGGCCAATCGCTCCAATGCGTATTGATATCGTTGTTAGCATTCCCCAAAACAAGTGGGAAGACATGGATGCGAACCATACAACTCTCCACGACCTTCTAGATCTAGGCAGGGCGTTCCACACACGAGACTCCGTGAGGGTCCGCAGACTAGGCATTACTAGATACATCTTGAGAATCCTTCAGCTCCGCACCGTGAGCGGTGGCGATATCTGCCCGTCCATAATCAGCCGCGTTTACGAGACTGGGCCTTTTGGGACCTTGATCACGATTCACATCCCCACGTGCCATATCAACGACGCAAAGGTACAGATCGTCCGGAACTACAACTTGGAGGCGCATATGCATTCTTATACACTTCTGAAGAAGCTGTGGGAAGGCGAGAACATTGAGCAGTACCCTCCAGAGGTGGACATGGCGGATCTGCGGCTCGTCCGACAGCTGTCCGACACGATCACTGTAGTCCGCCCGAACCCGAAGCGTTGTTCAGGACTCAATGGCTGTGGCTTCAACCTTATGGTCTTCAAGTCCGTGGCTTTTGCCGCGTCTATCAAATACTTGTATCACGAATTGCGAGTGTTGCTTCAACTGCCACCGCACCCCAACATCATCAAACCGTTGTTCATTGTCACAAAGGTCAACAAATTCGGCAGCAAAAGGGGAGTCGTGGGCTTCATCCTTCCGTACTACCCTTTGGGAAGTCTTCGGGATCACCTCCCGTTTCTACGCATACACGGTCAACTTCATCTGCGAGATCAATTACGCTGGGCTGAGCAGATTACTCTGGCGTTGAAGCACATCCGCACTGTCGGCAACACTTACTACCCGGATTTGAGGCTGGACAACTTGCTTCTGACAGACTCATATGACATAATGCTCATAGATTTCGAGCAGCGCGGTGTTTGGCTTGGATTCTCAGCCCCAGAGGTTGACTTTGTCGAATGCCTACGGTCCGTGGCCGACGCTGAGGACGACGAGGAGGCGAGAAGTGACAACACGCTCCGATTTCAAGCCCGCAGATTGCTGACAGAATCCTTGCCGTCTTGGCGAAGTCTTCACAACAATGTCACTTATGAGAATCCAAGATTCGGTTACAACATTCCATGGCTTGCGCTCCGCCCTGATCAATACGAGGCAGCAATGGTCTATATGCTTGGACGCACCCTTTGGTGCATCTTCGAAGGCATGAGCGCCCCCGATCAGGATTGTGTCTGGGCTTCGTACCCGAGAGAACCCGAAATATCGTGGCCGAACTATCAGAGTGCTCCAAAGCAACTACGTATTCTGGTCGATATGTGCATAGGCGACAGGGTGAAGCAGAGGTACCCGGGAATCATTCGCCACAAAAGCAAAATCTTTCTGACACCCGACACGGCCAACGCAAACAATTATTGGGATGGAATGGAGAGGGAGATGTTCTCTCCTGGTCATGAAGAGGATGCTGGATGGCTAGTCGACTTGTCCTACTGCCTTCATATGCGGTGGCTGCAAATCGCATGCTTCTCAGCCTCGATGATGGCCGAGGACAGGAGTCAATCCGCTGCATCGCGTGACAAAATTCGGTCCTATCAACATAGAGCTTCACTTTCACAAGTACTGCAAGCCTTGGTCCAGGTGAAGAAGACATTCACTGCTAATCCGACGGCTTTGGTCGCTCCAAAGTACAGACTTGGCGAACTCGAAAGGATGCCCCAGGAAGACCACCCCCGGAATGAGACAGAATTCAGTAAAATCGTGCTATGTGGGCGCTGCCGCAAAAGGATCATTGGGGAGCACTGGCACTGTTTCGTTTGTGCCAATGGGAGCCTCGACATCTGCCTCAGCTGCTGGGATATCGGTTTCAGATGCTACGATGACAACCATGTGTTGAACTCTCGCGTCTGCACCGAGTCTTTTGTTGATTGTTCCAACAAAGTGTTTTGCAAGAAGGCTTAGCATCGCAATCTCGCAGATGGGTCAAGCGAGCTTTCCGAGTACTTGAACCCTGATCGGTACGAGCACTGGCTATCGGAGATGCTCGGCTTGAATAAAGAAATGTGCCAGCTCCAACAGCAATCACAGGATCTGTCCAATGAGATCAGTGCAGCTCAGGATACGGCATCTCTCAAAGCCAAGCTCAAAGCTGTTGATGACCTGGAGACACTTTTCAATATCAACCAGATCAAGATGGAGGCTGTGATGGATGGACAAGAGCTCCTTCTTCATCCCATGGACCGCTCTCGAGCGTCTGCACTTATCAGGCGGAAGTATGTTGACTATTTCGGAAAAGTCAAAATGATGTATGACGATTACTTCCGATTGACCCAGGGGTCAGAATGACACATCGATAGCATACTTAGATTGTAGCAAATGATACAGCATGCTCGATCATCGTGTCTTGCCGCGGCACCCTGGCCTGTCGAGAGTGAATTACTATTGTAACAACGTCTTTGAACTGGTCAAGTCTGAATCATAGAGCAAACTCGGGCCCTAGCAAAACCCGGTAGACAGGCTTTGAGCGGAGACTTTTTCCCTTTGGTGACTCAACCACCTCACGTTGTTTGACTCGAAGTCGGAGTGCTAAAGTAGGCGAAGAGAAATGACCAACCAGGCTAAGTAGGAGTAAGTACCAACATGAAGTAGCAGAGCATACGGCGAGTCGACACAAATCAGATGATCACTTGACAGTAAGCCAATGCGAATGGTTCCCATCTAAAAGCGGAGGCTCGTGATTCGCTGAAGCACGGTAACAGCGGCAGGCCTGAAAAAGGGGGAAGAGTAGCAGGAGGGCGCCTGCACTTCAGAATGGATGCCAAAAGCAGAGCAGATAGCATGGTGTGTTTGGCGATGTATGCGACGGAACAGAGTTGGGACCAGCCGGCCCAAGAGGGCGGCCGGCGCTGGGCCTCTGGAATGGGCCGGACGGCGTGGCTCAGTCGACCAGCCTGGCGCCCCACTGGACGATTTGCGGTGTAGAAAGTGATACCTAGCTACAGCAGTTAGCTACCTCAGAATAACACCAAGAGCACACACGGACTGGGCAGTCACTGAGATTGAACACCGTCTCCTGGACGGACGGTAATAGGAGACAACGCAGAGAGACCCGAGCGACATGTGGGTTGGGCCTCGGGGTCGCAGAAACGGCGGCCATAGTGGGATTTTATAAAGCAGTGCCCCGGTGGGTTGGTCTGGTTTCGCTCCTTCATTTGGTGCAGTTTAGCGCAAGGCAGATTGAAGGGAAAAGTCGGTGCCTGCTATGGAGGGTCAATCAACGGTCGTTCCGGGGAGCACTTGGGCCGTGGCTCACTGGGTTCCTCCCTGGGAACTCCCTCCGCAAAGCCCTGAGAGGGCTCATCGACCCCACCCGGCCGCCGGAAGAGGCCCGCTAGGACCTGGAGCTGGGGCTCTGTTCTAGCGGAGTTGGCCGGCCTGCCCGAACCGTCTCGGGGGACCGCTTCCCCAATTGGATCATTGATCCTTCCTGATCTGTCTCTTGCAGATTGAGGGCTGTGCAGACAATTTTCCCCCCTCGTCATGCTCTTCCATCAACGCTCAGCTATTGAACATCTATTTTCATCACATTTGTATCAACAAGGTACCGGCATCGGTGCCCGACACGCAGAAACTGCGCAGAAGAGACGGGCGAGAGACACGCTTTCGAGAAAGGCTTCTCGCAGTGGAGAGCAAGAGGACCTTTGAAACGGCCCTCCTCAAGTGAGGGAGAGTGGACGCTGCCACCGGGCATGCAGACATTGCACCGTTGCAGTTGCGACTCTCGGGCATCGTGATAGGCAGCGAGAGAGACATGGCCGTCGTCATGATCCCTGCAGAGGCCGCTTCCTGCGATACTGTTGGTTACCGGTGCTCTGGAACGGCAAGGGCTTGCCCCCCATTTTGCCTGCTGGCCCGTCCATTGCCTGGACATTCTCTCGGCTATTGGGGTTTCTCCCTAACCTTTTCCATGGAAGCCTTCTCCATCTATCTCTCCCGCATACCGTTCAAACCACTTTCGATCGGTGAGGACTACTCTGCCTCCAGGCTTCCGCGTCTTTTCTAGAGCGCTACCCCTGCATCTGCTCAGCCCTGGATCTACTGGGATGGGATGGCTTCATTCTGGCACACTTGCATGCAGAGAAACCTGACGGTGCCTGCTCTTTGATATTGTCGCAATGACATGTGAATCATGGCTCCCCATGTGACGAGCCAGAACAAGCGGTCTAACCGCACCTTTCTACCCTACGGTTGCTCTCCGGTTGACCCTTGGCCTGCCTACACTGCCATTGCATTGCTATCAAACCTCCAACAACTAGGAGTCCATCCGATGATGCTGCCAACGGATCTTGGCCTCATTTTTGGGCCGCCTCCATCATCGCCTTGTCAGTGACTCCTTTTCCTGCCTTGAGTCGACTTCCCTCCTGTCGTGCTCTTTCTTATAAAAATCATCTTCTAACGTGCTCGATGGTGTTCAGGTCGTTGACTCACAACACCATTCTCGTTCACCTTTCCTTTCCTCTTTTGTTTTGATTTACTCTAATGTCTTATCCAACATCACGGTTCAGCAAGCTCTCTATTTCAAATATGGTTCCAGCCACCCGCACCCATGGTCAAAAAGGCTCCACGGACGCTGGCAGTCCAGCCCGCCATGACCTTGAACGTGACCCCTTGCCCCATGAGGAGGACGAAGAGTCCGATGATGACTACTCCACCAGTCTCCATGTGCGCTCGCCGACTACGGGACTGCGGTACAATATCGAGAATCTCGGGGACGAGACTCAAGATATTGTCCGAGACCTCTTTTCGGAGACGCCGCAGGAGGATCTGCCCCTCATCACATTACAATGGTGCAATTTTGATAGCCAAAGGAGCCTCTACGCCTTCCAGGTACACGAAATTGTGCCCCGTGCTATATATGTCGGTGCTTCGGATAGCAGTTATCCTAGCCCGAGCTGCAACTGCATGAAAAATGGCAGTGGGCCGTGCCGGCACCTGATATGGCTGATGGACCAGCTTGCAAAACAAACAGTCCACGATCATGATCCCGAGCAGGAACTTGAGCTCAACGACCGTGGCTTTCCCTCTAAGGTCGGCGACCCCTATGCCAGAATAGCAGACTTCCACCTCGACATCCTGGCCGACGGGCTTCACTGCGACCCGGGCTTCCCAAACACGTTCCCAGAGCCGAATCGGCACCGGGTAAGGGAGGCCAGAGAGATCCTCGCCGCCGTCGCCGACATTGACGACGACGAGCAGGACAACTACAGACCTGAGATATTTGATGCCGAGAGTCCCACCAAGCTGGACCAGGGCGAGATCATCACCCGTGGTGATCTCGAACTCACGCTTTTACACCTCCTCCTGTCCAACAACGAGATCTTTGCTATGTTCCTCAAGCTCTTGGACCCGACCGACAAGGTCAGAGACCCCTTCCGCAAGCTACAGCAGCGTGTAGCTCGGGTCCTAGACGACCTCAACGCATATACCACCTCCCAACCCACAACAAGAGATATCCCATCATCAACAGCGACGGAACAACAAGACAGCAGCGCTGCTGGCAGCGCCAGCACGGCCGAGGGGCCCCGTGACGTCCCCTGGGCCGCCCGCCACATCGCCCGCGTGGTGCAGCAGATCCACATCATGCTCGACCAGTCGCGGCCCTTATCCACACGCGAGCGCGCCAGCGCCGCCCGCGCCCTAGTCTGGATCCTCAAGGCCGTTGCGTCGGCGGACCCGCGCGCCGGAGGGGCGCACCCGGACCGCAACCTCTACCAGCGGCTCATCGGCGGCGGCAGCAGCGGCAGCGGCGCCGGCGCGGACAGCAGCGACACGGCGACCATGCTCCTCCTGCTCGACGCGCTGCTGCTGCTGCCCGACCAGAGCCAGTACATCGACGAGCTCGAGAGCATCCGCGACGTCGTCGGCGTCGGCGGGTACCAGGAGTCCTTCATGCGGCGCCTCGAGGGCCTCGTCACGGTGCTGCGCAAGGGCGTGGCGCGGAAAGGCCGTGAGCGCGAGCGCGAGAGGGCCGCTGAGGCCTCGGCGGCGGCGGCGGCGGCGGCGGCGGCGGCGGCATCGGCGGCATCGGCCTCGGCGTCGTCTTCGCGGGCTGGGTCCAAGAGGGCCGGTGGGCCGTCGGGCTCCGAGTCTGGGCAGGATAGAGGGGCGAAGAGGGCGCGGTGACTTACTTAGAGGACGGTGTGTGTGTTTGTGTGAGATATGTAGCGACGCGTTGTTCTTTCTCTTCTTTCGTCAGGCTGGCAGGTCATTCCGCAGGGAGCTGGACTCCCTTTTGATGATACCTGCAACTCTATTTTAGTTTCATCTTTCTCTTAACTAGACCAAATAAATCCACAAGGTGCGCCTCTCCATATACATGTATATAGTTACTCTGCCTCACTGGTTTTGAGGCACGTTTAGATAGCAAAATACCACAACATCTTTTTTCTTAGCTACAGTGTGGTAGATCACTGGACATCCTCCAACTCTCGACGTCTGAATCTGACGGGATGAGTGAGGTGTTACGCACACCAGAAGGACCTGAGCAAAGACACTTCTCGTACTTGCTTCCGTCATCATGGCACTTTGTACGGTTGGAGCAAGATGGTCTGCATAGTGGACATGCGATCTAATTCAAGAGGCACTCTCTCATGTTTATCAGCTTTATGGGAGAAAAAAAAGAGGAAAAGTAATACGAGACACGCCCCCCGCCCCCTTAAGTTGCCCCTTCGCCTGATTCCTTGCAAGTAAAACGCCTTGTCCAAGTCATTCAACGAGCAACAGCAACAACAACAACAACAGCATCAAAAATAGACATTTATAAAACAGCAAGAAAGACAAACAACTCCTCTCCTCATTTCCATTCATTGACTTCGTCCCCCCTTCTTCCCCTCCGTCTCTCGTTTCGCCGTATACGTACGGCGAGAAGGAGTAAAACAGATGAGGAATGCGCCTCTACCACCAACTCCAACATCAGGTTTCAGGTTCTAGGCCAGGCCAGGTGTCTCAGGTGTCAAGTTCGTGTTGTGATCATGATGTACCCAATTCGCTCCCTTTATGTGAGTGTTTGTTTCCCCGTCCGTTTGGTGTCGTCTTGTCATACATGGAAGAAAACTAAAAAATAACGCCGATTCCTCGCATGCATGGTCCAGTGAGAAGAAAAAAGGTTTCGTAACGAAGTATCTCGAGTCATGATTCGTTTCAAAAGAAGGAATTGCCAAGTGTCGAAGGATTAGGTCTTTGTCGCCGCTCTCATCATAGGCCAGAGATCTTCCTCGCGGCAGCCGAGGCCGTCGTGGTGCTCGCCGTGGCGCTCACACTACCGACGCGGCCGCTCGTCTTGCGCACACCACCAGAGGACTCCTTGCCCGACCGCCGCGTGCTGCCAGTCGTGCCCCGGACCTTGGTGAGCACGCCCGAGGCGCTGCTAGCGCGCTGCTCGCGGTCGTGCATCGACTTGGTGCGGTTCACGGCCGAGCCGATGTTCTCGATGTCGTTGGAGGCGTCGTTGTCGATGTACTGCGTCGCGCTGTAGGACGAGGTCGTCACCGTCGTGTGGCTAACAGAGCGCGACGACTTCTCGTACCGAGCATCGGGCGAGGCCGATGGCTTGCGGTGCATGCGCATCCGCAGGTGGATCTCCTCGTCCGACTCGGCGCCATGAGACGTACGGTGGACCGACATGATTTCCGTCTCTTGCTCCAGGCCCGTCTCCTCTTCCACAGTGGTGTGATTGACATTGCTACGGCCATAGGGATGGTGGCGGTCAACACGGCCCGTCTTCCGGGGCTGCCCAGGGGTAGGGGCGGGCAGGTAGTCATCTTGAGCATTGCTGCGCTCTTGGTCCATCTCACTGAGGGGTGTGCGGTTGGACGCGCTCCGGTTGGGCGGCGTAGAGGCCTGCTGGCTTGACCTGCCCAGATTGGCCTTCTGCATGGAGCGGATGGGCGTGCTGGGAGCATTAGTCGCAGCGAGCTCCTTGCGGAGCTTGCGCTCAATGCGCTCCTCGATCCACCACTCGCGGAAGGTGCCCTGGTTCAGGTGCAGCCAGTGCTGCTGAGGACCAACAACCATTCCGGGTCGCATGAAGCGCATATACGAGATGATCTCGTTGGCAGTGAAGCCGTGCCTGTAAATCAGGTAGGCACCGATGAGGCAGCCCGTGCGGCCGAGTCCTGCCTTGCAGTGAACGGCAATCCCCTTCTTCTTGACAGTGATCGTCTCATGGGCAAGACGGATGAACTTTCGAACAGTTGACAGCGGCGGGCAGGTGCCATCCTCAAAGATCATGTCAACATGCTGGATGCCGAGAGCCTCAAAGAATGAAGGCGAGTATAACGCCGAGTTCAATCGAACAACGAGGCCGATGTTGCGTTCTGAAAAGTGCTTCAAGACATTCTTGAAAGGCTGGGGGAGAGTAGGGTGGGCGTCAACCGCTGCCAGTGTCTTGGGCAGCGTTGAAAAGAGCTCCGAGGTTTCGGTGATGCGGGCGACAGGGCTGTGTTGCGGCGATGCAAAGGCCAGGAAATGGGGAGTGACCCAGTTGAAGTCGCCGTGCTCTACCCTTTCGAATCTCTCATACTCGTCCAAGTCAAAGTTCTCGAGGGCGCAGCAGCCTTCCTCCTTGGCTTTCCAGACACCGTAGACCACATCCTGAACAGTGATACCGTAGTCCGCCTGACTGTATCCAGCGTCACGGAAGGGCATCAGAGGGGGATCTATTTGTGCCACTGGGGCCAGGGCGAGATGTGGCGGCCAGGATTGGATCAGGACCATATAGCATGCTAGCAGGCAAGAAGCGTTTGCTCGTGCTATTGTGACTCGACCGTCAGCGCTCACACCTAATACTCCTGACGTCACGTTGGAAACGTACCTCGGGCGTCAGCTCTACTCCAGAAAACGACAGGACGGTCCTTGTTCTCCTTGGCACCGAGGATATCGTGGAACTGCAGGGCAAAGCGGTAGAGGTGGCCAATGTGGAGCGGGCCAAAATCGTGGTGGAAAGCATTGTACAGGAGGCTATCATCAACGGAGAAGTAGTAAGGCTGCTTGTGCGCAGGGGTCGCTACCGGGACCGGGCCATCGATCGCACGCTGTGACCTCTTGCTGGGAGACCTCAGCGGAGGATCGGGGTAGGGAAAGATGGTGTCGGCGGTCGGAGGAACAGTGTATGATGCAAGGTAGAGGCGGTCTGTGTAGGCTGTCAGCATAACAGGAAACGTGAAGTAGCTAAGATAGTAGGTGAGATCGAATGGAGGTGGAGTGCTGGGTCCCGGAGGACTTTCAGATCTGCTCGCGTCCATTGGAGAGCGGGAGTAGCAATGCCATAAGGTTGGTTGGAAGAGCTTGCAAGACTGCGGTATCGCCGAGGGGTAAAGCGAGCAGCAATGTCAACATACCGGGAATGTACTCGATGATCTGCCCCAGGTTCGTGGGGTGTTTGGAGGAAGGCGCCATGCCGCCGGAGTAATGCTGTTCGATCCCAAATGGTTCTTTCGTTGTATGTTTCTGTCGCAAGTTATGCAGGAAGCGCGCAAGCTATGGCGGCGATGCTGGGCGGAAAGGGCGAGGTAAATGTCCAATCGCAAGTTCTCTCTTGTATATGCTCAAGCGCAGGTTACTCAGATCCAGTAGAATAGTAAAAAAGGGATCTTCTTGAAGAATGCGACGGCAAGACAGATCGCACGAAAATGCTTCGACACCAAGATGCTCAGGACGGGAGACGATGAGATGCTCTTGACAATGATTAATGTGAATACACAGCGCGGCAAGCAAGCAATGTCCTTTTCCTACGATTGTAGAGACACTGCAAGTATCACCGGCGCAGGCGTTGAGAGGAGCGGTGGAGGGAAGAGGAAGAGAAGGTTGTTGTTGTTGATTGGGAAATGAGGCATGCGAGCAGGTCTGGTCTTGTATCGTGGGCAATGTTTTGTGGTATGTGTGTACCTTGTCTGTTGGCTAGGAAGGTTGTTGTTATTGCCATACTGGCTTTAGCGCACGCATAAAACGCTTCATTTGGGGGGGGACAGGCCTGGAGGCCCATCGTCGAACCCTTGTCCATAACAACGCCGCCAGCCAATCGCAGCTCCAGCGCCCGTGAATCGCCACAGCTGCCCCGGGCCAGGGGTCGTCGCCAGGGCAACGCAGCCCCAGTAACGGGCCTAGGCACACCTAAAAGCCACACAGCGCTGGAGAGTCTGAGTTCTTGTTCTGCAACGCACGCTAGTGCCACCGGGTTTGACTCTCTTCTGGAGGATTGATTCGCTGAGGCGGGCCCGTTGCACACGGTCTGGAACCCCACCAACGACCCGGCTCCATACCAGCAGATCCGCGGATCGTCCAAAATTCTGTTGTTGGAAAGTCGCAGAGACGGACCATCGCCAGAGTCTACGGAGTACGTACATCCCATTGTGGCTGTGACTTCATTTGCATTCCAGAGAACATCGCCCCCTCCCCCTCACCGGTGCATCTGGGACGCCGACACCGTTTCAGCTTGAACACAGTCTACGTCAGAGTCATTAGTGAATCCCTTTGATCACCATGGCCGCCAGCACCGAGTTCCCCTGCTCTCTGTAAGTAGACTCGTGCGCTCTCTTGCAGCCTTGGTATCGGGTCGGAAAGTGAGGCTAATCAAGGCCCCCCCGCAGCACACTGGACGTCCCCTTCCCGACGCCTCGCCTGGCCTCAGTCGCCCTGCGCGCTCTGTCGCCGGACAAGGAGCTGTCCCCCTTGGTCCATCGGTCGTTCTCTACCACCACGTCGGCTGCCGGCTCGGCGGAAGAGAACGTCCTGCGCATTGAGTACAGCGCCGCGACGAACCGCATGCTCCGTGTAGCCGTCAACTCCTTCATGGAGAGCCTGGGCTTGATCGTCGACGTTATGGAGTCTCTCGACGTCGACGTGCTCGAGGCCAAACAGCTGGCTCCAGCATCTTGAATCAGGCTTGAGATGGACCGCTGATTCGGCCTGCTGCCGCTGCTCGTCGTCGAAAGCGGCTTACAGCCGATGCCTTGCATGGCTCGTTCTACTTGAGCCATCGCGTCACAGGTACTTCGGGCAGTTGTCAGTAGGCAGGCCTGAGAAGACGAGGAGTTGGCCAGACTTGCTAGTTTCTCGAGACAGAAGGTCTTGACCGAGGCAAATATGCAGCCGCGCCTGTGGCCATGCCCAGCAAGACATGCTATGTGTAGCCTCTATTGCTAGCTTGCTGCTCGATCTGGTATCTAGTTACGGTTCGGATTCCAGCGTCGCAAAAACAACCGATTATAAATGACATCGGGACATGGCACTATCAGATACGGCCCATACGGCACTCTTAAGACAAAGGTCGAGCCAAGCTCGCTTCAAACGGCGACGGAGATAAGTTGAGGGAGACAGCACTTGTTATTTATCTCACATCTCTACGTTGGCTTAGATGCTATTAGATAGCACATAACGCGGCTAGTCCTCAGACACCAAGACTTTGAAATGCGAAATGCTTCATTCAAGCTCTATTATCCTAGCTCATAAGCCCCATGGTCATCAGGGGAATTGTTCTACTTCATGCCGTCATCCTCCAAAGGACGATATATAAAAAGAAAAGCGCTTTTCTAAACAAGAGGGTTCAGCCCGGACCCCTCTCCTCCTCATGCCAGGACACCGCCGATCGACGCCGGACCCTTGACCTCCTCCCGCGCCTCGACGTTGGTGATGGCGCTCTGCACCGCGCTCGTCAGGTCCACGTGGAACAGCGGGCGGTTGAAGCTGTGCACCGTGACGCCGCGCCGGGGAGACCTGTTGTTGATCCTGCCCGTCGTAGCAACCGCAACCCCAGCCCCGGTGCCGCCGCCGATCGCCTGCTTGCCGACCTCGCCGTCGCTCGACGCCGCACTGTGCTCGCTGCCGATCTCCGTCCCGGCCGAGGCCGTCGTCGTCCGCCGCGTGGCCTGCTGCTCGAGGTCGAGCGCCTCCTCGTCCTCCTTCTCCGCCGCGACCGCGGCGGCCGAGTCGGCGCCGCCGATCTCGGCGACGCTGAAGATGGACTTCCAGCGGTGGTGCCCGCCGTCGGCGCGCTCGGCCGGGTACCCGAAGCCGCCGGCGAGCAGCGCGCGCTTGGCCCAGCGGTTGTTGATGCAGGCGATGTGCCAGTCGACGGCCTCGGGCGCCGTGTAGCGGTCGAGCTGGTTGCGCACGTCGATGAGCTGCTGCACCGACGTGACGTCGACGTAGTTGACCGACGAGAAGTCGAGGATGACGGCCTTGAGCGTCGGCAGCTTGAGCTCGGGCGCGTCGTCGTCGCGGGCGACGCCGCGGCGCGCGGCGTCCTCCTCGGCCTGCTGCAGGCGCTTGAGCTCGCGCTTGGTCGGGCCCGGGTCGTTCCACGGCCGGTCGCCGGGCCGCGGGAAGTGCGACAGGTTGGTGCGCCGCGTGTGCTTGAAGATGTAGCTGGTCAGGTACTCGAGCGAGTGCGAGGCGTTGGGGTAGTTGAAGCCCTCGGAGAAGCGGTAGATGAAGATACCCGGGTAAGGGTGCTCGAGGCCGACTTCGGGGTTGGAGCCGTCGTTGTGGTCGATGGGCAGGAAGACGTTCCTCGCGGCAATCTCAGCCTCGAGGCCCTCCGAGTCGCCGTACTGGCCAAAGATCTGGCGGTGCGAGTCGCCGATGATGTGGTCGCCCAGAACGGAGTGCACCTTGACCTTGCCGAGGAAGCGGCCGCGGGCTTTGAGGATGCGGGCGAGGAGCATGGCGGCCGAAATGGCCACCGTACAGTAGATTCCATTCTCGATCGTGGTGAAGACGGTGACGATGACACCGACGAAGAAGATGACCACCTCAAAGGGCGAGACACGCCAGAACTGATAGACAGTGTTTGGCGGCGTGATCAAGTCGCCCACGGCGTGAATGATGACTGCCGAGAGGGAGGCGTTGGGGATGTAGTAGAAGACGGGTGGCAGAGCGTAGATGGCAAGGAGGACCACCAACGCGGTGATGACACCAGCGAAAGGTGTGCGGACACCTGCTTTGGACTTGATAGCAGTGCGACTGAAGGAGCCAGTCGCAGCAAAGCCGCCTAGGAAGGGGCCGAGGACGTTGGTGACTCCGATGGCGACCATTTCCTGTGACGGGTTGATAGTGTAGTTGTTGATGCGTCCGAAAGACTTGGAGATGGCAATGTGTTCAATCAGGAGGACGATGACGGCAGCTGGAAGATGGCCGACAAGCTTTGAAGCGAGAGAGCTGTTGAGGACGGGGACCTGGGCGTGTTGGAACCCTAATAGTCTCTGTCAGTATGAACATTATGCGCGCTGATTTAGCAAGTGAAATTCACCTCTTGGGACGCTTTGCAAGATCTTGAACAGCGGGTGGTCCCTACGATTCATATTGACAAGCCAGCTGATCATGGTGTAGAGCAGGATGACAAAGGCCGTCCGCAGCGTCGACAGGAAGAAGAACAGCTTTTTGTGCTTGTGGAATCGGTTCGCGCAATAGGAACAGCCGCCTCGGATGAGGTACAGCATCGCAAGGGCGGAAAGGCCCATAGCGGCGTCAATTTTGGTGTTCGGCAGGCCCTTGAGCGTGTTGATGATGACCAAGTAGGTGGCGTCCCTTGTCGTATACGGCTTGGGGAAGGTGATTCCCATCATGCCCGGGACCTGGCCAGCTGCAATGCTCAGAGCAGAGCCGGTCATGAAAGCCGAAAGGGAGACAAGGGGGATCAAGTCGACAATCCAGCCGCATCGAATCAAGCCGATGAAAAGTACAATTGATCCTGCGAGAATGGCTAGTGCCGAGGCAATGGTCTCTGGTCGAGTGCCGGGGAGCTCTTTCATGATATCAGTAACAACGCTGCCAGTCACGGTGGACATAACAGCAACGGGCTGCAGAGATGGATGATCAGTGGTTTGCCACAAATTCGTAACGCAGTTTGGAAATACGTACCCCGATTGTGATATCTTTTGATGTGGCAAAGAACCAGTACAGCAGCACACCCATAAAAGACGAGTAAAGGCCGTACTGGGGCTCGAGGTTAGCCAGACCAGCGTAGGCCATACCCTGAGGGACGACTACGGCACCGATGGTGATACCGGCGACAAGGTCGCCAATGAGCCATTGGACGTTATAACGGCCGATCCAGTGGATGAAAGGGAAGAGTGAGTAGAGGTATTGGCCGACATCGTGGCCTGTAGGGATAAGCTCATGGACAAGGTCGAAGGTGTGAGGGGGTTCTTCGACAAAGGTATCAGCAGTCTGTACTGAGAAGACGCTCTCGCCGCGCGTGACCTCGTCGTTGTAAGGCTGGCGTTCCTGGAGCTTGATACCCAAACCTTTGGCCAGGACATGCCCGACCTTGGTGGCCGTGCTGGGCATGGTGAGCAGATAGATCTCGCGAGTCGATGAGACGAGATATTGCGATATGCCGACTTGTATGTCCTGGACTCGCCCAAGGAAAATGCTGTCGTGTGGACTGGTGTGACAGCGAGACGCGATGTACTTGTCTTGGAAAGAAACCGAAAAAGCTTGTGAGGATGTCCAAGAAACTACTCAATGCTTATATACAGCCAAGGACAACCAAGTCAGCGAAGCCTGCGGGAGTATCCAGGCCTCTGGGACCACGGCGAGCTGCTGAACGCGGGTGTGGCAGCCGGAGAAGGGGCAGGCTGGCCAACCAGGGGGGTTATGCGTCCGTTCGTTCGTGGACACCGTCGCCAACCTGATCCAAGCAGAATGAGATGCCGCCAGAGCTGGGATGAGCGAATCAATAGTGATGCGCCATTTGGGGGTCAACTCTCAGTCGAATATGGCGAATGACAGGCCCTGGTCCAATCAGGGATGTGAGAGAAGGCGTCTTTTCAGCCAGGCAACCTTCACTCAGGTCGAGAAACCAGGATGGCGCACACGGCACAGACGCCGGTGGGGGAGTGTGGCCGCCGTGGACGCAGCTCTCGAGCAAGTCTTAGCCTGGGTAAGAGACACTGCTTGCATATGAGGCTGAGGAGATTGTCGAGGGCCAGACCGAATAGCTTCACAAGGTCGAGAAGGCGTGAGTGCAGGAGAAGAGTAGGTTTTTGTCTCGGGCGTAGTCGAAGGTTGGGGAAAGGTTCCGAAACGCAAGCGAACCCAATTAGTCACTGCAGAAGTGTTGTATGTTGAGCAGGTAAAGTAAGTTAGGTTGGTAATAGGTACTTGTAGATAATAGGGAATTAGGTCGTAAGTAAGAACTGCCGCGCGAACCTGGATCCGAAGCAATGGCACCGGCAGAGGCAGAGGTTTACCAGGTCTCAACGAGACGGACCGGGGCTAGAAACCAATATCGAGGTAGCGGGCGATGATGCAAGAGCTCCACGAGATGACGGGAGCACGGGGGGTCAATTTGGGAAGGACTGAAGGCTGGATTGCGCCATAGCAACCTTGTCGGTCGCTTGCTAGTGGCGACGTCGTTTCTTATAGCCTGTTCTCCTTTATGCTCTGCTTGTTAAAAACTCGACCATCCCCCACACCATCGCCTAATGAACCCTTGATCAGGTAAAATGAGAGAGACAGAGGGTCACAACATGTTCAGCTCTGCACATTGTTGATTTTCCAGACGTCGAGTTGCTGAAGCTCTGGGGAAATACGACAGGGCTTGAGCTCTGATGGGGGTTCATGTGAACACTCTGTGCTTACGATCGACTCTCACATGTACCTACAGGGTGCGCCAAGGCCGGCCAGCTGCGGTGGCATACCATGCCTTCTTGGATTTTCCGCCAGCCTACCGCGCTGGAAAAAGGAAAGGCGTTCCTAGAAATTGGGGGTTGCTTCCGTCAATGGAATGCTGCAGGCGAGTTTGATATCAAAATAGACTTGACGACTAACACACACCAGAGCCGCGTTACGCTTTGACCATTTTTAGAGTAGCGAGACCCGGCAGACAAGACCGATGATGGAAATCTAAATGTTTCTCTTGTTGAACTTCCCTTGCCCACACTGATGGTCCAAGCCCTCGCCGTCAAGTCTGACAGACACGAAAATGCCATGCTTTCCGGAAGCTACTTGGTGCTCTGTTGGATGTGGTAGTGAGTCGAGAAGGACGGGAGGAGGGATGAGCTCCCTACCCTTGCAAGCTCGGAGCTCCCCTGGTCTTCGTGGGGACCCTAGGATGTCGAGAGACCAGCCAATTAGGTGTTGTAGAGATGCGTTAGTGCCCAGTTGCGCCATGCGGTCCGGCGGTGATGTGATCGCCCTTGTTTTGCGGCCCCCAGTTTTCGATCTGTACGGTCCCGCCATCAAGCGCAGGTGTGAGGTAATGGTGCAGAAGATCTGCTGGGTGCGCACAGCGTCCCTGACCCGTGCACATGGCTGACCTCAAGCGTTGTTCATTGCAGATGCTCAGTTCTCCGGTCTGCGTGACACTGCTGCCCTGCAGGATACAGCAGTTTCGGGGCCAGCGTGACCATCCGTATGCGGCTATTGCCGGTCCCGGTGTCCTTTCCTTTTTCCTTCTTTTTTTTTTTGTTTTTTTTTTGGACGTATTCTTCGTTGTATCGAATTGGTAGTTGATCAATCTGTGTTCAATCGAAGAATGGTGAGGCATGCTCTGGGTCTGAGCAGACTCGAGAGCATGCTGGACTGGACAGATCGGACTGGAGACTAGCTCGAGCACGTCATTCGAACTTTATTGAAAGAAGCGGGGCTGGCCTGGGGCATGAGGTTGAAACACGCTCACAACCACAGCCTAAAGTAGCCCTAATAAGTTGCAAAGAACAATGGAAGAAGAAGAGCCGTGCCAACAACTTAGGTGGATGACCATGCTGGTCTCGTCTGGTGCCTCAGCTCTGATACTGAAGCTGAGGCTGTAAAGTGTCCAGCGGGGTTCTTGGGATCTGGCAGCCTGGGTTGTCGTCCTTGCGGGGAGCAGCAATGCATTTTCTCGTTCTCTCACGCACACTTCCATGACCCAGAGCCTTTCCGTCTCCGGATCGCCGGCTGATTTGACCATTCTGCCGCCATCTGTTGCTGCTTGTATGTTCCGTGTAAGCCTTCTGGCAGCTGTAGACAGTCGCCGCTTCAATTAACGCGGTCACGAAAAAACGCGTTCAGCGAATGCACTAAACTCACCACCGACCATTGACGACCAACCACCCACTAACTAGATGGCGCTCGGGCCACCCCGCCGGCGGAGGGACGATGGGTGAAGGTTGCGCATACACGGTCTCGAGATGTCGTCTGTCTCGTCTCACCTTGAGATCACTGGCACTCGAGACACGGTCGCATCTTTGCAGTGACTCTCCTGGGCCGTCAAGGCGCAATCATCTTCACCTTGACTCCTCCACCACCAAGTCGCCGTCACAATGCCGAGTCCTACAAAAGAGTCGACGATACCGTCGCTGCCCCCGGCCCTGATGACCACCACGCTGCAACCACCGCCTTCGCCAAACACCCATAGGCTTCGCAAACTGCAGTCTGCTCATAATCTGGGCGCCAAGGCCTCCATGATGGGCACCCCATCTCTCATCTCTCAGCAGCGACTCCAGCAGCAACAGCAGCACCATTCTCAGCACCACCCGCTCCAACGCTCCGGATCACCGGTGCGCCGAAACGTCAGCGCCTCGAACCGTTCTCCCCAGCGCGGCCGCGCCAACAGCGATGCCGCTATGGCCAATCCCTTCAACAGCATGATGACGCCGGCAAGGCGCAATCTCCTCAGTACCCGCAACCACCTGGCGGACGCCATGTCGCTTGAGCGGCTGATCCGCGATGGCCCTGTCGACGGCGATGTGACCGGTTCGTTGGAGAGTGCAAGGCTCAAGATTTTAAACCAGGGCATTAAGAGCGACGCCGATGGCATGGTGAGTCTGCTGGCAATGTTCGGCTTGGCGGCCTAGTTATTGAACTGACACTCATTCAGTCTTCACTCCGGATCTACGTCTGGCTTATCCTCCTCGATTCCCCGATCCTGGACACCGATTCCTACTTGTCCCTGATCCACCGCGGTGCATCTCCGGCGTACTCCAAGATCCGCAATGACACCTTCCGCACTCTCACCACGGACCCGCTATTTCGGCGACGAGTGAGTGAGGCAAGCTTGATCCGTCTGCTCAACGCTATCGCATGGAAGTTGCACGATGCTCGTGAGGATCGGCTCGGCAAGCCACAGGGCGGTGGCAGACCCTCCCTAGCGCAGATAGAAGAGAGGCCGTCAACAAGCAGCGGCGCCGTCAGCACCGACTCGCCTTCGCAAACCTCTTCGCCAGCCGTCAGACAACGTGCGCGAGCACTTACTCTGACCACCGAGGGCTCCGAGAGCAGTGGTGTCTCCGAACCCGGAACCTACGTACAGGGAATGAACGTTCTAGCGGCGCCCTTTCTCTACGCCGCACGAAGCGAGGCGGAAGCTTTCATAGCGTTCTACCAGTTCCTAACAAAGGAGTGTCCAGGCTACATTAGAGGTGCGATGGACGGCGTGCACAAGGGACTGGCCTTGGTGGACAAGGTCCTCGCCATCGTCGATCCCAAGCTCAGCTCTTACCTCCTCACCAAGAACCTCTCTGCAGAGATCTACGCCTTTCCTTCCGTCCTGACTCTGTGCGCCTGCACGCCACCACTTCCAGAGGTTTTGAGACTTTGGGACTTCTTGTTCGCGTTCGGTCCTCACCTCAACATCTTGTGCATCGTCGCGCAGCTGATGCTGATCCGCAACGAGATTCTCACAAGTCCGAGGTATGTGCACCGTCACGCGTCACGCATATTAGCTTTATAGTGTTCCGTTGATTGACTCTTTCCTCCTTAGTCCTAATAAGCTTCTGCGATCTTTCCCTGCCCTCCAAGCCGATCAGATCAAGAATCTCGCAGTCAACATTCTCAGAAAGATCCCCGATGACGTCTATGCTGAGATCATCAGTCACGCCAAGTGATGCACGACTGCTATGGCAGTATTTTGCCAACGGTAGATGACTATCGTGCGGTGTGTACAGTGTAACTTGGGTTGCAATATGTACGGCGTCTGAGTGCGGATCGCCAGCATCCATCACATAGTGTCGCGTTGAGAGCCGACTCAATGAAGCTAGAGCTGGCAGATCTCAGACGGCCTGAACGGCTTGCATAGAAGCATGCAGAGATGTGGGTGCTGTTCATTATGAATGAGCATTGAACTGGTGGGAAGAAATGCCAGCGAGAGATGCAACGATGGTGCCCGTGTCGCCAACGTATATGCAAGGGCGACTGAGTCCTCCAGTGCGCAGGGTCGCGCCACGACCGAGTTGGCCTCCCCGGATGACGATGTGTTTGACGAAGTGTTACGAATAATGAAATGCCCGGGCGGGGGTTGTTATGAGCACAATGGTTAGATTATGTATTGGGACGGGGCACCGAAAATACGGCTGGTGGTTCGGGGTGCAATGTCTGGGATAAAACTTGGGTCACATCTTGGGAGCTTGGCCAGGAGGCAATTGGGACGGAATGGAGATCCTATAGATAATCAATCGATTATCCCTTTATATGACCTCTTTTTCGAAGATGTGTTTATGCGCCGTGGATTTCTTGAAGAGGGTTGGTAGTGGTAGGCAAAATCCCCGCTCCCTTGCTTGACCACCTCCCTTGGATCGCCGCCAACATCAGAGGCCATGCGCAACTCCGGATGGGAGAAATTGGCTTAAACGTTTAACGACAGTTGCTAGAGAATCTTGATTAAACATCACTTGGCGTATCGATCATCGCCGATACTTTACCACCTGGCAGCCAGTTAACTTAGGAGAGATGACACAAAACGAGATGAACATAGAGCTGTCATTGGGGTTATTACGCAGAAAATCTGTCCTCCTTTTTGAATGTTTTCTATACTTCAACACGTCATTCAGTGATGCAACTGTTGCCTTTCCCTAGGCTCGGGGCAAGGAGTTCCTGGCCCTCATTTCCGTTGGCACGCAGAGCCGCAATACAGACTCTCCCTCGCCCGGGTCAGTACAGCACTTTCTCAGCACATCAGTTTCCCAGGCTTTAATGAGCACAGATTCTGCTAGAGTGAGTGTCTGCTGCTCATCTCGGGCGCTTAATCTCCAGACAAATATGCAAAGCCGCAATATAAGCGCCCCCTCCACCCGGCAGCCCTCGACTGCCGGCATCCCTTAGCCTCAGGGGGGGCCCACCGACTGGCACTTATGTCTCGGCTAGCCATGAACGCCTTGTACATGCCAACGACTTTTGATTACTTGCTGGGCGTAAAGATGCTGTTTGAAGCTGTTTGAAGAAGGTTTTGGGCAGACTGAGTCCCCTTGATCATCTTTCTGGGCAAAGTCCCAAGTGCCAACATTCCATGCTAACACCGCCGCTATCATGCGACTACATTGTTCGGCCGCTCAGCTGTTCCCAGAAGCTCTGCTTCATACATTCCTCCGGTGTGAGCACGATGGAGACTTGGGGTGAAGATCTGGTGAAGAAGGGAGAGGTTTCGGTGCTCTTGTGCGGTTGCCGAAGCCGTGTTTCGGTGCGGTTATAAGACCACCTGCCGTCCATCACTCTATCCTGCCGTGTTTGAGAAGCATGACCAACGACGATACTAAGAGCTTTTCACTCCTTGACGCAGAACATACATCTTGAGACTGAACGATATCAAGCACCCAGACGACACCACCCTCCCCTGAGATCCGCAGACATAAAAACCTCCAGTTCGAGAAAAAGAAAAGGCCAAAACGCCACACACCACACAACCATGCACATCTCCATCGCCGCCCTCCTCACCGGCGCCATGCTCGCCGCCGCCGCCGAGCACGCCCACTATGCGCCCATCTTCCTGAGCCCCAAGCGCCAGCTCCTGACCTGCGCCCAGACGTACGGCAACGGCTCCGTCCAGTGCGGCTCCGAGAACAGCACCATGTGCTACACCCCGAGCAAAGGCGATGTAGGTTCCTTCACATCCAACCCTCCCGACACACCACCAGCAGGTCTCTCGGGCCTCTCCCCCCACCCCCGTCAAAGAGTGATAGTGTTGTATCCGGAAACAAAAATCCGAAAAAAAGAAGCTGACAAAGAGAACCCGCCCGCTCGACGATACAGACATGCTGCCCCGACAACGGCTACTGCGAAGCAGGCCTCTACTGCGCCCCCGTCGCCGGATACTGCTGCGTCGAGGTATTATAACGCCCCCCGGCATCCATCCGGCCAACCCTCCCTGACCCCCTCCTTGATCCCGAGGTCACTAACCAAAGGAAAAAAAAAAAACAGGGCCAATCCCTCTCCGCCTGCGCCGCACAAGCAGGCTTCGCCCTGCCCGCCTCCCTCCTCGCCTCCGCAGCCGCAGCCGTCACCAACATCAACGGCAACGGCACGTCGCGCTCGACGCCCACCGTGACCGCCACGGCGACCGTCAACGCCACGGCCGCCGTCTTCGCTGTCGGCGACGGCCCCTCCGCCGACGACGAGATCACGCTGCTGACGCTGGCGCCCTCCGCCACCACGGGCTCTCCTGCCCTGCCGACCAACGGCTACTTCAACGGCAGCACCAACACGTCCGTCCTCGCGGCCCCGACGTACGTGCAGGTCGCCCGCGCGGGCAGGCGCGAGCAGAGGCCCGGCGCGGCGTGGGTGGCCACTGCCGCGGCGCTGGCTGCCGTGCTCGTGTCGGCGCTGTGAACGAGGGAGTGAATGCTGGTTCTGTGTTGGGAGTTCGAGTGTCCGGCTCACACCCTTCCGGTCTAGATAGCAGGGAGGAGCTGGGTTGAAAAGGGGGATTCTGAGAAAAAAAAAAAGATTCAGTCTGTGAGGTGGTCATTGCATAGACGGGATACTATACGGCGTTGGTTCGGCATGTTTGGGATTTGTTTTGTTTTGCGGATTCACACCCTATTGCAAAGAAAGCACGGGTTGTTGATGCTCATAATAGTCGTAATCATCTTGGTGATTGTCCGAGAATTCTAGATACCAAATACAAGTTTTTTAATCATGATCGAAACCATGACTTGTCAAGCTCGACTGTGGGAAGCCGGCCTCCTCTAGAGTACTTTTCTCATTCACGTCCACCAACTGCTTCGTGTAATCGTCATGTCTCGCTCGACCTTCCTCCCCGCGCTGGCGTCTCAACACACCTCTGCAGAACGTAGCACTTGCGGTACAACTGCTGTCAACAGAAGCCGGGGCTCATCGCTGGGAGATTGTCGCATTTGGAGGAGGTATGTGTGGAAACCTCTGTTCCATGTTGTTGCCCTAGTACGCAGGGCAACCGTCCCTCGCTTGCCTGAAGGCAGTCGAGAAGAAGTCCTGCATCGCAGTGTAGTGGAACAGGATGCCGCCGAGCACGGCGATGTGCCACAGGTTGTGGCTGCCCCCAAAGTAGTCAAACATGCCGGGGAACCAGCGCTCGGGAACCTTGCTCGCGTAGACGAATGCGCCGCAGAGGTAGACACACAGCGACTTGGCGATCGGCGAGTAGAACTCCCACACAAATTGGGGACCGCGGGTCAATGAGATCTGGGCCATGGGCACAAAGCCGGTAGCGCCCAGCCCCACGAAGAAGGCGACGCGCGCCCAGGCCATGTCCTGTCCATTAAACCGTGGGTGCCAAGGCAGTATGACGCCGATGACGCCGAGAACTGCGGTAGTGACGAGGTAGAACCACCGGCTGAATGGCTCACAGTAGAAAGCTGTGTACTCTGTGGTCATGATCGAGGCGGCGACCAGGAGTGAAATGCCGGTGTAGTCGACACAGGCTAGTGACGAGATCAGGCTGGCATCAGCGATTGAGTTCATCGTGTGCCAGATCGTGCTGCAGACGAGGCACTGGCATGCCGCAAAGAAGAAGACGGCGGCGATGAAGACGTCGGTCTTTGTGCTCAGGTGGAACGTGACGCTCGTGGGGTAGAAGTAGAAGGCTAGGGAGAGAACCACGAGGAATCCCAGCATGTGCGACCAAATGTTGACCAGCTCGTTGGAAACGCCGAAAACCGAGCGTACACAGCCGAGCTTCGTTTCTGAGAAACGATATCCGCCAACGATGTGCGGGTTGATCCTCCACGGTACGGGGAGGTCTTCGTATTTGATGAGGCCGTGTTGCCTTGCCCTGTGAACGGCCCGCTGGATGTGGTCTTCGAGCGTCTCGGCTGCCCACTTGGCTCTTTCGAACCCTTCGTCGACAACTTCTCTTGCACGCTCGAATCCTTCATCCATCACCCTACGACCTTCATCCATGAGATGGCCGGCAGCGTCCGCCGCATTTGCCAAACCCCGCTCTCGGAGCTTATAAGCATGGGTTTCAAAATCCGACAGCATCCCATCCAACAGCTCGATGCCAACACGAGCCTTCTCGTTGACATTCTCCGCCGCTTCCAGCGCTTCCTGGTACCGAGTTTCCAGGGTCTCCACCATGACCTGAACCCGCCGTCGGCCGGCGCCGATAACCTCCTCGGACACTTGAGAGCATCTTGTCCGCACCGCTTGCAAAGTGTGATATGCCCGAGCGATGCTGGCATCTAGCTTGATCTCTCCATAGCTCTCCAAGTAGTCAAGCCGTCGTTCGAGCTCGGAAAGGAAGAGGTCAACCTAAACGCTTCGTCAGCATTTGCCCAGAATGTGTTTGGCCCTCGGAGACACCGGGTGCGAACCTTGAAGAGGAGGTGTTCTTCACCGTCCATGATGTGGTTGACGATGGACTTCCTCCTCGGTGGCAAGAATGCTGAATGCCGTCTTCTCCTGCCCGCTGTCGGTCTCTGTGGTTGCGAACCCGAGGTTATAGCCTCGGAGTCGCCCTGGTCCTCGACGGCGGCGAGGGCATAGCTATTTGTGCAAGCCATGATGCCGAAAAAAGCCGGTGGTCTCCAAGGTGCATGTAAGCCAAGCGCCGTTTGCTGTTGGGCGTCGTTCTTAAAGGGGACGTACAGCAACCCGGTCCAGCAGCGACGGTAAGGGGGATTACAGGTGAAGAACCAAAACCACGAGCAGCGGAGGAGGAAGACAATTGGCCGCTCCTAAAGAATGAGAGCGGAGAGAAGAGGAGTAACGCTGGGCGGGCCGCAGACTGAGTAAGATCCGTTGGGGCGGGGAGAGGATCCAATGGAGACTTCGCCTGCTGTGGATCGCGCCGGAATAGGAGGGCGATTACGGCGGGTGGCGTATTTGGGTAACCCAACCGGGTTCTGCAGGCGACAGGAACAGGATCTTAGGGGTTTAATTGAGGATGTGGCATGGTAGACCAATTAAAGAGGAGGCAGCTGAATGCGCTGCATGTCAGATGGATGTTGAGGAGATTGACGAAAATCCTGGAGATCATCCTAAGCATTTGAATCCATGGATGTGATAATGGGTGTTTGGTGCATGAATCGGGGTTAAAAGTGTATAAATTTGCCAATATTAGCGCTGGCCAAACCTTGGAAAGGGTCATGATGGCGTCAGACCTCCCGCTGCAGGGACTACTGTACCCGTTGGAATGGCTCCCAACCCCTCTGAAAAAAAGGTGCACGGAGCTCACTGAACCGGCCTGCTGGAAGTCCGAGTGTAGGTAAGCCTGCGGGCACTGAACATGGCCGCTGTTCGTTGTACCATACCTAGAGGTTTTCCGAATCGGGATTGCCCTTGACCAAAAGTGGAATAGCTTAGTTGTATTCTCGTGCTTGCAAGCCAGCTTCAATCGCAGCGGCCACATACAGCAATATTCACTTTTGACTCTTGAGATACCATCACCGATCCATCCTCGTCGCCTTTGTTCCAAGAGCCAGCGCGCCTCGCAGAAACAGCCCCGATACTAAGCGCTTTCCTTCTAGCACCCCCAACTTCCGAGCTCCCTTTCGAACCCAACACGACTCGGATCATGACTACCGACGACATTGTGACCGACCCAAACCTTGCCGCAGTCCTGCGCGTCTCGCAACAGGCGCGGCAGCAGGCATTGGAGCTCGTGGACTTGATCGCAAAATCCGAGTCGCCATCGCAAGAGGCGATCTCTCAGCTAGCAAAGCAACAGAAGTTGCTGACGGGGAGCCTGTCGCAGCTCCGAGGACTGCACAGGGCAGCTTGCTTTACGGCACGCGAGACAAAGGCTAGGACTGCTGATGCCCGGCAAGAGGTCGATCGCTTGCACCTTCAGCTTCAAAACCTAAACTACGAGCAGAGGCATCTCCAAGGAGAGATTGATGCGTGTGATAGCTACGAGTAAGCACAGAGATGAACGCGGCTGGCAAAACCCTACACTACACTCTCGTGCTGACATTTCTGTCTTTCAGTCACCCATACCTGGAGCTGCCTCTGATACCTGAGGAGGAATATCTGGCTCAACACCCCGAGCACGCGAACATCGATCCAAATGAGTTGATGACCGAGAGGATACAGCACGAGAAACGGCAACGCGAGGCCCTGGAGAAGCAGCGAGAGGCGTTACTGAAAAACAAGACGAAGCTCATTGCAGACAACAGGAAGAGGAAAGACGACCTGGCAAACCTTGACAAGGACCTGGAGAAGTTCATCGATGTGAGTTACGGCCCCGGTCTATGGTTTCATTATGTTGCTCTGACACCTTATCCAGGCTGCGAAACCAATCCAGGAGCTTTTCGACAAGATCGTCTGAGGCTTGCCATTTTGTGATGTGCATTATACCAAGAACACGAGCCCTCCGCTAGAACATTTAGATGGCTGTCTTCAGCGTCATACCACAAAGCGAGGGCTATCTGTGACGATGCCCTCCGTCGAGGTGCAGCATATAGTCGCAGGAGGAGATACTCGAGCACGGAGAAAGCGCCCAGGTCTGGACGACATTGCGGTGCAATGAGTTCAAGGACATGATACCCATTTTGTCATTCTCACATATGAAGATACTGGCGCGCGTGCATCGTCAGGGCATGAGGATGAAGAGGCACATGGTCTTTCAGCTCTGAAGAGACCCTGGCATACTCGCAGTCAAGTCCGATCTAATAGTGACGTTGCAGATGACTGTGGATAATGTCGAGGTTTCCACAGAGGTTGCAAGCCGAAACTGGGTTCTTGAGAAAGACGAGGGACGAGAGCTCTAATCGCTTTTCCACAAGTAGGCTTTTCAGTCGCCTGTGACAGAGAGGAGGGGTTTGTAATTGCGGTTCCCGAGAGCATTCGATATATGCTTCGGAAAGTCGGCTCTGGCCACTGATCGACCCATTCGACTCTGGAGGCGGTGCCTGTATTGACCTTTTTGTGCATTTGGCCGTGCTCGTTACTGGGAAGACGATAGGAAAGAATGAAGATGGCTGGTTTCTGTCACCCACATAGCATTGGCTGCCGAGTTAAGCGGGCGTTTGGCCTAGAAATATACGACAAGCTCCCTTCGAACATGTCTTCAATGACGACACCCGTCGGCCGAGATAGCTCTCGCGACAGCCTTTGCATGCCATACCTAGGTGTGTCGCCGGATGTACTCTTTTGTCCAGTGACTTCCTCATTCCCGTTCTCCCAGCGGTGATGAAGCTAGAAGCTACCTAAGCCTCCCTGCACATGCGAATTCAACCTCCAAGATTAGCGTAGGAATGGCAGGGCCGCCTCATGCGACGACGCGGGTGGGTGGTGCCAAAAGTCGGCTCGTGACAGACCAGCTTGGCGAGCATGTCTTGAAAGTTTGCGGAATTGCGGTGTGCTGCAGATGAGCGGCGGTTGCCATGCGGGCGCTTCGATCTAATCTTGGTGTTGTTTGGGTTCCTCTCTGAGCCCCTCTTGGCCAGTCAGGTCAACCACGTTGTGACGCAATAGCCTGTGTTTGGTGTTGTTTCCCTCCCCCCCTCCCCCTTCCCTCCATCTCGGTGGGGGTCCGTCCCGACACCATCAGATTGTCGGGATGAGGTTAAAGCCACTGCATTCCAACTCGTGACCCCTGGTGAACTTGGACGAAATCGGCATTGATTCGGCAGCGAGAGCGGCCTTGACGTCCCCGCAAAAGCATCTCGTGCGGCCTTGCATGAGAAGGCACATCCCATCTTCTCAGGAGTTCGCGAAAGCGAGTGTCTGTCATGTGAAGGGAGATGCGAGCCCGGCTGTCGGTCTCGGCAAGCTCTGCATGACCCCCCTCCCGTGGTGTCTCCCTCCGGGAACTTGGACCAAAGCCGTCCTAGCCTCGTACAAGTGCTAGGTGCATCATTCCCGCGGAATGCGAAACAGCAGAGCAGCCTTTCAGGAGCCAGAGAATTCGGCTGCCTTGAGGCGGCTGCGAAGCCTGTTGGCTCCTCTTTTTGCATCAAGTGCTCAGCCTCGTACGTGAAGACGGCCCAGGATTAAATTGGACGCCCAGAGTCTTGCCGTCGCTTGGCGCTCGCTATTCTGTTGCCTAATCTGGATCCAAGGGTCTGAGGCTGTACCTATGTATGCATCGTACCCGTAGGATTGTTATGGGTACTAGATTTGCCATTGGGATGCAAATAACGCCGTGGATCGACGACACCCTTTCTGAAGGATAAGAGTAGAAACAAGATTGTGACACTGCGCACACTTTCTGTTGCGAATCACCTAGGTGGATTGAACCTCAAACGGGGAACGATTTGTGATTGTTCCTCGACCTACTCCGTGCTTGTGCAGCTAGAATTTTGTTGCAAATTGATTGACAAGCCCCTAATAAGAAGTCTACCTAATTGAGATCGATTGTTGGTTTGATTTGGATTGCCAGTTCTTATGGGTCAAGGCGTACCCAGGCCACGGTGCGGGACAAAGACATGTTTCGAAACTAATAAGGCGGCAAGAAGTGAGACCTTTCTCCTAGCATCCAGGTCCCCGGAAAACTTGCAATGGTTGATAGCTTTGAAACCACGTAGGTCCATGCTGGAAACAGTAATAATTTTCCGGACGGTCTGAACTTGAAACTCATTGTGAGCTGCATATGTGTGCAAGCGATGGCGGTGAGTCTCTGGTCAATTCTGAGAATAGCAATTTTTCTTTCCTCATTCATCAAGAATACGGCTGGTTCTTCTCAGAATAGAACTTCATCTCTGTCACCCACAAATTCACGAGGATGCAAGGTGCAAGTCCACAAGTCTGCGCCGTTGACACTGACCAAAATAGACTTTGAGACTTCGGCAGATCCCGCCCACGCTGCCGGCATCTTCGGCTTCACCCCGGAACCCACCCAAGAGCCCCGGCACGCTGGGATTATGGATGTTGCTGGTGCCTAGACTTGTTAGAGTATCGTAGTCTTGCTGTGGTGAAGAGATTGACTGGGATTCAGGTGATCAGACCCTTGATATCTTCTCCCCTGTTGGACAGTGATGCGGAAGCGGAAGTCATCTGTTGATCTTGGGAAGGATTCAAGGTTAGTCCACCCATGCGCCGCGGGACAACCTTGGACAGGACAGGCCTTCTGAACGACTGCATCTGCTATGGCGTCGTTTGCATTGGCCACTGCAGACCCTCAGAACGATGTGATACCCGCCCTGTACTGCCTGTGAAACGAGATCTAGGTGGTGTTTCTGGTTGCGACAATGGGTTGCGAAGCGTGAGTGTTGGTAGCATCAACGATGAGGCTGATACCATGGTACAGTCGGAGAGTTTCTTTCTAGAAGATTTCTAGGTTTCAACACTTGGTATGCGCCTCTCTCAACCGGTTGTCTGGCAGGCAGCTGCTGTCTGGAGAACTAGGGACCGTTAGTAAACCCGCTCACACCTGCTGACTTACATACATTTCGATGCATAACACTGTGGGCTGCAAGTTGCGGTCTATCGTCATCAGCAAGCTGCTCCTCACGAGCATGCCTACGGACAGTCCTTTCATTGCCTATGGTCTGTATTGAGAATAAGACTTGGTAAGCCGACCTGGTATCCATCTACTCTGGGAAGCATGGCTAGTGCGGTCGAGCGACCTACTCCGCAACTCAATCTAATACCCAAAATTCAAGGTTCAAAGAGGCATTCTCTAGCAATATTTGGGCAGGGTGTGACTCTCCACCTGACATCTCGATACGAAGATACGATGCTCGTGGAGTCCTTGTACTTGTAAAGGGTGGGAAGAACTTGGTTCCTGGTCATGTTTTCCTTGGGCAGGTTTTGCGATCTGAACAAGCGAAATTGTCCTCGACGGCGTAAAGCCGCCATAGCTGTGGTAGAATTAAGAAAGACAAGGATAGCCCCACGCGAGACACGCGCTGCGGGTAGTTCGATTTAATCTTAATACGCATTGGCCAATCAACAGGCGCCCGGTTCGAAAAGAGCCGACCAGTGAGAGATGACGGCCTAGCCGTCGACGTGCAAATTTGGCGGGACAGCCTCTTTTCGGCCGGACGGTTTCGAGAGACGAACATGGGTGCACAGACAAGAGCGTGGGAGACCAAAATTGGACGGGCCCAGACCCTCCTCCTCCTTGATGGCTGGCTCAGGAGTTAGCCAGCAGCCTTGGCGCTCTTTGAGATTCATTGTACGAACTTGACCAAGTACCTTCAAGTAGGTAGGAGACAGGGGCCGCTTCTGGATGTATCCACGATGCTAATCAGTTAGCGCGACAAAGGCTGAGCGACGGACTGGCACTCGATGGGCGACGGACAAGGGGGCTTGGGACGAACCAGTAGCATCTCGATATCCACCACGTTTGAGCTAGGGCCGGTTTCGATGTCACTGTGCAGCACTAACCCGTCGTCACCACTCCTCCATCATTGTGGACAAGAGTGGCGGGGGACGGTCTGCAAGAGCTTGCAATGGTGGTGATGGGATTGGTTGTATCTCGAAGTACACTATCGGAGGCGGAATGAGCACGGAGTGAGAAGGACGAGATAGGTAAGGCTTAGTGATAACAGGACGACTTGTGATCCTGGTGAGGATTCTGGACCAGTCACTTACACGAACCCCCAGATGGACCAAGATATCGCATCACTGAAAGCTCCGACACAAACATTCGACTCCCGTATGTAGGATCCGCGAGGCCTGCATGCGCTATTGGAGATCCATCCAGTCAAATGCAGAACAATCCCGCTGCCTGGAAATATCGAGCTACTGTCGTACCGGTGCCGGTTTGTCTTTTCCATTTGCTTGGCTTTCCCTCCAGTATGGACTACCATACAGTGCGGCGCTCCATACTGACATCAGGGCCAAGCGCGTTTCGGAACGCTACTTGGGGGCAAGAATGGGCCAAGACAAGACCAGCGTGGCTCTCTTTCAGTCTTGGGGCCCTCATTAAATTTCGCAGGGCCACTGGGGCTTCACATCACAATTTCCCACTCGCGCGCCGTACGGGGGGCCGACCGACCAGGCCAAGCCGATGTAACTCCCGGGGGGGTCGTCACGTCCCTCACGGAGAGCCCCCCGCGCATGGGCACTGACAGGCAAATGGTTTGTGAACCTCACTGGGCCGACGATTGAAACTCATGCCAATTTTACCCGCTTCTGTTGGTCGAAACTTTGAAACGGGAGGGGGAGGATCAGTGGCAGCGGGAGACCAACATGTCGGTGCGTGGCGGTTGGGATTTGGGAGGCCGCCTGTCAAAGAGGTGGCGGACACGCAACGGATCTGCAGCCCGCTTTCCCCAGCCCAGCAAGCAGCCAGCACACCCAACTTGCTCTGTTACGTATCTACACCATCACAACTGCAAACTAGGCTGCGTGTGTCTCAAAACATTAACTAGTTGTCGGCTGTGCATCTGCGCATCCTGAGAATCACGACGGGACGGTCAGAAGCATCGTCAGTTACGATTGTCTACCTTACTATCAACCGAGAGTTCGAGCTCCAACCGTTGGCACACCCGCCGAAATACATCGAGCTGTTTCACCCCGCCCTTTCGAGCAGTGCCCTTTGTGTGTTCTGGTGCGACCAGCTTTCTGTCACCAGCTGGCCAACTCGAAACTTGTGACAGAAGTTGCAAGGAGTGGCTGGGAAAATGCCATTGAACCGGCGTCGTTTGCATGTCGGAAGACCATACATACGCCTCAGCCTGTCAGAACTCATGGTCCAGGTGCGGCGTCTATTTCAAGAATCATCTCGAGGTCGAGCCAAGCATCCGCGAAACTAAAAAATCTCTTGCATCGGCGCATCTCAGCCACGGTACGTGCAAGCTCTTGGTCGAGGACAAGCAAACACACAAAGTCTTGGTTGGGTTCATGACGTGCGGCCTGCATGGCGGGATTTTTTCGAGTCTTGGCTGTACCCCCCAAGTCTCTGCTCGAAATTCCGCCCCTGGCTCGTTCGTCTGCCGGTCGGCTGGTGCAAATGGCACAGCTCCACGCCTCTAACCTAGCATCCCCTAGGGCGACGGCCCAACACCGAACAGCAGCCTCTGCTGTCCACTTTTTGAGGTACCGCCCCTTTTCTATTCTGGCCTCGGCTCCAGCGCCCACCCCTACCAACGTGCAGGCCCTACAGTACAGGTACCGTGCTGTACCTGCACCGGAGCACCCAAAGCTGGACTGGGGCCAACCAAGCCACTATCCTGGAGCTATCCTGCCCCCTTTCCAGTGGCACTTGCTCGTTGTTCGTACAAGTAGTGGTGGTACTGGTGAGTAAGTACCTCAATTTGCTGGTGACTGGGTCCTGCGAGCTGGGCCACTTTTTGTCCAGAGGCTTGTAAGCAACCTTGGAAGCGTTTCAATCCCTAACCGCCACCACTACTTGTACATTGAAAATGTGCCATGTGGTGGTGATGGCAGTGGGCAGCAAAGGTGAAAGGTACCTCAGGCCCCCCCAGCTCCCATGTAGATACTTGCTCCACCACCAAGAAATGCACGTTCCTCCTCGTCACCGATGCCGTCCCCAGTACCTTCTACCGTGTGTGTGTGCTGTGTGTGAGTGGTGCATGCGTATGGCCGTCCAAACTCGCTCATCTCTTCCCCGTCTCTTTTTCCAAGCTCTCGCCCTTGTTGGTGAATATCGTTCAGCAGCACTAGTTTTTCTCTCCTTCATTTCCCACCCTTCAGTCCCTCCTTCTGTCAGACCTGAGCGTCCCTCTCCAAGGGTGATAATACTGCTCTGGTACTTTGCTGTCCTAGCATCCTCTTGTCCTTCCTTTTTACACCTGTTTTCCCTTCGACCAGCCGGGCAGCCAACTCCCTCCTCTCCCTCCAATCCCACCTGGCGTCCAGCCCACGTACCTCAACTTGCTCCTCCCCTCTTGATCGCCTCGGCTTAAGGTCTCTGGTCCTCTCTCTCTCTCTCTCTAGATCGCCTCTGCTCAGTTGCGGTCCTGGTCCCGGCTCGTCTCCTCGTCGTCTCTCGTCCTGATATACACGACCGTCACCATGGCTATCTTTGCGTGGTGTACCCGGCGCTCTGGCGGGTTGGCGATGATAACTCTGGCGGCCCTCAGTTGGCTAGTCTTGTCGAGGGAAGCTACAGCAATTCGGTATGGCTACAAGTACCAGCCCAAGGACAGCCTCAGCGCACCGAGCTATCACCAGGAGGGCGGCGGCATCTGGACGATCATCTGGGCCTACTACTGCTTGTTCATCCACGTTCTGGTCTTTGCGTTCCCTCTCCGCGCCATCTGGGCCATCTGGGACCTCACGAGCAACCTGCAAAAGACGGTTCACAGCAAGACACTCAAGGACTTCAAGTTTGGTCGCGCCCGCCGTGGATCTTCGACCTCGCTCTCCAGCTCCGAGACTCTGACTTCCTCGCGCGCCTCCTCGACCTCTTGCAGCGAAATCGGCGACCTCGAGCCCGAATACTTTCCCGACGGCGATGCTGTCGCAACCGATCGTGTCGTTCACGCAGTTGTCATTCCCAACTACAAGGAAGAGATGGATACTCTCAGGGAGACATTGGACGTCCTGGCCTGTCACCCCCAGGCCCGCGACTCTTATGATGTGAGTCGCTCTATTTTTGCCGTCTCTACTTTTTATTTCTGGCGAACCAGTGAGGCTCAGGGGCACAATTGGTGTCATTGCGCGTCAGTCCCCGCTGTTCGTGACCTAGCGCTGGGAACCTTGAAGAGATGGTGTGCACTACGCATCAGAGTTTGTCAATTGCCTCTAAAGGTGCCAGTCAAGCTAACGGGTGAATTCCTGCGCAGATCTACCTGGCCATGGAACAGCGCGAGAACAATGTGGAGCTCAAGGCCATGTCTCTGGTCTCGGAATTTGTCAAGAAGTTTCGCTCAATTGACTTCACCCTGCACCCGGCCGACATTCCGAACGAGTCCCCTGGCAAGGGAAGCAACATGGCCTGGGCTGCGCGTAAACTGAGCGAGAGATACCCGATGGAACAGCGCAAGGATGTGATCGTCACCGGGATTGACGGTGCGTGCCTTTTTTTTCTCTCTTTCGGTCGTGTTTTAGACTGTCGTTGAAATTCTGCGACAATCCCCGTCTGTTCCTGAAACTATGCATCCTTGGACCGAGACACTGACCAATCATCTTTCCCCGCCATGCAGCTGACAGTCACCTTTCGTCCAACTACTTCGCTCTGATCACCTCCATGCATCTGGCCAATCCCGAAACCGCAAATACCACCCTGTATTCGGCTCCTATCGTCTTTGACCGCAATGCGCACAACGTCCCCGCCATTGTCCGTGTCGCCGACATCCTCTGGTGCGCTGCGGGCATGTCCGGTCTTTACCGTGGCTCGACCATTGCCCCGCCGACTTCCGTGTACTCGCTTCCCCTCGAGCTCGTCGATCGTGTGGGTGGCTGGGACTGCGATCCCGAGGCGATTGGCGAGGATCTGCACATGTATCTCAAGTGCTTCTTCGCGCTCAACGGCAACCTAACCTCCCGGACCATTCTCAGCCCTGTCAGCCAGACCAACGTCACTGCCGGCGGATACGGAAAGGGTGCTAATGGCCTGGCCTCGGATATGCAAGCTCGGTATAAGCAGGCTCTCCGTCACATGTGGGGTGCTCTCGACACTGGCTTTGCCCTGCGCAAGGTTGTAGAGCTCTGGCGCGAGAGGAAGCACACTTCGAGGGCCTTCCGACCGCTGCACAATTCTCTGAATGACACCACCGACGGCTATGTTCCCCAGAACCACCTGGACAACCTCGACCCTGAGCGCCCTGTCGAGAGCGGCATCTTCTCCGACGTCACGCATGACACGCTGAAGAACCCTGACTATCTCCGGATCCTGTACCTCTTCCACCGCCTCTTCGAAGCTCACTTCCTGCCCGTCCACATGACTATCTTCGTCATCACCACGACCCTCTACATGTGGATCACCGACGGCACATCCGACGTCCACGGGATCGGCTGGATTTTCGAGGTGTGCAAGTATCTGAGAACGCTGGGCTTCATGGAGGTTGCGCTCTACCTGTTCATGTATGAGGGCTTCCACAAGCTCGCGGTCGGCGTTCGACAGAAGGAGATGGACGAGGCCGGTCTCGCCAAGGGCATGAACTTCTCCCACCGCGAAGTGAAGAAGAACTTTATCGACTACGTCATGGTGCCCCTGGTGGCTCCTATCTTTGGTTCTATTCCTTGCGCTCAGGCACAGATCTGCCATTTCTGGACGCAGGAGCTGGTCTATACCGTCAGCAAAAAGGTCACTCGGCAACGGGCGAAGTCCATTGTGACCGGCGAGAAGGTTTAATACGATGTTTCTAACGACTTTTTTTTTTCCCGAGCTGCTTTGATCTTCACACCGCCTCATTTCATTCTTCGATCTTCGACTCCCAGGCTACAATCGACGCGATCGGCGCCTGGTGAAACCCCTTTTATTATACTTTTATTCATTCGCTTCTATGCACATCCTCTTGGAAGACCGAGGAAACTCGACGATCCTCGCTGCTTCGACTTATCATTCCCGACAACTGGCGGTGTCGGCTTCACGAGGCGACTGTGTGTACATAGAGGGGTATGATGTTGATATGCATGGCATGGCATCGGCATTTGGCATCTAGACATGGGGATCCAGACTTTTTGTCTCGATCTCTCTTTTTCATTTTTACTTGGGGGCTCAAGGAGTTCTTGGAGCAATTTTGCGGGCGGGTACACAACCAAAGATGATATCCTCTCGCCGCACTCGTTTAACGGAAGAGAAAGACAGAAGGAAGGACAAGAGAACGAAGACAAAGTCAAGCATGGAAAGCAAAGAGATTCCCTGAACGGATCCCGCTGCCTGGAGGGGTAAACAACAGAGATGACTCGAACGACTTGTCATGCCCGGGGTCAACGGCTAGTCCCAGGCATGACGGAGTGAAGAGGGTGTGGTCTGCGGAAACCCGAGCTGAAGCAGATGGCTCCTTCTCGAACGCAGACCTGCTAATCAACTGGCCCCATAATACCTAATCATTGTATGTACATAGAAGGCGATGGGTGGCAGAGACGGGAGGGATATGTGACTGGGGGGAACCGCAGAGCAAACCAGGACGGGTTTCCCCATCACATTGTGACGCACCCTGACCTTTGGAGTCATGCATCACCTGGGAGGGTCTCTGACGGACGAAAGGCAGAACAGAAAAAACAAATGAACAACACTCGCTTGACATCCACAACGGCTCCTGGTCCAACAAACTGATTTGAGGAATGTGACTTGACATACATGACTCTCCGGGCACAAAGTGAGGAAGCAGGTCCCATTCGGAGAGTTCTGAGCCGCGTAAGCTTCCGCGCGCCACTCTGCTTGTGCGTCCTGCGTCGCAACACTTGGCCCCAAGCCACTTTGAAAACCGAGTCCCAGACATACGACAGAATGACAAGCGTCCCTTTTCAAGGCTGCAGCAACTGCTGTTTGAGGAAATCATGCCGCAGGTTGGGAAGCGCATACGCGGGCGATATCTTGTGCCCGCAAAAGGCGCCACATTAAGCTCGATCCCGACTCCAGCTCGGAGACAGACCGAGCCATTGACCAATCAAAAATGCCCGCGCGGCGCCGGCCCAGATCGGATCCTTCACGGAGGCTTGCTCCGTGCTGCAAGTGGCGATGAAGGCGAGAAGCGGGACAGGCATCGTTGTGATGTATAGGAAAATAGGTCTATAAATTAAAGCATTGATGATATGCTGCTGCTTCTGCTGCATGAAGTCGTCTCAAATGGGCAGCAAGCAAGCACAATCGTCATACATTGTCAAGCTGCGAAGACATTTTTGCAACGAAATCGTCCATCGTCCTCCCAGCTGTAAGCAAAGCCCATTTGCACCAATCATGTCCGCCGCCGCCGGGGGCCGGGGCCGGGGGCGCGGTCGACGAGCCCGTAGGGCCGCTGCGAGTGCTGCGGGTTCTGCCCTCGTACGGCATCGATCCGGCACCAGGTCGGGGACCAGGGAGGTCGAGCTGGTGGGGCACAAGTGGCGGTGGAACGTGGGATGGGAATCTTTTGGAGTAGTGGTCTGTTCTCTTCTTTTTGTTTTTACCTCGAGTGAAAGTCGGAGTTCACAGGCTGTTTTCCAAGCTGACTCTACACGTAACTCTAGGCGGTGTCACGAACGGCAACGACATGGTTGCGGCGCACCTGCGGCAGAACAAGCGGTTCCCTCCTGCGGTAAGTCGAGGTCGCGCCGGGCATGGCGGACGTGAAGGGTAGGCCCGAGGGAGTATGGCGAGGAGAAGAAGGCAGAGGGTTCCATCGACCGGACTTTCTGGAAGTCGCTCGTCCGTAAATAGAGAGAACTATTGGAAAACCCAATTAGGATCAGAATGATTCCTTTACACCTGAGTTATCTGTGATGAGTCTTAATCCAAGAACCAGACACAATCAATGTTCTGGCCCTGCTGCTTTCCTTCTTGCCAAAGACACATATACTCCATTGACTCATACGCAAACATGATTGTTATTTCCAAGTCATATGCATTGATGCAGCTATGAGTATGTCACTCAGATTGAGGCTGCATGGATGCATGGGTGCTGGACCTGGTAATGGATCGCACAACTGGAGGCGGTGAAGCTTCTCAGGGGCCGTTCTTTCATCTCCACTTTCAATAGTTATAGAGAAGCTTTCTTGAATCTCTTTTCTTATATGGATCCAATTGCCATCCATGTCCCTCTTTGTAGGATAAATAAACTCCTACTCTGGTGTAAGCAAACTGCCTTTTGGCGCTGGGGTGAGCTGCACTCTTCCAAGGCTGCTAATAAGCTAACAATAGGACCCTTTGAGTCGACGCCCAGTGTGAATATGTAGGATGAGGTCAGTGCGGGAACCGGGTCCTGAGCTAAGAAAGAGGAAAAAAAGAAAACCTGCACCCCACCTGGTTGGCTGGTTGGCTGGTTGACTGGCATGTAGCGCCGATAAGTCTCTTATCGCGCTCGTTAGCGCCATTTGTGGGGGGTTGCTCTGCAGAAGGCAGGCAAAAAATTTCGGGGCGGAAGCTCTGGCGGTTCAAATAAATCTTTCTTTCCAGACTCTGCCTCACTGAGAAAAAGGAAATCTCTTGTGTTCAAGACTTTTCTCCCACTGCACCTTTTTTTCTCACAGACATCTCCCGTCTCTCTTTTGTTCTCTACCCAACGGACTATTGAACTCCTACCCTTTCTCTCAATCACCACCTCAGAATCACCACGATGTCTTCTCTTCTGCCCGTGGCCGTCTTTGGCCTGGAGGTCCCTCCAGGAGAGGTCATGATTCCCGTTGCCGCTGACTTCCCTGCGACTGTAAGTAGGCGTTGATGTCTATTTCCTTCATCACGGGTTGAAACTACCATTTGAGAGGTTCAGCGAGACCGCCTTTCCCAACAGCTACTGACAACAATCTCAGATTCGCATCACCATGGCTGCCGTCGATCCCACTGAGGATCCTGAGCCTGATGAGGATGGCAACGTCCCCAGCGTCCCTCGCTCCACTCTCCGAATTGTCAAGCCCCGCATGGGCGACCTCGACGAGGATGACGAGGATGACGACGAGTACCTCCAGGCCCTTCTTGCCAATGGCGATGACGACGAGGAGGACTCCGATGATGAGGAGGACGAGGAGGCCAACGGTGGCCCTAGCGACCCCGCCAAGTCCAAGAAGGCCCGTCAGGAGGCTGCCATCCGCAAGCTCCTTGAGGCTACCCAGGACGAGGATGATGAGGATGAGGAGATGGAGGATGATGAGGCCCCCAACGGCACCAGCAAGAAGGGCAAGGGCCTTGCGCTGGACGACGATGATGAGGAGGACGAGGATGAGGATGAGGACGAGGACGAGGACGACAGCGACGACGAGGATGGCCTCGATCTGGAGCAGTTCGTCATCTGCACTCTTGACACTGAGCGTGTAGGCCTACCTTGAACAACTAACCATGTGTTTCCTTCACCAAGCTGACACCCGCTTCTAGCACTACCAACAAACCATCGACATCACCATCCCCGAGAATGAGAAGGCCTACTTTGTCGTCTCTGGTACTCACTCTGTCTACGTCACCGGTAACTATGTTATTGATGAGGACGAGGAGACCGACTCCGAGGATGAGGATGACGACGAGTACGATCTCCCCCCTGACATGGAGGACCTGATCGGCGACTCGGACAGCGAGGATGAGCTTGATGAGCTCGACCTCATGGAGCGCGTCGAGGAGGTCGACACCGACGAGGAGGCCCCTCAGCTGGTCCAGTCTTCCAAGAAGGGCAAGAAGCGCTCCGCCGACGAGGCTGAGAACCTCGACGACATGATCGCCAAGGAGAGCAAGACCGACGAGACGAAGCTCAGCAAGAAGCAGCAGAAGAAGCTCAAGAACAACAAGGGCGAGGCTGTCGGCGTCGAGGAGCCCAAGAGCGCCATCAAGGAGACCGCCGCGCCTTCCAAGACTGACAAGAAGGTGCAGTTCGCCAAAAACCTCGAGCTAGGTCCCACCGGCTCGGCTGAAAAGGCCAAGCAAGCTGACAAGGGCAAGAAGGCTACTACTGGTGTCAAGGTTGTCCAGGGTGTGACCATCGACGACCGCAAGATCGGTACCGGCCGCGCTGTCAAGTCTGGCGACCGCGTCAGCATGCGCTACATTGGCAAGCTCCAGGACGGCAAGGTCTTTGACTGTGAGTAGTCTGCACAGATTCATTCATGCTGGACTTCTGATCACATTTGCTAATGTACTGTTCCTCTCTAGCCAACAAGAAGGGCACTCCTTTCTCCTTCAAGGTCGGCAAGGGTGAGGTCATCAAGGGCTGGGATATCGGCATCGCCGGCATGGCCGTCGGCGGTGAGCGCCGCCTGACTATCCCCGCCAACCTGGCCTACGGCAACAAGAAGCTCGATGGCATTCCCGCCAACAGCACTCTGATCTTCGACGTCAAGCTGCTTGAGATCAAGTAAATCTGACTCGTGGATGTGGTGGTGTTGCGTATGGTATTCTTGATGGGCGCAGTTCTGGACAGACATGAACTGTGGGGACTTGTCTCTGTGTACTTTATCTCATTGCGCACGAGCTCGCTTTGAAAACTTCGCGGGCCACTAATACCTCTCTATCTCGGGATATGGAAGGGGCTTTTCTCGACACTATTACGCCACGATGGAGTCTTCTGACCTGCGCGCAGCCTGCGAGGATCCGGTCATGTCATCGGCCGCGGTAGCAGATGTACAAAAAGGGATGACGAGTCTACATTGCATCTTGCACGGCGTCACAAAAGTTGTTATGGTCTATGATTTCCTTATTTTGTTGTTCCGGTCTGCTCTGGTTTTGGGCTCTCTTTCCCACTGTTTAGGAAGTGGGTGTCGGGTATTGATACCAAGTAGGCGAGATAGAATTTCGAGCTGAATAGATCTGACTCGTCCCTTACGCTCTTGTCTGTGTATTGTGCGTTTGGTGACCTGGTGACTGCTGTGGCTTTGGGTGCTGGGACCCCCCATGACACCGCCTCGAGCTTGACCGGCATCGCCGTTGCCCAAGCATAGACCGATGTTCAATTGCCACTGCCACTTCTATGTAGCTACCGAAGGCTCCTGCTCTTGAATTAGGCAGGGGGCGGCCTCGTTCTTGCGAGAGCAAGATATGCCTAAACGTCCGGATGTCATCGTCGTCTTTCGTTGCCGTCTCGTCAAGTCACCCACTACCGGTATCCATAGTCTTCCTTTAGGTTATGTCCTTCATTTGGTTCCATTCATAACCGTGTGCCAGCAGGAGTCAGTGTTACACCTGCGGACACGCTCGTCTGGATTGGATCGGCGCAGGATGAAGAGACGCCTCGGGCAGGTTCACGAGACGCTGCCATCCCCAGACGACCGTCCCGGCCCGGTGCTCAACGCTTCGTACATCTCCCTGCCAAACCTCGATAGGCGGGGCTCACCACCCTCAAAGCTTAGGCGCGGTAGCTCGAGGTTGTGGTCAGTCGTACGATCCTTTACGGGCAGCAGCAGCAGTCGTGAGTAGCCCAATACAATCTCTTGATCACCCAAAGAGGCAACCAGAAGCTAATCATTCTGTGTAAAAGCATCCAACACGGTGGTCATTAAGCGTACTCCAGAGGTCACGCCTCCTCCGACCCCTGACGTGAAGGGCCAGTCTGTGCTTGTTGGTAGGGCAGTCAAGAGGATGTCGTCGAACATTTTTCGCAACCCCTTTGGTCCAACCGTGGTTCATCGCAGCCATCCCAAGGCCAGGCCTTCGCTCGCCGCTGCGCTGGGCGTAGCGCCGACAACTCCGGGGCCGGAATCTCCGGCATCCTCGGCGACCACCCAGTCCACGTCTTACAGCTTTCTCTCGACACCCACGGGCAACTCTACTGGCAAAACATCTCTGGACTCCAAGGACTCCAAGGTGTCATATCGAGAGTATGTGGAGAAGAAACCAGTCAATGTCAAGCGCCGGGGTCCCGTCATTCGCTCCAACCCCGAAGTCAATCTCAAGCCCATCGAAGAGACAGTCTTCGACGCGACTAATCCGACGGTCATTACTGTGGAACGTGCTGCTGCTGCCAAGATCTTCTTGGAGACGCATTTCAACGAGATGCTCAGCCGTCCCTCGCCGAGGTCTCTGCGAAGACGATATATGGAAGCCGGGCTCTACCGGGCCGAGAATCTTTCGCCCCAGGAAAAGGAACAGTGCCGGGCGATGTTCTATCGCACAGAGACTGACCACTTGCGTGAGCGTCGAGTCATGAAGGCGCGCAGCATCCAAGCCCTGAACCTCAGCTCGGGGAACACGAAGTCGCATTAGAACGATGACTTTGATGTTGTGAAGGTACTTGGTAAGGGGAGCTTCGGTGTCGTCAGGCTTGTTCGGGAGAAAGCCACCGGAAGTGAGAGTCAAACGGACGGCACCAGAGATCGCAGGGAGGTGTATGCCATGAAGGTCATCCGCAAGTCAGACATGTTGAAAAGCAACCAGGAGGGACACTTGCGAGCCGAGAGGGATTTCTTGGTTGCATCAGAGGGATCGAGGTGGTGAGTTACCTTTTCCCTTCTCGGCGGTGATAACAGCACTGATGCTGGCTAGGATCGTGCCCCTGATCGCGAGTTTCCAGGATGCTGCCAATCTTTACCTGGTCATGGAGTATATGCCTGGTGGTGATTTTCTTGGTCTGCTCATCCGCGAGAACATCTTGCATGAAACCGTGGCTCGCTTCTACATTGCTGAGATGATTGTCTGCGTCGAAGAGGCCCATGCTCTTCGTTGCATACACCGCGATATCAAACCGGACAATTTCCTCGTCAGTGCATCTGGCCATCTCAAGATCTCGGATTTTGGCCTGGCGTTTGACGGCCATTGGAGTCATGACACGACCTACTACACCAGCACTCGCTATTCCCTCCTGAAGAAGCTAGGCATCAACGTCGACGGCGACGAGCAGGATCGCAAGTCCGGCAAAGCACGGCATGCTGCCACCACTATCGCCGGGCTGGAGAAGCACGAGCCAAAGAACGGATACGACGGTGAGCCATTGCTCCAGTGGCGGAACCGCTGTGGGAACCGATCAACTGCTACAAGTGTAGTTGGCACCAGCCAATACATGGCACCCGAGGTAATCCGAGGAGAGAGATATGATGGACGCTGCGACTAGTGGAGCATTGGTGTGATTCTATATGAGTGCCTCTATGGGCACACGCCGTTCTTGGCGGAAGAAGGTCGACACCAGACAAAGCAGAACATCATTGTAAGTTTCCTTCTGTTCCATTAGCTGCCCAGAATCGACACTGCGAACCTGGCACTGATGAGGTGGTATCAAGAATTACCGACAAACATTCGCGTTTCCTCCTCGCCCTGCCACGACACATAGATGCCAACAATTGATTGAATCTCTGATCACGGACAAGACGGAAAGACTATGCTCACAACGCTACCGCTTGAGGGACATTGCTGCCCTGGCATCTTCGGCCCCTAGTCCGGCAGGTTATAGCTCACACCAACGGCCTACGGACTTTGCCGACCGCTATGTCTATCCATACGACGCCGAAGACATCAAGTCACACAAGTGGTTCCGCGGTGTGCCATGGGACAGACTCCATCTGTTGCCTCCTCCTTTTATCCCGTCGCTGCGTTCCACCGACGACACGCAATATTTCGAAGAAGACGACCCCATTAGTGACCGGATGGACAGCAGCAGCGAGTCTTCAGAGGCATCCGCGGAGCCTGACGACAACCTGACAGCAGAGCAGCTGGAGCTCAGAGAACAGCAGCGCGAGCTGAAGCGCGTCAACCGCGAGAACGAGATGCGAGATGCTCTCCGGGGGTTTGGACGCAGCATCCAGCGCTTGGCGTTGGGGTGGGTGGCCGCCCCCTACGATGCCACACGCCTCCGCAATGTGGATCAGTGTATCGATCAGCTGCTGGGCGTGGGCGACCTCGACAAGGAGGTGCTGAAGCAGTTTGTGCGCTGCTTTGGACGGAAGGAGCGCAAGAGGCCGCGGGATCGACTCCTGCGCGACAAGGGCACCAAGGGCATCGTGCTGGATCTGAGGAAGCGCCATGCTTTCTTGGGCTACACGTGGCGACGGAGAAGGGCGTCGCCGACTCTGCCCGCCACGAGCGCTCCCAGAGGCGGGCTGGAGCAGCTTGGGTTCGGGCCCACGAGCGAGCTGGCATCTCTGCGAGCCTTGCATGGGGCGAGGATGGGCGTGTGACAGGTTGATCGGGGCGTGCTGTATAGCTTACTGTTTGGTAGCAGTTTTAGTCGGGACATGGGCTTGCCAGAGAAAGAACTGGGGGGGTACCATGCCGTGAAGGGAAGGGGCTAGGACGTATTGATACAGGAGTGAGTTTCGTTTCAAGAGTAGTTATTATGGATATCATTAGCCATTGCAGCCCGTTCGCTAGTAAACAAAGCCGAGATATGATGCAATGGCAGGTTTGTGAAAATTCGAGCTCGTGGTCTCTCTACCAGCCCTTTTCCCTCGTGCCCTCCTCGAAGTGTTGCTCTCCCGTCAAAGCCGCCCGGGCATTGGACACTTCCCATGCGAACTCTTGGAGCGCCCGCATCTCGGATCCGATGAACAAGAGAGAGATGAGGCCGTCGATCGTGCCGGCCACGAGACCCAGGCTGCACACGAGCAGCAATATAAAGGCCACGTAGTTGTGCGGGCTCCACCACACGCCGACGAGGGAGGCCAGCAGCGCCGCGACCCAGGCGAAGAAGTGTATCCTGCGCCACCTCCTCTGCCGCACCTCGCGCTCGGCGTACCACCGTATCTCCTCGAGGATCGTGTCGTACTCGTCGGCCGTCAGCTCCCCCTCGAGCCGCACCTCGTGCTGCTGCTGCCCCTGCCCCTGCCCCTGCCGCGCGGTGTAGCTCGAGGCGCCGTCGCCGCCGCGGCTGTGCAGGCTGCCCTCGGGGGACTTGAGGTACGTGCCGCGGTGCACGAGCTCCTCCTCCTCCTCCTCGGGCGTCTTGATGGCGGCGCCGCCGGCGGACCCGGAGCCCGCCGACGCCGACGTCGTCGTCGGTCCCTGTCTGTTGTTGTTGTTGTTGTGGGAAGACGTCGGGGGCCTGGTGGCGACGAGGCGGACCTCCATGGAGAAGTGGTCCGAGACGGAGCACTCGAGGGTCGGGTGCGGCTCGACCATGCCGACGCGGGCGTCGGCGACGGCCCACGAGGCCGTGTCGCCGGCGACGAAGACGTGGTCGAGGCGCTTGCCGTTGGGGCAGGGGTCCTCGGGCGCGACCTCGTGCCGGCTGCTCACGCCGGCGGCGGCGGTGCGGGGGCGGCCGAGCTGCCGCTGCCGGGCGCGGGACCAGCGCCAGGTGTTGTAGGCCGAGTCGGACGTGGCGCCGTTCTCGACGAGGTTGTAGTGCGCGGTAGGCAGGGGCCGGCCGCGGGCGCGCTCGGCGGCGTGGTGGGCGTAGGCGCCCAGGGACGAGTCCGGGTGCAGGACGCGCCAGGCGTCGCGGGCCGTGGCCGGGTCGCCCGGGGCGCCGGCGACGAGGAGGCGGTAGGTCAGCAGGGCCGGCGGGGTGTTGAAGTCGCCGAGCCCGACGGCGAGGTGGCCGCGCGCCGAGGCGGCGGCGCGCATGAGCTTGGCGAACTCCCAGGACTGGGCGAGGCGGTGGCAGAAGTAGGTGTCGACGCGCCGGCCCTCCTCGTAGGGGGCGTGGGTGTGCGTGTTGAAGACCTCGACGACGTGCTCCGGGCCGGGCCCGTAGCGGATCTTGGCGACGGCGACGCCCTTGCCGACGAACCAGTCGCCGCGCCAGAAGGCCGTGGGCCGCCCGTTGAGCGGGTACCGGAACATGGTGGACTCCTCGATGGGCCAGCGCGAGAGGATGGCGAGCCCGGCGCCGAAGGCCCCGGCGTAGTAGAACTTGCCGTGGGGCAGGATGTGGGCGGTCTGGCGGCGGATGGCGAGGTAGTCGTCCTGGCACCAGCACTCCTGCAGGCCGACGATCTGGGGCGCCGGGTCGGCGGCGGCGAGGCGGCGGCCGATCTCGGCGAGGCGCTCGTTGCGCAGCTTGGAGATGAACTTGAGGCCCCAGCAGTTGAGGCTGACGACGTTGATCTCGGTGGGCAGCTGGCTGTCCATGTCCCTGTCCCTGTCCATGGTGGTGGCCATGTTTTGCCTGATGGGCACTGGTCTCTCCAGAGGATGAGAGACGTGGAGAAGGAAGGGAAGGAGATATTGCTTTCCGAGTGCTACGATATAGCTGAGGGCTGGGGCTGTTTTGAGATCGATCTGGTTATGCAGAGATGATGAGTGAGATCCGTCCCTTCATCGACAACCGGCGTATCCGGGGGTAGTCAAGCTTCTCAGGTGAGAGGAAGAGCGCGAGTCGCTGGCAGGTCAAAGAAGCTCTCGGACGATGCAACGACCAAGATCCGATTTGATTCCCTCTTAGCAAAGTCTTGCCTTGCATACAAGTAGATATAGAAAAGAAGCCCCCCTCATCTCCTTGTCCAAAAGAGAGCTCCTCTGATCAAGCTTCTGAGACAGGGGCAACTGGGCTCGCTTTAAGCCTTTTTCAGACGATGAGATTAGGTAGCGTCAGGCCATGGGTGACCAGCAACCAAAGCACCCGCTAATCTTCCAGTGGGCCCTGCCGCTGAGGAGCCCGGGCCCCCGGCATAATCAATGCAATATTCGCTGGGGCATTGGCCAATCAAGAGTGCTGAGCGCACCCGCTGTACTTGTAAATGCAGCACCTGGCTGTCACCTCTGAGCCCTGTGAACTTTTTTATGGGCCGCCCTTGTTCAGCCTCGCGTCACTCTCCTGTCTGGCATTACCGCGTTCAGCGTTCAGCGTCCCTAGCCAGCCCACGCCCTGTGCATCACCACCCCCCCCATATTCCCGGTGTGTCCAACTGCCTATCTGCTCCTCTCCCCTGGGAGCTCTCTCAGACACCCCCACCCAGAGAGCCGCAGCGATGCCAGATCCCAAACCAGCCAGCGCCACCGCGCCGGCTGACCGCTCCTCGAAGCGGAGGAGAGTCGACGACGACAGCGCGACATCGACGCCCGCGTACAGCTCGCCCGACCCCCTCGCAGACGACGAGAAGCGCAGCCCGCCCCGCAACCTCCCCGTCCGCCGCGGCCGCCGGCCCTCGAGGTCGCATACCCCCTCCGACAGCATGGACGACGAGCTGAACAAGGACCACTACCGCCCCTCCTCCAGCCCTTCCCGCTCCCAGACGAGATCCGACCGCAGGTCCAGGTCGCGCGGCTCCCGCTCGCCCTCGGAAGACTCCAGGTCGCGGTCCAGGTCACATTCCGACTCGCGCTCGCGAAGGAGGAGCAGCAGCAGCAGCACGGGGTCGCGCTCCCGCCGGCCCTCGCGCACACCGTCCTCGTCGTCCCGGTCCCGAGACGAGCGGAGGCGGCGGCGGAGGCGCCAGCAGCAGCAGCAGCAGCAGAAGCCGCAGTTCCGGCGCCACGTCGAGCTGCGCGGGCACGACAGCCCCATATCGCAGGTGCGCATCTCGCCCGACGGCAAGTGGATCGCCTCGGCGTCGGCCGACGGCACGGCGCGCATCTGGGACGCCGCCACGGGCGCCCACATGGAGACGCTCGTGGGCCACATGGCCGGCGTGTCCTGCCTCGCCTGGAGCCCGGACTCGGGCACCCTGGCCACGGGGTCCGACGACAAGGCCATCCGCCTCTGGGACCGCGTCACGGCCGAGCCCGCCCACGCCGTCGGCGTCCCCCCGCTGGGCGGCGGCCGCGGGAGCGGCGCGAGGGGCAGCCGGAGGCCGCTGCTCGGCCACCACAACTACGTCTACTGCCTGGCCTTCTCGCCCAAGGGCAACATACTGGCCAGCGGGAGCTACGACGAGGCCGTCTTCCTCTGGGACGTGCGCGCCGGCAGGCTGATGCGGAGTCTGCCGGCGCACAGCGACCCCGTCAGCGGCATCGACTTTTGCCGCGACGGCACGCTGGTCGTGAGCTGTTCTACCGACGGACTGATGTAAGTCTTGGACCCGCCCTCCCTTCTCCCCCACCCCCATCCGCTCGTTTCTACTTGGGAGACCGCAACCTCTAACCGTCTCCACCGTGCAGCCGTATATGGGACACCTCGACCGGCCAGTGCCTGCGCACCCTCCTCCTCCTCAACGAAGACAACCCGGCCGTCACAAACGTCTGCTTCTCCCCCAACGGCCGCTACGTCCTCGCCTTCAACCTCGACTCGTGCATCCGCCTCTGGGACTACATCCCCCACCCCTCGACCGTCAAGAAGACGTACGACGGCCACCGCAACTCGTCCTTCAGCATCGGCGGCTGCTTCGGCGTGCTGCCGCCCGCTTCTCCCGACGAGGATAATGACGACGACGAAGATGACGACGACGACGACGATGATGAGGAAGACGGCCTGGCAGTGCTGCGGAGGCGGGACAGGAGGCTCGGCCGGCCCTTCGTGGCGGCCGCCAGCGAGGACGGCGACGTCGTGCTCTGGGACGTGGTGTCCAAGGAGATCGTGCAGCGCATCCGCGGCGTGCACGACGGCGTGTGCTTCTGGGTCGACGTCTGCGGGCAGGTCATGGTCAGCGCCGGCCGGGACGGCAAGATTGTCATCTTTCGGAACGGCAGTGGTTTTGAGGAGAAGGAGGAGGAAACGAAGGAGAAGGAAGAGCGGGAGCGGGATGAGGAGGAGGAGGAGGAGGAGGACAACAAGAAGAAAGAGCAGTCTGCTGCTGTTGCTAGTCCTGCTGCTGAGAAGAAGGTCAATGGCGTCGTCAATGGTGTCAAGGAGGAAGAGGATACGCCCATGACGGAGGAGAGTGCTGCTGCACCTCCTGCAGCAGCAGCAGCAGAGGGGTGAGGCAGGCCAAGGTCGAAAAGGAGATTGGAGATACATCAAGGCTCCCCTCGCAGGGGCATGGTCGTCTGCAGTGGATGGATGGATGGCTGTACGCTGAAATGAGGCCATATTACACTACGAATAGGGTGAATTGAAACACATGATCATGACCCTCATCTCTCGCTGGTCCACACATGCCACACACCGAGGAAACACACACAGCGATTCGTCCAACGATAATCTATGCCCTCTAAAACTCCAAATGGACAACCCCCCCGAAAGCCTCAACGCAGATAAGATATAAACAGCTTCCTAACGGAGACTCCAAACATGTTCGAATAGCCATGCTCCTCCTCCTCCTGTCTTGACTAAACCCCTCGTCTCTCCTCTCCCGTGTTTGATGTCCTAACCATACCGGTACGCCCCCGCCTTGACTCCTACGAAGCCACGCGAGAGAATAAGACATGAGAACCCAAAAACCGCCCCTGCATCGCCATCACATCACATCGTCTCCCAGCCCCCGTTGTTGATGTCGGCCTCGAGCTTGCGGCTTATGTAGCTCGGGACGCCGTGGCCCAGCCAGATGGCCCGCAGCATCGAGTCGTATCTCTTCTGGTGCAGGTAGAGCTGGCGGCCGTGCCGCAGGCCCATGTCGACCTCGCCGTACTTGTCGATGTACGGCGCGTGGCTGAACGAGCCCGAGTCGCGGCACAGGTAGAAGACGCAGCACTTGCGGATGTTGATGAACAGGCCCATGTTCATTTGGCACCTGGGAAGAAAGAAATCACGGGTCAGTAAGAGAATCCAAAAAAAAAAAAAAGAAAGAAAGACGATGTTGCCTCTTCGTCTATCGAAGAGCGATGAGACTGGAGAACAAGAAAGCGTACCTCTTCATATGCTGCTGCGCGCCACCGATCCGCCTCGAATTCCGGCTGCGGCCATCCTTCTCCTCCTTAAGGCAGCAGACGGCCTGTCCGCAGAACACGTCGCCGCACATGAGGCAGATCATGGGGTCCGCCACGTCCTTGCCCGTCGTCGGGCACCGGCGGCGCGTGCACTCCTCGATCAGGTGGTCGTAGTTCAGGGGCAGGCCCACGAGCTCAAAGATGCCCGGGTGGCTGACGAGCGCCGAGGCGGGCGGGCGGGGGGACAGGGTGGCGCGCGGGTAGACAAAGTCGTGCCGGATCCAGCCCCGGACGAGCGAGTGCGACGCCTGGGTCCAGCCGTACTCGGAGCCCAGCGGGGTCAGGGCCGTGCACATCTCGTCGAAGCTCGGCACGCGGAGCGCCTCGGTCAGACGGTCCAGCTCGTCGAGCTCCGGGGAAGGCGATACGTGGCTGCGGAAGTCCACGCCGAGCCTCGCGTAGAGAAGGACGGCGGTCTTGCGCAAAAAGGTGAGGGCATACTTCTGGACAAAGGAGTAGTACCCCTCGACATCCTTGAACGCCTCCTGATCGAAAGCTCTGTTCTCCCCAAGGCTATCGGCGGCGAGCACCGAAGCGTCCATGACCGCACCCTCCCTCGTGCGGACCTTCATATCAATCCTGATAACCTCCTTGCAGAACTCAGCAAAGTTGTCCAAGGCCGTGCCGTTCGGCTGGTAGTTGACGAAGTTGGCCACCCAGGTAGTTCCCGGGATGTTGCGCCCCATGTGGTAGACAACCTTGACGATCTCGGCCAGATAGCAGAGGCGGACCAGATGAGAAATCTCAAAGTCCTGCACAGGCATGACGCCAAAGACGCATTCGCAGAGGAAGATGAACGGATCCATGCTCAAGAGAGGCTCGTAGAGATCGGCTGGCCGGTGGGTGGTATCGGTCTCCTGGCCGAAATACTGCTCTATGAACAGCTGACAGTGCTGGCGCTCGGCGTTCCTTCGGTGCTCGTCCTCGATTTTGTTCACTCCGCCGAAGCGTTGGCCCCCGACGGCGATGTAGGAAGATACAGTCTCCGCCAGAATGCGAAGATGGGTCAAGATTTGATCTGGGATCTTCTCCAACAGTGTCATGCCGTACTCAGTGTCAGTACCTCGTTGTTGAATCTCGACGGCAGAGATGGAGAACCCAACGGAACGTGCAAGAGTGTCACTCGAGCAGAGCTGGCTATCCATCTCATCTGCAGCTTCCATCGGGTAGGCGGATTTCAGTCCGTTCTTTCGAAGAGTATCCCGCAATCGTCTGTACGCCGACACCAGCTCGGTCATGATATTGCCTTCGGCTGCTGAGCTGGCCCTAGCCCTAGCGGTCGCAGGCGGGGGGGCATTGGCGAATGCTTCAGTTGAAGGAGTGGTACTCGTAGCAGTGCCGCCGGGCAGGGCATCCCAAGCATCCGTGACGAGATATGATGACTTATCAGCCATGCTGCCCAGGAACGAGTTCGTAGTGTACTGCTTAAAAGAGCCCAGCACCCGGTCTGGAGGACGTGCCGCACCAAGCAAGTAATATGCAGATGTCATCTGGTGGTCGAGGAAGTCGCTAAAGGGAGTGGCCGCATTGAGTGCTCCTGGGTAAGATTCTTCATGTCCTTTCCAGATGATGGGAAGGAATGCATTCCCAAGGGCCTTGCACAGAGGACAGACAAACTCGAGGCGGTCAGCAGCTTCTGGATGGTGCCGGGCGATCTGGTGCGCATGGCGGCGCGTAGTGGCCTCAAAATACATCTCGAAGCAGCTGTAGTGCATGATGTGACCGCACCCTATAGAAACCGGTCCAGGACGGCAGTTTTCTGGGGCAAAGCCCTTGCCAATGACCTGTCGCTCTGTAGTGAACGTGTTTCCGGATGAGTTGACCTTGGCCACTTGTCGCCGATTCTCATGGGCAACGCCAAAAGGCCGGATCGCCTCGGCGGAGCGATCCAAATTCTTGGGTGTGTTTGCTGCTTCTCTAACGAAGTCTGGATCCTGAAAGTCCGTCTGTCTCAGAATGTGACTCTCGATGAAGAAGGCAAATGTGCCATAGAGACGACGGTCCTCTGTCTCCTCCTGACAAAGGATACAAGTGCCTGAAGGATACTTCCAGTGGTTCTTCTGTTCCTCGACCGGCTCCGGAAGCTCGTCGTCCTCGTCGCTCATGACACCCCAGTCGATATCTCCCTGGTTTTCCATGAAGCTCTTCTGCTGCTGTTGGAATTGAGCCATCACTCTCGCCTGGCGGTCCAGGGCCGCCCGCTTCTTTTTCTCCCTCTCCTCATTCGCACTGCCGATGATGGCAGGGGAGGCTGTGCTGATGCGGTCGACGGGAACACCAAGCCGAAGGTAGGCAGCCTCGAAATCCCGCGGACGTTTCTGACGCATCCGCTTCAAGATCAAGGCAATCTTGGCGTGACAGACCTTCAACTCGTCCTTTGTTGACATCATGTCCAGCAAGGCCACGATAGTCTTGGCGGAAGGCGCCTCTTTGATAAGAACGCTCCGCGCATTCTTGGTAAGGGCAAGACGGATGAAGGACGGCTGCGTAGAGTCGTCGGGATCTGCGATATCTTCCGAGATGGCAATCAGGACAAGGTGCAGAACAACCTGTAGGAACGTCTCGATTCGTGTGAGGGGTACATTGGGAGTCCATTTTTGAGAAACCAGCGGGTACAAGAGCGAGTAGTAGATGATCTGGGCGAACATTCCGGTGCTGGTGAAAGCCGCCAGGCCAACAAACGCGCCCGATGTGATTGGACGTAGATGGGGCTCGTAGACGATGTCCTCGATCGGCTTGCCAGTCTTCTTGGACATCCATTTGCGGTAAGCTGTCTCCGACTCCTCTCGCTGGTTCTTGTTGTAGTGCGCACTGTAGGGGTCAACCTCCTCAATGAACTGTGGCTTCAGCTCGAAAGTACCGACGTCGCTGATTCCCTCCGGAGCCTTGAAGGTCGAGAGCTCTTCGAGCACGCGGTGGAATTCTTCCATCTCCTGATACTTGTCCGGCATCTTGTTGGAGATCTCGGAGAAGGAGAGTGGCTTGAAGCAGAGCACATGGGTGAGATCGCGGCGCAGGGTCGTCAGCAACTGGGCGTTCGGCTCGTCATCTGCTGTCTGCACAAGAGAGGTCCTGTCGCTGATCAAGACGATCAACAGGTGAATCATGTCCTCGACGACATCAAGATGTTGGCTGTCGTCTTGCGCATTGGCTTTCTGCTCGAAGATGCCCTTGACCCAGGTCTCCATACCAAAGCGGTCCACGACTGACGCCAAGACACGACTCGGGTCGCAGATAACGAGGGCCGTCTGGAGGAGGAAGATATCTCGGTGGTGCGAGACATCTCGCTGAGTAACACCCCTGTAAGTGCCGGCCTGGTGTCGCAAGCTCATGCCATTGCGCACCCACATGCCCGCCTTCATCTGGGCAAGCCATGCGCATACGCGTAGAGGATAATCAAACATGGCCATCAAGTAGTCCTCCGGGCTATAATCCCGCTTGGGAAACACTTTCCGGCCCATGGAGCGGGGGCGCATCTTGAGCTCTTGGGTGGTGAAGCTCAGGAGCGCCCGAAGCTGCTCAGGAGGCATGGACTTGCCACATTCGACGAGCCAAGAGAGGGTGTAGTGCAACGCATGGTGGAAACTAATCGGCTTCTCTTCCACCACGAATTTGACCACTTCGTAGCTTGCATTGCCTTCGGCAAACTCGAAGTCACTCATAGTCTTAAAGGTCACCTCATCCTTGATCTCGGCCTGGGTGAACCTAGTACGCTCGGCGCCAATCGAATTCAGGATGACACACTGAGCAGCGAGACGGATCGCCTTGAAAACATAGATGGAATCCGCTTCCCGTACGTTGCGGAAAGACTCTGAAAACTGGCGGCATAATCGGTTGATCTCGCGCGTGATCAGCGATGCGCTGATCCAGGTGTCGGTCTCGTACTCGACATGCTCGCCGACCGCCCGGACGTTGGGACAGATACCCTGGTGCAGCTTCACTAGATCGAGAAACTGCATCATGTACCTCTCCTCTGTCCTGAGCTTCTCCTGCACATGGGGAGAGCCAAAGAGATATTTCAAGTCCAGGAAGAAATGGTACATCCTCCGGTTGGTGACCGAGCCAGTGTCAAAGGCCAGCACCGCATTCGACGAGACATCCCAGGGGTGTCCAACTTGGCGCGTGGTCAGGAAGGTGTAGAGAATGGCCATCAAATTGGTCAAGAAGTTGCCACGCTCCACAATCTCGGCAGTGATTGAGGGTGTTGTCAGCATCTGCAGCGAGATATTGATGATGGAGTGATCCGGCTCGCGGTCACCTATGAGATACAGCTGCGCCAGGGTAGTATAGAGCCCGGCAAATCGGAGACCAAGGACACGCTTGAACTCGGGGATGGTGACGACTGTCGAGATGTACAGCGACCGAAGATCATTGCGGACTTTCTTCCACATGCGCAGGTCGAAGAGAATCATCCAATCCAGACGCACGCGCTTGAAAAGATCCTCGGCTGTAGGAACCTTCTCCCGCTCCATGTAAGCCGCAGGAGATCCCAGCCAGTATCTCCCAGGTCTCGGTGGCGCCGCCTTGTCGGCTTTTCCAGCGCCGGGTGTCTTGGGTATCTCAAGATTGGACTTGGTATACACCGTCGGTGCAATCAAGGGCTCAGCAGTATCAGAATCCGAGGGAGTGAGGTCACGTTCACGTGTCGCTCGGCGCGCTGCTGGCTGAGGTGGAGGAGGAGGCGGTGGTGGATAACCAGCCATCGTTGCTTCGTCTTCTTCAAGACTCTCTCGCGAACCATCTACCCAATCTGCCATGTTGACATCATCGGTAGGTTCTGCGGTAGTTTCGATCAAAACCATGTCGACATCGTCGTCTTCGTCCATGGCACCACTTGAAGGCGTGTCTCTATCACCATCGCCTTCCACATCCGCGTTATCTTCCTCGTCCGACTCCTCGCGTAGTATCTCAGCCGTTTGCGCGGCGAGCCGAGCCTGCTGGAGTAGGCGGTGATGAGCCAGGAAGACGCTGGCTCCCACATCCTCCTCGCCTCTTCGCTCCAGCAGGTCTTCATCGTCCAGGCCATGTTCGCCAACCATTGCGTGGCTAGCGGGGCTGCCTTGTCTCCACGGCTGGAGCATCTCCTCGCAGACGATCCGTCTGAGTATGAAGTGATCGTGACCGACGCTGCATCCAGAGATGTCGCCAAGCCACTCGATAAGAGTACCGCACATCTGTTCTCTGAATGTATCTCTCGAGGAGCGAATTGTGACGGTGACCTTGATGTTCTCGAGTATCCTGGAAACGTTGAGCAGCTCTTCGATACTCTTTGAGTGTTTGAGCAAGCTCCGGCCAACGGCGTCGGTCTCGTACGCGCGTTTCAGCCCTTCAGCATGCGACATCCTGCAGGCACGTGCGACCTGGTCCTTAACATCCGTGATGGTGTGCTTTTCGTCGTTCCAGAGCAGCACGGCGTACTCGTCGGGCTCGGCAAGATCGCCGCCACCGTAGGTCGCAGATAGCCTCGAGGACCTCTCGTCCTGTTGAATAGATTCAACCGTCTTGGTCTGTCGAAGCTGTTCGGGAGAGCAGGAGATGACGTCGCACATGAAGTCAAATGCCCGGCCGATGGTCATGCGCATGTTGGCAATGAGGTCGTCTGGCAGACCGGCTGCCTCCTTGTCCTTGCCCTTGGACCTATCGCCCTCCCACATGGAGTGGATCGTGCAGAACATGGGCACCCGCCATGCCTCCGGGTCGCCGCAGTCGCAGCAGCCGCTGTTGCCCGGCGATATGCTGATCCGCACCATGTGTCCTGTATGATCCGTCGAGTCAAAACACTTGCTGCAGAGACAGCAGGTGTCGTCGGCGCTGCAGGTCCTGCAAGCGTATGAAGCCTCGCCCGGCTTGAAGATGTGCCCGCAGGCCTTGCCACGTGCCGCCTCTGTGTACTCTGCACCCTCGACCGCCCCTTGTGCGTCCTTGAGCTTGAGTGTTCCTCCGGGGCGGAGGGGGCCGCCGTCCGGGAAGAGGAGCTGCATGTATTCAGGCTTGCCAGCAGCCATGCACCAAAAGAGGTTGGTGAGCAGTTCGCGGGCAGCGGCATCGGAGTAGCGATATTTGTGCTTAGCAGGCAGCTCCATCAGGAACTGACAGAGCTGCTGCTCTTGAGTCGACAAGGTCGCCTCCATGATGACGAGACCTGTTAGACCATCCTAGGGTTACAAGTGGAAGGTTGCTTCGTTCGCTCGACGGGAGTGGTCTTTGTCGATACTGTGTACGCGATGCGAGATGCAGCTTTGTGATGGTTGAACCTGGACTTTTTTGGTAGCACTGACAGATGGAAGCTGCATGTGGGGTTTCAGGCCTGGCGATTACTACCCAGTGGCGGGAATGAGGTCAACAAAGAGTCAGTAGCTTGTGAGCACCGGGAGATCGCAAGGGTGCTGTAAGCCCCGAACACTTTAAACAGAAAAAAAAGGAGGCCGGTAATTGGAGGTCGGCATACAATCAGCTCTGGATCCTTTACAAAAAGCTGCTTTGCTGTGGTTGAGCGTGAGCAACCCTTGAAGTTCCTCTCGATGATGATGATGTCGTTGGTTTCAAGGGTCCGCCCCGGGTTGATATGATATGGATGCCCAGGTGGGCGGCGATCGCTGGAGAGCTACCTACGGAGTAGTAGGTAGTTAACTGGTAGCTGGGTTCTGTGCTCAGTCATGCAGTGGAAGTCTCAGGTAGTCCCAGGCTGATACAGGGCAATGGGCGTCTCGGGTAGTGGGTTTCTTTAGTGGCCTCATCCCGCCCGGGCGCATTCCGAGTGTCCGGGCGGCTCTGTGCACAGCGTCATTCAACATAGGCATCCAATACTTGTACTTGACGACGACAGTGTGAAACCTCAACGGCGCAGATTGCTGTTCAGCAATGTTGGTCTAGATTCCACAGCCCCTGGTATCGCGTTTATTTAAGTGACCTTGTGCAACAGAAGCGTGGATGAGCCGAGGAATGGGTTGACCTGGATCCATCACACCCCTTGTTCACCTGATCTGGTACAGGACAGAGAGGTGAACACAGAGACAAAAGGTCACCGACATGGCACGAGCAACGAGTTTTTCAAAAGGGACGCTCTATTCCGGCATTTGTCTAATCCGTACAAAGTGGTGTCCTTGCCACTTGACAACCAACAGCCCTCCTAATCGTCACACAACTCCCGCTTATTCCTCGGCCTCGACATACTTGGCGCGGATGTCCTTCCATTGCCGCTGCTGCTCGTTAGTATCGGATGCTTGGAGATCAGGAAGGTACTGCAGAGGACGTACGCCGCGGTTGATGCTGTCCCAGACCTTGTTCATGCCGGTGTCGTAGACCCTATTCCAGTCACGCATCAGTATCTCTTCCCGATATTCAAGGATCGGCGCGGGTCACTCGTACATCTCGAAGGCAAAGGCCGAGGCGAAGACAGTGCCCAGCATGGCATAGTTCTTCCGGAAGAAGAGGCTGTAGGCGAGGGGTTAGTGTCGTCGTCCGGGACACCGAGTGTAGGGCCAACTTGCTTGTAGATGGGACGAGACTGGGCGACCTGCGATTGCGCGATTAGTGACTGCCGGGCCAATTGCCTGCCTGGCGCCGAGGAATGCTCACCATTGTGACGGGATTGTATCTCGACAGGCTGACAAACGGAGCTGCGTTGTTGCGGGTTGTTGGTAGGATGGATCGTGGAGAGGAGAGGTGGTGCGATACGAGCCGGCCAGCCTTGGATTCAAATTTGGAGATTCTCTTCGGATGTTCATGGGAAACAGCCGAATAACCCGCCGCTGATTGGCCAGAGCTTCCGTGCTGGTATCCACTCTGTTTTGGTGGGGCCAGAAGACGTTCGTGACCAAACTTTGGACACCACTCAGGTCAGCCTGGCTGCCTTTTTTTTTTTTGAGAAGTAAAGCGGAATATCCCCCACGCGACCAAATGGCGAGGTAGCAGAGCGTCTGGGGTTTAGAATCAGCCAATTCTCCCTAGTCACCAATATTGGTGTCACAAAATCAAGCCAGGATATCTGGAGAGTCGGATTTCGGCGTCAACATGCCGTCGCAGCCTACCAACGCGGGTATCGTCACCGACGAGCAAGGCGATCGCCATATTCCCGAGTCTGTCCGCGCAGACGGCAGCACGAGAAAAGCCATCAAGATCCGACCGGGCTACAGACCGCCCGAGGATGTCGAGCTCTACAAGAACCGCACTGCCGAGACCTTCCGCAACCGGGGCAAGGGCCCAATCCCTGGCACTGAGGGGTTAAAGGACGACAAGGCGGAGCAGTCGTCTGCAGCCAGCAACAAGAACGCAAAGAGGCGCGAGGCGAGGAAGAAGGCCAAGGCCGCGGCCGACACTTCAGAGGATGCTGCCAAGAGCAACCCAGCCGGCGATGCTGCTCCCACGGCGGAGGAGGTCGACCCAGAGGTCGAGCAGGAGAAGAAGGCTAGGAACCTCAAGAAGAAGCTGAAGCAGGCAAAGGAACTCCAAAGCAAGAAGGAGGGCGGAGAGACACTTCTTCCCGAACAGATCGCAAAGGTCATCAAAATCAATGAGCTGATCCGGGAACTGGATGCTCTTGGATTCGACGCGGAGGGCGAGCGAAAAAGCACATCTGCAACACCCGAAGCCGGCAAAGAGGTGTGAGCAGTCGAGGCACAGCATGAAGATATCTGCTATTACCACGGCCTCGCAGACATGGACTATATTATCATCGAGCCAAGCACACGAACCGGGTCCTTGGACCCTTCCGTCCTACTCCCTGGACTCCTAGATTCGGGCTCTCTGCAAAGGGAGACAAACAACTTACTGTCCGCTGTCAACAATGTCCCGTCATACCGGCCCTTCCATGGCTGGTTCTTGACTGACTAGCCCAAGACGGCCTGCTGGGACGAAATCACCACGATATAGTGTGGGGTAGAAGGGTACTTGTTCAAAGAAACAGCCCACCTGTGACGGCATTTGCGCCGGTCTGTGGCTTACTATGGAGAACAAGAGCTGTTCAGGTCCAAGCTCGGGCTGTATCGAGGCTTGCGTGGGATTCTAGTCCACACGCCGAAGAAGGGAGAATAGGTCTACTGCTGGCCTTTGACTGAGAGCATTTTGCTGATTCAGCGTCGAGCACTCCGCATCGGCGTCGCATAGCAGAGGAGTATTGCACAGCATAGAGGAGCGCATTTTGAAGAGATAGCCGGCCTCTGTAGACCAATTCAGGCGTTACTACTTCCCTAGAGACTTGACAGGGCTCTTATCCCCATCTAGCATGACTCAACCCATCAGTCCGCATTGTGACGTCCTAGACTTGTGAGCGGCTGGTATCGAAGCCGTGCGACAGAGCTACCCCAACCTTGCTGCCCGAGTTTCTGCGACTCAGGCAGCTCATACATGGACAATCGTGAAAGCTAAAACATGCACGTAGTATATGTCATAATACTGACCGGCCCGGCCCTCGGCCTTTTCATTAATATCTTTTTCTGAACCTCAAAGCATCAAGCAGCAGCATACACTACTTGCTAGGTACCTGACTTGAGCCTCTCCAAGTCGAAAAGCTATCCTGCCCCACTACCAGTTTAGCTAGTAGCCAATACAGCTATCTCCATATCAATCCGCTCACACTCCAAACTCCCATCCCGCTCCCGTACCTCCCCCCCGACCAACCTCGACCTTCTGAGACCGTACGCACGGCACCCATTCCTCAGCCAAACCGTCCTCCTCCCGGCCCAATTCCTCGTCTCCCGTCCGACAACCTCCCGGCGACCGACCATGAGCAGTACCCAGTGGATAGACTGGTCCAAGACGACCAAGTCCAAGAACTACCATGGCAGCAGCTCCTTCGCGACCTTCCTCATCATCGGGCGTAAGCCTCTTCTCCTCTAGATTTACCCTCCGCGCGCCAGACTAACACGTCTCTCTCTCATTAAAAAGCCGTCTGCTTCTTCCTAGGCATCCTCTTCGCCTCCTTCCCCTACGACTTCCCCCTGCTGTGGTCCTCGGCCCCCGTGCCGGCCTCGTACTACGACATGCTCGAGACGCACCTCAAGTTCATGCACCAGTCCCCGCCGCTCATCGCGCGCCTGCTGACCATCGTCATGGCCGTCGGCTTCCTCGGCTTCTTCGTCAAGCTGTTCCGCCCCTCCGAGGCCAACGTGCTCTTCGACGGCTCCTCGCTCGTCCTCTACGTCATCGGCGCGGGCATCTACATCGCCAACATCGTCACGGGCCTGCGCTCCGTCTCGGCCGGCACGCTCGGCCGCTCGCAGTTCGACACCGCCGCCGCCGCCGGGGGCGACGCGGCAGCGGCCGCGGCGCAGGCCAAGCACGTCGTCGAGGGCCCGCTGACGGGCCAGGTCGAGCTCACGCGCGAGGACAGCCTGCGCGTGCTGAGCGCCAGCAACACCATCCTCGCGCTCGTGCTCGTCGGCGTGCTGGTCCTGCAGGCCGGGCAGTGGTACGCCGAGCGCAAGGACGCCGACGACCAGGAGATCCTCGAGCAGGAGAAGCGGGACAAGGCCGCGGCCGCGGGCGCCGCCAAGAAGAAGCAGTGAATGAGCTAGGCTAGCTACAGGGACGGCGCGCAAAAGCAAGCCTTGTCTCTCTATCTCCTTCCAAATGTGCAGTTTTCAGTGGTGCTGGTGGGCCGGCTTGGGTTCTTAATGATGGGCAAGGGTTTCGGCAACTATTGCTTGTGTCATACGGGAGTAGTCGATCATGTAGATTGCATAGGCGGGCTTCAAACCCTCCCAGAGAGGGTTCGTTTAGGAGTGGGCGCGTTATTGCATGTAGCTATCCTGTAGAGAGATAATCATCTCTACGCTGCTGCATGTTCTTGAATACACATAGTCAGCAGTGACACCCATGCTCGTGAATCTACCTTTTGTCAATCTCGATAACGGCACAGTCTCGCAGGCATCGAAAGAGGCAACACTAGTTTTAATTTGAATAGATTGATTGTATTTCTATCGAGGGCTGGACCTCTAGAAACTCCGCGCCCGTAAACGCCGCTGAATGCAAAGGGTATCAAAAATAGCGAATGCGCAAACCTGCCTCCCGGCCTCTCTATCTGAACGATGAATATATGTCTGTAGGAAATGGATACCCTTCGCAAACCTGGAGGCAGCGCAGTCTGCGTAGACCAAGTTGGTATCAAGGAAAATGGAAAAAGAGTTGTGGTGATAATTCCGCTCAAGAATGGTGAGAAAGCGCAGAGTAAAAAGACTGGTGGTCTAGATCGCTGTGTTGTGTAGATCCAAGAAAAAGGCATTCGCTCGCTCGGGTAAAAACAAAGGGCACTCGAACTCTCCACCAACGTGTCAGGTAGCAGGATACATATCCATCAAGGGAGTTTCCCAACGACTGTAAAAAATGCAAAAGGAAAGTTGACCTCCACGGCCCCATCCCCGCACGAGGACATCTGCAAGTGTGTCCCGCGCTACCTCCTCCACCGTTTCGAAGCCGGCGTCCCCTGCACGCTGTTCGCGCCGCCGGCGCCGCCAGCGGCCCCGGGGGGCACGTACGGCTCCCCGCGGTTGAACCCGCCGAGGTCCGCCTGCTCCATGAGGTTGGAGAAGGTGGTAAAGTTGCTCAGGCGCCGGTCGGCGAACCCGCCGCCGTCCCGGCCCACGGTCTGCGGGTCCGCAAACACCTTGAGCGTCTCGAGGCTCGGCTCGCGCTGCCGCAGCGGCGTCGACGGCGCCTCCTTGGGCCCCGGCCCGGGCACGCCGTAGGCGATGCTCGAGTTGCGCATCTGCCGGATCGGCGGGACCTGCCCGTTGAGCAGCACGCGCGGCGGCGTGGTGGGCACAGCGTTGTTATTGGTATTGTTGTTGTTGGTGATGGTGGTGTCCATGCTGCTGACCGAGAAGTTCGAGGCGGGCGCCGCCATCCGCCGCGCGGGGCCGCCAAAGTTGGGGTCGCGCCTGGGCCCGCCGGGGGAGGACCCGGGCGTGTTGCCGGGCGTGTTGCCGAGCGACTTGCGGTTGAAGTCGGTGCGCATGGTCGAGCTGTCGTCGACGATGGGCTTGCTGATGATGGGGTTGGCGATGATGTTGCCAAAGGACGAGGTGGAGCGGTGGAACTTGAGCGCGTCCATGTGCTCCCGCTTCTTCCGCCGCCGCCGGCCCAGGCAGATGCACGCGACGATGCCGACGAAAGCGAGCCCGAGGATGCCGCCTACCACGCCGCCGATGATGGAGGCGGTGGAAGGCGAGCTGCTCCCCTGGTCGACCACGGGTGACACGGTCGCTCGGGAAGGGTCTGTCGAGGTGCTGCTCGGGCTTGTACCCGAATTGGTGGTTGAGCTGGTGGGCTGGGCAGTCGATGACGATGGCGTTGTCTGAATGGGAGCCGCATTCTGGTCTGCATTCCGCTTGCAGTAGCTCTCGCCATCCTCGACGTTGCAGGAATACCCAAAGGGGCAGCACTGCTTGCCGCACCGTTCCAGGACGCCGTTCAAGGCAGTCGTCTTTACCTGGGCGCTGGGATTCGTCTTTGGGTTCTGTACGTTGATATCGCACGGTATGAGCTTGATATTCTCACAGCCGTTGGGCGTATCGCAGCAGAGCACCGTCGTGTTGGCGGCCAGCATGTTGCAGAACTGTTTGGAGGGGCAGCAGAGCAGATCCACGGCGTTGGTGCCGGCGCATATCACGCACTGGTCCGCTCGTGCGAAGAGGTCGTTGGCCGGGAGGGACGCAGCGCCAACACCGCCAGCTCCGGCCGAGAGAAGGAGAAATGCCAGAGGCCATATCCGTGGCTTCATCTTTGCCATACTGTATGTGTGCCTTCCTCGCCTGTGTGTTTCGGGTTGGTGTGCCGTTTGTGACGTCGGTACTGTCAAGGTCATGAGAGGTGTCTCGATGGTGCGGTCGCTTTCGAGGCGGTAGTCTGGCTATATCGCGAGATATACCAGCAGGTCGTAGGGTAGGGTACTGTGAGGCAAAGAGGAGCCAAGAGCAAGAAAGTTGCACAAAAGCACAGAGTGGGCAGGTATTATAATATAGAGTGGCAGAAGAGTAGTGATTCATGGGCAAACAGCGGCCACCTCTGCGTCACTGACTAGAAAGTATACCAGCAGCCAGAATCTTGAATCTTTTTTAAGCGAACAAAGAACAAGAGAGCTAGAGTTCGCAAGCTACCCAGGTGGTGAGAGAACTGGTGGCAAGAAGGGAGGAGAACAAAGGAAATTGTAAATATAAAGCCAAGCGCTACGAGAGCAACAATGGCATCACGCGGGCCGTAGAATGATCAGAGACAAGAGGAAGCACCCGCAACGGCCCATACAAGCATGCCGGCGGGCAGCGCATGATATCATCAGAGACGATGGCTTTTGCCTGCTCGCACGACAAAGGAGCCTGGCTTGAGAACAAGAGCCTTTCAGCAATACACCCCAAGACGCAGGGTCCCCTCCGAGCTTAGTCCCAAAGTGCCCATCAATGCCGGTATGACCAACGAATGCCCGACCACTTGGTCCATGGGGCAGATGCTGCGGCGAGAGGCACGCAAGATGGAGGCCGTCGAGTGGCCATCAGACGGCCGCCGGGAAGAAGCGATGATGGGCAGTCAGTCCACAGGACGTTTCCGGGGGGCCGAAGCAGCAGAGGGCGACGTTTCTCACAATCCGGGGAAGGCCCGACGGCCTCTCCTCAGTGGTCACGCAGGCAGACCAAGACGACGGCGTCGGCCAGAGCAGACCTCTCCTGGGCTCATCCAGTGTCAGGAGCGGCCAGAATCTGAGGCAGTGCAGTTTCGCTGGAGGGGGCCATTTGGAAATGACAGGCCGCCGGCGAAGCGCCTGGCCGTTGACAGAGACCGTGTCGTTTCCCTTGTTTCAAGGGTAGCCGACTCTTCGACTGGCAAAGAAGAGTCTCTGGGCGCCTCGCCGTCGCAGTCAAGGCGTCAGAAGTAGGCGCGTCGAGGGCAAAGACAGCGCGCGATTGGCCGGCGTCCCAAATTAGTCAGAGCTGTCTCCCCTCGACAGGAGCAGGACAGCGAAACGGTTGGTGGTGGGCGATCCTGGCGGCAACTTGGGCCAAACATCCCTGTCGCAGTTCACTGTGTGCCCACAATTGCCCGATGGCAGCATGCAGTCAGTGCCAGGCGCCCGTCCAACAGACACGACCATGAACCCACGCTGGTCTGGTCTGATCGTAATTATCTCTGGTGTCAAAAGTCGGTCGGGTCGGATTTTCTATTACAAGCATATTCGCGAGCTCCATACCCGCGCAAGGGAGTATTTGGCCGATCGCCAGCTCTTCTCGGAAGAAGGCGTGCCGGTGCTGACTCTCTGAGCCACGTATGGACCTGATCGAACGGCCTTGGATGCCTCCCACTGACGACGACGACGACGACTGCATTGTTCGTCTGGGGCGCTTCCAAGTTCGTCTTGTTCTTCTTGGGCTTCGATTTGTTCCGTAACACCTGTCACGAGGCCTTTCTGATCTGCCCAGACCTCGGGGATCGACGAGGGCCAGAACTGACGAGACCGCGGGTGGCCGTCGATCATTGACCACTGCGCCCTCATGATCTTCCCTCACACCGCAAATCGCATCCCGGTGAAGCTCTCTTTTCAGCTGCCCAAGATCCTGCTCAAAAGAAAGAACCTCTTCTCCGACTCCGCCGGACTCACCTCAACCCACTAGTCAGCGGTGCCGACGTACCTAACTCTACGAAGGGGGTGTGAGTCGATCAACACTTCGCTCGTGATAGCAAACCCCGACTTACACCACGCACGCACTCACCCGCTCTAGCCGCGACGGTCCAAAATGGGCCATCTCCGTTCCCAGCGAATTGCACGGCCGCGTGCAGGTCACATGGACAAGACTGCGAGATTTCTTCTTTCTCTGCTCTTTTCTCTCCTCAGCTAGTTAATCCCGACAATCGAGAAGAAGAAAAAAACTTGTAAGCGACGCTGTCTCAGAGCCCGGCCGGCGCTTCTCATTGGGTCCCAGCCCCCGGACAAGGCCCTTGTTCACTACCGACTGGGCTTTTGCGCGCCATCTCCAACCGTCCCAGTCCCGTCCAGGCGGTGAAGACTGCTACCTACCTACACCGTCCCTTTTCCGACACGTACAAGAAAAAGAAAGAAAAGCCACAAGTGAAAAAAAAGAGGAATGTGAGTCAATATGACGATCGCATGTCTAGTGCGCACGAAATATTGGAACGCCCTCTGTCCCGAGCCGTCCTGACCCTCGTTGTCCTTCACGAGGCCCCACGTGGGAATTCAGCCGTGTCTCATACCCGACCGGTTTGCTTTTTTTTTCTCTCTCTAGGACACACCTGTTGAAGCTCGCCCGGGTAGGAGATCACAGGTCGGTCCCGGAATGTCGATGGACTGGCCTTATTGCCTGGCCTTCATCAGTCCCCCCTGCTCCTCAGCTGTACGCCGGCAGATGCAAAAAGCTGAGGGAGTAGATGGACATGGGATGTGCTCCGTTCTTGTCAGTGGCTTCTGTAGACATGTCCTGGGTTGACCACTGGGACCATGAGTGGGCTCCTGTGTGCAGAGAGAGAGGTGCTAGGTAATCATTTGGCGCGCGCCAGGTCATGACCAACACCCAGGGCCACCTTTGTAACGCACTTGGGGAGGAACAAAGGCGCTTGAGTCTCGAGTCCACTAACAAGACTCGCTCAAGCAGGCCATTGTTCTCTGTTAGCGAGCGGCTGGCCTCGATGCCGTAGCCCTTCCCATCTCATTTGAGAAGAAGCGCCCTCTGCCTCAAAGCCAGTCGTCCCCGTCTTCGCCCTCCAAAACCCGGTCGACGGCGGGCGTCTATCGTGGCAAGAATTGCAAACAGAAGAGTTGCACTTCTCCCCAACGATAGGCTCAGCCAGGCTTGTTGTCATGTCACAGTTCGCGCGCGATAGCAGGAGTGCAAGGCAAGGAAGTGTTTTGTGTAGTGTTTTTTTTTTAAATATATATTTTTTTGAAATTGGGTATTTTAACTATTACAGTGCGTGCGTGTGATATAAGTCAAAAGGGAAGCCCGTTTCGGTCGTAAACAGCGTTTCCCTTGTTTTGGCTCCCAGAGCATTGAAAGCCCTCCATGCTCTCTCTCTCTCTCTCTCCTCCTTTCCCAACCGATGATGCTCCCGTGGTATACCTGCCCCCCGTTCCCTGAAAACCAATAATCATCATGCGCGTGGGGTGGGAAAAACGCCCAGCGGAATACCCGAAAAAGAACTCCTTGACCCAATGCATGGCAGGGTGGTATATGATGGAAATCTTCCCGAAGAGAGGTGGGAAGTCTTGCAAAAAAGGGAGAAAGGAAGAAAAGGTATGCTGCTGTATCCTCCCGGGTTCCAAAGACAGCTTCCAGCCCAGCTGTGGAACGAAGATCCTTTCATCCATCCATCCATCCATCCACCACCCAAGGTTGTCCAAGTACCAAGTGTTGTCCCAAACTCCTTCCCGTCTCTTCCCCCATGTGCAATGCCTCGCGGCATCCTCTAAGGAATTGAGGAAGGAATAGAAAGAGAGAAAAAGAAAAAAGCAAAAAAGGATGCTCAAATGAGCAGGAAGTCCCAACCCCTCATCTGCATCACGTCCCGCCAGTGGACGTACTGCTGAGGAGTCTGGACCTCCGGGGCGACGACGCCGCCGACGACGGGCGACGGCATGCCGCTGTCGGCCTGGATCCACACGTCGCGCAGGAGGGAGACGGCGCGGCCAAAGGAGCCAATGTTGGCCAGCTCGCCGAGCTGGGCGATGCGGTCCTCGAACAAGGCGCGGAAGGGCGAGCCCGCGGTCGACACGGACCCGCCAACAAGATACACCCAGACGAGGGAGCGGTCGAAGCCGCCCGGGCCCGACGGGATGTACTGCAGGAGGCCCGCCAGCTTCTCGACGAGGCCCATGCAGCTGGCCTGCGAGGGGTGGAAGCCGGGCACCAGGGAGCAGAGGTAGATGCGCGCGGCGAGGCGGAAGGCGGCCGTCATGTTCTTGCTCAGCTGCTTGGGGCTCAGCGAGCCGTTGGCGTTGAAGGGCATCTTGGGCGCCGAGTCGGCCGTCTCGGTCAGGCCGATCTGCTCGCCCAGGACGCGCACGTGCTCGCAGAGGACCATGTCGTCCATGCCGTCCTTCTTGAGCGCCTCGAGGCAGGCGATCTCCGAGATGAGGTACATGACCCGGTCCTCGCAGCCCATGAGCTCGCGCAGGCCGAGCGACGAGTTGGTCTGCGAGAGGTGCTTGTCGCGGTAGGTGTGGGCGAAGGTCGGGGCGCAGCCGAGCATGGTGGCGCCGAGGATGTCGATCCAGGCGGTCAGGGTCATGTTGAAGGGCGGCTGGGCCAGGGTGTCGTTGGGGTCCGAGACGATGCGCGGCAGGTCGAGCTTCTGCACCAGAGAGATGGCGGCCTGGAAGTGCTGGTGCCAGGGGATGTCGGGGAGGGCATCGTCGAAGCGGCCGACGCAGCACTGGAAGAAGATGAGGCCGAGAGCCGCCTCGAGGATCTGCTGGTGGTTCTCGTCGCGGTTCAGAGCGTCGCAGAGCGCAGAGATGGTGGCATAGCGGTGTCGCATGATGTCGCTATCGATCTCCTCGGTCTGGATGCCCATGGCGTCCTTGTAGTGCTGGGCAGCGATACTCAGGCAGCAGTGCAGATAACCCTTGTTGGTCTGCAGGGCGGGCAGGATGAGGTCCGAGGTGACTGAGCCGTGCTGGTTGGTCTCCAGGATGGGGAAGAGCGTGGGGAGAACATATTGGATGAAGTGATCCAGAAGTCGCTGGTCACCCTCGTCCAGCTCGATCTCAACTTGCCTAGAGTCGCCCGAAGGGCCATGGGAGAAGTCAAAGAAGTTGACGTTGAGCGTCTCCTCGGTCAGCGACTCGCGGCGCTCAGAGTAGACCTGCTCGGTCCACTCGCCATCGATGGGGAACGAGGGGAGAACGGTGCCGGGCGGAGGCGGCGTGTGGTAGGTGCTGAAGGTCGAGGTGGTAGACTCGCGAATGGTCGGGACGTCGTTGACAAACATCTGCCTCTCGGTCTTGATGTCGACTTCGTAGGGAGAGAGCCCAGAAAACATAAAGTCGGGGTGCATCTGCGGAGTGAATGCGCCATACTCTGAGGTTGTCGGCGGGCTGTTGAAGTTGAAGGCGAAGTGCGAGTCGATCGAGGCAGATCTCGTCCGGTCCAAGGGGTCTGAGAACGTCGCAGAGGTGGGCAGAGAGTGCGAAAGACCTGGCGGTGAAGGCAGAGGGGTCTGGATGGCGTTCGAAGCCTTCTCAGAAAGCTTCTTGCGCTTGATGATGACCTTGATGTCGTCCTTGTGTTTCCTCCGCGCATCGTTGTTGCTCCACCACATCGGCCGCTTGTACTCGCATACGAGACCCAGGTGTTTGCAGGCAGTGCACATGGGCGAACCCTCGTCGCACTTCTTCCTCCTGAGTCTGCATGTGTAGCAACCTCCAGGGCAACCAGTGTTAGCTTTGAGGTCCAGTAGGGAGGGACTGAGATGTGCGACGGCGAGGTCCAAAGGAAAGATACAAGCGATTTAGAGGGGAGTCCGAAGAAATGGCACAAACCTGTTCTTGAGCGGCGATGCATCTGGGACTTTTGCTTGGAGTTGGCATTGCTGCTGGCCTTGGAGGCCGGCTTGGCCTTGGTCGACTGTGCAGCAGCCATGTTCATCGAGCTTGCTCCCATGAGGTTCTCTCGGTGGTTGGGGGGTTGTGTTGACATTTGTACTTATGTATCTCTATCTCGGATAGGGACCTGCGTTTGACTGACAAGCAACCCCGGGTGGAGAGTAGGGGAGGGTGGGAGTGTGGGTGTAGGTGTGGGAGCTCGAGGGGGGGGGGTGTGAGCGTTGAAGAGTGGGCTCTGGGCCGAGCGAAAGCGGGAGAGTTGCGACCGGGGGTCTGAGCAAGTCCGGGTCCAGAAGCCCAGAGGCGAATGTGCTCAGAGGTTGGGGTTCTGAGCTAACCAGGGCGAACGTCCAACCTGGAGTTCGAATTGGCGTAGGGGAAATTATCGTATTATCGAGTCGTTGCGAATGAATGACTGTTCCGAGCAAGTCCGGCTTGCTGTTCACTGGATATGGCAAAAGAGTATGGTTTTCTGTCGAACGTATGTTCCTTTGGAGGTCGATTAAGAGAAAAGAGAGAGAAAGAGTATAACTGAACTGGACAACACTTGGATCTTCAACCTTCGAATTCCACCTTGATCTTGAAACGAATCGAAGCAACATGAAGAAGGGTTGGATGGTTCAAGACTTATATCGTGGCCGCCAGCAGGTTGGCCGACTCTGCCAACCTGCACATCGCGAGCCCGCGAGCACTGGCTGTTCTATTCTTGGAACAAGAGCCAGAGTGACGAGCTGGCTAACCTTTTTTTGGCCCCCCTCCTCAGCCAACCCGGCTGCCCTACGGAAGAGAGGCAGGCCAAAGGTACGTACCACGCTCCGGAAGGGTAGATGAGCAGGCCATCTCTATCTGTGGGCCAACGTATGCAGGCCGTGAGCAACAAGAACAGGTGCCATCCCGCTGATTGGTGCCAATGGCGGTCAAGCGGAGAGACTTGCACCTTGGAGTGTGGATGGCAGTCATCCCCACCTCAGAATAGCATGGGCAATGGAGGAGTGGGCGGGCCGGACATGGGGTTGCAGATGCACAAATACCCTTGTCCCACACCCTCCACCGGTCAATTCGCACGGAAGAGGGTAGGCTGCAGGGGTCTCGAGAGCTGTCCAGCGACTAAAATGGCAGCTCCCACGAAGTACATTCCGCTCGAACAAAGTGCACTAGCTCCCGATATCCACCCGAGGGCATAACGGCCCTTGGTCGACGGCCTGCAGCAGTAGTGGGCAGGTCGAGGCTACCGAGAGAACGCCATCACTGGATGGCCACGGGTAGGTGCTTGCTACCCTGGCTGACTGTTGATTGACTGAGCAGGGGGGGGGGGCTGGGTGCGCGCCCGCCGATCTTGAGATGTAGAACCATGGCGTGTTGCCCATGGCCGTGTACAGTCTCATTCCAGGCGATGCAAGTGCAATCGGCATTGTAACTGTCAGCTGTAACATGTTGTTGGCCCAGCTATTCGAGAATGGGAATATGAGAGAAGAAGCTCGGAGAGAGGAAGGAGGAGAAGAGGAAGCTGAGAGGAAAAAGAAACCTTGGATATCGTCATCAAGTCGTAGACCGGTCTGTGAACCTTGTATGCAAGCACTACCTAGCCCCAGCCGAGAGAGCATAGACCAGGACTGTTCACCATGAAGCCACCGGCCAGATGAGCTGCATGTCGACGGCGAGCTAGTCCAGCCCAAAACAGCCGTGGCCTCCACTCGGTCAGCAAGCATGCCTGCTACGGAGTATGTTTTTCATGATTCCATCCCGTCTTTGGGCAGCGAACCTCAAAGGCCTTGGGGTTTTGATGAAGGTATCCACAGCAATTGAAGAGGCGAGTATGGAAAAGCGAGCCATCGCACCGTTTCAATGGAATCAGCTGTCAATCGGCTCGCCTCATTCCTTGATGCGGTATAGCCACCAGGCCGGGACCGGGCCTCGAGGATCGGGGCCAAGACAATGCCCTTGACCTCGGTCGCCTCTCAATTTCGCTGTCCGCAAATCAGTGGCCGAATCCTGGTGATTGTGAGCGGATTGGTTCTCGAGCCCAAACTCCGCCCTCTCTCTCGAGACTACTTCCGACTTGGGTGCACAGAGCTACCACGAGCTGTTCTCGTGCTACGGACTGGCTCGCCGTGGCAGAAAATCCCCGCACATGGCATACTCTCCGGCGGGCAGACAGCAGGAGTCGCCTGTTCCCTCGCACGACAGATGGACGAGACTAGACGATACGAGGCTGTTGTGTCGCCGTGGGAGGGAGAGAGAGAGACAGGAGAGAGAGAGAGGTACCGTCGTGCCTCCTGGTGGAAGTGCTGGTACAACGACGTACTCCGCAGGGGAGGAAGAGAACGGAGGAACAAGAGTGTCCCTCGACCGGCCCTTGCAGTACTTGGGCCGGCAGGGAAAAAGAGCACAAGGTCCTCACGAGGTGTGGGCAGGTCGGACGGTGATTCGACGGATGTCGTTGAAAAAGTGTGACGACTAAATGGCTTGTGCAGACACGCTAGGCTAGCCCTGGCATGCGGGATCAACCGTGGGCCAGTCGATACTAGCGCTCTGTGATGTGGCAGGGATGGCCACTTCAACACTGATCAGCAAGCAGGGCGGCTCTGGCCGCAGATTGGCTGCTGCAGAGCGATCGTGCATGACGGATGACAGGGCTTGCCGGGGATGTCGTCGACAGCGCGAGCCCTAGCAGATCAAGCTCGGGCCAATCATGCACGCAAGCACGGCAGACCTCACCCTGCCCCTGTCTAGTCTCTCGCCAGTCTGTCGAATTCTCTCTCGAGTCGCGTCTCTCCTCGTCTCTTGTCCTTGTGTGTGCGGGGTCTGCAGACGGGGGAGAGGGAGAAGGGAAGGGAGGGGGGGAGGCTGGCTGATGATCCTCAAGCTTCTGCCGCGTGAGCCGTCAAACCCTCCAGGCCTCTTTCAACCGGGGATGCTCAGCGCTGCATCCCTAGCGTCGCCTCTCTCCCTCCTCTTCCTCCTGCTGCTGCTGCAATGGGCTGGGTTTTCCCTATTCATCCATCCGAGAAGGCGGCACGTGCACCCTAGTCCCGGCCCGTTCTTCAACGCCTTCCAACGCTGGTCCGGCTGATGTGCGCCCATGTCACTCGCATGAGATTCCCAGTCCACCCAGCCAGCCTTCCAGCCAAACCACGAGGACTAATTAGCCGCCCAACTCCAGACTGTTGCCCAAATTAACATCAATAGTCTGCGTTATTTGCCCGGTCTGCATCTGGGCTAATTTCTATCCCACATGGTCGCATGGTCGCACTTGGCCTGCGAGCCTGCCTGCATGGGCGCCTACACGGCCAAATATCCCACCCCGATCACACCGCATCCTCGACAACCTCGACAACCTCGACACCACAACAGCCTTTTCTATTTTTATTTTGCCCTCTTCTCGAGATCCCACCCTCCTCTCACAGGGCCTCATGTCGAAATTAGCCCGGAATGCATTCCGGGCTAATTACCTGATCCCAGAATGGAATGAGGACTAATTATCATTGCTGACCAACAAGTTCCAGGGGTCGAGGTTCATGCTTCCTTAACAATTTTCTCTGACCTTGCTTACTTTCTCACCCTTTTCCGGTACCTCAGTCTGTGCCATCGCCGTCCCTGTCTGCATCGAGACATGGCTATCAATCTACCTACCGAACTTACCGGTCAGCACGGGTAACCTTTAGTTGCATCCTGACCCTGGCTAGTCGGCGACCGGTTCTGCCAATCTACTTGTACATCATACCTCAGTCTCGAGGGCATAGGTATGGCGATCTGACAGCCATGCTACCCAATCTCCTTACTCAACAACTTATCAATCAGAGATCCCGCTATCTTCCCTCGGCCCATCTGACTTGTGTTATCAGGCATCTGCATCTTAGTTTCTCACATATGCCTTCTATTCTCAACAGCACACCACACCTTGTCCTGCTCCTGTTCTGCCTCGTCTCGTCACCCGCGTTGCGTCGTCTTTCACATATCAGCCTGCTCCAAGCCTCAACCATGCCAGGCAGCCCACTGGCGACTTGGGTTTATGCTTCATGCAATTTCCTAATCAGTTGGGCAGCGCCGCCATGCGTGCTCACGGCAGCGACCGTTACGTAGCATTTTGGGCCAATGCCGGGGCTGGAAATGGACCGAGAAAGACTGGGCACTGGGTGATCTGCGCGCGGAACGTGCTCTTGCCCACCATGCTAATTTCCCTTTCCAGCCCGTCTAGGTACATACGTACTTGTACGTACACACAAAACCAGGGTTCGTAACCTTGTCGACTTGCCTTTCCCCCCCTCTCAGCCACGCCCATGATCGGCTTGCCGTTCAACGGCTGAATTCATGATCATCTCATTTCCCAGGTCACGGACTCACACCTCTCTCTCTCTTGGGCCTTTTGTTTAAAAATGGGGGTGTACATCTAGCAATCTCGTTGAAAAGGTCAAGATGTGATAGTGTGAATGCGTTGATATCAGATGAGATGGCGTACAATGCTAGCAAAAACTAGCCCCAAAGCAGACATTCCTGCAGGAGTGAGGTTACGCCATCTCTTTCTGCGGGCATTCTCCACGATCTGAGCACAGATCATGGCAGGCCGCAGACGCATATCACCATCTTGTCATCCATCAAGCCGGACGTCGACATACACGCTCGCACACAATGGAGCAGCAGATACGACGCTGTCTCGAGTCCCATATGCCATGGACGTGGACAGTCAAAATTACGATTCGCAATCACTATCGTGAATTCTGAACATAGCCCATCCCGGAAGTTGATGGGTGGAGAACGAACTGGTAAACCAAACCTTCTCCTCACACTCAAACACTAGACTCTACGCCAGCGTGGATTCCGCCAAGCTATGTCAGTCTACACAGGATCTCGTCTCGCATCCACCTGTCAACGGCGCATCTCGAACAAGCACTAAACCCACACTAACCTTACACCTTAAAACCACCGACCGAGGACAAGAGTGGAGAGTCTGGTCCTCGAGTCTGTCTGTGATCAGGAAGCCCAATTTTACCCCTCTTCTTCACAGCCGATAACGAGATTTGAAGCCATGGATGCACATGCCATCACATCGACGCCGCATTCGACAGACTCGGTTACTACTTGTAGTATCGACACGGAGACAGTGATCCTCATTTGATCGCATGAAGCGGCGTGATACGGCGTTATACTGGATGGTGAACCCTCACAAATGACACATCCTGGTCCGGCCGTCTGAATGGCCCTTCTCTGCCGTCTTTCGTGAATCAACCACCCACCAACCTCGAAACTCGCATTCCCTTTTCATCATGTGAGCTGCCTGTGTTGAGCTTGTTGAGGTGGTCTATTGGATCAAAGCATCTGCACACAGCTCGAGAGAATATCGAGATTCATGCCGCTTTCTCATTGTTGAGTTGCTCGAGCTCTCTATCAGGTTTCTCAACATCCTTGGCATGCATGGTGTCACCTAGAGGACGAGGATGAGGAGGTGAGGGCCAGAGCGGGGAACCATTCTCGAGCCACTCTCGCTCCCTAGTCCCAGTCGAGCAGGGCTTTCTGGTCTAATGCGCCTTGAGCAAGCACGAAATCTCCCGTCGCTTTTCCCTTGTTAGCCAAAGGCTCACGGACTGCGTCCGGAGATCTTGGTCCACGCACAGGGTGAATGCAATGATCTTCAGCGGGTGCACAAGGGACTCTTCCGGAGCGACGCGGCTTACCGCCTCGGGTAAGACCTCTGTCAATCGAAGTTCAAGGGGGACCTGGTCCCGGACTGCACTTTTCTTTTCCGCGACTCTTGGGTTCCGCTCGGTCTATTGAGCCGAGACATGGTGCAAGTTTACGGTAGCATGCACAAATGTTGGTTTTTCGTTTTTTTTTTATTCTGTTGGTTTCTTTTTCGTCTCTTGTGCGTGTCGTCCACGGTGCGCGGCTAGTTCTGGGTGCTGGTGTGTGTGAGACAATATGTTGCGTCACTGCTGTCGAAGCAGGTCCCGACTGCATGTCTGCTGGGAAGGGGAGGAGGCGGTCAGTCCAAGACACGGGCCCCGAGACATGCGGCCTGCTCTTCTCTCGGGACACAAGGAGTGTTTCTGGGCCACATGCAGCATGCGTGCAGAGAAGAATTCTCGTGTTTTTCTTTTTTTTTTTCTTCTTCCCCATGGCCCTCTTCCATGCGGAAGCACAGACTGAGACATACCTTCGGGTGGAAAAGGGAAATTGGACCTAGCGTTGCTGCCCATGTGGAGAGCGTCCGCGAGAGTTCGAAACCGCCGCTCACTCAAACGTGCGCAAGTGCGGCTTTGCATTCACACAGCATGCAGTACCCATCTGGCATCGGCTGAGAAACTCTGAACAAGTGGGGGATAGGTAGAGCAACATGAGCATCAATGGGTGGGGTAAGTTGTACTAAAACACCCCATGAGCTCGAGATGCTTTCCTCCTTACCAAGGTAGGTAGAAGGATGCAGTTGTCTGCAAGAAGCGAAATCCACATCCAACCTCCGTGCAGCCAGCCGACCTGCTAGCGTCGAGACTCGGCAAGCCTCACTGCACAAACGGATGAGTTTCTTTTTCTCTTCAGGGATCATGCTCCGGAGTTTTCGTGAATTCCTTCTCCCCCTCTTTCACTCGGTCTACTCGAGCTCGGAAAAGCAAGATCAACTGCAATAGCGCGGGCACAGAAGCGGCCAGAAGTGGCAGCTGAAGGAGCGAGAAAGCTCCTCGTGATCATTGCCGAGTTGCCCAGAACATGCTACGTTTCTCCCGGCAGCCCGAATCACCGAACCCCGCCTGCGAAAGGGACGATCACCCGAGCCGCGATAATCGACGAGATCCGTGGAGTTTATTTGGTCCATCAGTCCAATCCGACGTTTTCTTCTGCAGCACGGCAGGAATTGCCATGTGAAAGAAGGACATAAGTGGTCGATAGCCCCTCCCGGACAACTGCTGTATTACAGCCATTCAAGGAATGTTGCACACATCATGTGCTCGTCGCAGGTCACGTTGTATGCGGTTCGGGCGGTGGGCGGTGAGCCATTGGGCACTGCGCAAGAGCAAAAAAGCCACCTGGTGGAGACAGAGGCGGCCCCCAAGCCTCGACTAGATCTTTAGACTTCTGACTCCGGACAGCCATTCACTCAGTCTCTCACACCATCCGGCCCCCCTAGTCCAAGTCTAACGGCTGAGGGGACTGGAAAAGGGAGCGGTCAGGCCCGTTCCCGAAGGGCTTGAACTCTGTTTCCCTTCTAGCTCCGGCTGCTGCTCGAGGGACTTTCCGCTCCCCATCACATTCTTAGTGTCAGAGGGGGGAAAACGTTCGTTAGCCGTCGTCACCCGGTCCGTCCCATGGCTCCCTCGAGGGCGGAGCGAGGGAAATACGTCTGACGATCGCAAAGACTGAAAGAGGGTCTCTTGTCGTTGAGAGAGCTCTTTGACGCTCTTATTGGCTTTTGCCCGCCCAACCAGGACGGAATCACGACGGGTGAAAGCGGGGCTGGACAATGCTAATGAGTCGACAAGTGCCATCCCCATCAATGGATGGCCCAGGAGACTGCTCAATGCCAAACGATGCTTTGGATCGTTCGGAAGACACCAGCACTAATGCCTCACTTGCCCCTTCTGGACTGCGAAGAGTTGAGTCAATCACAATGGAGACTTGCACGGGAGTGTGTCTATGAAAGGACGTGATCAGGGCGGAACGAACATGCTTCCTCCACAGTGGGTGGTGCTGTCAACATGACAGTCCCACCCCGCAAGGACAACGAGTTCCTCCGCCTCCGCACCACTCCAGCTCTGAATGTTCAATGTCATGTCGTCGCATTGATCAAATTGGCCAAGCCCATTCGTCCAAGCAAAGAAACGAGGGGCGCATTGCGAGCGCAGCATGATGCAGGGGGCGAGATTCTGCGATGGAATCTGTGTGCGAGCCACCTCAAGGTTCAAGACAAAACAGCACATCTAAGCTCGAGTGGTGTGAAGGCGAGGGCGCATTGCAGCAGTATTGAAGCAGACGAACGCTTCCCCGAGGCCTATCCGGACGAGTATCGCAAGAGCCGGTGCTCTCGGCCGTGCTGCTCGCCGTCTAAAGTGCACATAGCTACATGCCTAGGCGCAGATTTCCCCTACACCATGATGACCATGATGATTGATCAGAAAAAGACAAAGAGAGAACTCGGCGAGATAACGGCCTGGACTCGTCTAGTGTGGTGATTGTTACTCTGCTGGGTCCCTGTTCCCTGCTGTCCTTCCCTCAACCACACCCTCGACCCCTGTACGTAGCTACACAAGCACTGCAGTGGGTCACTACTTGTAACTAGGTGGTGGGGAGCGCTTTGGGGGGTCTCTGCGCTCTCCGCGCAAGGGTCTCTCTCTCCACTCCATCTCGAGCCGTCACGACCCCTGTCAATCCTGACCATCCGCACACCATCTTTCGACAACTGACGGACGACAACCGCACCCTCCACCACCCTCCCCCCATCTGGCCCCCCCAGCCTGCCCAATAGGGTCGTCAAAGGGCTGGCAGGGCGCTTAAACCGCTATTTTTGAGGTGTGCAAACGGGAAAGGGAGTGGCATTTACGCCGGCCCGGCCAATCGCGTGTTAGTGCCTTCCTTTATTTTCAGTAGCACAGCAGACTTTCAGTCCAATCACGGCCGGAACAGGCAAGCAAGACACACAGGACAGGACAGCACGAGCATCGATCATCGCGGCCGGGGGCTTCGCCAGCACCGGCTCGAGCTCACCTTGTCCTTCCTCTCTCTCTGTCTGTGCCCAATGGCCAACAGCCGAACCTCGCGCCATTCCTGCGCCATCCCAGCATCCCGGCCACATCCCAGCACGGCCAGAGCCAGAATGCCAGAATGCAGGCATCCCAACCTGGCCAACCAGCCTCCGGCCTCCCGCCTGACCTACAGCTCTCCATCATGCCGGCGAGGGCCTCCCGTCACCTTGCCTGCACCAACAAGAGAGCGACAGCGCTATAATTATACCAAAACTAACACCTGGAAGGATGGTGAGTCCAGTAGCAGCCCTCACCGGATGCGCCCATTGCACACGTTTCTGTCATAATTCCTCTTGATATATCGCCCCCCCTTCACAAGCAACAAGGATGCCACAGAAGGGATGCACATCTTCCCTACCTATGATCCTCAGATTTAGCCACACAATACCCGTAGCTAGACGCCTCTAGCTAACACCGTCTCTTGCCCCCCCAACGGCTTCCACCGTGCCATCCCCACAGTGTCTGTGCTAGACCAGCATATCACATTGTGACCACTGGTTGCATATGCGGTGCCGCATCCCAAGAACCTCAACTCACAGACGCATACCGCTTTTTCCTCTTGCGATACATAACCACCTGTAGGCGCCCGTCCTCGCCCGCGGCCGCCTCCATCCCCCTCCTCCCCTTTCCGTGATCGACCTCGTCTATCGTATAGACGTATATTCTCCTTTTCAGTCAAGCATTTCCTTTTGCTATCAGCGGTCTCTATTGGATTGTACTCGGTCTCTCTCTCTCTTATACCACGGTATATACTATATCAGACGCTCCTGTCTACTGTTGATCGGCTAGACAAGAGAACCGCCGGCAACGGCCGCAACCACACAGCCTACAGCTATCAAAGAGAAAAAGAAAAAAAAGACAGACAGGTCCTCTGTCAGAAGAGAAAACAAAAACCGAAAATCTCTGCGAAAGGCAGTTGAAAAAGAAATACCCACAATGGTCAGTTATTGACATTCCAGCAATCATCCCGGGCACCCAGCTTAAATCAGTTCTCACAGGCAACGATATATCAGTCCCGGCACGAGCAGCGGAGGCGACCGGAGATGCTGCAGAAGGCGCACCTGCACGAAACTTTTTTCAGCATGAAGGGAGCCAAGGAAAGGCCCGTGTCGGTCGCCACAGAGTTTATGGAGTCCGACTTTGACGACGACGAGATTCTCAGTGAAATTGACGACGGCGAAAACTCACCGCGAGCCAGTGTCAATTCGGTAAGCCATTATGAATGCTGATACTCTTTGTGCAACCCGCGACTCGATGCTGACGTGCTCAATCACATTAGTCTGGCCAGCCAAGTTTCACAACCGTGTCGTCGTACGACGAGGTACACACACCGAGATCAAGTAGGGCACCGACGGCTTTCCAGTTCGACCTCAACGCAAAGCCGGTTGAGGGTCCCCGAGGACCTCACCTGTTCCGGAGCTCGTCGCTTTCCGTACATTCTGTCGAATACCAAAATGCACTGTCATTGTCACCGGTTACGCCAAAGACCGCAAGGCCCGGCCAAACGGAGTTTCACTTGCCAATCGCTTTGGATCTCACATCCCTCCCCTCGGCGCGGAGGCGTCAGAGCGGTCCGTTCCAGTTTACCGACGAGGAGCTGGACGACACCACCACACTCGCTGAATGGTCGCCCGAAAAGGTAGCACAATGGATGCTCAACGCCGGCGTCGAGCTCCAGATCGCAGAAAAGTTTGTCGAAAATGACATCACTGGAGGAATCCTAATCACGCTCAAGTTTGAGGATCTCAAGGAGCTGGGCATCCCTTCCTTTGGGGCCCGGACCAAGGTCTGGGACGAGATCCATGTTATGCGCAACATCAAGCCCTCGGAGCCCGCCCCGGAGACTCCCATCGAGGACGAGCCGGACCGCGAGGTGCGGAGGGAGCAGAGGCGCATGGATGATGACGGTAAGCCGAGGCGCAAGAAGTCCAAGGCCGAGGACATCATCTCGCCCCTGGAATCCGTCTCTATTGTCGGCATCGAGCAGATGATGCCCAAGCCCCACCACTGCTCCAAGGGCGAGAACTGCAGTAAGTGGAAGCGACAGCAGAAGATGCTCGAGGCCTTCAAGAAGGACCACCCCTTCGTCGACATGGACAAGGGCGGCATCATCATGGTTGCTGGCGACCCAGGCAATGCTGTGACTGCCAGCGCCCTAAATAAGCCCCAAGATGACTTCTTCCGCCCCATCTCCGATGCCATCCCTTCCGTCGTCGCCTCCTCCGACATCCTCGGGACCGAGGGACTCCCTCCCCTGCAGTACCTGCAGGAAGCCACACTGCGCAACCTGCAGGCGCGCGACCCTCAGGACAACGTGCGGCAGTTCCTAGACTTCCAACACGCCCACGTCTTTGAGTCTAGCGAGGTTCCTCCCACTCCTCCCTTTGAGATCACTCCTACTCCGCAGCCGCCTCATCAGGCTCTTCGCTCCTTGCCGAGGCTTTCTATCCCTGTGACTGCCCGCAACACACCCCAGCCCACATACAACCAGCCTTGCTCTGCGACGGCGCACCCCGATGATGACGAGTATGAGCAGGCCACCCCGACCGGTGTCTACCGCTTCGGCACCCCATTCTCTGAGATGGATGTTCCCGTGACCGCTGTACCTCTGGGCCCGGTTGCTCGCGACGTCTCACAGTCTGTTCCGCCAGACATGAACTACCGCCATGGCCCGGTCGCTCCTATCTCCCGCTCCGTCTCTCGCGCCACTGCCCGCCGCCCGTCCTTCCCCGTCATGCCCGCCCTTGACGAGAACAAGGTAGCCGCCGCAGTCGTGTCCCCGCGGCAATCCCCTCGACAGTCGCCGCAGTCTCTGCAACGCAAGCAAGGCCAGCGCCAGCTGCAGCCTCCGCCGCGCATGCAGTACCCCTGGACCAGCGAGCGGCCCGCCGAGAAAGCCATCCCGCCGGTCCCATCCTCCGCCACATCCTCCTCCTCCTTCGCCTCCGCTTGCTTCTCGTCAGCACGCCTCTCCCCCAGCGGCACCGGGTCCACCAGCCCACGCATCAAGGACGCCGAGGGCGTGACCTACGCGGGTCCCATGCGCAAGCGCAAGACCAAGATGCTGCGCCACGAGTGGCAGGAGCACTTCTTCACGCTCAAGGGCACGCGCCTCAACATGCACAAGGACGAGGCGAGCGCCACGCGCGAGCGGACGCTCGAGTACATCGACATTGACGACTACGCCATCGCCTGCTCGAGCCTGGCGTCGTCCAACAAGCTCAGCGCCAAGTTCAAGGCCATGAGCATCCGCCGCGGCAGCAGCGAGGACAAGCAGGACGTCGCCGCCTTCTCCTTCCAGCTCGTGCCGCAGGACGCCAAGGGCGGCGTCAAGCTGCGCAAGCGGGAGAGCGTGCTGCCTTCTTCCTCGTCGGCCGCGTCGTCGGCGGCGGGCCCGGAGGGCGCCGCCAACGGCACGGGCAAGTCCCACTACTTTGCCGTCAAGAGCCGCGACGAACGCATCGACTGGATGCGGGAGCTGATGCTCGCCAAGGCGCTGAAGCAGAAGGGCGAGGGCTTCGAGGTCAGTGTCAACGGCAATATGATCTAGACTGTCCTGCGTCTCTGCTCTCCTTCTCCTTATCTCGCAAAGCGAGGATCGTCTTTCCTTGTGTTTGCTGTTGCTGTCGCTTTTTATGATGATCTTCTTTTGATACAACCTGATGATATCCCCCCCCTTCTATTTTGCTCTTGCTGCTCTCTTACCATTAAACTTAGCCACGACTTCAGTAGTCCACTTGTCTGACCTTTTTTGATCTCCTTTTGTATGTGTTTGTACTTGCTTGACTATATCCCACTCCTTTATCCTTCTTCTACTATCATGGCTGCATGGGCGGCGCTTGTCTTTTCTTCCATTAACTTCTACAACTACACACACACACACACACACACACACACACATGGCAAGAGAGAACAAGAATGACTCTTGTTTTGCATGTGAGGGGATATTACTCAAGTCGTAAAAGGGGAAGCCTGTCGTTCGAGCAACGGCAATAAACCATTGCGCGACTCATTTCTTTTTCTTATTTTTTAAACAAAGCATTGCGGCCTTTGCCTTTTATTTCTCTCTTGACACTGCCCTTGCGCAGCTAGTTAGCTTATCCCATATACCACCCACGCTCCTTTGAATAGGGCGGTCTGTTGGCATCTGATTAATACAAAATTGCTAGTTTTTACTTTTACACCTGACCTGATCAACCCCGAAGTGACTTGTGGTGCTGTGAACAGTGACAGTCAGTGGAAGAGATGTGGCATGATCAAGAATCTTTTGTGTGATACGAACTATCCCCGATATCTCGAGGCCCGGGACCAGTCCCAAGATCGCAAGTACCTGCGTCGAGAGTTTGTTGAGGGGGTGGGTACGCATGGCCACGTGAGGTTCAAAAGGCTGCCATGACACTTGACAAGATCTTTCAGAACAACTGACTGCAGCAGTAATGCTGTGATGGTTATGCCAGCTGGAAAGGGGGTCGGGATCTTGAGATTCGAGATTCATCAGAGAAGCTCATAATCAATGACTCTGGGAGAAGGATACAACTCTCGTGGTTGGCCACAATTTAGTTGGAAGAATCCTTCTGTTGAATGGACACAGGAGGCGATGGCAATGATACCATCTCAAAGCCTCAAGATGTGCGTACTCCCGATCCTCGCGGAAGTCGGCTGTAGGTAGTTATCGAACAAGTCATCAGATTCAGATTTTCCGCGTGACGAGTGAGATGCTTGAGAAAAACAAAATCCAACACCACTTCTTGCGACACATCCCCATCTACTTCACACCACCCCCGGGCGACGCTCCGAGTTTCCCGCGAATCGTCTCCAGCCAAAATCATCACACAATACCTTGTTGACTCGCATCTCTGTGTCACTTTTCACTCCCTTACCAGCTCTGCCCACCTTCACCTAAATAATTAAAGAGTAAAAAAAAGAGAGAAAAGAAAAGACAAAAAACAAAGAAAGCAACAATAGTTAGTATCATCAGGAATCGAACGCAGCTAGTTGCACCAACGGGATGGCTGAAGTGCCGCAGTTTCTACTATCCGACTCCCTAACCGCTATGGCATATTGCCACAAGCTATTGTTGTTTTGATTAGAGTTATTCTTTATCATAAGGCCTTTGGCAGCTCCCATTCAAAACAACTAAAGAGCAAAAGAGAGAAGACAAAGACAAGGAAGAAAATAGCAATGGTATCATCGTGAACCGAACGCAGCTAGTTGCACCAACGGGAAGGCCAAATATTTCTCGACCAAGCAGCTTGATCTATAGAACTTTGTATATTTCCTTTTAGTACACGAGTCTGCTGTCAGCTTTTTATTACACACTTTGTAAATGTACATATGCCACCACAGACGACAACATCCATCATCATCAACCCCCTTGTCTCTCTCTACCGCCCCCCTCTCCAGCCCCATTTTTCTCTGGAGCACGATGGCTGTATCTTACACACCACGGACATCACATCACTCTTTATGTCTTCCTCGTCCCCCTTTTTCCCCATGTAGAACCAACCCCCATGCCCTTACGAGCCGTACTGCAGAGACTTCCTCGAGATGTTGGCCAGGCCCGCGACCGCCTCCCAGTCGATGGCGTCCCACCACGCCTCCACAAACGCCCTCTTGCCGCCGTACCCGCCGACGCCGAGCCCGTAGTCGCGCAGCCACACGTGCTCCCACGTGTTGAGGCACAGGATCGGCACCAGGTGGATGCCGCCCGGCGCGAGCCTCATCTGGTCGTCCATCTGTTGCTGCTGTGCTGCTGCTCCCGCTCCCCCGGCCCGGCCGCCGCCGCTGATGGCGCCGACCTGCCGCCGCAGGTAGTCCGTCACGGCGCCCTGGCCCTCGACGTCGGCCGACGCGCCGACCGTGTTCATGTCGACGGCCTGGCGGCGCCAGTGGGCGCCCGGGTACGGGCTGCCGGCGAGGTAGGTCGGCAGGACGCGGAAGCTGGCGTCGTGGGCGGCGCCCGGGACGGAGGCCTTGACGAGCCAGACGAAGCCGGGGCCGAACATGGCCGAGGCGGTGACGAGGAGCTCGCGGCGCAGGGTCTCGACGCTGCCGAACGAGTCCTCGACCCCGCGGCGCAGGGCGGCGGGCATCTCGACGGGCTTGGGGGACAGGTTGCGGAAGAAGAAGTGGTTGTTGTGGGCCATGCTGGCGTGGTTGAAGAGGGGCGCGTCCTTGGGCTCGCGGGCGGTCGAGAGGACGATCTGCTTGATGTCCTTTTGGGCGTACTCGGTGTCTGCAGGTCAGTTGGAAGATAGCAGTTAGCTTTTGTTCTGCGTGCTGTTTTCTCCATGTGACGATACGATGGGCATGAGAGGGCCAATGGGCCCGAGAGCAGTCGCACGCTCCAGCTCTCTCCGCAGCCCGGCAATTGAGGAAAGATTCCAAAACGTACCGGCCGTCATGGCATTGAGCTTGTCCAGCATCAGCGTCATGTGCTGCGTCCAGGCCATGTCGAAGCCCTCGGCGGACAGGAGCCCCGGGACGCCCTCGCGGAAGTCGTGAGGCAGGGGCGGCATGTGGTGCATCGACCTCCGGGCCGCTGGCCGCACGGCGACGGGCACGGCCGCCCGTGGTATCCTTAATCTCGGTCGAAGCATCTTGGGTGTGTGGTTGGAGGGAGAGGTGGTGAATTGGGGGGGGGAGGAAAAGGCGTGATACAATCTTTCCCTGGCCCATCTACGGTAGAGAAGAGCTCACGCTACTGGATACTAAAAATGAGCTGTGCTGCGTGCCTGATGTTCCAGGCTGGAAGGGAAAATTCCCATAGCGCCAGCCTTCACCGCCCGCCACACATAACCCTGACGAACCCTTACCCTAACCCTCTCTGCATACCTTCTTGGTTTTCTTGAACAGGTAGGTACATGGATCATTTCAGTACTCTGGGCTAGGTTGACGCCTTCTCTTGGGGAAATAGATGATAGCTACCTACACCTGGTGATTGCGCTTGAGGATCTCAATCTGCACACCTCTTATCGCGGTTTCGGATACCGTGAGCTTCATGGATGTTGTGCTGTGAACGAGGTCGGTCGGTGTCCCTCGGGCTCCGAAAGGCCTGATGTGCCTTGGGTGTTTAGCGCATCCTAGGCAGTGCATGACCCCAGAATGTACGAGACACACCCCCTTCCTACCCCGGAATTTGTTGAGGTGATGTGCTGGTCTAGCAAGTTGAATTGCTTATGAAACCCGCCGGCATTTCCACTGGTCTGGCATTCCCTCCTTCCCCTTGCTCATTTTTACATATTCTCATCTGCTCAAATGGATTATTCTGTTGTGATTGATGCTACGTGAAGAGTGATATCAATTTTGTGTCATACATGAATAGCCCTTGGACTCCTTGCTGACCCCCAGAATGCAGAACCGCTGTAACGGACAATAGGAGAGAGAGTGACCGGCCGATTGGCATCGGACCTCCCCCACCGAACAAGACCAAGAAATCCGACCGACGCCAATGATGCAATGAGGAACCCAGCTGGTGGGTAACCAAGGTTCTGCGGGCTGCTACATTAACTCCCGCCTAGTCCTCCATCATACCCAACATGTCGAGCTCCGTCTTCACAAGCCGCTCGAACTCCTTCCGATCGATGCCCGAGGCACGCGACAGCATGAAGAGGCTCTTGATGCTGCGCGACACGTGCTGCTTGACGCCAAAGTCGCTCTGGTCCTGCTTCTCGGCCGACTCCTCCAGTTTGGCAACGGCCAGGGACACGTTGGAGCTGTGGCTCGAGGCCGAGGCAGGGCGCGGGTGATGGATGTGAGCCTGCCGCTCCTCATCCTCGCGGGACATCCTCGAATGCTGCGAGGAGGATCGCTCGGGCCGCTCGGCCATGGTCCATCCGCCTTGAGTCTCGTTGACCTCCATCTCGTCTGCACCTTGTGCCGGGGCGCGAGCAGACGGTCTCGCCAGGCCCAGAGGAGGTGTGACCTCATGGTGCTCAACCTCCTCGTCAGGGTCGTGATTGTCCATGGCAGGCTGAACCGAGTCGTACTGGGAGAAATAGGCATCCTCAGCTGCCTTGTCTTGGTAGGCACTCGTGTGAGTGGTGTGTGTTGACACGGGCGCAGGCGATCGCTTGACAGCCGGCGTGCGGGCTGGTGTCGCATCATATCGTGCCCAATAATCATCATCATCGTCCTCCTCGTCCAGGGCCTCATTATGGTGGTAGCCGTTCACCGGCGCGCTGACTGCGCTGACAGCGGGCTTGGCCTGGCCGGCTTTGAAAGCGTCCTCGGCCTCGACGATACTGGTCTTTCCACCGAAAGAGGTAAAAGGGGAGGGTTGATCTGGCACACCGACCTCGCCGACTCGCCATCCATCACCGCCGCCCTCTTGATCGCCGACACAGTACACCAGTCGGAAAAACAGGTTCAGGCTATGGAACACGATCAGGGCCTGGAGGGTCTCCTGGTCGAGCCTCTTGTATTGCACGTCCACATCCGACTCCCAGTCCACCTCGACCTCGCCAGAGACAGGGTGCAGCTCCAGCGCCTCGCTCCGGGCAATCTCTGCCAGCTTGGCGGCCTTTGCTGTGTCGTACGAAAGGAGCCGTATCCATGGCTCTGTGCTTGCCGCAGAGAGCAGCTGTACTCGTTGTCGGAGGATCGGGGACAGGAAGGGGAGGATGGCTGGCGCGGGCTGGGTGGAGGCGGCGGCACCAGGTAGGGAAGGCAGAAGAGGCGCGACGAGACCTCTGGTGTCGGGAGGGCTGATTACGGCGGCCGCCATCGCGGCGGTTGGAGATGGCAGTGTTGTAGTCGCGTCGTAGGTGAGGGTAAGGTGTATGGGGTGGCGATCGTCAGGTGTGATCTTCGTGACGTAGTTTGGTGTAAGTGTGGTTTCTTAATCAATTTAGGCGCTGACTCGGAGGTTTTCAAGAAGGAACCTTAGGATGGGCAACCAGGTTGAAGAAAGAAGCAATGGCTAGATGGCTGGGCCAGACCAAAGTGGAAGAAGTGAAGTGAACAAACGGGAAGTGAATGCAGGTGAGGAGAAAGGCAACCTGCTGCACACAGTGACCCCGGCTGGGGAATCACGACTAGTTAATTGACAAGGTGTAAAACGAGGACAAGACAAGCAGCATGTGCCAACCATGAGGCAGTGTTCGGGACTTAGGTAGTAGGTGGGCGATTTCCCCGCTGGCCCAAGCATCGCCCCATGGGTGCTCGTGGTGCCGTGTCGGAGATTCCAGCCTGCTGACTGGCCCGCCCCAGTGCTCCTTTCACTGGCTCTGGCCCTTCGGGCGACCGGAGCCAATGGCAGCCTGCGCTTATCGCAGGGCACATGCTTTTACAGCGTCACTGAGGGGGGCCATTACTTGAAGACTACCTAAGGTAAGCACCCACAGCGGGGACCCGTACGTGCAGATGCCCCACGGCCGCCCCTAATACAGCGCCAAATACAACGATGGGCCCTGCGGCCATTCTTCTGGTATCCTTTCCTCCGTGAGCCCTTTTAACGTTACTTGGAAGATATAACTACCAAGCGGCATCCACAGCCGTGGATACCAAGATCCGAAGGACCTCGTTAGCGAAGGGGAACGAGACGAGATTACCTAAAGTCATCTTAGGGAACCACCACACCGAGAGATGCCCGCGCACAGCCTTCACAAATCCTACAGACGTCGGCCCCGATCCGTCCATCTGTCACGAGAAGAGCATGATTGAACTGCCGGCTGGCCAAGACTCGAAGCGCTCTCCCGCATGTCTTTACAGGTTGATGCAAAGGGCTGTTTGGATACTGTCCCGGAACGGTTTAGGACGAGGTAATCTGCAGCACTCCATGCGGCTACAGCCAGCCTTCTGGTTATGTGCTTTGGAACATGCGGGTGGTCACCAGCGTTATGCCGATGCCGGATGAACTCTGGACCAGCCCAGGTAACTACAGTCTTCAGGCGGCACTTCTTCTGGATCTACGTGTTGAATTCATTGCTTACTACCAGGACACCTACGGAGTACTCACTTCCCAGCTTGACATACAGACGGAGTACATTGTGCACTTCATCCCTTGGCGTTAGTACGGCTCTACTGGGAAATTAGGAGCATGCTGAGGGTGCTGAGTGATTGGAATCCTAGCCGTGAGACGCCGTGCCTACCCATCTTGGACCGCTCGCTGTTTTTTTTTTTTTTTCCCACAGCCAAAACAACATGAACAATGAACCCTGTAGGGCGGATGTCGGCCAGCCTAGCGCGCTCTTCCAGAGCCTTGGGAACCCGAAAATGTCGTCACTCATACGCCCGATAGCCCTTATCGGCCAATTTTTTGGTAGCCCAAATTCCAACTTGGCGATGTCCGTTTAGCCAAAGGGGGGGAATGACACATGAATGATTCTTATGATACTTTCACGATGCTCCAAAGTAGTGACTCAACGACTTGAATCTCCTCTATTCTCGTATTCGACGGTTCTTGGTCGAGAGCAGCGTTGGCACGCGCATATCCATTATACTTTTTAACGGACATCGGAGAACATATACCTTCGCGGCCTCCGAATCGCCTCATGACGCTCACCATCCATACCGTCATATAGCCATACTTGAGAGTGCTCGCGCCTCTGCAGATACTCCCAGACTGTACAACCCGAGTCCGGGCAGGACCTCTCTGGATGGATGTCGGCAAAAGGCGAACGCCTCAAAGATGAGGTATGTTGTCGCCCTGCCGCACCACGCCCTTCAAGTTGGCGATCCGAAGCTGACTGTTTTGCGAAGGGCACCCGGTTACAAGTCGTCACTGCCGGCGCGATAGCAGGATTGATATCACGGTAAGCTTCCCTCCTCGTGCGTACTTATATATACAAGATGGGACATGAGGGCTCACTCTCCTTCCCACGGCCAGCTTCATCGTCGCGCCCCTCGACGTCGTCAAGATCCGCCTGCAGCTCCAGACGCACTCGCTCTCCGACCCGGCCTCCCACCGCGACCTGCACGGCGGGCCCATCTACAAGGGCACCCTCGGCACCATCCGCCACATCCTGCGCCACGAAGGGGTCCCGGGCCTCTGGAAGGGCAACGTCCCCGCCGAGGCCATGTACATATGCTACTCGGCCGTCCAATTCACCACCTACCGCTCCGCCGCCGCCCTGCTGCACCGCCTCGCCGGGGAAGGCCACGACGAGGGCCGCCTGCCCCAGGCCGCCGAGTCGTTCGTCGCCGGCGCGTCGGCGGGCGCCGCCGCTACCGCCGCCACGTACCCGCTCGACCTGCTGCGCACGCGCTTCGCCGCCCAGGGCAACGAGCGCGTCTACGCCAGCCTGCGCCGCGCCGTCGCCGACATCTACCGCGACGAAGGGCCACCGGGCTACTTCCGCGGGCTGGGCCCCGCCCTCGCCCAGATCGTGCCCTTCATGGGCGTCTTCTTCGCCGCCTACGAGACCCTGCGCCTGCCCCTCGCCGCGCTCGAGCTGCCCCTGGCCGGCGGCGACGCCGTGGCGGGCGTCGCCGCCAGCGTCCTGGCCAAGACGGGCGTCTTCCCGCTCGACCTCGTGCGCAAGCGCATCCAGGTCCAGGGCCCCACGCGGGCCCGCTACGTGCACAAGAACATACCCGAGTACCGCGGCGGCGCGGTCACGGCGCTGCGCACGATCTTCAGGACCGAAGGGCTGCGCGGCATGTACAGGGGCCTGACGGTCAGCCTGCTCAAGGCCGCGCCGGCTAGTACCATCACGGTGTGGACGTACGAGCGCGTGCTGGACGGCCTGATCAGTTTTGACAAGAAGGGCGAGAAGCCCGAGGCTCTTTGACGTTGGGGGGGCCATCTCTGATACCTGGGGATTGGTTGGCTTGTACGATGAATGATACCAAACCATGCGTAAGATTAATCATTGTAAAACCACAGCATAGATAACATAGATCCAACATGATCATGATTTTCGTTCTCCATGCCTCTGTCAAAGCTTGCCATACTTGTGTTGGATGTGTGCATATGTAACCACAGTTATGAGCAAGCAGAGCACTGGGTAGTTGCATTAGAGATTTTTGGTAGTCCTGATATTCACAATTATAGACACAAATCAGCCCGAACAAATGTCTGAACAAAGTAAAAAAATTGATCTATACTCTTTGTATGATACAGCCGGGCATGTTGACGCCAGCACACTTTTTTCGCTTCTCCTCCCACGATTGCTTCTTCTGCATCCACCACCACCCGCCTCCCCTACTTGACTTTTATTTGCCCTTCTTGACCCAGTCCTCGAGCCCCTCGCGGGCCGCCGTCACCTTCTCGTCGGCCATGCGCTTGCCCAGCTCGGCGTGCACCTTGACGAACCGCCCGCTGCGCTCGACGGCCTCGCGCGCGCGCAGGTGCGCGTCCGCGACGGCGGGGAAGCGCTGCTCGTACCGCCACGCCAGGTCGGCGCAGTTGCGCATCGTGACGGGCAGCACGGCCCAGCCGGCGCCGACGCCCAGGGCCGTAGGCACGGCGGCGCGCAGGACGACGTTGGACCGCCGCGTCAGGATGCTGCCGGCCATGGCGGCGACGAGGACGTAGACGGCGCCCGGCATGAGGCGCTCGCCCGACTCGCGGGGCGGGGCCAGGGCGGCGAGCGTCGAGGTGAAGGAGTGCTCGAGGGCGAAGGCGCGGTCCATGGCCGCGTTGACCGAGTCCTCGGCCGCGCAGGCCTGGCGGTAGAGGAAGAGCCGCGCGCGCCCGATCTGCACGGCCAGCCGGTCCGTCGGGGTCGGGCCGCGGCGGGGGGCTGTCGCGGTTGCCGTCGCCGGGCCTTGCTCGGCCTGCTGCTGCTTCTGCTGCTGCTCTGCTGCCTCGGCGGAGGAGACGGGGATGGGTTGGTAGGGGGTCAGGGCGGCGCCGGTGGAGGCCGGGAGCTCCTCGAAGTCGTCGTATATGGGCTTCCTCTTGGACTGGATGTTACATAGCATTGTCCCAATGTTAGCCGGACGAGGGGGGCCTGTGAAAGGGAGAAAACCAGGGGAAGATGCGGACTGACGGGATGGTCTTCTGGTGCCTCGGCGTAGGCCATTCTGGGATACAACGCAACTCCTCCAGCTAGCAAGGTCGCTGCCAACGGCGCTGCGGCGCGCTGTGTGAATTGCAAACGTGAGGTTAGCAGGATGGTCGATGGCGAGTGATGTGACGACTGAGCCTTTTAGGGCCCGGCAAGGAGGAGTCTCACCCGTTGCAGCAGTACTCTCGCAGCCATTGTCGTCCAATTGAAGGGTCTCTGGGTGATGGAAGAGAACGACGATGGCGATTGCGTGCCTGAGGACGGGGCGAAGTCGTGGGCGGTGGTGGTCAGTGTGGATTTGATGATGTCCCGATTGTTCCTGGCTTGCTCGCTCGTGCCACGGCTCGTGCTCCACGGCTGTTTCCGGAGCTCGGGAATTTTGCCCAGCGAGCCAAAATTTTGACAGGCCGGCAGCCAACTGGCTAACTAGCTCAGCGAGAGAAGCTGCCCAAACTCGGACTGGCCGACCACGGAGACTTTGCTTAGTACGGAGTATCAACTCCAGTCCGCGATCCAAAAGTTATCAAGGGCCCAGAGCTTCCTACTTTGCCGTCGATGCCGAGGTTTTCGCCTCCTTATTTTTATTTGTGTGACTGTTCAAATTTAAATCTTTTTTTTGTATTCTGAACCCCCTTCCCCCCACCCTTAGAGATGAGCACGACGGCGCATTTCTCACAGAATGATCAAGTACCTCCAATCGCGGCCTTGGGTCTGCGCAAGCTGCCTTCGCCAGGCAGGTAAAGCACGGCCGCAGCAGCGATGGCTCTCTGTAGCCTCCGGCGCCGCCCAGGCTGGCCCGGCTCCGGCCCCCGTCGACAGCGCGACTTCCGAAAAGCACGATGACAGCTTGCTGCGGCGCATCTTCGACAGCCCGAACGACTGGCAGGCCTTCTCCCGGCCGTCGTCGACTGCGTCGCAGCGCGCGGGCCTGTTCCGAAACGCATACTTGACCAAGCCCGAGGGCTTCCGCATATTCGCGCAGGCGAACCTGATGAAGGCGCAAAAGATTGTGGAGAAGGTGCTCAACGCCTCGTCGGTGGAGGAGTATAGGGCGATCGTGAGAGATCTCGACCGTCTGAGCGACCTCCTGTGTCGCGTAATCGACCTCTCCGACTTTGTGCGGGTGACGCACCCGGATATGCGCACACAGCAGGCTGCCGCAGAAGCATGGGCGATCGTGTACCAATATATGAATCAACTCAACACCACGACGGGGCTGAACGAGCAGCTTGGGAAGGCCCTTGCCAATCTGGATGTGGTCAGCTCCTGGACTGAGGAGGAGAAGACGGTGGCCGAGATTCTCAAACTCGATTTCTCAAAATCAGCTGTGAACCTGCCGCAGGAGTCGCGGGACAAGTTTGTGGAACTGTCGCAGCAGATCAGCGAAGTCGGATCTGCATTTGTCGACGAAATGGCACCGGCGCAATACTATCTGGAGCTACCGGGAAACACCAACCTGGGCGCCGATGTCCCTAAAAGGATGAGCTTGACCAAGGGGTCGGTCATAAAGCTACCAACTATGAGTTCCCAGGCGCAAAAAGCGCTGCGGAGTGTGCCCGATGAGAACGTGCGAAAGTTGATATACTACGGCACGCGAACGGCGTCACACCGTTCAGTGAAGATGCTTGAAATTCTCATGAAGCTCAGGGCAGAGCTGGCTCAGCTCGCGGGCTTCGAGAGTTACGGCCATATGGCACTGCGCGACCGCATGATGGCCAAGTCTCCGGAATCCGTCAAGCAATTCCTGCAGGCGCTTGCCAAGAACAATGGCGCAATCGTCCAGCAGGAGATGGCGGATCTGCTCAAGGAGAAGCGAAGACGGAATACGTCCAACCCAGAGGCTGCAGGTTCTCTTCAGGCTTGGGACAAGGACTATTACATGGCCCTGGTACGGGGCTCTATGGACCAGCGCTTCAGGCACGAAAGGATGTTATCCTCGTTCTTCTCGCTGGGATCAGTGATGCAAGGACTCTCACGACTGTTCAATCGCCTCTATGGTCTTCGCCTTGTACCTAGGGAGACGCTACCCGGCGAGACGTGGCACCCGGATGTCAGGCGGCTCGATGTCGTGTCGGACACGGACGGCCACGTCGCTGTGCTGTACTGCGATCTTTTCTACCGGGAGGACAAGTCACCCAACCCAGCTCACTTTACTATCCGCTGCTCTCGTGAGATCAGCGGCTATGAGATCGAAGAGGCAGCCCAGGAGGGTGAGATCAACCCGAATCTGCCATCGTTCGAATCGCCCGCCGAAGCTGCCAACGACGGAATGGCGCTCTCCAGCCAGGGAGGAACCGTCAAGCAGCTGCCCACCATCGCCCTGGTATGCGACTTTGTCCAAGGCAGCGGAGACATTCGCGCCCTGCTGTCCTTCCACCAGCTCGAGACCCTCTTCCACGAGATGGGCCACGCGGTCCACTCGGTCCTGGCCCGCACCTCGCTGCAGAACGTCGCCGGGACGAGGTGCGCCACCGACCTCGCAGAGCTCCCGTCCACGCTGATGGAGCACTTCGCCGCGGACCCGTCGGTGCTGGCGCTCTTCGCGCGGCACCACGAGACGGGCGAGCCGCTCGACTACGAGATGGTCGCCGAGCGCCTGCGCATGGCCAAGCGCTTCGAGGGCTGCGACGACGAGAACCAGATCATCCTGGCCATGCTCGACCAGGAGTACCACTCGGCCCGCGCGGCGCGGCAGTCGTTCGACACGACGGCCATCTACCACGAGCTGCAGCGCACGCACGGCAACCTGCCGCCCGACCCGCCCGGCACGGCCTGGCAGGGGTTCTTCGGCCACCTGTTCGGCTACGGCAGCACCTACTACAGCTACCTGTTCGACCGGGTGCTGGCCGAGCGCGTCTGGAAGGAGGTGTTCCGGTCCGGGCGGGACCGGGCCGCCGTGTCGCGCGAGAACGGCGAGCACTTCAAGGACAGCCTGCTCAAGTGGGGCGGCAGCCGGGAGCCGTGGAGGTGCGTGTCGGACGCGCTGCGCGACGAGAGGATCGCCCACGGCGACGAGAGGGCCATGGCGCTGGTGGGCAGCTGGGGCACGAGCAGCGGCGTCAAGGAGTGAATGTATGTACATGATGGACCCTTGAGGGGGTTGTTGTAGGAATATGTATCATATCTGAACATGGACGGCACGATGGCTATCCCTCGGCGTCTCCGCAGCAGAAGACACCGCGTTTGTGAACGCCATTGAAGCCTTGCTCATATTTGGTGTTTTTGTGGCGATACGAGTCGACTTGTACAAACGGAAAGCCAAAAAAAAGAGACCATAGATCCAACTACTCTAAAAGAAGAAACGAAAACCAATGTGTGTGATGAAGCAAGGATTTGATCTCATGTGGCGTATCAATAAGGCACACATGCCTGGACCGGGGTGCTGGAGCCGCCATCCATGCCCAGGCTCAAAATTTAATGAGACCTCGTAAAGCGAGGCAGCTGAAGACTCAAACACGCGCACATTCTTTTGGCGAGGCAGCCTCCGTCTACTTTTGAAAAGTCAATATCCCTTCCATTGCTGCTGCTCCCAGTTGAGTGCCGAGCCGCTTTCGGATCTTATTTTACAGAGAGTTGAGCTAGCTCATTGAAAGGTTCCATCGTTGCGCGACTCGTGAGAACGGATATTGCGGACACGCCAAAGACACTCACTCGTTGAGGCTCAGCCTTGACTAAACAACTCCCAAGGCTCAAGCTACCTAATCTCTCAATCCGACGGAAAACTTGCCTAGAGTACCATTGATACCGGATTGGGTCTTCACCCGTGCCGCTTTCAACGACTTCCGCAAAGGCACGCGAGATCCCGCCCTGCGCTGCGCTCCTGAGACATATTTGCTTCTCCCACCACCACGTGTGCCGCGAGACATACCATACACACATCACAGCCATGGCATCTCCATCCACGAGGACACACCCCCACCTCCTCACCCTCCTCCTCTCCCTACCCCTCCTCCTCGTCACCCACCCGTTCCTCGCAGCCGCCCAATCGACCACATCTTCCCCCTCAACAACCCCCTCAACGACACCCTCGCCCCCGGCCCTGCAGGTCTACAACGGCTCCTCGCAGTACGCCTACCAGGGCTGCTTCAACGAGACCTCGGACCTGCCGGGGACCTCGGGCGGGCGGGCGGTCGGCGGCGACGGCTCCGGCGGCGCGCACGAGGTCCTGGCCGGCGCCATGACGGCGCCGAAATGCCTCGCCTTCTGCGCGACGGCCGACAACGGCTCCGCCTTCCGGTACGCCGGGCTCGAGTACGCGCGCGAGTGCTGGTGCGGCGCGCACCTGTCCGCCCTCGCGGCGCGGGTCCCCGACGCGCAGTGCGGCCTGCCGTGCGACGGCGACAGGGCGCTGGTCTGCGGCGGGCCGCTCCGGCTCACGGTGAGTAACCCCCCCTCGAGTCTACACCCGCTTCGTTGCAATCGTTTCATTCATTCCTTCTTCTTGCCGGAGGAGAAAAGGGGGGGGGGGGGGGGGGAGGGGGGGGGGGGGGGGGGGGGGGGGGGGGGTTGTTCAAGTGAAAGAGATGAAACGCTTACGTTGATTGCGTTGATACCGGAACCATTCTGCCAAAAGAAGAGACTTCCAGCTAGGAAGAGTCGGAAAGGAACATTGGAGTTGTTCCAGAGCTCTATGAAGGGCGCATTAAAGCCGAGACCAATCGAAGAAGCTTGTATTTCGATTTGCTGGTCGATCTGCGCGATCTCTTCTCGCAGGTAGATATGGTCTTCGGGTAGGTTTCGGAGGCCACTCAACACCTGAATTCCCTTCTGCCGTTTGCCGTTACTGATGAGCCATCGCGGACTCTCGTCGGTGACAAGAGCGCCGGCGATCAGGATGCCAGCTGGGATGAGCTGAACGGCGAAGGGAATAATCCACTGCTTGTGATTCGAGGGCAGCGTCCGGCTCACAGCATACTGGTTGCAGAAAGCAACTTAGCATACCTCGTCCTAAATAGATGGGGAGAGCAATGATACCGAAGGAAACACTCACGTTGATCCAAAACCCGACAAGGCCGCCACACTGCCATCCGACTTCCCACATACCAACAAGCCGGCCGCGAATGGCTGGAGGTGAAAGCTCCGAGATGTAGATGGGGATGAGGTTGGATATAGCGCCAATGCTGAGTCCTGCAATGACTCGGCCCGCATAGATGCAGGCAAGGCCGCGCTCGCGACTCGCTGCTAACATGAGGCCAGCACCAAGCATGAAGATGGGGCCAAAAACGAGCAAGCCAAGACGGCGACCGAGAAAGTGACCGGCCAAATAGGCAAGGATGGCGCCAAAGAACGCGCCGGCCTGGTAGCACGAAACGATGTTGGCCGAGATGAGGTCAACCTCTTGCGGAGGTTTCTGCGCAAAGGAGAACTCCTCTTTGAAGGAGTCGAGGGCTATGGTGCCCCCAATGAAGGCGCTGTCATATCCGATGGTGGCGGCACCGGCGGAGGCGATGGCAGCGAAGAGATATGTTCTGAAGTTGTAGATCTCCTTGGGTGTCGGTCGATCTTCTTCGATCTTGGGGAGCAGGCGCATGGTTGGTATTTTCAGGGTTGCTAAGAGTTCGAAGGTTGTATCTTGCAATTGAACAGGTATGGAGACAAAGCGGCACTTGTTCCAATGCCAACAAGGACTCTACTGAAAGATGAAATGTTGAGGCCTTCTTCCTCACGGGCTGCTTCGGACTTGATATAGGCCGCGCTATTCTACAGACCCCGCAGCTTGGGTCAGGAGGTGACAAGTCTCCTTTGAGTGTGGAGTTCGATCAATTTTCTCCAGGAGAAAAGAAGGCTGCTGGGGGGTTAGAATACTTTGCCGAACGGGCTTGCCCCGTGAGTTCCGATGGGCTCCCCCATGGGGCCCCATGGGACTTTCCCAGAACTTCGGAACAAAAGTCATAGCCGGGTTGACAACCCTCAATGGCCCAATTGAGTGTGAAAAGGGTTTCAACGTTTCACTGCTTATTAATGGCTGTGGGTGTGTGTGATGTATCCATTTGCGTCTCAGTCCAATCAGCAACTCCTATTCAATAAGAGGAGTAGAATTGGCCCGGGCCGGGTATAGCTTTTGCCAGATCCTGCCTCCCTTTCTTCAAAGCTATTTGCGGATTGCGGCTTTTTCGTAGTGCGGACCGCGGGTCGCGGAATCCAAATAAGTTCAAGCAACTATGATCCACATATGATAAGATAAACTGTGCTTACAATGCTGCTGCATTCTACCATCTTCCAATCTCACGACACCACACCCAAGTACATCTCTAGTCAAGAATGGGCAAGTCAATTCTACTCATCAACGGCCCCAATCTCAACCTGCTGGGGCTCAGGGAACCGCACATCTACGGGCACACCACCCTTGCCGAAGTAGAGTCCAACGCCAAGGCCCAAGCAGAGAGTCTCGGTGCATCTCTGGAGACATTCCAGTCGAATCACGAGGGTGCCATCATCGACCGGCTGCATGCTGCCCGTAGCAAGGTGGATGTGGTCATCATCAACCCCGCCGGCTTCACCCACACAAGCGTCGCCATCCGCGATGCCCTCGCTGGCGTCGCCATCCCATTCATTGAGCTGCACATCAGCAACACCCACACGCGCGAGGCCTTCCGTCACCACAGCTATTTTAGCGACAAGGCGGTGGCGGTGATCATGGGGCTTGGAGTTCATGGGTATAAATATGCGGTCGACCATGCCATACAACATATGTGATGGTATATGGTATCGCGTCAGAGACAGTGTTACCCAAGAGGAGCTAGAGATAGATAAAAGGAGGGCGAGGAGGCTGGGGTACGGGGTTTTGGACTGGAAAAAAAATTTGACTGGCCTAGATGGCAACTAAATAGGTCATATCATATGGATCTGAACTGGGTCAATATATGCTCTCTATAACTTCGTATATTGACGAATAATCAGCGGACTAGATGGAGTGCAGCAATAAATCCTGGCGTCATTGTCCTGGTTCTCCTCACCACCCTGCATGTGTATATTGCAGTGTCGATGTAGGGCACTAGTCTACATTCATGTCATGCAACTTGTATCAACACAAAGGGCAGGCCAGTTTGCTTTAAAAAATAGTCACATTCGTATCGTCACTGGAAGTTTCCATGGCCTTCTGCTTTATCAGAGTTGATGATGGCACGCCACAAATACAAGTGCTTCTTTATTAGGAACTCATTCCTTCTCACAACATGTAATCGACAATTTCGACCGTAGAGTTGTCCTGCATTGCCTTGTCAATGGCCTCACAAACGATCAACGCAGCCAGCCCAGCTTGGACTGTGCAGCTCGGTGCCTGTTGTCCCCGAATAACTTGCACAAAATGTCCCAGCTGATTATCAAAAGGTGTATCCTCAGTCACAGGCAGGCGCTCCTGATTAAGCTCAGAATGCCACGATTTTGTAGCACCCTTATACGACCAGACAGTCATATCGGGGACACTCAGACAGCCGTTGGTTCCAAAAACCCGGTAGAAGTCCTGGCCCGTCTTGGGAATGAGATGATTCTCGCCCGTTCCAGCCTCAAAGTTGTAGGGCGACGGCGCATGGTCCGAGAGGATGAAGCTTGCAACGACGCCCGACTTGAACCTCAGGGTGAGAGCCGCGCCCTCCTTGGCTTCGAATCCGCGCTGCGCCATTGTGTGTTCCGCATGAACGGACGAGATAGGCCCAAAGAGAAAATGAAGGAGATCTACCTCATGCACCATGTTCAGGTAGACGACACCTCCCGTTCTCAGTTTGCGCCATTCCGCTGGAGGGTCAAAGTAGTCCAGTGGCTTGTAGCTCGTCCACAGTCCATTGACAGCGAGGACAGTGCCGAGCTTTCCTGAGTCGACTATCCTCTTAGCTGCCACCATGTATGAATTCCATCGCCGGTGATGGCCAACAAGTGCTTTGATCGGGGATTTGTCTAGCTCCTTCACGAGAGCCTCGCCACTGGGAATATCAGTGCTGACCGGCTTCTCAATGAGGATGTGGATTCCAGCGGCAGCGAGCTCCCTGGCAACGGCAACATGGGTGTGGTTTGGGGTGCTGATGATGGCGGCATCCGGTTTATCTGTGGATTGGACCAGATCACTGATGGACTTGTAATATGTCACATCAAGCTGCTTCGCGACATTTGCCCCAGCTGGCGCAGGATCCACGATTGCCACAAGGTCCGCTTCCTTGTGTTTCGCTACGGTCTGGGCATGGCGAGGGCCAATGAGTCCAGTTCCAATGACAGCGAATCTGACCTTGCTAGATGGCGACGGAGACATGAGTGGTCTTTCAAGTTCTTGGTTTACTCGATGATGGCAAAGACGGGACTTGAGACGTGAGAACGTTCAGGGCGATAGCAAGCAATGTTATACGAGAAAAGGTCTATCAACAAATAACAAGTTGCACAAATTCATCACCGTCCCAATCTCACACATACTTGTTTGTATTCTCCACACGTCACGCAAAGTTACCATTATCTCCGCAAAACTAGAAGTATGGACCCGGCTAAATATTCCCCCATCCTCTCTGATCATCTCACGCACCACTTGTCTGTACAAGCTAAGTACAAGGGGGGCGCAATTCTATTATTCATAGAAAAAACAAATAGAACACAAGTCCGAGTTCGGCAAAGGCGGCGGAGTGCACGAACACATGGGCATTCTCTCTAGCTAGAAGTTTAATTCGAACTCAATGCCTCTACCATGAGATCTTAAATTCTTGATTAATAGGGAACATATCTCGCTAGTATCATCTTAATTAAAATCAAAGGACCGGTTCTCGCAAAGCCGGCCAGTTCATTCGGAAATAATCTAGAAAACGCCATGCACTTGATGCCGCCCTCAAACCTTCGACAACCTTCCTAGTACAGCATCCACCATGATTTCCTTCGGGGCTTCTCTACCAGTCCATAACTGATATTGATCAAAAGCCTGGGCGAGCAGCACCTCAATCCCCGTGACAGTCTTCCATCGCGGATATCTCTGCGCCACGGCCAGGAGTGGCGTTTGCCTTGGCTTGTAAGCCATGTCTATACATAGCCCCTCAAGACCAAATATGCTTGAGAACTGCTGTTCGGTCGTCTTGTCGGCCGGTACAGTACCTATAACAACAACTGGTAGCTTCGGGATGCTGTCTAGGTGGGGCAGAACGGTGATCTCGAAATGATTCTCGAAAGACCTTTGCACGTCGATGGCAACTGACATTGTCCGGTTGACAATGTATATCGTCTGAAATCCGGCTCGGTGTAAAGCATAGATAGCGGCCCTAGAAGCGCCCCCAGCACCGATGACCAACGCTGTTGAAGGTGCCACCTGTGAAGCTTTGAGATAGTCGGTGATAATGCTGTACAATCCTGACCAGTCGGTATTGTCTCCTAGTAGGATACGATCCGGACCCTCTCCACGGGGAATCAGAGTATTCACAGCTCCAATTACCCGAGCTGTCTCCGTCAGCTGGTCGCAATACCTGTGGGCTTGGAGCTTGTGTGGCATAGTGACGCTCGCGCCACCAAACTCATCACGCTTGATCAAGTGAGCGACATCGTCAACACATGGTGACTCGCGTATATCGTAGTGGTAGGGTAGACAGTGGTGGTTGAAGCCCGCATTATGTATGGTGGGGGAAATGCTAAAAGAAATCCCGTTGCCAAAGATGTGAAAGTTCTTGCGTGCAAGTGGTGTGTCTGCCGCTTCTGCCGAAGGCATCTTCGCGTCTCATTGATAGCACAGCTGGTGGACGCCTATGAGGAGGATGGATTGTTGTAAATAATTAATTGCGTACCGGTCGATGGCTAAGGAAGCCCAGACTCGCTAGCTGGAGACAGATGCATTGCGTACTGGTAACCAGACGGCTATTATCTTAACCCCCATTGTTTAGATGCTTGCCTTGCCATGTCAAAAGGCATCGACCGAGAGCTTGTTAGGAACATAGCCTGCCGCCATGTTCACTGTGTTGCGCCACGATCGGGTGTAAGTAGTGCCTGTGTGTGTACCGGTCGGCCTTCAGCGAAGGGGTCCGGCAAAATACTGATCCGACACGGACTGTCGATCCACGCTATCGGATTCCGTGCTCCAGACTACCTACACTGTAACAAAATATCTTGACTTAGCAACGAACTAACAACGAAAAACCTACAAAACGTCTAAGTCCTTACGTATAGCCAAGGCCACACACACCCAAGCACCAAGGGCTATTTTATCGCCGACCACCACATGGGACAGTGAGGTTGGTCATGGGCAATTCGACAGCGACAACAGCCATGCAAAACGCCGACGGGGCAACAATCGGGCGTACGCTCCACCTTGTTGGTGTGGGCGTCACGCATTCCATCGCCCTCAACATGCACAACTACATCACCCATTCTATCGGCCTCCCGTGGACCTTCTACTCGACAGAGTGCCCTACGCTCGAGTCCATGATGGAGCTCGCGGTCAAGCCGACCACCGCAGGCCTCGTGGTGACAATGCCCTACAAAACGTCCATTATTCCACATCTTGATGAGGTCGATGAGCTGGTCACGAGCATCGGTGCCTGCAACAACGTTTACTACAAGCCTGGGAGCCCAAGGAAGCTATGTGGCACCAACACCGACTGGCGCGGGGTGAAAGGCTGCCTCCTCGAGAAGGGCGACGACGGCGCAAGAGGCACTGCGGCAAACCCGGTGACGGGCCTCATTGTTGGTGCTGGAGGGGCCAGTCGCGCTGCCATCTACGCCTTGGCCTCCCATCTGCATTGTCCTAATATTTACGTTCTCAACCGTGATGATAAGGAGGTCGAGGACTTAGTGTCCGACTCCAAGAAGCTGCCTTGCGTCCCTCGGATCACCCATATCAAGTCCCTTGAGCAGGCCAAGGGCCTGGAAGCCTCACCTTACCACATCGTTGGCACAGTGCCCGACTTTGAACCGCAGACAGATGCCGAAAAGAACGTGGCTCTCATACTGAGACACTTCCTCGAGCGACCTCAAAAGGGGGTGTTGTTGGACATGTGCTTTAAGCCGAGGAGGACTAGGATGATCAAGCTTGCGGAAAGCCTGGGCTGGCAGTGTGTGGAAGGGACTCATGTCATTGGGTATCAGATGGAGCAGCAGTGGCGCCTGTGGGCGGGAGAGGATGCAGTCAAGAACCTGGATGTCAAGGGTGCGTGGGCAACGTTGCTCAAGGCAGCCGAGGAAAGTAAAGGTATCAATGTCTAGAGAAGAACCCGGCTGGGTGAGGACGATTCCTCCACAATAAACATCAAATAATATTGCTAAAACTGTATATTGCAACGTACATGCCATCCGGCTGAAAGTTATATAGCTGAATTACTATGTATCGGACGTGTTCCGTGTGTAACTGCAAAGCGGTAACGTTCAATGGACTTAGGACAGGCTGCACAGTCCATCAGTGCAGTTGAAGCTTTAGTCTCTCAACAACTCTCTTCCAAGCTCTCATGCCCCTCTGCGCATGTTCGGCTGGGATATGCTCCCCCTCATACGCCAAAGTCCTGGAGAATAATTCCATCGAGATATATCCCCTATACCCCAGGCCGTCAATTATGGCGTTCGCTATCTGCTCCACTGGGAGATACGCATTGTACTCCTCCTCAAAGGCGAAGGCCCGAGCGTTGCGCGACCAGCTCATGCGAGAAGGCTGGCCTTCTGTGTAGAACTCGTGGCCAGCGACAAGAGGCGAGGAGAGACGCTCCGCATCCACAATTTGAATGTAAAAGACCTTGTTGACATCCACCTCCTCGACAAGCCTCCGCAAAGACAGTTCCAGATCAACGTCGGCGTTTGGCGTCTTTCCAGTGGGCGAGGACGGGTCAGCCCATACAGAGCCGGCAATGTTGAACGTATCGAGACACATTCCGAAGTTGGGTCGGTCCACACGCTTGACGATATCCCACAAGCTCTCCCACGTGTCTATATACTTGGCCCAGCAGAGGTTTTCGTACGCAAAGCGGATCGGTGGCTCTTCGGCAAGGCCCATGTCTGCCAACTCTCTCAAGTCGCTAGCGATAATTTCGCGGTCCTCGGTGATGGTGTGCTCCTGGCCCTCGAGGACGAAGTGCGAGGGAATCTGGATGACATCTGTGTGCAGGCGCTTCGCAATCTGAAGCCACAGCTTCATCTTCTCGATCATTTTGGCGTGCTGCGCCCGGTCTGTGAGTCCCTCATAGAAAAGGAACGGCTGCATACCAATTATGGTCAGGCCATTCTGTTGGCATGTCTTGTGACAATGGTCGGCGGCTTCCAGGATCTGCTCGGTCGTCGGGTGGTCATTGCCAGCTAACTTGCGTGCGGAATAGTCGAGATCCTCGTAAAAGATCTCGATACCCTTGAATCCTGCCTTGCTGGCCTGCTCAATTTTGTTTTCAAGATCGTAGAGCCATGCTCGGCCAAGAGAAACACTAAAAATAGCAGGTTGGAACCTCATGCTTCTTGAGTCTAATCGCCAGTCGGGCTGCTTGTTGTGCTTGGAAAAGATATCTTCTGTATCAATTGACAAGATAGGAATATCAAAGGCTTGAATTGAGACGGGTCTTATCGAAGCTCGGGTAGGTTTTCAATCAACAAGCATGGTGGCGCAGATCTACTACCGCATCCCTAAGTCGGCTATTTCTTCTCCCGACGGCTTCAAGCTCAGTTACAAGTGCCAAGGGGTCATACTCTGATCTTCTAGTTATGCTCGATCGTTCCTTGAAAGATGCAACCGAAAGGCAGCCTGGATGAAGGTGATTTGCTCGAGTCGGCATCGGGGCTATGGCAATTTCTTCTTCGCAAGGTCGTGATTTCAGACTTCAGATACTCTTCCCTACCCTCGAATCTATGCTTTTTATGCTTTACCTTTCCAATGCTACATGGGGAGGCACGCATAATTAGTGCCTGTGGCTGAAATCTATCGGGACCCCGGGTTCAGTGGGCACAGTGGTTGACTTTCAGCTACAGTGCCCCGCAATAAATTTCGCGTCATTTAAATTGCAACGCGTCTCGTTCTGAATCTTTGATTTTCCCATACTTTTTTTGTTTTCTAATAATATAATTAGTTTTTAACTAAATCTCATAGGAAATCACTATAGTCCTTATAAAAGAGGCTGGGTCGCTATAGCCTATAAATTAGACCAATCTCCCTTCTAAATAACAGCCTAGAAGAGAATCCTAATATATTCTATTACTAGAATTATAATATATTATTAAAATTAAGGTTATAGCTACTTATAAAAACACTCTAAATAGCTATTAATCTTATTAGAGAGATATATATAATATATCTTATATTATATTAATCTTAATCTCTTTATAAAAAATAAGGATTTACTTAAGAAGGCTGATTTAAACTATAATATTTAGATCCTAATATAGGCTCTTATTAAGAAGGAGATTTAATATTTTAAAGCCTTAAGATAATCTAAATTAATAGAAGTTATAATATAAAAGCAACTTACTTTTACTAGAAGATATCTAGAGAAGTCTTTATCTTTTTAGTAGTAATAGATCTTTAGTAATAAGAGCTCTATAGCCTGTAATAATAATAACTATTAGTAATAGGTTTTTTATTATTTAATATATTAATTTTAAAGACCTCTAACTCTATAAATCTAATAAATTAGTATAAGAGACTTAAGAAGAAGTTTATTTAAGCTAAGAATAAATTAATATACTATTTATAAATATTTTAAGCTACTTTTTTCTTTAGTAATTAGATCTCTTTAATATTACTTCTTAATAACTTTAATTCTAATAAAGAAGGTATAACTTCTAATTAAATTCTTATCTATCTATAAGAAAATCTTCTAATAATTATATTCTTAGAGGCTATTTTTACTTAAGATAATACTTTAATATATAAAGTCTAAAAGATTTAAGATTAGTTATATAATTAGACTAAAGAGTATAATATTACTCTTATTAACTAGCTTCTATACTTATCTAATCTTAATCTAATAGAAAATCTATAGTATTTATTAAAGAAAAGCATCTATCTTCAACATCTAGAATTATTAGACCTATCTAAAAATAATACAATCTATTTAAAGCTAGTTATAGCTATAGTAGAGAGATAGGAGGCTCTTAATAAGAAGGTGATAAAGAAGCTAGTAAATTCAATGAATTAGAGGTTGGAGGCTGTTATTACTGCAGATGGATAGTACATAAAATATTGAAAAAATTGGCCTAAAAGTACGACTTTTGAAGTACCTATAGTCTAAAAATCGATAAATAAAAACGATGGCTTGGTGACGAAAATTTGAATTGAATCCGATAGGTGATGGTTGGGGTTGGGTCAAAATCGCGATTGACGCGTTTTTTTTTTGGCTCCCCACTGTAGGTACCCTTGCCAGCTGGCACCACAACAGCTAGCCCCGAGTGTATTGAATGGCCTGGCTCATCAGGTGAATTGGTGTGCCGTCTCCTTAGTGGTACCGGCCCGGATTGAAAAGGGCGAGGCCAAACACACCACCAACAGAAACACTATATTAATTCTAGCCTTTGTGTACCTGCTAATTAGTTGCACCACTGTTGATCTTTTCTTTACTATATCCTTGTCTTCTTCTACTACTTAAATACAGCGATTCAGCGGCAGCCCTATCTTGATTAATTCATCCTGCGCCTTGCAAGGCTTTAAGGCAGGTTTAAAATATCCTTCAAGACAGCCATCGCGCCGAACAATTCATTATCATGATATCGTGGCGCAATCACTTGTAAAGCTATGGGAGCGCCTTTGAAACTGGATGACTCCCAGAGAGACTTGACATGGCTACAGGCCTCGCTTAGAGGTGAGTAGCCGGGCTGGTACTGCTCACCATCAGAAGCCGTGACTGGGGTCGGGAAGACAAGGCCAGGATAATCTACGTAGTTGTACAGCGAGGTATAGTTCCAGTAAAAGGCCGTGTCGTGTGCCGGAGCCGGCCCGACGAAGGTCGGCCCAATGATGATGTCGACATCTTGCCGCTGCCAGTCCGCAGCAAAGGCACGACGAAACCTGTCGCGCTGGTCTCGGTATTTCACCACCGTGCTTCCTGACACAGGGCCCAGAGACTCGGCGGCCTTCCAGATCCAATCGCTCAGCGGGTGGACCGGCTCTCCAGCAGCAAGAATGCCGTCGCGCATCCCGGCGCCCCCATCAGGGTAATAGGCCAGACGGGCATTACGCCAGGCTTCGGCCGCACCAAAGGGTGTAAAGTCCTTGACCTCGACGAGTGCTGCGTGGCCAGGGGCAAGCAGAGTCTCGCGGACCCAGGCCAGCGCCCTCTTGACTGGCGGCTGAGGCTCGATGAAGCCGTCGTGGGTCACAATGCCAATCTTCAGTCGTCGTTGCTCTTGCTGTCGGCCAGTATCCGCCAGAGGTGTCTGGAGGCCAGTCCAGGGTAGCGGGATGATGGCAGGTTCGAGAAGCCAGGGTTGGACCTCGTGGACGACACGCATAAAGAGGTCGAGATCTCGCAGGCTACGACACATCGGGCCCGTGGCGACGAGGATGTTCAGCTCAGGAGGCACAGTCTCGAGCAAGTAGTCGTCCATAGGCAACATGCGACTCGTGGTCTTGAAGCCGTAGATGCCGCAAAAGGCAGCTGGGGCGCGGATGCTACCGCCAATGTCGGTTCCCACACCCAGGACGGAACCCTTCATGGCGATCAGCGCGGCCTCGCCCCCGGTCGAGCCGCCCGACGAGAGGTGAATATTGAAGGGGTTCAGCGTGCGGCCGAAGTGCGAGTCGGTCTCGAGATGCATCAGCGACTGGGGCTGGTTCGTCTTGCAGTACAGCACGGCGCCCTGCCGGCGCAGGATCGCCACCATATGGCAGTCCTCGCTGCTCTGGACAGCGCTGCCGAGAAAGCCGTAAGACGCTGAGGTCCCCGCAATTGCAATGTGCTCCTTGATGCTGACCGGCACGCCGTGCAGGGGGCCAACCGTCTTGCCGTGCTCAGCCTGATAGAGATCGAGCTGCCGAGCCTGCTCGATGGCGTCATCCATGAACCACTGGGTAAGGCAGCATGTCAATTGGTGCGCGATGATGGCCCGCTTGGCAAAGGCTGTGGCGACGGCGACGGCGGTCAGTTTTCGGCTGGCAATCGCTTCGGCCAGACCCGACGCATCGTAGTTCTCGGTGATGTCGATCTCGCTGGCAGTGAGGATTCCGCAGGTCGACGGTACCGCCGTGACGTCTTTTGGTGGGTTGCTTATCAGTTCGATGGGCAGTCGGTACGCGTCGGGAACCTTGGCAGCAAAGGCGTTGAGCAGGTTGGCTCTCTGCTTCTCGTATTCTGCAGTGCCTCTGGGGACTGGATTTGGTTGTACGACAGCAAGGGAAGTGTCCTCTTTGGCTAGTGAAGACGAAAAGGCTGCTGCCGGAGTGTGCCCATCGGGCACTTGCACGGCAGTGAGGCTCATGGCGAAACGTGGATTCAGGTTTGGAGATGCGGTACGAAGGGGGATGGTGTTGTATTGGGGATGGACGGCAATGGTCTGTCTACGTCTTCATGGTGGAAGTATTTATCGTCGGTTGCCAATCCGATAATCGCAATCCTCCCGACAGTGTGGCAACACGAGGCACCTCTCGCTCCTCGGGTGACAGGATGCGATAGAGGCTTCTAACTTGTACTAACATCGCAAATGTCTTGGATTGGCTCCCCTCAGATCTGGATGAGGATAGGCCAATGGATTGGATTTGCGACAGGAGTGCCGTGCAAGTCTGGGCTTTGCCGGAACACCCTCGGAACCTTTCCTAATAACTCCCCCTTGCTCTTGATAACCATTTGGAATGTGGAAACCTCGATGGCCCAATCATATACATTTGCGCCAAGCTCCACCACCTTTGGCCCACAGACTCTCCACAACCCCAGGTTTTAGCGGCAAACCCTTATCATTGGCATTCAGAGGCATGTAGACTTCAAGCACTGATTCTCGGCGCCCAGCTCTGACAGGGGGTGAGATAGATGATTCGGCATGCAGGCTCTCACCAAGCTATTGCATGGCACATCTAATATCAACGATGCAGTATATATATCTCAGTGGCGATCGCGCTTCCAAAAGGCAGCCTCCCTTCACCAGTTCCAATATTGCTACATATCGTCTTCTTGTTCTCCGCCAAGCACAACACCATGTCTTTAGCAGCAGATAACGACTTCATGCCAATTCCAGGCACCGTCTATCTCGTGGACGTGGAGCACAGTCTCCGGGGCCGTTATGCAGAGGTTGGGGATATCGTGCTCGACCCCGTTCCGTCCAGTGACCCGGAGGATCCCCTCAACTGGTCGCGCCGCAGGAAGTTGCTTGCCATGGCCTGCCAAAGCCTCTACACCTGGTTCGCTGGCATTTCGTTGTCCACGGTCTACTCGGTGCTGGTGCCCCTGTCGAGTGCAAGTGGTGTGTCTGTGCCGACACTCAACGAGGGCACTGGGTACATGTTTCTCTGCCTCGGATGGGGCCTACTCTTCTGGCAGCCATTTGCTCTCCGCTACGGCAAGCGTCTGACATATCTGGTCTCCGTCCTAGGCGCCATCGGTACTTGCATCTGGGGCGCCCACGTCAAAAGCAATGGCGAGTGGATCGCCAAGTGCATCATACAGGGATTTATGGTGGCACCCATCGAGGCACTGCCTGAAACCTCTATCACCGACGTCGTAAGTATACTTCCAAAGGCTTCACTGTGCCCTGCGTTGCTGACAGACGCGTGTCCTATCTTGATAGATCTTCACCCACGAGCGTGGTACATATATGGGCTTGTACGGCATCACCTTGGCAGGAAGCAACTTTTTCGCCCCCATCATCTGCGGCTTCATCGCTGAATATCAGGGATGGCAATGGGTCTTCTATTACCCTGCCATATTCCTTGGTGCCGTGTTCGTTTTTTTGTTCCTGTTCTTGGAGGAGACCAACTACGAGCGCCAGGTCATCATCATCGCTACCCCCGCAGATGCCAAACAGGGAGTCACTAGCATTGAGGATGGGAAGAAAGGTGCCTCCGACGTTGTCGATACCCACAGGACCTGCAGCGCCCAACTGCCATCTCCTCAGCAAGAGTCCCATACCCATGCCCCCAAGACATTTCTCCAGAAGCTGGCCCTTTGGAATCCAGCATCCGGTGAGCCAATGCTGTCCCATGCGGTACGAAGCTTGCGGTATCTCGGCTGGCCTGTGATCGCATTCGCCGGTTTCTCCTACGGAATCTATCTCCTCTTGTTCAATGTGCTTAATGCCACCGCATCGCTCATTCTGGGAGGCCCGCCATACAACTTCTCACCGTCCATGGTTGGGCTCTCCTACGTATCGTGCTGCATTGGCGTTCTTACCGGCTCTCTCTGTGCGGGCAAGATGAGCGATTGGCTGACCATCTGGATCGCGCGGCGTAACGGCGGTATCATGGAAGCCGAGGCCCGGCTGTGGCCCTTCTGCGTCTGTCTGATATTGGTGCCCGGCTCGCTTCTGCTTTGGGGCGTGGGTGCGCAGCATGGCATCCACTGGATGGGCTTGGTGTTTGCCATGGGAACCCTCGCGTTCACGTCTGCCATCGGCCTCGCCCTCAGTATCAACTACATGATTGACAGTTATCACGCCATCAGTGGCGACGCCATCGTCACCATGATCTTGATCCGCAACACCATGTCATTTGCCATTAGTTATGGGTACGTCTAGCAACCCCATCTGCGTGTTGAACCTGACCAGACACGACTAACAGCGCCTACTAATCCTGTAAATTAGCATCACCCCCTGGCTTAGAAACCTGGGTTATCAGAATTGCTTCATCTCTGTCGCCTTTGTGGGATTGGCTATCTCGTCAGTCTTTCTAATCATAATCAAGTATGGAAAGGCCCTGCGAATTCGTAGTGCAGTCAGGTATTGGGAAATAGTGAGCGCCAAAGAGGCCAGATAGTGAAGAGGTCTGCCTACTGGCAAAGCCCAGAGGGTTAGGTAGACCCATTCCCTGTAGGAAGCAGGTTGTAGTATACCTACTTAAGCATAGGTATTAATGAGATCCGCCACTTTGTTCTATCGACTGCCTGGACCGATTACATGGTCCCTCCCTGGTCTACTATCCAAGGCCTGTCTTACTAACAAGTCGGTTGTTGAGGATTAGCGTGAGACCAGCGAGGAGGTGCTAACCTTGTTGAGTACCCCAGAGACATACCTTATCTCTCAAGCACATACGTACATAAAGGGGCGACCAAGAGGACTTACCCCGCAATCGCACTTTCATCATCCTGGCAACAATCCTGCACAACATACCTACTGCTAGTCATGGAGATATCGCGAGCCAGACTGCGAACCAAGACGGGTTGCTTGACGTGCAAGTGTTTGCCCACCCCTTGGCGGTCGTCCGTGAATATACATCAGAGCTGACACCTAGACGACAGGTCGTAAACGGAAGAAGAAGTGCGATGAGGACGGTTCGGCCTGCAGGGCCTGCCGTGAAGCAGGTCGGTTGTGTTTGTGGCCTTCGTCTACGCAACTGCGCGACCGTCGTTTCGCTTCCTACACACCACCTCGCCCATGTCCGGCTCTCGAGACCGCAGTCGCACGGGCAGCCATGTCTCAAGAACTTGAAGCCGTTATGACGCGACACTTTATGGACGAATTCTACTGGTTGATCCTCCTTCCTGATTGCCACCCTGACTTTATGCACGGGTGGATAGCCGACATGCAGCGCCTGATGCTCAAGCTCCCAAGTCTGCGATATTCCATCCTCGCCTGCGCAGCAGCCCATCTGCACGTTGCCGACATGTCCCCGGAGATGGAGCAGCTCACCCTGTCTTACTACGCCAAGGCCGTGAGCGAACTTTCGACATTGTTAAACAATAGGAATGACCTGCAAATCGAGGACGATCATCCCGTCCTCATCTGCATCATTCTTCTCTACATTCAAGGGGTACATGAAACCAAAACCAGAGGCGGGTTCGGGAAACTCTGCCTCTCCGGCACAATGACTGACAATGACTTGCTGGTTTTCTGGCAAATAGTGCGAATGCACCACTACCTCCACGGACATTCCCAAACACGTCAACGCCGCCGCGCGGATCCTTGCAAGAAAGTTCTTCCCATCTCAGGCCCCGCGGGGTGTCATCAAACGACCATTCGATCGACTCGCCATCGAAAGCGTCATTTATCAAATATTCCTCGCCACAGCAGGATCCTGGACGGACTGTAGTAGTTTCGGCTGCGAGTTTGACTCCGACTTCTGGGCCCAAGCTGAAGCTTTGCTGGCGACGTCGACGCTCTACCCAGGCAAGCCCTACAGCACCAATAGCCCAGTCCTAGGCATACCGGTAGCCTGCTTCCGTCTTGCTTTGACGCTAAAGCAGCATTACCAGAGTGAGCATGTAATAGATGAAGAAACATTGATCCATGCCAGGACAGAATTAGCTGCGTTGCTGGAAGTCGTGTTGCCTTCACAGTCATCATCAGCATCATCATTACTATTGCTGTTCAGCGAGGAGCAAGATCAAGGATGCCACGACTCCAAGCAGGCTCATAAACAACACCTAGCAACCGAAGAGTCACACATGAAGGTCCTTTGCTACAGAGACTCGGCTCATCTCTACATTCTCATAGCCTCTCTTCTTCTAGAGCAGCTATCCAACCGCCGGATCAACTACGCGGCAGGCACAGGAGCAATAGCATCTAGAGACGGCGAAAGTACCAGGAATCATATTCTTCCACCAGCAATACCGAGTTCTACCAGCCAGATACAGCAAGCGATGCACATCTTGCGACGACACAAGGACGATGCCACATGGTCTAACTTTTACGTTGGCCACTGGGCTGTATACACCCTCGGTATTTTTGTGCAGGACAATGATGATGACATCGAGGTCATCCGCCGTGATATGCTGTCGCGATGGGAGCGGACTGCGTGCCGTTTGATCTTGCGCTTCTATCATGAGATGGAGCAGACTTGGTCAGCGCTGCGAGCACAAGCAGATACAGGCGTGTTTCAAGGCAAAGGATCACTGGATCGAGATGGGGTTGCGCTTGAATCGCTGCGTTTGGAGAGAATAAGATGACGAGGCAAGGAGGACACTGTGGGACAATTAGTTGCTGGGCGGATCGGTGTGTTGCGTCATAAGACGATTCAAGAGTCCTCGATGCCTTCAGGCCGTTGTCAATATATTTCTATAAAATCGGGGATCAACTTACTCTCGCACAAATAGCTGCAATATGACATTGTCACGAATGGACCCTCACTAGACCAATCGACCCCTGTTCGTTCCTTGGCTTCCTTCCACAACACTACTCATAAGGTGGTCTACACAATCAATGATTTTGTCAGAAGCATCAGTGCTCCTTATTGCCGCGAAGATATATTAACAAGAACAATCACCACAATCATTTTGCGACACAACACGATCAACTGAAGCGCGTAGTGGTCTTTAGAGCCCCGATCAGAGCTCAATCTTTGCAAGTGATCATGTTCGGGATTGCAGGGCAAGTCGTGCAGCTTTCTTGCTGCTGGTGTGGTTGACTTCGGCCTTTTCAATCCAAGTCAGCAATAGGCAGCACAACCAATGATGGATGATTGATCCATCCGGGGCTAGGACTCTAAGTGAATGACTAAAAAGAGGACTATTGAAAGTCAAATAAGAATAATATTGTTATCAGGTTGAACAAAAGAACATGACATCGCATAAGATATTAATGGTGATTAGAACCTTACGCTTTGTCAAATTGGTTGAGAAGTGTGTCGATATATCTCTGCCCCTATTCAGATTTTGGACGATCTGGCGTAATCACGCTTAGACATGAGGCCTGTGATGTAAGATCGTAGCTCTCTCCTCACAATTTTCGACGTGGGGTTCCTTGCAATTTTGGATACCTCCCAAACTCCACCCCGAAGCTTTTTATAACCTGCCACTTGACTGTCCACGCTCTCGTGGACTTCTTGAAGCTTGGCCAGTTTCATGGGACTTTCTTTGATGTCGTCCACCAGTACCACGTAGGCCGTCGGCAGCTCTTCGGAATTGGCATCCAATGTATAGGTAACGGCGCAATCGGCTACTGCCGAGTGGCGGGCGATGTACTGTTCCAGCTCGCTTGGGCTCACTTGAAACCCGCTGTACTTGATGAGCTCTTTTGTGCGGCCCTGAAGCTTGAGGATGCCTTGAGGGGAGATAGACACAATGTCCCCGGTGTTGAGCCACTTAGGCTCAGGGAAGGCTTCGGTATTAGCCTTCTCATTATCCAAGTAACCCTTGGTCATGTTGAGACCGCGGAGCCAGAGTTCTCCGGGGCCCCCGACAGGTGCTTCTGTGCGATCGTCGTTCATCAGTCTTGCCTCCAGTCCAGGGACCAAGGGACCAAGTTCAGTCAGAGCGACATGCTCTGTAATCCTGTTCATGGCTATCCAACACGCAGCCTCAGTCATGCCGTACGTTTGCATCATCGTCCATTTCCCGGGTCCGAAGTACTCCTGCACCTCTGCTGGGCTAGCCGCACCAATACTTCCCGTCACTCGTTTGACACTTGAGAAATCGTACTTCTTGGCGACTTATCTCTGGAAAAAGAGACGAGCAATAGCGGGCACCATTTGAATCGTGGTAGGTCTCGTTCTCTGCACCGTCCTCCCAAGCTGCTCGACGTCAAACGAGGTCATGATTATGTGTCGCATGCCCGTCCACGGTCCTAGAAAGAATGGAATCGTGCCGTTGGCAAGATGCACAAAGGGAGTGATCGAGAGCACGGACTCTTCTGGAGACCAACGATCAGGATCATGCCTCTGAAGCTGGTAGACATTGGCGACATAGTTCAAGTGCGAGAGCTTGACCCCCTTGGGAAGGCCAGTCGTGCCTGAAGACAAATGGATACTCGCCAAGCGATCTTCCGTGCTGTTGTAATGGGGTACAGGGAGAATCTTGTGGGCGGAGAAGCCCTGATGCAAGGTGGGATAGTGAGAATGGCTCTCGTCAAGAACCACTATGATCTGTGGCGCGGATGCATTTGGATCTTTTCGTCTCGCGGCTTCGATGGCTTCCTCCACCTTGCGGACAACGGGTGCGTAGACGATGGCATATTCGGGCTTAGTGACTGCCAATGCATGACTGATGTCCGAAGCAGGCAGCTGGTGGTTGATGGGGCAGACCACTCCACCAAGCCAGAGCACCGCGTGAAAAGCTTCGATAATGGTGACACAATTCGGCAAGATCAGAGCCCATCGGCTTTGATCGCGTGGGTTATAACGCGAGTGCAATGTGTGCGCTAGTGCACCAGCGTTCCTCCGAAGGCCATCTAGGCTCAGACTCCGGCCTTCCAAGTCATCTTCGAAAACGATGTGGCTGCCAGGCACTGGAGGAGACTGTGCACTGGAATGGAGGAGCTCGGTAAGGTTTAGGTCAAGTGGGATATCCACCTTGATATCGGAGCTGTAAATAGTCATCGTGTCTCGGGACCAATGCATGCACGCACATCTCATCCACACCTCCAAACTGGGCGGGGAGCCCTGTACTATATAGTTCCATAAGACCCGAGGGGGGGAGTTCTCCACCTCAACCTCGGTTTCCTGGAACCCCCTCACGAGTCTTCATTTGCCGGGCCGATCTCTCAACTTCGAGAAACTGCGCGTAGTTTTATGCGTCTATCGCAGAATTGGCTTGGTAGTTTTGCAGAGTTGAGCACCTATCTCTCAAATTAGTCGGCGACACCATGTCTGCATCCCCCCAGTTCCGATATCTATGTACCGAAGTACGAGATGGAGTGGCTGTCATTACCTACGCCCGCCCAGAAGTTGCCAACGCAATCAATGTCGATGTGATGAAGGTAATTGTTTTGCAATATCCCGAGGATACTATGAGCAATTGGGCTGACGATTTCACCATGCTATCTAGGAGCTGGTGGCTGCTTATACCTGGGCTATCGCCAATGACAAGGTCAAAGTTATTGTTCAGACAGGCCTGGGAGACTTTTTCACCACTGGTATAGTATTTCTTGTTGCGGCTCTGCCAGTATTCGCCCTCTTTGACTCGAGGTGCTTGATCGCTGACTCTCATGCTTTGCTTTGAATTACAAGGCATGGATTTATCGTCTTCCCGACAAAACAGTGTTACTTCGGATGCTCCGGAAATACTCCAGTAATGGCATCCATTCATTCTAGTACCCGGATTCTCCAGACTAATGCCGATTTGAGTTTAGTTCCTTCAACAAGATGCTCATTGACTGCGAGAAGGTCACCATCGCCGCTGTGAATGGTCCCGGCGCGGGCTATGGCGCAAGCAGCCTTGCGCTCTTCGATCTGGTTTATGCGGTTCCAAATGCATATTTCTTCACCCCGTTCGTCAAGTGGGGCCTCAGTGCTGAGGCTTGTTCAAGCTTTACATTCACTCATTGCCTTGGGCGACAGAAAGCGGCACATCTAATCCTTGCTGGGGAAAGGATGACCGCTCAGGAGCTGGAATCGGCCGGGATGATCAGCAAGATCCTCCCAAAGAACAAGTTCCTAGACTCAGTGCTAAGGATTGCGCAAAAAGTGGCCCAACTTCCACCAATTTCTCTGAAAGCTAACAAGAGCTTGATGACGGGATACTTCAAACAGGAGCTGCACCAAGCCAACGACTTGGAGAAGGAATTGTTTGAGACGTTGATCACTGGATCCGAAACAACAAATGCTGTGACGAGGTTCAAAGAAGAGCAGAGAGCAAGAAAGCAGGCATTGGCTGGGAGAGCATCACCGTCAAAACTATGAGGAACTTTAGAGAGCCTGATCAGGTACACTGAATGGACTCGCAGAGCGCCCCATGATCATTTTGCTGATTTACATTCTAACGTCGCTCGATTCAAGTTCTTATTAAAGTAATCATAGGTTTCGCTTCTATGACAAAAAATGTGATAATCGTCTCTCTCAAGTGCTAATATAAATTATTTGCCCTTCACCTCAAAAGGTTCGCATGGTTTTGCTTGCAAGTTTCAGCTTCAGACATTCACACACCCTCTGATATTCTCTATCTAACCAAACATAAGGTGATATTCCGTAATTGGCTTAGTCCCTCCATAATGACAGACACTTTCATATTTAGATTCCCATACCCTCAACATCCAGATCCCGAGCACGGATCTACATTTATTCAATTTTATTTCCCACATCATCACTCCATCGCCACTCCGCAGGTGTGTAACGCAGCCGCGAACTACACGTGGACTCTGGTGTCATTCAAGAGCCTTAGACACACCAGTAGCAGAACTCGTCCAGGGATGGAGCTGAATACCTAACCAGGAGGGAGCTCGCCGTGGCAGCGTCCTAGGCTCCAACCGACCGCCGGAGCTTGATAGGATATATGATACGCCTGAGTAGCAGTCTGCTCCACAAGAGCATCCTATAAGCTTGATGAGACCAATTTTATCATCATGCAGAAGGTACTATTACTGTTGTCTCTTTGTTAGTCTTTAGCTTTGGTCTGACCCTATTAGGCATAACAAGACATAGTAGGAAATGGGATCTTTAGTCGCTTAGCAGCATCGAGGCCTTTTGTGTAGCACCACTTCGTGTAGACCCTAAGGATCTGGGGCGAGCTGAAGGGGATGGGCGTGAAGGCTTGGCATTATGCATTGAAGATCATTTGCAGATCCGCAGGACACGGCCCAACTAAACTTGCTAAATCTTTTGGCCAAGCTATATAAAAATACCACTTCAACTTTTAGCAAACGATCATAAAATCGAATCGAGAGATAGATAATTAAATGTGTAGGTTGTACACTTATAGACAGCAACCCTGACATATATTCTTCAATATCAATAAGTCTCAACAGTATCTTTATTATTCTTTTTCATATCCCTCACTAACCCTAGATGCAGCTGAATAGATGAAATTTCTAACAGCCGCCCTTCTTATCGACCTCCTCCTAGCGAGCACTTATACAGAGTGCTACAAGGCTAAGTATTATGACAGGACAAAACAATGCCGTTTCTACCACTGCAAAAGCCTGAACAAATCCAGCAAGTTCTATCCTTATAAGCCTAGGGCTCAACTCAGCATCTAGGAAGCCGATGGAAGGACTATAACAAGTATCGCAATTAAGGCAGGCATTTGGGAGGCGATATTTATAAGCTCGACTCAATCACCGAGCCCTGATTACAATAAAACTGAGATGTGAGTGTGGGAAATTAGCTTGTGACTTCTAGTATTCCACGCAGGATGACTGGACGAGAAGCTTTCTGTTAGACGATCAGGTACACACTACCATCAGGCTCTCAAATACAACACACTCCAGCATAACTTGTCCTTTTCATTCCACTTCTACAGCAACCTCTTAGAACTGGCCGAAGACCCAACTGTCAGCTTCCAAAGGCTCGACAAAGCTGCTTTGCATTCAGGCCCTGTGGCGTCCCACTCAGTCCCTTGCCCTCGTCACCCATGACTTGAACAGCCATAGCCATACCGCTTGCCTGGTGCCACAGAACATGGCAATGCAAGGCCCATATACCCTCGTTGTCGGCCAGAAACCTGATGACGACATATCCGTAGGCCGGGACATATATCGTGTCCTTCATGATTGGATTTACCAGATTAAAAGGACCACCACGAGGTTCCTTCCATGGGGTAAATGGATTGTAATAATCCCATCCACCGTTGCCAGCGTAAGAGCTAACGATGTAAAGGTTGAAACCATGCTGTCAAACTGGTCAGTAGCCAGAACAGCTCGAAACTTCTTTCCATTGACGTACGAGGTGAAACGGGTGGCCAACTGTGTCGACATTGTTTATCGTGAACTCCACCCACACAGGCTCATTGCCGGTCCATGGGACGAGCTGGTGACGGTCCCATTTGTATCTCTCAAGTGTGAGCAGTGGGCTCTGTTGTGGTTCCCAGGTCGTCCGATTGACAAATCCGTGGGGAACTAGCTCCAGCCTGCTCAGAACCTCAATATTAACATAGAGCATCAAATATTTTCCAGGATCCGGGAGACGCGAGGCTAACATGGGGCCTTTTGCCTCTCGAAGATCGAAATATGACAGTTCCGGCGACCTTTTCCCCTCAGTTTCCTTTCCTACGGTCGGAACTGAAATGCTGAAAGTCTGTGTTGGCGTCAGGGCAAAATTAGGGACGACGCAATACCTATGTTTCGACGGTCAAAACTCGTGCCATGTTCAGAAAACCATAGAAGCACCTAACAGGCTGTACTCACTCATCCGTATCCAAAGAGACCACAACTCTAGCCTCGGTGTCAACACTCGACTCCGGCCACCATAGGAGAAAGTCCACTCTTTCTCCAGGACTGAGTATGCCGATCGAATTTGCACGGTGCGACACTATTGGCAGGCCGCCATCCACACGAATTGTGTTCATTTCTGCATCCGGAAAGGCTATGGAGAAACCAGTGAGAGATCTGGCTGTCCATCAGTCTAATAATAAAGATATTGGTTGTATTTTGACGCACCCAACATTGACAGTCCGTACCCTGTATCGTTTACTTGCGTCAAGCAGTAACTGTGGTTGTGGAGTGTCTGTACAGTCCAGCGGTCTAGCGGGAACGGCCTTGGCGCATTCAAAGTAGCCGCCTCCATTAATCAGTAGAGAGTCTGGGCAGGGCTATAAATCATCAGATACTGTAACTTGATTGATGCGTTGGTACAAAGTGGCTGCCAACCTCGGCTGCAAGTCCATCATGACTCAGGAATCTCTCCCGCACCTTTTCCGCGGAAGAATGATACCAGTCGCCCACGAGAAGCAACAACTCCTCGTCATACGAGGCCATTATCTCATAGTCATTGGGATCATGAATGATGAGGCCACCATAAAGGCCGTCTGCCCGTTGAAGTTCCGAGTGCGCGTGAAACCTGTCAAGATATCAGCCCACCACGCGGGCTATAATGCGAAGAGATGAGCTTACCAAAATGTCCCCGCCTGCTTCCCAGTTGGTATGCGGTATACAAATCTTCCCCCGACAGGGATGGGACACTGGGTGATGCCAACAGGTCCGTCAAATTCATTAAAGCCTGGAACTTGTCAGACCGTAGCCGCATCCTAGACCACATCTTCGCTGCTTACCTCGCATATGCAGACCGTGCCAATGAAGAGACGTTGCATCCTCGAGATGGTTAAGGACCTCAACTTCGATAATATCGCCTGATCGTACCTCGATCGTCGGTCCAGGGAACTGCCCTAGAGAGAGGAGTTATTGGTGTGAAGCACCCCAGATGCAATAGAATACCATCACACCGTTTATCAACAGCACTTCACGCTTGACTCCATCAGGCTCGATGAGTGACTTAGTGATGTTCCAGGAGTAGCGCCTGAGACCGGGCTCACGCGACACATGCTCGTCCGGGTGTAGCAACAATTTAAGGTCTCGAGAGGGGCGAGATGGTGTCATATTCTGGCCAACGGTGACTGTCGATTGTAGGAGAGCTGAATGCCAGAGCAGAAATAGTATAAAGGCTGTTGATACCAATGTCGCGAGAGCCACAAGGCAAAGCTTCACAAAGCCCCTGCTGCTTTTCAGTCCCCGACTGGTGTTCCATACTTGCCACCCAATATGGTCCGCCTGCTTGTGATCATTGTGGGAGAAGAGGGACTTGCCAGCTTGCGGCATAGGTAGCACATTCTGCATGGTCTGGCGATCTCGGCCTTTGTAACGACCTGAACCTCAAAGTGTGCAGGGAAGGAAAGGGTGCTAGCGAACATGAATATTGAATCTTGCCACTCGTTCGTTGAATAATTGTAATCCGCTACCACTCATTAGATGGCTCTATATCTTTTACAACTTGTATGAGGTGTTGCTCCGGCTTTCAAGGGCGATAGCTGTTTGAAGCCCACGGGGGTCATCGATCGGCGTTGGGGTGGCAGTAGCCATGCAGGATCTCATACACGTGGGACCAAATATCGTCAATCATTTGTCGGAGGCTGTATCCATAACAGCTTCTTGCCCAGGAATTCAGTCACGTCAATGAGAGAACAGGGTTAGCTGCCCAGCTGTGCCACACCTAAAACTCACGTCTTATCCGCCCGCCCCATCCGGACTTTAAGTCTTGCCAAATGCTCTAGCACTGCTTATTTCCAGCCAGACGGAACTCGACGTCATTGCACGGCCGCGACGGAGCGGCCAAAGCGAAACAGTTTTCGTAAATGGGCTCCTAGTGCATCTTCTCAATGTGCCAGGATGGAGAATGCCCCGCAAAGTAGCCAACACGGATGCGTCTCCTGTCTCTCATCCGTTGTGTCTCAATCCCTGCTATTGCCGTTCTCAGCCAAGTGTGGTTCAGCTTTGTTGGTGCATGGCATCGATGATGGATTGTTATGGAAAGTTCAAAAACGTACCTCGTAAAGTCGTACTGAAGCAAAAGGCCCCGGGGTTTGCTCTTCCCCCCAAGTGATCCATGTGGGCTCACATCCTACTCTACGCCTGCCAGCCGCGTCTTGTGCGAGAGAAGGAAAGCTACAACTATTTAAGGACAAGCCATCGCCCTTTTGCCGATCACTGCCCAGAATGCCATCCAACATCATAAGGAAGCACAAGACCCCCCGCTGCTGAGACGACGTTTTGTATCTCTGCCGCGATGATGTACAAGTTCGTCGCCCTCTTGGCCCTCGCCACGGCTACTGCCGATGCAGCGTCGCTCAAGGATATCAAGCATGTCGTTATGCTTATGATGGAAAACCGTTCTTTCCAGCACGTGAGGAGACATTTCTTTTTCGTCATGCATTACACTAGAGACTGATTTGTTCGTTCACAGTACTTCGGTACTATGGCAGGTGTCCGTGGCTTCGCCGACCCCAACGTCCAGGTGAATCCTAATGGACGCCCGGTGTGGTACCAGTACGTGATGTTCCTCCATTAGCTACCTCTCTCCCGTTCAAGTGATATCAATGTACATCTCCACAAAGGCTTACTGCAATTCATCCTAGGGATGCCTCCGGCCTATCCAAGGACGCCGACTACCTGTTGCCATTCTACCTGAACTACGCAGGAGACGAGTGGTCCACCTACAGTCAGTGCCTTTGCGCCGGTGCGAACAACTGGAACCCAACGCAGCGTGCGCTGAACGGTGGTCTCAACGACCAGTGGGCCAAGGTCGCAACTCCTCAGTCCTGGGGATACTTCAAGCGCAAGGACATCCCTTATCATTTTGCTCTGGCCGATGCCTACACTGTCGGCGATCATTACTTTGTATGTCAGGAGCTGGACTCGCAATGCTTGGCTCAGCCCAGTTAACATCTTGCCCAGGCCTCTATCACCGCCAACACCGATCCCAACAGATGGTACTGGCAGTCGGGCACCATCAATGTACCCGGTGGAAAGCAGGCTCTTGGCTCTGGCGGTGTTGTTCTTGACAATAACCAGGTGAATGGTAAGGATTCAATCTATTGAATTGCTAGTTATCATGATGTTCCGACTAACAATCATGATCAGGCTGCGACGGCCCGAACCTGAACTGCCTGCCCCTGCAATGGCCAGCCTTCGCCCAGTATCTTGACGAGGCTGGTGTTGACTGGAGGTCTTTCCAGAACTCGTACGATTGGGCCACCAATAGCGGCCTCTTTTACTTCAAAGCCTTCCAGGACGCCCCTAAGAACTCTAGCCTCTACCAGCGGGGTCTTGCTTTCGATGGCGCCAACGGTCTAGAAGCCTTCCAGAAGTCTGCTGCCGAGGGCACCTTGCCTGAAGTCAGCTGGGTGTTCCCCCCGGGTAATCTGCAGGAGCACTCTCCTCATACTCCCATGGATGGAGCTTGGTACATGAACCAGGTTGTCGGCGCCGTCATCAACGGCAAGAACTATAACGAGACCCTGGTCATGATCAACTATGATGGTAAACTCTGAACCTCCGGCGCCTTTTTCTAGCTGTTTAATCCTGACTTTCGATTGTAGAAGGTGGCGGTTGGGGCGATGCGGTTCTGCCACTGATCAGCCCCAATGGCACTGCTGGTGAGTGGTTTGAGTAAGTCATGTCAAGACTTCCGAGAAGGTCGGAATAAATACTTATCTCGGTATTTAGGGATCCCTATGGAAAGCTTGGCTACACCTTCTCCGGCCCTGGTGTTCGCATTCCCCTCATGCTCATCTCTCCCTTCACGCGTGGTGGACACGTCTTTACGGAGCGCGCTGACCATTCTTCTATGATCCAATTCCTCGGTAAGAATTGATCTCCCATGTCCGTTCTGCAGCGGGATATTATGCTTTGCTGATCACTAACTATCTATAGAGCTGTGGCTCACGGCAAAGGGATACAACAACGTTAGTACGGCGGAGCTCTCCGACTGGCGGCGCGAGCACATGTCGGACCTGCTTAACGCCTTCGACTTTGAGAACCCAGACTACAGCATCCCGGACCTCCCAGAGCCGCCGACCCCAATCAAGGACGCCAAAGGCAACATCATTGGGACCTTCAATGCCATCTGCAGCAGGGAGCTCCAGGGCCACTGCTCTGGCAATGCTTACCACGCCGCTATCCCTTATGGCAAGCAGACGGAGGAGGACTCGCTGTTTTTTGAGGACGGCTTCAAGAGCGTCCGCGGCGGTCTCGGCGAGGGCCACTTCATCGTGCTCGAGTCCAATGGCCACGCGCTGACTAATGCGGGCGTCGACAAGCAATTCACGGCCTCCAAGGCCACCGCCAAGCATGACGATATCTACCAGCGCTGGGTGGTGCGAGGCCTGGCAGCTGAGGGCGACGAGTTCCATGTCAAGAGCGCGCTCGACGGCAAGTGGCTGTCACAGCATACTAGCCTGTCAGTCTCGGAGAGCGGTGCCCAGGCCTACAAGATCGCCTACATGGGCCACGGCCTGTACTCGCTCCAGAAGGAGAACGGCAAGTACACCAACATCAGGGAAGACGGTAGTATCTCCATTGATGCCACTCCTATTGGCTACAAGCTTTACAGTGTGACCTACCATAAATAGATCCTCGGTCTTTGATCGACGGGGCAAGGGGGAAAGAGGCGGGGAGAGATAGAAAAGGTGTAGTAGATGAAGCTATTCGAGGCGCCGTAGACCTCCGCCTCGGAAGTTTGACAAAGGCTGGCAATCACACAACTGAAGAATTTAAGGACAATCTCTTGAGTCAAAGACCTGATCTGCGTGTAGCTGTGACCTGCCTTGCCGGACTCGTAATTCATACATGATGACTCGACAATGTGATGGCCTGAAGGAATAAATTTTCGAAAGTCCAGATCTTACATTCGGTGTGCTGCCCTACTAAAAGAAATTCAAATAGGTATCATAGACGAGTATTAACTAATCAAGTGCTGTGCTCGCTTCGTTCATGGGTGTTTCGTGGTTCATCATCGCGTGGCCCCGTCATCATGATCTCGTCGGGAAAAGAGAGAAAGAAGGGGAAAGAAAAACACGACTTCATCCAAAGCACTGTCCACCGTCATTCTTTTCTTCATCTGAAAAACACGTCGCGACATATACGCTCGTCTCACTAGGCTGCGGCGGAGACCTCCTCGGGTGCCGCGGTCGCAGCCGGCTTGTCATCGCTGGCCTCCGGGACTTTGGGTGCTGCCTCAGCCTCGGCCTTGGCAGCCGCAGCGGCCTTCTCCTTTAGGGCAGTCTCGAGACTTGCCTCGGTCTCGCTCAGCTTAGCCTTGAGGTCCGACTCGGCCTTCTCGGCCTTGGTGGTGGCTTCGGTCAGCTCGCTGACCTTGGCCTGGAGCGCCTTCTTCTCCTGTGGAGACAACAGGTGTCAGCAAACTTGATGCGTTTCATGTGGGCGGCTATGGTGGCTCTCTTACCTTTTCTACGGCTTCGACCTGCTCCTTAAGCTTGTCCAGATCGGCAGCCTTGACAGCACTCTCCTCGGCCGTCTTCTTCAGCGCGGCGGACTCCTCCTCCAGGGCTTTGACCTGGGCGGACGCTTCGTCAGCTGCCTTCTTGAGAGCTGTGCTCTCCTCCTCAAGAGCCTTGGCCTTGGCAGCGCTGGCCTCGTTCTCCTTCTCGATAGCTGCCAGTTTGACGGAGTGCTCCTCGGCGGCCTTCTTGAGGGAATCGCGCTCCTCCTGAACCTTGGCCGAGTCGTCGGCGGCCTTCTTGAGGGCGGCGGTGTGTTCCTCTTGGAGCTTGGAAGTAGCAGCCTCGGCCGTCTGAGCCTTCTCGTCTGCCGCGGCGAGGGCCTTCTTGGCAGCCTCGAGATCGGAGGTGGCCTTGGCTAGGGCGGACTCCTGATCGGCAGTGGCGGTCTTGGCCTGCTCCTGGGCGGCAGCGAGCTCCTTCTTTGCAGCGTCAAGGTCGGCGGCGGCCTTGGCCAGGGCAGTCTCGTGCTCGGCTGCAGCAGTCTTGGCGGTCTCGTCGGCGGCAGCAATGGTCTTCTTGGCCTCGTCGAGCTCCTTCGAGAGCGCGTCCTGGGCCGACTCCAGTCCCTGCGCCTTCTCCTGCCAGGTTGCTGCCTCCTTCTTGGCAGCCTCCAGTTCCGCGGCGGCGTCCTTGGTGCTGGCGTCGCCGGCCTCCTTGGCCTTGGCGAGCTCGGCTTGGAGATCAGCGAGCTGCTGCTTCAGCTGGGCAGCCTCGTCGGCGGATGCGGTCTGTGTCTGCTCGAGCGTGGTGTACTTGGACGTCCACTCGGACACGCCCTTCTTGGCAGACGCGAGCTCGGCCTCCGACTCGGCCTTGAACTTGTCGTGCGCGTCCTGCAGGCTCGTAAGCTTATCCTGAGCTTCGGAGAGCTCCTTCTTGGCTGCGGCCAGCTCGGTTGCCGAATCGGCGACAAGCTTCTCCTGCGACTGTTGGAGAGCGGTGAGCTTCTCGGTGGCGTCAGCCAGGTCCTTCTTGGCGGCGGCGAGCTCTGCGGATGAGTCGGCGCTCAGCTTGTCGCTCGACTGCTGAAGCGCGTCGAGCTTGGCGTTTGCGTCGACAAGGTCCTTCTTGGCGGCGCTCAACTCGGCCTCGGAGCCGGTCTTCAGCGTCTCGTGGGCCTGCTGCAGGGTGCTGAGCTTGCCTTGGACATCGGCAGCGTCCTTCTTGGCGGCAGCCAGGTCGGCCTCGGCATCCACCTTGAGCTTGTCGAGGACGGCCTGCAGAGCGCTGAACTCGTCGCGGGCGGCCGAGAGCTTGGCCTCGGAGTCGGTCTTGTACTGGGCGTGGGTGCCCTCGAGGGACTCGGTCATCTTCTCGAGCCGAGCGACGGCCTCTTGCAGGACGGTGTGCCTCTTGTTGGCCTCGCCGAGCTGGGTCTCGAGCGTGGAGATCTCGCCGCGCAGCTCGGCCTCGAGCGACGCCCGCTCCTCCTTGGCCTCGGCGATGGACTTTGTGGTGGCCTCGAGCTCGTCGGCCAGCTTCTTCTTCTCGCGCTGGACGGCGGCGAGCTGCTGGGCGGCGGCATCGCGCTCGCTCAGCTGGGCGGCCTCGCGGGACTGCGCGTTGGCGGCATGGGTCTGGTTCTCGCGCTGGGCGGCGGTCAATTGAGCGTCGAGCTCCTTGAGCTTTTGCCTCAGCTCCTCGGCGTCCTTTGACAAGGCGGTGTGCTCCTTTTCCTTCTTGGAGAGGTCGGCCTCGAGGGCAGCGACAGTCTCGTCGCGGTCGGCCAGCTTGCGCTCGAGCTCGATGCGGTCAGTCTTGGTCAAGCTCTGACCGCCAGATGGGGCAAATGCCGAGATGACGTTGCCCATGGTGCAAAAGATTCACAAACGAGGAGAAGAGGAGAAAGGGGGTATCTCAAAGAAAAGGAAATGGGAATGGTATCTCAAGGTGTGAACCAAAGGATTTGTCGCGGGTAGAGGAAAGAAAAGAAACCTCTGGATTGTGGTGGGAGAGAAATTCAGAAGAGATCCAGGCCTCTCTTTTTTTTTCTCTTGCACCACCACCTTATCGCAATCAAAACAGAGAGAGCCGGCTTGGCCCTTGCGTTTGCTTTCTTTCTTCACCGTCGGTTCACTCGGTGATAAAATGAGAGAGGGACCATTTAAAAGTGAAAGTGGGTGCAGCAACCAGGGTCGCAGGGTCGAATGGCAGGGTCTTGTTCAGACAAGGGGGGTCCTTGTTTTTTTTTTTGTTTTTTTTTTGGCCTTCTTGCTCCATCTCGAATCACCTCAATGAACAATAAAGGTGCGAGTCACTACCTCCTCGCGCTGGATGATGTGTGGACATGGGTGGGTGGGTGAATGGCGCATTGGTGAATTGGTCACACTCCCGTCACTTTGCTGTTTTCACTGCTGCTGCCCAACCATGGCCAACCATGGCCAACCATGGCCAACCAGCGCATCAACCGGCCCAGTCATGGACCAGCAAGGGGCCCAGTGGGTGAATGCACAATGCCAGATGGACATGCAAGCCATTCATGAATGACGTGAACCTGGCAAGCCCAACAACACGCATGAAGTCAGAGAAGAAGAGATGCATGGATGGAGTGGAGAGAATGAGCCGAGGACAAGGTGCATCCATGGATGTCCGGATGCCCAATCAGGCCTGGCAGAAAGCACCTCGATACCTAAGATAGCGGCCCAGACAGCGCGAGACATTACCAAGAAAGACCAGTGCTGCTTGTATTTTGTAGGCACGCAAAAAGAGCCTAGGCGGGACCATCGCTCAATCAACTGAAGCAGTCATCAACATGCAGCATCCAAAAGCAGCGCGCGCGCCTAACCAAACAAATCCATCCATGGCTTTTGGCCCTGGCCTGGCCGGTGTTTCCTCCAGTTCGCGTCACGTCAGGCAACCAGAACCCGCGTTGAGCGCCTTGAGCGGGAGCGGGAGTGGGAGACGACAATAAACACACAACATCCATCACTCTGCACACTGCACACTGCACACTGCACACACACGCACACAGCACATAACTAGCACATGGGCCGATCGTGGCATGTGTTCCTGCATCAGACCCATGAGGCGCCTGGAAGGACTAGGTGCTGCGATCAGGTGGGGAGATGTCCTCTGTCTCTCCACTGCATCTACCCTGTAAAATCGCTTCCACTTTCATCACCCAAGTTCGCATCTGTCTAAGGATCAATCTATTCTGCACCAAGCCAGTCAGTCGCTCCTCGCCAGCTGCTCGGAATGCCCGAACTGCTTCTCTCTCCACCTGGTCCTGCTGTGGAGCACCAGCAGCCGGCGGCATCAACCGAAAACTCACGCCGCTGAGACAGCGGGATCCGCCGCAAACCAGCTCTCTCTCCTTTCCAGCCACCACTCCCCGTTCTACTTGTACAGCATCCTCGCCTGATTCAGCGACCCCTCATGCCAAAGGCAGATGTGGTGACAACAGATTCCTGTCGGCAATGGCTCCCACTGTGCCCTCTTGTCTCCAACATTCACCGGAAAGTTTCCTGCGCAGCATGATGAGGCGTACATCTTTTCAAGTGACTTTGAAGCCCTCGTTCTGGGACGGACTTCGGCTTTCGTCGCCCACACATCCCTCAATTTATACTGTTGCGAACTGAACCGGCAATTCCCTATCGGCGTATGAAGCACGCTTTCTCCGATGCTAGCCATATCGGAGAGAGAGGCTCATGCTCGGAGTGTCGGAGTGGGCCTCGGTCCACGAAAATGCGGAGCACCGACCGAGGCAAGCGTATCATGTGGTCATCCGGGGCGGCATCGGACTGCGGGGGAGGAGGAAGGTCCTCGAACATCTGCAGTGCACACTTTACATATTACACCGGGTGTTTTCCGTAAAGCATAAATGCTCAACTGACAGGGTGCACTGTTTCTTCCGAGTGTCACAACCCCTCCTTCTCCTTCGCTCTCACCCACTTCAGGTTCGACAAGTCACTGACGCAGCCTACGATGCCGGGCTCCATCGACCTCGCAGAGTACCTCTTCACCCGCCTGCGCCAGCTCGGCCTTGGCGCTGTGCATGGCGTGCCTGGTGATTACAACCTCCAGCTCATTGACTTTGTCGAGCCGTCCGGCCTCACCTGGGTCGGCAGCGCCAATGAGTTGAACGCCGGCTATGCCGCCGACGGCTACGCCAGGGTCAAGGGCATCGGCGCCGTCCTGACCACATTCGGCGTCGGCGAGCTCTCGGCCATCAACGCCATCGCCGGCGCCTACACGGAGCTAGCCCCTGTGGTGCACATCGTCGGCACGCCCAGGCGAGAGTCGCGCGACTCGCGCTTGCTCATCCACCACACCTTCAACGACGGAGACTACGGCCGTTTCGCCAAGATGCACGCAGAGGTGACGCACGCCCAGGCTCACCTCCGGGACCCTCGCTCCAGCGCCCAGCAGATCGATGAGGTCCTGCAGCAGTGCCTCCTGTCCAGCCGCCCCGTGTACATTGACATTCCTCTCGACATGGTGACCACCCCAGTGTCCAGGGCCAGACTGGACACGCCAATCGAGATCCCCGAGCCCGAGTTCAACCCGGCAGAGGACGAGGTGGTCCGGCAGATTGCACAGCGCATCACCGCTTGTAGACAGCCTGTCATCCTGGTGGACGGTGAGAGCAAGTCGCTGGGGATCGTCGACGCCGTACAAAGGCTCGCTTCTTCTAGTGGTTGGCCAACATGGACCGCTCCCTTCGGGAAAGGCTTACTCGACGAGACGCCTGCCAGCTTCCACGGCGTCTTCAACGGGTCCTTTCATGACGATGCTACGCGCGAGTACATTGAACATGCGGATGTGATCCTCAACTTTGGACCCCATTACAGCTCGACCAACTCGTCTCATTACACTGCGATCCCCAGAGTTGATGCCACCATCGCCTTCACGACCCTCGGGGTCAAGATCGCCAAAGACACTTTCAGGGATGTGTCGTCGAAACGGATTTTGGAGCGGGTACTGCAGGAGGTCGACTTTGCAAAGATTCAGATCACCAGCGCTCACGAGAGTCTGTCTCGAGACAGCTTATTAGATATCCAGGCCGAGGACAGTCCCAATCAAATCACGCAAGACAGGGTATGGCGCTACCTGGGCAAGATCGTGCGCTCTGGCGATATCCTCATGGGAGAGACAGGAACGGCTGGGTATGGCTGTCGGTCGATCCCGTTGCCCCCTCGCACCATTTTCTTCTCGCCTGTGACATGGCTGTCGATCGGATACATGCTTCCCGCTGCACAAGGCGCGTCACTAGCCCAACGAGAATTGGCAAGAGAATCAAAGTACTTTGGGATAGAAGACGCCCGCACCATCTTGTTCATCGGTGACGGCAGCTTCCAGATGACCGCGCAAGAGCTGGCGACCATCATAAAGCACAAGCTGGACGTCACGATTTTCTTGATCAACAACGACGGATATACTATCGAGCGGTGCATCCATGGTCGGAAGCAGGTCTACAACGACATCTCATTCTGGAGGTATCTCCTTGCTCCCGAGTTCTTCGGGGCCGACAAAGATACCTATACCGCCTCTGCCAAGACGTGGGGCGAGCTGCAGGATGCGATCAACCATCCGAGCTTTGTGGAAAGAAAGGGGTTGAAGATGGTCGAGGTTTGCCTCGGAAGAGACGATTCGCCGCCAGGGCTACTCTCACATCTGATGAAGACTCAAATTGATAGAGACGGAATGTAGACGGGATTCGCACCAAGACAGGGTGATCAATGCCAAAATCGAACAAATGTTTAATCACTATTACTAATACTGTCAACCTTGGACTTCACTGTATGGGTCGAATAAAGACGGTTGACCTGCAAGCTCCTGCCAGAAGCCTGTCTCCAGATCCCACAATTCTTGGTCTTGCAGTGGGTACCAAGGGATCACGTCCTGTAACTGGGCATGATCCTGCTGTGGTCCAGGCCCTTGCGTGCTGAAAACTTCTGTACCTGAGAGAATGTGGTCGAGCAGGCGTTGGATAATCCGAGCGGCCTTGGACAGAGGCGCAAAGTTAGGGTCGTCAGTCTTCACCAGAGTCCCTCTCTCTATCTCGGCTGCGAGAACACATAGGTCTTGAATGGCTTTGGCACGAAGTGCCGGTTGGAGGGCTGGCCGTTCCGTCTGCACCTTGCCTGGTCCGAGCATGGATAATAGCAAAATCCCCGCGGCCGGGAGTCCATGGTAAGCAATCTTAGGAGGTCGGTCAGTCTGCTTTGCCCGGTCACTGACGGGCTCACCTAGCAGGAGACGGCTCACCTTCCAAGCGAGATTTGTGCCAGCGTTGGCCAGATCTGTACGGAGGACGATGGCGTCGATGACCAGACTGAGAATCTGCTGAGCTACTTCCACGACAGCAATATTCGGGTCAGAGAAGCTCCCTAGCTTAAGGCGGCGTAAAAGCAAGACAAGCTGCAGATATGTCAAACTGATGCTGATGACAAAGTCTCTTTCAAATGGGCTTCTGTCGGCGTCATTGAGCTGGGATGTCTCCTTGAATTTGAGGGGCAAGGCATCCCAGTATGCTCCAGCTATTGCTTCAAGCGTGCTGCCAGACTTGTCATTAGCAACGTGTCATGGCTGCACGGGAGGGCGCTGTCAACTTGCCTCGTTTTTTCTTCAAGATCGGCCTCATTGCGATTGAACAGAAGTTCCATGGCATCTTCTTTGATGGAAGCACAGATGGCTGCCCACCTCGTCTCTGTTCGGTAGTCCATCCGCGGGTCTTCCGGCCAGAAATACGGGTCATTCTGGACTGTGGACTCTACCGGCGGACCTCGCCTCGAAGTGCTCGGCAGCTGGAAGTGACAGAACCTCTTGCTCAGCCGCAGCGGTCGGCCCATGAACAGTGATACATTTTTGTCCGCTGAGTATATTCTAGCGAACGCGGTTTTCCGCACTTCGGATAAGAAGGGCGGTGCGTCGCATTTTCTGTCAATGTCTTCGTGGTAGCCAAGAGCGAGTGTCGACGAGATCACGTCACCTATTCGACGCCACAGCTGATAGCCTGCAGATGTCTTAGCTATTGATTCTTCAAAGTATATCCAGAATACTGGCCAACCCAGGAGGGCTTTCATCAACTACTTACTTTGATCGCCATCCACGTAAGAGTGCAAGATGAAGTTTTCGTATTGAAGCACCAGCTGCATGTCGTTCAACGAGTCGAGGGAAAGGCAGATGTCCAGGCAGTTGTCGCTCAGACGAGTCACGGCATTTCGAAAGTCTCGCTTCTCCCGATCGGAGGAATACAGGCCAGGGAAGAACTCAACATCCATAGAAGCCCGGAACACAGCCGTGAGGAAGATCCCAAGGGTCTCAAAACGAGAACTTTCGGCAGTAAATTGAGCAGTGAACTCTTCAAAACTCGTGTCCGGGGTCAAGTGCAGGGGCTTCATGGAATTCGCAAGCAAGCTACTGGTGAGCTGAGCACCCCAACTGGCGTCCTTGACGGATGATGCCCGTGAGAAGTTTGAAGATTGGGCACAAGGAGCCACAAAGATCTCGGCGAGGGCCAAATTCACTCCCCTTGAGAGCCATAGCGTGACGAGGCCCTCCATCGCGTGCAAATCCCTGGGCCGGAGATGTTGGTTGACGCCTTTCTCAATCTGTTCGAGAACGGGTCGTAGTTCAACAGAAATGCTCTCCAACAGCGGTGCGGCCGGGTCATGACTAGTAGATCTCTGATCACCGCCCTCTGAGTCTTCTAGTACTAACTGGTTAAAGATGGCGGCATGGCTGGAAGGACCTAGATAACCTGGGTTGGGATTCGGATGTCGACGGGGCTCAATCTCTGGTGAGCGCGAGTTGCGGCTTGTGCGAGATCTAAGACGGAAACCCCGGGTTAGTTCTATTGCATTATTTCGCAAGATGTAAGGAGGTTAGCGACCAGGGACATACACCGGAGTTCCTCCATGGCTTGTTGCGGCGTGTCGCCTCTTGAATGGGCTGGCCCGATAAACGCAATTGCCATCTTTATTCTGCTGTCGACACCGGTTGCAAACAGGCTTCTTGTGGTCGCAGGCCAACTTAGACTTTCTGCAGGGGTCACAAGCTGCTTGTCTTGAAGCCATGGTCGATTATCTCACGGCTCAAGTTGCCGGTTTTGCCCCGGTGTATGTCAGAGAGCGGTGAAAAGGAAGGGAATTGTCTGGGATTACTCCGAGTCTTTGGTGTACTGAGTGGATATCCCCCGTGACACCCACCGGATCGGACTAAGGTTTGTGTCGGACCGGAGCTAACCTAGAGTGCTCAAGCTCATTTGAGTGGTGGAATCAGGTCCGCGACCATGCTTTGGAACACCAGTATGAAACTAGCATTATGCCTATAAAGAAGTTATCACTGCTAACATCAACACCAAGCAAACGTGTGGTTTCATAACCATGCTCCAAAGAATTGAATTAAAATAAAGAATACACTGAACTTCTGTACATGCAGACATACCAGCCTTCTCAGTAGTAAATCTAGTGCTCTAACTTCACTCTTCTGCAGGCTGCTGATGTTAACTGCAGAATATAGAGACTATGTTCCGAAAGAATGATGGCGTAGAATCTGATCAGCTAAACTTGCCAGCATCGCCAGGCCTCTAAGACCATTCACTAATACATCTTAATGTAGGCTACAGAACCAGAATGCTAGGAGTAGCTATGGTTAGGAATGTATATCACTCTGTATTAGGGTGTTGCAGAAAATTAATTGCGGTGAAATGCCCTGGATAATATATATATATGTAGTTATAAGTCCTGTATTTCTTTGCTTCCTTGACTTTCTTTCATACTCTTTTATGAAGCTGGGCATTTATATGTGCAACTCTCTGCCACTAGAGTCAAACTGCTAGGTTCTCTTATATTATGTTCAACCTGTCTACAACCTGTCTACCTGACCAAGCCAAGAGTCTAGAGTCCTACTGGCCCAGTATGTAGCCGATATTTAACTTATTTATCGCCCAATCCTGTAGCCTAGTGTTTTGATAAAACCCTGCAAGTCCTATGATCTTGCCATGTGACTGGCAGGCCCGGCTCACAGACTCCAGTGCAGAGCGGAACTCGGTGCTGTCAAACTGGCTTGGAACTCCCAATCTGATGGACACATCATTGGACCCAACCAGCAGCAAGTCCACTCCCAGGACAGATGCAATCTCATCAATCTTCTCGATACTCTTTTTTGTTTCGATCATTAACATGACCGAGGAGGCAGACTTGTTTGTTTCAGCAATAATCTCGTCGGTCGCCGTTGGTTTCAGCTGAAAAACAGGAAGCTGGACGGTCATCGGCCTCTTCCCAAGTGGAGGGTACTTCAATATCGAGACTGCTGTGTGTGCATCACCTAAGCACCTCTTATTAGGTTGTGGTCAATTGTTGAAGGAGAGCTATGCCTTGGTCGCTTACTCTTATTATGTATGTGAGGGAAAATCACACCCATTGCACCCCATCCAGCACACTGAACAAATCCATCCCCACACAGAGAACTCAGACAAAAGGGGTTATACCCAGCTGTAGGTCGGCACAACAGAGAGTACTCACCTGCTCTAAGGACAGGGTGGAATGTTCAAGCTCAATGATACCAGCAAGCCAAACTTGCCAGCACCACCAGGCCTCTAAGACCATTTACAGATCCATCTTGATACAGGCCACAGAACCAGAACGCTGGGAGTAGTTGTGGTCGGGAATGTACACCACTCTGCATCAGGGTGTCACAGAAAACTGACAGCGGCGAAATGCCCTCAATGGTGGTCGGGGTACAGGTTTCCTAGTTCACCAGGAGCCTGGCCGAAAGTGGCGATTTAAGGAAGCTCTTGAATGAAGGCGCGAGAACTGTTTGCTCAGCCCGAATCAACTCCCTCTCTTCTAGCCTCGGCTCGATCTGCATGTAATTCAAGTGGTAGGAGATCTAGAGCAGTGACTCAACAATACACAGGCATACATTAGAGTCATATCGCCTGAGGTGGAAGCTAGGTCTTAAGGATAAATAGACCTTGCAAGGCTGCCTTTTCTTCTGCCATTATCTCCATCACCGTGACGAGAGGCGATTCTGGCAAGAAACAATTTCTGGGAACAGAAAGCCAGCATCCCAGCGTGATGTTCTGTATCATCGCCACCACCATGTCTACAAACGCCACGCCTGAATACCTAAGCTGAGTCTAGCTGCAGAAAATACTCAACTCAGCCGATCTCGATCTCCTACCACTTGAATTACATGTATATCATTGTGTGTGAATCTTGTGTGGGTACAAGTGATTCTGCTTGATCTACAGAGTGATTAAGGGTGGTATGTCTTTGGCATAACGGTATAACTTTATTGCGATTGTCATAAGAGCTGGGTTCATAGTCATTCTGGAATATTGATGTGTTGTCGAGACAGGGCACAATGGTTTCTGGCGAGCGAAGGCCGAGACAGCTGGGGCCTCGACTCACGGTACATGAGCGTGCTCCGTGATGCATGCAACACACATGCACCAGGATGTAACTTGATGACGTAATAGTGCATGAGAGTTCCCAGCCCTCTCCAGTCCCTCTATTTAACCAAGCATCAGGCCGCTACCCGGACCTCGCAACTTGCATCTTCACTTCCCCAGCCATACCCGGCTCGCTATAGGTTGCATCGTGCGCGTCTCTCAACCCGACAAGGCCTACCCAGTTCTACAACGCTTCAGCCACCCACATACTACAAGGAGACAGCTATGTCTTCTCTGAATACTTCCGCGAACGCTCTCCTCACGGTAGCTCTGTCGCGTGCCGACGCCCGTTCAGCCCCGTCTGCGGCGCCAGCTTGGGGTGCGCCTACTATCACCAACGTCGTCACCAACATATCTCCCAACCCAATCACCCTGCTTAGATGGTCGTCTCCGCTCGACCCTCTCGCTCTGCAGCTGGGACTGCTGCACATTACACCCGCTGGCAGCGACATCGAGATGGAGATACCGACCGTCATAGTGAGTCGGCAGCTCCCGCCCGAACGGGAGGATCTGGTAACGCTTGGGCCGGGAGAGAGCAAGGCGCAAGAGATCGAGTTGAAAGACATATTTGTACCCAAGGAAAGGCTCTTCCCTCAAGGTGGCGGAGGACAAGCAAAGGTTGTGTGCAAGGGAGAGTGGATGGCTGTCTGGCCGGGGCTGCGGGGAGACGAGATCGATGACGAGGCACTGCAGTTGATGGGTGCCCATGAGAAGGCTGTAAAAGGAGAGTACGAGTCTGGGCCTCTGGAGATTTCCCCAGTCTTGTAAACACCGAGCTCATCAAACCTTTTCCTTTCGGCAGCATATGAGTACATGGCCGGGCCCAGTGGAAGGTGAAAACGGGCACTAGATGTGTACGCCGCAGAGGCGGAAGGGAAATGCGGGGAAGCCTAGCCGAGAGCCGGCATGCGCACCGATGCCGCACGATGATGAAATACGATCAATCATGCTCGGGACCTGACAATCTCGCACGCAACTTCCAGCCTCGCTTCCACTCTCTCAATACATCTGCTCTGCGGCGAACCCGGCCACAGACTTGCCGCATCAAATATGTCTGTCCTCGGCTCCCACGCCTCCAAGTCCAAGGTCGTTTCCGAGGGCAATGAGCGCTTCAACGCCGACGCCGCGTCGTGGGACGCCAACCCTTTCGTCGCGGCCATGTCCCTGGAGGCCTGGGCCGCCATCCAGCGCTTCTGCCCGGCGCTGTTCCCCGCCGATGCCCACGATGCCGACAAGCGGCCAGACGTGCTCGAGATTGGCTGCGGCACGGGCCTCCTGAGCCTCGAGATGGCGCCCCGCTGCCGGCGCGTCGTCGCCGTCGACGCCGCCGAGGGCATGATCCAGGTCCTCGCGGCCAAGCTGGGAAAGCCCGGCGCGCCGCAAAACGTGGTGCCGCTGGCCATCCTGCTCGAGGACCCCGAGGATGAGCGTCTGCCGCCCGCCGGCGGCGGAGGAGCGCGGCTCAAGTACGACCTGATCACGTCGCACATGGCACTGCACCACATTCCGGACCTGCGCTCCCTGCTGACCACCATGCTGGGGTGCCTCAAGCCGGGCGGCATGGTCGCGCTGACCGACTTTGAGGACTTTGGGCCCGAGGCGGAGAAGTTCCACCCCAAGGCCAAGATGCCCGGCGTGGAACGGCACGGGATCAACCGGCAGTGGATGGAGGCTCTGCTGAAGGAGGTCGGCTTCACAGATGTCAAGGTGTCTGTAGCATGGGATCACAGCAAGATGGTGGAAAAGTTTACCGGGGAGTTCGGCGACGACGGCTCGCCAAAGGAAGGGCAGGGAGAGATGATGAAATTCCCTTATGTCATTTGCATGGGCAAGAAAGCATAGAAGAGACGGATCGTCCCAACAGACGGCTATCTAGCTACCTAATCGCTCCAAAAAGCATAGAAAAGAAGGAGAGAAAGTGTCCGTCCACTTGTGACATCTGCCTGGCGAACAGAAAGAACGACACCATTCTACTCGTTGCTGAACAACGGCTCGGCCGACTGAACCAGAACCTCTGCGTCCGGGCCGGCCTTCTCCCGCAGCCAGTCCATTGCCTTCTCGACCACCATGTCCCACTCATCCTCCTTGTCGGCAAACTTCTTGCGTAGACATGCCACTACAGCTGCTGTGATCGTGATGTCGTTCTTGACTAGGGAGCCGCTACCATTCGCAAGAGCAGCCTCGATATCGTTCTCGGTGACGCCCAGGAGTTCGACCAGCTTGTCGCTGCAAGTCCAGGAGCCATCGAAAGACTGCAGCATAATGATTGACTGCAGATGGTCCTGCGGCAAGTCGTCCTCGTCGTCGTCCTCGTCTGCAACGTCCCTGCCTACAAGACAGCGTGTATCGGACGCGTTCATGGACTTGCGCATCGTCGGGGCAGAGGCCTGCGCCATTCAGAAGCGTTAGTGACATCTCCGATCAGTTTCTACTCTGCAAAGGCATCTAGACAGGGTCAGGCCAACTCACCCGTGCACTGAAGCGAGCGCTGGATGGCGCCGATGCGCCAAAGAGAGTGGCCACGCAGGGGGTGGCCACGCCGGGTGAGGCCGATGCGCCAAAGGGAGTGGCAACGGAGGGTGAGGCCGGGCCGCCGACTAGCATTGTCAGCGATGACACATTCCATGACATTGGGAAACCGGCGAACAAACACTTACATGGGCTACCCCAAGTAAACATCGGGGCCGCAGGCGGAGGCGGGACCGGGGCCGTGCGCATATCGCTACGCATATTGCTACGATCGACATCGAAGAAACCGAAACCCACCTCTTCGTCTTCGTCCTCGACCTCTCCCTCTTCCTCAGAGGTGATCGCCGGTGCTGGGAGTTTCAAAGTCAGGGTTGAAGATGATTGAGGAATCTGTTCCTTACCTGTGCGCATGGCTTCACCCTCGGCAAGTGGCTGGTGGGTCTCCCGGTCCTTCTTGGACGCCATCTTGTTGCCCTCCACGGCGACAAACGAGCAATACTTACCCGCTACCTGATACTGGACACCCAGACGCACGCACTCGCGCTCAACCATGTCGCTGAAGCGGCCCTCAAGCTTCTCCTTTAGCAGCTTTCCGGAGTCGTCCGTGGCATGGAAGAGCCAACCCCGGCCTTCCTCAAGCTCTTGGATTGCTTTGCGGGCACCAAGCTGATGAATTGTCTCTCCCTTCTCAGGGAGGATGGTGATGGGGACATCGAGCCGCAGGGGTCCGTGCTTGGAAGTGGCCTTGAGAGTGATCGAGCGTGGAGGCTGTTGGCATGTCTCAGGGGACAAGTGGAGATAGACCGTGGTTCGATTGAAGGGGAAAAGGGTCGGGATCTTGAATGGGGTTTGGAGCAACTTCGGGTGCTCGATGGGTGGAACCTGAGCATACTTGTTGTCGGCGTTTTGCGACTTGGCCGTGTCCTTTGCCGTGTCCTCCTTGATGTTAGGGTCGAAGAGTGACGTGGCCTTGGTGACAGGGCCAGCCTCTACCTCCTTGCCTTCCTTCTCACTATCGATAGAGAGTCCCTCCATAACTTTCTCGACCACCTCGTAGTCATCATCGTCATTGTTGTCGCCGCCTTCGCCCGGCACGTTCTTGTGTGGGTCGGCGTAGTGAATCTCGAGGCTGTAGTCGGTGACATGGGGCATCAAGGAGGCTTTGAGCATGCGAATAACCTTGCTGTTCATGTTCTCGTTCTTGCCCACAGACTGGGAAAAGCCATTGCCAGCACGAGCCAAACCCTCGATGAGGCTGTGGCTGGCATACATGCCGATGCCCAAGGTCATGAGACGGATGGCACCGTCGCTCTCGGCAACGTATTTGTTGACCATGTCGAAGAGGCGTACTTGGTTCCAAATCTCGCCATCGGTCAGGAGGAAGACCTCGAGGTCCATGTCCTGGTAACGGCGCTTGAATGTGTCCTCCAGGGGTGCGTACATCTCGGTACCGCCGTAATTGGCTTCAAAGGTCTTGACATGGCGCAGGGCCTCATCAAGACTGCCCTTGTCGTAAGAGCGAGAGCCCTCGGGGAAAAGAAAGGTATGGTGCGATCCGAAGCTGCAGATGTTGAACTTGACTCCGACGGGAAGGGAGCAAAGGAAGAGTCGGAGAGCAGACTTGAGATTGGGGATCTGATGTCCCAGGCCCATGCTGCCACTACGATCGCAGAGGAAGACAATCTCTGGCCGCGAGGGAGGGAGAGTGAACTTGGGGACAAGGGTCGTCATGAGAGCACGCTGCGAGGGGATGGTTGGGTGGGTCTCCAAGACGGCGACGGGCTCGCCCGTGTTGGTAGCAACGACATGAATGATGAAGTCTTTATCCAGCTCGGCCGATCCGAGAGCTAGAGTTGCGGAGGCCTTGTGCAGCGAAGGCTGGTCGGAGTCGGCAGCTGTCGAGAGAGTGCCGATATTGACGGAGATTGGGTGTGATGGAGACTGGATAGTCTTGATGTTGCAGCCCACAGGCATCTCAGCATCGACGACGATGTCCAGCTTGCCGTTGCCGGCGTTAGGCGGCTTGTCACCCAGCTGGCCGGGCAAGGAGCCGTATCGAGGGGCAATCACGGTGGGGATGGTGAAGCGAACGCCGTCGACTTCAGCGTCATGCTTGAGCTCGCCCAGATAAACAAGCTCGACGACAAGCTCGGCGCCGGCAGGGACGTTGCCGACGGTAGTGGTGAAGACATCGCTGGCATCAGGCAGCTGCTCGAGCAAGGCAGCCGCTTTTCCCTTGCGGACAGCCTTCTGGTAATCTTGGCGAGCCTTGTGCTTCTCCTTGACGACGCCGTGGATGACACGGTCTTTGTTGATGGTGCACTTGAAGGCTACGACGGAGACGCCGTCGTAGATGGGGAAGGTGTAGCGCAGCTCGGGAATGGGCTCGGTCGTGGACGGGTTGACGAACTTCTGGCGCAGCGATGTGCGGGAGGTAGACGAGATGATGGTGGCGTGGACGGAGAGATCAACCTGCGGCAGGTAATATTTGTAAGGGAGCAGCCTCGGATTGTCGCCTCCCTTCACGTAGTAGAAGCCACAGACGTACTTGGCCATCATGAGTGCAGTGGCGATGTGGCGATGGCAGCCCACGATATCGAGGATCTTTGCGTGTGTGGTGTTTCTTTGAGAGATCTGCAGATTCGACCCTGCAAGCGAGAGTTGAGTTCTTGGGATGTGGTTGATCAAAATCGAGATTGGTGGAGTCTCGCCTTTTTATGTTCAACTCTTAGGAAAGAAGAGGCGAAGTCTGTGGGGGAGCAGATGAAAAAGTGAGACAATGATGAGGGTGAATGGAAGCTGGAGGGGAGGGCTGGGAGATGTTGTTGTTTGTCTGAAGAGGCTTCAGAGCTCTGTTGCCTGGAAAGTGAGCGAGCTCTGACGCCTTTTACTTTCGATACCAGGTGACGTACCAACCAGGTGACGCGGTGGGTAGGTGACTTCGACTTCGGGTTTGTATTTAATGTAATAAGTAGGTGAATTGGACAAGCCACAGAGAGAAAAGGTCAGTGCGTTGATTCGAGTTCCAGGCTGCTTGTTTAGATCCTCAGGATCCGTGCCCCCAGGCTGTCAATGATCTTAAGTTAATCAGGAATAGGGTGCCCGCCTTGCCAGCCTGGGAACCTTGGATGTTTGCCGGTGACTCGAATCCCACGACACCAAGACAATTAGATTCCTCGATGCAGGTTTAGCCTGCTGCAGCTGGAATAGAGTTGGCCAGGACAGCCAATCACCCGCGGGGCGGTACAGGTGCCAAGCTGCTGGGGCGATGGAACAGTGAACCAGGTGCCCATGTGGCCCTTAGCGGGGCCACTAGCTAACTACCTAGGTACTAAACTTTAGGCGGGGGTTCGGGTGCCACAGGGGAGGCCTCTCCCGAACTCCGGGCCAGGGCAAACGACCTGCCTTGAGATCATGCTCCTGGCTTCCCCACGTTTTGCACTGCCTGTCCACGAGGATGATAACGGTGCACGCACACTGCCGCGCCAGAAGAAGGCCGGGGTGAGCGTTGTTGTCTGCTTCTCAAAGGCCACCGTGATGCTGCCTACTAGGAGGATGGCGGTTATGTCCGCACTTGGCTGCGTGCTCGAATCCGTGCAGAATGAGATCATAGAATCCGTGACAGCCGTCCGCGTTCGACGATGAATGCCTGACGCAACGAGCGACCATCAGGGCGGGTGAAACGAAGTCGAATACATCTTTGTCGAGACTCTGTGTCTCTAGATGGATTGGCATCGTTATACTTCCTTGCTCGGAGACTTTTCCGTCGAGCTTCAAGTCGTGGAACATGTTGCATATGCACCTATGGACCCCTGTCGTTCCAATGGTCACAGAAACCCGGTTCAGTAGGATATTGATTGTTACCATTGAGGTAGCTTCTGATAAACTTCCGTCAACTATTCTGACGCCCGATTGAGTTACAAGTACGTACAAGTACGTACAATACATGACATGGGGCGCAATGCTCAAATGCCTCATCAAGTCGATTGGACGAGAAGAGAGCGAGATGCGGGATCATCGGTGATGATCTGGTCCCGGGAAATTGCGCGGGACCGTTCCGCGCCGCCATTGACTGGGGCGATAAGCGCGATTAGTGGTAGTTAACCAACCTCTGCTGGAGCTTTGCTTCTTCCGAGACGCGCCTCACTTTTCACATCATTGATCCAAGCCTGTTCTCGCCACCGCTGTTGCTGGTCGGCAGTCAATATCTCTCCCCTCTCGTCCCCGATACAAAAGGCCACTTGTCATCCCGCCGCAACCTGCAGTTCACCATGGGCCTTGCTTCCCAAAGCAATCAAGCGACGATGGCAACACCCGCGATCCGCCATACGCCGACCTCGTCGCGAAAGCGCAAGCTCGCCACCGAGGCTGCCGCCACCCCAGCTTATCCCACTCCGCGATCCTCGTTTCCAACCCCGGGATCTTCCTTTGAGACCGCCATCTGCCTCGACTCCGACGACGAGCAAGATCCTTGCCATGACACGACCGACCAGCAAGTCGATGACGCGTACTTTGTGGTTGACGAGCCTGCGCAGCCCAGCTCCGTCAAGAGGGCAAAACGCAACCGCGGCGATAGCAACCGCGAGAAGCGCCTCCGACAGTAGGTTGTCCGGGTCCAGCCCTGCAAGCATCTTCCTTACTCACCGGCCCCGAATCCAGGACACGCAAGCAACCCCCTCAATCGTTCTACGAAATCTTCAAGCGCGCGACAACCCAGAGGTAAATCAAGCTCACCTCCCCGACAGAGGTCTCCCCCGGGAGGCGTCTTGCACCGGTTTCTGACTCTCCCATTCGCTCTATTCGCCGCAGATTCTACGTCCTGAGCCGAACGCGTTGCGGTACCCAAGATTGCCCCGAGGAGATGGTCGAGATGGCTGGATCCACTGGCAACATCTACTACGTCTGTATCGCCAAGCAGCCCTCGTGCGATTGTCCGCACGCTCGGAAGGGTGCTCAGTGCAAACACTTGCTTTATGTGCGTCGCAACCCCTCGCAACCCCTCGCAACCAGCCTCGCATTGGTTGGACATCACTGACCCCAAGCGCGCGTCCCCGCGGCCCCCAAAACTCCAGGTCATGTCCCGCGTCCTCCGTGCCAAGTTCGACTACGTCTACCAGCTCGCTCTCTTGAGCTCGGAGCTCCGCGACATCTTCGCCAATGCTCCACCCATCGCCGCCGAGCACACTGACGCCTTCGCCGACGAAGCCGACCCTTCCACCACAGAGAACAGTGGAGGGCACCGCAAGCCGCTCGATGATGACTGCCCCATTTGTTTCAACGAGCTTGTCGGCGCCGAAAGAGAAACTCTAGTCTGGTGCCGCGCCGCCTGCGGGCAAAATATGCACAAGGAGTGCCTCGAGATGTGGGCTGCCACCAAGCGCAAGTCGAGTACGGGCATCGCTGGCAGCGAGGTCACCTGCCCGCTGTGCCGCAGCGTGTGGCAGGGCGACGACGAGATTGTCAAGAAGATCAACCGGACGGGCCACGTCAATTCGGAGGGCTATGTCAACGTGGCCGACCAGCTGGGCATCAGCGCGAGACGAGGTGGGTATATCCTATATCCCAACTCTGTGGGGACGACGGGAAGATTCATCCACTGACTCGACTTACCAGATACAAGCACGTACTCAAGATGGTGGTCCGGTTCTGACAATCCACGGGGGTGGGGTGGCGGTCGACGTGGCTACTACGCAAACGTCCGCGGCCATTGGGACGATGGCGATTGGTAGACAGGGTACGATTCTCACGTTTTGAAAAACCCCGCTGCCTACTGCCGCCCGCCCGGTACTTTCGTCACTGAAGAATAGCGTTGTTGTCCCTTCATAGATACCCCTATATGTGTCATCTTTGCCACCTCCAACAAATGTTAGTTGCGAATCGTCATCTTGGTGAGAAGAACCGCCTTGTGCACAAGCTTTGGCGATTTCCAGCTCACAGCCTTGCCATTTATCTTGTCATCGATCCTAAACCCCTCTTGTCCCGGATCCTACGAGGTACATTGTCCGCAATGGCAATTTTGGAGTCTGTGAACGACACAAGTGAACGAAGACACTGCATGCTTAGTCAACTGGGAAGTTGATAAACTTGCGTCTTAAGCTGTCTGTCAACAGAGAATGAAGTCAATCTGTTTTACAGTAACATCAGGGTGCCGGATAATGTTGCCTTTGCCGTCTTTGCGCCACGGGTCTCAAGCAGGGCTGGCTGGCTTGACTGGTAGAAGAACCACTTCCGGCTCATCTACATCTATCCTCTCATTGATGTGCTTCTCGACCAGAAGATAGGCCCCAGTCCTAGGACAAAGAAGAGGTTGGCGAAGCAAAACTCTTTGCCTTCACTCCTGCTTCTCCCTCTCTGCCTTCATCTTCATATCCTCCTCTTCCGTCTTGGGCACCTTGACCAGAGCAGGGACGGTGATTGCGTTCAACTTGCGAAAAGCCTAGATGTTTGGGTGGAACAGCATGTCAGCCCGTCTCTCCACCTCCATGATCTCGCAAAAAGCAGCGGTACTCACATCGATAATCACCCCCTCGGGCAGCTTGTCGTTCCACCGGTCCTCAACCTTGTCAATCTTGCCATCCTGGCCAACATGGATCCTCACCACGCTATCAATGATTTGCTCTTTCTTGACCATCTTGACCGTGTATGCATTCTTGAGCTCCAACTCGATGGGATTACCGCCCGACCGAACCTTGTGCGAGACGATCCTGATCGGGTCAAAGACGGCCGGCAGACCATACCACTGCGCCTTGTACTTGCCCGCCCCTTCGGCCTTGGTGATAGGGTCGATGAAGGAGGCCGAGGGCGACCAGAGGGAGAAGTGCTTGAGCGTCGGGTTACCCGCGAAGAGCTGCGGGCACGGGTGTCAGCAAGAACACCGTCTGCTTCCAGTGGAGTTTCTCGGGGAGGGTTACGTCAAGAACAGATCCTACGAGGACCCTTTGGTCTTCTGTGAGCTGCACTCCAGCGGCTTCGTTGATGGAGGTGTTCTTTATCCCGAGAGATGAGAAGGATGCACTCTGGCTGGGACTCGCCTGCTCTAGGGCGCTCTCGGAAGGTACTCCAGCTGCCATGGCTCGTCGTTGAATCTGTGTGTGTATAGGAACTGTTGTTCGCTTCGGATATCTCGAGGTCGGTAGGCTCGAAGTAGCAACGATTTTGGGAATACTGAAGGCAGCTCGTGTGGTTCTCGACATTTGGTTTCAATATTGCCAGGAAACCCGCTTGGGCACGAAGAGCTACCCAAACGCACTTGTGCGGAGTTTTATCCGTATTCAATTGAAGAAGCGGTCAGTATGATGAAAGAACGCGTAGTCAGGTCTCAGACACGCTCGATGGTTGACGTCATGACTGACACGCTAACCCTTCCGTACACCATGAGCGGTACACCCAGACGCACTCGAGAGTGAGCGCGGCTGGTCTCGTGATAGTAGAGATCAGTGATGCTTGCGAAGGATGCTGCACCAGGTTAATTCCTCAATAGATGGGGGCGCAACATACGGAGAAATCTAGGCCAACGTTTCGGCAAAGCGGGACACTTGTCTCCGAAGTCATTCGCACCATAAGTCATCGTTCTTCCCCCGTTAGAAAACAGTCCATGACGGGGCGGTGCGTGAGCTTGAGAAGTATTTGATATTATCTGCATTTAGATTGATATGATATTGTCATCCAATATGTCATACATATTCTTCGCTTTTCGTCTATCAAGTTGAAGCAGGGATGATACCTTCAACCCAAAATCTCATCACTATCGCGCAAATTAGCATGTGCTATGTGAAAAAGGAAGTCAGAAATGGTAGCCTCACGTATAAGTATCATCGGGCATCCTGATGCCGTCGTTGATCGATATGCCCATCAACCGGCCGCCGTCAACCGTTAGGAGTGCATAGTTCATATAGGCACCGCCGGCACTCGAGAGGAGGATCACAGGGCCAACCATCTCCTCAGGGCGCCCGGGACGGCCAGCAGTGCATCGCTTCGCCGCCCTCTTAGCCTGGTGGTTGATGTTGTACGCATGCTTCCCGGCAGTGGTGCCGGTCATCTCGGAGGGAAAGATACCGGGGCAGATGGTATTGACACGGATCTGCATACTGTTATTTGTGCAACATGTGTCAGTCCTTGTTGTAGACGACTCAAATAGCACGGGTTCTAGTACTTACGGGTGCAAACGTCCAGCAAGAAGCTTAGCAAGATGAACAGCTGGTAGGGCATGCGTTAGCAAGAGATGTAGTCTCGACACTGGGATGAGTTAACTGACTTGCGGCTTTTGAAATTCCATATGTCAAAGATCCCATTGATCTGTAATGTCATTAGCAGCTAGTTTCACGGTAGTGAATTGTATCTCCAGGACCTCACGTACCTCTGGTTGCCGATGGCAGCGAGCGACGCGATGATGCAGACGTTAGGATCTGCTGACTTTCGGAGCAACGGGATGAAGTTGACAGTCAGGAAATAAACGCCCATGACATTGACTAGGTATGGATCAGAACATGACTGAACGGTTGATATAAAAGGGTCGCCTACTTTGGTTGCTTCTGTCGAAGTCCTCTCTGTTTTCTGTTAGCACTTATGGCATTTGATGGGCATACGTGATGGTAACCCACTCTTCCAGCCCATTGATGAGCATGTTCTCGACTTGGTCGGCTACAAGAAGTGTTCAGCAGGGAAACTTGCGAGCCGTTTGTCTTGCTCGGCTCTCTTACCGTCATTGTGGTCCTTTGCCATCACCCTCCACGGGCTATTGACACCAGCACAGTTGATCAGTGTATCAATCTGGGATCATTAATGTGAGCTTCCGCATGACGGCACAACACCATTGGTTCAGAGAAGGGACAGGAGAGTCAGACGTAGAACTTACGTGGGTCTCTTTGGACTTCACGGCTTCAACGATCTGAATGCACCCCGACTTGGTCTGCACATCTCCCTGGATACTGTTTTGGGGTGGTTTGTCAGCTTTGACGATCCGCTGTCACGGGGAAGAGATGACCAGATCCCAAGGGAAGGCTCTTACGTGTGAATGTCACCGCCGATTTGCTTTGCTGCGGTGTCGAGAGTTTCCTGCCTCCTTCCAACAATGTAGACCCTGGCACCATTGACGGCGAATCCTTCAGCGATCGCCTTGCCGAGACCAGAGCCTCCACCAGTCACGACAACAACCTTTCCCTTCACTGAGAAAAGCTCATCGATCTTGAACGAGACATGTTGTTCGGCCGCCATGGTGTGAAGTGAAGCGAGGTGGGGCAAGCTGCGGGGAATCTTTGGACAGCTTTCCTTGTATCTTTGCTATTTGTTTGTGAACGAGGCAAGGGGTAGGTTGCTTTGTCTGTAGTTTGCTGCGAGGCAAAGGGGTGAACAGGCGATCTGAAAAGTCCGCTCGTACGAGATTCTAGTCAGTGATTCCGTTCCTTGTATCTTATGGCGTGGCTCTCCGAGATCGAGCAAATAGTTCAGCTTCCGCGAAAACGCAAACCACGTTCGGCGTCGTCGTCGGGATGGATGCCGATGGCCGGACTTGGCAGCGGTGGTCTTATTTCCAGTCGTGGAGACCTTGGCAAGCGACCCGACAACCTCATTTGTCGATCAGTATTGGCGTAGGCGATCGGCTATTTCGCCGGCCCACCGTGAAGCCAGAAACATGTGGACAGTACGTAAGAGCTGGTGTGGAATTGGAGATGCGGGGAATAGGATGAGGAGAAATCTGTGTTGGATCATGCGACTGGATCGCTTCAAGGCGCACCTTGTGCGCCAGATCGAGCAAGTCTTAAGAAACACACATCGAGCGCTTCCGAACTGATTGATAGCCGCATCTACTACTTGTACACCCCGATCACAGGTTTCTTGATCTCCCAGACCGAGCAAGCCCTGGCTCCGACCCTGGCCCTCCCTAATTTACTACCCCAGACTACCCCAACAATACTTGCGATATTCTCAGTCACTACACCTAATCATGGCGGTTCCCGAAGTAGTCGACGGCCCCAAGGTCATCACCCTGACCAATGAGGAGCGCGACAGCGGCGTCATGGGCGACAAGAAGCTCTACGACGCCATCGAGGCCTTCTTCACCGACGGATTGGTGGTTGTAGAGAACGCCATCGATGTCGGCATCATCGACAGGTTGAACGAGAGGATGCTCCAGGACACAGAGAAGCTGCTCAAGGGCCAAGGCCAGATCCACTACAAGTAAGTCGCTTCTCCAGCCCGCAAATGTTGCGTCGCATCCACTAATATGGCGGACTGTCGCTCAGCCACCTGAACAAGAGCGCGGCGACAAAGGGTGCCGCTGCTGGCGGCAACCTGTCTCAAGTGCCGCCGTTGGAGAAGGGTAAGCGACTATACGAAAGCGTCCGGTCCGAGATATCGCATGCTGACACGCCTTTCCCTGTAGAATGGCTCTTCCCCGAGGTTTACGCCAACAAGCACGGCTCGCGCATCATCTCCAACATCCTGGGCCCCAAGCCCGAGGTCCACTTCATCCGCTCCAACACCCTCATCGCCAATGATGACCGCCAGATGGTCCACGCCGACCTGCGCTTCGAGCACCCGGAGCACCCCTTCGCCATCGCCTACAATACCTGCCTGATCGACGTCGGCCCCGAGAACGGCTCCACCGAGATCTGGCTGGGCACCCAGAACACCAACCTGGACTACCACCGGGAGCTTGGCGAGCCCATGATCGCCGAGGACAAAGTCGAGGAGCGACGCAAGATCCGGCCCCCAGTCTACCCGCGCATCAAGCGCGGCTCCATCATCTTGCGCGACCTCCGTCTGTGGCACGCCGGAGTGGCCAACCCCACCAAGGATACCAGGATCATGCTGGCCATCGTGTACTACGCGGCCTGGTACAAGAACGGTGTCGTCACCCAGATGCCCGAGTCTCTCAAGCCTCATATCGCCGCCCTCGAGGAGTATGGGCAGCAAAAGATTGCGGTGGAGTGGGTTCCAGATGAGGGATACAACTACCTGGACATCAAGTTCAGCAACAACTTTAGCTCAACCTTGACGCCTTGGGTATGGGAGAAGATTCAGCACATCAAGACCGTCAAGGGCTACTAAAGATGGATTGAGTGAATGAAACTAAGGAGACTGTCTTAGAATACATTTCGGCGTAATCGATATCCTTCATTCTTTGTGCAACATGTGTCGTGTCCATGCCACGTGCCTTTAGAATATGGACGAGGCTTGCCTATCGGACTGTGAAAATGTTCGATTCGGAAGGCTGTCGAAACAGAAATCTTACGGCTGTTGTACTCTGTCTTCTTGTAAGACTGTTCCCAAGTCTCTGACATGTGAATCAATGGTTGCGTGCATGTATATCACATGGGGCAGCTTTGTGGAAAAACATGCAGTACTTCGTGTGAAGAATTTCTGCGCCATTGGCAATGTCGAAGCAAGCTTTGTTTCAAAGAATCTAGTATGTTCTTACATTTATGATTGGGTCTATTTGTAAGATCTCTATGTCTAGCTTCCGCACCCTGTACAAGCAAATGCTCCATGTTGCCCACAGGCTTGGCTACGTCCGGTCGCTCCGTCAACAGTCGAGAGCGTAAGCTACTGCAGGAAGCACAAACACCATATCGACATGTTTAATAGCCAATGTAGCGCCATCCCAAATCCACCTGCTGCTGGGTGACACCAGATTTCATGGCCTTGCGTTGCTGCTCGGGCGTGCCGCTAAGCAGCTTATTGGTACGGCGGACCCAAACCAGATATCCAGTGATGGTAATAATGAACGAGATTGTGCAGCCGAGTACTGTTGTGATATGGTTAGTCGAGGATACGCAAACAAGCCAGTTCTCGGGGTAGGGGCTAGCTTACGGCAACCGAAAGCAGCATAATAGTGTGGAGGATCGTAGTACAGGTAGCTCGACCAAACGTTTGACAGGCCACCGATGGCGTTGAGCATGGCCACGCCGGCGGCGCGCTTGGGGTACGGACGCGCCATGTGCAGGTTCAGGGTCTTGTACAGCATGATTTGCGGTCCAGCTGGAGAGAGAAAACAGAATGTCAGCTCGACGAACTCGATCCAGGCTTGTCGCAGATGGAAACTTACAGCACGCCGAAGGCATAAGCATCATGGCAAAATAGCGAGGGCCGGTCTGGATGGTTCCCAGCGCGATAGCATAGGCAAGCAGAGCGACAGCGAGACAGGACACGATGATGCCGTACATCCAGTTCTTGCGCTGTTGCAAGGGAGATCCTGGTCAGTGAACATGCTTCAGGTGGGTTGCGGGATGGTACTGACATCGCTAATGTACGAGATGGCGTAGAAGGTGATGGCGGCAAGGACGTATGGCGGAGCAGTAAGAAGCATAGTGTTGATCTTGTTGTAACCGAGAGTCTGGACGATCGAGGGGAAGAAGTTGACAATGGAACCCATAGCCTGGCCCATGCCTGCGTCTTGTTAGTGATGGTCAGTATGTGACAGACGAGGCACTTACCCATGCACCAGACGAGGGTCCAGATCTTGGGGTCGAGCATGGCCTGCTTGAAGCCGCCCCACGTGGTGACATCCTCGTGAGCCTCACCAGCACCGGCCTCCCTTTCGAGGCGCCAGACAGCATAGTCGCGCTCGACGGGCTTGAGGAGTCGAGCATTGTGAGGGTACTCGGGCATGATCAACGCAAAGAGCAGACCGCACCCGACAGTGACCACACCCTCGACAATAAACAGCCATCGCCAGCCTGCGATGCCGTAGCGGCCGTCGAGAGTCAGGCAGGCGGCAGCGACGAAGCCTCCGAAGGCACTACCGAGCATTTGGAACATGAACAGGGCCGCAAGACGCTTGCCGAGCTCGCTCTTGGTGTACCAGGCACTGAGGAAGTAGATAACGCCGGGGAAGAAAACGGCCTCGGTGATACCAAGGAACACACGGACGACCAGGAGACCCTCGTACGACTTGACAGCAGCAGTGCAGGCACTGACAGCTCCCCAGACGGCGGCTGCACTGCAAATGTCTTTGGCGGAAAGGTCAGGTCAGTAAGCGCACTTGGCAATCTTAGCACAGGTTGGTTGACATACACAGTCCGGGACGCGGGATCTTGGTCATGACCAGGTTGGAGGGAATCTGGAAAGGAATGTAACCGGCTGGATTCTGGTGTCAGTGATCCGTTCTTGTGTCAGTGGCTCACAAGATGAGTCTTACCGAAGAGAATGGAGATGGCAGTGGCAAAGTCGGTGTTCGTCATGTTGAGGTCTTCCATGATGCCGTAGACTTTGGTCGCTGCCAAGGCAGATCGATCAACATAGTTGAGGATGTACAGAATCCCCATAATAGGCCTAGACATTTAAAACCGTTAGGTAAAGGGCCCTTCCTCGCAAGAGCGAGAGGATGACAACGCACATGATGACCATGTCCATCTTCCGGACCATACTCGTTTCCATAGCCTGGATCTCAGCATCGCTCATGTTGGCGATGCTCTCAGGCCTGGGCACGGTCTCCTCCGCAAGATCACATTTGAGGTTATCGTCTCCATGGTGAGCAGCGCCTTGGATGTCAACCTCCTTCTCGGGTGGAGCCATTATGTCTGCTGCTGCTGTTGCTGTTGCAGCACTTGTCGTCAAGTGATTGATTGGATGAAGGCCAAGATGCAAAGTATTGCGTGCAGAGAGAGAAAAGAAACCTCGGGGTTCCGGAGTGGCTGCTGGCTCTTAAGAAAAGATCGACAAACTCTGCGACACAAGTCCAAGACAGACATGCAAGACATCTCGGTTCCTCCAGGGGCTGCAGGTTTATACAAGTATGTGGTATTGCATGAGTCTAGCCCGTGCAAGAATCCCGAAAGAAAACATGGGAGCCGTGCGTGGGGGGCGGTGGATCAGCTGTGGTGACTTTTGCAGTGTGTTTCTGAGGCTTTGGAGCCGACGACTAGTCTGAGAAGTTGGCGACAGCCAGTAGAAACCAAGAAATTCCAAGCTTGGTTAACATCGGGCAAAACTCCGTGGCCCCAAATACTGACTTACTAGTGCGTCGCCAGTCCATGGGGAAGAAGTCTGGGGCATTGCGGATCCCTTTGGTGTTGCCCCGACCAACTGGTCTCACCCCAGAGAGGAAAGGTCTCAGTCTGCCAGACTCGGAAAGCCGATCGGCTCGCTACAATGCTTGGCGACAGTCTGCTCTGCAACTTCAACTACCGAAGCTCTCTGGGGGGTCCTGAGATAAGCGACGAGCTTTCTGGAGGAAGGAGAGCATTTTGAGATCGCGAGCAAAGTCAAATAGTTTCCTTGGATTGCCGGGAATTCGGTACGCCATCAGGAGAGAAAAGCCGGGTGCCCGGCGAGATGGCATCCGGCATCACTCTGGCCAGCCGACCAGCCAATGTCAAACGACATTGTGCGCTCATCAAGACATGTGCGAGAAGCCTTTTGCCGTCACCTACTGGGAAAAGGGTAGAAGGTTTGAATCACGCGCGTTAACCCGAAAAGTCTTGGGTTGGGCTATGCGGACTCAAAAGTTGGCCTTGAGTGACAATCAGAACTTAGCTAGAGAGTCTCTTAAAGAGTAAAGCATTTTATTAAAAGATAAAGTTGACAGGGTCAAAATTTGTTTCCAGTTTATTGTCACAGCCCTGGCCTTACACCATCACTAGCTGTATGTCTACACCTATTGTCACGCTCACTGCCTGCACTGAGCCAGCATATTGTGAGACCTACCTAGGTAGTTAAGCCGCACCAGGGTTGCCGAAGGACATCAGCCCTTTTACAGATCGGGCATAGCTATCAGTCCCTGCATCTAGCACCGAAAAGAGCCGCATGCACGTAGGGTTTGTTCTAGAACGGAGCTATGCTGTTCTTCAGTACAGGCCCGAGCCTCGGCGCCAAGGACTCAGATGATCTCCTCCCGCATCTTCTCTTCCATCATTCCCCACAAACCCTTGGTCCTATATGCAGAAAGCCAGTAATTTCCTCCCGTATCCTTGCCCACGGTAATGAAACCGTCGGAGAAAACGTACGGCCCTTGCACGGTCTGCACATACGAGGGCGTCAACGGCGTGGATCGCGGAGTCACCGCCGCGGCCGATAGGTCGGTCGCAAACATGTTAGCCTTGGTCCAATTAGAGAACATCAAGAGCTGCATCGAGCTGTTCCCGAAGAAAGGGGGTGCGTGGTTGCTGGGGTCAAGGCGGACAAGCGATGCGTACGCTTCGATTTGTTCCCGGGAACCTTGCTCGACAATCGCACGGCGCACTTGTGAGGCTAGGTAGCTGAGCGGCTTTTGTAGTGCGTCTCTGCCGGGGATGAGGGTGACGAGAAAGCCGACGCAGTTGCTCAGGAATGGGGCGTCGCTGGGATTGAGATCCTTCAAGGCGGGTCGCCATTGATACGCTTGCTGAACTGCAATCTGCACAGAGGCGAATAAGCTTCTGTTAGTAGGGCCGACACCCTGGGCCGTGATAACTATGGGTCATTTCAATCTCAAGGCGTACGCACCGTTCTGTCGGGATCATCCAAGTTTGCAATGGCCAGCCGAGACGTCCACGCCACAATGATGTCTCCTTCACTAAGGAACGGCTGTTCCGACCCCGGTGGCGCCTCTGCGGCCAACTCTGCTATCGCTTTCCCCCTGAGTTTTGCCAGATAATCGGCTGGGATGCAGACCATACGATGTTCTTTGGCACGGAATGCCAGCTTGATCGATCCAGTTAGTGACAAAGGCCAGCAAGGGGGAGGTGGTTGGTCTTGAGGTCTCACATTGTAGGCATTTTGGAGCGCCCACCAGACCAGGCCGGGCTTGGATACGTGGTGGTCTGCGAGCACATGCCGTTCTGTCGGTGCCTTGCCGCAGTCCTCCAGAATGTAGTCATGGGGGCTCAGGGGCTCCGGTATCTCGTCTTCCCTTCCCTGCAACATCAAGGACCATGCATCTAGCAGCGAGCGTTTCGCAGTGGCGTCGAAAGCCAGGTGGATCCAGTGCAGAACCACGACCGTCTTGTCATTGAACGACACGATGCGCAAGCCGAGCTCGGGCCTATCGGAGTAGAGATAGTCGTCGGCCTTGGTTGGCACGTTCGGGCCGTGGATAAACTCGTTCAGCTTGTCAGGATCACCCACTACCGCGGGTCGTCCATCGCGTGGGGGGTGAGGTATATGTGCGGCCGCCTGATGGTCCGCAACGGACATGCTGCTCAGGTCTACATGATCAAATCCGACAGCAGGGCGCTCAGGTGAGAATGATGCAGGGATGTGGTGCTCCAACTCTCCTCGGTCCTAATATCAAGCGCTCTGTTAGTGAACAGAGAAACCTGTAGGTAGAAACATGCAACCATGATCCCGCACCAAGAAGGCTTGAATGGTGAGGGGGGTCAAGGGAGCAGAAAACTTGCATTTCTCCTCAGGCGAGCCCCGAGCTTCTTCCAGCCCGGTCGGCTAATGAGACGCTCCAAAGAGGCGTGAAGCTTCTCGACATCGAGAACATCGTCAAAGACGAAGAGAGTGTATAGAACGAATGTCCTGAAGATGATTGTGTCGTCGAAAAACCCGACCGGGACGACTTGATCAGTAGGCACCGGGTCTGGCGCTTTGGGCCCGGAGAAGAAGCCAAACATTGTGGCCTAATTATGACAAGAGCTACTCGTCTCGGGCACCCCTCGAAAGGAATATCTGCTGGTATTCGTTCTTTGAAGGGGGCGGGATGACAGAAGGGTCTGCCAGACGAAGGGGTCCCTTGGTCAACCTCTCCCAACAATCATGCGTCCGGGCTAGGTTCGGCCCTCGACCGTTGGTTCATTAGCGTCTGTCGCATGCATCCACTTTCCACTGCCGCGGGCCGGCGCTAAGCTGGACCAAGCAAGTGATCTGCCTTTCCTGATGGTTGACACGACGCGCCAAGGGGAACTGGTGGTCGGTGCAGATCCCTGATCCATGCATCCCAGTTTGTAACGTACGTATTAATCTCTCCAGCCAACAGGGAACCCTTGGAAAGACATGATGGCTAAGGAGCGAAACGTCCGATTATTGTACTTATTAGACCTGCTTCGGGTTTAGTCAGGCTGTCGTGGTGTACGGTAGCAACAAGGCGCACCAGATCCGGGCATATCAAGTACGCAGCGAATGGCGGCGGCATCCTTCTCAACGAGAGCTCCTGCAAAAACTTCGGGATCTGTTCACCATGGACCCCAGACTGTCGTATACACATTCATGGCATGGTAACATTGACTGACTGGTTTACTCCGTACTTCGTAAGCCTTTCTGTCGAGGGATCAACGTGTGGATCAAGCGGAAAGGGGCTCGCTTGGCTGGGAGGCGACTAACAAACCAACAACCAACAACCAACACACCTAGAGTACTCCATAAATAAGCCATGCCCTTGTCTGTGCATGAAAAGTCCGAAGGGGGAAAAGTCAGATGTAGGTACGTTGGAAAATCTCTTGCTCCTTCATCAACAGGCTCTATCCCTGGCAGCCCCAGAATGGTCAGACATAGGTCATGCCACTAAAAGTAGACAAGCGCAATGGATCTGTTATGCTACTGCTGCAATCTGCCATACCAAGTCTGAACAGTGCCGATTAAATTTGCCATTGCCTGGGTCCGATGTTTTGGCTTGCCATCTTCACCGTTAGGGATCAGCAAGAAAGGCTCCTGTACGAGCTTTAGGTTGATTACCCAAACTCAGGGGAGCTGCGGCGCAGCCCGCTGTGGGCCTACTCGCTTTTGTACTTGAACTGCATTCTACTCCAGGAACCGGCGAGTTGTAAGGCCTGGCAGTCCGTTCTATTTGCGATTCCTGTGGTCTCCGACATCCTCCCGCACAAGAGTTGGCCAGATCCCATCGCTACTCGCTCAATATGGCCAAGGTGCTTTCGAGTCGCAGCGAGGAAGGCCAGCGCATTCAAGAAATTGCCGACCAGATTCCGCCGATACCTGTGCGTGGATTTTCGACGACAATCCAGGCGATCACGTACACCGTTACCATTATCGCCACAGGCATCGTCTTTCTCCGTGTTTGGGTCCGATGGAAGCTCTCCGGGCACCATGCATGGGGCTGGGACGACATCTTTGCTGTCGCCGGATGGGTACACTTGATCCTTCTGGCCTGTCTGCTTGCAACCCAGCTGACACCTGGACCAGGTTCCCCTCATACCATCCGTCGTTTTCCTCGTCCTCGCCACCTACTGGGGCCTAGGAGCCCATGACGATCACGTCCCCGAAGGCATGCTCGAGTACTACCAAGTCCGAGTAAAGAGATACATGTTCTTCTTCGAACTCATCTACTTTGCCTCGTCGGTCCTGACGAAGCTGGCCATGGCCATCATGATCTTGCGGCTCTCCTCGAAGAAAAAGTACTCGATGATCATTTGGGGCAACATGCTCGTCCTTGCTATCAATGCTACCGTGTGCCTGATCATCATGTTCGCCAGCTGCTCGCCGGTGTCGGCGTTGTGGAATGAGAAGCTGTACGTTGCAAGCTCCTGAGCATGGCCTTCCGCCGATGTGTAATCCAGCTAATGACAAGTTCTAGCGGCTTTTGTCGAATCAAGTACGGGTGGATCATTATAAGCTATGCGGGATCTGTGGTGCTGGCGCTGGTTGACTGGACGTGTGCGATCACGCCCTTCTTCATGTTGCGTGATCTGCAGATGCCCAGGAGAAGGAAGATCTCGGTTCAAGTCATCCTGAGCTTGGGTATCGTCGGGAGCGCTGCTGGGCTCGTCCGAATGGCTTACTATAAAGCGTATGATACAGAGAAATATCCACACGAGTCTTTACGTAAGTGCGCTCGAGCCCGTAGAGCAGCAACATGAACACGTAGTTGAGGCTACTGACGAAACTGTTGTTTTCAGACAACTGGGGCCATACCATCCTTTGGTCAATCCTCGAGGCCGGCTTGGGTATCATTGCCTGCTCCTTGCCTCCTCTTCGCAAACTCTTCAAGAAGTTCTACCAGGGCTCGTCTGGACAGTCAGCCATGATGTCAGGGATGGGGACAAACGATGTGAGTAATAGCGTCTCGAGGACTGCTCATCCCTGTTACCTTTGCTAACTCTTGATTCTCTTGCAGGGCGGAACCCAGCTGAGCAACCTTGGAGGAACTCCTAGCGGCATGAAGGGCCTGCGGCGTAAGGAAGGATCCCAATGGGGTCGATTGGATGATGAACACTCTACGTCTAGCCAGCAGCACATTGTCAAGTCGACCCATGTTTGTGTTGAAACGAGTAGTGCCGATGATGGCAAGACTTATGACCAGGACAAGAATGAGGCTTATGTCTGGAGCCGAAATGTATAGAGAATATAGAAACTATGGATCGCAGGATCAAGACCATCAAACTGAAATCGTCGCAATCCGTGCATGGTTAAGATAAAGAATCGCCCGTGTGTTGTACTAATATGCATCTCCACTACCAACAGCAGCAGGCCAATTATTAAAGTTCTCCTCAGGAGATCTGGCAATACACAGTATTGCCACCCTCGTTATCGGAAAACTGTATTCCGTGCTCGCTGCGATTGACAGTGTCCTGATCATATCAGTCTGATGGCTTCCTCAGCGGCGAAGACGCTGGGTTGTGAAGGGCGCGCGATGGCGGCGACGATCATTCCAAAGTCATCGGTAAGTCTGCTTTCTCTAACGTGTGGCCATGGTTGGCCATAAGCTTGGATGCCTGGAAACTTCACAACTTTCCTAAAAGTCCAGAACAGGGTCATAGACTGTAGGAAGAGGACCTTTGGGTCTATCAACAAGCTCTTTATCAGTTGCTCCTCGTCGACAGAGCCTCACACTTCACTATCTCATGTGTTAGATACATGTTGGTGTAAGTTCCTTTCATCGCATCAAAATCCACAAGGGAATCATTGAAGCAATCTTCAAGCAATCGGTGGGTCGATTCTAAAATGTTGATCACGGAGCAAAGTGCGGTACACGGACTCGCAGGCTTTGACGGGCTCATGTGAATAGACTTGAGCTCGTCATTGGTCCAGGCCTGTTTCTTCATCGATGAAGTGTGAGGAGATTTCGGCTGCTGTCAGTCTGGTTCAGGCAATCAACAAGAAATGATTACATAACCCACAAGAAAGGCCTACACGCCCTTGGAAGACAACTCGAAGGGCGCGGGGTGGAGACAATCCTTCGCCCCATGATTGGCCAGGCCTTCACCACCAGGTCTCTGCGATCTGTGCAAGTTCTGGTACAAAATGGTTCTCGGCAAGCAGGCTTGTAGTTGTGCAGATATTCTATCTTCAAGTCTCGTCTCTGAGTCGCAATCTGGGGCTTGCGAGTTTTACAGCTCTTCTATCCCATTCGCCAGACAGCCATGGCTGCCAAAACCCCTTCGGACCATCAGGACAACAAGCTCAACGGTAAAACACCTCATCTAGAACACTGAGAAGGAGTAAATTTGACTGATGCAATGCTACAATTGCAGCTAGTGGACCTGGCAAGATTAAAAATACTTCCACTACGCATAGTTCCACCATCGGTGTTTCCACAGACGATCCTGGCGAAGGCTCAGACGATGATGCCGACGAACACGCCACCGATGCCCTAGAACTCGTCGGTGAGGGCGAGGACGAGGGCGGGTCGAAAAAGAAGAAGAGCAAGAAGAAGAAGAAGTCGAAGAGAAAGAAGAAGAAGACTCTGCCTGTACAAACTGAACCCCCATCGGTCATGATCTCACAACTGTTTCCAAACGGCAACTACCCGAAAGGCGAAGAGGTCGAATACAGGGATGAGAACCGGTATCGAACTACGGATGAGGAAAAGCGATACTTGGATAACACCAAGAGCGACTTCCTCTCCGACTACCGCCAGGCTGCGGAGGCACACCGCCAAGTGCGACACTGGGCCCAGAAGAACATCAAGCCTGGCCAAACGCTCACCGAGATTGCCAATGGTATCGAGGACAGTGTCCGTCGTCTGGTGGGCCATGATGGCCTGTGTGAAGGCGACTCTCTGGTTGCTGGAATGGGCTTCCCACTGGGCCTCAATATTGACGAGATTGCTGCTCATTTCAGCCCTAATGCCGGCAATAAAACTGTGCTTCAGCAGAGCAATGTGCTAAAGGTTGATATCGGCATCCACATTAACGGTCGGATCGTTGATAGCGCCTTTACTATGTCGTTCGATCCAGTCTACGACAACCTGCTTGCAGCAGTCAAGGACGCAACAAACACTGGCTTGAGAGAAGCCGGGATTGACGTCCGTCTCGGCGAGCTAGGTGGCTATATACAGGAGGCCATGGAGAGCTATGAATGCGAGATCAATGGCACCGCCTATCCCATCAGGCCCATCCGAGGCTTGAATGGCCACAACATCTTGCCGTACCGTATTCATGGCACCAAGAGCATTCCTTCGGTCAGGACGGATGACACGACCAAGATGGAGGAAGGCGACGTCTTTGCCATTGAAACATTTGGCACCACTGGCACCGGCCGCGTTGTCGACCACGGCGAGGTCTCGCACTACTCCCTCTGCAGCGATGCTCCCAAGGTAGACTTGCGTCTGTCTTCGGCCAAGTCGCTGCTGTACACCATCCAGAAGAACTTTGGAACAATCCCCTTTTGTCGACGTTACCTCGATAGAATCGGACAGGAGAAGTATCTGCTCGGGGTACGTGGCTATCTGACCTCTTTATCTTTGCGAGCGACGAGAGATTAACACGGCCAATGCAGCTCAACACTCTTGTGAAAACAGGTATTGTTGAGGATTACCCGCCTTTGGTCGACAAGAAGGGCTCATACACAGCCCAGTTCGAGCATGTAAGTCGAGGGTGGCCCGCCACGTTCTCGGTCAGCGTCGGCTAACATGCGAACCTAGACTATCTTGCTCAGGCCCAACGTGAAAGAAATAATCAGCCGTGGAGACGACTACTAGATACACAATCCGGTGCGGTCTTTGAAGGCGCCGCAGAGCAAGATCCTGAAGCTTAGTCTAGCAAGACTCTCACCGAGTGACCTAGCCTCGTGCGGCATGGGACGGTCTGTACACTCGTTTATGAAGATGACAAACGCTCGTGAGATTTATTCAAACTACCCCACGTAAAAACAAATGCGTGCTTCGTTCTTCTCTCCACACAATGACTACTTACCCTCGTGGCCCCCCTGTGTGCTCGGCTCATTGCCCCAAGGGTTTGGTCACTAGGTGGCTTGGCTAGCGTTGCCGAGCAGGCGAGGGGTCTCCATACGTCCCAAAAATTGGGAGCCGAGTGCCTAGATCGAAAGAATGGATTGTACGGAGGAGGAGCGAGTCTATGAGGCGATCGATCAGATGCTGAGAAGCATGATCGCGCAATCTAGCCTCGAAAGTCCCTGGCCTGTGACACGCCACTGATGCTGGCTCCTCCACGCCACTTCGCGGTCTCTGCCACCTTTGCTTTCGCGTCGCGTCGCAGTCGGTAGTACCTCGCTAAGCTGCTGAAACGATTGCAGGTCCCGTGTAGCTGAGGCAAGGAACGTGGCATCAAGATGCAGAGTGGCTCTGGTAGATTTGTAAAACGTGTCGGCTATGCGTGGCCACGGTAGACCGGGCTGAATCAAATTACGGATCCTGAATGCGGCCAGCAAAAGGCGAGACCCAAGTCAAAACTGATATGGGGAGCAAGAAGCAAGATTCAAACAACGTGACTCCCGAAAGACTTTCTGCAACAATGGGCACTCGAAGACCGCGATACAGGAACTGGTTCAATGGATTCTCCTGAGATAGGAACCGGGAACTCTAGGCTCACGACAAACATTCATTATGTCGCCGTTCATGCCGTGCAACGCGCACTACTAGTCGGTTCCGAGTCTTCAGACTCCCCTCTCCCTTGAGCCGACTACATGATCGCAAAGCACGAATCGAAGGTCGCGTGCATCACCGACCGGATATCCACCCTCGCCTTGCTCACATCCTGCCTCGCCTGCACCTCCTCCAGCACCTGCGCCGTGATGCGCGCGTTGGTCGCCACCTTTTCCATGCGCAGGATCTGGTCCTTGATCCACTGCCGCTCCGATAGGTCGTCCTCTTCCGATCCCAGCATCAGCAGCGGCCACAGCTGGCTCACGGGCAGGGCGTCCTCGCTGCTGAGCCCCTCGACCATGAGCCGCGTGAGGTGCCGGATCTGGCTCAGCGCGTCGGCCGTCTCGCGCGTCAGGGGCAGGTTCTTGTACGCCACGCGGTGGAGGTGGATCTTGCTGGCATGGTAGTTGGACAGATACGTCCGGAACGCGCGCGTGATGGCAAATGCGAGGTTCGCCGACACATGCGGCGGAGTCAGACCGCCGGCGACGGCGTGGTCCATCAGCGCGGGGCGATCGTCATATAGCTTCCGCAGGTCCTTCATGATATTCAACGCAATGTTCATGACCTCGGTCTCGTCCTCCACCGTCCCGCGGGAACGGTGCCAGGGGTCAATCTTGGAGATGCGGCCCATAAAGCTCTGGACTTTCTGGAAGAAGACGATGCCGGGATGGTAAAGCACTTGGAACAAGACGTCTTCGATGTCTGATTCGGGAGCGCCCTCATCCGTCTCGGCGCCGCAACTGAGGCCCGTTGCCCCTCCTTCGTGATCGTCCTCTTCAACACGAACCGGTGACGGTTGTACAATGAGCGCCTCATTGTTGTCTGACAGGAAGAGACCTTCACCGCCAGCTGAGACGGCTCGGGCATCCAGCAAGCGGATCCATGACAGCAACCGTAGCTCGATGGGACGGAAGCTGCGCTTCTTCCCATTTCGAAAGATGTCGTAGGCTCGCTTCAGATTGTCGTGCGCCATCTGCATGCGATCTTCGAGAATGTCGACGTAGATCAGGAAGAAGAGGGTAGCGAGCAGGTGCTCTCGGGCAGAGCTGTATCCCTCATGGAAGCTCGGGTCTGAGGCCATCAAGTCTCTCATTGCAGTCTCGTAGTGGTGCTGCGGGTGTCCCTGTCGAGGTGACGTCTGGCGGAAGTAGAGCAGGCTCGAGAAGGCGAGGATAGAACAGCGGACCATGGCCGAGTTGTTGGACATGGAGATGAGGATCTGGCGCATGGTCGCCCAGCGCTTCTGGGTCTCGACCTCAGCCAGGATCGGTGGAACAACGGTCCGGATGAAGTAGTCGATGAGATGGCGGTCCTCTGCCACTTGCGAGGGGCCGTGGTGCATCCCAGGCCGCGTTGGTGAGGCGTTGTCCAAGTTTGAACTGTGCCTTACCAAGCCAAGGTCTTTGTTCTTTGGTCCGCCACTTGAAGTTGATGCATTTGTGTTTGTTGGTTGTGATGGGTTGACAATGCTTTGCCACGGGTCCTGTCCATTGTTAGCAGTCACGCGTCGAGCAGTACCTGGTGCACTCGAGTCGGTCAACGTAACCTACTATCCAAGGGTCGCTGCCGGTCGAGCCAAAGTTCGTCTGCGCTCTCTCAGGGCTAAACGTGGTGAAGCCGTCGCCGCCAGAGACGTCCCACATGAAGCTGGCATAGTCGAACAGCTGATCGACGGCCCCGGGGTTCTGGAGCCACTGCTGATCTCCGGGCGTGGAGACCACGTCGCCAGGCGAGGTGTTGCTGTTCACCGGCGCCGCCTGGAAGATGGGATGGATGATGGCTGTAGGGCTCTGTCCCTTGTTGGCATTGCCAGTGGTGTTGGCGCTGTTGGCGCTCGGTCTCCGCTGCACTGAGGGCGGCATGGGCGGCGCGGGTCGCCACCGACACTCGAGATTGAGACGCTCGCAGTGAGAGCACCGCGGCCGCTGCTCGTCGCATCTCACCTTGCGCCGCCTCCTCTCTGTTTAGCACGTGTATACTGGCATCCTACATTCACATCCGATACACGTACCTGCAGGTCATACATCCGTTCTTTGACCGGGCAGGCCTCCTCGGTGCCGGGGATTGCGGCGGCTGCTGCCCGTGCGGCGGCGGGGGTGCGTAAGACACGCCGTTTGTGCCGTGGCTCTGGCCATTCGGCACAGTAGCATCGTCTGTCTGGCTGTTGGCGTTGTGCATGACTGTTGGCCTTTCAATGCTGTTTGAGCGGGAAGTGCAGTTGGTCGCGTATCGCGGGCGGGGTTTTGGAGCGACTGTGAAATCTTGGAGAAGGAGAATAAAGGATGGCCCCTCGACGAGTCAGAACAAGCTGGGGAAAATCCGGGCGCCCAGTGGAGAAAGTCAGGGCTTCTAGCGTGAAGAGAATGAGCCCTCCACTAAAAGAATGCAAGCCAGGCCAGGCAACGGTGGTGGGCTTATTAGACTCCACTGGTTCCGGGGCGGTGATGGCATCCATCTTGCTCTTTCCTACCGGCCAGACGGGGGAGATTCCTTGTCGTGGCCTCTGGAGCAGATCGACTGCGTTGCTGACGAGGTTTGCGAACCCGTGCCCGGTGAACATCATGTCAAATTCCCTTGGCTGCACTTCGGTCCGGTTCTGCCTCGCCCTGGCCCTAGCCAGGTTGATATTTGCTCCCAAATCTCCAACCCAGCTTGTGGAGCTTGTGGGCCTTGGTGTGGGCGGGTGCCATGACAAAAGGAGTTTAAGTACACGATGGAGGCGAGGCTTTCTAGTGATAGAGGAGAATTGAATGGGAGCATCGGGTCTATTCGGGTAGTCTAACAACTTTCATATTTCAAGTTATCTGATTCTCCTCGCCCCATTCCATATGCACAATCGCATGTGCTTTAGGTGTCCCGCTCCTTTTGGACCTGATGTGGCCATCCTGATGTAGTTTGCCTGAACGACTTGTCATGTTTCAAAGACTCTTGAAACGGAGTTGCTTCCATATCGCTTTGTAATTTAGGCACCTGCAGGGGTCCTAAGGGGAAGCACAAATTTCCATTGCTACCGCATTCATACCTGAAGAGAGTAAATGGTAGCGAAGCTGGAATATCTGGGGTGAAGAAGACTCGACTGGCGAAGAATTTGGCAAACACTCGTTTTAGCCTGGTTAAAAGGCTAATGGTGACTGCAATTTGCGGAATATCTGCGGAAGATGAAAAGAGAAGGTGTCAGAGAGACACTGATATTACTAAGAAGTACTTAGTCCCACTGGAGAAGATATATGAGCATGAATCAGCCTCGACCAATATAGAGCAAGATCTCCTTCCAAACACATCAAAAATAATATAAAATAAGAAAAGGAAGCAGAACAAGTAGAAAAAGTGTAAAGGAAGAGTATATAACTATATACCATAGAGGTTACAGGTTAAGAATATACTAAGATATATTATACTCTCTTTCTCACAGGCTGACCATGAACAAGGCTGTGGGTGTGATTCAAGCAGCGTCAATCAACAAAACAAATCACAAGCGGCAGCATGCTTAGTTGAATGAATGGCTGAGAAGAAGATCTCCGGCAACAAGAAGCTCTTGTAAGCTATTATTACTCTCTAACCTTCAGATCATCCCACTGTGTAGGCAAAAAGACATCGACACAGTTTCCAAACGCTTTGCAAATCATTACCGAACACTCGTAGCTCTCATAACCATTTTCCATAGTTGCCGGACAAACATTCCCACCAGCAATAATCCATACGTCAACCTCTCTATTCTAACCCCGGCTACTAGATACTAGCAATACCAAACAGATTCGAGTTCAGACAATTGAGGATGGGCACACCGCTGGTCGCCGCCGTGTTGAAGCACGCCGCGCTGGCTGCATTGGTGTACAGGCTGATAGCGGACTGGCAGGCCGTAATCTGCGTCCGCACGGCCGAGTTGGTCAGCGCGGTGGACAGTGCAGAGCAGGCACTTGGCAGCGCCGACAGGCAGCGGTTGGCGAGCGAGGCCGTCAGGCAGTTCACGATGCTCAGGCCGCCGAGCGAACTGACGAGGCAGCTGGCCGTGTTGCCGAGGGCCAGAGTGCCAAGGGCGGTGGTGCAGAGCGGGAAATCGATCGCGAAGCCAACTATGTTGTCAGTCTGCAAGTTCGAGCAGGGCGTAGGCAGCGTCGCGCAGGCCTGCCGCGGCACCGCGGTCTGCGTAGACACGGCAGCCGTGGAGCAGCCCGACGGCAGCGTAGGCGTCTCGATGGTGAAGCCGTAGACACCTTGGAGGCAGTTGATGATGCCCAGGCCTGTGCTGTGCAGCGCCGTGTTGAGGCAGTTGACGACGGCGGCTGATTGGGCGAAGGGGCCAAGCGCCGCCGAGCACAGCTGGATGTTCGTGTTGAGCGTGGCGCCGATGGAGGCGCTGGCCGAGAGGGCCAGGCAGGCGACCGGGAGCTGGGTGATGCAGATGTTCGGAAGCGCGCTGGTTAGGCAGCTGAAGATTGTGCCGCCGTTGGCGCTCAGAACGCCGTCGGCCAGACAGGTCGCTAGGGAGCCGACGCTGTACTCGCCGAGATCAGTGGTGCAGGCGACGATGTCCAGAGGCAGGCTGACGACGTTGTCGGTGCGTAGACGCTGGCAAGATGCGGGAAGGGTGCCGTCGCAATAGCGGTTCGCGGTTGCTGTCGTGCTGGCTACACAAGCGATGGTTGATGAGCTGCTGGTCCTGGTGGAGCTACTCGTAGAGCTGCTGGTTGGACTAGTGCTTGCGCTCGATGTAGTGCTCGTCGTGGATCGGCTCGTTGACGAAGAACTACTTGAGGAGGTACTGCTCGTAGTACTCCTGGTGCTGCTACTTGTGCTGCTGCTGCTCGTGCTGCTGCTCGTTGTGGTGATACCAGGGCCATTGATATTCCCAGTAATTGGAGTCTGTACAACCACAGTTCCCACAGTAGCCCCATTGGCAGCTTGGAGAGTTAGTGTCTGAGTGACGAGTCCGTTATATCCCTGAGTAATGGTGACATAAGTCAAGCCCGGTAGCGTCGCCGGGATTGGCGTCTGGATAATGACTGTGCCTTGAACATTTGTTCCCGCTGGAGGTATCGTGATAGACTGCGTCGTAGCTCCGTCGTAGCCCTGAGTTATGGTTGTGTATGGGCCAGTAAAAGTCGATGCTGGTGCTACATAGGGCGTCTGGATCAGGATAGTTCCTTGAGTGGCCGACCCCGCTGGCGGTATCGTGATGCTCTGGGTGACAAGACCGTTGTATCCCTGCGTGATCGTGACATACGGACCGGTGAAAGTTGAAGCCGGGGCAGTGTAAGGAGTTTGAATGAGAACTGTACCCTGAGTTGCAGACCCAGCTGGCGGGATGGTAATACTCTGAGTGACCACGCCGTTGTAGCCTTGCGTAATCGTCGTAAAGGGACCATTGAAGGCTGAAGGAGTGGCGGAGGAGGGAGTCTGAATCAGCACAGTTCCCTGCGTTGCTGATCCGGCCGGCGGGATCGTGATCGTCTGCGTGACAATTCCATTGTACCCTTGTGTCAGCGTCACATACGGGCCCGCGAAGGTTGGAGCGACATAAGGGGTTTGCACCAGCACAGTGCCCTGAGTAGCCGAGCCGGCTGGAGGGATGGTAATGCTCTGGATCGCCACACCGTTGTAGCCCTGAGTAATTGTGGTGTAGGGCCCCGTAAAGGTTGAGACGGGAGCCACATAAGGTGTCTGGACAAGAATTGTGCCTTGTGTAGCCGAGCCAGCCGGTGGAATCGTGATGCTCTGAGTAGAGACGCCATTGTAGCCTTGGGTAATCGTGATGTATGGACCAGTAAAAGTGGAAGCAGGAATGGGCGTCTGAATGAGCACCGTGCCCTGTGTGGCCGAGACAGCAATGGGCAAAGTAATCGTTTGTGTACCAACTCCATTGTATCCCTGTGTGATAGTGATATAAGGCCCAGCGAACGTTGACACAGGCCCGTTGACGTTGCCGCTTGGGATGGGAGTCTGGATGAGTACTGTGCCCTGCGTCGCTAACGGATCGACCGGGAGCGTAACAGTTTGGGTGGCGAGCCCGTTGTAGCCTTGCGTGATTGTCGTATACGGTCCAGCGAATGTGATCGAAACAATGGGCGTCTGGACCAGCACCGTTCCTTGTGTTGCAGACGCAGGGACTGGCAACGTGACTGTCTGGATCGCAATGCCATTGTAGCCTTGCGTAATGGTGGTGTACGGTCCGGTGAATGAAGTGACTGGGGCGGAGGTCGGAATCGGCGTCTGAATGAGGACTGTGCCTTGTGTTGCCGAGACACCGAGCGGTAGCGTGACGGTCTGCGTCGTTGCTCCATTGTATCCCTGAGTAATCGTGATGTACGTCCCAGAGAATGTGGCCGCTACGATCGGTGTCTGAACCAACACTGTGCCTTGCGTAGCAGAGAGAGTCAGAGGCAAAGTCACAGTCTGCGTGGCCACGCCGTTGTAGCCCTGGGTAATGGTCGTGTAACTTCCAGTGAAGGTAGGAGCTACAGAAGGTGTCTGCACAAGAACTGTGCCTTGGGTGGCTGATGGATCGACCGGCAAGGTCAATGTCTGCGTTGCGACTCCGTTGTATCCCTGAGTTATCGTTGTATACGTCCCAGTAAATGACACGGGCCCATTGATATTACCAAGAGGAGTCTGGATAAGAACCGTGCCCTCGGTCGCGCTGCCAACGGGCGGAATCGTGACCGTCTGAGTGTCAACCCCATTGTAGCCCTGCGTGATGGTCCTGTAGGGACCAGCGAACACGCGAGTCGCAGGGATCTCGTAAATGACGGTACCAACCGTAGCTCCGGCAGTAGGCGGCAGAGTTACGTATCCCGGCGTGATGTCAGTTGCTCCAATCACAGTCAGAGTCGTGTACGGACCTGTGAAGGGCGTGACGGCCGGCGCTGGGGTCTGGATGAGGATCGTGCCTTGGGTTCCGCCACTTGTAGGGGTGATTGTCAGTGTCAAAGGCGGCGAGCCGGGGAGACCGGCACCTGTGATGGTAGTGAAGGGTCCGTTGAAAGCCGACGGGCCCAGGAGCGGCGTCTCGTACAAGACTGTTCCCAGTGTAGCCCCGGGAGGCGCAGGGAGCGTGATAAGCGTTGGCGCAGACAAGGATGTCCCCGCAACAGTCAGTGTCGTGTACGGGCCCGTGAAGCCGGAAGGGGCTGGCGTCTGGATGATAACAGTGCCTTCCGTAGCACCACTGGTCGGTGGCACCGTGAGCGTAAGAGGTGGCGAGTCAGGGAGACCAGTGGCTGTGATCGTGACGAACGGGCCGTTGAAGCTGGCCGCCGCGGGTGTCTCGTAGATGACAGTGCCCAGCGTAGCTCCCGAAGTCACCGGAAGCGTGATCAACGTCGGCTGGATGCCGACTGGGCCCGCGAGCGTGAGAGTCGTGAACGGGCCAGCGAACGATGGCAGGCCGTTGGCCACAGAGCTAAGAACGCCAGGCGTCTGCACAATGACGGTACCCACGCTCGCACCGCTCGTCGGAGGCACGGTCACGGTGACGGCCGGCAAGCTTGGATCGCCGACGCCAGTGATCGTGACGTAAGGTCCGGTGAAGGGCGGCAGAGTTGCTGATGCGGGGACTTGGTCGATGACTGTGGCGACAGATGCCCCAGACGAGGCAGCCAAAGTGATCAACGTAGGCTGTGAGCCCACAGGGCCCGTTACCGTTATCGTCGTGTAAGATCCAGAAAACGAGACGGGCCCATTGACAGCCGATGCCGGAGTCTGAATGATGACCGTACCCTGCGTAGCGCCACTCGTAGGTGGGAAAGTTAGAGTTATGGGTGGCAGGTTTGGTGCGCCTTCTCCCGTGATGGTGATGTACGGGCCAGCAAAGCTCTGAACAATCGCTGCGGGGGTCTGATAGATGACGGTGCCGATAGAAGCCCCAGCTGTGGGCTCTAGAGTGAAAAGCGTCGGCGCCGAGTCTGGGGGACCCGTTAAAGTGACCGTGGTGTAGATACCAGTGAACGAGGCCGGCACATTCGTGACCGTGGCTGTGACAGGCGGAACGAGGCTCTGCGGAGTCTGTATAATAATCGTGCCCACAGTCGCACCGCTCGTGGGAGGGACCGTGATCGTGATCGGGGGCAGATTCGGATCCCCTGCCCCAGTGATAGTGACAAACGGCCCTTGGAAGGTCTGTGCGACCGGCTCAGGTGTCTGGAAGATGACGGTGCCTTGCGTGGCTCCCAAAGAGGGCGATAGAGTCAGCAGCGTGGGCTGAGAGCCGAGCGGACCGGTCAAGGTTACGGTTGTGAATGGGCCTGTGAACGAGGCGAACGAGTTGGGGCCGTTGAGGTTGGGCGCCGGCGTCTGAATGATCACGGTTCCGACAGAAGCTCCGCTGGTCGGAGGAACTGTGAGCGTGACAGCAGGCGAGCTAGGGTCCCCGGCGCCGAATATCGTAACAAATGGGCCCGTGAACGATGCGACAGCTCCAGCTGCAGGAGTCTCATAAAGCACGGTTCCGATGGAGGCTCCAGATGGCGCAGCCAGCGTCAGATACGTAGGCTGTATATCAGTCGCGCCGGCCACCGTGATCGTAGTGAAGACGCTTGGCCCAGGTACCGAAACAGCAGGCGTCTGGATGATGATGGTTCCGATAGACTGGCCTGGGGAAGGAGGCACTGTGAGCGTGACCGGAACTGACCCCGGTTCGCCGGCACCGAAAATGGTTGTGAAGGGCCCGTTGAAAGCGGGAAGCGATGCGGCCGGGGTTTCGTAGATCACTGTACCGATTGAAGCGCCAGCAGGAGCAGCAAGCGTGAGCATAGTCTCTGGGGACCCAGCCGGGCCCGTGATGGTCTGCGTCACAAAGACGGTCGGCTGTGCATTGGCCACGGCGGGTGTCTGAATGATAACAGTTCCGATCGACTGGCCGCTGACAGGCGGGACGGTCAAAGTCACTGGCGGCGACCCTGGTTCGCCAGCACCCGTGATTGTGACAAACGGACCATTGAATACAGCCGTGGGGCTTGGACCTGGAGTGATGATGACGACCGAACCGGGGTTGGCGCCGCTGGGAGGTACCGTGATCTGTGTAGACGCTGCACCAGCAATCGTGGTCGTCACGTAGGGCCCGTTGTCGATGGTAGTCGGAGCCAATGGTGTCAATAGCAAGACAGTAGCCACAGTAGCACCTGCTGCAGGCTGCAGGGTCAGCGTTGTGGGGTTGGGTCCAATGGCACCAGCCTCTGTGATGGTCTGATAGACGCCATTGAACGTCTGAGGCCCGTTGACCGCCCCGGGCGTGATGACGACGACTGAACCCGCTACAGAACCCGCGGCGGGCACCGTAATCGTCGTCAAAACCTCACCAGCGATCGTGGTCGTGGCCAACGCCTCGGTATTGATCGTGGTCGCAGCTCCCGGCTGCAACACGACTACCGTGCCCTCGAGCTGACCGGAAGAGGGCGATATAGTCAGCGTCCTAAGCGGAGCGCCAATCCCTCCAGTCTCGGTGATCGTGACGAATGGACCAGTAAATGTCTGCTGCGGACCATTAATAGCCGTTCTGCCTGGCGTGATGACGACAATAGAGCCCGGTGCAGTCCCTGTTGGCGGGACCGTGATCGTCGTGGCAACGGCGCCCTCGATTGTCGTCGTGACGAAAGGCCCGTTGTCGAGAGTGGTGGCGGGAGGCGCACTCGCAGGGGTGAAGATGTAGATTGTGCCCTCGGTGGCCGAGCCGGTGGGCTGCACGGTGATCGTGGTCGGGATAGCACCGATGGCGCCGGGCCCAGTAACGGTGGCATATGGATACGTCGACACCGGGCCGTTGTTCACGCCTGGCGTTATCACAACAATAGATCCGGCAGCGGTACCAAACGGCGGCACCGTGATCGTGGTCAGCGCGGCCCCTTCGATCGTCGTCGTGACAAATGGGCCGTTGTCCAGCGTGGTGGTCGGGAGGGCTGCATTCGGAGTGAAGATATACACAGTTCCCTCCGTGGCGGAGCCGGCCGGCTGAACCGTGATCGTCGTTGGCACTTCTCCCAGGGCGCCTCCCTGAGTGACGGTAGCATACGCGTATGTTGATTGGGCCCCGTTGAGGGCACCAGGGGTGATGATAATGACGCGGCCTGGCGCTGTGCCCTCGGGCGGGACTACGATCGTCGAGGCGCGAATTCCCTCGATGGTCTCCGTAATGTAAGGTCCGTTGTCTAGCGTGGTCGTGGGCGCCGAGACTCCAGGGGTCAAGATGATGACCGTGCCTTGCGTCTCGGATGCAGTGGGCAGAAGCGTCAGTGTGGTCGGCCCTTCGCCAAGAGCTCCAGCGTTGGTGATCGTGACATAAGGGCCCGTGAAGGTCAGTGGCGGAGAAGTAATCGCCTCTGGCACATTCGTGATGACAATGGCGGATCCGGGCAGCGTCCCAGTGGGCTGAACAAAGATCGTGGTGTTCACTGCTCCCGAGATCGTTTCAGTGACGAATGGGCCGTTGTTGATACTTGCTGGAGGTGTCGGCGCGGGCGTCACAATGAGAACGGTACCCTGGGTTTCGCTCCCTGTAGGCGGCGAGCTGATTGTGATGGGCTGCGATCCAAAGGCACCCTCCTCGGTGATGGTAATGTATGGACCGGCAAAGGTCTGTGCGGCTCCGTTCAGAGCGCCAGGCGTGATCACGACGATCGACCCCGGTAGAGTTCCGGCTGGCGGAACAGTAATGGTCGTCGCTTGCGCCCCTTCAATCGTCGTGGTAATAAATGAACCGCCCGAGACAGGCGGGGTCAGAATGAAAACGGTGCCTTGCGTCTCGACTCCGGTGGGTACAGCTGTGATAGTAAGCGGCAAGGACCCGAGAGGCCCTTCCTCGGTGATGGTTACGAATAGGCCGGTAAAGGTCTGCACAGGGCCATTGTTGGCTTGGGAACTGGGGGCTGGTGTGACGATGATGACCGTACCCTGCGTCTCACTGCCCGTGGGGAAGACCGTGAGAGTGAGAGGATCAGCGCCAAAAGCTCCCTGATTTGTGATCGTGGCGAATGGACCAGTGAAGGTCTGCTGGGGAACGTTCGTGATTACACCGGTTGGAGCCGGCGTGACGACAACAATAGTGCCCTCGGTCTGATCGGCGGTTGGGAGGACAGTGAACGTTCTCGTCGGGTCTCCGATGGCTCCCTGATTCGTGATCGTGACGAACGGCCCATTGAATGTCTGCTGCGGCGAACCGGCATTGGAAGCTGCCGGCTGAAACACTACAACGGTGCCCTGCGTCTCGCTTGCTGTGGGTTGGATCGTGAACGAGGTTGGCTCCGAGCCAAAGACTCCTTGTTGTGTGACAGTGATATAAGGTCCAGTGAATGTTTGCTGGGGACCATTCACTGCAGCCGCTGGGGTAAAGAGCACCACCGTAGCGTCCGTTGCTCCTGGTGCGGGCTGTATAGTGTAGGAAGTCGGAAAAGACCCAGGCACGCCTTCCTGGGTGATTGTTACATAAGGCCCAGTAAAAGTAGGCTGTACAGCGCCACTGGGACCAGGAGTAAGGACCACCACAGTGCCCTCAAGCTCTGTTCCAGTAGGCAGCACCGTGAAGCTGGTGGGACTGCCTCCAGGCGCTCCCTGCTCAGTAATCGTGACAAACGGACCAGTAAAGGGAGGCTGAACAGAGTTGGTGGGAGTGGGGCCAGGGGTGAAGATCAAGATCGTACCCTCGGTTTCACTGCCGATAGGGTCGATAGTGAACGAGGTCGGGACTGAGCCGGCCGCGCCCTGTTGCGTCACGGTAACATACGGGCCAGCAAATCTGGCCCTAGCGGTAAATACCACGACGGTACCCTCGGTCTGAGTGCCAGTGGGGAGGATTGTAAAGGATGTAGGTTGCTGGCCAAACGCAGCCTCTTCGGTAACAGTGACGAATGGGCCGTCAAAGGTTGAGATGGGCCCGTTGCTGGCACCTGGAGGACCAGGAGTCAAGATCAGAACCCGGCCTTCGGTCTCACTCCCCGTGGGGTTAATCGTGAACGTGGTCTCTTGTGAACCAGGAGCTCCTTGCTCGGTTATGGTGACATAGGGGCCGGTGAACGGGCCACTGGCTGGAGCACTTGCCGCCGGCGTGAACACGAGCAGAGTTCCTTCAGTCTGGCTCCCCACTGGCTGTATAGTAAAGGTCGTTGGCTGTGAACCAAACGCCGCTTCTTGCGTGATCGTGACGTACGGTCCCGTGAACACGCCGCTGATGGTGCCGGTAGCGCTTGGGGTTGGAGTAAATATCAAGATGGTGCCCTGTGTCTCACCGCCGACGGGCTGGATTGTAAAGGATGTCGGCTGCGAGCCGAATGCTCCCTCTTGCGTCACCGTGACGTACGGCCCTGCGAACGGGCCATTTACTGATCCGCTGGGAGCCGGAGTGAACACAACTACGGTTCCCTCGGTCTGGCTCTCAGTGGGCAGAATGGTGAACGACGTCGGCAGTGAACCAAATACACCCTGTTGGGTGACAGTCACGTATGGGCCTGCGAACGGGCCGTTCATTGACCCGCTTGGAGCCGGCGTAAACACTACGATGGTGCCTTCTGTCTGACTCCCTGTCGGTAGCACGGTAAATGATGTCGGCTGTGAGGCAAAAGCGCCTTCCTGTGTCACGGTGACGAACGGGCCTGCAAAAGTAGATGCGGGGCCGTTCACCGCGGCACTGCCAGCAGGAGTGAAAACGACGACAGTTCCTTCTGTCTGGCTTCCAGTCGGCAGAACCGTGAACGATGTTGGCGGCGAACCGAAAGCTTCCTCTTGGGTGACCGTGACGAACGGCCCAGCAAAAGTCGACACTGGTCCATTGATCCCGGGACTCGCCGCAGGAGTGAAGACGACAATGGTGCCTTCGGTCTGGCCTCCAGTTGGCAACACCGAGAACGAAGTCGCTTGAACACCGAATGCCGCTTCCTGCGTCACAGTGACAAAAGGGCCCGCAAAGGTCTGTGGCCCGTTGACCACTGGGCTTGGCCCAGGTGTGAAGATGACAATAGTGCCTTGGGTTTCGCTTCCAGTAGGAAGTATGGTATACTGGGTTGGTTGCGAGCCAAACTGGCCTTCCTGGGCGATGGTGATAAAGGGACCAGCAAAGGTTGTTTGCGGTCCGCTGAATGCAGGACTAGGACCAGGGGTGAACGAGACAACCGTTCCCTGGGCCTCCCCCGAAGTAGGGAAAATTGTATACGCAGTCGGCAATGACCCGAACTCTCCAGCTTGCGTAATGGTAACAAAAGGACCCGTAAATGTCTGTTGTGGGCCGTTGACAGCCGGACTAGGCGCCGGAGAAAAGACAACGACGGTTCCTTGAGTCTCGGATCCGGTGGGTAATATCGTATACGTCGTCGGTTGCGAGCCGAACACCCCCTGCTGCGTAATCGTAGCGAAAGGCCCAGCAAAGGTCTGCTGTGGGCCATTGACGGCGCCACCACTGGGCCCTGGAGTGAAAATGACAACCGTGCCTTCGGTCTGGCTGCCAGTCGGCTGTATAGTGAACGTCGTCGGCAGAGAGCCTGCTGTGCCGGTCTGGGTTACGGTAACGTATGGACCAGTAAAGGGTTGAGCCTGCTGGGGCCCATTCACGGCACCTGACGGCGCCGGGGTGATGACTACTACAGTACCTAGCGTCTGAGTGCCAGTCGGCTGGATGGTGAACCGAGTCGGCCGGGATCCTGCGGCACCTGCCTCTGTGACGGTGGTGTAAGGCCCGTTGAACGCCGCTCCTTCGGTGCTTGCAGCTCCGTTCTGCCTGCCACTAGTGGTTATGATGATAATCGAGCCCGGATTCGTGCCCGACGGAGGAATTGTCACAGTGCCAGGAGCTGCTCCGGCGCCGGCAGCAACTGTCATGGTGATATAGGCAGGAAGCACGCTGGTCTCACCCGAGCCTCCGGTTGCTCCGGACGCGGGACCATTGGGGCCATTGATGTTGCCTGGTGCGGCGCCGGAGCCCGGAACTCCGTGAATTCTAGAGCATATCGTGTTAGAGCGCCGGTGCCTTCACGATAATCATTTGAGCCACAGCTACTTGCGATGTTTTGAGTGACCGAGAAGTTTCGGTCTCCACGACGACTGTGTTGATGGCCACGGGGGCATCTGAGATGGTATATTGGAGACCATCTGGGAGAGTCAGGATAGTGTTGACACTGAAGTAGCCGCTGATCTGGTAGGCCTGCTCAATGATGATTTCGACTGGCTGGATGTCGACCTCGGTCATGCCGCTGGGGCATATGGGGTCAGCGGTCACCTGAGCAGATCCAAGCAAGGGCCAAAGCCCAGGAGCCAACGAGGCCGCAAGAAGCCTCGATCCTCTCATGGCGTAGCAAGATTTGTTGGCGATTGCACCTCAAAGATGACTCCTCTCGTTATGAATAAAAGCAATTGTCTGCAAGATGGGCATTGGTAAGGATTACGACAGCTTTCATTCAATGTCTCGAGCGGAGCCCGACAAGGTATACATCATGCTGCCAAGAGCTTCTGGATCAGAGAGCAGCCCACCGCGATGCAAGCAATGGGAACGAGTCTCACAGGCAACGTGAGCGCGCGATCCCTCCTCAACTCTGGCACGTCGGCGCCTCCGACATCCGCTGGTCAGCAGTCCTCAGACCGCCCCTTTCACTCGAGATGCGCCAGCGACAATCACAATTCCCAGCCATTCCATTCTGCCGTCTCGCTACCCACTGCATGGGCTCTTCACAACGGTATTCGAGAATGTAGAATGGCCCGGGAAAGGGGGGAGCGAACCAGGCGGCATTATTCACAGACTCCTTCGTGTAACCTGAACCCCATTCACGGATGATCAGCCCATGCCCCTGAAGCATGTGAAGCCAACACACTCCTCCTGTTCATGGTCAAATGGTATCTCTGCACCGCACCCATTGAGGGTATGCTGTCCATCACTCACCGCAAGGGACTCAGGCTTGCCATGTTAACATAAGCCTGGACCTCTAACGTTCGGTGACGGGTGATGCAGAATTTACTTTTTGACTCCTCTTGTGGGTTATCCCACTGCCTAAGTTCGAGAGATCCGCCACTTTTGTCTCTACTATTCTTCGGATGGATAATCAAAGCGCAGTGGACTACATAGGTGCTCTTTCCTAGGATATTCTTTTATCTGATGGACTAGGCCCAGATATTGGACTTGAAGTGATCGGGGGATATGGACGGGTTGTTCAGATTTCGTCTCTACACCTGGACTCCCCTGTAGAGTCCTCTTATAGTCTTCGAGATTCGCCTTTGTATGGGGTCTCTCACACCACCGGACTCACCTGGATGGTGCCAAGAAAACAATTTAATACAAGGGAATGCTGTCCTACTCGGTTCGTCAAAAGACTCGGCCGGGCTCTAGGCTGGTCGAGTGTGCACAAGAGAGCGATGATAAAACAAGTCATGCCGTTTCGCCGGGATGTCACAAATAGCCGACGGATTGTTGCCAAGCCACGTCAAAACACGACCGTTGTGATGTGACAATAAACGAAGAAAGATTCGCAATCACTCTCATCCCAAGCATACCAGTCCTTTCCATCCCATGATAATATATAGTGGACATAGACGCCATCTCACCGTACTCACGGCTTTGTCTGGGTATGACGGCTTCGTAAACCAACACGTTCCTTAAGCGTACCCCGTATTGCCAGTCGTTCTTTGCTGCTCTCTTCACTCGTTTTCCATATCCGAGCAACAATGGCGCTTTCATCACTCATTTTACTCTCTTTACCTCTGAATATCCTGGGTAAGAGTATCCCGCGCCAGGTGCCTGGTGCTGATGACACATGCACCATTACCAGAGTACTTCCTCAAACGGTGATCACCAGTATCGCACCACTTCAGACCTTCTTTCTTCCGAACCAACAGGGCCCTAATGCCGCTCTTCCCAGTTCAGGCTCTACAAATGGTCCGGAAGGCCCAGGAGGTCCTGGCGGTGAGAGCGGCAATCTTCCCGGTAGTGTGAACGGGCCCAACATACCTAGTGGAGAAGGCGGCCTCCGCGGCCATCCTGGCTCTGCTGGAGGTCCTGGGTCGGTGAACGGGCCTGATGGACTGGGCTCCGGACCTGAATCTGGAGGCCCCTGGGGAGGATCTTGGGGTTCCGGGCCCGAGGGGCCATGGGGTGTTGCGCCCTGGGCCCGGGGCGGGCCTGGCGGCTACCCTGGGACTGCGCCTCCTTACACGACCGTCTATCCCATTACCGTCGACTACTTTGGTCCCAACGGTCTCGAACAGAGGACGTACCTGGCCACCGAGCTCTGCCCCACCTGGCCATGTCACCCTTCCACTGGTTGCCCAAACGGGTTCACGACCTCGGCGGCGACCTGCACCGCCTGCGGCCCCAAGCCCACGACGGCCGTCCTCACAGTTCCCTGCGAAGGGACACCCGCAGTCGCCATCACTGCGTACGAGCGCGTTTACGATTACTTCTGTCCTACTGGCCTGGCCTCCAGCACCTACAGCATCACCCAGACCTGTCCCGAGACAGGCGCATGCCAGACGCCTGCCCCTGATGTGGTGCCGCCTGCCTTCACGGCTGTGAAATCTGTCTGCGCGTCCGCGTGCGGGCCGTCACCCGTCACCGCCACCTTGACCGTGCCAATCAACTCGGGCACAGGGCTTCCCAACCCGATGTCATGCGCTGGGGCCAACTGCGGGCCCGCCACGACCGCTCCCACTGTGTACTATGCCGGGGCACCGGCAGGTAGTCATGCTGCTTTCGGGCTCTTGGCTACGGTCGTGTTTGTTCCACTTCTCTTTGCCATGCTCTTATAAGCCGTTTTCATGCATGTATATAGTCTTGGCGAGTAAAGTTGTTGATTGAATAATGATTGCGATTATAAGCAAGCGCTGACACTGGTCCGTGAGGTATGGGCATTGAGTTCCTGCTCAGGCATAGTCAAGTCTGAGATCTCTACTTGTCAATGTAGGCTGTTGAGTCAGATAAATTCCTTTCTACTTCGAGTTTAATAGGACTTGGAAGAAATGGTATGAAACGTTCGGCATTGGTTCCGCCCATCTGCATGTTGGCGAGGAACCAAAAGATCCCAGAATCTTGTGTGACATGCTTCTGCCCCGGGCTGGGTCTTACACACCCGTTTGTTTCAATGCAATAAGTCATTTCAATTGCGTGTCTTACTCCTGCCTTGTTGATCAGTGAAAGTGATATATCACAAGCATAGCAGAGCCTACTCCTGAAGCGGCATCAGAAAGCCACAAATTGGGAGCCCAACCAGATTTCCAGCGTAACACATTTTTCAATATACTCTGGCTCAACTTACCGAGAGACAGCCGCGCCAGCTTTTCCACACTTGCTAGATGTTCGATTTGACTCTGTGCTGGACCTAGACAAGAGAAACTTCAACGAGTATGACTATGATCTGTCTTGGCTTCCAACATCGCTCCTGGTCTTGATACAAGCATACTATCCTTCTTCTCTTCATTTCCCCTACTCCTCTACTTCCCAACGGAGTTTCGCCTCCGGGCCTGACGCAAATAACGATGCAGAGATTATCCTCGAGTTCCACAAACTCGCGGGAAAACTCCCTAGCTGCATATTTGTAGTGTCGTCACCTCAACCCGACACTGCTCCAACCTCTCTCGGGCGCTAGGATGTCAGCCAAATTCCTGGCACGGCAGGCACTAGTTTGAGACAGTTTCGGAAGTGGCGGCTCACTCGTAAGACCCTTGAAGTTAGAGGTGACGACTTCGCAGTGCCTAGTAAGGGCCACTCATCGCCGCCCTTGCAGAGGCAGGAGATGGTATTCTGTGCAACGAAAACAAAATTAAGTAATGCCAGTGGAGAGATACAATATCTCGCGCTGGTTCTCACGTCATCCTGAGGCGATCTTACCTAGTCACCCTGGGTGAGATTGATCGGCGATCCCAGCCCCTGCCTTTAGCCGCTGAGGTGATGATAGGTATGCCTTGAGCAATTTGCCTGTTGAAAGTGCATTGACGGACTGCCTTTCGGCCCCCGACTTTGCGTTTGCCAGCGTTGGGCTACGGTAGTGGTTGGGCCGGTCGTCTATGTTTGACGATCCCTTGCCCGGAAGTCAGATCAAGGCTGGTGCATCCCCTGAATGGCCGTGCGAACAGCGCAAGCCTATGCCCTGCCCTCTCCGGCAAGTGATCTTTGTAGAAGGCCCATATTAGTGTCAAAACGTCGCTGTATTGCACATGACATGTTTCTACCTTCATCTGAGGGGGGCCTTTGGACAGGACACATGCAGCTAGAACCCGATGTGTTTGTCCATCGGCATCTACCTCTAATGTGGCATTTCCTTGCCTTTCTTTCCTTCTGGATTTGTAAAGAACGTGTAGATGTGGATGAATGGATGTGGCGGCTACCTAGGTACCACACACTAGAGGCTAGGTTGCAGCACGAGTTCGATTACTCTTTTATCCACACGTTCGTGCAGGCCATTGGACCATCTCACATGTTATTCCTCGTTAGCAATTACATATCCTCAATGCTATTAGAATAGTATGTCACTCCATGGCGAAAGCTCTTGTTGGGAAACGTCCTTTCATTGCAATGTGCATTGTGTGTGCTGGTCAGCCACCTTTCATTACTCATAACTCAAATATCTAGTACACGGTCAGTTGAGAGGATATACTTATCAATCATAACCATCTTTCTTTTGATACATCAAGTGCTGATACTTACTGTCAGCCATGCCAGCCGTCCCGACAATCGGCTGCTCGGTCTGGGCTTACACCAACTCCCAGTCTGAATCGATACTGGTCCGATCATCGCCCTTCAGTTTGCTCTCCACCTCCTTCAACTTGTCATCCAAGTTCAACTTGTCCCTCCGGTCCAGTCTCCTCTGGTTGCACACCCCGTTGAAGCACGAGTGGCACCGGACATCGGGCTCGTACACCATCTTCCGGCACTCGCAGTCGCAGCAGCACAGCCTCCGGCCCATGCACTTGTTGCACCGCGTGTGCCCGCACTCCGGATCCGGACAGACCCACTCACAGGCCGGCGCCGGGTCTATCTCGTTGAGCTGTTCCGCGGAACCCAGGCCGCCCTGCCGGTGGCCGCTGAAGAGCACAGCGCTGCGCGAGTTGAACAGGATGTAGCACTCGCAGCAGCGCCAATCGGCGGGGCAGCAGAGCTCCGGGCACTGGCTGTAGCGCAGATCGGCCAGCTTGACGATGGGGGTCCGCTGGCTGGCGCAGGGCGTGCGCCCTTTGGGAAGGGACCTATCTCTGATTGGGGAGAGCATGTTGACCTTTTTGTGTCGCGGAGTGGTTGCGGCGTCGCAGTATGTCCAGGCCGTGACCTTGTGGCCGCAGGGCCACTTGGTGGTTGTGCTGCCGCACATGTCTCCGGGCAATGGAGGCGGTAGTTGTTGGAGATAATGAGAGAGTGATCTGCTTCGCTGTCGATGACTGAGTGTATTGCGTGGGATTCAGCAAGTGGATTCTCGCAACACACAGGGTGAGTCCTTCGACTCGGATTCACATAGCATGTCGAAATATATAAAGGGCTGGTCATATTGGAACAAAGAGCTCTTGTTTAGCAACTGCTACAGACGACTGAAACAATGGGACTTTAATTGTGTCAAATACTACAGGCTGAGCACAAAGCTTTGTTATTGTCGGACAAAGAACAAGTTACTTCGAGGAGCAGAGTCGCAAACATCACACAAGGACCACAACCTTGGGTGCCATTTGCATAACTAGCCTTCAGTTATGTCAGAGGATAAGGATGACATTTTCCTCATGGACTTAGTTTAAGACAACAAGGCTAGCAATAAGACCTAGGTAAGGCACTGTTAGAAGCTGATTTTCAAAGAGAGCCTATATAACAATATATTAGAAGAGAGAAAAGAAAAAGAAAAAAAGAATTTCTACATATATTAGAACTCTAGTACTAGATGTGATTGCGATGTGGCTGATAATAGCTGTTTATGAGGGCAGGTAACTTACAGCTCTGCGGCAGCAATACGACGACTAGCCGTGTAATATAGATAGATAATCGACAGCCCAAGGCCATGGGGTAGTCTCTGGTAGGCATCGTATACCATAAGGCTCGAGATAGATAATAACAAGAAGAATCAAATCAGCCAGCTATTGAACTACACGAGAACATCGCCAATATGTCTGTACCCGGCAAAATCGGCTGAACCAACACTATAATCATAAAGTATTCAAGGTCAAACTGATATGAATTAAGGGTTTACTTTATGCTATAAAAACATCAACTGCGAAACACAACTTTGACTAGCAGTGAGAGGGCAGTTCCCACCAAACCCGGAAGCGTCCGTCTTCCCTCGTTGGTGACGATGACGTCGGGCAACCTCTCCTCTTCATAAAACGTCTTCACAACCTCGCGCGGCAGGATACGGCCTGGTATCTGGGCGGTATACAGAAAGGACACAATCTGCAGGATGTTGACAAACCACAGATTCAAAGGCAGGCTGGGAGCTCCAGCCTGTTTGCACTCCTTCTTCCTCCTGAGATAGCTGCGTGCCAACGTGTCCACAGTGACGGGGCCGCCCTTGGCGTCGTGCTCGAGCAGGGCAGCCAGCAGCTGCGGCTGGAGGCTGTAGTTGTCGCCCTGGCGGAAGTCGAGCCTCGTGAGGGAGCGGTCGTGCTCGATGATGTTGTGGCGGCGCATGTCGATGAGGTCAAAGGTGCCGCCGTCCTTGCGGCATAGCGGCTTGAGAGTGTTTGACAGGGCGAAGGCGAGGGTGGGAGAGCAGTGCAGGGCAGTCATGAGAGCTGCCTCGACGTGAGGGATCGTGATGTTTGTTCCATCGCGAGGGCTTGAGTTGATCAGTCAACATATGTGGCCTGGGTGTCTTGATACGACGAGCTGTGGAGTGTCAGACATACAGGTAGCCCTGGTTAGCAAGAGCATTTAGTCCCGGGCATGGCCCCCGAGTAGAGATGTGGCCTCGGGCGTACTCGTGGTCGTCTTGATCAATGAGTCGCTGTGCTCGGTCCCGATCCTTGGACCCAAGATGCAGAAGGCTCTTGAGAGTAGTTAAAAAGTTCAGATGCATGGCGTTTGGCGCGTCAATGAAACTGAAACTGGAAGGAAGACTCGACTCGACAGGAACCTGGGCCAAGGGCTTTCACGAGAAGCAACTGAAATGGAACCAGAGTTGTGCATTGAGCAAGCAGATACACTTCCCTCAAGTGAAGGAGGACGAAACGTGCTCATCTTACGTCAGAGCAAACTATGGATGGTCGCAAGGCCGAAGGGGGCGTCCGAGATGCATGTGACAAGAGACCATTCACACCACAATCTTACGGGGAGCCCAATGAAGTCCATCGCAACAGCAGGGTGTCAGCTCCCTGGCAACCAAGCCTCGCATTGGAGCAGATGCGGATGAATAAGCCACGACACCTTTGGGGCAGCCATGATGAGCTTTACGACAGATGTGGAGGGAGGGATTGAGTCCTAGCACCTTCGCTTCATCACTGATCGATTACCAGAATGCTCGATGGTCACTTGAAGCCCCCCTTGAGTCTTCTTACAATGCTTGCCCAGACATACCTAATATACATACAATGATCCGCCTGGATGCGGTACGCCGGTACCTGGAGAAGTGGGGAAATGCGGTCCCTGATGTGAAGCTTGATAAGAGCCAGAATTTTCTACCGATAAGGCCCAGCACTTCAACATTGAACCAATTTATTCAATGTTGAGTCAGAGTCCCGGCACCACCAACCGCCGACCCGCCGCCCGCCTTTGTTTGCTGACCGCGAGCGACACAGGTGTGTGACTCTCACGACCATCCTCCCCCAGGTTTCTCAGCAATTGAGCGGCCGCAGTCCCTCAAGCACGCACTGCTTGTCTTCGCCATGCATGTTTCAGCTCAGGTCGAGATCCGGCCCTCCGTCGCCGAGGCGCAGAGGCTCTTCGCAAAGGCGTCCACCGCCTCGGCGCGCCCGACCCTGCTCCCCATCTGCGCTTCCACTCCCTCCGACCTCCTCACGCCTTCCACCGTGTATCTAAAGCTGTCGCAAGGGTATGGCTGGCGCCAATTGGCTGCTTGGGCTGCAGAACTGGGTGCTAACTGAGCCAGGGCGACCGATGACTACTCATTTCTCCTCGAGAGTGCCACCGGCAGCACAGAGACCGTCGGCCGGTACAGCTTCATTGGCACAAGTACGCTTCTCCATTGGCCTTGGCTCTCCCGGAACGGCCTCATGCTGACTGCTGCAGACCCCAGGAAAGTCATCCAGAGCGGCCCCGGCTACGAAACGCAGGGCGACCCCCTCCGCGCACTCCAGGCCGAGCTGGCTCACGACCGTGTCATCGACGTCCCCGCCCTCAAGCTGCCCGTGCTGACCGGCGGCGCCGTCGGCTATGTCTCCTACGACTGCATCAAGTACTTCGAGCCCAAGACCGACCGCCCTCTCAAGGACAACCTCCACATTCCCGAGGCCGTCCTGATGCTCTTCGACACCGTCGTCGCCCTCGACCACTTCCGCTCCGTGCTCACCGTCGTCACGCACGTCAAGCTCCCCGAGGACCCGTCCGAAGACATCACCGCTGCCTACGAGAAGGCCTGCGCGACGCTGCAGTCCACCATCGAGATCATCCAGACCCCCGACATCCCCCTCCCGACCAAGTCCTTCACCGGCAAGGCGGCATCCGGCGAGCTGGCTTCCAATGTCGGACGCCACGGCTACGAGTCGTTTGTGACGACGCTCAAGAAGCACATCGTCAAGGGAGACATCATCCAGGCAGTGCCATCACAACGGTTCTCGCGGCCGACGAGCCTGCACCCCTTCAACATCTACCGGACGCTACGGACGCTCAACCCCTCGCCATACCTCTTCTTCCTCAACTGCAAGGACTTCCACATCGTCGGCGCCTCTCCGGAGTGCCTGATGAAGACCGACGGCTACGCCCCGCTGCCCGCGGATCCTCGTGCGCCAGCCGGCACGCAGTCTCGGCCTCGTCCCAAGATCGTCAACCACGCCATCGCCGGCACTGTCCCGCGGGGGATCACGCCCGCGGAGGATGACGAGCTGGCCACGATACTGCTCAACTCCAAGAAGGACCGCGCCGAACACGTCATGCTGGTCGACCTGGCCAGGAACGACGTCAACCGCGTCTGCAACCCTCTGACGGTCAAGGTCGACCGCCTGATGCGGATCGATCGCTTCTCGCACGTCCAGCACCTGACGTCGGAGGTCTCGGGCATCCTGCGCCCAGAGTGCACGCGGTTCGACGCGCTGCGCTCCATCTTCCCGGCCGGTACGGTGTCGGGCGCCCCCAAGATCCGCGCCATGGAGTTGATCTACGACCTCGAGCAGGAGAAGCGCGGCATCTACGCCGGCGCTGCCGGCTGGTTCGCCTACGACGTTGTCCGCGTCGATCTCGCCCGCGACGAGGTCTACCCCGAGGAGGGCGCCATGGACGTCTGCATCGCCATCCGCACCATGCTGGTCAAGGACGGCGTCGCCTACATGCAGGCCGGCGGCGGCATCGTCTTCGACAGCGAGGAGACGCCCGAGTGGGAGGAGACGATGAACAAGCTGGCGGCCAACCTGAGGTGTATCGAGGTCGCCGAGAGGTATTACGGCGACGGCGTCGACGCCAAGTCGGTGCCCGAGATCATCGAGGAGGAGAGGAGGAAAGGGGGAAAGTCGTCATGACATCGAGCTCGTTCGAGTCTAGCCAATGATAGAACTGCAAATTCAAAGCATGTGAGCCTTTCAGCAGCCAGAGACCATCACAGCGCATCCCTAGGGTGTACACACTGTTGGTAGGCTAATGCAGTCCGTGCATGTTTGACACTTTTCCCGGCTTGTCATCTCAAGCTCTGAAAGGCTATCTCTTTTGTGTGCCAGTGCTCATCTCAGCTTACACCAGATCCACCTCCACAAGGCTCCACCTCCTCCTTCGAACCTGGGGTGTTGTTTGTTTCTCCCTCAACGGCAGTGACAGATCCAGGATACTTCCGTTGTAATGTCCCAGAAATGCATACACCCGCTGGTCGATGCTACCATGCCTGCACCATTCAGCTACCTCCTATTTCACACCACTACCGAAAACGTCCAGTCGCGGCTGACAGGTTGCAACCTCCTGCTCATCGAGGATGAGTGGCGCTGCTCGAATGACGACCTGGGAGTCTACACGCATGGTCTAGTGGGAAGGACGCCTTTCAAATAGATCCTTAGTGAGAGGCCAAGAGTCCCGCCTGCCTCAGATTAGGTCAGAAGGAGGGGAGAGAAGATGGGAGGGTTCAATCGCTGACTGAGGGTGAGCGAGGTGGGCGGTATGACGAGAAGGTAGTAATTTCCCAGTGCCGGTATTATGTGCTCCCTCCCCATTAATCGATGTCCTTGCGTTTCCAGAGCCAACGCCGTTGCTCTCTTCATTACCACCATCGTCACCTTGCCTCCCGTCACTCACCTTCATCTCCTCTCCTCCCCTCTGTTTCGGCTGTGAACTCTTGCTCCGCATCCTCTCGCACGCTCTGCCTCGTCCCTCAGCATCACTCCATCTCTCCGTACCCGCAGCACCCTCCTATCCGCCGATACACAGCCCTCCACCATGGACGCTCAAACCCCATCCTTCAAGCCCTCCCTCTTCGAGCGAGCCGGCATCTCGGTCACCCACCTCGTGAACCGCTACGTCCCCTGGCACAAGCTGCCGGGGCTCCTGGGCGCCTTCAACCTGGGCTTCCTCCGCGTCGAGCTGCGCGGGCTGAACCTCTTTGACGGGTACGCCTCGCCCGAGGCTCAGGGCAACGCCGTGACGGACCCGCTCGAGGACCAGCGCTTCCTGGGCGCCCGGCACTCGGACGGCAAGTTCAACTCGCTCGAGATGCCGCGCATGGGCTGTGCGGGCATGCGCTTCGGGCGCAACTTCCCGCGGAGCAAGACGGGGAAGCCCACCGAGGAGGCGCTCTGGACGCCGAACCCTCGCATGATCAGCGAGAAGTTCATGGTGCGCAAGGAGGGCAAGTTTATACCCGCCACGACGCTGAACTTGCTGGCGGCGGCGTGGATCCAGTTCCAGACGCATGATTGGTTTCAGCATGAGAATGTGAGCTCTTTGATTCTCCTAGCCAACCTTTCTTTCGTACCCCTTTGTGTGTGAGGTCTGTCAGTCTGACCGGTTGCTGATTCACTCTCAAGAGCGACGAGGCGTTCGACATCCCGCTGCCAGAGGGCGACAAGTGGGGAGGGCACATGTCACTCCCCAAGACCAAGCCGGACGACGTGCTCGACCCCTCGGACGTCGCGTGCCCCGGCTACAAGAACACCAACACCTCGTGGTGGGACTCGAGCCAGATCTACGGCTCGAGCGAGGCGGTGACGCAGACCCTGCGCACGACGCACCCGGACGGCAAGCTGCTGCTCACTACTAACGGGCGGGAGCAGTTCCTGCCGCGCGACGACCAGGGCAACCCGCTGACGGGGTTCAACACCAACTGGTGGATCGGCATGGAGATGCTGCACACGCTGTTTGCGCTCGAGCACAACTCGATCTGCGACGCGCTGCGCGGGGCGTATCCCGACTGGACTGGGTAAGTTCTCCTTTTCTTCAGATGACTTTCTCTTCTCTTCTCCAGTCCAGATTTGAGAGCTGACTGTGCGCGGCAGAGATCAAATCTTTGACAAGGCGCGCCTTATCAACGCCGCCCTCATGGCCAAGATCCACACGGTCGAGTGGACGCCGGCCATCCTGGCCCACCCGGCGCTGCAGATCGGCATGGCCGTCAACTGGTGGGGGCTGGCCGGCGAGAAGCTCACGCGGCTGGTCGGCCGCCTGTCCAAGACGAGCGAGGTCCTCAGCGGCATCCCGGGTTCCGGCGTCGACCACGACGGCGTGCCCTACTCGCTGACAGAGGAGTTCGTCTCGGTCTACCGCATGCACTCGCTCGTGCCGGACAACATCGCCTTCTTCTCGGCCACGACGGGCCAGCACTCGTCGACGGTGCCCACGGTCGACACGACCTTCTCCCGCGCCCAGGAGCCCCTCGACAAGGGCCTCTCGTTCGCCGACGTCTTCTACTCGTTCGGCATCAACTTCCCCGGCGCCATCACCAACCACAACTACCCGGACTTCCTGCGGGACCTGCACACCCCCTCGGACGGCCTGCGGCGCGACCTGGCGACGGTGGACATCCTGCGCGACCGCGAGCGCGGCGTCCCGCGGTACTGCGAGTTCCGGCGCATGCTCCGCCTGCCCGCGCCCAAGACCTTTGACGAGCTCGTCGGGGGCGCCGGGGTCAACGATGAGCTCGCGCGGGCGCTGGAGGAGGCTTACGGTGGGGACATCGAGGCCGTGGATGCGCTTGTGGGCTCCCACAGCGAGCCGCTGCCCAAGGGGTTCGGGTTCAGCGAGACGGCGTTCCGCATCTTTGTGCTCATGGCGTCGCGGAGACTGAAATCGGACCGGTTCATCGCGGGCCAGTGGAATAAAGAAACATACACGCCGCAGGGTTTCGAGTGGGTGCAGAGCCAGGGGATGAAGGACGTGCTGGGGAGGCACTTCCCGGAGCTCAGGGAGGTGCTGAAGAAGAGCAAGAATGTATTTGCGCCGTGGGAGATGCTGGAGGGGTCGAGGGGGTATGACGGGGTTGAGACGAAGATGCCGGCGGTGGTTAAGGGGAAGAAGAAGTGAACAAGGGAGGTTGGGCTTGGAAGGTGAGGAGAGGTGTATGAGTCTTGGGTCCTTAATTGTTAGTTGGTGAGGGGTTGGCAGATTACTCTAGGTTGTTCATCGGTTTTGGAAGCTTTATTATCCTAGAACCTTTTCTCCTTTGCTCAAAGCTTTGATGCTGCGCGTGTGTTGTAAGTGGCTGTGTGTATTAACGACGTGGTAGCTGCCTGCCGCCTTCAGTCAGTCCCCGTCATCACTTGAGCTCAAGTAAATCGAGATTTTGATACCGATCTCTAGATTATGCAGGCATGCAAGCATTTTGTATGTTAGTGGTGTGTGGCGTATGGCCATGCTTAGCCGTTGGTGTTAGCTCTGCGCTTTTCCTTGGTCATGGAGATTCCACCAAAACGTCATTTTCGCCACAAAGGCTAGGGAGGACAACAGCAGTCTGATATCAAGTCCAGTTTCCCCATGTTTGCTATCAAAATGTGGCTTGACTAAGAACCTTTGATTCTCCGAACCTCGTTGTTCATATTCGAGCGAGACTTTTCTCTTTGGCACCGATCTAGGCATCTATTACAGTTCTCACAAGGAGGAACACTCAGCATGTCCGAATCCAAGGATGATCCCACATCTTCTTCCAAAGACGAGGGCGCCACACCCGCCGCGCCGCAACAGTTACCGCCGTCCTTCCCAGGCGAGGAGATGGCCCGCCCCGCCATCGAGGCCGCCCGCGACGCCGCCCGCCTGCAGTCCACAGCCGACCTGCTCCGGCAGCAGGCCTCGCGCATCACCGACCCGGCCGAGCGGGAGCGCCTCTGGCGCGCCGCCTACGACAAGGAAGTCGAGGCGCACGGCCAGAGCAAGAAGGCGCGCGCCATGGCCAGCGGGTGGGGCCAGGGCGCCGGGGCCGGGGCCGCGCTGTCCGGCGCCGTCGGCATGGGGCTGGGCAACCTGGTCGGCGTGCTGCTGAGCGGCGTCGTCGCCGTTCCCGGGGTGCTGGTTGGCAGTGGCGTTGGTGCGCTGCACGGGCCTTGGTATAAGATTACTGGAGGGAAGAAGGGCGCCGGTAAGGAGGGAGACGGAGGTGGGGAGAAGGGGGGAAAAGACGAGGGGGAGAGCGGTGGCGGCGGTAGTGGCAGTGATGCCAAGGGTAAGGATGAAGAGGGGGACTTTTCGGACGAGGAGGAGCACAGAGCTATCGTGGAGGCCGTGAGGAAGGCTGAGGGTGGGGAGAAGGGATCTTAAGAGAAGAGCGTAAGGAGACAGCATGGTATATATGGACTATCTATCGCTTGCAAGCATGTCTGAGCGCGGGCGGTGATGAGTATACGAAAGGGTAAGTTTTGACCAGCTCCTTGGTCATTATAATGCATAAGCCACCAGCGATGGCGATTGATCCTTTGCTGCTCAAGGCATACGAACGACTAGGGCCACGGAAGCGGTACAAAATGGTGCCAATGAGCGCCTACCGATGGTGGCGGATGCGGTCGGGCGGTAGGAGGTGTTGGAGTTGGTTGGAAGCCTAAGGATACCATTCAAGACCTACCTAGACATACAGGATCTCCTCCAAAGATACACGGGATAAGCTTGAGCAGGTTCATGACAAGTAGATCCTATCTTGAAAAGCCCAGCTGTTGCCACCAGCCCGCAAGAAAAAGCATCAGGTACTATACAACCAGATTTTGAAGAGATTCGGCCCTGTTGAATACACAGAGAAACGCAAAGGCTGCAAAGATATAATTCTAATTGTTGTTTAACCACCCTATAAAAAGCTTGGGAAGCAATCGCACTCATTCAGAATCCGTCCACACTCGGCGCAAAGCAGCAGAGCTAGATCAGACAGATCCTCCTCCTCTCTAAGTGATAAGGACTCCGGGTGCGAAGAGCTAACCTGGACATTAGAGAAGTCAGGAAAGCAGCCACACACCTCCAATGTCTGGCCACAGCCCGGACAAAGCATGAAGCTTAGGTCGGGGAGATCGGATTGTGCTGTGATAGAAAGAGGTGTCGGGGATCGAGAACGGCCCTGCCGATAATTACATGTTGGGGAACCTTCCACCGACATCGGACCTGCAACCTGAAAACTATCCTGAGATTGAATCTGCGAGATGCAAGTTTCCCTGGCGGCTCCCCAACTGTATTCTAGCCCTTGCACTCGGTCGTCGGGCAGTGAGCTGGATACTATTAAGGGCGGCCTAGCCTCAGCCAAGTCACCTTGACCATCAAAGAGGCTGGTTTCGGGTGGCATGTCCCATTCCATATCGTCACCCAAACCCGGACTATTCAACAGGCTAAGATCCATATGTATCCTAGGATCATGCGCATTATCGTATACATCGTAGTGATTGAGGATAGCCGTGGACTGATCTGCTATCTCAAAGACGTGAAGTTGTTCCGCTGGTCTTTCTGAGGACTTGTCATTCTCAGAGTCGACGTCAGACTGGCCACCAGATTCGACTTCAGAGTCATCATCAGATTCGACATCAGAGTCTTGACCTGTTTCATAGCTCCAGTTCGGAGAATCTTCCTCAGCCTCGGATTCGGCCATGTCCTGGTAAAGTTGATGGTCTTCATCGACCCATGGACGATGGGCCCTCAAGAGCCCTTCCAGAGACCTATAACCACAGATCTCCGCAAGTCTGACAGCTCGAATGTATTGAAAACGATATGGGCCCTCTGTTGACGTACCAGACTGAAGTAAGAGTTGTGTCATAGTGAGCCTTCCGAATTGTGCAGCACCTTCTAATGCTGTTCTGCCACTCCACGAAGGAGCTGGCGCATTGCAGTCAGCTCCTAGTTCAATCAATCTTCTTGCAATCGCGTTGTATCCCTTCATCGCGGCTAGCTGAAGGGCGGTAGCACCACGGCCCATGCCAGCAGGAGCGTTGACATCGGCACCACGCTCAATCAACATCTCCATGACCCGTACATTTCCATTTTCGACAGCTGCTTGAAGGGCCGTTCGACTGAAAGTATAGCCGTATTCGTCAGCGATGGCACTGACTTTGTCGTTTGCACTGAATCCTAGATCGAGCAGTCTTTCGACAATTCCACTGTTGTTGTGACGAGATGCGGTCTGAAGCAAGGGCGAGTCGTATTGATCGGAAATATCCTCGCCATGGGCAACGAGGAGATCAAGCATCTCCACATCCCCACATTGGACTGCTTCAAGCATGCAAGCCGCGTTGGGCTTTATTCCGTGTTGTAGCATACAATCGACTGCTTCAATCGAACCCCATCGGATTGCCCATTCAAGCGGATTCGTGGATATGCGTCCGAGACAAGTGCGCTCAGTCGCTTCTTTCCCCGGGTCGAAGCGTTCTTCAGGCAACTCCTGGGTCTTAAGCTGGCTGTTTAGAAGGATGCCGGCGGAAGAAAGACGTTCCACCCACTTTTGCGACTTTGCACAGATTGCGAATACCAGAGCAGTGCCCTCGTTGACACATGGGTCTCCAAAGGCCTCGTAGCGAGAGACCTGGCGGCGTTCCAGAATTTTGTCTGCTAAATCGGCGTAGTATGCCTTGTCAATACCTTCTTCTTCGGGATCGTCTGTGACCGCGTAAAAGATGGCCACCCCAAGTGCCTGACAGTCGTACAATGTAGGATAGGCCTGGAGAATATGATAGGGAGCCCTAGTCGAGCCAGATGAACGGGACGATTGTCGTATGCTCTCTAAAAGAGGCGTAGGCAGGCCAGTCCCATGTGCGGGGTGACTGTTGTATGGCACCCCACACTTGAGAAGCTGAGGAAGAATTGCCGGGTAATGACAAGCCACTGTAAGATCATCCAATTTGGGCTTCGCTCCTTTGTGCAGAAGGGTCTCAACCAACTGGTCCTCGTCTTCTTCATTGTATTGCCCAATTGCACATGAAAGTGCAGAATCGATGGGAACATTATGATCGAGAAGCAGGTTTACAAGATCCAAAGACCCAGATCTCACAGCTTCTTCCACTGGGGACTTCCAATGAACGGTATTATTCGGGTCGGCTCCCATCTCAAGCATTCTTCTGACGACACGAACTGCTGCTTCTGGGTCCAATATCTCTATAGCTTCGGCGATGGGATTGATCCTACGTGTTTGTTCAACAGAGACGATAGTGACATCTGGGTCGAGGCTATCCAGGAGTATCGTGTCTTCTATCAAGAATGCAGCCAGATAAACGAAGGGCTGATCGTATTTCGGAATAAACTGTTCGTGCATGTATGGTAGAACTCTGCGCAACACATCCAGGCCATACTCATCTGGCATGTGCCACTTGAAAACGACATGTTGAATATCTTGCAGGTAGTTATCGTAGCTATTGATGATGAAAGACCACGCTTCGTCCCCTACTATCCAAGGTGCAGAGTCGCTCCGGAGGAGATGATGAAGCGGTTCGCGCATCTGGCCATGGGCCCAAGTCGGAACCCACACCGCTTTGTGGTGGAGGAGAAGTCTAGCCATCGGAAGGCATTTCCCCTCGAGGGAAAGGACCAAGGCTGATGACACACTCAAACACACTCTTTCCCGCACAGGCTGGTTTGGGTCAGCGCCAGCACAAAGTAGAGCCTCCAACATAGGTACATCCCCCTCATTCACGGCACTCGAAAAGAGCGCATCACACATGGCACCCGCAACTGGGTCAGATGAGCAGAACAGCCCCTCGAGCCAACGCTTCTCCAACCTTGCTTGTTGAAACAATTCACATAGGACAGTGCGTTTCGGATATCCTTCGTCGACGTTATTTGCGATAGCGAATGCCATAATTGTGAGAAGTGAAACCGCTGTCTCACGATTATTCCGCGTTCCGAGGAGGGCATCCCGGTTTGTTCTGTGATCTTCAACGGCCAGGTGCGGCATTGACAAAAGAAGTTCCTCAGCCAAATTGGGATAGCGTCGATGACAGTCACGGCAGTAGTATGTTAGTATTTGCGACAAGACTGTGGAAGTGATCAGCTACCGAAAAGCACGTGAGAATGGCCTCCGCTGGATGCTTACGTTGAGGCGTCTCCATTGCCGGCAGAGAGATAATCAACTCCTTCGGCCAGGGCTTGCTGTATTCCTTCAATAAGGTTGACGACAAGCCCATGACCTGGAAGGGTCCTGTTGGCGGACAGGGAGATAAGGACTGCCTCGGAGGAGTGCACACAAGGACAGTAAACGGTTTGAGAGTGGGCCGTTCCCCATCCTTTGGCCCTGGATATGATTTACCAAGTCAACAGTCTATTGCGAAGTCATATACGAGGCTTGAAACTTACGGCTATTTGCGAGACGAATCTTGTCCAGAGTTGATACGCGCCGCGAAATTCGTTGAACCTGATTTGGGCTGAGGTCTTTGCCGTTGTACATGATAATGCTTTCTTTGTTGGTAGCCCGTCTGGCATGGATGGCCCGGCCTGCATCGTCAAAGGCCAGGATATCAGACTTTAGTACATGTTTCCTTATGCCGTTCTTCCGCAGCAACCTTCTGTACTGCGGTTTGCTTCTAGTCGTGAGCTTGCATTGTCCCATGTCTCAATAGCAACAACTGATTTCGGACTTACGTTGCCTTCAGCTTGTATTTCGAATTGATGTGTTTGATCAAGTCGTCGAGCGAAACATTCTGGACAATGTAAAGATCAACTATTTCACTCAAGTAATTGTTGAGCTTCTCGCCTTCCGCTCTTGGGACATTTGTGCGTGGCGGAGGTGCGTAGCCGGGCATGAGGCTGCAGCTCGATTGCTGCGATTGGGGCAGCGGCGGGTATAGTAAATCCATGGAAGTGATATGAAGTGAGGATGCAAGACTGGGATTGACGTTCTCTGTGGGAGTTCGGTAAGCTATGGCTCATCGAGGAACTGAGGAAAGTTGTGTTGGACCTCGCGACAGGAATTGAAGACCCGTTGGACTGGACCGACCGCAGCTTATATGCCCATCCAAAGTGCCGTTTAGATCATTGGTCAAGCGACCGAATGCTTTTTCGCCTGCACATTCAGGTTGCCATGAGGCACACAGACCCCACACCGCAGTGGCATGCATTTCAGTCTTCAGCCTGCACGTCGATTGGGCCAGGACGTAATGCTTTGTCTTATGGTGTGTGGGACGAGCAAGGAAAGGCGCCACTTCGATTGGTCTTGTGTTGCTGCACGTCGATTACTTGGCCAATGGATTCCGTAGTGGTTCGTGAGAACGGCGTCGCGCTCAACTCTTATCCCAGATACTTCTACATGCACAAGGCGCTCGACTCCTTCGCGCGGACCGCGACGATCTTTTTCATCTCTAGGCCTCATCTCCTACGGCCTCCTCAATCCCTATCAACTACAACAGCTTTCAACTTTGAGTGAGATGATACTGGGGAGAGCATAGAGACATCATATCATATAAGGAATATAATTTCACAGTAGCACAAAGTCCAGATTTAATCGGTCGTGACATCTATCCCCGTTGCAAACCCGAGCGAGGTAGATATCATTTCTACATGAAGCTCAGATCTACCTGGCGTGTCCCCTTGCATCTAACCCCCTCGTCCACAGCCTTGCGGGAATTGGTATAATCATACGCCCCCCTTGGTACTGGCCAGTGCCACTTTCTAGAATCCCTCTTGAACGGAAACACTTTTGCCATCATACATACACCCACTTACACCAATATGCCGGCATATATAAAACAAACACGACAGACCAGCCCCAACCACCAACTCCAGCGCTGCAACAGAACCAAGGAAAGCAAGCCCAAACCCAACCCAAAACGGCAAGAAGACCTATACACCACCGCATTCACATGCACGCAACTCGGCCGCGGCGACACAGCAGTGAAGACGTCACTCCACCTGGTCGTCCCCTCACAGCAACACAAACCCCGCCTCCTCCAACCTATTTCCGCTCGGCAGCATCGGCCTCCCCTGCAGCGGAAAAGGCCAAAATAGCGGGTTCTCCATCGCGCTCGCCGCCCGGCTGAGCTGCGGCACGGCCGGCACCCCGCCACTAGGGCTACCGTTCGCTCCCGGTGGCGGAGGCGGCGGCGGAGGCGGCCACGACTCCTCACTACCACCACCGGCACCGGGACCGGCACCAGTACCACCTCCTCCCCCGCCCATACCCGCCTCGCTCCCACCACCGCCGCCAAACACCGTCGGCGCCGTCGATGCGGACCTCCCCCACGAGCAGTTATAGTCTCCCTCGAGGACATTAGGCGCAAAGAAGTTGAGGCTGTCGGTCAGCGGCCGCAGCGCCGCCTCGGGGTCCGTCGACGACGCCAGGGTCGCGGCCAGCGACGACGTCGCCTCCTTGGCCACGGGGCTCGCCTGGTGCAGCTCCATGTCCAGTTCCCACTTGCGGGCCAGGTACTTGAGGATGTTGAGCGCCTGCTCGGCAAAGTGGTGGCAGGGCGCCATCTCGGTCAGGTCCTCGATGCCACGGCGGATCGACTCGGCCACGCGCGGCTCCATGCGCAGCTTCTCGTGCTGGCCCTCCGGGGTGCCGCCACCGCCGGTGACCGCGTGCCCTTTCTCGGTGAAGGACGCGGCGATGGCCAGGTGCATGATGGAGGAGGTGAGGACGAAATAGGGCACAAAGGAGGGTGTTCTCCGGAGGGTGTAGAGTTGGGAGTAGGATCGCAGCAGGCCCTGGATGGCATCGGCAGCCTGGGCGCACACGTCTTTGGGCAGGATGCTCGAGCCCACGATGCGCAGTTTGATGAGCGGTCGAAAGAGGAGTAAGATGGCAAAGTGGTAGTACATACTGCACTGCGTTAGCGTAACAGCCCTAAACCAGAGACGCGCGAGATACGTACTGGGCAAACAGGACGGCAGGTGTAAAGTTGTGTCCTAGCCTCAAGACCTCGGGGATCTTGTCATACCAGTTGAGGTACTGCGTGTATATGTTGAGTAGTTCGCGACTCGTGAGCGGCCTGCCAGGGGAGTGCAGGATGTACAGGGACTGATGCACGAGCTCGCTCAGCTCACAAAAACACTTGTAAACGGACCGAACATTCGATGGCTGCTCGCATGCCCTCTGTAGAGGCGCGCCTGGAAAAGAGTCAGCACGGTCCACTATGGGTTGGACCATGTGGTACAGAAGTGCACTCACCATCATCAGTATAAGGAATCCACAAGGACGCCTCCACGTCGTCAATTATGGCGGGTTTGGGTGGTAAATGTGGGAAGGCGGAGCACTGGGGCAGAGACCCCGTCGCCAACGACCACGCACTATGAACGGATCAACACCACCCAACAGTCACGGGCGGAAGGAATTGGCACTCACTGGTCCAGGGCAAAGGCGCCCCAAAACGTGGCAGCCTGGACTGCGATGTGGTCCTCGTCGGCGCCCTCCTCGTCGGATATCCTGTGCAGGCCCATCTCGATGGCGAGCCTGACACTCTGGCCGGCGTAGTACCAACTCTCGGAGTCCCTACCGCAGCTTGCCTCTCTTATGGACATGATGCCGAGGGCCTGGATCGTCGTCAGGTTGTGGTGGTTGTCTTCGAGGTGGAAGAGCCGCTGGGACTCCTTGAAGAAGTGGTCGCCCGAGGTGTAGGGATCCTCGGGGTTCATGCGCGTGTCCGGGTGGCTGGAGAAGCGGCAGCCCAGAGCGAGCAGGGCGTTGGTGAGGATAGGAGAGCAGTACCGCTGGCGGCCGTGGGTGAAGTCCCGGAGGAAATGCTCCTTGCTCAACGACGCAAACGTGGGGTACTCCCAGCAGAAATAGAGAGCGAGGAGATGCTGCACCAGATCGTTGTCGGTGGTGATGTTGGTCCAGGTGGAAGCCGGGATCTTCATCTCGGGCACCTCGGGCGTCAGGACCTGGTCCATCCCGCGGAACTTGTGTTCTGGGATGACGGGGTTGATGATGGTCTCGACCCACGAACCGACGCGCGACTGCGGGGGTCCTCGGTTCTCCGCCGTCCAGCTCATGCCGTCGGCGTGCGAGTTGCTCCGGGTCGAGAGCGCCGGGTCGTGGCCCGAGAAGTGCCCGCTCCAGGGGCTGTTCGGCTCGACATTCTCCGGCCGAAATCCCTGCGGATGCGCGCTCAGGGGGCTATTCGTCGCGATTCTGTGCGCCGCAGTCGTGTAGCCGGCGCCAGTCGTGGGTCCATATGTCGTGAGCGGCGCGAGATGGTTCGGCACGGCGGCGGGTCGCTGGGGGAAGTTGGGCATGGCGCCTCCCCCGGAGGGCAGAGTGCCGCCCAGCCACTCGGATATGGCCTCGATGCTCTGGCCGTTGCGCAAGCGCTGCAGCACCTCCTCCCACTGATCCGGGCGGACGAGGGCGGCGAGGACGCTCTCGCTGGACCGCTGTTTCCGCCGCAGCTGGTCGATCTCGGCGCGGAGGTTCTCCTTCGACTGGCGCACGGGCACCTCGTAGACGCACTCGACATCTTTCTGGGCTTTGCATCTGCCGCATGGTTTGTTGCCGTCGCACTGTAGCCCGAGAGGAGAGAGCAATTGGTCAGAGTAGGGTTACGAAAAAGAGGTGGGCAGCTTGCAGCCTGTAGCCTGCCCTGGCGAGGAATTGGAGGGCTTACCTTTGCGCGTTTCTTGCGACACTCGGTACAGGCATTGGGGGTGACGACGCCCAAGCCGCGCCTGCGCTTCGAAAGCTGCGCCGACTGCGACTGGCCTGATGCGGTCTGGGTGGACGAGTTCGGAGTGGCTCCGGGGGTCGGGGAGGGGGGCGGATGTTTGGATGTGGTCGGAGTCGAGGTCGAGCCAGAGTGCTGCTGGCCAGAGCTCGGCGTGTCTTCGTCCATGGGCTCCATCTCTGCGACGAGAGTCTCTCTCTTTCACCGTCTCCGTCTTTTGCGGGCGCAGGCTTGCCCGGTTGCCGTTCGGACCGGGTCTTCTCTCCTGTTATCACTGAGGGAAAGGAGCGACCGCGTGCGCTGTCATGCTTGGCCTGTGCCGTGGCGGCGACGATAGTAAAAAAAACAACAGAGATGGCTAGGATCGGCGTAGAGGGAGGGTGTTTCGGGGGGGTTGCATATGGCGTATTCGCATAACAAATGAGGATGAGTGAAGGTGTTGATCACAAATCGAGGCTCCGAACGATCCAGCTTGCTCGTTTCGGCCAGAGACCAGACAGAGTGACTGAGAGGAGTAGTTTTGGGATTGGGCAAGAGCGACTGGAGGGTTTGGGGTGGTGCTCGCGACGCGGAGCGATGCCGTGAGCTTGACGTCGGAGTGGGGCCCGTTTCTGGGAGCTTCCAGCGGGCGGGGGAGTGCCTAGCACGCCTGTAGCTACCTAGGTAGGCACTAAGGTAGGGAGCGAATTAGCTAGCTACGGAGTAGCTGCAGGGCGATGCGGATCCGCTGTGGCTTTTGCTGGTCTGCGGGCGACGACGAGAGTGTCAGGCATTCCCGCGGAGACTCGATGTTGCATGAGGTACCTAGGTAGGTAAGTAAAGAAGAGGCAGACTAGGTCAATTGGGCACGGCGACAAGGCTGGAGAGGGAGGAACAGAACAGAACAGAGCAAGTGGCCGCAGTACATATGGCTTGGGACAGAAGACATTACCTACCTACCTAGGTAGTATGCAACTGGCTGGACCGGCGGCGCGGGAAGATTGGATCGAATCTGTGCAGGTATCCTGTGTCTCTCTGAGCCGCCAAGCAAGGCCTCCACTGAACGGGGCATGACACAAGCCTGCAGCCTGGGGCACCCAGCGCCCTCCTCTCACTGGACGAAGCTTTCCGCAGCGCTCGAGCTGGGCCTCGTTTCAGCGAGTCAACGGCGGCGGCCATGAACATCCCATGAATTTGCATCAAACGGATCCCCCACCACGCGCGACTCCACACCGCCGTCTCAATTCTCCACCGAAACGGCACCACTGCAGCCAACTTTTGGGTTGGAAAACAGGGAAAACGCATCGACGGATGGACCGCTGCAGAGGCTAGCATCTGCCCAATCTCCTCTTTCGGGCGGGACTTGCGACATTGCATGCCTTTGCTCTGGAGATTGACAGTTGATCTAGGGCTCTTTCGTGACGAGCTGAAGTCTTGCTGGCTTCTCCAAACCCTGTATCATCGCCTTTGCTACCTACTTACGAAGTGCCTAGACAGTTGGAGAGCGAGCCCTCGGGCAGACAAAGAGTGTCGGGTGCCTCTCTGACTGCCGGTGACGTGCCGACCCTGCACGCGGAGAATACTCGGGTGCGCTTGCAACAGCCAGAGAAGGAATGAGGAGCCGCTGCAAGTCTCAAAGACCCTGACCGATCTGCCTGCCCTGGGCCGCATGAGACTAGGTAGCACCCTCGAAATTGCACGAGTTCAGAACCCTGCCGTGCATTCCCACTGGTTTGGCGTGGCCGTTGAGAGCCAGGACCAAGAAAAGGAGCCAAGGGAGCCAAGTCGCATTGGACGTGGAACCAGATCATTCAATCTCAGCTCGTGAAACCCGTACGTAGGAAGGTAAGGTCGTTTCTAAAGAGTATTCCATGGCAAAGTTCACAAGGCCCGGAGAAGGCTGGATGGGGATTTTCCTACTTCTTACAAGCTCCTTTCATCATCTTTCGTCAGGCGTGTCATGCGTTGCAAGTAAATGATAGACCATATCAGGATCATCTCTCGAGGATGGCCGGTGTACATGCGATATGACGTCTCGATGCGCAGGACATGATTAGACTCCTGGATCGCACCGCATGGATCTGCAAGCCCACGGTGCTACACGCCCCCCAGTTCGGTTTCCCACATACATGACCTATCACGCAAGGCTCGAGCCTCTCACGATGCTCTTGCCATTCAACGACAAGCCCCAAAATGTGCTCCATCCCATTCTATTATTCGTATGTCCATGCCCATATGTATCATTGAAAAGGCCCTTCGTCAGAGAAGCCCAAGCACGCCCATCCGCCCATGTATAATACACTAGTCCGCTTCTTCCCAATCCCGTGGGTTGCATAGAGACAGCCCAAATGACAAAGAAACAGGAAAAAGTACATGCCATGCCATGCCATGCTCAGTATGCTCAGCTCGGTAGAAACCCCCACCACGTGGCGGTGCCTGTATCTACCCCAGAATAGAGTCCCATACTAGTTTCCCTCAAGGCTAGTAACCTTTGCTCGGGCTCCGGCCGTACTTGGTCGGGCTCCTACCCCGCTCGCCCTTGCTCGGGCTCCGGCGCGAAGGGGTCTCCGGCGGCGGCATGATGGCCTTGATCGGCTCCGGCGACGCGTCCGTGTCCGTAGCGCCGGGACTGTCGGGAGGAGCAAACAGGCCCCGCCGCAGGTGTCGGGGCGTCTGGATCGGCGCCCAGATGTACGCCTGGTTCGGGTCCTGGGGGCCCGACAGCATCGGCGGGCCCGCCGGCTGTGATGGATACGAGACAGCCGCTGCTGCGCCAATGTTATTGCCGCCGTTCTGCTGCTGCTGCTGCTGGGCAATGGTGCTGTCGCGGAAGCGGCCAAAGCCAATATTGTTGGCCAGCACGGCGATGAGCAGTGCCGACATCATGAAGCCCTAAGTGAGAGGTGACAAGGTCAGCTGGCACGATTCGGATAATAGCGAATAAGCATTGCGTGTAGCAGCAGAGAACATACCCAGGCCTTGAAGCTCATGACACCGACAAATTCGTTGATCACCTCGGCCACGTTCCTGGCCGACACCCGCACCTTCATGACCTTCTCCGGGTCCTGCGACATGCAGAGCCCCCACGCGTTGCACTGCTCCTCCAGCCCCCGCAGCCGGGTGCCGGGTTCGCACCTGTTGGCTTCCCACTCTGCCCTGCACGCCGCAATCTCGGACAGCAGCTGGAGGCGCTCCCCGTGGGTCGCGTGCGCCAGGTCCGCCCGCATCATCGAGATGAAGCTCCAGATGCCCCACACGCAGATCCACACGATGAAGACGTTGATGGCCAGCTGCACCCACCACGACAGGATCAGCGGCACGCTCGGGTTGTTGCGGATGGCCGACAGGACGTTGTCGAGGAAGCCCGGGCCGTGGTTGTTCTTGCCGCGACCCCGCCTCGAGCCCGAGCCCTCCTCCCAGTCGCTGTCCGAGTCGTCCGAGTCGTGCGGCAGCCGGGACCGGACGCTGCCGACGTCCCTGTCGCCGTGTTGACGCTTGCGCTTCCGCACCTTGTCCCGCTGGAGAGGGTCGTACTTGCCCCGCGGCACCTCTCCCCTGCCCGGTGTCCTGCTCCTGAATGCCGAAGAAGACTTGCCGCCAAACAGCTTCCGATTCGCGTTGCCAGGCGTGATGGTCATCTTGGCGAACTCGTCGTCCTGGTCCCTATCGGGGGTGTCCTCGGGCATCGGGGACCCGTCGGTCAGCGCAGGGCTGTCCTCGGCGCCAGAAGCTTCTGAGAACACGCTGTCGTCGAAGCGCTTCTGGGGTGTGGTGAAGGCGGGGTTGCGGAAGGGAGGCGCGCTGAACTGCTTGGAGATCTGGGGGTTGAAGATGGACGCGTTGGGCGGAGCGGGTTGCTGCGTAGGCAGCTTAGCGGGTGAGGTGGCTGATAGAGGGACTCTGGCGAAAGGGTTCGGGCCGGACTTGAATTTGGATGGCGAGGCGTCGTTGAAGGAAGCTGTTGCGCGACAGTCAGCACTGGCGTCTGGGGGGGCTTTAAATTGATGCGAGAGGGCAGGAACTTACACATTTGGCTCCGCTGCGAGATCTGAGCAAAGGGACTCGTGACATCGACGGGACCTTGGTTCTGGTATTCCCATTCCATGGGGCCTTCAAATGTGCGGCGGCTCATGGTGCTGGAAATGCCGGTCCCGTCGCTTCGACTTGCGATGGTATCGTGGCGGTGGTCGTCGTCGCACGCAAGCAGGAAAGCGAGGGGCTTTTGTTTCGAGGGAGATATGCAAGGGCGCAGGACCAAGGCGACTCGAGAATCGGTGAATCTATAGCTCGAGTCTACTTTGTAGGCATAATGATCCCTTTGTATTCGTCTGGTGCTTTGATGCGGCCTGTGCTGTGCTGGGGCGGTGGCGCGGCGGTCACTAGTGGCAACAGAGTAAACAAAAAAAACAGTGGTCCCTTCATTCCTGCCAGCTGCTCCTCGCTCCATTGAGTCTGCGCCTGAGGCTGCAATCCTGGGCTCGAGGCTAGAGCTCAGAAGCTCGGACCACCACAAGAAGAGCGGCTGCTCCGTAGACTCCACCAAGCGTGGCTCACTACTGGCAAAACGTCAAAGGCAGACAGACGAACACTTGAGCCTCACTGCAAAGGCGACCTGAACGACCGTCCTTTTCTCCCGACGCCCCAACTTCAGTCGCCTGCCTGCGACTGCTTTTTGTCGCTCCCTCACGGCCTGATTAATCTCTCTTCAAATTTCATTCTGGGCACTGGCTTGGTGATCGTCACACGAAGATTCACCATCTGGGGGCTTTGCAGCGCCACTGCCAGCCCACCGGTGCTGCAACTTGAAGCATTTACCATCAGGCCCTCCTTTGTCCCGTCCCTTCTTCCTACCGTCACCACATCGCCATCCAAACGCCACCATGTCCGACGCTGACTCCCCCGTCGACTCCCCCGTCGACCACCGCGACGATGCCCGCGATCACGACGAAGACGAGCAGTCGCGCGTAGAGAACGACTCCGATGCCGAGTCGGACGTCCTGTCCGAGGTCGACGAGGAGCAGTTTGAGGACTACGACCCGGAGAAGGCGCAGATCGAGGAGCGGCCCATCAACATCGACGAGGACATGGCCAAGACGCTCAAGGCGTCCAAGAGGAAACGCACCGACGGCACCGACGGCGCCGCCAAGAAGCCCAAGGAGGGCCGCCGCGCCAAGAAGCGCCGCACCGGCGACGACGACGGCGACGAGGACCCCGACGGAGTGGTGCTCGAGGGCAAGCGCCTCCGCAACAAGGGGCGGCCCGACGGCGGCGAGCGCAAACCGCGAAAGAAGTCGCCGAAGGAGGCCGAGAACGAGGAGAACCTGACACCCGAGGAGCGGCGCCGCCGTGCCATCGACCGCGCTATCGACGCCAGCCTCAAGAAGCCCAAGTCGCGGCGGACAAAGAAGGACGAGGTGGTATGTTTGTTTTTCTTCTCGGACTGGCATTCGTTCTCAGAGAGGACGGTATCATAGTGTCTAACATTCTCCCCGACAGGACCTGGAAGACCAAGCCGACGAGATCATCGCCGACCTCAAGGTGCAGATGGAGCGCGCCTGCGTCGCCGACAACGACGCCCGCGACAAGGGCGAGCCGGCCACCAACAAGCTCAAGCTGCTGCCGCGCGTGCTCGCCATGCTCAACCGCCAGACCATCCAGGACACCGTCCTCGACCCGGAGAACAACTTCCTGCAGGGCGTGCGCTTCTTCCTCGAGCCCCTCAACGACGGCTCCCTGCCGGCCTACAGCATCCAGCGCGACCTCTTCACCGCCATGACCCACCTGCCCATCGAGAAGGAGGCCCTGGCCAGCAGCGGCCTCGGCAAGGTCGTGCTCTTCTACACGCGCAGCAAGCGGCCCGAGGCCGGCATCAAGCGCATGGCCGAGCGCCTGCTCGGCGAGTGGAGCCGGCCCATCCTGAAGCGCACAGACGACTACAAGAAGCGCCGCATCGAGACGCGCGACTACGACTACCAGTATGTTTTTTTTTTTCTTTCTTCTCACTCTCTTACCCTCCTGCTGCAGAACGGAGCTGACACAAAAGAAACAGAGCCGCCCGCCTCGCCGAGCAGCAGGGCTCCAGCCAGGTGACCCTGACGCAGCGGCCCGCCGGCAGCTCCCAGCAGCGCCACGAGCTCGAGAAGCAGCGCATGCTGGCCCCCGTCGTCAACACCAACCGCGCCCGCCCCGCCGGGCTCCCGCAGGCCTACACCGTCGCGCCCGTCAGCAGTTTTGACCAGAACGCCGCTAGGAGCGCGGGCTTCCGGCCTATGGGCGCCGGCGGCATGGAGGCCTTCCGCAAGATGACGCAGAAGGGCAAGAAGAAATAGAAGGACCAAGGGCGTGGGAGCGAGCGGGCGTCGGTGTGCGTGTTGTTGGTGAAGATGACAGTGTGCGAGGTTGAGAGGAGGTGTCGGTGGGCGACAGATCCCTAGATCTTGTCAGGAGTGGATGGCGTACATCCTCAACAGGTTGACAAGGGAAGAAGGCAAAAATGACATTTGGGCATCAAGGAAGAGAAGCTTCCTTCACATTCTGTGTTGTAACATTTTTTCAAGCTCGATGAGCAAGGGTAGACATGGCATAGGCGATACAGGCATCTTTTTCTATCTGAACCAACACCGCCACGAGTGCAAGGTAGTGTGAAAGTGCATGTTATCAAGTAGGTATTCTGGGGTCTCACCATCACTAAAGCTCAGCATCAGTCTCGGCACCAATTCAGACCCTCAGATAAGAACCTCAGTTCTTGTTCGTGCAAACTCATTTCATTTCATTCTCCGTTTTGACCCTTTCAGCACAACAAGAAATCGTCAAGAAAAAGCCCAAAGCTGCAAATGTAATAGTCTATCCTTGTGGGTAACGCATATAATGACTCTTGTTGTGGATGAATTGTGTATCTGCGAGAGTGTGTCTGCGTGACAGCGGGTGCGAGAAGCCAGACAGAAGCCAAGAATGTCTCGTCGCGATGTGATGTGTGCAGTGTCTATCTGCCAATACCAGTCCAGAGAAAGGCGGTGCTATCTCTCTCTCTCTCTTCCACTGGAAATCAAAACGAAAGACGGCTTCTCTCACACGCCCAAGCCACACACAACGCACTCGTTCTTCTTTTCGTTTCGCTGAGAGACAAAAAGACAGACACACGTCTCTCTTTGCACGGCCCGGTTCTTCATCAGCACTTCCATCTTGTTCACAATCATCCATTCGTTCCCTTTGCGGTTTCCCCCTTCCCCGCTGTGCCTTTCCGTATGCCCAGATCCCATATCGAGAAGTGATTCCCCATGTTCATACCGGGGAAGTACCGAAACCACTCCATCCTCCTCATGTCATCAAAAATTCCTCCACAACCACCCGACCCAAGGGATCAGTCGAACCAGACCCCTTTCCTCACGATCCTATCCTCTGCGAGAACAAAAAAAGGGAGAGAGAGAGAGCATCTACCGTTTCCTAATCTCGGTAGCCCACCCGTCGATCCCCTCCCCGCGGCTGCCGACCTCGAGGCCGTCGACCCGCACGCCCTTCATGCCAGGCGTGTCGTCGAGCCAGGCGTGGCCCGCCATGCCGCCGGCGTTGGCCCTGCGCTCGGGCACGAGCTCGAGCATGGGCGTCAGGAAGTCCGAGATGCGCCGCGCCTCGTCCTCCTTGAAGTGGTACTTCTCGCGCAGGACGTCGGGCAGCGCCCAGTGCCGCAGCCGGTGGATGTTGCGCAGCTCGCCCTTGCGGTTGAAGATCTCCTGCGACCACTTTCCCGACAGGCACAGCGACTTGGGGAAGGGCCCCAGCAGCTCGATGATCTGGGCGATGTGGTCGTCGTCCTTGCCGTACTTGGTGCCCGACTGCGGGTCGAAGAGGTAGTCGCCCGTGATGAGCTCGAAGACCATGGCGGCCATGCTCCAGACGTCGGTGCTGGCGCCCCATTTGGCGCCCAGGATGACCTCGGGGGAGCGGTACTGCCGCGTCTGGATGTCGTTGGTGAAGTGGTGGTTGACCCAGCAGGCGTTGCCCAGGTCGGCAATCTTGACGCTGATAATGTCAAATGCGTGGGCGTCCTCGGCCTTGCGCTTCTCGCCGGTCGACGTCGTCGTCGACGAGGACGACGACTTGTCGAGGGATATGCCGGAGACTTCTCTCGTCAGGAGGTCGCTGGTTTGGGCAGTCTGCATTAGTTATCAAGCCGAAGGGGTAGGGCGAGGGAAACATACGCTGTCTTTTCCCGCTGCTTTTGCTTGTCTTCGTCGGGTCTCGGTGACGGTTCTTTTGATTTATTTGAGCCTGTTTGCTCCGGCGTCAGTACTTGAACTATAACACACACACACACACATGTCTAAAACGTCTGGAACTCACCCTCGTGCAGCATCTGCCCCAGGCTGGAGTGCGAGTTGGAAGAAGGAAACAGGTTGGCGTGGTTGAAACTGGCGTTGAGGGGGCTCGGCAGGGGCTGGCTGCCCGTGATGAGGGTGCGCCGCCGCCTCCTGCCATTGCGGTTGTTCTCCTTGTTGTCCGCCGACGAGGACGAGGAAGGGTCGCTCTTGACGACCTTCTTGACGATCTGCTCGACGTCGCCAATCTCGATGAGCACGTTCTCGGGCTTGAGGTCGGTGTGGATGATGCCGCACTCGCGGTGCAGGTAGTCGAGGCCCAGCAGCACCTGCTTGGTGATCTGCTTGACGAGGGCCATGGGGATGCCGCGGTGGTTCCACTTCTTGATGAGGCCGAGCAGGTTCTCGCCGAGGACCTCGAAGACCATGCAGACGTGGGTGCCGTGCGGGCCCTTGTGCTCAAACGAGTCGAGCAGGCTGACGACGTGCTTGCGGCCCGGGTGGCCGGGGTTGGCCTGCACGATCTTGTTGAGCAGCTTGATCTCGTCGATGGCCGTCTCGGTGTAGTGCGCGGCGGAGCGCACGACCTTGAGGGCGACGTGCTTGCCCGACGTGTTGTCGCGCGACAGCCACACGGTCGAGAAGTGGCCCCAGCCCAGCTTGCGCACGACCGTGTACTTGCCGTTCTTGAAGTCCTCGCCGATCTGCACCGGGTGGTATCCTCCCTTGCAGTAGTCCTCCGAGTCCTCCTCGTCGGCCGTGTTCTCGGCGGCGTCCTCGGGCGACGAGCTCGACGTGGGCGAGGGGTTCATGGCGGCGAGGTGGGCGGTTCTGTGATGCGAGGGGGCGGGCCCGAGAGTTAGCTAAGACTGCACTGGCTGCACTGGCTGCACTGTGGACGGAGATCTGAGAGCTTTGGTGACGGATGTGCTGGACAGCACTTGAAAGAAGGGTGGGGGGGAGAGCAAGCAAGAGACAACAATGTGCGAGACGGTGGGAGGCGAATGACGCGAAATCAAGGGTTCGACGGGGTGGTTTGGCTCTCGCGCGCAATTTTGCGTATAGCGGCGATGGCGGGCGGGCTGCGGGCAGGCGGTGGATAGTGGTGGTGGATGGTGGATGGTGGATGGTGGATGATAGCGATGGCAGCGGGCTGGTGTGTAGTGTATGGTGGTGGAGGTGGTGGTGGTGTGTAGGGTGGTGAAAAGTGGCGGTCCCACCAAAAACCAGTTGCGGCGTCTTCTCGCTCAAGAAAAGACCCCGCAAAAGCTAGGGTAGTCCGTTTTGCCCTCTTTTCGCCCTCTGGCTTGGGGCCAAAAAAAGACGGTAGTGGTGGTGGGAGTGATAGCAGTGATAGTGGTAGTGTCGGGGCATCGGGAAACGGGGCTAATCCAGGAAAATGCGCAGAAACCTTGTCTTCAACATTGTGTCCTTCTTGTCTCCATCGCGCAGCGAGGGGAGGAGGGTTCTAAACATCAAGAGTAGGTATAGGTAGGGCAGAAGCAGGAGAGCGAGAGGAGAGAGAAAAAGTAGGTAGTACGAGGGAAAAGAGAGAAAGAGGAGGAGGAGGAGGAGGCAGCGCCGAGCAGAGAAGCAGCAGCTGGCTGGCTGACTGCGGGTGGGGGTGGTGGGAGGAGATGCGCGCGACTGGCGAGAGGGAATCGCAAGGTGAGAGGAGGCAGATGCTGAGTGGATAGGTAGCCAACAGGATAGGGATAGGCGAGGCGCGGCGCGGCGGCGGCAGCGATAGACAATGCAAGCAGGACTGGAGACGGAGATCTGGGGTCGGAACCACAGGCCAGCGCAGCCCAATCCGATGCCAATCCAGACGGTGGTGCGTGTGTGCGTGCGTGAGGACGTGCGGTGAGTACGTGCTCGTGAGAATTGACTGGACAATGCCCAAACAGAAGCCGGCCCAAACCAGAGACAAGACAGAGACAGGCAGGCCGCAGAGGCAGGCCCGGGAGTGAGCGAGCCAAGCAAAGCGACGAGACCCGCGAACGACAGGGGTCCTCTTTTCAGCCAGTCTCGCCCTCGAAATGGCTGAGGGAACAGCGCCAGCCAGGAACCGCATGGAGCTTAGCATCGAACCCGACCCTTTCTTTTTCCTTGTCTCCCTCCTCTTGCTTTCCCACACCGAGACAAGGCGCCTGTGTGTTTGCCGCTTGGATGGGTTTGCGCATGCCGAATGTCGCTATCCCGTGTTCCCGGGTATACCTGAATGTGCCATCTCCGACCCCTCATGTATTCTTGCTGAGGCTGCTGATCGGAACCGGAATCTTGTGTGCCGTGATACGTTTGTCCTTGGGCTATCCCCTTCCACCGGCTTCCAATCGAGGAGTGCGCACGCATTGCCAATCTGGTGCTGCTGCTGCTGCTGCTGCTGTGTTGTGCTGCTCTGGTCTGCCGCTCGCTCGCGCCCTGCCCGTCGCCCGCTAAAAGTCTCTCGTTGATGCCAGCGCATGCACCCCGCCACAAAGATAGCAGTGAGGATCCTCTTGGCGGAAAAGGGTGTCTGGCGGCTAGCCCGAGCTTGTTGCATATTGCCCAGGGGAGCATATAACTACTACAACAACGCCTTGGTCGTTGGCTCGTTTGGATGCGCGCATTCGGGCGGGCCTCGGCCTGACTTCTGCCTCCGCCCTTTTGGGCGTGGAAAAGATACAGTATGCAGGCTGGTGGGGGGGACAGGTTTGGTAGGTAAGGTAGATGGGTAGGTATCATCAAAAGGAACGCAGGAGAACGCAGGAGAACGAAACAAGAAAAGAGAAGAAAATGGAAGAAAAGAAAAAGCAGAGCTTACCCTTCCTGCGCCTGCTCGGGCGGATTCGCCGTGGTGATGATGGGCTTCAGGCCGTCCTTTTTCCGCTTCTTGTTAATCGCGGCCGCAGCCATGGCCTCTTGCGCCGATCCGGCACCGCTGCCGCCATTAGCAGCTGTCGTGTCCGCCGGTTGGGCATCCTGTGCGCCGGCAGCGCCAGCGGCTGCTGCTGCTGCTACTGCTGCGGTGGCGGCGGCAGCATCGCCGGGTTGTTGTTGTGCGCCGTTCATCGTGCGCGCGCGCGAATGGGTATGTGTAAGGTTGTGGTGTGGTGTGGTGTGGTGAGATGCGCTTGTGTGATCGGCGGCGCTTCACGGAGCTCCGTGTACAACAACTTTATCCAGTCCCCTGTTCTTTGCGAATTCCTTCTCTCGACTCGAACTACTCTCTCATATGCACGCAGATAAAGTCGCTCGTGGAAAGTCTAGTGGCTTTCGTGATTTGCGCGTCGTTCTTCTCGGGCGCAATGGACGGGGTCTGGGTGAGCGGGTGGTGTGGTAGGCGCGGTGGCGCAATGCGAGTAATGGACGTCGCCACGAGAGGCGAGAGGCTGTACTGCGGCTGCAGAAGAGGTGGTGCGCGTCGCAAGGCGATCACGGGCAGGTCGCAAAGGACGAGTCTATCGGTTGAGGCGTGGGTGTTGCTGGGAAGCAGGTGTAGTCGAGGTCGTAGCTATCCAAAGAAGAGGTAGCCCAAGCTTTGCGACAAGGTCTAGAGTCGCGCTGGGGGTACCGAGCTCGGGGAGCTGTCGCTGGTCTGCTGTGGTACTGACGGAGTTGTGATGGAGGAAAACGGGCCGTTGTCGAGGCTGCTTGGCGCCAGGATGAAAAATGCTTCAGAAAAGCGTCATCAACGACGCGCGGGTGCCAGCTGGAGGAGGTCTTTGCTTCTTTTCTATTTTTGTCTATCGGCGGCGATACAAAAGATCGGGAGGCGGCTGCTTGGCAGAGGTGCTGCTGGAGATTTGGAGAACAGACATTAGAGGGGCAGAAAAGGCCGCCGCGAGTGGTTGGAGGAAATGGCTGGGCGGGAAAAGAGATGCATGCAGATGCCAGATCACGAACACCAGGGTGGTGAGGGCGACAACGAGGTCGGGCTGGTATTGTTTTGTCAGACACAAGAGAGAGTGGAAAGTTGGTCGAGGAGGAGGGAAAGAGGGAAGAAAAGGGAAAAAGGAAGCTGGTGAGGAAGGGCACCTGCAAGTAAGAATTGCGTCAAAAAAATCCAGGTCTGCACTGGGCTGGACCTGAGGCGGCGTTGGTCCCAGCAGCAGCATCATCAGCACCAGCACCACCTGAACCACCCTTGGAAGTCCCCCAGCTTGTACTTGTATCAGCAACCAGCCCAGTGGCTCGGAGAGCCAGTAACGAGCCGCCTTGCGCCCACCCCCGCTGGGCTCCAACGCCCAGAAAATCGGGGCTACCTCCTCCCCCTCCACGACGATGCATCACTACAAGTACCTACCTAGGTAGTAGGTACAAAGAGATTGTCAGGGCCCGGCGGCTAGTTGCTCCTGGATGCTTTGGGTCAAGCTGCCGGCCGTTGAGTAGCTGGCTAATGTTTCAGGGTCCCTCCGCTGCTTGTGAGGGCGCATCCATGATGGATGATCCTGGTTCCCAGTTCATCTGATCTGGTGATTCTGAGCAAGATGAGTGCGGATGCATCGCCAAGAGTCCGAGGTTCACTATCCCCGGCTTTGACAGCGAGCTGACCTGAAAGGCCGGAATAGGTAGGTCAAGCAGGCAGCTCTGGGCAGAACCCAACAAAGAGGCACATCTTGTCATAGTCGGTGCATGTAGGGTACCTCACAAGCTTCATCACGGATGCAGCCCAAAGTGTTGAAGTGGGCGCATCTGCTGCACGACTTCCAAGCGAGCACCGCAAAGGTACCTATACCTCTCATCACAACCTTGGATCCCTCATCACACGGAGGCTCGGCCTATGGGCAATCTACCTCCCTGTCCTGTCTCCAAGCCAGCAGATCAATAAATAGAGCTAGTATATGTCTCCTCCTTCCTGGCAGACCTTGAGCACCGCATGCTGTCGCATCGCACTCACGGAGCTGTGGGATGTAACCAACATCCATCCGCCCTGGAAAGCTACCTGTAGGTATTCCAGTGATGAGGCGCTCCGAGCGAGCCCAGGAACCGCACCCGCCCGCCGCCGGGGTTCCGCTATGACCTCATTGCCCGTGCACGCATGCGAGACACACGGGGCCCCAAAAGCCAAGATCCTTGCCGAGATGGATGCCAACCACTCCTGCTGAGGACCCCTGCTTCTTCACGCATGCCGGGAAATGACATCCCCCAGGTAGCATTCATTTGGCGACATCTAGACGACTTTGACGGTCAGGTTCTGAGCCTCAAATGTCACACATCAAGACCAGATGGCTAGCACTCTCTTTTGACATGCCAGCCAGTCTGGGACTGGCTGATTGCAAGCTGCAAGCCACCCACACACTTAAGAGACTAGACAATGACCACCAGGCCAGAGCTGAAGCATTGCACTCAGCCACCACTTGATCCAAAGCAGTCTCGCGCCTTACCCTAGTCTTGAAATTAGCCGTTCATCACCCTCAGACTCGACAACCATCTGGTTTCCAGAAATGTAAAATCCATGGTGATAAATTTCTTCACTTGCCATCCAAGATGAGAGACAGTTGACCTGAGGTGATTGAAACCTTGACGTAGGCATAGGCAGACGCTTGATTGTCGAATCTGGTTTGCGAGCTCTCCGCGAATATTAAAGGATAGGGGTTGCGCAACTACAATATCGACCTGATACTAAGAAAGACCGAGGCCTTGTAGGCTGTGTTCAAATCAAACCATGGTTGTCCTGGACATTAGCTTCCTATCGTTACGCACGCGCCGTGGGCTGTGCCGGCGCCAACCAGAGTCTCGCACCTACGGGACTGAAATAACTCGACTGGCAGCGTGTGGAAATTTCTTCAACATCTGCGGTCAATGAGCTTGGAGGCGCAATAATATATTTAGAGCTGACCATAGCGGAGATCCTTACGCTACCTCAGTCGCTGCCTTGAACACACCCGGTGTCTTAGATGAGCGGAAAGGTAGCTACAAGGCTCTAGACACCATCTCTTGGAACAGGCTACCCGTCAGGAACGGGGTATACAGCACTGCGGAGCGCCCATCTCGATATCTCGCTCCCGTTTCCCCCTTCGCTTGACACCGCAACAGCTAGTCGCTTCCGTCACCGCCTTCCAACCCCGGTGCATTGGCGTGTTTAGACACTTCCATACCGCCAACCCCAGCAGAGCAAGAGGCCATAGCATGCCCGGTAGGATGATGAAGAGAACCGGCCGCAGGAATATCAGGCATCCGTCCTCGTTGAAGACGCGAGGGAGTCGAGCAGCAAAGACAGGTTTGACCCAGAAGATGAATATTGCCACAAGAGCGCCGGATCCATAGCAAACCCCAAACCAGAATGCGAAACCCTGTTCTGGAGGCATATGAGACGTATCCTCGTCGTCGTCCATTTTATATTCCGGTTCCCTGAGGTGAATTCGTTCTGCGCCGTGGTGGTATAGGTATATCTCGGTTGCTGTGCCGGCACCTGAGCTGTTGCGGCTCGCTGCTGTCTTTGATGTATACGGCCACTGCGGAGTTTTGATGATGAATGACTGCACTTGATTAGAATACATCGAGAGATCGTCCACTTGTCCACAAGATCCATTTATGGAGTGGTTGAATGCTCTCAGAGCACTAGGTAACGAGCAAATACGAGTGAAAAATTCACTGCCACAGCGCGGATTGGCTCAAATTTCGGCCAAGCTCCCGTAATGTATGGAGTTGCTCCTAAATATCTAAACTCTGGTACAGGATTAAGTCACAACCACAACCACAACCACGGTTTAGAGCCTCAAAATTTAATCTGTCCATTGTTTACTCTGTAGATGGTCTTTGACCTTCCATAGCAGTTCAAAAGCAGCCCCTTGAAGCAGCGCCCACTAGCCTTGCCCATCTCACCCTCCGACATCGCAGTGCGCCGAATCGCTACCATCCGTGCTTCTCAGGCAGATCGTGACGGATCCGGCAGGTATGTTTCTGGCCCTTCAGGGACCAGGAGAGCTCAGATCTTTACATAGGCAGCCTCAGGCCCTCTCGGAATGTCGTCCATCTCGAAGCTTGCCGACGGTTCTCTTGTATGTTCCGCCCTGCTGCCCGTCTCAACATCGCCACCGCGCGTCGCTCCCTTTCCAGAAACAGGGAATCCCGCCCATCGATCGCAATCTTCGCTTGCTCTCTTGCAGTGCTGGACGCACATGACTATAAATACAAGCGCCGCGAGTGCGAGGAGGAGGACGGGCCATAGCAGGCTCGGGATAACGCCGCAGACAATCGGCCGCAACAGTGCCAGGCAGCCGTCAGAGTAGAAGGCTTCGGGGACATTACGGCGTACACTCTCGGGGTTTGCCTTTGCGTAGTATACGAGGCAAGAAACTGCTCCCAATACGTAGAAGGCCAACAGGAAGTATAAAGCGCATTGGACATCTGAAGACAGAGACATGATGTAGCCGTTCTCAGGGACTTGGGGCATTGCATTCGGGTTCCAGGCAATGAAGGATAGTGGAGGTGGCGTTTTCAGAGGAGGGGATGGAGCAAGTTGTCGTCTGAGTGGTTTTGGAAGAAATGATGGGAACCCGGTAATATATAGGTGATTTGAGCAAGATAAGTCAAAATTACCGGAGCTTTGAGGACCATTTTGGAAGTGATCCCGTTCCCTGGTACAATATTGACTCGGCTGTGCTAACCAGGAAAACGGTCAACTTGGGTGTGGTCGAAGCTTGTCGCTGGGCTGGTATTTAAAAAATCTCCAACCGCGCAGTTCCTTCTTTTCAGGATAAAGGCCATCCATACTCAACGATAAATCTCATACTGCCTGCCGATCTCGTTCTTCTCACTCAACCTACCACCGGATCGAACGTCGATTCCCGACTTCTCTCATCATGGAACTCACAATCGTCCAGTTTACCGTCCTGGTGGTCTACACCGTGGTGTCTTCTGCCCTGTTCCTAGGCTATATGACCGCTTCCAGCTCTCACCTCACAGCCACTCCCGAGGCGTTCAGGAAAGAGGGCTGCCTTATCCCTCGACTAATCATCTTCGGCCTTATCCCGTGCTTACTGTGGCCAGTGGTCGTGGTTATCTTTATTCTTTCCATTCTGGTTTACGGTGCGGGCGCCGCCATCCTCTTCTTTCTCAGGCTCTCTGCCCTGCAGCTGAGGTATGGTGTGGAGATGTGCTGTGGCTTTGAGTCTGAGCGGGCGGACGTCGATCTGGAGACGGGACTTGGGGGCGACCATAGTGCTGCGGAGCCGTCGGTGGCTGCCGAGGATACCGAGTTGGAAAACATCGAAATCGCCGAGCACCAGGTTGAAACCGCCCCCAGTCCCCCAATGCAGATGAGGCTTCCCGAGCAGCCGGCATCGACTGATACAGAGGACGAAAGTGAAGGCAGTAAGTGGTCATTGATGGAAGATCAAGGGGCGGACAGCATCTAGAGGAATCTTGGACATTCGATGGCGGCACTGCCTGGGCATGGGAAGCCCGTATCGAGACGACAATAAAGCGGGAAACGTACCAGTCGTCTACTACATCAGCCGTACGGCATCATTGCGTTGACTCAGTTTGAGTATATCAGCATCCGGTCTGCTATTGCGTGGGGGGTCCATCGTCGACTGGATCATCGGACGTCGAGCCTCCGGACGGGAATATTATTGGCATTATTGGGGTTTCTGGCCAAACCAACGAAGCGCCTCCCCGAGTTGTCTTGGCACAAGTCGAGACTTGAGGCTGGGAAAGCTGAGGATTAGACTAGTTCGGATTGGTCGCGAGCTTAGCGCGGCACAATGACAGACAAACTCCACACTTTGAGAATTCAATCTTTGTTTTATCACTCAATCTTCCATGTCCAGGGACGGACCAATGATGTGAAAGATGGCTCTGATCTGGGCAGCTTCCTCGATATACATGAAGGGGTTCGACGCAACGTGGCAGGAGTTCCGGGCCTCGGCGCAGACCATCGCGGTCCCGATACAGCACGCCATGGCAGTGATCTGGGATTTTGCTGACCCTCGGGCCGGCATCCTGGTCTTGACTGCGTGCCTGCTGTACCGTCTCGGTCGCATGCTGTTTTCGCGTCTGCTGGGCGTGCCGGGTCCGTTCCTAGCTCGGTTCACAGACCTTTGGTACTTGTCGAAGGTCTATCAAGGAGGCTTTGAGCGGGAGAATCTCAAGCTGCATGAAAGATATGGCAAGTAACTACTGTCGAGAGGTGGCCTTGCCTAGATCTATGTCTGACTTTGAGAACAGGCCCGGTTGTCCGCCTCGGACCGAATCGCTACTCTGTCGCTAGTTGCGACGGGCTGCGAGCTGTGTATGGGCCAGCAGCGGCAAAGACGTTCCCCAAGTCGCCGTCGTACTACCCAGCATCTCCGCCGGATCGGGAAAAGTGGACGTTGTTCGCCGACGACGACATCCAGCGCCACGCACGAAACCGCCGCCTCTTTCAAAGCACCTACTCGATGACGTCTCTGGTCACATACGAGACCTACGTCGACGAGTGCACCGACCTGTTCTCCCTTCGCCTTTCCGAGCTGGCAGCAGCAAATGTTCCGGTCGGCATGGGTTTCTGGTTCCAGTGCTTCGCTTTCGATGTCATTGGGCTCATCACGTACTCGTCACGGCTCGGTTTCCTGGACCAAGGTGAGGACATTGGCAGCGTCATCAAGACCATCGACGACGAGATGGTGTACTTCTCGCTGGTCGGAGTCTACAGCTACCTCCACAAACTGATATTCCCAATCAGAAACTGGCTGGCTGGGACAAAGGGGACTGGCCGGACCTACCTGATGAAATTCACTAAGGACAGGGTAGCTGAGCATGTCGTCGCGCCGAAAAGCGTCACGATCGAGGATGCAGAGGCGCGCAAGGTGCCGCTGGACTTCCTGTCCAAGTTCCTCAACATGAACGCGTCGGACTCCGAGTTTACCATGTATCACGTCCTTGCTGGGTGCGCGTCAAACATCGTGGCCGGCTCAGACACGACGGCGACGTCCCTCTCTGGCATTCTGTACCACCTGCTCAAGAACCCCGGCACTCTTGAAAAGCTCAGGCAGGAAGTCTCTTCAGTCGCAGCAGAAGTGCCAGAGAATCGACCCATAACCTGGAACACGGCCCAGGCCATGCCTTATCTGCAGGCGGTGATCAAGGAAGCCCTGAGACTACACACCGCCGTCTCGCTTCCGATGGAGCGCGTGGTTGCTCCCGGCGGCACGACAATTGAGGGATACCACTTCCCTAAAGGTGTAGGTTGCCATGCCATGAATATATATATTTATCTCCCTGTTCGGGATACTGACACATGGCATCCAGACCTATGTCGGAATCAACAACTGGGTCTACCACCGGAGCAAGTCTATCTTTGGGGAGGATGCCGATCAGTTCAAACCTGAGCGGTGGCTGACCCAAGACCCCAACCATCTGATACAGATGCACAGAAACCTGATATCAGTAAGTCAGAGTCTGCCTGCCGTCGTATCCGGTCACTGGAGTACTAATTTCCATCTGTTCAGTTTGGTGCTGGCGCTCGGACTTGTATTGGGCGGCACATTGCTTCGTTGCAGATCTCGAAGCTGGTACCAACCCTGGTCCGGGACTTTGACTTTGAGCTCAGCGAAGAAATCGCGGGCCCTGATCAGGAGTGGAAGACAAAGAATTACTTCTTTTTGAAGCCTACCAACTTCCGGGTCCGAGTCACGCAGAGGAGGTAGGATTGCTGTCTGGGGGGGTTCGTAGATTTCGTATGTGCTGGTTGTTCACGCAACCGCTATATCAGCGATACCTTGATCATAAATCATAAGTCCAGCACCGTGGAGCTTTGAAACATTTCACGACGTAGATCGAACTATTTTTATCACATTCTCGCGATGCCAATCTTGGAACTTCTGGAAACACCGACAAGCACCCTACCGATGCTCTGCATTTCAGGTCAGCGTTGGTCCTGGCAAGACTGAGATTTTCAGGCTCGTCATCAAGAAGAGCACGTGGCCGATGAATCGAGTCGAACATCGGAAGTGTGATGCGGGCAATCAAAAGGCACCGCACGCTAATGTCTTGGCTGCCACAAAGCGCGCTGTAAAACGGCAGACGACCTCAATAATGTAGCCGGCTGGAACCCTGCAATTGTCGAATCCTCCCATGCTCTTCCAATGGCACCTCGCTGGCCGGACACGAGGGCATCTCGGCCAAGCCCGCCGTCAGCCTCGGAAAGCTTGTCGCAGGCGTCCACGACCCTGGGACCCTCCCGAGAAGCGCGCCCTTTGCCGGAGTATCCTGCCTGTTTGGGGCGACATTGAAACGTCCACCCCACGCGCGTCGCCGATGCTGATCGCCCGAGGGTGCCGGCGGCGCAGTTAAATATGCCGCGTCGGCACGCGCCCCCCGAGGCGGCGGGCCTCGAGGCGTCGAAGGCCAGCTCCAGTCGACAACGGCAGGTATTCGTCATGATGATTGCCTCATCTCTGGTCGCCCTGCTAGCCCTCGGGTTGAGCCACGCCCGCGCCGCCGTCGAGGTCAGCGCCAATGTGACCGTTTTCCCCGGCAAGGTCAAGTCCGACTCGACAGCGATCCTGTATGCCGACCAGCAGCCGCTTGTCCTCGGCAACGATGGCACTGCCCACGGCGGGGGCTTCCACGTGTACGACCTCGGTGCCAGGTCCGAAGTGACGTCTGTCTACACTGGACGGACGAAGCTGGTCACGACCGTGCAGAATGTCAACGGCCGCCACTGGGCTGTCACCATCGCGCAGCCCGACTCGGTGATGAGGGTATTTGAGCTTCCTGCGGTCAGGCGTGTCGAAAGTGCCGACTTCAAGTCACTCGGAGACTGGTCTGCTCTATGCGGATGGAAGAGCAAGACTGGAAACCAGTATGTGTATCTGTTTGGCAAGAAGGAGGCGGTGGAGTTCCTGGTCCAGCCTGCGGGCGAGGATGTCAAACTAGTTGAGGTACGTGCAGAGTTCTAACGATACTATGTGAGCTTGAAATAACCATCTTTCAGGTCCAACGCTTCCCTGTGCCCTTTGAGGCTTCCGGGTGCGCTGCATCTCGTTCCCAGTCTCGGATGTACGTCTCAGCCGACGACGACAAGACTGTCTACGCCTTCTCGCTGGCAGAGACTACGAGCACTCCCAAGATCGTCGAGGCCGGTAAGGCCGCCAGCGACGTGACAGGATTGGCCGTCTATGTCGGCCTGGAGCAAGATTACCTGTTCGTCGCTCAGGAGAGCACCATCGGAGTCTACGACAAGTCTTTCAAGCTCGCAGGCACCATCGGCCTTAAAGGCCTGGCCGGCATCAAGGCAAAGGGCCTAAACATCTACCAGGGCGCTGCTTCTCCATATGCTGCCGGCGCTGTCACCTTTGCTTTCAAGTCCAAAAGTGGCACTGGCGCCGGCTTTGTTGAGCTTGAGAACGTACTCAAGTCTCTTGGCATCTCGAAGAACACCGCTTTCGATCCTCGACGTGTAGGCTCCTGCGGCCGCAAGTCTCCCCTCTGCGATGCCTGCTCCGGTAATGGGTTCTGTGGGAACGGCACTGCGCCATCGTGCAGCTGCTTCTCCGGCTTCGCTGGCGGCAAGTGCACCGACATCACCTGCACTGACAACTGCTCCGGCCACGGCAAGTGTATCGGCGCCAACGTCTGCAAGTGCGAGGCCGGCTGGGGTGGCCTGTTCTGCTCGTTCCTAGACATCGAGCCGACCTACGAGACCGAGGCCAGCGGCGATGACGGCGATGACCCTGCCATCTGGATCAACCCCGTCGATCGTGCGCAGTCTCGCATCATCACCACCACCAAGTCAGATCAGGGTGCTGGCCTGGGCCTCTTCGACCTGACCGGCAAGCTCCTCCAGCATCTGCCCGCTAGCAAGCCTAACAACATCGACGTAATCTACAGCTTTCAGGCGGGCGGGCGGAAGATCGACCTTGCGTTTGCCGGCTGCCGCGGCGACAACACGCTCTGGTAAGCTTGCCTTCTGCACACGCTCATCAAAAGTACCAGACTAACACATGTACCACGCAGCCTGTTCGAGATCGCCCCCAACGGCACCCTCTCCGCCATCGCCGGCGGCATCCAGCCCGTCGTGGCGGGCTTCACCGTCTACGGCTCCTGCACCTACCGCTCCCGCAAGTCCGGCAAGCAGTACCTCTTCGTCAACGAGAAGTCGTCGCGGTACCTACAGTACGAGCTGTCTGCCACCGCGGCGGGCGAGCTGCAGACGACGCTCTTGCGCGACTTCATGGCCGGGTCCGGAGGCCAGGTCGAAGGCTGCGTCGCCGACGACGCCAACGGGTGGCTGTTCCTGGGCGAGGAGCCCTCGGCGCTGTGGCGCTACGGTGCCGAGCCCGACCGCGGCCGCGCCGAGGGCGTGGCCATCGCCCGCGTCGGCGACGGCAAGCTGCACGGCGACGTGGAGGGCGTGACGCTGGTGGAGGGCGGGACCGCCGACGCGGGGCTGATCATCGTGTCGAACCAGGGCGTCAGCGCGTACAACATCTACAGGCGGGCCGCGCCGCACGAGTACGTCGCGACCTTTACCGTCGTGCGCACGGCCGACGGGCGGGTCGACGCCGTGAGCAACACGGACGGGGTGGCGGCCGTGGGCGCGGCGCTGGGCGGGGACTTCCCGCAGGGTCTGGTCGTTGTGCACGACGACGCCAACGAGCTGCCGGATGGGACGACGAGCGAGGAGGCCAGCTTCAAGCTCGTGAGCCTGGGGAAGATCCTGGGTGCGGAGCAGCTGAAGGCGCTGAACCTGTCGGGGGAGGTCGATGCGGCGTGGGATCCTAGGAAGGGACTGTGAAGACCGCCGCGTGTGTCAAAATCAGTTTCAAGATTCAAGAAAAGAAAAGAAAGGCCTCTCATCGCGCGTATCTCCTAACCGCGTATTCGTGCATGAAGATCTCGGAAACATCCGTAAGTGGTTGCTCTGGCTTCAACGCTCCAAACAGCGGGACTTTTCGGGCCAACCACCCGACAACGCAATTGGTGTCCCAGCATGGGTGATGACGTCGCGCCGCTCATTTAACTTCAGCGCAGCCTCCCTCCTCTCAGGCCTATTCCCGGACTCGCAAATTCTGTACATCAAACTGTATATTGTTCCTATATCAAATCTTACAAGGCTCATAACCAATCAACATGGACAACACCGTGTCGCAGTTCCTGGGCAAGGCCGTGCCCGCCGTCCCGTTCTTCCTCGGCCTGATGGGCGCCGGCATGGGCATCTACAGCCTGACCTCGCCCTACGAGGCCATCCGCGGCTTCGGCCTGCGCGGCCCGCCGGCGGACAAGGCCACCCCGCAGGCCGACGCCTACCAGAAGTCTCTCATCTACGCCTACGGCATCCGGAACCTGGGCGTCGGCCTCGGGTCGATGGGCCTGTTCGCCTTTGGCCAGTTCCACCCCTTGTGCCGCTCGAACCCGGTGGCGGCGGCGGTGGCCAGGAAAGCCCTCGGGCTGACGCTGCTGACGGGGACGGTCGTGGGGCTGCTGGACGCGTGGTTGATGCGGCAGTATGCGCAGGACCTGAGCGTTGTCGGGGAGGCCAAGGAGGAGGCCAAGAAGGCATCGACCAGCCACGCCATGACGGCGGTTGTGATATTCGCGACGGGGCTGTTCTTGTACTTGTAAAATGATGGCTTGGAAACCTGGAAGTGTATTATTATAATCATGATCAACAGAATGTCGATGGCTTGGAGTTGGGAGGAAAGGGAACACTCCACTCTCTTAATAAGAAGCAAAGGGATGCTAGAGTTGACAATGCTCATTCCCTCTTTGTCGCTACCAGCATCAGGTTTCTTGGTGATATCCTGTAGTCGAAAATGGGAACCACTTCCGCATCTTCAGCTCCCTGTTCGACGAGATACCAATACCGATCCATCGCAATGACGCTCTCGACGATCTTGCAACAAAGCACACTGAGCGTCCACAGGATAGCCACTTTGCCCTCGTAGTTCCGGTATCGTTCCTCGTATGCCGAAAGATCTTCTGTGGATATCCTGTTCTCTTCGATGCCTAGGCTGGCCATTGCGCGTCTCGCAAACTTTTGGAAGCTGTCTAGGTCGCCTTTTCGTATCCCCCATGTCGGCCGCTGATCTGCATCGAGGCGGATATTGTTGTCATAGAAGACCTTCTCCAGGAGCGCGCGGTAAAAGCGCCTCTTGGACTGCGTCGATTTCGCCTTGGCCGGGTCTGCTCGCTCCCACTTGTTCGGTGCCTGACACCCTGTCATCAACGCCGTCGGACTTAACGTGACACCACTCGCTCTCATCCGGTTGCTGATGGGGAACCCTTCGGGGCATGACTCGGAACGAGGAACGACGTGATTGTAGCAGCAGCCGACAGCGCCTAGAGATACGATCGACGGCATCGCGGTGAAGTATCGCAACATGTGCTCCGATAGCTGGCCGCAGGCATGAAGACCGACGAGCATGCACTTCTCTCCGCCGGCCCAAGCCTCGATCTCGTCCACGAGCTCAGGAGGCCCATTTATGTAGCGGACCAAGTGAGTGAGTCCGTCCTCGGAGACTCCAAGCGAACCGGCAAAGGCTTTGGAGCCGGCGACTTGCGACTCGCTACCGTCGATCGCGAGCACGCGGAGTGAGGGGAAGAGATAGGCGAGCGACGCAGAGAGATAGCCCTGACCGGACCCCATGTCGACAACATGCGTGATGCCACTCTCTCGGCAAGCTCTTTCGATGAACGCCACGGCCACTGACACTTCAGCGATCTTTTTGGTGTTCATCCTGTCCTTCAAGACGTCTGGCAAGTCAAAGACGGGCATGGGCCGCTGGCCCCTTGAGAGGCAGAGTGTTCTCAGCGATTGCAGCCAGCGTGTTAGAGACGCCGGTCGGTGTTCATCATCAGCCAAAGTCCGGTCTTCGTCGATACTGTCGATCAAGTCCTGCTGCGCTATGCGGTGGTCCGGGACGGATTCCCACCAGGCTGTCCACTCTTGTGGCAGCGCGTCCCAGGCATCGTAGACAAGGGCGTCATTGACGTGGATGCCTCCGGTGATTTGTTGGACCAGGGGTGTGTGTATAAAGTCTATTAGGTCGTCTGTGTATTCTTCGAGTCTGGCAGTCGACGTTGAGCCAGGCCTTACATCCATCTTTGCAAGAAGAATTGTCAGGTTCAAGACCCTTGTGGGGATGCTCAACAAACCACCTCGTTGTATTTTCCCGCTATTACCTAATCATCTCGCCTTTCTTAGCCCAAAAGGCTAGATACTCTAATGTCAACATGCTCTGAGCCAAGCTGAACCATCTCAAATTATCAGTCCGATATGGAGAGCCTTCGACTCAGCCGTAAACCTGTCATTGATCGCAAGCAACTCGTCCACATCCCACTGAGCCCACACATACCTCCCGTGTAAGAAACCGCTCTCGGGCCCGGCCAGCCACAGCGCGAAATGCCCGGGCAGATTGATGTCCTCCCACAGCGGCGCGTCCTTTGGGAATGCCTTGCCCATGGCCTTTTCTGTACCGGGCGTCCACAGCGCGCCCGGGTGGAACGAGACGAGCCTCACATCCTCTTCCTTGTGCTCCGCAGCCAGGTGCTGGAATATCTGCACAGCAGCTGCCTTGCTGGGGCCGTACCCGACGCGGAGCCCGACAGTCAGCTGCGCCGCTGCCGACGACACGTTGAGCACAGTCTTCTTCTGTGGGCTCGGCATGCCCAGGTAGGCCTTGGTCAGGGCAAAGGGGGCTACAGTGTTGGTGTCGAAGGCGTCCTGCACTTCCTCGACGCTGATCTCGAGACTCGGGACGCGAGGGTGGGCCACGGCGGCGCAGAGGACGAGCACGTCGATGCTGCCAACCTCTTGCAGGATCTCGGCGGTACGCTTAGTGTCTGTGACGGACGCCTGAAACGTGAGGATCTCTGTCGAAGGGTAAGAAGCGTTCAGCTCGGATTTCGCCGCCTGCTGTGTCGCCGCGGAGCGCGAGATGACGACGATGCGCGCAACACCGGCTCCGGCAAAAGCCCTGGCGATGCTCAGACCGACACCGCTCGCGCCGCCTGTGATGACCACGGTCTTGCCTATGCCATCGAAGCCGTGATGCTTGGCGATGCGATCGTAGGTCTTGGTGTGGTACGTCTCTATTGGACGCGGCAATGATTGCATAACTGACATTCTTGGTGATGGGTGTGTTGTTTTAATCGTGCTTGAAGTTGAATTGCTAAGCATGAAAGAAAGCTTGAAACTGACGTCGGCTTTTTATAACACTTTTCTGTCGGGCCATTGCCGTTTGTTTTGTCCCGATGATCCAGGGCATTCATTCGGCCGATGCGCTGGGCCTCGGGCTATATCAACGCCCGAATCTCGGACTGTCAGCCTTCTTCTACACCCGCAGTCACTTGTTGGGGTGGAGAACCATGCGAGCCGGACTACTGCGCTCAGAGATGAACACCATGCTTAGCAAAGAAGATTTGGTGCTGTTGTGAGTGACGCAGTCAGTGACAGCCTGGATATCGGCAACTTGGTGAACAACGATGCGGAGCGCATACTCCTTCGCAGTCAATTCTAGCTGACCAGTGGGTCCCGGAGGCCGTCGAATAGAGGCCTGTTGGACATATCATTCATTTGTGTAACGTGTATTATGGCAGCTGAGACGATACGCGAGATGGACATTAAAAACAAGACGAGTGTGGGAGGACTGGCTCTTCACTAGACCCATTGGTTCTAGGCAATGGGATAGCCTTTTGAGTTCAAGAGTCAGGATGTACAGTGCCGGTATTTAAGTAACAGTGTCATCAGATCTGAAGGGGGTACTTTTATTCGTAACTTGAAATCATGTACAAGGAAAGTTACTTAAGGACACTGCAGAACGAGCATTGGAAAGAAGGACTGAAGGAAACATATGCAAGTGAAACCAGGCCCAGTTTACAATGGTTGCTTATGTCTGAACTCAAGGCGTCTCTGTCGCGATCAGAGAGGATCTGTGCCACGGTTTCTCCCTCACAGCTTAGTCTGGACCCAAGCAGCCGCTTCGTTGGTAAAGACGTTGAAGTAGGAGGTGTGTGCATTGGGGTCAGTGCCACCGGCGCAAGCGGGGTCACCGACAAGGCACCAGGATCGGAGGACGGAGGAGAAACGGTTCAGCGACGCAAGCTGGGCTCCGGAGCGAGGCCAGTTCTATCACTTGTTAGTTTTGTCTTGGGAATTGGGCTGGGGTGAAGCTTCGACTTACTCCGTTGCGAGAAGCTCCGGTGGCGGTGTTGTAGGCCTGGTTGGCCGTATGACGGACGTCCCCAAAGAGGAGAGCGGCAGCGACTGGATCATGGTTAGCAAGTCCGCCCAGATGCAAAGTGGAGACCAAAGGCTTACTCTTGTTTCCAGGAGAGGTTGCCGGGTTGAGCCCAGAGCTGGTAGCCTGAGTGCAGCTGCCAAGGTTGCCACCGCCACCACCAAGGATATCTCCAACCAGATGAGCCCCCTAGGCAGGCACAAATCAGCTCGTCCTGTCGCTCATGTCGTACGCACATAGGGGTGTCTGACATACCTGAGAGTAACCCGTAAGCACGAGCTTGCTGTTGGGGCATCGGGCAGCGTAGGCCGTGATCAGAGCGGCGCCGGAAACAACGCCGGCCTGGACGGAGCTGCAGTAGTTCTCAAACGTGGCCGGGTAGACAATGTCCTGGTACCCGCAGCTGGGGTTGTTCCTGCAGATGGCGTTGGCCAGAGCGCCCTGGCGGCCGGGGTAGGGCTCCGTGGATCCGCGGGCGATGAAGACCTGGACGGACTGGCAGGGGGCTTGCTGCCGCTCGTCGAGCTCGACTGGACTGGCATCGACGCCCGCCAGGAGCAAGAGGGCAGGGAGAAGGAGGTTGGTAAGCATGGTTGCGAGTGATATTGGTAGAGGCTTGGGCGTGTTCAACGGGCTGCGGCTGCTGAGCTGGAGATTGCAGTTTCCCAGACAGAGAGATGGGTGAGGATCTTCGTCTGATTTATAGAACTGTGAGCAGCCCAGAAGGGTTTTAGTTTTCCCTGTGAAAGTTTCCTTTCTTGCACATCTGTCGATGGCTCGAGGATTCGACCTGTGGCTGGACAGACAGCAGGAGTTTGCGGTATCATTGCTACGATGTTCGCCTCACAGATACATATCCCCGCAAAGCTGAGGAGTAGAGTACTTGTAGAGCCTCGGCCCCGGATCACTGTCAACTTTAAACTGCCGGCAATGTGTGGGGTAATAACGCTCCGGACCAGACAAGGCCTGTCTGGTTCCATGGAGTAGAGCGTCACCCTTTACAGACCGCCACTACCACCCACCCCAGGCACCAGACCCGAGGCGAGCCCGAAACCCGGTTCAGCGCGCCTTGGCTACAATGCCGGCCATGTGGCAGGTTTCATTGGTCTTCTTGGCATTGCACCCCAGACTCTGAATGGGGAAACGAGGGAGCAGCCGCTTGGAGAAGCACCCCTGCTCCAAACATCTACCCCGCATGCCCCTTCGCCGTGTTGATTCGACAGATCTCAGAACCATCACACGGAGCAAGGAAGCAAGCCTGAGGCCCGATCCGAAGAAACGCCGACCAACACGAGCGGTAGATCTTCGGCTCTGCACAACCAGGTCTTCGGCTCTGCATAACGGCAACAGAGCCCGGAGCTTGAAAGAGACTGGCAGGTGGGGAGCGTATCAACACAAGCTTTAAACTAGGTCAACAGAATGGTTCCATGTCACATGAAAAGGGTTAGTGCCGAAGAGATGAGATACAGCCGCACAACCTTCCATTTCAAGCAGGCAGTGGGAACGACTTTAGGGTATATAACCCGTTCATTAAGACATAATAAGGCCGACCATGTCCGAAATGACCAATGACGTGTCAACATCACGAGAACGACTCTAGGTAATCCATCAAGCCAGGCCAAGCGGCAGATGGAAAGCCCGCCGTGAGCCAAAAGTTCCCATCGAGATCTCTCCCGACGACGGTGGTCAGACTCGACGCAAAGTCTACCGTCTCGAGAGCCCCGGAATGGAAGAACACAGGACGGCCCGGCTTTCCTCTCCCAGTCTTTCCTGCATCCGCGGCTTTGACGATGGCAGGACTAAGGTCGAGGTTGTCAAAGAACCGGGCCTTGCTCCAATTCGACACGACGAGCAGGAGGCTGTCGCTCGGTCCGAACATGGGTATGTGGCCTGTCTTGACCATGTCGTCGCGCGCAAGCACGGCAATCGCCTTCATCTGCTCCTCAGTGCACTGGGCGGCGATGGCCTTGCGGCACTCGAGCGCCAGCTCGCCAATCGGCATGTCCAGTGCCTTCTGACTACTGCCGAAAACGAACACGGCCGAGGGCGAGTTGCCGACGTACGCGGCGTCTTTGCGGAAGACAGAGCTGACTCGGGTGCGAGGATCGACGGCGAGCAGCGTCGTCATGTTGCGATTGGAGGTTGCCGGGAGTGTCTGGGCCATCGTCCGGTTCACTAGCGCGACGACCAGGTCTCCTTCGCTGATGAAGGTGTCGTTCCTAGACGAACCGCTGCCGTCGACGACGGTGGGCAGTTGCTTCCTGGCTTCCCGGAGGAAGTTGTCCATTGTCTGCTTGGGGATGCAGATCTGTCGCAACTCAGGCTTCGGATACCACCAAGAGCTGAGCAAGAGCCGTAGTCCGAACTTGATGAGGCCGAACCCTGTCAGCTTTCTCTCCAGCAACAAGTACTCTTCCTTCGGTTCCGACTTGTAGAGTTCGGCCATGGGGTCGTCGTGAAAGCCCATGAACTGCGGCACCTCTGCCTTCTTCCCCGCTAGGACCATCTGCCAGGCATCGAGAATGTTGATCAAGCCGCCGAGGTCGGTAACGGCGTGGCTGTGGTTGATCGACACCAGTGTGCCATCCTCAAAAGTCACAACGTGGAGGGAGAAGAGCGGCAGGTCAGAGTAAAAGTAGTCGTCGATGTGCCGTGGTGCGCCAGGCCCAAAGGCCAGGCTGCTAAACTGGCGAGCCGCAGGGAAGGTGGCTGGTTTGAGGCCTGCCCTAGGCAGCTTGGAAGCCTCTGGGTGCTCCGCTATCCCCATTGCGTGATGCTCCTTTGTGAAATGCAGAGGAGGCCGGTCCGTCGTGAAAGGAGTGGGAATGTGAATTTCAGCTTTCCCATTGGCCTGATCGCGCGTCGGTCAAGAGCTTCAATGTTGGCTGCGCAGCAACAGGCACATACCTTGAGGCGAAGCCTTCCACCAAGTTTCCGCCAGCCCTCCATCTGGAATAGTTCCGATAGCGAGCTACCGAGTACATCCGGATCGAGAACATCGTCAAAGCGAAAGGTCCATAGAAGGTTGTACTGTCGTAGAGTGGCCGTGTCGTCAAAGAGATGGGTGGGCGCGACCTCGTCGGTGGGCATCACCGGAGGCGGGGCTCTGCGCGGGCCGTACCCTAGAAGACGGAGTATGTTCGACGCCATATGCACAGGTACCAGACCTTTCACGTTCCACAAAGGTCTTCATCAAATTCTGCTTCCAGCCAGAAATCTGGTGAAAATTACTTGGAAGGAGAGATGAAACAGGTCCCAGGTGGTGCGAGATTGGCTAGTCTGATCCTACAAGCCACGCCTGTCAACTAGTGCTTACTTCAAATAGGGGATTCGGCTTGGCCAGGTGTTCGCGGCCACAAAAGCTTATTACATAGATCTCGGTGCGATTGTCAGGTTCGGGTTTGCAGGATTGAATGGGTTATTTGACTACCTAAACACAGCACACCTCTGTCCATAACATGCCAGAAGACAATGCTTATAGATCCGACAACTGATGCACGCAGAGGCCGGTCTTCCTCAGTCATGTTTGCTTTACCTAGGTATGTTCAGGCGTCTCTAGCATCAGGCATTCATCAACTCATCCTGAGGGAATTGTTCCTGTGCCTCGATGATGGACAGATAGACACCTGGGACGTCAGCTCTTTGAATGTCCACGCTGGAACCATGCGCTATCAGACTTACTGGCAACTCGCCATCTCTTGCTACACAGCTGCAAGAAGTGTCGCCATTCCGTCAGGTTCCTGTCGAATTCCGCGCTGCGCATATCGGCACGGTACGTCACATATGTCAGGGCAGAGTGGTACGCAGAATGGACCGCAAAGATGGACATGGAGTTTATGATGTCCTTCCCGTCGGCCGTCGACTCGAGCTGCAGGATGCGACCCACCGTCTTCGAGGCCGCGTCCAAAACTACGCGGGTCTCGTGCGAGAACGAACGAGTCTCGTCGCCACAGACATCGCCGTAGAGTGCAAGACGCCGGCGAGCAAACCTCTCAAGAAGGAGGATCGAGCTTGGGGAGGAATCAGCCCAGTTCACAAAGAAACTACATGGGGCTAGCATGATCTTCTTACCTGTAGCACATGGCAGACTGGTCACACAGCTCCATCTTTCTCAGCTCCGTCTCGCCGCTGGTGAGATGCAAGAGTGCAAAGAGCGTCCGCCGTATTTGCGTCTCCTCTTCGCGGCAGAGGGGATCTGTACTCGGGTTCCGCCGGAGGTGTCTCAGGGTCCTGCTGAGCAGGTGAACAGCCTGGGCCAAACGCCCGAACCTTCCCTTCAGGGCCCCTGGGTTATCGCGCACGCGGATGGCGCTCGCCACGGTCATGGTCTAAGAGAACGATTAGTAAATCGGCAAGAGGGAGGGAGAAACCAAGATGGCACAGTCCGGCGACTAACCCCAGCCTCGAACACTTCGTCTTCCACTGGCAGGAACGTCTCCTCGTCTGGGTCTTCAGTCACCATTGCGCCAGACGGGTCGCTCATGAGAATGAATCTGGAAACTCTTTAGCCCTCCAGTTATATCCTGCAGCGAGGGACGATAGACCTACCGATCGAGGATGAGGATGGCCCACCACGTCCGTCTTCTCTCCTCCAGCTCATCTGCCAACATACCATTTGGCGTAACCCTCGTATCCTTGTCGATCGCCAGAGCTGTCGCGTATCGCACGCAGCAGCCCACAGAGAAATATGCGGTAGGGTAGATGGCCTGTCCCAGCTCGTAGATGGAGATCAGCAGCGCGGCGTGAAGGACATGGATCGAGAGAATGCCGGCCACGTCGAAGGCCGACAGGAACTGCTTTGCGGCATGGTAAAGGTTCTGATCGAGCTCGGTTGCCGGTGTGGAAGCCAGCTTCATGGCCACAGCCAGCATGTACAGCTCCCCTCGGCGCTGCGAAAGCGGGTTGAGGAGCTGTTGATAGAAGCGCCTTTTCGAGACGATGGGGACCCATGGGTGCACGAGGTGGAAGTACTCCCTTGCGATCTCGCGGATGCTCTCGAGGTCACCCAGCTGCTCGGCGACAAACGGTAGAACAGGTACTCTCGGTCGAGGGAGCTCCAGGTGTGCAGCACGAAAGACCTCCGGCGCGAGGAAGAACGCCGCGGGGAATTCTTCGTGGTGGAGGTATTGTTCGCTGTCGGCCCCAGAGATCTTGTTGGAGACGAGGCTTGACTGGATCAAGGTAACCTCTGACCTCTGTGACCTGATGACGCTCGGTGCACGCTGAGAGTTCCGTTTGCGACGTTCCGGGTATGAGCACTGGATATCCTTCCTAGAGACATACGTCAGCAAGGTCTGCCCATGTTTGGCCGCTTGGTACAAAAGCCTCTCCTCGGACGCGGTCGTTATGCGATCCTCCAGCCCTTCCATACTGTCACACCCTGCTTGATATGCTGTAGGCGGGATTCGGAGCGGTGTATGGATATTATGATGCTTTCCACGTGGCATGAAGAAGGTGAGGAGAGAGCCTACTTTCGACACAGATTACAGATAGGCTGTGATCTATCACATCTCCTTTTTTCTTTGCGACATGCCACGCACGATAGCTTGAGCGCTGCGTGTGAGTCGGCCATGCTGGCGTTATTGCTGTTGGTGACAAATCTGCGGCATCAGTTCGTCGTGGCAGGTGCGGAAATAAAAGAGAACTGGAATGGATGCGCAGTCCGAAAGTCCGCAGCTTCAAGTCATAACTAGGCGGGTCTCGGGGGCTGTTTTGTGAGCTGCTGACATTTTCGTCTCCTTGGGACTAGCTCAACGTCAAGTCCATGGATCCAGCAGCTCCGCCGGCGCTGCTCCGCGCTGGCGTGATCCTCAAACGCCATACCGCCGCATCCACTGTCGAAGAAGACTACCTAACACACGCGTTGCTCCGGCTCTTTGCGGGATATCACCGACAATCAGCACGTTCCGGGAACTACAGGTGCCAAATGGCGATGCACAACACATTTCGTATTGAATCGGGTCCATTGGCTTCAGCGATATCGAACCAGACGAGTGATCCTTGTAAGCCGCCACCGCGGGATCTGGAGAATGCACATGGAGAGCGTGAGTAGAAATCAAACGAGTGGAATCAACCAGGAGTGAAGACTCGGGTTCCCTAGGAATAATTCAAGCACGATAGGCCTGTTCATACATGCATCATTTGTGCTCACCACTGTATTACGAGGACGCTACGAAATGGAATACCGCAGAACGCTAGCAAACAAGACAAGCGAGATAAAGCGACATTTCTCGACACGTCCGCAAGAGAAGCCATCGCTAGCAAGACGACATAAAACCCCATTTCCTCATCGAAGCCAAGACTTCCCGGGCATGCGCAAATTCATATTGCTCGAGGGTCTCCTCCCACAAGGTATCAATGGCCTGTCGTCCTTCTTCAGTGTACACAATGTCGGCAAATCTAGCGGAGTCGTCCTATCAGCACAGAGACTCCAAACTCGCAAGAATGATGTTACTAGCAGAGTACTTACGGGTGAATAGCCCAGTCAAATATGAAGCAACCGTGCGACTCCTTACCTTTGACCACCGTTGCATGTAAACTGTTTCGAGTCAAAGCTCTAGCTTCTTGAAGGATTCGGGCATTGCCCATCATCGGCAATCATTGTGCCCTGCCCTTGAATAAGTCGGGCGGGCCAGGCCGGACTCGCTTGAACTAGTTCCATATGTCCGCAAATGTCCGCAGAATGTCCGCAACCGGAATTAGCCTCCTTTGCCCTGTTTGACTAACAGCTCCCATCCCCACGACACACGCTGATCAGAAATAAATCGATATGTGATCTGGCCTCGAGGCATACAGAATGATATCGACTCCATATTTGTAATGAAGATGTTGTAGATAGGCAATTTCAACCCGTCTATAAAAGGTTCGAGCAGTCCCCCGTAAAGTGACCAAGAACGACTCTTTGGATCATCATCTCACTACACTGAAAGCGTGGAGCCTGTCCCAGTTCATACAAAACCTGCCACCGAATATGTCTGGCCAATCTGTCTTGGTAAGAGCAGTTCCTTCTACAACGATGGGAATGTCAATTCACAAGCCTAGATCACCGGAGCTACCGGCTTTCTGGGCTTCCGCGCCCTCATCTTTGCTCTCGAAGCCGGATACCGCGTCCGCGTAGCTGTGCGCAAGCAGGAGGGCTTCGAAAAGATCAAGTCCATAGCCCCGGTCACCCAGTACACCACGCAGCTGGAGTCGGTCATCGTTCCCGATATCACAGCTCCTGGCGCCTATGATGAGGCCGTCCAGGGCGTAGACCACGTCGTCCACATCGCCTCCCCCGTTCCAAGCCCGGCAATCACCTCGGACTTCGACAAGCTCATTGTTCAACCGGCAGTGCAGGGGACCCTTACCATGCTTGAGGCAGCCTACAAGGCGCCTGGTGTCAAGAAGGTGGTCATCACCTCATCCGTAGGAGCAATCATTCCACTAGGTACCGTGGCAGCCCCGCCCAGCGGTACTGTCTACAACGGTGCGTTAGCCACATCCCTCATCCCAAACTTGTTGAACCCCAAAGCTAAATTCTCGCAGAGAAGAGCAGACTCGAGAATCCCACCGATCCTCTCGACAACCCCTTCACGGCGTACTTCGCGAGCAAGGTGATGGCGCTGAACGCTGCGGAAGCCTGGATCAAGGAGAAGAACCCGTCGTTCGACGTGGTCCACGTTGCGCCGGGATATCTAGTGGGTCGTGACCCTCTCCTGCGAGAACCCAATGACTTTGTCACGGGCTCCAACGGCTTCCTCATGAGGCAGCTATTGCTCGGCCCCGACCCATACCCGGTTGCTTCTCTGATCGTTCACGTCGACGATGCTGCCCGCGTTCATGTCAAGGCTCTTGACCCTTCAATCAAGGGAAACCGTCTCTTCCCGGTCTTCACCCAGTGCCCCGAGGGACCTGACTGGGACGATGTCCTCGAGATCGCCAAGAGGCGATATCCCAAGCAGGTCGCGGACGGGACATTCAAGGTTGATGCTGGCACAAAGACTCAACATATCAAGGCCGATGCCAGCTACACCGAGCAGACATTTGGCTTCAAGGCCAAGTCCTTCGAGGAGGCGGCTGTGAGCCTGATGGATCAGTACGTGGAGTTGATTGGGAAGCAATAGAACAGTCAGCACAGGATGCTTTTAGGAGAGAATAGCCTTAGAACAATATGAAATGGACAGCCACTTAGGAATGACCTATCTTGCATAAGGTGTTGCCTTGCATCCCGACTGGACGAGATCGCTCCAAGTCCAAGAAAAAGGATGTTCTTCATTGTGAGTGATCAGATTGTCTCATCCGGAAAGAGAAAAGGAGATGAAGTGAAGATTGGAATGTTCTGCTTCGTCAAACGTTTGTAACACATTCTAAATAGACATAGAATTGTTAATGACTTCCTAAGAGCTCCCACTACATTTTCGTGTAAATCCAAAACTATCTACGTTAACTCGAATCATAGCATACTCTCCACTGCAGGATACAGTGAATTGGACATCCGTGGTCCCTAAATCTGAGCTCTGAGTGGGGAACAGTACGCTCCCTGGCTTCCAACCACCAGGCCCATCCTCCATGCTGCCACGAAGGGTTGTGTCTCCCATGCTGAGCTGAATATCGCAGGTGTAGTCAGCGTTGACGCTGACGCTGAGAACTCGGTAATAGTAGGAAAACTCGTAGATACCGGCAAGAACGCTCAAGCTCTGCTTAACTATGCCGGTGCCTTGACCACCGCCGGTGAAAGTGAAAGCCCTAGTGTGCAATTATATTAGCATACATAGAGAATTATGGATTAGGAGGCAGAGTAAGCATACAAAGCGTTAGCGCCATCTTGGGTTTCGCTCTGAATCAACGCGCCATTGCTTGTCCAGGGAGCAACGCTGGCGGCGCTGTCATCAAAGCCAGGGTTGACAAACAGCTGGGTCTCAACACAGCCTGGGGCTGCAGTGGTCGTCGTAGAACCAGCCTGGGTCGTGGTAGTAGCAACGCTTGTGACTCTCGTAGTCGAAGGTCGGCAGGGGCTGGCTTCTGCTCCAAAAAGGAGCATAGCGGCAGCCGCCATGGGAAGAATGGAAAAGCGAACCATTCTGGCGCGATAGAGAACAAATGCTCAAACGAGGGAACACGGCTGCAGATAGTGCAGTGCGAATTAAGTGAATGTAAATAGTGAGAGATTGCAAAGGAGGATCCAACAAAAAAAAATACTCGGTAGATGTCTCCTTTTCAATTTCAGCCGTATGCTTGCTTGTTAGTTTATCGTTGTTTATGGCGCTAAAAAGGGTCTTGGCAGCAGGCTATTGCCAATAGTCTTCAGATCTCCCCATACTAGGTTAGAATGGTAGAAGCGGAGCCTGAAGAGGCATTTCATGTATACTAAGCAGTTCGATACTCGCTCAGCTCTATATTATACATACATTACCAAGGACTGACTTTGTGAACTTGTCTGGTCCTAAACCACAAAGATGCTTCTGCTGATCGAAAACTAAAACACCAACAAGACCTGCTGCCGCTACAATGCTATGAGAGGTGAAGATATATACAAAATGCAATAGAACAAAGAACACACGATGCACTCGCTGGCAGGTCCATATCTCTAACCCTGATCTTCCTCGTCTTCTTCGTCGTCGACCTCACGAAGAATGGCACCAAGCAGAATCCGTTGCAGTCTCTGCTGGAAGGAAAGGTCTAAAGTCTCGGGACTATTGAACGGCCTCGTGTCGACAATCTACATTGTGTCTCTTGTCAGCGAATCAAGCATCTACATCCAAGGGTTGGAAGGGTGAAACGCACATCACGAACGTTGTACATCTGCTTCAGCTTGTCGTCCAGCAACTTGAGCCAGGCCGCCGCCTTGTCGTTGTTCCCGATCTGCACGAACTGGATCCCGATCTGGTTCGACGGCGCCTTGAGCTCGTCCAGCCTCCTCGCCGCGTCCACGATCGTCGACTCGACCTCCTCCTTGTCCGTCGCCTCCCCGTCCGTGATGCAGATCAGGTTCAGCTTCCGCGGCGCCCTGGGCCGCGCCTCCCGCCGCCCCCTGCTGCTGCTGCTCGCCGCCCTCTTCATCTCGGCCCGGAACTCCTCGAAGCGGTCGAGCTGGTCCTGCAGCACCATCCACAGCACCTGCGCCATGAAGGTGCCGCCGCCGCCGTCGTCGGGCTCGACCTCGTTGGAGAGCAGGTCGAGCACGCGCTGGCCCTCGCGGATCTCGGACTCGTCCTTGGCGTCGTTGAAGAGGAAGCGCACGTCGACGCCGTTGGGGTCGTAGTGGCAGACAATGTCGACAATGTACTTCATGCTGTCGATGAGCACCTCCCAGCGCGACCTGTCGCCGCCGTCCTGCTCGTTCATGGAGCCCGAGTCGTCGATGACGAAGACGGTGTCGAACTGGGACAGCCGGGCCAGCCGGGTGGTGTCTTCTGTGCCTCCGCCGCCGTCCTCGGGCACGGGCACGAGGTTGGCGCGGTGGACGGCCTTGGGAGGGTGGTGGAAGGGGAGGCGTGTCGTGCCGCCGTTGCTGGTGCCGGGCGGGGATATCGGCTGGCCTGGATGGAATGACAGGGGTCTCCCGGTGGGGGATGAAAGGGCACCTTGTACGGAGAACGGACGGGTAGACTCGGAGTCCGGGCGTTGTGACAGCAGGCTCGAGTACGCAGGTGGCATCGTTCTTGTGGAAGATATGGTTGACATGGTGTGCGACCGCCGTGAAAGCGTGGGATTGAAGCTAGTCTCGGGAGGCTTGGCTGGCGACGCAGGACTCAAAGGAGGGCTCGAGGCAGCGATAGAAAGCGTGGACGCGATCATCCGGATGAGGAGCTGGGAGATGGTGCGGTAGCCCGCGTCATGCCTGTCCGAGAACTTGATCATGGTTTTGTGGTCACCGTCAATCCCTACAGACGTCACATCCTCGAACACGCTCATCGCCGACTCTGGTCTCGTGACCTGTTTGATAAAATGTCAGCGGGCGAAGCAAGACGTTATTGAAGTCCTTCATGCTCACTTACAAACTTGATACCGTACAGAGGCGCCTTTTCATAGGCTATGAGGATGGGTATCTTGGTGTTCACGTTGTTTCGAAGCTGGTTGAACTGGGACACAATGGTACGAAGCCCATCGGCACGAAACTTGAGGCTGTCAATCAGAGCCTCATTGCCGCCAAGGAACTTGACGAATTTGGACGCATGGTTGGCAAGCTGTGAGCCCTCAAAGGGGGTTCCGAAAAAGAAGATGCCTCTGACCAGGCACTGCCCGTCCTTGGTAGAGATTCTGCGATACTGCTCGTGTCGAACCGTCTGATTTGACTCCAGATACAGTTCGTTGAGGATGGCCTGATTGACCGAGGTTTGTTAGCGGTTTCCTGACCGTCTCCTCCCATGGGGGCTTTGCAGCAAGATGGAATACCTGGCAGATGACTAGGCCACCAAGGCTGTGGCAAACAAAGTAGATCGGGCGGTCGGAACCCTGCCGCTTTCTGTTAACATTTGCCCGGAGGTATAGCTATGGAGTTTACGGGGAACAGTTACCTCCGGTCTGTCCGTAGCGATCTGCACGAGCAGATTTCGGGCCGCGTGTTGGATCGTTGTGGTAGCCGACCAAGTGTCAAAGGCTTGTGCCTGGTAGCCTATGGTTGAGAATCGACCCGACAGCCCGGCGGCTTTGACGTCTTCTGGGAGAAGATCTCGCGGCCACATCACGGGTGGCACACGGTTAGTCGTGCTCCAGGTCCGAAAGGCATGTCCACCGAGACCGTGGACGAAGTAAATACTGGGAGGAGTGGCGATGGTGGTCAGCTATACACATGTAGAATGAGAGATGGAACGAAACACATACTCGAACTGGGCATCGTCATGCTCTGCCACGGTTGTGACGCCAAGAAAGTCCTCCTTGACGGCGAGATCAGCGCTTTGGTTCGGCTGCTCCGGGTTGAGTGGATAGAAGCGGCTCCCATGCAAGGCAGCACAGGCGTTTCTGCACGCGGCATCGCTGTCCAACTGCAGTGTCACGGAGGTGTGCAGCATCCGTTTGTCCGCGTCTAGCACGACTGGGCCGACCTTTGGCTGCGCGCCGAGGACAATACCATTGATATGCCGAACGACATCGTCTTGTGTTGTCCCCGGCGGGAGGTTGCGCACGGTAACGTTCAGGAAGGCAGGCTTACTGCTGCGAAACATTTGCATTCGACTTGCCGAGCTGCGATGCTGAGGGATAGAGAATCTAGAGGCGGATGTTGTTGAGACAGGCTTCAAAGTGAAGGGTCTGGAGTGGTATCATAAGTAACACCTGATGCCAAGAGTCGATGGAACACAAAGGCGGGAAGAGGGACGTCACCACGATATTTAAAGGCATCCAGGTGATGTATCACGCCAGCTGCCCAGTGCATAGCCTCGCCGCCACCTTTCCGGCTGGCCTGGCTGGACATACACCAGTTCCCTCCCCTCTGCCCGCCTACGTGCGTCATTTTTGACTGCCCTGGGAGATTGTATGATTTGTCTGCTTGCTGCCTTGCCCCAAAGAGCATCGGTCTGCTGTTGCCTTGCCAGCCACTTGATCAGCTTTTGGCCCAGGGTTGCGTGCGCACAAGGCTGGCTTGCCGCCGACCATGCAAGCCACGGATGACACACCGGGCAATAGTTCCCGTTAGCACCCAATCACCGCCGCCGTCGAGGACCGGCCCGCATGAGCAGGTACGCCTCGCGATCGTTCCTTGGCAAATCAGACCCCGGAATCTGAGACTCGGTCACCGCGACCGGGATTCATAATCACGGTGAGGGTGCAATGCGGGGTTATGTCGCCCTGCGAGTCCGATTGGAAGCAGACCTGCTCGAGACAACTCGTTTACCGCATTCGAGATGGTCCCTCCCGGATATGTACTCTCGCTTACAAAGCTCAGTTTGAGGTTTCAATTGTCCAAAAATGCTTCATTTGTTCGTCCAAGATGTACGTCTATGCCAAAGCGGTTCTAGAGAAGGGAAGTGAGGCTGCAGCCAGTGAAGCTCAACGTTAATTACCTCGTGACCCAAGCTTTTAAATCAGTGCAGTTCGTCGTGTCATCGCTCTACCGACAGCTCGAGACACCTCCTCAGTGCCTAAAGCGAGCGCGCGCATCGCCGGTAAGCGTCTCGTACCCGCGCTGCATGGCCTTGAGGTGGCTCCAGTCGTAGCCGTCCTCGCCCAAGCTCCACGCCATGAAGCCGCCGACGCCATGGCACTTGAGCTTGGCGATCTTCTGCGAGATGAGCTCGGCCGTGTCCCAGGTCCAGAACAGCCGCTCGGAGGCGTCCCAGTACCACTGCGCGCCGGCCTCGACGTCCGTCTTGCCGTTGGCCAGGGCCTTCTTGAACGAGGCCTTGACGTCGGCGCCCTCGCACTTGCCGTACTCGGACTGGCAGCCGGTGCCGCAGTGCGCGGTCGTGTTGCCGCTGTTGGGCTTTTCGTTAAAATCCTCGTTAGAAATGAAAACCCAATGAAACTCGAGACTCACCACCACCCGTACTGGCTGCAGCACTGGCCCGTGCCGCACTTGTAAAAGGTGCCCACGCCGCACGACAGGTTTGGAGACGAAGTCAGGTTGGTGGGCGCGGCGACAAAGTTGCCCTTCTCGAACGTCATGGCGCCCGACTTGCCCGTGTCGGCGCCCTGGGCGTCCTCGAGCAGCTCGGTCGGGCAGCCGATGCCCTTGCTGCAGTCGGCGCCAGGCTTGGTGGCGAAGAACTTGGCGTAGAAGGGGATGCCGATGTTGAGCTTGGCGGCGTCCATGCCGCGCTGGATGTACGTATCGATGGTGTCGAAAGTGGCCTTGACGGAGACGTGGTAGTCGGTGACGTTGTCACGGCGGTTCATCATGTCGTAGGTCATGACCTGTCGGACGTCAGTCACTCTTTTTCGTCTGCATTGTGAAGCAAGACGCACATTGACAAAGTCGACGACTTTGTTGATCGCGGCGCAGTGGGCAGCGTCATAGGCCATCATGTCGCCCTCGCGGCCCGGCACGGCGATGGACAGCTCCTTGCTGCCAATAGCCGCCTTGATCTCGGCCAGGACCAAGGGGAATTGGTCGATCTCGTCGACCTTTTTCGAGTTGGGGATCTGCCGGTAGTCCTGGCCATTGCCGCCGGGATACTCCCAGTCCATGTCTGAAAACGGTGTGAGCACACTCACGAGCTTACATGTCGGAAATCGAGCCGGTCTGCCCCATTCACTCACCGACGCAGTCATAGCCGAGTCGCTCGACGGTGTCGGCAATGTTCTTGGCAAACGCCTTGCGCGACTCGGGGGTCTTTGCTCCCTGCCCAAAGCCAGCATTGTCGCCCCACCCCCCGATGGCCATGCAGACCTTGGTGCCGTTGTCAAAGAGCGGCCGAATGTCGGACAGGTTCTTGAACGGCTGGTAGGTCCCGGCAGGCTCGGAAGCGAAGAGGGACGAGTTGGCAAAGGCCGTGATCACATAGTTGATCCCCGCCGTCAAGCTCTTGTCGGGGAGGTCCGAGGTGTGGTATCTGCGTCGCGTTGTCAGGCCTTTAGAGAGCTTCATCACAGGAGAGGAAGGTCATCATTACTGGTCGTAGTAGAGGATATATCTCGGCACCGCCACGGCCGTGGTCGCCATGGCCGCGAGGCCGAACAACGAAGAACGCATTTTGGTAGAGGTAGTGTCAAAGAGGGACTGGAGTTAGTGTTGGTAATGAACGACAGCGCGCGATGGCGTGGAAGATTGGAGAAAGAATGTCTAGGCAGTGGCGCGCCTCGGCAGCTATTATATCTCTCCCTGGAATGTGTGTCGACAGGTGAAGAAGCGTGGGAGCTCCGCGAAACGGGGTTTTTCGATTAACGTTTATGCAGATCCTCACGATGACCGGGGAGGTGGTCGATTATTGCCGCTTCAGGGTAGCATTGTCCCAGGAGCCAGAGTACACAGCCCTACGAGCTACCCAACCATTGCCTTTTACGCTCCTCAACAAGGTCAATCTCCCCCCGAAACATCCGGCACAAGGCCTCGATACGTGCTTTTTGCGTGCGACTCGAGACTCCCCGGTAAGGAGTAGTGGCTGGCTACTTTAAAGTCTTCCGATCTAAGACAACTGCCGCTTTCCGAGACATAGGGCACGGTACTTGAATCACTAGGTAACCCTTTTAACTGAACTGAGCATGGTCCAGACTCCACACTTGTAGAGACATGCCCCTTTTCCCCTGATTCCGTCGGTCGGAAAAAAGTGGAATTCTCAACGGGCGAGCCAGGGGTTCACGCAGGATTCTACACGTGCATCCTGCACGCATCCTTCAAATCTCATCTTGAAAAGGGAGGCTACTTCGTACAGAGTTCGTAATGAATCAATACCGTCTATTAGTGGCTGCATTACCGACTACACTACACGTTCATCGAGACGCCTAGGACACCCATCCTACAGAAAACCTGACCGAGCCGCCCGATTGCTCACCAGACACCCTCCTCCGTCGTCACTACCTAGCTTTTACCCTCATAAACCCCCGTCACCATCCACGTAAACGTCGCCATCCCGCTCAGCAGTACGAACGCCGTCAGGACCCCCGCGCCGGCCTTGTCGCCGACGGTGATGGGCCGGTGGTTCGGCATATAGTCGGGCTCGCCGCCGGCGTTGTAGTCGCCCTGGCTCGACCCGCCGTCCTTGGCCGTGACGGGCGCGGCGCCGGCCCCGTCGACGGCCAGCAGGCTCAGCAGCGCGCCGAGCACGTTCATCTCCTGGCCGGCGCCGTGGCTGCCGTCGTAGCTGCCCTGCACCCAGCGGAAGCCGCAGACCCGCCCTTCGCACTGCGCGACGGCGGCCCGCGCGGAGCTGCGCAGCACGTCGGCGATGCGCTGGTGCGTGAAGGGCGCGAGCTGCGAGGTCACGGCCAGCCAGCGGTGCACGTAGCCCTTGAAGCTGAGCATGTCGGTCGTGCAGGTGATGCGGTCCTGCGACTCGCACGAGATCTCCTTGGCGACGCCCGTGGGGAAGAAGACCTTGATCATGTTGGTGAGGAGGCCGTCGACGCGCTCGCGCCAGACGGCGTCGCCGTTGGTCTGGAGGAGTGTGTCAGCGGTGAAAGGGTGTGTGATTGAGGGAGAGATGAGGATCAACCGCGACTCACCCAGTTGTACATGAAGGCCGAGCCCTGCAGGAAGATGGCCACATTGTACGAGAACTGCGCGCGGTTGATGTCGGTGCAGTTGTGGCCCGTGTGCCCGCCGTCGTAGATGTTGTACTCGCCGTCGATCAGGCCGACGCCCTGCATCCAGTCCCACGTCTTGGTCACCCAGTCCGCATACGTGCTGTTGTCGGTGTACCTCGCCAGCCGGGCCGCCAGGTTGAAGAAGCACCCGTTGGCGATCGAGTTCTTGTAGTCGTACCCGTTGTTCACCGAGGGAATCTGCCAGCGCATGCCGCCGCCGCACTCGTTGTCGTGCCGCGACGGCGCCGCCTGCGTGTTGAAGACGGCCTGCGCGAGGGCGAGCCACTGCGGCGAGTCCTCGGGCGGGTTGGGGAAGTTGTTCTCGGCCGCGAGCATGGCCGACATGCCCCAGAAGGCCTGGTCGTCGTTGCCCAGCGACGCTGTCCAGTTCATGGGCATGTAGCTGTTCTGCGGCGGGCCCGTCTGGAAGAGCATGGCCTCCTGCACGACCGAGTTGTAGGTCGAGTCGCCCGTGTAGTGGTAGTAGTCCATCATCGTGCCCCAGAGCGCGCCGCCCTGCCACCAGTAGTAGTCGCCCTGAGGAGGGGGGCCGGGGAGGATGCCGGGGATCTGGCCGGACTGGTTGCCCTTGTAGTAGGTCATGACATCGTAGGATTTCAGCCGGGCTGCTTGTTTCATTGCCTCTGCAATGGGATGTAAGTTAGCAACCTGTCCACGAGTGCCATGGTCGATCGGGCGCACAGAGTTGCATTATCGATACTGACCATCCGAAGTCAAGTCCACGTCCATTGCAGCCTGCGCCCCCCACACCCATAGCAGTGCTACGAAGCCCTTTCGCATCCTGGAAACCTCGGTATAACTGATTGCAAGTGATTTCTGCTTGAGCCTGTGGGAGCTGTCGACAAAGTGTGCTGAAGCACTAACGAGTGGATGTGAGTGCTATCATGAATAGAGATGCGATGACAATTGTTGCATCTCTTCCGTTAAAAGCCCAGGTTTTGTCGACAGGTGAACGGCGACACAACAAGGACTTGGTACAAGAAACGAGCGAGATTCCCTCGACACCATTCACCCAGGGATCGTTTGTAGTGACAAGCGACCGCGACGCTTGGTGCTTCGGCTGACACAGGTGGTATCCGGTCGCGTATTGCTTGATAGACCGCCACGGTTTGCTGGTGATGCACCTAGCGAGCGAGGGATGCCGAAGAAAGAGGGAAAAGGAGCAGACGGCAACCGTCCGCACACCGCCAGCCAGCAATCAAAAGAAAGCGAGCGATCGATGATTGCACCATCCGTGCTCTGTGTGCGTGTGCGACCGGGCACCAGTCAAGCCACGCGGAAGCGCGCATTGAAGGCGCCCTGATAAGGAGGGCAATCTATCCGGACACGCAGGATATTGATAGGTTATCTCGGTGCAAAACTTGGTTGCAGTGTGTGTGCCCAGCCCGGATGTGATATCATTGCTGCCCCTCCGGGCCTGCATGTGCATGAAACGTGCCGGCTCAATTGGGCAGCTCATGTTAATCTGCGTCCCGAACCCTGGTCCTTTAGCCGAGATGGGCCTTTGAACCGTCCCTGCATTGCACATCCCGCGCTCCCTTTTGGGCGAAAATCGTCTGCTGTGTGGTGTGAGGAAGTGGAATTCGTACAAAGGTCTTGCAGGTCTGGCCGAGAGGCTCTGCGTTGCTAGCAGTAGCCAAGTCTGTTGCTGCAGTCTTAGCATAGCCTTGCAAGCTACGACTGATCACCGTACCTGGATTTTGCTCACCAAGTACTTTGCCTGGACTTGGTCGAGGTCAACTGGGATACCTTTCGAATGGCTTAGTGCAAAACACCAAACGTTCTTCCCAAGACACATTACGTGAGAATCGCGAGCAAGAACGAAACTTGGTAAGCCGGGGTCAGAATGGTTGACGGAAGTCTGTCAGGAGGTACGCCAAGATCAACAATACATATCCTTTCTCCGGACCTCAAGTTTGCAAGGGCCATCACACTTGCTACAACCGATGAGTGTGATACATAGTCAAGAACGTAGGTAACCACTTCTGTTAGCAGCTCGTCAACTACTCTGACCATCACTTGCAACTATAGTAAAACATGGCCCAAAAAGCTCGACGCGCATGGAGCTCAAAACAACGGCGGCTGCTCTTCTTCCCACTCCCTCCGCATCCGGCATAGCCCCGCCCCGGCTCGCGGCCGATATCGTTCAATCGCCTGCCACCAAAATCAAATCGCTCGCGTGCCTGGACGCCCCTCCAGCACTCTAAAGTGTGGGGGTTGGCAGCGAGGGCTGCTCCGTCGTTGGACCGTCGGCTCCCAGTCGTGGGTCCTGGTGTGCATGCTAAGCACTGAATCGCTGGATCGCTACGCCGATATCTGCGGGTTAGGCCCGAAGCAGGACCTCACCGGCTCCGAATCGCAATCAAAGAGTTTTCCCCCGACTCTCACTTCTTGTATTGAGCGCTGCTGGGCTTTGGGTGTCCGCAACCATGATATACTGAACCTAACAGCGTATAGCGACGACCACATCAGATTGTTTGGAGCATCATGTCGTCTGCTGTCCGCTACCTCTACCACGAGTCGGGACTCTCGGCCCTCGTCGCCGCCGGGCCCGACGCGTGGCTCATCATCCTCTCCCGCTCCACCCGCATGTTCGCCTACGGCGGCTCGGCCCTCGTGCTCGCCCTGCTCCTCGCCGCGTTGAACGTCTCCGAGGCCCGCATCGGCCTGTTCATGACCCTGACGCTCCTCGGAGATGTGGTGCTGTCACTCTGCACCACGCTCGTCGCTGACCAGCTCGGGCGGCGGGCGACGCTGATCGGCGGTTCGCTCCTGATGATCTGCTCGGGCGTGGTGTTCGCACTCTGCGACAGCTACTTGGCGCTCCTGGTCGCCGCCATCGTGGGAATCGTGTCCGCGACGGGTGGTGACATCGGGCCCTTCCGGGCCGTGGAAGAGTCGACGCTGTCTGGGCTGTCCGGCCCGGAGAGCAGAGCGGATGTGCTAGTGTGGTATGTCACCATGTCGGGACTGGGTTCCGCGGCTGGCACGGCTGCGTGCGGCCAGTTCGTCGAGTGGCTACGGAAAAAGGATGGCTGGGAGCTTGTGGATGCGTACCACGCTTGTTTCTGGGTGTATGTTCTGATGGGCGCCATCAGCGGCGGGAGCACGATGCTACTGTCGAAGAGGTGCGAGTTGAGTGGGGAGCAGGCCCTCAAGCAGGAGGCCATCACAGACGAGAACGACGACGACGATGACGATGACGAGACAGGGGAGCCTTTCATCGAGGGCCAGCAGAGCGGACAGACCAGCCGAGGCCCTGCAGGCAGGGACAAGAAGGGCTGGCTGGCCCAGATCTCGCGCGAGACCCGCTCCGTCATGTACGCGCTGTGGTTCCTCCTCATGGTCGACTCGCTCGCCGATGGCATGACCAGCATGGCCCTGACGACCTACTACATCGAGCTCAAGTTCCACCCGACCAAGTCGCTGCTCGGAGGCGTCCTGTCCGCCGCCTACTTTATCGCCTCGTGCTCTGCGATCTTTGCCGGCCCGCTGTCTCGCCGCATCGGCCTCGTGAGCACTATGGTGTTCACCCACATCCCGTCGTCGGCCGCCGTCTTGTTCTTCCCTCTGCCGCAGGGGATAGCGCTGACCTTTGCACTGCTGCTGCTGAGGATCGGTCTCAACAACATGGACCAGGCGCCCCGGACGGCGCTGATCGCCGCCGTGGTGCGGCCCGAGGAGAGGACGGCCGTCATGGGCATCACCAGCATGCTGCGCACGCTCGCGATGATGACGGGCCCGAGCATCACGGGCCTGCTCGCCGGCAACGACCAGTTCTGGATCGCGTTTGTCGTGGCAGGCGCCCTGAGGCTGGCATACGATCTGGGGTTGTTTGTCATGTTCATCAACATCAAGCTGCACAAGCATGAGACGACGCGGGGGACCGAGAGCGCCGGGCACTATGCTCTTGTGGAGCAGCAAAGGCATTCTGGGAGCGACGATGACGATGCGGAAGAGCGTGGCGAGCGCTAAGTTGCCATGCAATGAGTAGATCGAAAGCCGGGGTTGTCTTGGACATGAGAATAGATTTGATTAGTATGAATGATGATCATATATTGCCACACTCTCCTTTTCATTGCAGAAACCCGCATGACTGTTGTAGCCTTCAGCCTACGTAGCCCGTCCGCAACGCAGGGCGCAGGGATGCGAGATCACTCGCATGTCTTGTCTTACATGAAAGGTATACTATTAAGTTTTAGTATTAGGATAATCCTTCTTAAAAGACATCGTAATTGATAAGGCGAAGCAGGTTGATTAACCGTCTGCATGTCGGCAGGTCCGGAGTCCATCGACGGATGCTTGGATGGGATTGATCAGGGTTGTACAATTAGAACCCAGTCTATTCATGTTACCAACCAGGACGAGGACAGACTTTCACGATCTGTTCTAAGATTCAGGCTAAACGGGCAAGTTCTGAGCAGCAAGTGTTCATTGGCCCTAACCATAGGTCATAGCTAGAACGTATCAGAGAAACTAAAGCGATGTATCGTCAATGTTCGTCGTGCGGTGTGGGCTCAAATAAGGCTATCAAGACGTATGGCAAAGGAATACAAGCGTTGTTGCAGTGAGTGTCCACCGTAGTATACTCCCACCGAACATGTGCTACTGACACAAGTTTTATGAACAGGTGGTCGGTTTATGTTTGTCAGCAACGGGCTCATACCATTGGCCGAACTGATCGATTTTGGGCGTCAATGCATGCTTCTCTCCATCTCCAATCATGCACGCCGATTAGGCGCCTCAGCCGCATCAAGCAAAACATGAACAGGCATCAATCTGCGGGGTTCTCGCCCTTCCTCCTGTGCCCTTCGTCACAATTGTTAATCTATCTGGTCGGACTACTTGATGAGGAGTTCCAGAGCCCACTGCTTCGATACTTGATGCGGCGCGAGTCGCACGAAACACAATCAATATGGGTTTCTTTCGTCACCTCTTCGACAAGCGCAAAGTGCAGAGCGAGCCTGATTCCTCGAGCGACAACAAGAAGTCACACCACGACACTGGTGCTAGCGTGCTCTTCGACGGGACTTCTGGCGAGAAGGAGGGCGGAGTCGACATCATATTTGTCCACGGTTTGCGAGGATCGCCCATAAGAACATGGTCCGAAGGAAACGTATGCTGGCCCCGAGACCTCTTGAAAGAGGACATACCAAACGCAAGAGTCATCACATGGGGTTACGATTCCGGTGTTGCGAGGCCATTCCGATACACCAGTCTCGAGAGCGTTTACGGACATGCCGAGACGCTGCTGGGAGATATCTCCTCTTTGCGCCAGGATACAGTAAGATTTGGGTTTGCACCCAACATCAGCGAAATACTAACCTTGCTTCCAGACCAGGCCCATCGTCTTCGTCGCCCATAGCCTTGGGGGTCTTGTTGTGAAGGATGCCCTGATCACAGCATCTTCATATCACAGCAACAGTCGGCATACGAGCCTCGGAAGAGTCTTTCCGGACACAAAGGGGATACTGTTCTTTGGCACACCCCACCGGGGTTCTTCCAAGGAGTCGCTTGGTGAGATTGTTGCCTCCATCTCGAAGCTGTGCCTCCATAAGCCCAACCAGCAACTTCTCCGTACGCTCCGAGAAGACTCGCATATACTCGAGCGGCAGCGTAACGAATTCACCACGATATCCCAGGGAATCTCGGTCATTTGCGTGCGAGAAGAGTTACCTACGGCTATTGGTATGGTATGCACGACCATGGACCTCTACTGGCTCACAAGACGTCTAGCTGACACCGGAGAAGATTGTTCCAAGGGAGTCGGCGACATACGACGGATACAACGTTCGGCGGAGCTCAATCCACTCTGACCACATGGGCATGGTCAGATTTGAGAATCGCGAAGACTCGAGATACCAAAGAGCTATTGGTCTGCTGGCCGAGCTCGCAGCAACGGGCTCACAAAGCAACAAGGAGGCAAATAGCAAAGGTAAGCGCATCTGTCAAGGAGACGACCTTCCTGGGCTTGGCCTTTTGAGTTTTCCACCGCTAATCAACTCAACGTAATCGTCTAGGCGGCCACACAGACAGTGGTAATGACACTTTTCCTAGTCCAGTTCGCTTGGATGAACTTGCTGTGCTGATTGTCCTACCTAGCCATACTAGATGCCCTCTTTTTCGAAGGGCTAACGACAAGGGAAGACAACATTGAAGATGCCCATGACGAAACATTTCAGTGGCTTCTCTCAAACACTCCAACTGATGGCGACGAAAAGAAGCCCACATTTGTCACCTGGATCAACTCTCAACAAAATCTGCTGTGGGTCAGCGGAAAGGCAGCCTCGGGGAAATCCACCTTGATGAAATTCATCGACAGGTCCCAGTCAGGAACGATCAACGAATGTCTCGCTAGTCAAGGCGTTGAACCAATCATCGTCAGGTTCTTCTTTTTTGACCGCGGGAGCGACCTACAGAAGTCTAGAGAGGGGGTGCTTCGGAGTATCCTTTTCCAGATTCTATCTGCCGACAGATCACTTCTCGAAGGGGCTACTCGGTCTCCAAAATCTCTGATGGTTGACAGATCCGGCGGTGTTGCAAATGTACCTGGCTATGGCACACTCAATTGGGACACCCTGAGGCACATGTTCGACCGGGTCATCCAGGCGGCAGAGGAACGAGGTCGAGCGATATTTCTACTCCTAGACGGACTGGATGAATATCGCGTCATGGATCGCCTGCAAGAATATTCTGAGGAAGACTTCGACCTAATGTATGACGGCGAAGATAACGACGCTGCTTGGGGGACGAGCGCGTGGATCACCGCCGGCCACCGCGAGATAGGGCTCTGGATCAAAAAGTTTCGAGGCCTGAACAGCATCAAGGTGTGCTTTTCCAGCAGAGAACTCTCTGTATTTGAAACGCTGTTCCAAGGCGTCCCGAGGATCCAGGTACACGAGCATACTGCGAATGACATATCCCGGGTTTGTCGAGACAGACTCGCAACGGAAGCACCAGGCCTTACGGACTCGGACTCTATTGTGGACGAGATTACATCAAATGCACGCGGTGTATTCCTTTGGGAGAAGCTCGTGCTGGATCGGATTATTGAAGGCTACATCAACGGGGACACAAGTGAAGAACTCAAGTCGACCCTGCGTTCACTACCAAAACGCCTTGGGGGTCCGAACGGTCTGTACATGACGATGTTGAGAAGAGTGAGCAAGGATTATCAAGAAGAATCATCAGTATTATTCGACCTAGTCCTGGGGGTTGACAGAGTTCTTCACATCGCAGAGCTCTTCATGGCCTCTGATCGATATATGTCGGCTGCCCAAGCGCGAGAAGACCTCCCGGTGCATCAATGGAAGTCTCTGGGCGATTTCGAGGCATACTGCAAGTCCAAGTCTCGTAGATTGAAAAGCCGCTGCGGTGGTCTTCTCGAAGCTGACTACGCCGTTACCTTCATGCATCAGACAGCAAAGGAGTTCATATCACGCGACTATATCTGGAGGGCGGTATTTGGACAAGCCCGCGGGAATGACTCACTTGCTACGCATTCAGCACTGGTGAGGGGCTCAACACATCTGGTCAAGTCCTTGTCCAGTATTGAACTCCCAGCTGATTTCCCGGAGGGCTGGAACACTACCCACCGACCAGTGGTCCAGATACGATCTATCATGAACACATTGACTCTGGTTGACAGGGGCACTGAAGACCCATGCGTCTATGCAGACCTCGTCGACAATTTCAAGAGGGCTTGCGATTTGTTACCGAGTGCCATCAGAACCTGCTTTACTGATCTGGTCTTTGACGGTTCTGACGTTCCAAAAGCCGACTCTCTTTGGTTCGATTTAGTTCTTCCGCGTGACATTGTTCCGCGATGCAAAGACTTTAACAGCTTTGCGGCACAGTATGGCCTTTCAAGATACCTCGACCATAAGCTTTCAGCAATGTCAAACCACCAGCGGGGCGAAGAAACGCAACGGCTTCTTGAGTTGTCGTTTATGGTTCACCGCGCACCTGGAGCGGATGGTTTCATAATGAATGTCGACATGCCAGTAGCGACAATGCTTTTCTCCCAAGGTGCATCACTGAATCCGTCATGCAGACTTCCATGGGCCGCCGCAATTGGTTTGACCAGGCAAGCTAGTGCCTGGGTAGACCTGATAGAAGCTGGCTATGGAAGATTTGTGCATGAGACAGACCTTGTGCCACGACTTCACTCTGTCGGAGCTGTATCTGAGATAGGTCTCCTCTGGCGAGAGGGCTATCCTAATTGGCTGCACCTCGTGCTCCTTATGCTGAGCCACGGAGCCCAAGTTGATATCATGGCGAGTGTTACCTTTGAGGCGGACATTTCTAGTACTTCCGAATCTGGTGGGACGGTGGAGCTCGTACAAGTGACGGTGGCTTCAATCATTGAATCAATTATCGAGCTGCGTTCTTGGGATCAGGCTGATGCCGTCAACCTGGTGAAAGAGATTCACAAGCACACTCGGCGAAACGGGAAACCAGAACTCATAAGATTTCATAAATCGAAGGACAAGAGACAGTCCTTCCAGGGCAGCGATGACAGCGGCAGTGGCAGCTAGCATGAAGACGTTGAGGATTTCCTAACTCTCTCGTGGGGGGTATGCAAACGCTCGGAGCGGAAGATATCGACGAGGAACCTGAAGAAGAGAGTAAGGAAGCATAACAATCGATTGTGGAACCCAGCATTGTGATAGATTGGCAGGTTTCTGCTGTCATGGTATTGTCTTGGTCTCGTCCCGAAGAGACATAGCAAGTGGTCGGACGGCCGAGGTGGTGGGATGTAAGATTATATGCGTATTGTTAAATGAGCTCTCTGCTGGGGCCAATCTGTCTGGCACAAGCCGCGTTACACTGTAAGTTGGATACGATCCAAGAGACACAATAAATACAATACCCAGTTCCAGAGACATGCTGACGGTTCTCATTGATAAGGTCACACTTGTTGTCGTGGATTGATCAACCACCTACCCCCTCGCAAGGCTTTCAAGCTCGACTGCTGCCGTCGCCGATGTAGGTCCGGGGCCCGGAATCGTCCCCGGGCTTTTTGACCTCTCGATCATGGTTTGTAGGCTCCTAACCCGTTGCCAGTGAGTTAGTGAGCGCGGGAGTCCGCATGCGCAAGCTTGATGGATGTTGTGGATCATCAAGGCGCTCTCAGCGGACGTATAGCAGGCTCAGCTCCTCCAGTTGGTCTCGCCGGCGACTACATAGATACGCAAAACCGCATCGTAACAAACCTTATTGCCAAGCTTCAACGCTCCTCTTTCGTCGTAACGATCGCAGGCCTACTCTCCATTCTTAGTCATTCCTCAGATGAATCCAGAGGCGCCTTTGGCCGATCCAGCTTGCGATCTGACGCGCACCCATCCTCAAAGGGAGGCGCAGCTTCAACAGCCGTTGGCTCCTTTGGAGGCACTCGGTAGTCGGAAGGCGGCAACACTACGATTTCGTCCGCGCCATAGACCTTGGCCTCTTCCCCGACAATATCGAAGCCCAACTCCCAACGTATGACGTGGGAATGTTGAATGTAGTAGGTTGTGAAGCTCGGCTGAATCTTGCAATAAGACGGCGTCGTCGCCTCGTCGGATACTTTCTGTTTCCAGAGAAAATGCCCCATCTTCAGTCTGCAGAGGGTGCCGATGTCGAGTTTGACACCTCGTCCCCCGGGGGACAGCACCATGGTTCTCGCCGGCCCCAACACGGCAAGCATATGGCCAGCTTGGAGGGGAAATACGGCCGATCGTGACTCTTGCATGGTGTCGTCTTTCAACCTGTCTTCGGGGCGAACTTTGGTAATGCACACAATCTCGATGCCGAGCCTAGTGAGCTCCACGGTCTGCGACACGTCGCGAAGCGCCTGGGCTCCCTTGCCTGGGAGTGCGGTCAGATGCGCTACGAAGGGGATAGGATTGGGATTCTCCAGCTGGACCACCTTTGGCGTCTGGACCTCGATCTTCATCGCGAAGCTCGGATCCTTGGACGACCGGAACAGTCTGCGGGCCCTGTCGGATAACGATGGACGAGCGTCGCGCATGCCCGGGAGGAGACGTTTCGATGCGACGGAGCGTTCAAACTCGGTAGACTTGAGTCGATACCTTGAGAGCATTGGCTCATGCCAGAAAGGGGCCACGGGGAGGACCAGGAGCGACTCGACATCGACAAGTTTGCCATGGGCTTGTATCATCAGCTTCGCTTCAAGGTAGTATTCCACTACGCTGACCGGCTCCGAGAGGAGCATGCCGAGTCGACTTCTCTTACTTATCAGGTCGTCATGGTTGAAGCTCGGCGGGAACGACTGCTTGTTGTGGATGTACGCCTTGGGAGGTGTAAATCCCATGCCCGAACCGCGAGGAGCGAAGCGCCTCTCCGGCTCTTCTGGAAACGTGACGGAGAAGGGCCAGGTCTGTTCGTTGCTGCCAGGCGCAATGTGAAGAGGGCCTTGGTAGAGGGACTGTGATTTCCAGAAGAGTTCCAATTCGGAGCGGACAGTCACGGTACGGGTTTCCCTGTACGGGCTCGTATGGTCTGGTACTTCGCGCTCGGTCTCGTTCCACAACCGGCCGATCAGGGAGAGTGTCAGTCTCGAGTGGGTGCCGACGGCGGGCTCGCTGCGGTAGACGCATCCAGTAAGAGTGTCACCCGGCGCAACGGTGGTTTTCTGCAGTGCGTCGGCCAGACGAATTCCGAGGGACGGGGATGAGAAAGGTTCTTTCGGCGGGACCGGGGGAGCCATGGTGCCATGATGTCAATGATGCACGAACCTAGATGAAATGCACGAGGGTAGTGTGAAGCTGAAATATGAAGAGCGAGTGGCATTGGCCTGGCAGCTATTTAACCCGCCCTTGGGAGGCTAACTCGATTCTGTCCAGCTGGTGTTTGGCTGTCTCAAAGCTGACCAGTCGCAGCCAAGGCCGAGGCTGTTTTCAGCTTGGCGGTTCATCAAGCTGAGCTGATGATGCCTGGGCATCGACCGGTGATGCCGCACAGACCAACCGGAGAGGTGCCCACACCCCCTTTGGATGGCACAAAGCTCGCCGCGACTCGCGAGGCCTCACCGCAGCGCTGGAGACAAAGCACGACTCTGAGCCCCCTAATCCGTTCGGTGCCGGTGTCGCAAACCTACCACCGGACTGGAAACGACGTCAACCATGCGCTGAGCTGCTTTGAGGCTTCTAAGAGGCAGGCCTGGGCATTGCAGTACGGCAAGATGCGGCATTGCTCTCTAGTCACAACATAGATAAGTCGCAGCCCTCGAAATCCCCTTAGTGGCCGTGTCCCGAGGGAAAGACGAAGAAGACGGAGATGATATAATTTAGGTGGTCATTGGGGAGCGCATAGCTTGATGGTGAATGGAAAAAAGAGGGTGCCGTCCTGGGAGACGGGTTCTAGGGGGTTCGCGACAAGTTACGGATCCATGTACACTCCGTTCAGATATCGAGCTTCAGCCAACAACTGGCTTGGATTTTCATTGCAACCAGCAGTGCTCGCGACGGCTACAAGCAGACGGCTACGGTAGCCGCCCGGCGACCTATTTCGTCTCCAAACGGCGGGCTGATCTCGTTCGGTGCGGCGCACGCAGAGGTGGAGCTCATAACTTGCAAAAAGACTGCCACGGAAAAAAGCCTGAGCATGAACTTATTGACTGCACAGCGTTATCCGAGATGGGGCCGGCCTGTCCGGCATTTTGTTACTTGGATTGGCGCAAAGGGCGTGCTGTCAGGCGCAAGAGCTGCTCAAAGCTCGGCTCAGCTAAGAAGACACTGGGCGGCCAGCATCACTAGAGGAACTTCACCAAGCAAGTATCGTCCGGGGTGGCGCGAAGGTCGAGGCCATCCTCATCCTCAGAGACATGCCGGGGTCATTGACTTTGGGAGCAGTGACACTGTCGGGGGGGTTGATGAGGACAAGGCTGCATCATTGGAGGCTGATAGGCAAGGATTGGCAAAGATGATGGCTATCCTTCACTAATGCCGAACTGGCCATTCTCAGTTCACAGCTCGAGTTTCTTCGAATGACATTGATCTTTCTGGTCGGAGCGCTAATGACCCCATTCCCCCATTCCCCCATTCCCCCAGGTCTTGGACCCGGAAAGCCAAGAGAGCCAAGCAATTTTAGCGAAATGCGGCTCCTTTGAGTGTCGAACTCGATCACTCAGCCCGACTACACCTTGTGTCAAAGACAAGGGGCTTGTGGTTGTTGACGATCAGGATCAATCTAGCCACCGTATACAAGCAGAAATTTGACATGGCCCAGCACATGACACCTTGGACGCTTGTATATGCTCGTCGAGGACATGGTCACCGAGAGGCAGTTTCAGCCAAAGAACCAGGCTAGAGGTTGCAGGCCAACAACTCGACTTTGCTACCAGGTTTCAAACGGGGTTACTAGCTGAGAGGAGGATAGAGGAGCATATTCAACTAGATGACTGGAGAAAGCCAGAGTACGATACACCCAGTGGCCAGTGGGGACGACTTCCTACGACCGCGTCTCGGGAACAGTAAGATGCTAGGTAGTTCTAAAGTTGGCCACCGAGAGCGGCTTTCAACAGTCTGGCACTACTGGAATTCAAACTAGTCATGGTTTCAAGGAGCGACCATCCAAATTTAGCCACGTTTACGAGGTGCCCAACCATTGTACCCAGCGCAAATGGTTGATCAAACGGAGAATCCCGAGACTAGGGTGGCCATTTTCCTACAGTTCCGGCGCCCAACCCTTTGCGTGTCCAGCAAAACCGCAATTTCTTTACCTTCTGACTACTGCAGAGGCTATTCTGCACAGCCTCCTTTGCTCCAGGGCTTCTTTGGTCCCTATGCTCTCCACGTCTTTGGCGCACGATGGAAGTCCCTGTCGTCGCCGGTAGCATTAGCCTACCATCAAATACCGAAATCGCGCCCGCGACACCGCTCGAGGACGGGAATTCGACTGCCCAAGCCCGCCCCGAGCCCGCAGAGAAGACTCCGCTCGACCCGGCGCCCTACCAGCCCATATTCGTCACACCGTCCAAGTACCTCACCTTTATCCGCCATGGGCGCGGCCGGTACCGCGCCGAGCATCCCACCCGGCTGGCCAACAGCCTTCTCGTCAGCGCCGGCTTCTTCGAGGCCGCCAACGCCGGAGACTTCGCCGCCAACGTGTGGAACGAGATCCCGGTGCCCACGTACGCGGTCGTGTTCATGGCCGTCGGCGGAGCGGTCGCCCTCAGCACGACCTTCTTCGCGGCCCAGGATGCGCTGCTCAGCTGGCGCAACATCCGCGGCCTGAAGGCCGAGCGGAGCTACCTCCAAGGCCAGCGAGAGCGGTGCTGCGACCAGGCGCAGACGCGCCGGACCATCGACTGCCTGCTCGACATGAACTTCCGCGAGACGGGCACCGAGTGGGTCGACCGGGTCGCCCTCGACGTGCTGATGGGCCTCGGGGCGCTGTTGATCAGCGTCGGTACCATCCTCGCCATCTTCGGCGCGGACCCGGCCATCTACCGCGCCAGCAATCTGCTGTCCGGATACGTCGGGAACGTGCCGTGCGCGGTCTGCGGCCTGCTCAACCTGGTCTGGTCTCTGTGGGTCTGGAGGAGGGCCTGCCGCCACGAGTCCTCGGGCTCGCACCGGCTGCAGTCGGCGCGGACGTTGCAGAAACTCCAGCGCCGGACGTCCGGCGTCAAGCTCCACGGGGCTCTCACGGGCATAACGGGGGTCGTGGCGAGCGCCGCCTCGCTCGTCACGGCGACCATGTGGTGGGGCTATGTTGTACTGGCGCCGTGCATTGTCGCCGCAGTGGCTGCCAACTTCCTGTGGAGGAAAAGGATAGGATACACGCGACCTTTCGTCCGACAGATTGTGCCTCTGAGCGAAGAGATGCTCGAAGCGGAGCTGCAATACGTCGAGGCCCGCCAGCGAGAGACGGCCAAGTCGATCTCCCAACCCGACGTGCTCGCCCGTCTGGTTTCCGACCCAGCGTCCCTGGCATGCGCCCTGGACTTCCTCTTGCGGCACGGGCTCTTTGAAGACTTTTGCGTGCGCGTCCTGGCCGACGCAGAGGTGAGAGACGCAGTGGGCGATGTCCAAGGCAAGACTGTCAGCCTCGATGCCGAGATGCTAGCCACGGCTGACGGTGCCACCTGTGACCGCCTCCTGGCCATTGCCAAGTCTCTTGTCACGGACATCTCGCACCGATACTTCCTCGAGCAGGAGCGCTATATCTTGGAGTGCTTAGGCTGCTATATGACCAGCTCGGCCGTCAAGCCATCTGGGTCATGAGCTCACCTTATTAGAGTGTTAGAACTATAGATGTAACGACTTGAAATCTTCTTGGAATCCGTCCAATGCCGTTCTAGAGCTGCGCCGGTCAAAACTCGAGCCTGTTCGGCGGTTCCCGTGTTGGCGCTAGTGGTGCCGTATTTGAAGCGGACTGTCCTGTTATCTCGGCAGGTTTTCATGAGATGATCTGTCTGCCGTTGCGAAGCATCGTTGGGAATAACAGGTGCAGCAGAAGTCACCTCGTGGGGATCTCTAGGAATGCCAATGCTTCTTCCACCACTTCACACCATACTCGAGTCTACCATCTATCCAGCTCATGCAGCCTGGGACGTCTTTTCTGCCAATCCGGAGCGTTGATGTTGAAAAGTGGACGTTGGATGGGCTTCGCAAGGTTTGTAAGCCCAGCTTGTTGGCCCTTGCCCTACAGCCTCTCCAAGTTTGCATAGCCACTTGGCCAAGACGAGTGAAGACGACGGGTTGAGCAGCTATTCGACAGGACCTGCTATCCGACACATGGATGGAGGAGAAGAAAAGGAGTTATGTCCAGTGCAGGGGTGGCAATTCGAGACACAGTCGGCAGTGCCTGTAGTCGGTTGGGGGATTGTTTATTAGGAAGCTACTTGTCTAAATAGAGCAGGGCGATATCCCCAGTCAGTTCCTGGCCTGTACCATCTGCGTCCATCGCCTGTAGACCCATTATCTCAGGGGAAATTCGGGGCTGGAATCCGGCGCTGATTTCCCGGTATCATGAGCGGCAGGGGATTGTCCCATCTGCTGTATTTCCTTCCGTCCCATGTTTCTTCCACTGGTTGCATCGTTTTCGACAGCTGTGCCGCAATTCTCTCGTTCTCACGCCAGACCCTGAAATACAGTCAGCAGCCATACCTTCGCAGACAGACGAACATACCTGAGAATGTTCTCTCCGACGAGCTTCCTGATCTGCTCGTCTGTTGCGCCGCGTCTCATCACTGCTTCAATGAGCTTGGGATAATCCGCCACAGAGTCGATGCCGTTGGCCAGGGTGACCGTGCCATCAAAGTCTCCTCCGATGCCAACATGGTCCCACCCGGCAAGTTTGACTATGTGCATGATGTGGTCCACGACCCTCTCGATGTCTGCCCTGTCGGGGTTGGTTGCGTCGAGGAACCGCTTGACAAACATGACCATGAGAACACCTCCGTTCGCCTTCAGCCTCTCGATGACATCGTCGGGGGCATTGCGGTAGTTTGCTGCAAGACCGTAGCATGTGCTGTGGCTGAACATCACAGGCGACGCAGTGATGTCCAGGACTTGCCGCATCGTCTGGTGGGACACGTGGGAGAGGTCGACCATCATGCCCAGCCGGTTCATCTCCCGGATGCCGGCCGCCCCAAACTTGGTCAGTCCAGCGTCTTTCCCCGTCGCGGTCACTGTAGATGCCGCAGTGGCATACGGGTTGTCGCAGTTGTGCGTGACCGTGATGTATCTCACGCCCAGATCAAATAGCTGGCGGATCACCGCGATCGACGACCCGGACTGGTGCAGGCCCTCCGCCCCAAGCATGGATGCGACGCGTCCGGACTTGAAAGCCGACATGACACATGACGAGGTGTCGCAGAACTGGAACTCGTCGAGCTCCGAGATGAAGCGCCGAGTCACGTCGATCTGCTCGAGCGTATCACGAACGCTGTGGCTCGCGTCGTCGAGGTCCTCGATGTCGGGACATTCCACAAACGCCGACCAGAACTGGCCTCCAACTCGGCCTTGCTTCATCCGCTCTAGGTCGGTGTGACTTGCCAAGCCTGTCAATCGTCAGTGTCAAGATTCAAGCAACTCTTCAAACGTTGGGGACCTTACCATTGCGGAAACTAAAGGTCTTATTGTCGTAGATCTTGTTTTGGAGCTCAACGCGAAGCAGGTACGGAAGATCGTTGTGCCCATCGATCAGAGGTGTAGTACTCAGAATCCTCTCTGTCCTCAGAGCGTAGTCTGTCGGATCGATGGGTTGATCAAGCAGCGCAAAGTAGCCAGCAAGGGCGCAAGCTACGGCGCTCCCGCCAGCGATTATTCTCCACGAAGACCAACCCTGCGACATCTTCAGAGTTTGTCACCGTCAACTGTCGCCGTGCAGACGAGCTGAGGAGCAGAATATACAATCGATCTATGCTTACTCAAAGCCTTGTGCTCAAAGGGTGGTCAATAGTCTTGACCCCTCCTCGTTGGCACTCTGGTGCCGTTCCGTTCGACTGTGGAAACCGCGCCGATCCCGGTACTCCTGGACCGAACTTTAGCGGTGGCCGGTTTGTGAAGACAACACGCTGGATAGCACCAAAGAAGGATTAGTGCAACATCTCGTCCAACAATGTATCCAAGGGCTGGTCAGATTAGTCAATAGAATTTCATTAGGAGATACCCTAAATCATATCTTGTTCTCTAATTCATGCTGGTTATCCCACTACCTAAAGCTGATGGACAGCCAAGTACTGCTGTTACCAGTTCGTCACGTCAACTACCTAGTCTACCTAATCTGGCCTACACTTGCAAGTATCCTATCGAGGAACCCCCTCCTCCATCACGCTAAGCCGTTTGCCGTTACGCCCGCATCCTATCTTATCTGTCGGCTCTCCTGTGCCGATGCGTCGGCATCCGCTTGCCGGACCGACTCGGTAAAACATGAGCATAGTGATACTCTTTCGCACAACGGCGTTCCATCCCGACTCAACTCCCCCCGTCCCTCGCGATGGCCGATTCCAATACTCCTGAGAGCCTGGTGGCCAGTGAGCCAATCAGGAAGCGAAAGAGACGATCGGGCATCGCGTATGTCCCATCAACCCATCCAGTCCTCGTGGCCACCGCTCCCTATCGCTAATCACAACCTCATTCCAGCTGCCGCCGATGCCACCGGCTCAAGATCAAGTGCTCCGGAGGGGTTCCTTGCCAGAGATGCCAGAACGCCAAGGAGACCTCTTTGTGCGAGTACCCATCTCGTGAAGCTAGAGTGACCATCTCCGCCAGGTGAGCCGCTCGATATTCGAAATCCGATTTGGGTTCCCCTTCTAACTAGAACTATCACCGCCTCAGCTATCTTGACCAGCTGCGCAGCGGCAGAGGAGACCTGGAACGCGGCGAGACTGTGCGCGATGTCGCCCATGTGAACTCCGCCGAGGTCTCGATGGCGCCGGAGTCGCGCGCTCCCAGCCAGGCACCTCACATCGACGCCGACATCAGAAACCCGATCCATGAGCCGGGGAGGATATTCCAACTAGATCAAGCCTCGCAGCAGCAGTTTGTCGGGGAGTCGACCTGTCTGGCATTTGGCGACCGCATCCTGCGATGTCTCAACCCGCACTCTGCGACGCCCACGCCGCTCCATCTCGACCAGCAGTACGTCCAAAGCCCGGTGTTCGCGCGACAGCAGCATGATGTGACTGGCTGCAAACTCCCCGAGCGCATACGCGCCAACCTGCTCGTCCGGGTCGCCCTCAGGTTCATCGGACAGGATTATCATTTCTTCCTGCATCATGACTTCTTGCAACAGCTCGAGCGGGCGTATGACTCGAGGGAAACGCCTCAGTATGACTCCGTCTGGGCTTGCAAGTTCTTTGCTGTTCTCGCGCTCGGCGAGATGTATTCCACCTCCATCCCGGCGGTCAAGAGCGATCGCCACTGCTCGGTTCCTGGAACGGACTACTTCCTGACGGCTGTCGGTCTCCTACAGGACCTGTTTGAAGAGCCGTCAGTTGCTCAGATTGAAGTCTTGTTGTTGTTTGTGGGTCTTTATCATTCCAGAGCTTCTTCTGTCGCCGTCGCTCAGGAACTAACTCGACGGGATTCTAGTGCTTCTATTCGAACGCCCTCGGGCGAGTCAAGTCAGCACACATGTACAGTGGCATGGCTGTGCGACACGCAACCTGCCTCGGCCTTCACCGAAGCACGTCGGCAAGCACATGCCTGTCGCCGATCGAACGGGAGCATCGGATCCGTCTGTGGTGGACCGTCTATGTGTTTGACAGGTCAACCTGCTCCAAGCTCGGGCAGCCATTGACCATACAAGACTCCGATATCGATGTGGAAATGCCGTCGTCCGATGGGATCGCTGTGAACGACCCCTCAAAGCTCGGAGACCCGGATATCTTGATTGCCCACATCAGCTTGTCACAAATCACCGGCCTCATCATGTCGGACATCTACAAGCCTCCTTCCAAGTCGAGCAGCGGAAAGTTCGTCCAGCACGTCCGCGCCATCTTGCAGAAGTTGAGGACGTGGGATGCACACCTTCCCGTCGGTCTGCGATGGAAACCAGAAGGCGGTGTGAGACGGTCTGTGGCGTCTTTACAGCTGCACTTCAACCAGTGCATCATCCTGACCACCCGCCCCATCTTGCTCTACGTGTTGAAGGTCAAGAACCCCTTCAATCCCGCCGACGCCAGCACGAGACCGATCTCAGACACGACCAGATCACTGGCCGACTCGTGCATCTCCGCCGCTCGGACTTCGAACAGCATTCTCTCGCAGCTCTTTGTTGATAACTCACTTGCCACCTGTGGCTACTTTGATGCTCACCACTTGTTCGCCTCCACACTAGTTCTCATCATATCGGCCATCACATCTCCCAACTCGGGAGACTCTGACGCTGTTCAGACTGCGTTCCAACTGCTCATGGTCATGCGGGACAACGGAAACATTGCTGCCGGCCAGTACTTCTCGCGGCTGGTGCAGATACAGTGGAGCGTCAGCCGGCTCTACTCCCGGACAACCCCGGCGATTGAGACGTCGGCTCCCTCCAATGAAGAGCCGGCCGCCATGGGCACACACCTCACGCCGTCCAACCCGCCGCCGCCGGGCACGCTGGGTCTGGACAACTACGACTGGAGCAACTTCTTTATGCCCAACTCGTTCTACCCGAGCTACGACGGCGAAGAGCCAGAGACGATGACGGCTGATCCGCTAGACAACCCCTTGCTCCAGGCATTCCTCGATCACACGGATGCGAGCAGGGAGGACAACCCGAGTCTGAGCATCGAGGAAATGGGATACGTACTGCAGCAGTTTCAGACTTCATCTTCGTAGCTTTTGACAGCGGCGCATTCAAGGGATTACTATTTTTTGAGTTTATAGAACTGCCATCGAACCTAAGTCGCTGTCTAGCTATACTGCCTTGACCCTTCGTGCTTGATTACCTCAAAGATTGCATCCGCAACGTACGTGACGTTCTTCTCGTTCAGACCACTGATACTTGCTCGCCCACTCATCATGAGATAGATGTGGTGCACCTTCCTCAGCCGCAGCACGTGGGCAGGGCTCAAGCCCGTAAAGGTAAACATGCCAATCTCGGACTCGAGATGGCTCCAGTCGCCCACCCCCGGGTGCTTCTCAATCTCTTGTCTCAGGAGAGATCTCATCCGCTTGATGCGGCTGGACATTGTTTGCAAGTCCCTGTCCCACATGGCCCGAAGTCGTGGATCTGACAGAATGGTCTGCACGATCCGCCCTCCGAAAGTGGGAGGATTCGAGATCTCGCCCCGTACCAGGCGCAGCAACTGAGTCCGTGGTCCAGGCTCCGGAGTCCCGGGGGCTAGCACGAGATGAAGCGCACCCACACGCTCGCCGTAGAGGCCGAAGTTCTTGGAGAAGGACTGAGCGATGCACAACCCCTGGGGTCCTTCAGCAGTAGAATCCCGCGGAAAGAGGACATGTCGGAAGTGGCGGACCGCCCATGCATCCGCGTCAACATCGCCCGTCGCGAATCCCTGGTATGCAGAGTCGAAAAAGGCGAACAGCTTCTTGCGCTTGAACAGCTCGGCCAGAGCTTCCCACTGCTCTCGAGTTGGGTCGATGCCGGTAGGGTTGTGGGCGCAGGCATGCAGGATCACGACATCGTCCTCTACCGCCTCGGCCTCCAGCGTGGACATCATCCCCTCAAAGTCCAGCGAGCGTGTCGGCGCATGGTAGTACGGGTACGTCTTTTGGACGACGTCGGGGGCTGCGAATTCCCAGATGAGGTGGTGGTTGCCCCATGTCGGACTCGAGATGAACACATGCCGCGGCTTGAGCCGCTGTGCTAAGAACGCGGCGCCTAGGTGGTTCGCCCCTGTTCCTGAAATGGTCTGGATCGAGACCACGGGAGACTGCGAGGTGTCTTCTCGACCCAAGATCAGATCCCTGGCTACGTCCAGGAAGTCATCGAGTCCGTGGATGGGGAGGTATTCATGGTTCCAGTCCCTATTCTTGTTCAGAGCCTCTCTTGCCTGCGGAAACGATTTGAATTAGTTGTTCTACAGTTGCTGTTGTTGCACTTGGTCTATACGTACTGCCTTGACGCTTGGGAGAACCCATGGTTGTGAATTCTCGTCTCGGTACACTCCAGCACCGAGACTAACCTTGTTCGGGTGGTCGTCGGCTTTGAAGTCGGCGGTCAGCGCAAAGACTTCGTCCCTGGGGACCTCGGGAATGTCGGCTAGTCTCATAGTGATACTCGCAACTGGTTGAAGATACAGAGAGATCTCTGATTACTCTGACAATCCCTGGGTTCAAACTCTGTTATTCAAGGTAAAGGTCGGTCTTGAGACTGGACGCTAGGGGCAATCGTTTTGTCATGCAAGCATCAAGCCAGCAGACTTGGTGCTATCAAGGGAATACCCACTTGTCGGGGGTCCTTCGATGGGTCAGCGATAGCAGCGAGTGCAGTCGGCATGCTGGCCCGATCAACTGGAAAGGGTGCACGCCAAGTGGGTAAACTGATGCGGGGAAGTCCAAAGTACCCCGGATATCGCAGAGCCAAGCTACGGCATTACCGAAGGAGACGTGTGGCGGGCAAAGAAATCGCTGTCACAAGTTGCAGGGAATGTAGAGAAATGAGATCTTTATGCCCATTCTGGCGGATGGCCGGCTACTGTGGAGTTGATCCTTGATGAGCAGATCTTGAGGGTTTGGTAGTGGTGTAATCCCATTGAAAGACAACTTGGGTGTCAACAAGGATAGGAGTGATGGGCATCACGCGGAAAACACCACGAACACAGGGTGTAGAATAGTGGTACTTGACAGATCCGTGATATTGTCCAACAACAAACTCAACTACTGGCACTTTGACAATGTGCTACCAGGCCCAGATATCTCTCCTCCCCTTGATCCAACTCCTTCTTTACATGGAATACCGGAAATGAACATCATAGTCGCCCAGATCGGGATTCGGGGGAATCGGTGTTCCCGCCTGCTCTGCTGCCAAAAGCTTGGCGGCTCGCTTGCGGTTGACCCAGTAGAAACTACCCATGAGTCCAAGGACGATGAAGAGAGCGAAGCAGGCCAAGCCAAGCGAGATGGACAGTCCAGTGATGTATCTAGGCGACTGTTGCGCCGTGAAGATCTGACCGACAGCGACACCTGCCGTGTTGCCGAGGCACAGCGTGAAGCCGACCATGGTCGCTCGCTTGTAATGCCGCGAGACGTTGTCCTGCACCCACATGATGGACAGTCCGGTGGTAGGGTAGATACCGAGGGCGGCAACTAATGGATTGTGAGTTGAGTTGCTCCAGAACTAGGCAGTGCAAGGGAAACTTACTGAAACAAGCAAAGAACCTGACCTTCAGGTTTTCGACGCTAATCAGGAGTGCGTAACCGATGACCAGGCAGATAAGGCAGATGCAGATGTAAGGACCACGGTAGCCCGTCCTATCCGAGAAGTAGGCGATGATGAGGAAGAAGAACAGGGCGCAGATGTAGATAGGCACCGTCATCAGGTTGGCATGGACAGAGGTGTACCCCAGTCCACGAACAATGGCAGGCATAAAGGTCGTCAAGCCGTAGAGGGAGACGTTGACGGAGAACTGGTACGCGAAGAAGGCATACCACTTGGGGTCCACAAAGGCCTTGAGGCACTCGCTCCAGGAGAACTTGTCGTCGTGGCCCCAGGTGGGATCCAGGTCGTACCGGGTCCGCATCATCTGCCGCTCTTCCGCGTTGAGGAACCAGGCCTCGGTCGGCGACTTGGGGAAGAGCAGCCAGAACAGCGGCACGGCGATGATGGTCATGGCGCCCTCAATGGCAAACAGCCACTGCCAGCCCGCGAAGTGAGCAGTGCGGATCTGAGTCAGACCGAAAGCGAGGATTCCACCGAACGCGCTGGAGAAGGCACTGAAGGCAAAGATCATGGAGGACCGCTTGCCTCTCTCCGACTTCTTGTAGATCCATCCAAGGTAGACGTTGATGCAGGGGATAAGTCCGGCTTCGAAGAGACCAATCAACAGGCGGCAGGCATACAGGCCTCGGTAGTCCTTGACGAAAGCTAGGAGAGGTTAGACAAGGACTGAAAGAACGAATCATCGAGATCGACATACCCATTCCAAGCGTGACACAGGCCCAGCAAAAGGCACTCACAGACATCAGGGGTTTCGGGCCGACAACCTTGAGCAGGACAGCAACAGGTCCTTCCAGGGGAACATAGGTGGCAAAGCTAAGGGCAATGAGCGTTTGTCGCGACTGGTAATGATGGACATGTATGAAACTCACAGCAAGGTGGTGGCAGTGCCGAACTGGTTGCCGACGAGGCCGAGGTCCTCTGGCATGCCCGAGATGTTGGCATTTCCCAAGTTGCTCCGGTCCAGGTTCGACATCATATACAGGACACCCATCGCAGTCACGGCAAACATCTAAGGGGGAAGGGGTCATCAGCCATGCATCGTCTCTCACCGGTGAGCTCGGTGACCAACATCAAACTTTCTCATCATACGCCTCTCCTTGACAGGGTCGATATAGCAGGCGGAGGACCCATTTTCGGACTCTCCAGTCGAAGGCTGTTCAGCAACCATGCCTGACTCCTTGGACGCGGGGACTTGCTCGGACATTGTCAGAGGCACTCGAGGCGAGGGAACGAGTGTGCAATGTCAGTTCACGTCAATGTTGGCGAAGAAGAGTATTGCCACAACCACCTCAACGCGAGAGGAGAGCTGGCACCGTTGCGGGGTTATAACTCCCAGCAACAAAGGCACGGGATGGCCTTGTCTGGGGATGCGGTTCTCGCTTTGCTATCAAGACAGGCCGGCTAGGAGAGGCTAGTCAGGGCCACCGAGACCCAGTGATAACATGAAGATAAAACCCCAGCCCTTGACAAACACCACCGAGATAAGGGATTAGTGGCCTAATATGGTAAATCGCCTCATAGTACGGGGTACTCTAGCGGCCTTCTTAGTCGCTATCTTGTGGAGACCGGCTCGGCGATGTGGACCGACAATCGGATCGGTGCTGCCAGACCGGTCGGCTCCTCGATACCTTGGGCCCGGTCTGTCGACGGTCGGTACGTCAGGGGCGCTCATAAGAGCAGCTAGTAATTGCCGGCGGCGGAACTGGCGTCTTAGTATCGTGCTTTAAGAATGGCTGGCTTTTGATACGATCTATCGTCGACAACAGCCCGTGCCAACCACAGTGAGCTCGAACAGTTATCGACTCACGCTTCAATCATGACGGCCGTGGACAACGCTGGCATCTGCATCGCCATCGACAGAGGCGGCACCTTCACAGACGCCTGGGCATGGATCCCGAGCAGGGAACCCAGGGAGCTGGTCCTCAAGGTCCTGTCGCAATGCCCCGAGGAATACGACGATGCTCCCACAGAATGCATCCGGCAAATATTGGAGGTCGCCACGGGCCAGCCAATCCCGCGGGGGACGCTGCTCGACCTCGGCCAGGTCGAGAGCATCCGCATGGGCACGACAGTCGCCACGAATGCCCTGCTGGAGCGGAAAGGAGAGCGCACCGCGCTGGTCATCACCAAGGGCTTCCGGGACATCCTGGAGATCGGCAACCAGGCCCGGCCGCACATCTTTGACCTGTCCGTGCGCCGGATGGCCAAGCTGTACAAGACCGTCCTCGAGGTGGACGAGCGGGTGACGATCGAGGGGTTCGCAGAGGACCCGGAGCCGCAGCCCATAGACGTCGAGTCTGATCCCCAGTTGACGACGGGGCTGGCCGGCGAGGCTGTCCGCATCATCAAGGTCCCAGACTACGACCAGGTCCGGCGCGACCTCTCTGATCTGTGGTCGCAGGGCTATCGCAGTGTCGCCGTCGCCATGCTGCACTCGTACACTTACCAAGACCACGAGCTCGGCGTGGCCAGAGTCGCGCGCGAGCTCGGCTTCAAGGTTGCCGTCTCGTCAGAACTCAACAAGATGACAAAGATCGTGCCTCGGAGCCAGTCGGCCGTGGCCGATGCTTATCTGTCGCCGATCACGCAGACGTACTTGGCGAGCTTCCGGAAAGGCTTCAAGGGGCACCTCGAGGACGAGAACGCCAACAAGCTGTTTCTGAACCAGTCAGACGGCGGCCTGACGTCTTATACAAACTTCACCGGCCTACGTGGAGTTTTGTCTGGTCCTGCGGGCGGAGTTGTTGGCCTGTCAAAGACTTGCTACGATGCAAAGGAAGGGAAGCCCGTGCTTGGGTTCGACAGTGAGTCCCGCCATCTCCCCTCGTCGCCTTACCGATGCTGACAGTTTCTTAGTGGGTGGCACGAGCACCGACGTCGCTCGCTACGCTGGTTCTCTGGAGCACATCTTCGAGAGCACCATCGCCGAAGTGACCATCCAAACGCCACAGCTGGACATCAACACCGTCGCCGCCGGCGGTGGCTCCATCCTGACGTGGGAGAGCGGCCTCTTCAAAGTCGGCCCGGGGAGCGCCGGCGCCAACCCCGGACCGGCGTGCTACGGCAAGGGCGGGCCACTCACCGTCACCGACGCCAACTTCTTCCTCGGCAGGATCGTGCCCGACCTCTTCCCCCGGCCGCTGGACCACGCCGTCGTGCAGCAGAAGTTTGCCGAGCTGACCAGGACCATCAACCTCGACAAGCAGGGCAGCAAGGAGTTCTCGCCGGAGGAGGTGGCCATGGGATTCCTGATGGTCGCCAACACCACGATGACGAGGCCGATCCGCACCCTCAGCGAGGGCCGGGGCTTCGAGACGGCGGCTCATAACCTGGGCTGCTTCGGCGGCGCAGGCGGCCAGCACGCCGTGGCGGTGGCCAGAGACTTGGGGATCCGGCACGTCGTCATCCCTCGCTATTCGAGTATCCTGTCAGCTTACGGGATGGCGCTCGCCGATGTCGTTGTCGAGAACCAAGAACCAGAGTCGCAAATCTTTGCGGAAGAGGCGTTCTCCGTCCTGCAGAGCCGCTTCGACAGGCTATGCTCCCGGGGCCGGGAAGGGCTCATCTCCCAAGGCTTCACGGATGCCGATATCCGGCACGAGTGCTTCTTGAACATGAGGTATCAGGGCAGCGACACCGCCCTGATGATCCAGGATCCCGGCTCGCTGTCGGGCTTCGGCGACGCTTTCACTGCCCGGCATCATCAGGAGTTCGGCTTCACCCAGCCTCGCAGCGTCATCGTGGACGATGTCCGAGTGCGAAGCGTTGGCAAGGGCACAGACTTCCACCTGACGAGCCCATTCCAGGAGCTGCAGCGGGCTCAGTCAAGCCCGCCCGTCACTCCAGTCCAGCCAGAGGCGATCAGGAAGGTCTACTTCGAAGGCCAGGGCTGGACGGAGACGGGACTGTTCTTCCTCGGAGCTATCCCTGTCGGCGCTCGCATCAAGGGCCCCGCCATGGTTGTCGACAAGACCCAGACCATCGTGGTGGATCCCGCCAGTGCCGCCGTCGTGCTGTCGGAGCATCTGATCCTGGAAATCCTCGACGTGGAGAGGGCGGGGATTGCAACCGACGCCGTCGACCCCGTCCAGCTCAGCATCTTCGGCAACCGCTTCATGAGCGTTGCCGAGCAGATGGGCCAGACGATGCAGAAGACGTCGATCTCGGTCAACATCAAGGAGCGGCTGGACTTTTCCTGCGCCGTCTTCTCGGCCGACGGCGGGCTTGTTGCCAACGCCCCGCACATCCCGGGCCACCTGGGCTCGATGAGCTACGCAGTCGCCTACCAGGCCAGGCTGTACGGCCCCGGCGAGTTGAAGCCAGGCGACGTCCTGCTGAGCAACCACCCGCGGGCGGGAGGCACGCACTTGCCCGATCTGACAGTCACTACGCCAGTCTTTGATGAGAACGATCCCTCGAGAATCCTCTTCTTCGTCGCCAACCGTGGCCACCACGCAGACATCGGCGGTATCCAGCCCGGGTCCATGCCGCCCAACTCTACAGAGCTGTGGCAGGAGGGCGTGGCCGTAGAGACGTTCAAGATCGTCAAGGAGGGCCACTTTGACGACGCCGGCCTCAAGGAGATCTTGGTCGACATCCCAGAGTCTTATCCCGGCTGCAGCGGGACGAGGACGCTGCGAGACAACATTGCGGATTTGAAGGCAGCCATTGCCGCCAACAACCGTGGCATCCAGCTCATCACGGCCCTGGTGAGGGAATACACCTGGCCCGTAGTCGAGTTCTATATGCAGCAGATCCAAGAGAACGCCGCCCAATCGGTCCGGGAGTTGCTGAAGGTCTTTTCGAAGCGGTTCGAGGGCCAGGACCTGCAAGCGATCGACTACCTCGACGACGGCACCCCGCTAGCGCTCAAGGTTCACATCGACAGCGAGACCGGCGACGCCACCTTTGACTTTGAGGGAACAGGCCACGAGCAGTACGGCAATCTGAACTGTCCCCCAGCAGTCATGCTTTCAGGAATCATGGTAAGCCCATGGCAACAGAGTTGTGCAACGACATTCGAATGCTAATTGTGTTTAAAGTACTGCCTGCGGTCAATGATTGCCACCGACACCCCTCTGAACCAAGGCTGTCTTGCACCCATCAAGCTCAAGCTCCCCGAAGACTCGATCCTTTCGCCATCATTAAAAGCCGCAACCGTCGGCTCCAACGTGGAGACCTCGCAGAGGATTGTCGACCTGATCTTCAAGGCCTTCCAGGCGTGTGCTGCCTCTCAGGGGACGTGCAATAACCTGACGTTCGGCTACGGCGGCACCGACCCCGAGACCGGCAAGGTCACCAAGGGCTTTGGCTACTACGAGACTATCGCGGGTGGCTCGGGAGCAGGAGCCGACTGGGAGGGCGAGAGCGGCGTGCACACCCACGTCACCAACACGAGGATCTCGGACCCCGAAATCTTCGAGCGCAGGTATCCAGTGCTTCTTCACGAGTTCTCGATCCGGCATGGAAGCGGAGGCCCCGGACTGAACCGGGGAGGCGACGGGTGCGTAAGAGACATCGAGTTCCGCAGGCCGCTGCAGGTCTCGATCCTGTCGGAGCGCCGGGTGATTCCGCCGTACGGCATGGCAGGCGGCGACGAAGGCAAGAGGGGCCTCAACCTGTGGATCCGGCGCGATCCCGAGGACGGGTCGGTGCGGACGATCAACCTGGGCGGCAAGGCGACCGCCCACATGAACGCAGGAGACAGGATCATTGTCCTCACGCCGGGAGGCGGCGGCTACGGGCGTGCTCCCGACAAGGTGGAGAAGAAGGAGCTCTTCGGGGCGTTCAGGATCGGGGACAAGTTTGCGGCGGCAGCGTCGAGGAGCAACGGCAGCGTCGCGCAGAGGGAGGCTCTGGCAACACAGAACTAGGCGAGACAGCTTGCATTGTAACATGATAGCATTTTACGCGACGAGTTGGAACCTGTTCCCACAATCAATGATAAGGCGTTGTTGTTGAGACATTGCTAACGGACGAACATGGTCACCAAATCAGTCGTTAACCCTCCGGGGACGTGATTCATCAAAGGTTTGGCAACCAGGCACTCGCAGGTTCATCCCCAGGCACAGTGAACTCATCAACATCCGGCCTGTGAATTGACTGACCTGTCGGGCTTGGATACTCATACAACCCTCTTAGCAGCTGAAGGCGGACAAGGGTTCCGGATCACAAACCTCGGTATCCTTGAGTTGACCATTGGTCTTGATGATTGTCTCACAAGGGCTTTGATCTATATTCCTCAAACTCAAACAGCCACGAACTAGCAACCCCGCATTGCAAGGCAGTGACATGCATAAGCTGTTCCGATTTACCGGATATCAATCTACCCCTTGGCAGTCTAGAGGCAAGCTAGGAGGCATGGTCTCCCGTTCTGGCCCCGGTTCAATACTTACCTAATGATTGATACCCATGGCGTTACTCAATGGTGAGTACGGAAATGCGGCACATGCTCGGTTCACAGTACCGGTGCCAGGGAGATACGTCGTCGGCCAGGAAAAGTGGGTTCGATAAGGATCTCCGGTTCGATCCTGGGGTCGGCCTGCCGGTGCCGATCGATGCTACCCACCCATTCACAACACCGACGGCGCTCGGTAGGTGGTTGATGCCATTCAGAGTATCCTTGTTGATATCGAGAAACAGAAGGCAAGCGCTTTGACCTATTGGCATCGCGCGGAGCTCACACCATCCAGACTCAGCCTGCCAACTCATCGCCAGACTCCCGACATGGCCGGCAAACCAGACGTTCTTCTGATCGAGTCGTCGGTCCAAGCGGTCGACGGCCCTCGCAGGGCAAAACTCGCGGAGCGCTTCAATCTCATCTACTACGACTGCGAGTCCATCGAGCAGTTCAAGGAGCGCATGAAGCCCGGCGGGCCCTACGCAAACATCGCGGCCATAGTGCGCAGCGGCTGGCTCAAGGCCGGGCCTCTGGCGTACATCCGGCCCTTTGCAACGGATGTCGTGTCTCACTACCCGCCGTCGCTCAAGCTGATCTGCTGCAACGGGCACGGACACGACGCGGCCGATGTCGAGACCATCTCGGCCAGGGGCATTTGGTACTGCAACACGCCCGACGCGTGCACAGAGGCCGTCGCCAACACGGCGCTGTTCCTGATCCTCGAGTCTTTCCGCCTCTTCAGCTACGCGCAGTGGTGCGCGCGGTACGACTGGATGCAGAGCCGCGAGCTGGGACTGCTCAGCGTCGACCCGACGGGCAAGGCGCTCGGGGTGGTCGGGCTCGGCGACATAGGACTGGCTGTCGCGCAAAAGGCCGAGGCCTCGTGCAGCATGAAGATCCACTACCAGGGGCCGCGGCGGAAGCCGGACGCGGAGAGCAAGCTCAGGAGCGGAGCGACGTATCACCAGACAGTGGATGACATGATTCCTCACATCGACTGCATTGTGCTCGCAGCCCCGTACACAAAGGAGACACACCACCTGCTGGGCAGCAGGCAGTTCGCGCTGGCCAAGAAGGAAGGGCTCCGGGTCGTGAACATTGCGAGAGGGCAGATGATAGACGAGGACGCCCTGATCGAGGCGTTAGCGAGCGGCCGGGTGCCGGGTGCTGGTCTCGACGTCCACGCCAACGAGCCCGGCGTCAACCCCAAGCTGAAGGACAACTGGCGCGTCACTCTTCTCCCGCACATCGGTGTCTGCTCGCACACCAGCTGGGCCAATTTTGAGAAGATTAATCTCGACAACTTGGAAGCCTTCTTCGACACGGGCACGCCAGTGACGCCGGTAAATAAAATTAGCAACTGATACTAGATAATAGATTTGCAAGTTGATCAATGGCATGGTCTTTGAGTCTAGAAATGTACAGCCTGATGCATTGTCGTGGATTCTCGACATGGGCTGATGATGAGCGCCGGTCGAACCATCGGCATAGGCTACGGCGGCGCTCACTGATAGCCACCGATAATCGGCCGGCCCGCTTCCGCCGATCCTTCGCCGGCGGCCACCAGTCGGGAGCCCACTCTTTGCTGTGCCTTTTATTGCAGCGAAATCGTGCCTTTTGCTGCAGTGAGAATGTCGACTTGATGGCAAGCACTTGTTGACTACCGTTCGCATCAAACATTAAAGATATGCGTAAGTCTTGTTAGATTCATGTCCCTCGTCGGTCCGTCTAACGCATCCCTCCCAGCTTACTTTGTCGTCATCGGCGCCGGCGTGGTCGGCCTCACCCAGGCCCTGGAGCTCCGGTCCAGGTATCGCAACGCCACGATCGTCGTCGCCGGCAAGTACCTGCCCGGCGACGCCGCGGCCGAGTACGCCTCGGCGTGGGGCGGCGCCAACTGGTTCCCCGCGGCGAGCGACAACGGCCCCCACGAGGACTGGGAGGCCATCACGTACCGCAAGCTGAAGCAGATCTCGTCGTCGCGGCCCGAGTCGGGCGTGCGGCCCATGGACATCCGGTGGCACTACGAGCACCCCATCGACGAGGTCGGCATCAAGACGCCCGCGACGGGCAAGCTCTGGTTCGAGAGGCTCGTGGGCGGCCTGAGGAAGATCGACGAGCGCGAGCTGCCCGACGGCACCGCCTTTGGCTTTGAGATGGCGAGCTTTGCCATTGACGTCCAGAAATATCTGCCCTGGTATGGAGTTGCAGACGTGGTTTCTGTGGACGCATCGCCTGGCAACTGACGCTTGGTGCAGGCTTCAGACAGAATGCACCAGACTCGGTATCGAGGTGCATCGACGGATATTCAGTCACATCGACGAGGCGTCCGAGCTCTACCCCGAGGCCACAGCCGTCTTCAACTGCACAGGCCTCGGCGCGATGTCGCTAGGCGGCGTAGAAGACAAGACGATGTTCCCCGCGAGGGTAGGTCTTGCTGTACATGTGCATCGTCTCACAGCCAGCTGACCGTTACGCAGGGCCAGATCTTGCTGGTCGAGGGCCCCGAGAAGCCCATCCGCAAGATGTACTTCCGCGCGCCGCACCGCAACGGCGAGGCGACTCACATCTTTCCCAGGGGCGAGCGGGGAGGCGTGATCCTCGGGGGGTGCCGCCAGAAGGACAACTGGGACGGCGAGGTCGACCTCGAGTTTGCAGAGGTCATCAAGAAGCGCTGCTGCGCGTTGGTGCCCGAGCTGGGGAAGCCAGAGGACCTGAAGGTCGTCAAGCATGGCGTTGGTCTGCGGCGTGAGTAGCAAGCTGCGTAGCCTTCCGGCGGATCAGACTGACGATCTTGACAGCTGGAAGAGAGGGCGGCGCCCGAGTAGAACCGGAGCTGATCGACGGCAAGCTTGTCATACACAATTACGGTGCCGGAGGAACCGGTTTCCAGGCATCATGGTACGTCTTCAACTTTCCAGTTACAGAATCACACCTGCTGACGTCTACAATAGGGGTCTGGCAACCTACGCCGCCGACTTGCTCCCAGCGCAGGCGCGGATATAATCGTGGAACGAACAAGCGCACTGCCCATCAACCTCCCATAGAGTCATCCATACATAATAATATCATTCATCCTGCATGCTCCTCGTTCTTGTCATTTCTACCGTCATGAGCACGTGATAGCATGCAGATATGTAGACGCACGCTCGCCTCCAAGCCTCCAAGCCTCCAAGATAGTGGTGTATCCTTTGGTTGGTGGGATTGGTGGGTAGAATGATCGGCATACGTCTGCCGATGGTCGGCTGCGCCAGCCGCAATCGCCGGAGTGGAGTTCGGATTCCCTCAAACCTCCTCTTACCACGACTATAATGGACCACGTGAAATCACCTGCCATTTGAGTTCAAGGCTTCTAGTCAATAGTTTCCGACCAGCGACGAGTAGTCGTTGCAATCCCATACCATGGCAGCGGCACGGGAGCCCAGGCTGCTAACAGTGGCAGCAGCCCAGCTTGGCCCAGTAACCAGCTTGGACACACCGCGTGAGGAAGTGCTGAGGCGGATGACCAAGCTCCTGGACGAGGCTGCAGAAAAGAAGGTCAGACTGGTCGTGTTCCCGGAGCTCGCCTTTACCACTTTCTTTCCGGGCTATGTCATAAACGACAGCGAGGAACTCGCTTCGTTCTTCGAGCCTGCATCGCCCTCAGACCCGTATGCGATCGTCAGGTCCCCCAACGCTAAACCACTCGTCGACAAAGCAGACGAGCTTGGCATCGACATCTCGTTCGGCTACGGAGAGAGGTGGACTGCCGAGGGCGGCAAGGTGACCGATTACAATACCGCAATCTACTACTCTGCCGCCCGGAAACGATGCATCGCCAAGTACCGGAAGATCCATCTGCCGGGGCGATACGAACCGGACACGCGCCCAGGGGTCACGCAGCAGCTTGAGAAGCGCTACTTCACGCCTGGAGATCTCGGCTTCCAGGCATTCCGCGTACCCGGACTGGTGCAGGGAGCGTTGAAGTCTGGTCATGTCCAAGGCCTGCCCGACCCCAAGGATGCCGAGGGCAGGGGCGATCCCATACTGGGCATGCTGATCTGCAACGACCGCCGATGGGCCGAGGGGTGGAGATGCTATGGCTTGCAGGGCATCGAGCTTCTCTTGGTAAGGCATCGTCTCCATCACAGCAGACACAAGACTGACAGCCGTGCAGGAAGGATACAACACGACAGCCTTCGCGCCTCAGTACGAGGGGTCAAACGAGGAGCAGGAACAGGAAGCCTTGTTCCACCACCGTCTGTCCTGCCAAGCGGGAAGCTACCAGAACGCTTGCTACAGCGTGCACGCGGGCAAGGCCGGCACTGAAGACCACGGGTCGCTGATTGCCGGCTCCTCCATCGTCGACCCCAACGGACACGTCATCGCCGAGTCCAAGACCAAGGGCGACGAGCTCGTCTTTGCTACCCTCGACCTCAGCAAGTGCCTGAAAGGCAAGGAGAGGGTGTTTGCGTTTGAGAAGCATCGGAGGGTCGAGCATTACTCGCGTCTGATAGATCAAGTTGGCACGGAGGAGCCAGCGCTGCTGAGCGAGTAGAACAGACCAATGCTCAAATGTATCAAATGCATCTCGCCTTCGTAAACATCCGTCGCGCTCCCCAGCGTCGCCCACTGCTCTGGCCCCCGTTCCGGCGATCGCCTGGACCAAGGCGTATCTCGGCAGCCCGAACCTCAGTCAGAGGCTGCTGTTGCTGCGCGTCTGGAAACAAATGGCGATTCCCCTGGCAAAGAGTGGGAACCTCTGGAAAAGAGCGGGAGGGCCTGGAAAAGAGTGGGACGGTCTCGAACTGGAAAAAGGTGGGGGCTCTTGGAAAACAGTGGGACAGTCTGGAAAAGAGTGGGACGGTCTGAATAAAGGTGGGGGAGCATCTGAAAAGCCTGATTGCCTGCAGAGTTTGAAGCTTGAAAAAGATGTGGGGCTTGTTGGCCTCTGCTGTATTGCTGCATTGCCTCAGCGCATGCATATCGAAGCCACAAGTAGCACTTTCTCCTATCTTGATCACTTGGTGGCCTCGCGGTCTGGCCCACTTTTCTTAAACCATTGCAAATTGCAGGCAGTTCTCAATTTGAAGCTTGACCCACACTTTTGTCAAGCCTTAGGAGGCAACCTCTTCACCCCGCCCGGTTGGCGGACTTGGCGACGAAGTGCAGTTGGTCAAAGTCCATGTCCACGTCGCCTGTAACGGCACAAAGGAGCGCGATCTGAGTGTTTAAACACATCCATAGCGGGCCAAGCCAACAATAGCATGGTGCTGATATGTCAGCAAGGCCGTTGCTTGTTTTTATCTTCAAGGCTTGCCACGCCTCCCCCCTTCCCGCTCGTGCAAAACAGGGACCAGAGCATCGGTTAACATCCACGCCATCGAGTTACAATTCCATGAAAGCATGGTTCCGATTAACTGGTGTGCCTAGCCAGAAAGTAGTCTAGGCCGCGGTCAAGGCTGGGACGATGCAAAGGGGCCAAGGGACTCGCCAGCCATGCCATCCATCTCACCTGTCATGCTGCGAGGCTATCTCGGCGCTTCGTGCGGTGGGGGGTGGCACTTGAAGCGCTAGGTGTCCTGAGCTGGAAGCCAGCCGGTTAGTGGGAAAGGAAAGATTAGCACGATGCTGTTCTCGGTCGGCGGACAGGCTTTGCGGCACCAACGCCGAGTGCTTCCTGGCGAACCCCCCGATCAAGGCAATCCAGAACCACCTATGCCCGCGAAATGGCTTCCCGGCTGTCCAGCCGCACAAGTGCAGCGATTGTCGGGGGATAGCAGCTGTTCTCCTGGCTAGATCTTTAACGGCAAGGCATCGCTCGAGCATGCCGCCCGCGCCAGAGAGCAGCGCGAACATCAGCCTCTCTACCTCACTCCGAAAGAGCACTAACACTTTGCGCAGCGAAACCAACACTGCGGGGGGTTCAAGCCAAAATGGACTGGTTTGAAGAAGTGTGGGAGCGTTTAAAAAAAATTGGAGCAGCGTTCGGAAACCTTGGATTGCCTGCAGATTTGAGAGTCTGGATAAATGTGGGGCAGAGTAATGAACTCCTAACCCAACTTTAAGCCACAACCTCTGTAGCCCTGGCAAGGAGATCATCGCCAACCTCGCGCCAACTGCTCTATCCAGTCAATCTATTGCCTGTGCTGTCAGCAAGATGTTCTGTGCCATGGTATTGCTTCGGCATCCTGCTCGCTGACATGACCTGTATCTCCGACTGATATCCCAGTGTTGCTTTATGTTTACTGAAGGAGCTGAACTGCACATGGCGGTTTACATAAGGCTATCGAGGAAGGGTGGCATTGCTCTATATATGGGGAACTCACTGGTAAGTCTATGTTTCTTCGTGCAGCTTCGTTGATGCACATAGACACAGGCCTGCAAGACAAGAGTGAAGTCCCCTAAAAGGCTGCACATAAGCAGCCCATGCGACGACCACTGCCAGGCTCAATAATAGAGCTGTTGACTCACAAGCGGGCGTCCGAGTCGTTGACGGAAGCTCATCAGAGGCTATCCGATGGGCTTGATACATGCGCAAGTCCCTAAACACTCCGGCCCAGCACAGCAATAGCGGCGACTGGGAATGCTGACCGCTGTGTGCTGATTGTATCCTTGTTGTGGGGGTGAGTGGCGATCCACCTCCAGTATTTTATCCACTTTTTCTTTTAAGGTGTTCAGAATTGCGTGTAAATCCCCTTTTACGGGGTAGACCCAGTCTGTCCTAACCTGCAGAGATTAGTCGCAAGTTCTATTTAAAACTCGCACCCCCCCCTAGGCCTGTGCGTAGCATATCCTGATGTTTCATGGCTTATCTGGCCCTTCTCCTTGAATCTCTTTCAGGTGACTTGCATTCATCTCCTGTTGAGCACAAGCCATATCTTACATCTGTGTTCCTGATGCACTTATAAATACATCTAGCTTGGCTTGCTCTATGGCTTAAGAGACATGCTCTGCCCCTAACCTTGTTATGTAAAACATGATGTAAGAAAACAGCATTAACCATAAAGTAGTATAGAAGAGCAAGTCCTACTAGGCAAAGAGGTGTATTGTATGCATTGTTAACATCTCGCCCGGAGTATTGAGCCGGCCGGGGAATGGAGAGGGGTTAAGGAAAAGGTTAAAACCGTTGATCGCTGACAGATTTCCCAGCTTAGAAAAGATGTGGGACCACCAGACCACAGCGCTGGTGATGTTATCGCCAACCTCATGGTAAATCTCCTTACTCAATTCATAAGATTACAGTAAGTTTCACTGTCGCTGATGTTTCCTACAGCACAATGTAATGCCCAGCTTTGACGCTTCCGATTGCACAGCTATGGAGCTTTTGGCATGCAGATACAGTGGTTGCGCAACCAGTCAAAGGTCAGTTCACAGGGATCGTCAGCAGGATCAATGTAGAGGCGAGCAAGTCAATTGTATTGAAACTAGAGCAACTGGGGCGGAGGGGTATGTGCCAACCGATCCAGCGTGAGAGCATTGACGACCTTCAGTGTAACTTCATAAAGCTCGCGCCGATGGTCGCGCTGCGCGGTGAGCTCCTCGAGCCTTGCCTCCATCCGGGCGATCTCAGCATGGAGCTGCTCGCGGGCATCGACCACCTCGTTCACGGCGATTTTGAGACCGACCATCGTGATCTCGGCACTGTCCAGCGTGGCCTCGAGACTAGGTGGGAGCATCCCCTGGAGCCGCTGCACGCAGTTGGCAAAGCGCTGCTGGTTCCGGATGTAGTCCAGCGTGTGAGCCAGGTTGTCGCGTAGGTAGTTCTCTCGCACGCAGACGTAGGCCCTGGCTTCAACCAGCTTGGCGTGAGCCATGTACGTGGGATGCGACGTTTTGAGCCCGCCGCCCTGGATGACGTTGAACCCCTGCTGCGTGACCAGAGACTGGGCGAGCATTGTGACGAGCATCTTAGACCGCCACAACTGCTCTCGCTCCCAGATTCTGATCACCGGTCGCACCGTGACGGAGGGGACGAGACCCATGCGTTTGATCAGGCACAGCGTCAGCGCCCACGTGTACGTCGTGTTGCCCAGGCCCTGAGCGGGGTCGTGCTCCCTGCCGCGGAGCCCGATGGTCTTGGATGTGCAGCCGACCATGAGCGGCGACTGCGTCTGCCAGACGTTGTGTGTCGGGTCGCGGCCGATGTCAATGCGGCGCCGGAAGTTCTCCACGAGCAGCCGCACCTTCTGGGCCGCGGCTGGGTTGCGGACGAATCGCGGGCTCCCGTCGGCCTGGGGCCTGCCGTACTGCGAGTCGACGGCGCGGATCAAGTCGGCTGCGCGATCGGCGCCGGGGATAGTCGGATCCCATCTGCCGCCGGGGAGCTGCCATATCCCGTACGCGTCGAGGTAGGCGGTGAGGTCGTTGATCAGGACGCTGATCTCGGCAATGGAGAGGAATTTGCCGTGACGCCCGTCGATGGACATTCCAGCGACGTAGGTACCGGGGCCGTCGTCGCTGTACGCGTCTGGTCTGTTGGTGCCTCTCTTGGCATCGTACGCGACGGTGCCCCGGATGATCGACTCGCACAGGTCCGTCGGGATCTGGTGCAGCAGCTTGAGCATCTCGCAGTGCTGGTCGATCCGCACGGCGTTCTGCATGTCGTTTACCGGAATAACGACAGGGCCCGTGTTGTTGGCGTCGAGCTCGTCGGCGAGCTCGTCGAATAGTAGTGTCAGCTCGTGGTAGGACGGGTGCCTCAGCGCCTTGAGCATCCGCGTCTGCATCTGCGTCATAACTGGCACTTCGGCCGACACGTCGACGTTGGCCGATACGCTCATAGACATCTTGAGAGCTGGTCAAGATTTGAGGATTGTTTGATCGCTGTGTGAGCTGTTGGAGTGGAAAGGTCAAGAGCTGTCAGGGCAGGCGGCTGCAGTCTTGTTTTTAACCAGGGGGAAAGGGGCAGGAGTCAATCTTTAAAGTAGGCGAGAAATAGCTTCGCGGGGCAATACCTCGAACAAGGAGGCCCAATGCTTCTATATAGATACTTTACGCCAGGCATTTGCTGGCGACTTGCTAGCATTTAATGGCACTTGGACTTATGCTTGGCACAGTGAGACGTCTGGACGGTCAGCTCTGCAGCCTCGTCCCGAAATGCCGGAGGGCGCTGAGGGAGCGACATTGCGCCGTTAGACTTGTTCAATTTCCTGCCCCTCCCTGAGAGTTTGGTGAAAGTCTTTGGGTTAAAGCCTAGCCACCTACCTCGTCAGCCCTTGGGTTAAAGCCTAGCCACATACCTCGTCAGAATCTCTTCAGAACCTCGACTAGATCATCAAACTCTCCCACAACCAGACGGCCAACATTTTGACCATCACCGCTCAAAATGGCCAACAACAACAACAACAACAACAACAACGCCTACCTGGACCGCTTCGCGTTCCACCGGGTCCTGCGTCCCCAGGTAGAGCCGCTGCTGGAGCGCCTCAGCTCGGGCACCGAGGCCCAGCACAAATGGCTGGTACAGAACCACCCCGCGACGACCGACGCCGAGTTCAGCGCGATGCTACCCCCTGCGCGGCTACAAGACCACGAGTGTCAAGCGCCATGGACGCCGGCCGACGAGGCACAGCTCCTCGCCGACTGGGCTGCCGACCCCATGCAGCACCACGTCCGCGACATCACGCGCAGACCAGCAAGGTACGCGCAGATGCTGGATCTCTGGAAGGCCTCCATCCGCGACATGCGCTGCCTGCCAACCAACATCATCTGCAGCGCCAACAACCTGGCGTACGGCGCCGCCAGCGCCACCGTGGTCCTCGGAGGCCACGAAGTCTCCAACCCGCTCTGGGCGCACTCCTTTTGCGACGCCCTGGCAACAGTGATGGCGCATCCCACCTGGAATGGATCGCCCGAGACCCTCATCATGGCCATCCAGTACATGGTCATCTGCCGTACCAACGACTGCCGCCACTGGGCTCTCGTCAACCCCACCGACAGCCGGTTCATCGACGCCCTCGCCCACGAGATCGCCTCCAACGGTGCCGGCGGAGGCGTTCGCCGCTCGATCAAGGAGTTGCATGAGAGGGCTGCGAGCCACTTCCACAGGAACCAGCTGGCCATCAACGTGTTCCACCGCCTGTTCCTCGAGATCGAGCGCCTCGCCTTCAAGGACGACACGCCGCCCATCCTCCCCGGCCACGGAGCGATGACGCCCTTGCAGGTCACCACCACCGATCTTTCCAAGCTGGAAAAGGCCGCCAGCGCCGCAGAAGGTCTCAACGGCCGGACCATCGTCACCGGCGCCCTATACCACAAGGCCTCTGTGGCCGCGCGCGGCAGCCAGGTTGTTCCCTCGGGCAACCGCTTGTGCGAGGCTCTGTTGCGCTTGGTGCTCAACCGCAAGCGCCAAGACGCACTGGCTCGCAAACTCGCCTTGTTGGGCCCCGCCGCGCCCGTCGTGCAGCCGCCACCGCCGGCGGGCCTTGTTGTGCCCGTCGTGCAGCCGCCACCGCCGGCGGGCCTTGTTGTGCCCGTCGTGCAGCCGCCACCGCCGGCGGGCCCCGTCGCGCCCGTCGTGCAGCCGCCACCGCCGGCGGGCCTTGTTGTGCCTGTCGCTGTGCAGCCGCCGCCAGCGCCACCAGCGCCACCAGCGCCCCCGGCATCACCTCAGCCACTAGACCCTGGCATGGGAGATGTGTTTGACTCCCCTCTTAGCCCGGCTGAGCCCCAAGGCCAGGCACCTGCAGGAGGAGCGGGTCGGCCCTGGTCGCGGTCACCGCCACCGCCACCGCCATCCCCCAATGACGGGGGGGATGTGTTTGACTCCCCTCGCAGCCCGGCTGAGTCCCAAGGCGAGGCACCCACAGGAGGACCGGACCAGCCCTCATCGTCAACATCACCGCCAGCGCCAGCTCATGAGGGCATGGCCTTTCCTGACGAGATGGACGTCGTGCCCAATGCGGATGAGCCTGCCCCCGTGCCTGCGCCCCTGCCGGTCCAGCCCGCGCCGCCATCGCCAAGCCCACCTCGTCTCGTCGATCTCCTGTCGCTCCCTTTGGCACATATCGACGACAACAGCGATGCTACGGATGGGCCAGCTCCACGGCTTCCCAGCGCTGTGCCTCGCCTACGGTGCAGGATCCGACCTAGCATCGCGGTGGAACAGACCGGAGAGGCTCTGCTTCCTTGGCCACGCGAAATTTGGCCTGATTTAAGCAAGAGACGAAAAAAATAGGGGTCTAGAAGTAATACATGAGCATTTTCCTTGCCAGCAATGTCCTCTTGTGCCTTATGTTCTGTGTAGTTGTGCTTTATACACAGGAGTAAAGTCTTTGAAATGGTTTAGAATGGTGCAGAGAGCTGTTTTTAAGCTTTGACCTAGTGATGGTTTCATTTTTATCGGGCGCGGCTCTCGAGTGGGGAAACCTTTAGTTTAAAAGCGCTCTCTGCAGGCTGGCCAATTGGGGTAAGTGCATGCTGCAACGTTCGATTTGACCTGCAGATAAATATCAAGGTACCTAGTTAAAAGTGCTCATTTGGACAGCAGGTCAGGATTGGCGTCCAACACCCACAGCAGCCACAGCAATGCAGCAGGCCGTATTTTCCTAATTTCTTATGTGTTGGTTGGATTACAGATAGGCATAAAGTGGTCACAGAAGGCACAACGTAGTCACATGAGGCATGGTAGAATCAAGGAGGTAGAATCATGTATTATTCTAGGAATAGGAAAACTCTCTGAAATAGTCAAAGCTGAGCTTGACGACGCCATAAGGCTTGTCGTCGACTTTTTCAATGCAGAGGCACTTGTACTTACCATCCTGGTTCTCTTGGGCTTCGCACCAACAAGAGTCCAGGAGGCGCAAGTCGTTATGGCCGGTGCGGCATATGCCATTGAGACACAGGGCCATTCCCGGCTGCCCCTCCTCAAGGAACTCGGTCAGCCGCCGCTGCGGGCCCTCGCGGGCGAGCAAGGGGGCGAGGCGGATGAGCACGGCGAGGGGATCGGCCGTCGACTCGCCCACGTCGAAGGGGATGCGGCTGAGGACCGTATTCAGGCGGGACACCAGCACGTCCCACTGGCTAGTCTCAACCTCGGAGCCGCCCTCTCGCGAGATCATGGACCGCTTCTGTCCACGGGAGCCGCGCCGGGAGTAATGGCGCTCAGCGGAGCCGGGGGCAGAGGGCCCCTCTGCAGCTGCAGTGGAGGAGGAAGGGTCGTGGGCCGAGGCCTCGCCGCCGCCGTCGGAAGTTGCTGCGGGCATTGCGGCGCGGGGGTCCAGCTCCTCTATCAGCGACGGGGTCGACTCTCGCACGCGGTGGAGCTTCTCGTGCGCGCGGTAGATGCGCTCGAGGAAGTTGACAAGATACCTGACACCCGAGTGTATCGCGTCAAGCTCGGCGTCCTGACCCAACGACGTCACTTCGAGGGCCTCAACGGCCTGGCTCAGGGCAGCGACCGTCTCGCCAAGCGTTTCATCGGCCTCTGCGTCGTCCTTGATGGAACGCAGTACCTCCTCGATCTTGGGCATGAGGCTGGCCTCGAGCCCACTGAGTTGGCTCTGCGCAGCGGTCGCGGCTTGATCCCGAGCCGCGACATGGCTCTCGCTAATCTTGGCGACGAGCGCATCCCTCATATCGCCCAGCCACTTTGAGAGACCAGTCGACATGGTCTCGACTGTCTTGCAGAGATCCCGTGCCGCCTCGAGGCTGTGGGCGCCGTCGTCGCGCGCGGTGTCGGCGACGCCCTCCACGTCGCGGATCTTGACGGACAGGTCGCCTACCTTGCCGGTGACCTCGTCGATCTCAGAGGCCAGGTTGCGCTCGTTTTCGGTAACGACCGTACCGAGGTGGTCGATCTGGCCGCGAATGACTTCGACATGCGACGCGATGCCATGGGTTTGTTGCCGGGTGATGCCGGCGGTTGTCTCGACTCGCCTCAGATCGTTAGAGACAGCCTCGGCCGATGCCTGGACGGCTGTCTGAACGTCCGTCTTGAACGAGTCGAGTTTCTTGTCGAGACCTTTGGAGATGTTCTCGACGTCGGCGGTCACGCTCGCTTTCAGGGCGTCGAGTTGCTGGTCCCTATCTTGCTTGTCAGTCTCCATGCGGGTCTCGAAAACTTCCTGGGCGTTGCCAGCGCTTGATACGGCCTTGCCAAGGCCCTCGGTGATGCTCGCTGCCAGGGCATCGAGCCGCTGGTCCCTATTGATCACCTCGCTCTCCATGTGAGTGATGAGCGCATGCTGGGCGGCTCCGACGTCCAACGACGTTGAAGTCTTGGCGAAGCCCTCGGTAATGCTCGATGCCAGGGCATCGAGCTTCTGGTTTCTATCCTGCGCGTCAGTCTGCATACGCGTAGTGATCATGTCGGCGATGGCGTTCTGCGACGCGCTAAGGCCTTCCATGAGCTCCCGTTTGAGGTCGCGGATGGCGTCTGCCTGCGTGCTGCGATCAGCATCTTGTCGTTGCTGTTGCAGCTTGTCCTGCTCAGTGCGGAGCTTGCTCCAGGACTCATCGAGCTTCTGCCGCTCGGTGCCCAGTGAGAGCCGGTCGGATTCGAGCTGTTGTCGCTCTTGCTCCAGCCGGCGGGCCTCGTTGGCGAGGCGGCTGTTCTCGTCATCGTTGGCCTGGGCTTGCGTGCGCGTTGCCTGGCGGACCTTGTCCAACCAGGATTGGGTTAGAGTAAAGGCGTTTCTCTCTCTCGGAGATACCTGGGGCAGATTTCTCAGGGATTCTTTCAGGGAGTCGAGCTGGGCCTGAGCCCCGTCAAGGACGGTGTGCAGTTCATTTGTGTTGGCCATTGTGCATGTAGTGAATCTTTGCGGTCTTGAAGATTCTGCTTGGACTTTTCTTTGTGGGTGGAGGGGGGGGGAGTAGGTAGTTCAGACGCGCTTTTTATTTTTATTTTATTTTGGAAGATAGGAGTTATGAGATAGCAACTGTGCTCTTCTGTTTAAAAAAAAATAAAGGTGGGAGGGGAAGAGGGGGTGGGGGCCGCTGACCACTACCTTACCGGGTGAAGGGTACCTATCTAGGTAGTTTCAAGCATTTGAGAACAACCCACTTAGGCCACAGGCTGTTCGAGCACTTAGATAAAATAGGGAGAAGGGAGGGAGTAGGAGTGATTCAATCAAGCTTCTTTTGATCAAGACAAGACAGAGTTTTTCAATATCAAGCAGTTGAACCTGTTGACCAGGTGGCATGCATACGCCCAGGTCTATTGGTTATGGCTCGTCCAGCATGCTTGAGCAACCTGCATAAACCAAGACAGACTGGCGCCAATGTGCCCAGCATCTGTGCCTGTTGCGTGTCTGTGACGTGGTAACCGCGCGCCTGCTGACTCGGACGGCGCGCCTGTAAGAGTGTTACGATCTATGGGGATAACGACCTCTCCTGAGCATCCGTGCTAAGTTGATGTTGCTACATGATAGCTGATGAGGTTTAGGGTTTGTGGTTAGGTGCTTTCATCCTCGTTCTCAGAACATCACAGGGTAGATAAAGGATCAATTACTAGTTGCATTAGAGCTACGATAATACAAAATGACGTACAAGCTCCTCGTTGCTAATTTCCAGGATTGCACTGCTTCCTGTCGGCATGGACTGCATGGACAGTCCCAGGGAGTTGGTGCCGAGCAGCCTGAGGCTGTCGCGCGCGACCATACGAAGCTGCGATGCTCGCGTGTCAACCACAAGTATCTCCTCCCAGGCGGCAGCGCGGAGCATGACCACGGCGCTTGCCGCCGGCTGCCCGAGCGGCTGCAAGCTCTGTGCATGCTCTGACAAGAACGTGGGCATTGAGCCGTCGGTCAGGGCGGCGATGAGGGTGGCGGCGAGCGGCTCCTGGGCGAGCCAGATGCCCAGCGCCTCTCGGGCTGACTGAATAAGCTGCTCACCGGGCCAGAGTCTCTCAAGCGTGAGCGCGAGGGTCCACCAGGCCAGGACGGGGGAGACAGACAAGGAGCGGTCGGGGGGGGGGAGCGGAACGGGCAGAGCGAGCAGTACCACAACGTGCTCGAGCAGCGTGCCGAGGATGTCGACCCTGAGCGGCCCCCGGTGCTGGCTCACGAGGCGGACGAGGCTGGCGAGGCACCGCAGAGCCGTCGAGGACCCTGCATGCTGCTCTTGGAGCATGACCTGGAGGAGCAGGGTCAGGCCGTCGATGGTCGCAGGGACGGGGCACTCGAGATGGTCCGTGTCGTCCTCGTGTAGGGGGGGGAGCACAACCCATGGCTGCTCTTGGTCGCCGACCCCGGTGGGCGCGATCTCGGGGGCTGCAGCGATCGTCGAGGCGAAGTCCATCCACGCGTCGAAGGGCAGTGGCCACAGCGGAGAGATGGACACCCAGAGGCCCTGCGCGATATGCTTCAGCCTGTCAAGGTCCGCCTGCAGGCGGGTCTTGTCAGTGGAAAAGGAGTCGACGAGACTGTATGCCTCGTCGCGCTCCTCACGAGCCTCGCCGGTCTCGTCGCGGGCTGTGTCCCGCTGCCTGCGGGCGAGCTCAAGCTCCAGTTCGAGCAGCAAGATGACGCCCTCCCTGGCGCTGAGCGTGAGGAGGGTGTCGTGATACCACTCGGCGGTCTTGTCGAGCTTCTCTTTGGTCTCTCGGCCCTCGGTCTCGAGCCGGTCGCGGTCTTGCTCCACAGCCTTAAATACCTTGAGGTAAGCCGTGTTGACCGACCGCAGGCTGTCGCGGTGCTCGGTGACCTCTGCGAGCTGTCTCTCGAGGTGGCTGACCTCTGCATGGGCGACCTCGAGCTTCTTCTCTGCTCTTTCGGCAGCCTCGAGTTTCTTGTCGACCCTGGCCTTCTCTGTGGCCAGCGTGGCGAGCTCCAGTCTCAGGTCGCCCATGTCGAGCTCCTGGTCGGTCATGCGCCGGGCCTGCTCCTCTAGCTCGATGATCTTGGTTTCGGCGTCCTCAGCCCTCTGGGCGTCCTGGTTCACCTGGACCATGAGAACCTTGATGCGCTCGGCGTGTTCGGCGAGGCTGCGCTCGAGCTCGTGCTTCTCGTGGGCATGCTCCGACCTGAGCGCGTCCTCGGCGGCGCTGTGCTGGTCGCGCAGGGCCGAGATGTCGGCTCGGGTCTTCTGCAGCTCCTCCTCGAGCCGCTCGTTCCTCGCAACCTCGGATTTGTGCGCCTCCTTAAGGTCGCGCAGGTTTTTGGCAGCTTCTAAAGCCGTCGAGGACATCGGGTCGGGGAACGACGCCGGAATCACCTCGGCTTCCTCCTGCGCGTCACTAGGGAGGCTACCTTTATGGGCCGCGAGCACTCGGTGCAGCGAGGCCAGGATGTCTTTGTCGATGCGCGCCACTCGGTCGGCAAGCTCGGGGTCGGACACCTCTTGCAGCAGGGCCGACTTGGTGGCGTCGGCTGAGAGGGCAGTGGTGAACCGGTCGATCTCACCGGTGCGCTTCTCGACCGCGGTTTTGAGCTCGTCGAGTCTCCGACGACCTCTGCTTAGGTCGTCTTCGAGGCCCTTCAGGGTGGTCTCGGCCTCGGGTTCCTGGACCGCGGGCTGCGTCGGGTCGATGCGCTGGTGGATGTTTCGCATCACGCGCTCGAGGCTCCTGCTGCGCTTCTCGACGTCATTCAGGGCGACCAGGCGGTCCACGACGCCCTGGCGAACCTGGGCCACCGGCACAAAGGGGTTCATCTTGATGATTAATGATTTGCAAGATGTTGTGGTGGTGGTGATGAGGTGCTCATGAGAAATTTGTGAATCGGTTTGGATTGTCTTTGGGGGGGGCGGGGACTTGGGAATGGACCCCTTCTTTTTGTCTACCAGGCTAGATGTGTTTGTCTGGGAGAGGGGCGGGTCACTACCCTCTTAGAGAACTGCCTTCAAAGCTAGAATTAGAGGAGATAGGCTTGGTAGGAAGTACTAATCGCTGTCCATATATCAGAGCACTTAAGGTTATAGGAGCAAGCTATAACACCCACTTATCTTTTAAGCATAAAGAATTGCAGAAAACAGAGACTATTAAATACAGCCTTATAAAGTTTTAAGGCAAACCTACTTATCTTTTAAGCATAAAGAATTGCAGAAAACAGAGACTATTAAATACAGCCTTATAAGGTTTTAAGGCAAACCCACTTATCTTTTAAGCATAAAGAATTGCAGAAAACAGAGACTATTAAATACAGCCTTATAAGATTTTAAGGCAAACCTACTTATCTTTTAAGCATAGAGAATTGCAGAAGATAGAGACAATTAAATACAGCCTTATAAAAGAAGATGGGTTAGAATAACAGGTAGATGAAGTTTTAAGGCAAACCCACTTATCTTTTAAGTATAAAGAATTGCAGAAAATAGAGACTATTAAATACAGCCTTATAAAGTTTTAAGGCGAACCCACTTCTCTTTTAAGCATAGAGAATTGTAGAAGATAGAGACAATTAAATACAGCCTTATAAAAGAAGATGGGTTGGAATAATAGGTAGATGAAGTTTAAGGCAAACCCACTTTTCTTTTTAACATCAAGAATATAAGAAGATGTCGAGTTTTATATAGTGTAGACTACTGGGTTTGTAGGGCTCTTGGTAGAGCAGTGCCTCAGAAATAGCTAGTCTCTGTGATGGCCTAGAGGCAGCCTACAGGGAATAATCAAGGACACACTGCAGGAGTCCGCGCCGACGCAATACTTAAAACGCAAGCCGGTGGTTTACATAGCTACTGGCCTTTACACGTGAATTGCGTGATCGTAGAATCAGTGAAGCAACCTACATGCCAGCCGAGATTGCATGTAACGGCAATCAAGACAGCACTCAATACCCAGTAGACTGCAACCAAGTTCAGTAAAATGCCATTCATATAGATTGCGGTTCTGGCTGTGCTGGCCCTCTTTTTTCTTGGGTGCCAGCCCTCGGACTAGACTCCAGGTGCAAGACAGAACCACACTAAAAAGAATGCTAGATAGTACACATAGCATAATGCTTGAGAGTTGACAGAATTAGTATTATTGATCTACTTGGGATAACATGGAGACACCGAGGGCTGCGTGGGGATTGCAGGGTCAATGGCGAGGATGGTTCCCCGACTGAAACAGTTGTAATGCATATTCACCGACTGTGTCGCACTGCCTTCTACTACACTCGAAAGTGGTTGGAATTCTGCATCAAGCAGTTCCTATCCACGCTTGTGGTGCGTCCAAGCTCATGGAACCTTGCATGCATTCATGTCGTTGACCGTAATATTATACCGCCACCTACTTCCCATCTCAGCACGAGGGAAAGACTCCCCATCCATCGGTCAGAAGGAATCACTGCAAGGCACTAGTTTCATGTTTGTCGAACTGATCGCCAAGCCTTACAGTGGCCAGCGTAGCCGATGAGTCGGAGACCTCTCCGGTTCTGGAGCCTTCATCTCCGGCCGACGACATTGGCAGTAGCTTAGATGCGGTGTGTTTAGCGACCGGGTGCGACCACCAAGAGGACAGGAGCATGCGCCTCGATCGTCGCAAGGGAGAAGGGGTCATTCCATGGATCCAGCAGAAGTCTACGTAGATTACGACACCTTAAGAGATGGTTTACTGTTGTAATCACCAGCATTAGGAGGAACAATCACACACTCACACACACACACAGGTCTAGAGAATGAAAGTTATGCCCCGGAAACACCAATTCATTTAAAACCCTGTAAGAACGCAAAGATGGATTCACCGAATCGAATCCAGACTAGCCGCATATGCAGAATAGTCTGCATCCAGATCGCTGCCTGCCATACTGGCATTGGCGTTGGCGAGAGGGCGGGCCAAGACATCGTCGTCGTCTTCGTTGCCTGCGTTGGCAACAGGGCCAGCAGGACCGGCGGCATTGGCGATATCTGCAATGGCGTCCTCCAGGTCCATGTCCACGTCCGCGGCTGTGGCTGGCTGGGCGGCTGCGGCTGGCTGGGCAGCTGCGGCCGGCTGGGCAGCTGCGGCCGGCTGGGCAGCTGCGGCCGGCTGGGCAGCCGCCGGGGCGGCTCCCCAGAGCAACTCATTGCCGAGATGCGGGATGTTGGCGAAGACGGCAGCGCGGCTGCAGGTCTTGGGGTCGGCGGGCAGGGGCGACGGGTTGACGTAGTCGTAGTCCTGCATCTGCGCGATGTTGGCCATCTCGCGGGCCCAGGCCGAGGAGAACTTGCGGCTCCAGGGGTAGCACTCGAGGAGCTGGGGCACCTGGCCCTCGGTGACCAACTTGGGCCAGTTGTACAGGCGGGTGGCAATCGGGGGCTTGCCAGCCCGTCCCTTCACCAGGAAGCGGAACATGGCCTCTGGCTTGAGGTCGTGGATGCACTCGTCGATCAGGTGCATCGACGAGTTGTGCAATGGACAGGCTTCGATGAAGCCTGAGGCGGCTGCGCTGACGCAGTCCTTGACCTCGTGGCCTGGTTTGTGGCAGTTGCCACATCTGCCCTCGTCCGCCGGCCTGGCGCCTCGACGGCCGCCGCCACGGAGGCGTGCAGCCTCCCTCTTGGCCGCCTCAGCGCCCAACACGTTCTGGAGGCGGAGGGGCTGGCCGTTGAGCTCGTCGGGCAGCTGATGCTGGATGACGAAGGTGGACCGGGAGCCCTGGGGCAGGTGCTCGCTCGTCCTGTCGAGCACGCTCTGCAGCATGGGGCGCAGCGTCTCGGAGGGGGCGGAGCCGACGAGCACATTGTCTCGGCCAGTCACGAAGGCGCCGGGATCCGCGCCCGGGGGGAGATCGAGACGAGTGGCATTGAGCTGCCACTTGCCGTCCACTTTCTCGGCCTCAACATTGCCCTGCTCTTGTGGGACAAGGTCGTACTGGGTGTTGGGGCGGGGGGGGTGGGAGGGGCGAGAGGGGCGGGACTTCTTGACGACACGATTGTCGTCGTCTCCCCGGCGGCCGTTGCCGCCGTTCGAACGGCGGCCGTTGCCGCCGTTCTTGCGACCGTTGCCGCGGTTGTTTCCCTTGCGGTGGGAGCGGTTGGGAGCCATTTCCTCTGATCTTGATTTGGGTCTTGATCTTGAAATGGTGGGTGGGTGAGTTGATTGTGGTGTTGCAATCAAGATGGAAGCCGGGAAGAGATTTATTTTTCTCTTTTAGCTTGAGGAAGAGAGAAGGGGGAGCGGTTGGTGCCCTTAGCCTCGTCTGTTGCTATCGTCGCTATTGTTGGCCCCCTCCTCAATAGGTGGTCACTGCGCGCCTCGCCAACAAGCGTGTGGTGATTCGCAAAAAAGGGGTACGTGCGCGTTTTTTTTTATCTTTTTATCTTGGCATCTGTGGCAGTCTTTAATGATGGCCGACCTGCCACCCTACTTGCACTTGATGTGGCGCAACACAAGATGCGTTCTTGTCTGTATGCCAGCTGGTGTGATAGAGCCTCGCTCTGCTGCTGCCCGCTGACCAGCCATATCATCAACAGTGCCGTGTCTGGCACAGTTTACATTCAATGGTGTCTTTCTCTTCGCAGCAGCGCTGGGTGGGCGAGACTCGCGGGCTCAGATAAGGCAGATGCAGGACTTATGTGCTTGATACATTCCCATCTAGTTTAGTAGGATGGCTTTTATGTAGACTACATCAAGGCCCCTTGTCCGTCCAACATGATTGCAGAGGTAACCTCAAGTGTTAATATTGTATGAAGACAGCTCCCAACTGCAGTATGCCGATGATGCCTTGGCCTGATGATCCCGCCATGTGTTGCATTCATGCTGGCTGTAACTTAAGTGCTTACCATGCATCACATGGATTAGCTCAACACAGGTGGCTTGGGGTTGATGTATGTAGGCATTATGAGACAGGGCTGGTGATCTAGCCATCAGAGTCTTCTCAGCCCTCTTATCTGTTTAATTGTCCATCTTGGTTTTCTTGATATTTACAAGGGGTTTGGCTGACCAAGTAGCTGAGAACAGGCACTGACGTGCAGTAGCACGCCTATCTTTAGATTCATAAGTACTGTCAATTCTTTACTAAAAGAAAAGTGGATATATATCTAAAACTCTGACTTTTTTGGTGTCTTTAATGGTTAAAGGAGAGGTGGGTCTTATATGATAGTTCCTAATAATATGAATAAGATTGTATAGAGACAGCCGGTTGCCCAAGTAAGGAAACCGCACATCATCACACATCACACATCACACATCACACGTCACACATCACACATCACACATCACTGCTTCAAGAGCAACACAGACAGAGATGTACAGAGTCCTATTAAACTACTTTTCAAGTGGCCGATAGCAGTCATGCTCCTTTCTCTTATGCCGCCTGGATCCCTGGCTCCTTGGCTTGCCACTGGGACGAGAATCGCGCTGACGAAGGGTGCGGTTGGAGACACGCCTTGAATCATCGTCACGGCGGCGAGAGTCTCGCCGGTCCTGGGAACGATCGCGGCCATCCCTCGAGTCATTGCGACGACGTGGGGAGCCTCGGCGATCCGGGAGGCGGTCGGAGTCGCTTCTCGAATCATCGTTACGGCGGCGACGAGAGTCTCGGCGATCCGGAGACCGACCGAGGTCGGAGTCGCTCCTCGAGTCATCACGATGGCGATGAGAGCCTTGCTGGCTCTGGGAGCCATCGGACTCGCTCCCAGAATCATCGTCGCGGCGGCGGTGGCGAGCGGTGTCCTCGCTGGGAGACCTCCTGAGGCGCTTGCGGCGTTTGGGGCTCGGGCTGGTATCGACAGGAACATCCTCGGCAAACTCAGCGAGGTGATCAGGGTTGCGACGGACAACAAATTGCTCAAAGATCTCCTTGTTGGCCTCGTAGGCGGCGGACAGGCGCAAGGTCTCGGGGACCAGCGGGCTAGCCGGAACACCCGCTGCCAGCAGTTGGCCTGTGCTATCCGGGGCCATGTAGATCATGTAGGAGTGCCCGGGCACGCCAAACCGCCAGTTGTCGTTGGCGTGGACCCAAAGGAACGGGCACCTGACGCTGTAGCCGAGCGGGTCATACAGGCGCACAAGGTCGACGTCGTTGGCGTCTGCCCGGAGCCGGACGACAGCGAGCAGGCCGTACCGGATCGGGCCTCCAATGCGAGTGGAGTGGTGGCCCTCGCCGATGGTGGCAGGGATGTGGCCTCGGACATCGGCGGAGCGGATGTCTTTGAATTCGATTTCGACTCCCTCGGCTGGGGTGACCAGAACCCGGATGATTAAGGGAAATCTCATTAGCCGGATGTAGTCGACAGGCATATCCCTGAGCCTGCGCCGGCCGGACAGCTGAGAGAGGTGATCGCCCAGCGGGATCGACCCGTCCCAGACGACGAGGCTGCGAGCTGCCTCATTGGCCAGCGGGTCGTCTCTCTCGCGGATAATAAAGTCGTCCTCGCCCGTGTGCGCCATAGGCAGCTGGCGCAGGAAGAGATGGTAGAGGTCGCGAGTCCAGAACGTGGACCGCATGAGCTCGCCCTCCATGATGTCGTGGAACGAGCGGCCCTCGGGATTCGCCGCCGGGTTCTCGGTGATCGCCCTGAGGTACGGCAGGCGGGCTATGTCGACGACGCGTTCGGGGAAGTGCGTAAAGGCGTACGCCAGGATCGGGTTCTGCTTCTCGGCATCGGCATCCTTGACCCTCCGGGCGTCGGGTGGCAGCTGGGTCAGGATGTAGCGCAGGACCACTACGGCGGCGTTGAAGCCTGAGCCCCAATCCAAGCGTGGGTTGGCCGTGGCCTTCAGCCAGGCTAGCTGCGGGTAGCGGCCGATGTTTACATTGATGTCGCGGAGGTCGCGGCATTCGTCGAACTCGACAACCTCAGGGTTCGGGTGGGAGGGGGCACCAGAGGACGCCATCGTGTCTGCTCGAGATGACGGATCTGGCGATGGTGATGGCGTGATGGTGGTGCGGCTGCAAATTCTGTCAAGTACGAAGTCACTTGGCGAAAAGGGAAAAAGGGTGGTGGTGATGGGCAGGAGGTGGGAGTGGCAGCTCAAGTGAGGGTTAAGTGAGAGATGGCAGCTCGCTTAAGAGACAAGCACTCCTTGGGTTTTCTTCCAGTCAAGGCCCAGGACCAGAAATGACACCTAGCTGAAATGTACAGTACTCTAGACTACTCGGCAATCGTTCTAGACCATGCTCGTAACATTGAAGCACTTCTGCCTAGGCCATGACCTGGGCTCGCTGTGTTCCTTGCATCTCAAGGAATCGGAGCCCTCAAACCTCAGTATATCATCCCTATGTAGTGCTGTAGTAGGCTACTCAGATAGACAAACCCATCTAATTCTACAGTGTGTTGAGGCTCTAGACAACCCTGCTTGCTTATCCAAAAAAGACAATCCACAATCCATTCCCAAGTGCAAAGAGCAAGGCGACAAATTTCCTAAATTTAAAGTCCAATTGCTCCCACCCACCACCGTCCACTCCAACCTCCCTAATCCAATCCCAAACTACAATTTCAAATACACAACACTGCGCATCGCCACTATCGTTATGGAAGCTTTCGAGGAGACCGACGCCGGACTCGAAAAGGCAATGGGCCTTATCGATGAGACGCTCGACAAGGAGGGCCTTCACGGGCTCCGCCTCGATACGAGCCGCCACGTGCTCGCACGCGCCAAGATGGTCTCCCACGGGCTGCGCTCAGCTCAGAAGCGCCGCAACAACGCCATCGTCGTCTACCTCGTCTCGTCCGTCATCGAGAGGCAGTTGGCCAACGGGGCCCTCGAGCAGGAGCCGCTTGAGGCCGGTCTCCCTGCGCCCGGCAAGGTCGGCGTCCTCACCTACACCGAGTTTGTCCAACGCGTGGGCAAGGACACTCTCCGCGAGTTCCCGGATGACCTCGTCATCCTGGCTGACAGCGAGCTCTCGTTCTCATACGAGGCTGCAATCGCCCATAAAGTGATCGCCTACCACGCACGCTCGGTCCGCGAGGCACGCAAGCAGTCGGTACACCTGATCACATTCACCATCCTGTCCAGTCATGCCTATGAGCGGCAGGCCTATCACGGCACCGGCCTTGAGGAAGTCAGCCACCAGGTGGACAAGCGGAGCGCCCTCCGTCATGCAGAAGTTGTTGAGTTCACGGCTGGCAGCGACTCAAACACGGCAGTGTTCAAGGCCGCTTTAGACTGCATCAGGAACGGCAAGACGGTCGTGTCCTTCCTCGATCCGGTCCTGACTGAAGATATCATGCTGCGGGCATACCGCTTGCTGTTGACTGAACCGAATGTGCAGAGGCCTAAGCACAGGACGCTCGTGTCAGACATGGCAGCGGTGCAGGTGACGGGTGTGTTCGGGCCTCCGTTCAACTCGAACAGCACATGGGTCACGGTAAGCGCCTTCACTTCCAGCCACGTCCTGCCGATCGTCAACGTCGGTATGGTTCTGTCAGGCATCGAAGTCCCACGCTTCGTCGCGGCAGACTTCGCCCGCGGCGGCCTGCTCGTCAAGGAAGGCCGCCAGTATAGCGTGCCGGAGATGGTGCTCCAGCACCTCTACGTCACCGGAGCGTCGCCTGTGTGCACCAGAGACCGAATCTTCTGCATGTACTCGCCCGAAGAGCTCTCGGAGCTGCCCAGCTTGGCACCTCAGCGGTTTCTCAACGGCGAGATCATGCAATTCCTGGTTGAGGCCGTCTATCGCTGGCCCCGCCACCCGCTCCTGACCTTGAGCGTGCGCATGAGGCCGGATGAGGTCAGGGTCCTCGCAGAGATGGTCCGCCGCCTCGTCCGTATGGGAGTCGTCGAGCCTACGGGGCCCGGCTTTGCTCTCACCGGAAGCAAGGGGGTCCGCCTCCGCAACAGTTTGCTCCCGATGTTCCCGGACGGCTTCAACGCCTGCGTGCTGCTCTCCGGCCTCGACGGGCTGCCGGTGCGCGTGCAGCGCGTCCTCATCCGCGCCGGTGCGGTCGCCATGTACGCGGACAGCCTGATCGAGAGCCGCGTCGAGGAAATGACCAGCCAGGACTTCCTCGAGATCCAGACAGACTGCCACGGCGTAGGCAAATTGTTGTCACCGCAGGGTAACCTGTGGGTGATGTTGGGCCTCTACGACAAGGCCATGATTCTCAGTGGCAATCTCGAGAGGCCTCTGCCCCTACTGGCTGGCAATCGTGTCTGTCTCAGCGAAGCCGCCGTCCGCAATGTCGCAGACACCGTTGACCGCATCGAGGGCCTGTATCATCTGAGCCCCACCAACGCCGCAGCACAGCCCCTATCCGATGCCGACAAGCGCAACATGAGCTCGCATCTCATGCGAGCCTGGTTCGACAAGCTGGTCTTCCTCCGCCGCAGCGGTAACAATGCGTTCGATCTCTTGAGCCTGGAAGCAGTGGAGATCGACTGGAGGGATTTCTTCGATCCTGTCGTCTTCTGGAACAGCCGCCCGAACCCGAACGCCGACGACGGCGTGCTGGGTTTCGCTCTTGCGATGGAGCACTGGGCTGACGACGAAGAGGACCCGAACAAGATCGGTGCCATGGCAGTCACTCTCCTTCCGCGTGAGCTGATCCAGCAGGTCATGGAAGAGACGCGGTCCGGCGCCGTCGATGCATTTGTTTCAAAGTATCTCTTGGCCGACGAGTGATAGCAATAATATTGAAAAGAACTCTTCTCTCCCATCTATGTGTATTGATATGTGATCTGCTGCCTTTTTCTTTTGTCTATCGTTGTGACATGCTTAGGCGGCGTCGAGGAGCAGCGTGTTGCTGCTCCAGGGCCCTAACCAGTCCTACTCTACATCTGTATGCCCTGGTTGTCCCGAGGTGATAAGGCAGCATAGCAAGTTTTGATCCAAGTCTGAACTGGAAGTGATTTACTGGAAATTGAAACGAAAGGCCGCTAAGAGAATCAGTCATTCTGAATTTCCAAGCTCGCCGCGCTCCCCCTTCCACCCTTTCACCAAAACAACCACCATCTCGGGAACTTGACCGCTCCTCCACCAACATCACCACCACCACCACCATCGTCATCATCATGGCGCACCAGCCTACTGACGAATTTCCTTACGGTGCCGAGGCGCTGACAAAGCTGCCCGACACGTCCTACATTCGCCGCCTCGAGGTGGTCCACGTGCTCTTAGAGGCCAATCCCCAGCTGCACGAGGCCAAAGCTCTCACTGAGCTCTTTGAGGTCGCAGAGGAGATAATCGCACGCAAGCTTGTGGCGAGGACTTCCGCTGCCGCTCGGGTCAATGAGGACGCTTTCCATCGCCTGGTGGACATGTTGGTCTGGAAGCAGAACGGTATGCCACCGCACACTCTCATCGCCCTCTGGAGCATCCATTTTTAACTGACTCGTGTCTGATACAGCCCCCCTCACGAGACGAAGCCATTTCCCGTACCCAAGTCCCCCGGGCCTTGCAGACAAGCCGTGGTCTGCAGAGTACGCACTGCTCTCCGAGAAGATTCGAGCCGAGGCTCCGGCTCCGGCTCCGTCCCCGGCACCCGCGCAGCCTGGTGGCAAGAACTCCGTGTTCCCTGGCCCGTCGGCCAGGTCCAAGGGCTCCCCTGTGGCTGCCTCCGTCCTGACCTCAGCTCAGGACACCAATACGGCAAGAAACTCGCCGCTTGCCGAGACTCCCGCCCCTCCCGCCCCCCCCGCTGCCGCCTCTCCCGCTGTCGCTTCTCGCCGACAGGAGCTGTGGGACGCCTACTGCAGGACGGCGCCTCAGTTGTCCAAGCAAGGGCCCTGGGTGATCCCGTTTCACTGGGACGTAGCGATGCACGCCACTGAGCGCGCCGTGGCTGACAGCTGCGAGTTCATCCACGACAACATTGTCTTGCAGCGATGCCCGATGGCCGACCCCGAAGACGGCGTGACTGTCATCGTCTGGTTCCGAGACAGCGGCGTTGACACGGGCAATCCCAGAAACGTCGCCGACCTGGTGGAGACGTATGACTCCCTGCTGGACTTTCGCGTGCGCGCTGAGTTGGGCGAGGCCAGCCTGGGCTCCATGGCCGAGCACTTCCGCCAGGAGTGCGTCCAGTCCGCCAACAGGGCGCTCCATAGAATCGTCGAGAACTCGGAACTCTATGGCATCAGACGTGAGACCGAGGATTAAGGCGATCGCCCTCCGCCATAACCTATGAGGCATACATAAGACTAGCTGCTTAATGATAAATTCTAGCCTGAGACCAGACATCAAATTTCCCCCTCTATGCCTTGATCCCTAGAAACAGCCGAATCCTGGCTCCTATCTATGCCTTGCAGGCTGGGACGAGCCTGATTACTGGCACCACTTGTCTTGTTGCTATGATGACCTCTGATCTTATCATTTATGTGTATGTCTGTGTCTACCTGTGCCTCGTGCTTGTCCTTGTCATCGTCCTTACTATTATGTTTGTCCTTTACTACATATAGATATAAAGTAAAATAAGAATATATATAAAAGGCTGGTTTCTAAGGTATTTATAATGTTTAAAAGAAAAGTGGGTTCTATAAAAAATACAAAGTATAGCTATATAAAAGTAAGTAATATCAATGTATAAATATAAAGTAAATTAAGGGTATATATAAAAGGCTGGTTTCTAAGGTATTTATAATGTTTAAAAGAAAAGTGGGTTCTATAAAAAATATAAAGTGTAGCTATATAAAAGTGAGTAATATTAATATATAAATATAAAGTAAATTTAGGGTATATATAAAAGGCTGGTTTCTAAGAGACTTTTTTAGGTTAAATAAAAAGTGGGCCTCAGTAAAAACCTAAAGTGCAGTAGCCTTATCCTTTTAGCGGCTGAAACAATATATTATAGATATATATGCTGACTCTGACTCGCCGGGGCATTTCTAGCCCGAGACCCGAATGTGATTTATGTGTCTGCCTGTAATCATGTCCTCGTCCTTGTCGTCATCCTTGCCGCCATCATTGCCCTTATCTTCTCCTTTACTGCCAGGCTTGTAGAGACTGCTATCGCTCTTGTCGTTGATAGAGTTGGATATAGCTGATGTATCATCACCCTCTAGCCCCTCGTCTTCATCGTCACCGGCTTTCTTAGCCGTCAAGATGCCACTAGGCTCCTGTGCTGACGATGTGTAATTGGCATCATTGTACAGGTGCCAAGATATGAAGCGGGAAACTCACCTTCGTCAAGCGTCTGTCTGCTGTTCGTCGCCGGCATGCCTGTCGTGAGGCAGCAAGCCACGGCCGCCTCAAGCGCTTCCAAGGCAGCGTTCACCAGCAACATTGAACCTGAAGCGCCGGATCTCGGGTTTTCAAGTTAGTCACTCGGCGGCAGAGGAAGAAGCCTTGTTGGGCCAGCCGCAATCTTCTGGATGCTTGTCGGGGACGGGCACTGCAATACGGTGGTCAGCTCGACCGACGAGCGGGAGGCCAGTCTGGACAGGCACTTGCGCCGGCTCTGGGGCATCAACAACGACTGGAACACAGCATGATATGTAGCTACCAAGAGGACAGGAGTAGGAGACTTAGACATCATTACAGGGAAAAGGGATGGTTGAATTGTGTCGGTGTTCTGGCCAGCTAGGATTGCTTCCCCTGCAACCCCCCCCCCCCCGGGGCTTTCAGCTCATTTGATGCCGACGGCCGTGCCTACAATTACGAGACGTGCGACCGGCACAATTGGAACTGTGCACTGCTCGGTGCTCGGTGGTGCGCAAGCACCTTGCCGGTGTCGCATGAGCTACGCGATGTCGCTGCCCGGACTCGCCCCCCCTCGAGCTCGCCCCCCTGATGAGGACGCATGGGCTGCCTTGCACCAAGCCGGTACTTGTACTCTACTGCCAGCCGTGTTGCGCCGCGCTCAAGCACAGAGTGTGGAGGCAGGCAAAAGTGTCACCACATTTATCCAGACCCTCAAATTTGCAGGCAATCGGGGTTTCCAGATGCTCCCCCACCTTTATTCAGACCGTCCCACTCTTTTCCAGGATGTCCCACCCTTTTCCAGACTGCCCCACTGTTTTCCAAGAGCCCCCCACCTTTTTCCAGTTCGAGACCGTCCCACTCTTCTCCAGGCCCTCCCGCTCTTTTCCAGGCCCTCCCACTCTTTTCCAGTAAAACCACAGTTTTTTCCAGTACGGTCGCCTCAATGCGCCAGGCGAGACACCAACGATGCATGTCTGCGATTGACGTCCTCAGTTTCTGTGGCCAGAGACACGGTGACCAAATGCTGTGACATGCTCTGTCAGTCATGCTCTGCCATGCTCTTGTGTCCGGGAGCTGTGCGGTTCCATGCCGTCAGCGGTTCTGTGATCGTCGCCGCTTCGAACCCGTTGGAATGAGTCGGAGTCTTGTGGCAACATCCTGGCATAAGCACTTGTCGCATGCCGGAGCCCCGTCGATGAGCCTGGCGGCCGCCGCATGTGCCGCTTATGTGCAGGCGTGTTAGTCCAGGGAGGGCAGGTGGAGCGACCGGGATCTTGGCATGCGGCAAAGAGTGTCTTTCGGGAAGGTTACTCTGGCCTCGAGCGGATCTACGTTGTGCGGTGGACGTCGCGATATCCGCGAACCGGGATTCGACAGGCCCGGGGCGGCATCGCTTGACAGTGGCCCGATTGTACCCTCTGCCTGCGCCGCTGCCGCGCTCCTGGGACCATCAAGTCGCACCCCGCTGCCTGGGAGGATCGGCGAGGGCGGCCGTCCCTGACAGAGTTGCCATCTTGAGCACCTGGAGGATATCGCGAGCCTGGTGGTATTGCCAGCGGAAAGCAACAGACTGAGGTTGCCAGCACCGCGACATGGCGATGGCTTCGAATGCGTATCGCTACACGACTGTCGGCCTCGACGATGCGAGCGACTCTTGCAAGAGCGAGGCCGGCAGCCAGGACACACCGGCACCACCTCCCTCCCAATGGTACCGTCCATCGAGGTCGAGGCTCTTGACGCTGGCCGTGGCCTCCGCGGTGATTCTCAGCTGCCTTTCTTTCATCGCAGCGTCGGCCCAGTTCATCCGCTCCCAAAACAGTCAACTCCCGTCGCAGTCGTCCAAGGAGGCAGACCCCTACTTCAACTTCCGCTACTCGTCGGACCTCGCGTCGCAGGACGGCTACCGCGACCAGCACAGCCGCTGGAAGACGCCGGCGGGCGAGTGGACGTCGTGCGGCCACTCGCCTCACCAGGCCCGGGAGCGCGGCTGCGTGTTCGACATCATGTCGGCCGTCTGGATCCCGCGGCCGTGCTACCACGAGGAGTTCGCCAAGGAGGCCGCCGCGATGCACCACGCCGCCAACGCGACGCTCGACTACTCGCCCAGGCGCGCCGTGTCCATGTCCAACTTCACGTGGCACTCGGACGAGTCGCTGTCTCCCGAGAGCTACATCCCCCTGGAGGAGCTGGAGCAGTTCTTCATCGACAAGTACGACAGGGGGGAGAGGCTGGTCGCGTATTCGATCGAGAACTTCCACGTTGCGCACTGCCTGTACATGTTCCGCGCGGCGCTGCGGAGCATGGAGAGGGTTGCTGCCGGGGAGAAGCATGTGTATGCGCACGAGGAGGCCATGGGCCGTCCGCATGCGAACCACTGTCAGAACGTCCTGATGAACTATGAGAAGTGGAAGCACGGGGTTGTCGCGTTGGAGTTTGGGATGGGGTGGTGCAAGAGGGTCTCCTGAGGAGGTGGTCTTTGCTGGGTGCAGCTCGATCTCAATACAGGCATTATTCCACATTCTATCGACTTGATTGCGAGATGTCAAGAACTGGAGAGCGTCTCTGTGGACTACAGACCTCGATGTCAATACAGGCACTATTTCGCAATCCATCGACTTCAGCTGCAAAGTATCTATTCATTGCTTGCCGTGAACTACAGGATCTATGGGATGTCGTCTAGCACGACATCGCCCGGCCTCTGCTTCACCTCCAGGCCTCGGAACTTGTTGGGGTCGACCTGGTGGCTCACGGCCCAGTCCTTGAGCTCCCAAAAGTTCTTGCATTTGTGCTTCGTGTTGAAGTCGACAAACAGCTCGTCCTCTCCCTTCACCCAGTACTGGCCAAACACGCCCGTGTCGGGCTGGCACATGAGCTGCTGCCGCAGGATGTCGGTGCAGTGGTTGACGTGCGTCCGGATGCCTTCCTCGGGGTGGCCAAAGACGCCCTTGCCCTCGTCCTTGTAGTGCCGATACGCCCAGTAGCTGCTCTGCCGCAGGAGGTTCAGGCAGTGCAGGTGGTGCTCGAACTCGAACAGGACGGGGAAGCCACCTCCGAGCTCTGGCGTGACCTTGGCCAGCCCCGGATCCAGGCCGAACTTCTCGGCTAGGTGCTCGGGGACGACATAGTGGTGGTCTGGGTGGACTGGCGGTTAGTTGAGCATCCGGTTTGACACGGTGATCGACTACGCGGTGAGGCTTACTCTGGACCCCCAACGCGAACCAGGCGTCGTCTACTTCCTTGCCCGGTGGTAGCCGGAACGCCGAGCTATTGGGGTGCGAGAATGAGCCTTCGAATTGAACGGTCGAGTACTTGATCTTGACGTCTTGTTGTATCGGCGATGCTTGGGGGAGGTCAGCGATTCCGAATGATTCAAAAGCCTACTTTTCTTCTTCTTCTTCTTCTTCTTCTTCTTGTTCTTTTTTCTTCAAAACAAAAACCTTCAAGACTCACCACTTTGTGACGTATACACCGAACAGATATCGTCCAGGTCTCTTCTCTTGTTGGCCAGGTACGTCAGGATGTTGAGGAAGATCGAGAGGCAGAGGAGAGCGAGGACGCCGCCCTCTAGCCACCGGCGGTAGTTCCGAGTGTGTGATTGGCGCTTCTGTGAGCTGTAATGGAGGAAGCTGGCGTCTTCTCCTTCTATAGTCTCGCCATCCCTCTCCCGAGTCTCCATGGCCACGACCGTTCGACGTAGACGGAGATTCAAGCAGTTGCGGAAAGAGACGACGGGAGAACCAAGTCGGGCAACAGTCTCGACGCGCAATGGCCGGCTATGGCCTGTGATGGAAACCTGCCGGCGCACTCAGCCGTGTGAGTCGCAGTGCGTATGACGATCGCGTAGGGCAAGACTCTGTCATCCTGCAGGAAGCACTAGATCTCGTCGCGCCGCACAGGAGCGCATTGCCCCTCGTCTGTTATCAAGATGTGCATCACGAATCGAGAAGGTGGCAGTCATATGCTTGGCTCCTGCGGCGAAGTGCAGATGCGCATCTTTACCCGTCTCTCTGAGAGCATCGCGATGCGGGGCACCAGGACCATCGGGGCTCATTCGCCGTTGGCCTTCCGTTTTCAAGCTTCCTGATCGGGTAGGGGACCCTTGCACACCGGGCCCGCGTCAGTCTTGGCTATTCGCCGCATCCAGGCGTCATCCTTCGCTCTTGGCATGCACCAAGCCCCCGCCTGCTTGTTATCTCGCCCAAGCCCGGCTCAGAGACTTGTAAATCAACGGGCGTTTACTCCGGCGGCCAGCACGGAGGCCCAGATACAAGGATCGGACGACTAGTCTCCCATCAGTGTGGGAACAACGACCTGGAATCTCGAACGGGATAGAAACCTGGACATTAGTCCAAAACCGAGCGCAGGCGGGGCTGGGTTGTTCCCAACCGCGAATGGCATGTTCAAATCTCACTTTTGTAGGGCGTAAGCCAGTCGCCGCTGACCAGCGAGGGCCTCGCTGCGCGGAGAGTCGTAGTGCTACAGGGGCATGTCTGACAAGCTTACCCGACCTTGCAGACCTTGCAGGAGTAACTGGTTGATGTTTCACCGGCGGGTTCTCCGCAACCGGCTGATATACCACTTGTTCTCAAGGTTTCGGGCAAACCGACGCTTGTGATTCACGGACGGATAGAGGAGGGACTGTGCGCCGCAGGCCGACTTCCTCTCGCGGGCAGTCGGCAGGATGAACGTCGATGGACCCGGCTAGGCGTCCAGGATCCTCTTTCTGGTGCATCCAGCCCAACGATGAAACCGGAAGGTGGCCATGGTGCGTAGGGTGGCGACAGTGACGACCTTGAGAGTCGGAGTTCTGGTGCCGGGAAGTCGTGGTATTGCGTCAGGTTGGGTAACACTGCCGTGCCACTCCAGCCCAGCGATACATATATCTGCTGCAATGTTGTCAACCCGCCCCGACGGGCTGGTAATTCGCTGAATAAACTCTGTCTATCCTCCTCTGTGTCCCGGCTCCTCGTTCTTCAACATCATCTACCAACTGATCAACATGAGAGTCTCCGTCCTGCTCTCGACCTGCAGTCTGGCCGTCCTGGCCGCTGCCGCTCCTGTCGGCGTAAGTTTATATTAGACTCTCTCTTTTCAACTATCTCGGGTCCATTGACACGGCTGTGCAGGACAAGAACGCCGCCCGGGCGGAGGCTGCCGACTACATCTACCCGATTCCACCTTCCGTCGCCCCTGAGAAGCGGGCCAAGGCCGCCGACTACATCTACCCCATCCCCGCTTCTGACACCCCCGAGAAGAGAGCCGAGGCTGCGGACTACATTTACCCCATCCCTCCCTCTGTTTCTCCTGAGAAGCGCGCCAAGGCGGCTGACTATATCTACCCGATCCCCGCTTCTGACGCTCCCGAGAAGCGAGCTCAGGCCGCCGACTACATCTACCCGATCCCGGCTTCTGACACTCCTGAGGAGAAGTAGAGAAAACGTGTAGCTGATGCGAGGCTAAGAATGGCTGTTGAGCGGCGACTCAAGCTCTGCTTCCTGGAGGCTTCATTCTAGGCCGATGGCGGGGCTGGAGGTTGGATCTGAAACTATCATCAAGTTGAACCAGGGGATGGAGGTTGTGGATCGACCGCCATTCTCTACCTTCATGTACCTCGCAATGAATAACACGCATCTACCTCCAGCGAGACCCAGTTCCACCACTTGTATCACAGTGACCTGATTCGGTTTCCATGGACCGGGAGTGCTTACAGGTCGTAAAGCCCGCTCCAACTGTGGTAGTCTGTATCGGTGGCATAACCACAACTGTGCTTGTCGCGCCGAAACAGTCGTCTCTTGAATGAGCACTTGATATGTAATCTGACTTGACAGTGGCACCATCCTGCCATCTGTGATCAGGGTGACGTCCATAGCATTTCTTGGCCGATTTTAATGCTACTCTCCCGTTGGTGACCTGCAAGAAGTTCAGACAACCGTGAAACACATTTCACTGCAGCCCTGTTCCTCGATATGACTCTGCGGGCAATTAAACACTCCGACTCTTTCAAAGGCACCTGGCACACGCTTGCTGGGCATGAGCAGCAAGCCTACCGCACCTCGAAATTCCAACATCATGATGACGACACATTGAACACCGACCTGGACCGTCTCGTTGCTCTTCACTACGTCAAAGTCTGGGTATGCTGAACGATGCCATTCAGGCTCCAGACTTGCGAGGCGAAATGTTACCCAGTCCGTCTTGGAGCCCGTGCTGTATGTGACCGTATCGCTGAATGCAGGCCCCCTCAGCAACATGCTCGCCGAGTGCAGCCTGCCGAACGAATCAGGTCCATCGGCCACATATTCGAACCGTTCTATAATTGAAAGGATCACATCCTTCTTAGTAGGCCGACACCAAAAGCACTCGATTTCGCAGTCAAGGCAAGCCCAAGACCATGTGGGTGCACGCCAGTGGTTCAGCCTCTGCTCGCCGTCACACTCGCTCTGATCACCTGGGCACCACCAGAGCAGAGCGTACGGCATGTCCTGCCAGATTCCAGCGACGTAAGTATCGGTCCGGCCTTGCCGAGTCTCGAAGTAGTGAGCAATGCCCGCAAACGCGGGCAGTTTATCCATAGGGTCGGACATCTTCATGCTTGTATACCGCCGTACCGTGCCCCCCCCTACGCTTGCCCACTGTTCTTCCTCTCTGTGGGAGCCAGGTGTTATCTGCTTCTGCCAGCAATCTTTCTGCGACTCGTTGTATCCGAAATGGAGGTCGTGTGGTTGGCAGAGGCACAGCCAGCCATTCCGGCACTCCCAGATAAACTCGCCGCCGTCGTAGAAGTAGATGGTGCGGGCCGACAGTAAGCGCTCTTGGAATGCCCAGGCACGCGACATCAGCGGCCCGTTCGAGAGTATCAGATGGGGTTGATGGCTATGCTGCTGTAGCCGCACATGCACTGTCTTCTTCTGTCCCTTGTGTCGAATCAAAGGAGCTAACTCCCGTGGGCGGAACTCCTCGGGACGACTCGTGTACAGGCCTTGATTGCAATCAGTTGATACGGCGGCCGCGATGGTAAGTGCGGAGCCCGCGTAGATGTTCGCCATGCATCCGGCTTCCTGTTTCCAATCCATCGAGTTGCCCTGGATGATGCAGAGGCTGTCTATCCACAGATAGCGTATGCCCATCCTGCGCGTGAACTCCATGGCCTCCAAAAACAGCCTTGGGGTCTTGGGGGTTGGTATTCCGCGTTGGTTTTCATCGTAGGTCGCGTCGGTCGTCATGCAGTCTGGTTCGACGCCTCCCCAGCAATAGCTAAGGCAGGCGTACTTAGGGGAGTGAAGTTGCTTCGTCTCGATCAGCTTTGCCGAGATTCCAAGAGAGCCTTCAGGTTCTAGATCCAACAGCCTTGAAGGAAGTGGGTACTTTCTCTCGTCGCGGCAGGTCTCATGCTGAGCAGACTGAGCGTACCACTGCTGCACCCTCGTCACACCCTCTTGAGATCCAGTAGAAATTGGCGGATCAAAACTCTCCAAGATCCTGTAGCCCGCCAAAATGATAGGTGTGTCGTCTTTGTCTTCGAAGCCAGGGCCATTAACATCGGCCGCCGATGTAGGAGATGCCGCAATTGTGTCAGAACCTCACCTTGAACTTTACTTTCCTCTACAGTGTAGAGTACAAGGACAAATGAGAATGATGGCGAGTATCTCCTATTCCATATCCTCAAATTGTCGGGAGTACCCTGAATGATGACGTCGATATCGCGTTCTGTCTCGTAACTGGTCACATAAGTTCGGACGAGATTGATGGCCAGCGCACATCCTGTGCAGCCTTGTGCCGCCCCTCGATTCGCATAATACATAGTCAACATTAAACGAGAACAATATTCGCAGGGCTCCTTTTTCCGGCCCAGAAACCGGGCTGGGAGCGCCCTGCGCTTCAGCCAGCTCCTCCAGGCCTTGAAAACCATTAGTTAGAGGGCTGCTGGACTTGTACTGAACATAAAGCACACCTTGGTGTCCATGTCTCCGACGACTTTCTGTTTGATCTTATTCGGTAGGTACAGGGAACATGAAGCTCAGATCTGGTCACAGAGACCAGGCTGAGAAGAAGCGGACGGAATTAGAATAGTATTAGGCAGAATTGGGCAGGCACTCTTTAAATGCTGTGGTGACAGTGGCAGTGCCAGGAGGAGCCAATGAGCACTCATATATGCAAGCATGCAAACGAACCAATCTGGATCGCTGTACTCGTAAGCAGCTTAGTTTAGCAAGCTTCTGGAAGCCCTCTTGATCTGGTCTGGATCTTAAAGAGCAGTAGGAGATGGCAAGGTTGCAAGCTTCTCATGGGAGGAGAGCGTTGCACCACACGATGAAGAATTTCAATGCGGATATAACATCGGTGCATGAGATACCGTGATGACTTGGAGAAAAGAGAGTACCTACAGATAAACGCGACTGTGCATCGTCTAACCGCGAGATCGACAAAGCTGCCTCAGTCGAGGTGCTTCTCGATGGAGATAGCCATCGCTTCACGAACGACATCAATTCACACATGACAAACACACAAGATGGGACAGCATGCAAGAACAACGTTCCTTTCGTTTCAGTACACTACTTGTACATCCCGCTGTCCGTGGCGCCACGCCATCCAGACTCCGCTCGAGGACCGGTTTCGATCTCTCTTCCCATTTCCCAGAACACAGACGCCTCCCAGAATGCTCGTCTCTGGTTTTATATATAAAAAAGAATTCAGCTTGGTCCCCGCCAAATGCCATGAGGTAGAACGACTAGGAAACTCGTCAAAACAATGAAATCATCGCGCATCTTTCTTTTCAGTCCTGCGGTCCGGAGCGGCGACGGCGCTTCCCAGCACCGGCTACCGCCCGGAGAAAGGCTTCCTCGTCGAGATCGACGCGCCCCCTCTTCTTCGTCTTCAATGTATACAATTCTTTGGTGGTGGTCTTTGGTAGTGCGACACTTGATGATACGCCGGGTCGTGACGCGATCATAGTACTAGTAGGAGTTGGTCCTTCCCTGTTGCTCGTTCGTCGTAGTTCGACCTTGAGCGCCCACGCGAGCGTGAGCAGGACCTCGGTCGACGGTAAAGCAGCTCCGGGGAGCCACCGGCCGTCTAGCAGGACGTTCCCGGTCCGGGGCCCCGCGTTGGATCCGTCATCCCTAGTGACCCGGTCGAGATCAAGTGTCTCCTCAGAACGCACCAACCGCATGACCTCCATCGTCGCATCCAAAAGAGGACGCGCCAAGATGGGGCTGCAGGTTAGGATCTTCCGGAGAAGTTTGAGTCTCAAGGTCGAGGGACGACGGGTCGGCTGCGAGGCCGAGGACGGGGTTGCCGCCAGAGGGCTGGTGTGCCGTCTCGTCGTGGAGGTAGTCGTTGATGTCGAACTCGTACGGGTTCGTCGGGAAGGGGAACTCTGGGTGACCAGCCAGATAATCGTATTCAGAATCGACAGAGTTGGGGGAAGAGAGAAGCCGGCTTTCAAGGACATAGCGATCTGCGTCAAGGGCCGCCTGCAGATCGAGATCATTGTCGACGTGGATGCCAGCAAAAGAGTCAGCTGGCAGTACAGGGCCAGCGCCGGCGACAGGGGCTGCTGGGAGGCCGTCCACGACCGAGACACTTCCGCCGACTGACACTGCAGGTCGGAGCACAACACCTCTGCAGGATGTTGTGTCATATCGGGAGAAGTCTGCTCGGTAGCGGAGGGCTCCGCAGCCGGGGCTGCCGCCGTCGTCGCTGGCTCCGCCGCCTCGGGGGCCTGGTCGGGGACGGGGCTGAGGGCCGGAGACAGGGAGGCCGGGTTCACCGTCTTGCCGGACTCGGAGGACATGAAGAGGCTGTTGAGCGCGGGGTTGCCCTGCTCGACGAGCGAGGCGTGGCCGTCCTGGGAGCCGAAGAGGGGCTGCGAGAAGGTGACGGGGTTGGGCCGGAGCGAGTCGATGGCCGTGGGGCGGCTCATGATGCCGGCGCCGCCGCGAGCCTCCTTGAGCTGCTGGAGGAGCATCATGTTGGTCTGGCGAGCCTCCTCGAGGAAGTTCTCGAGCTCCTTGTTGCGCTTCTCCAGGGCCTCCACCTCTTGCCTCTTGCGCTCGCGCGACGACTGCGCGGCTCTCCGGTTGCGCAGGACGCGCTCGACGCGGCGCTGCTCCTTCTCGTCCTCGGTCTTGGCTCGTTTCCTGGTCGGCTCCGTTAGCGGCCGTCGGTCGTTCCACTGGCTGGCTTGCGGGGTATATTTACCTGGGTGGGAGGTTCGTCTTGGGCTCTGGGAGGACCTGGCCCCACGACTTCCTCTTCTTGGTGGGCTTCTTGTCGCCGGCGGGAGCCGGTGACTCGGTCGCCCTGTCCTCGGGAACGGTGGCGAGAGGCGCCGGGGTCTCGGCGTCGGCCTCGGCCTTCATGTCGGGCGAGGGCGACATGATCTCGAGAGGGTTGAGGGTCGAGGTCGCCGAGGCGAAGAGGGAAGGGTACATCTCGCCGGGGACGGAGAGGAAGGACTCGGCCGGGGAGGCCTCGAGCTTCATGTCGGGGGAAGGCGTAAAGCTATCCCAGGAATCCATCTCGAGATGTCAAAGGAGGACTTTGCTGGTTGGGAAAGAGTTGCTGTTTGCACACGGCTTGGGTGTGTCTCTTGCCTGCGGTGGATGGGAGACGCAGACAAAAGTATCGTGATGAGCAAGCAGAGATTGGGGGTTGATGACGCAGAGTATCGAGGTGCCGTCCTGAAGCCTCTAATACCAGTTACGCAGCGATCAAGACCCCGCTAAAACGCGCTCATGATGGGAGAGGAGGAGACGAATGCGTCCGCTATGGGCGGGTGAGTCAACCAACGGCGCCGGTGGGGATGGGTGTGTGTCAGTTCAGGTGACGAAGGGGAATGCCGAAGAGGACAGAGTGTCGTCTTTGGGACCCCGTGTATGGCGGTTTGGGTTTATTGGTTGTAGGCAGCAGTGCGAGGCAGAGGCCGATGGGGGAGGTCTGGCTTCTTTTGTATTGAGGACACGTTGTGTCAAAGGGGGGTGAGACAGCGGCCTCAGGCAGCAGGCGGTACAAGCGTCCAAGTACCCGCAACAGGTATCCGAGCCAGCGTCCCTGCGCCCCTGGTCTCGCTCGAGGCCAGGAGGTGCGGCTGCGGGCTGTGATTGGCGGGCCGCGGCCACGGAGGCACAGGGCTGGCCGAAAGGGGAAAAGCACGGAAGCAACTGTGCCATTCCGGGCTCGAACAGGGGTGAAACTCGAGCGGGCCCGGAGGATACGCAGCGACATGGACGGTGGAGAACGCAGGCAGCACGGGCTCCGTTTCTCCCTCGTAGACACAAGTAGATGCAAGGAGAAAGGGGGAGGGCATTGAGCGAGCGGCCCCCTTCCAGCATAGCGCCACGCCATCGAAGCCGCCACTATTGGCATGCTTCCCGTTCTGCCTCTGCTCTGGCCTTGTCCATTCTCACCACTGAGGAGGATGCTCCTCCGGGCGTGCCTTGCCTTGCAGGACGGACAGCCATCAGTCAGTGGGCTCTGTGTGTGGATAATAAAACTCTGGTCTCTTCCATCATGTCCATGTCTTTCTGCCCCCCCCATGAGCTGGATGAAATCTCTGCAAGAACGTGCCTGTCCACAGTCCCAAGAGATTTTGGGTTCTGGTGGCTGAAGGCCTAGTCAGCCCAGGCACAGGCACAGGCAAACACTCGAGGACAAGTTCAAACGTAAAGTTTGGGGCTTGTTCTAAACTTAGTACGAGTCCACGGTGTGAAGGATCCTCTCGAGATCTGCGGCCCCCTGTGCCACTGGACCGCCTGCGATCACCAGGCAGGTGAAGTCACTGTGCAGGCAGCGCTTTTATTTTAACACCAGGCCCGCGATGCCTTCACTGGCGACTGTTATTATAGCATCAAGAAACAAAAGTAGCGCTCAGGATGCCCAAGATAGGTGTCGCAAGCTATTTCCAGCCGTGGGCGACATGGGAGGAAATCTCTTGAAACATTGCTCGGCATCGGGCAGTGGGGGGGCGCTGGATCTCGGCTTGGTGGGGAGTTTGGGGAGGCGATCCTCGCACAGCATTCCTCGTCTCCGTCCCAAATCTCGAACCGAAAATGCCTTTTGATGAGCATCGATCCTGATGGAAGTCAACAGAGGCAGACGCATGGGGTGCAGCAATTTCCTCGCAGCATTTCGTGGTCTCGAGCTGGCTGTCTGTCGCCTGTTTGTCCTGCCTGTATCTCCAGGGCTGTATCTATGGCGATATTTTAGTGGCAATATGCTAATTTCCACTGCATTTAACACGATGTACTGCTGGTGCCACCGCGAATTAGCCTGAAGCAACCATCCGATACAGTGGACTTTCGGGACTATTTTCTCGCTCTATCCGGGTTTCTAAGGGAAGCCAGAGTGCGTGGCTCCATTGAGCAATACCTGAGGTACTTCTCGAGAACCATGACACGATGGTTACGAGCTCCACGTTCACGAGCAGAAGAAGCAACTCCCATTTCAGGTTGCCTCAGACACGAGCCGAGACATGGCAGAGTCTGTTCTAATCAGCATCTTGGCCTACTGAGACCCCAGATCACACGGCAGCCGTCCGTCTGAACCGTCTGCCGTGAGAACAACGTCCAGAATAGAGTGCCCGGCGTGTATCGTATCGAACAGCTTGGGAACGGGAACGGGAACGCTATGCTCGCATCAACAGCCCCGAGGAGCCTCCATCGATGCCGGGAAAAAGCTGTGGGCAACCTGCAAACTTGCCGTCTCTCCGCACTCTTTCCCCCAGCCTCTCTCATAGACTCCCAGCACCTTCGGCGCATTGCATCTATTCGGATGCGACCTCGACACGTTTCGGGCCTTTTCCAGTCTTTTCCGGGGAAATATAACAGGTATATTATTTTGTATGCACGCCTACGGCATTTGCTCGCGCCCAGCCGTCTGCTCCGACAAGACCACCCCAGATACCGAATCAGGTAATGCGGCACTTGATGGGGGACGGTTCGACTCCAGATCTTCGATCTACTCGTACACTCTACTCCAGACTGCTCTGGGGGTTTGACGGAGTATCGCTCGCTATGCTCGAGAGCCCACGCCGTCTTGGAGCCCATGCCATGATCTGCCCGACCGTCTTGCCGTATCAACACAGTCACTGTGATCAGCATTCTGTGTGTAGTGTGACTTTGTGCGTAAGACGCTTGCCCTCTCGCATTCCCGCACGAGCGACGATTGGCCCGCTGGGTAGCACCCAGGACTGGTGGCTTACCTTGTGCTGAGCTGAGCCGAGCCATCTCAGCCCACACGTCTCACTGCATTCACGAGCCAAGGGAGATGAGGCCAATCACCAGCCAGCACAACGGCGGCCTGCAGGAACTTGGGCTCAAGGTACTGTGAGAATCTCGTGCGGCTGGCATGTACGTCTGCAATGCTGCTGACTGCGCCCAGTTCGCATGTTTGTCCCGTTCTCGTGTCCTTGTGTTCCAGCATCCCTTTGTTCGTGCCAGTCTCTGCGTTTCTGTCTTTGCTCAGGGGAGAGAAGACGTAGTACTGTTCTTGCTTCGCACCTGTGAGTGGACAGACTCGCGGTGGAGAAAGAAAGGGATGACTGGCGCTCGTAAGGTTCACGTTCCCCCTGAACGGGGCGTTTTAGTGCTCCCTCGCTTCCCGGCGTCCCCCTGGCTCCATCTCGAGTTTCTAGACTCGAGGTACGAAACGCGGCCTCTCAGGAGTAGAAAAAGGAGCTCATCACTCGCCTTCCCAGCCTGATGAGACCCCCTACCTAATCTCTCTTTTCGGTAGGTACCCAGATGAATCCGATCTTTCAGAGGTCGAGGGTCCAGCCGGCCAGGGTCGTACGCAAGCGGAATGTGTTGATGCTGATGAAACAGCCCCGGCGCACAATCCCCGCAGACCAGTAATTGCGCCGATAAACACGGCATTATTTTCATTCTTTTGCTGACTGATTCTGCGATTTCCGGAACTCATAAACTCCTCATTGAGAAAAGCTCCCTGCTCGGGCTGGGCTGACTGCGCAATGTTGTTGACTGTGATCCATCTGGTAGTGGACCAAGATCCCACCTAGGCACGAGCACAAACGAGCTCCATTCATCAGCTCGAACTTGCTCTCCTGGCTGACCCCATTCCCTGGACTATTGAGCAAACCGTCTGCGGATGTGGACCAGCACTAAATTCTACCCCTTTGGCCAAGACAGGTCCAAGACAGCGCACAAACTGCCTCTTGGAACCAAGTAAAGCCAGCCCCATCACGACATCATCCTGCAGCTCCCTGCTAGGCGTCCGCCGACCAGCTTTCTCGTAGAAACGATCAAATATGACCCGAGCCAAACCCGAGCCAAGCTTCCTTCAGGCTCCTGATAAGCCGAGGCAGCTGCGGTCTCGGACCTGTCAACAACGCTTTCACGAACACATTCCCGAGTTCTGTTGCCTACGGAGCACGCGGAGAACAGGAGAGCATCCCCAGCTAGACCACAGGATCCCAATTGCCGTTTCTCCCCTTGACGATGCCCTCGATCTCGCTCGTCACCCAGCCGCCGTAAAAGTCCCCCGGCTGCGCCTCCACCGCCTCGCCGTCCACGTAGCACTCCCACGGGGCGCCGGCGTAGAACGACAGGTAGCCCCGGATGGCCTCGAACCGCTGCGTGGGCCGCTCGTAGGCCCAGATGCGGTTGGCGACCGTCTGGCCCGAGGCCTCGTCGGCCGCGGAGAAGTAGGTCGCGGCGCCCTTCCACTCGCAGTAGGTGCTGCGCGACGTCTTGGTCAGGGGGATCTTGACGGCCGACGGCGGGATGTAGTAGGCTTGAATTGTTTGACGCATCATGTCAGTAGAGTGCGGACATACCGTGGGACGAGAGTGTGAGTACTTGGCGGGTGGTGGGTTTCCAGAACCCAGTATGCCTCTGTGGTCTCTGCTATGGGTTTACCTGCCCATTCGATGAGGACATGCCGTGATATCTTTTCCAGGCGCGGAGGGCGTGGGAAGGACTGCACATTCATCTTTGGTCTTGCTGCTGCTGCTGCTGCTGCCATCTTTGCCGCTGTGGCTCTGAAAGATGTATTCATGAGAAATTAGAAATGTTTTATTCCAGGTCTAAATACTGATGGGAGCCGGCCCTGAATCCCCAAGCTGCCTCCCACCTCATAAAGTCGCATCTACGCATCATCGTCGCCGGCTTCACTGGCTCCTGGGGCTGGCCTGTGGCTGGAGCAGGTGAGGCTGAACTCCCAGAGGTGCGTCATCTGTGGCGGGCCCCTATCGCCTTTCGTGGAGAGCGAGTACTGCCCCACTTTAGCCTGCCACTCAGGAAGCCGGCGAGAACCACGCATCGACTGGACCGTTGGTTGTGAAGTCTACGAGAACATCTTTGAACATCGCGAAACCTACACCAACTCCCTGGATATCGACCAAAAGTCAGACTGCTCAATCTCCTAGATATACCGCGATACCCTGCCGACCCTATCCCCGATACCTGCCACGAAGTGACTGTCGACGGCGACCCCGAGACCCTTCTCCGCCACCCTCCCGATAACCAGATACCCGGACATCAATCATGTCGCAACGACAGCTCGCAAGAGATATGCAGACCGAGTTCCAGGCTCGGGTAAGCGATAGCCCTCCCCCGCGCTCTCGGCAGAGCAGCTCGAACACCGTGTGATGAGACAGCACCGAGATGCTAACACCCCGCGCCACCCCGCCCAGTTCAACGCAAAGCAAGCCCGCCGCGAAGCCCAGAAGGCCGCGAAGCAGGATAACGAGCTGAAGAAGCAGATCCAGAACGTGCGTCCCGTCCGACTCGACCAACATTTCCCTTCGTACTCACTAACCTTGGCCCTCTCCGACAGCTCCTCAAGAAGGGCGAGAACCAACAAGCGGCCCAGAAGGCCCGAATGCTGCTCGCCAAGCAGGCCATCGCCGCGCAGATGGACCAGGCCGCCGACATGGCCGAGCTCTCGGTCGCGCAGATCCAGGCCAACAACGCCATGAACCGCATGACCTACATGATGGCGCAGTCGTCGCGCACCATGAACCGCGCCCAGAAGAACGTCAACCCGGAGAAGACGCTCGTGACGCTCGAGCAGTACAAGAACCAGAACGAGGAGTACGCCATGTCCAACAGCATCTACACCGACGCCATGACCCAGAACACCTCGGTCCAGGTCTCGGACGACGCCGTCCACGAGCTGCTGGGCAAGCTCGCCGACGACGCCGGCGTCGAGCTGTCGCAGGAGTTCAACGCCGCCCAGGTCAGCAAGAACGAGCCCGTGCGCGAGCAGGCCTCCGCCGAGCCCACGGCCGAGGAGGAGGACGCGCTGCAGCAGCGGCTGCGGGCCCTGCGTGCTTGATCCAGTGTCGGGGTTGGTGGAAAAGAGGACATAGTGTGTTGAGAGGCAGGCATGCATCCGTGCCCTCGAGAGGCATCCGTGGGGGAGGATGGGAAACAATGGGACACTGTCAGACGCTCACTTCCACCAGGGTTTGATTTTCTTAACCTCGTAAGGCGTTGGGGACACACAGCTGCATCACATTCATTCGGGATACAAAGGCGTTCTACTGTTCTTGATGAGAAATTTCATTGTTTTTGGAAACACCATTTCCAGTCACCTTTGTCTGGATAACTATCCCTACCCCCGTGACTGATGCATAATCGTGTCTAACCTCTGTATCTGTATGTCATTCGATTCATGATTTCCCCCAACCTCAAATCTACGCTGATAAGACCATATGCCGGGACATGACATCCCATCTTGTACGAAAGTCAGACGGATACACCCTCCGTCGCAATAGACAGACACACCCCAACTACATATAAAGACTCGCCACGGCCGTGATGTCCCGCTTGATCATCTCCTGCGCCGTCTGCATCTTGGCGTACAGCTCCGGGTCGCCGATGATGCGCGCCGCGTTCTTGACCTCGCGGCACGTCTCGTCGAGGCGCGTGATGGTCCGCACGATGGTGCCCTCGAGCACGTCGGTCAGGTCCGTGATGTTCTTGAAGCTCATGCCGCGCGCCCACTCGTGCACGACCTCGACGAGGCCGAAGCGCGGCTTGGACACAAAGTCGTTGCTCTCCTCGCTCGACTGGATCACCTGGTGCAGCGTCTGCACGGCGTTGACCTTCTCCGAGATCTCGACGATCGTCTTCATGCCGCGCTCGAGGTTGGCCGTCAGCGCCGGCACGCTGTCCGTCTTCTCCTGGAAGACAAAGGCCGACAGCAGGGCCGCGATCTCGGCGGGCTCGTAGTCGGCCAGCACGTTCTCGAGGATCAGCTCCGTGAGCACGAGCTCGTCGCCCGAGTGGATCTCGCACGCCACCTTGCCCTTGAGCTGGATGCGCGAGGCGTCGTCGATGAACGACAGGTCCTTGAGCACCTGGATGCGCTGCTCGTAGTCGGGCAGCAGCTGCAGGTTCTGGTCGGCGAGCGACTGGCGGAGCTGCTGGATGTGCTCCTTGATCAGCCACTGGTCGTGGCACATGGCGAACTGTACACGTTGTGGTCAGTACTCGTAACTCTGATTCGTCTGGAGGGAAGCAGGCCGCTGAAACTTACATGCTTGACGAACTGCCCGCAGCCCAGAGCCGCTGACCTGGACGCCGCCGCCTCGGCCTTGCGCCGCTTCTCCATGACCTCCTGCAGCGCCAGGCTGCGGATCTTGGACATGTCCATCTCCTCCCAGATGTCCGTGGCCCAGGACTTGCACAGGTTGTGAAGCTTGTCCTTGGCCCGCTGGTACCCCTCCCCTCCCTGGAAGATGTCCGGGATGATGCCCTTGGGGATCGTCTTGGTCAGGCACTCGACGTCGCTCAGCGACACGTGCAGGGTCTTGGTCTGGATGTGCTTCTTCGCCTTGGGCAGAGGGGTGAGGAAGGCCCGGAACGCCGAGAGGAACGGGAGGATGTCAGTAGAATCTCTCGCGTCTCTGGACAGGCGGATCTCGTTCACGTGGATCGTCGGGTCGTCGGCCTGGCTCTTGACGCTGGCGCCCTCCGACAGCAAGATGCCGGCTCGGCGGATTCCGTCCCTGTTGTAGACGATCAGGCGTCCCGGCGTGAACATCTTGCGGCCGACAGGGAACGTCAGCAGCCCGCGATACAGCTCGTGGGTCAGCTGCTTGAAGTCCTCGCCTGCCTGGTGGCACTCGTCCATGTGGGCGTCACATATCTCGCACGAGTCCCGCTTGACCTTGGCCAGGTCTGCCTCGGACACCTTGACAGCCTTCTCGTGCTCGGGCAGGAGCTGCTGCGTCGCGTGCTCGGAGAAACTACGCTTGATCATCTCCTCGATCTTGAGGGCTTCGACTCTGAGCAGGTTGAGGATCATGTTGTAGGTGAGCCGGAACTGCGACCGCAGCTTCGACGGCTCGCCCAGGATCATCTTCTGGAGGTCTGCCACCGGGGGGGCCTCGTCGCCGCCGGGCGGCACGATGATGACCGAGCCCACGGTGTCGAGGCCACGGCGACCGGCACGACCGGCCATCTGAGTGTACTCGCCGGGGAGCAGGTTGCGGAACGAGTGGCCGTCGTGCTTGCGGTACCCGGAGAAGACGACCGTCCTCGTGGGCAGGTTCAGGCCCATGGCAAAGGTCTCCGTAGCGAACAGAACCTTGACGAGTGTCTGGGCAAACAGGATTTCGACTAGCTCCTTGACGATCGGGAGCAGGCCGCCGTGGTGTACCGCGATGCCTCGGGAGGTCAGGTCCCGCAGGCGCTCGATCTGCGGCAGCTTCCTGTCTTCCTCCTTCAGCCTGGCTATTGACTGTTGGAAGATGCGGTAAATGGCGCCCTTCTCGTCCTTGGTGCAGAAGTCCTGGTTGCTCAGAGCATCCGCGTTCTCCTCGCAGCGCTTCTTTGAGAAGACGAAAATACAAGCCGGCAGAAGCGTCGACTTCTTGAGGAAGTGCGCGATGCCGACCCAGAGGGTCTTGTCTTGCGCCGCAGAAGTGAAGCCGCCTTGCCGGCCAGTCCTGCCCATGTGTCCGGGCGTGGCGCTTGCTCGAGGAGGGCCGCCGCGGCCCCTCTGCTGCCCTCCGCCCCGGCCGCCACCTCGCTGGCCGCCTCTCTGTGGAGCACCACGTCCTCCGCCACGCTGGCTCGCACCGCCGCGGCCGGTAGGGGCCGTTTGGGCAACCTTGGGCCTATCGTTGCCTTGTATGCTGTTGTTGGCCTCCTTCCAGCCCTTCTCTATAAAAGTCTTGCTCGAATCGACAATCTTGTGGATGTTCTTGCCTCCCCAGAGGTAGTGCTCGAGAGGAACGGGTCGCTTCGGGGTGGAGATGACATAGATGTCCTTCTGCTTCGTCCGGCCTACCCACGAGGCGAACTCGTAGGTATTCGGCACCGTAGCGGAGAGAAGAATGAGCGAGACGTGTTGGGGAAGCATGATGATGACTTCCTCCCAGACGACGCCGCGTTCAAAGTCGTTGACATAGTGGACCTCGTCGAAAATGACGTACTCCACGTCCCGGATGAGATCGGCTCCGCGGTACAGCATGCTTCGAAGAATTTCCGTCGTCATGATCAGGCAGCTGGCCTCGGGGTTGATCTGGACATCTCCGGTGAGAATGCCGACCTCGTCAAAGGTGTTCCTGAAGTCGCGGAACTTTTGGTTGCTGAGAGCCTTGATGGGCGAGGTGTAGATGGCTTTGGTCATGTGCCGGGCAGCCAGCGCGATGGCGTATTCCGCAACGACAGTCTTGCCTGCCGAGGTGTGCGCGGCCACGAATACCGAGTCGCCGTTCTCGAGGTGGTAGATGGCCTCCTTCTGGAAGTTGTCGAGCTCGAACGGCCACTCTCTGGCCATGTCAGGGACCAGCTCGCGGAAGTTGGGTATGCCCTTCTGGATGTCCACCATGTGAGCCCACTCGCGACCTGCTTTCCTAGCGCTGGACGCGGCCAGCGTGCCTCGAGGCTCGAGGGCTGGGAACTCGACGGGCAGCAGGGCATCGATGTCCTCTCCGTCCTCCTCCCGAGACTCCGCCTCTGGCGTGCTGCTGTCCGTGGCATCTCCTCCGTCTTGCTGCGGCGCCTGGTCCTCTGCCACTTGTTCGGGTTCCCGGTCCAGCTCGTTCTCCACAGCCTTGGCTTCTGCCTCGTCGCCGCCAGTCTTCTTCTTGGAGAAGTCGATGCCGTGCTCCAGCCCGGGGGCGACCTCCAGGAGCCCTCCTTCAGCGCCTAGTTTGATCACCCGCTCGAGCTTGTTGGAGCTGCGAGAAGCCTCGGCGCCGCCTGAGCGAAGCACCTGGTCCTCAAAGGCCGCGGCGGCTTCGATGCCCTCCAGGCCACCAGGTGCGAAGGGGAAGTAGCCAGCTGCGCCTCGCACGAAATCGGCCCTGTTGGCGGGCTTCCGGAGGAGCGAGGTCGAGTTCTTGGCGGTCGCACTCGTCGCAGGGACCGTGACATTCTTGTAGCCCGTCACTCTGCCCTCGAGGCCTTGGCGCAGAAACCGGGTGACGGTGCGCGTCTGGGTGGGCGCGATCTTGAAGAGGAAAGTCTGGTCGGTTTGGCAGTCCCAGCGCTGCTGCAGCTTGTTGAGCCACTCGGCGGAGAAGGTTGTGGACGGCGAGAGGTGCTTCTTCTCGAGCTCGGCCTTGAGGCTGGCCGGGTCCTGCTTGCGGCGCTTGCGGGGAGCCTGGCTGAAGAGAATGTCGTCGATGGAGGGGGACTCGGCTAGATGCAGCCGGCCCATGGCTTCTGCGATGTCTTGTGTCATTTTGAAAGCACACGGAACTAATGTCGCATCTTGCGAATCTTTTGCATGTGGTGGGATAGAGGGGAGAGCTGAAGCTATTTGCGAGGTGGTGGCAGCAATTGAGAGCTGGAGCCCCCACCACGGCGGAAAAGTGTGGGGGAGTGAACTCGCCCAGCAGTCCATTGTCTGGACAGTTCCGTTGTCTGAACAGTTCCATTGTTTGGATTTTAACAACTGACGCAATATCCCTCCCGAGTCAACAAGCCAACAGTCAATCAAGAACAAGCACTCAATGCTTTCGCAAATTCTATTGCCTTGCATTTACAGATATGAACCTTAGCCTCTTTCAGGCTGGTATGTCATTACATCGTCTCTGGCAGCATGCCCTCTCGGCACTACCATAATCCATCCATTTCAGCCAGGGCTTCTTCCTCGTCCGCAAAACTATCCGAAGGGCCAGCCGTCTTGTTTTGGCTGGCACTGCCAGTACGCTCGGATGGACCCGTTTGAGCCTCTGCCTCGGCCATCAGAGCATCCAAGTCGTCTGGGTCATCGCCCGTCGCAGGTGCTGGTTGTTGTGGTCGACCAGGTCCGAATAGGCTCGTTTTGGATTTCTCAGTCGGGGGCTGTCCCCGCATCCTCTCTTCGCCTTGTGCCTCCGCCTCCGCCATCAGTGCATCCAGGTCGTCCTCTTCGGCGATGGCCTTTCGAGTTTGAGGGTCTGTCCTTCCGGAACCAAAGATGCTCGTCGACGGCCCGTTCCCAGACGTGCTCTGGTGCGCCTCTGCCTCGGCCATGAGCGCGTCCAAGTCATCCTCATCCGGCTCGCCACCCCTCGAACCAGCGCCGTTCGTGGCAGGGGCAGTGCCCAAGCGCCGCGCTCCTGGCGTGGCAGCGTAGAGGTCTTCTTCGTCGAAGGGATCATCCACCGCGGGAGTCTTGGGTCTGCCACTGCTCGCCTTCTCAAACACGGGCGCGATCCTTGTCGGTTCCGTATCAGCAGGTGCCTCATCTGCCTCGTAAGCCAAGTCGTCGGCTGGCTTCGGCTTGCCCTCGTTGATCCAGTCCATGCGTTCCTTGTGCATCGTTGTCTTGTGTCCGGCCTTTTCCACCATGGCCAGTGCGTCGAGGAACTTGGCTTTCGGGAACAGGTCGTCAAGCCATACCTGGTAGAATGAGAGGAGACGGGCCGCATCCGAGAACTGCCACCGAGTCAGAGGAGATCCGGAACAATCTGTGAATGCTGTATCGTACCTCGTGGCCCTTGCCTTTCAACTTCAAGTCCCTCGCTTTCTTCCTCAGCTTCGGGATTCCGGCTTCTGACAATAGCCTACGTGAGAGTCAGTAATCTGCCTTGTAAAGGCTGCCGCATACTGCCCAAAGGCATACCTGGTCTCGTCAAGCTTGACTCTGGGGACACGCGCCCTCTTCGCTACTGTGACCTCCTCTTCGATACCCAATCCCTGCCCATCCTTGGGCTTGCTAGACTGCGTCTCTGGTTCGGGCGTGGCAAAGGGGTCCACGTCGTCGAACAAGTAGTTATCGATGCGGTCCTGCTGGGGGGATCGGGCACGCCGCTGCGCGCTTGGCTTGGGAGCCATTTCGGTCCCTTTCTAGTTGGTGTATAAGTCAACAAGACGTAGATAGTAGTCTGAAGAGTGTTGGGAAGTCTGTGGCAAGATTGGACGTAGACAATGGCAAATCACACGATGTTGCTGGCAGATCTTGGCTGAACAACCCAGCGAAACGCGTCAATCTACGCCAGACGCGCCAGGCCTGGTGGGATCTTATCTATTGTCATTAAACGGTCCTGGCTTATCGGGTCGCTTATCGAGGTTATCAATCCTTTGGCGACCATTGGCTCCATAAAGTGGTGCCTCGAATCCTAGGCCGGGACAATGGGTGTTCGGGCCTCAGGCAACCAAAAATTCAAGCTCCAATTCCTGAGCTTCAACCCGCATCTTGCCATTTGTTTGCGTCCCCGGAAAGCGTCGAGATCTGTCAGCGATTATCGCCTCGTGCAAGATGTCGAACCCTTCCACGCAAACGTACATCCCCAGCAAGGTCGTCAAGACCGACTATCCCGTAAGCCTGCTCTCCAATTGGCACCATGGGGCTGCTCCAAGACTGACCATCCGTTCCAGCTCATCGACAATGACCCGTACGTTCAATCCGCGATCGCGAAGAAAATAGCGACCCGAGGCGCATGTCACTGACTCGATCGGACAACTAGGCACTTTAAGCGGGTAGTCGGATATGCGCGGCCCTCGGACTACGCCCATGGTGCCGTCGCGGCTGCCGCTGGACCGGGCTTGCTGATGGCGATGGAGAAGTTTGCTCCCTCACACGTCGGCAAGGGCGGGTTTGCGCAGGCGATGAGGTTAGGAGGCTTCCTTGGCCTCTGCGGCGGTTTCATCTACTTCTACCAGCGCTCAGCCAGTACGTCCCGACCTCCTGTTGCCCCGGTCAACATCTCTCCCTTCCATAACCTCGGCATATGTGCATCCTCGACAGGGCTGCTCTGATGCCTTGATGCGGAATGAAGACATATGCTAATCGCCTTGACTGGCTACAGTGCGCTTTTACGGCATGTCGGAGAACGCTCGCGAGGTCGAGATGGACATGAAGGAGATGGTGGCCAAGGTCAAGGCCGGCGAGACCCTCTACGGCGAGAGCAGGCTCACCCCCAACATGCAGGGCGTCGCCGCACGACAGTCAAGATACTCCTCCCTCTTCATGGCCGTCATGCCCTGGTTCAACTTTGTCAACCACAACCAGCACGGCGTCGACACCGCCAAGTACTACCAACAAGCCGAGCGGGAACTGGAGACCGAGCGGGCAGGCAAGGCGTAGGGAGATGTGCAGAGAATGACGAGGGGTTGAGTGCTGGCGCGGTCGGTGCGGACTGACGATGAGCCTGCCTGTGTACATATTACCTAAACGGTCGAACTTACTAGGTGTTGTCAAATCAAAACGATTTCTATCAGGTTTTTGGGCTTTCACGGAACGGACGCTAGAAGCAGGCCGCAACGCACTCTGGCTCCGAAACCGAGCCGCCAAGACGCAATGACTGTGGCAGGGTGCTTTATCGAACTGCAATCAAGCACCTGAAGCACGGGGATGTCTTTGGGTCTGGGCCTGTCTGGTTGGTGGATCGAAGCCTTTTGTTTCATGCCGCATCTACCCTCGAGGATTCGTGATGCAGCGAGGTCTTCGAGAGCATCGGTCACGGGACATGGGTCGCTTGTGTCTTGTTCTCCGAATCTTCCTACTCGGTACTTGCCGTCCGAGATGCCCCCATCTGTCATGATCATGCGTGGTTCTTCATATATCTGGCGGCCATGTGTCCCATTTAGCCTAATCCGCACACCACATCTCGGCAAGGCCGTCACCCCGCAAGCACACCCTCGCCCTTGACCTAAGCTTTTACGCGAGATTGATTCTCTCCTGGTATGAGCACGGTGTTCCCAATCACCTATATCATACACGCAGCTACCGTGCTTCCAGACTCCACGACTCAGGCCGCCCAATGCCGTTGATCGCGAGTGAAATTACGATGGGAGCCGGAGGACCGTTGTAAGCATCGCATTTCGCAGTCTGCCTCTTGGTCACACCCAGCCAAGCCCCTGGATGGCGTGGCAGGACCACCTCAGAGAATTATTCCTCCTCAGCTGCATGATCACCCTGCATCGGACGTGTTTGTTACGGGCCCTCGCAGGGTTGCACTTACTCCGGCCTCTCAATGTGACCCGTTGCAGCAGCTCTGCTATCGGACCGCAGCCCCTGTCCATCATAGTCCAAGTGGTCACCGGCCAGCCATCCGAACGGTTGATCGTTTCTTGACATAAATGAGTTTTCCGGGTTTCCCTGACTGAGTAGATTATTTGCTCATGCAATCTAATATTCCCGCCTCCACGGGCCAGCAAGTGCCATGCGGGAGACGTAGGGCCGCGCAACATCAACGGTTGCCGTACTATTCTTTCAACCTGCCTTGTAGATCATTGCTCTATCTTCAACAAGGACCAGTGCCGGAGCCCGTGGCGTGTCTTCGGAGATAGGCTGCTCCTCCTCGGCCAGCCTCGACGATATAAGCTGGCTTTACTGCCGCCATGTTGGCCCTGATAGACTGTTTCCTTGTGTATAAGCCAAGCCCTGCCCGCAACGTCTTCTCTTTACGGTGATCACTGTTGTCCATCAGGAACCCTTCAACATGAAGTTCGATATCATCGCATCATCACTAGCCCTGGCGCCTCTGGTCGCCGCCCATGGCGCCGTCACCAGCTACCAGATCGGCGGCAAGACATACCCAGGCTACGACGGCTTCGCGCCGGCCAACTCGCCCTCCACCATCCAGTTCCCCTGGCCCAACTACGACCCCACCATGACGCCCACCGATCCCAAGATGCGCTGCAACGGCGGCAGCTCGGCCAAGCTGTCGGCGCCCGTACAGTCCGGCCAGAACGTCACGGCCATCTGGAAGCAGTGGACGCACGCCCAGGGCCCCGTCATGGTCTGGATGTTCAAGTGCCCCGGCGAGTTCGGGTCCAGCTGCACCGGCGCCGGCAAGGGCTGGTTCAAGATTGACCAGCTCGGGCTCATCGGGGCCGGCCCGCTCAACTCGAACAACTGGGGCACCGCCCTCGTGATGAAGAACCTGAAGTGGAGCAGCAGGATCCCGGCCAACCTGGCGCCCGGCAACTACCTCATCCGCCACGAGCTGCTGGCGCTGCACCAGGCCAACACGCCGCAGTTCTACGCCGAGTGTGCGCAGATCGTCGTGTCCGGGTCGGGTTCGTATGTCCCGTCGGGGAACTACCTGTACAGCATTCCTACTTATGCTCCCATGAGCGACCCTGGCATTATGGTGAGTCCACGAAGAAACATGTTCCTTAAAGAGCAAGGGACTGACCTACCCATAGGTTGACATCTACACCAATGGAGCGTCGACTTCCTACACGCCTCCTGGCGGCCCTGTCGATTCTGGTCTTCAGTGAGAGGAGAACCGATTATTATTTAAGTCATGATGAGTGCGTTTGGAAGTTGCGACGCCTGGTGGCAGCTGCTGGCATGCCTCGTTCAGTCTGTCTCGACGTTTATGATACATAGTATGTGCTTTGATAGCATCGAATGGCATCGACATTCTTGGTCATCCCTTGGACTTTGAAATGTTTCCTATCCCTCGGATCAGTAATTGCTTCAGTGTTCAGCCAGTCCTAGCTCCCACTACGTTCCATCTATTGCCCATCAACTGTCCATACCAACCGTCAAATCTCATGAGTTTCACACTAGGCCACACTCCATAAACACACTCCGTAGCCACCCTCGGCCCTTTGTGTCGTCAACCGCCGTAGAGTTCAAAAACAGGCCGGAAGGGCTGGCCAGGGGTGACAGCCCTGTACACCACGCCATTGACAACGATCGTGTCATGGTTCGTGATGTATCCGTGGCTTCCTGGTCTGGGTGGCAATGGATGGCCCGTCCGTGACTGCGTGGCGAGTTCATGTGACTGGTGTGGCTGATAGACATTCTGCAGCTCCAAAAGTGGCGGAGAAGCTGTCACACGCATTTCTTGGGCTGGCACTGGCTCACGCTCCGCAGGGAGCTCAATGGCCTGGGCTGGATACCGATATGGGAGTGTGGCAGCAGCTTTCGGTGTCGGCAGAGAGGTTGGGCGAGCACTCGTTGCCGGTAGCTGTCTGGCCTCCCGTTCAGGGACTGCTGGATGTTGAACACGGCGTACCTGTTCGCCGTATCCCCTGCGTCTTATATTGGATGACCAACCCAGCATGTAAAATGTGGTAACCCTAGAATATGGGGGTCAGCAAGTGCATCATGAACACCAAGGACTTCGTATACATACACCTGTAGCATGATGACAGCCAGCAAGCCAACCACTTCCTCGTGCTTCGCGCTCAGGTCCACATAGGATCCCAGTATACCAGCGCAGAGTCCCATGATGGCGACCCAGAGAAAGACAAGCGCGGCCGACATGCGCACCATCAGGGCCGGCGTCAAGCTTCCCTTGGCGAGGTACACCAGCGGTACCAGCAAGGCCGGGATCTCTGCCAGCACGGTCGTAAAGACCAGAGCCACCATGGCGCGCATGAGCTGCCTGACGGGGTCGTCCCCGCTGAGAAAGACCCTGAAGCGCGTTCCAGTATAGCCCGCGAGCACGACAGCAATGATACACAGGCACCACCGGATACATAGAAGTAGGCGTAGTTGCACGCGCGGCCACACAGTGTGGTGCTCCATCGTGGGCGTGCACTCGTGGAACAGCTCTCAGAGATCCAGAGGAGATCTGTCAATGCAAGGCGGCTCCACGAACATTGTCGATTCTGAATGTCTCCAGGAAGGCTTCTTTCGACATCTTCATGCATGCGACAGTCTGAGCGTGCTGATCCAGACCTTTCGTGATTCTGTTTCAAGATGGACGACACCAATGCCAAGAGTTCCAGGGGGGCGTATTGCCGCGTAATACTTGAGGCGGGGTCGTTTTACCTGCAGGGTTGGTTGAAAGTTTAAATGTTCAGGTATAAATGGTCTTGTATGCAGCTGGTCCGAGTTAGTCTGATGTTGTTGGACCAGAAGAATATCTAGTGGCCTTCTAGCACCGGATACCTCATGTCCAGCTCGTCTGACAGCTATGGTCGTATGACGGGACTTCCAGGGAGCGAGAAACGCTTCAACCCGAATTCCTTGACTAATACAAAAAGAAAGGCCTGAGAGTAGCACCACTTTAAAGTAGTATAAGTGGTTAATCTGCATCTTTTAAAGTACGGATGTCTGAAGAGCTGCATTCAATGAGTGGTTAACTTGAAGCAAGTGGACATCCCAGCATACAGCAACTCGCACTTGATCATCACGGACCTCATGCTACTCGCAGATCCCCCACTTGATCGTGTCGGGCTTCTCGGGAGTAGCCAAATCGCACGGGTACTTCTTCTCCTTAAGCTTGCCGCACTTGAGCGCTTTCTTGTATTTCCCGTTCTTCTTGTTGGAGATCCACACCTCCTTTGGATTCCCGTGCTTGAGTTCCTTGGTGTCTCTGCAGCCAGTGAACTTGGTCCAGGTGTAGCTATCCCACGGCACAGGGTTGTCGCAGAGGCTCTGCTTCTTTCCGGCCAGCACCTTGTTGTGCCGGCAGTTGCTATTCACGATTCAATTAGCACCTGTTAGAGTTGAGGGCATATCACAAGGCGACTTGCTCTTCTCCTTCAGGCCAGGCGACCCATTTGACAGGACCGCCCGACGCGGGATCGTCCATTCCCTGCCGCTGCATGCCCCAGCCGATTCGAGGAACGCCAATCTTGCGAGCTCCTATGCCGGAACGTAGATTGTCTCTCGCATCCAAGTCATGGTCCTCGACAGGAGAGTCAGAGGTCGGCACGGCGAAGACGCCGTTGCACATGGCGAGGAGAGTCGCTACCAAGACAAGTTTCATTGTAGCAGTTGATAATATAGATCGACTCTTTAGTTTGGTATCTCAACAGTTCGACATAAGATCATAGGAACACCCTTCGAGCGAATCCTCCGACTCTTAAATACCTTTCGCGTTGACATGTCCGTGTCTTAAGAACTGGTCTGATCGCGGTTGAAATTGTAGACCGCGCATTAAAAATAAAATCACACAACTCGCAGCGTAACATGCGAAAAGAGGCATGATGCGCATAGGAACAGGAGTGACGATCAACATGTATATTTAGAGTCGCTGTGCCGCGTTCGGTATCTTGGTGACTCGGGAATTTAGATCACAGCAGCCAACTGGCTGTCAACATCCCGCAACGTGCGCACAATGAAAGAAAGCATACACCCATCACGCCCGAACATTCAAGGGGTTTCCGCAACGCCGAGACTCCTCTTTCGCTCACCGATGGCCATCAACCATTCCAAAAGCTTTCCAAGGTTGAAAACAGATTCTGACTACTTCCTGAACGCCACAACTGATCAGGTAAAATGAGTACACAGCTCATTGTCAGGAACGCATCTATATAATCAGTCAGCGCCATGGGGGAACATCGCAAGCTCAATGAAGTATGGGTATGCTGTGTTTTGCCTTCGGCGGCGGAGGGCTCCACATCGGCGACTATCAAGATGTCCGATCGGCATCGTTGCATTAGTCGCCGATGTGGAACCTCTTGTCTGCCGTTGGTGACATTCAATCAGTAGCAATTCTATGGAGATTTCGGACACTGAGCCGGAACCTCCAGAGTGGTCCTGGTGCGGATGTCCGCTTCAAAGCTGTGAATTCTCCAGTATACTCTATAATATTTAGGGACCTGGCATCCTTCCGAGAGGCTCTGTTGATCTTCTAGTCATAGGTGCACATCTATCTGATTTCTCCAAAACCATATTGAACGACGTTTCCAAGAGAAAACGCTGAGCAATACGATCTAGTTTGAGGGGCTCAACACACACACTTACAGCAACTCGTCGCAATGGCGATCGGCCGGATTGAGAAGGACAGCCTGGGGTCGCGAGAGCTCCCGGCCGACGTGCTCTATGGCATCAACACCAGCAGAGCACTTGAGAACTTCCCCCTGTCCGGACGCTCGATTGCAACCTGGACGGACTTTGTCTGGGCATTTGCCACAATCAAGCAGGCCGCGGCTCGCGCCAATGGCGATATAGGCAGCCTTACGGCCGAGCAAGCAGATGCCATCTTTGAGGCGTGCGAGGAGATCAAGGTCGGCAAACATGACGTGCATCTCGCGGTGGATATGCTCGAGGGCTCCGGCGGCACCTCTACCAACATGAACTTCAACGAGGTGATTGCCAATGTGGCCACCAGGAATTCGGGGAGGGCGCTCTCGGATTACAGCTTCATCCACCCCAATGACCACGTCAATATGGGCCAGTCGACCAACGACGTGGTCCCGACGGCGATGAAGCTCGCTGTCCATCGCGCCATGGAGCACACCCTGAGCGCGCTCCGTCAACTGGCTGATGCCTTTGCGGGGAGGCGTGAGGAATATGCGACACTCCTTCGCCTCGGAAGGACCTGTCTTCAGGATGCCCAGCCCATGACGTTCGGCCAGGCGCTGGGAGGCTACGAGGCCGTCGTCCGCCGCCACACAGAGCAGCTCGGCACGATCCGTGACCAGTTCCTGGCAGTGCCACTAGGAGGCACAGCCATTGGGACCGGGTTTGGCTCGAGGCCGGGATTCAGAACTGCTGCTTTCAGACATCTGTCCTCGCTATACGGCGCCAAAGTCGAGCCCGCCGGCAACGCATTCGACAGCATGCAGAACCTCGACACCTGCGCCCGCCTCTCGGCGGAGCTGCGCAACACCGGAAACAGCCTCTGGAAGATTGCAAACGATCTGATCCTCCTATCATCTGGCCCCAGTGGCGGAATTGGCGAGATCACTCTGCCCTCAGTCCAGGCCGGGTCCTCCATCATGCCGGGCAAAGTCAACCCGGTCATCCCGATAGCCGTGTGCCAGACGGCGCTGGCCATCACCGGCAACGACACAGCCATTGCCCTGGGATGCCAGCAGGGCATGCTCGAGATCAACCACTACGAGCTGCTCGTCTGCGATCGGCTCCTTGACAGCGTCCGCCTGCTCACGGGGTCCACAGAGGTCTTCAGCAGCAAGTGTGTCGACGGACTGGTCGCGAATAAAGAGGTCTCTTACCAGCACCTCGTTGCTTCGAGCGCGTTAGCTACCGCCCTGGTGCCGGCTTTGGGCTATGCTCAGGTCGCTTCCATCGTGCGTGCAGCTCTAGCGGAGCAACGGCCTTTCCTGGACGTGGCGGTAGAGAAGGGTTTCCTCAAAGGGGATGAGCTGGTATCAATTCTCGAGAAATCCACCAACAAAGACAATGCATTAGCATAGCGAACAGATAAACATCAAAGTTGGATCTACTATCTAATCCCTTAGTACTGCCATTGTGTGCCGGCGGCAATGTATCGGGCCACGATCATAACCAGCTCTAGTTCAAGACCATAGGTCATAACACGTAGTTACTCAAATCCGGGCGACTTGAGAGGCTCGTTCCATCCGAGTAGCTGTAGACCAGTTCCAGGTTGTAAGAGCTTCAAGGAACAAGCCAGTCATCCGAGGCAAAGCGCGGTGGGGCCACAAGGGCAGAAATCTGACAAAATTGATCAGCTCCACTGCCATGAGACACAGACGACTTTCTTCTGAAAGCCATTTGCGAAACTCCAACAAAGACTTCTCAGAATAGATCCATCGAAGCGGCTCATGGAGAACTACGGCACAGTGAAAGCGCCGCAGAACGACGCTGTCGGCCAAAGCCCGGCAACCGTGCCGGCCCCATCCGGCACCGGCCTACCTCCATGCGAAAGCACTCCGTTATCAGGCCGCAGCAGCCCGGAGCCAGTCCGTACTCCATATCAGAGACTGAAAGACTTCTACGAGAGGAACATCGGTCTGCTCTTTGTTCTCATGGGCCAGTTCTTTGCCTCGATCGTGAGTGGTACCCGGCAGCTCTGAGTCAGGGACGGACGGCTTTATGCTAACAAGGGCTTTGAAGATGAGCATGGCGGCTAAGCTCCTGTCTACAAGTTTCTCGGTCAAGTTCCACGCACTGCAGATCATCTTCGTGCGCATGATTGTCACAGCAGTGCTAGGGTCCTTGTACATGTGGTACAAGAAAGTCCCCGACTTCCCACTCGGACCGCGCGGCGTCCGAGGCCTGCTGTTCTTGCGCGGCATGGCTGGCTTTATTGGACTCTTTGGGCTATACTGCTAGTCTTCCCCCTTCCTTTTTTGTCTGGACGTGGACTCTGACATGTGTCCAGACTCGCTTTCGTTCCTGAACATCTCTGACGCCACCGTCATCACCTTTCTGGTCCCGACTCTCACCGCTATTATCTGCTTCTTGGCTCTACGGGTGAGTTGATTGGTTTCTAATCTGCTTGTGTACGGCACTGTTGACCCGTGCTAAAGGAACCTTACACGGTACAAGAAGGCATGGCGGGAATTGTTGCGTTCGTCGGCGTGATCTTCGTGGCTCGACCGACCTTCCTCTTTCCTCCTCGGCTAGAGGGCTCGGGAACCAGCGACAGCGCATTGGCGTTGGCCGTGCCGGATCACTCTGGAGGCATAGTCTCTCCAGAACCTAGTATTTCCCCGGCCGAAAGAACCCTAGCCGTGCTCTGCGCAATGCTGGGAAGCCTTGGAGCAGCGACGGCGTATGCCACCATCAGGGTCATCGGCAAGCGTGCGCATGCTCTTGTCAGCGTCAACTACTTCGCGGTCCTCGCAACTGTCGGTTCGGTCCTGATCATCCTCGTCCACCCGCAGCTCCGATTCCAGATACCGCACGGTGCCGCGCAATGGTACAATATGACTCCCTCTCACCTGACTGCGCTGGTGCTGACATTGCCAGGTCTCTGATCATCACTATTGGGATAGCGGGTTTCCTCCTGCAACTCTTCTTGACGATAGGGCTGCAGAGGGAGAAGGGAGGAAGAGCTACAAACATGATGGTGAGCGTCGTCTGCATCCCTTTCTCCAGTGGACGGTGTATGCTGACATGGCCAGTACTCTCAAATGCTTTTTGCGCTCATCATTGAGAGAGTGGTCTGGGGGACTACCCCTCGCGCCGAGAGCCTTTTCGGAGGCGCTCTGATCATCGCAGCAGCGATCTGGGTCAGTATACAGAAGAACAGGCCGTCAGCATCGCAGCCGCTTCCTCAGGTCGACGAGGAGAGCAGTCTCGTGGCTGCACAGGACCAAAGAGATTGATCCATATGTGGTGAATAGCTTCGAGGTCGAGCCTCCTTTGATCGGCATACATCGGGGCTGTGCAACAGGGGTGAGGGCCATCTGGCGGGCTCACGCCACTCGCCACGAGTATGCTTTATTTTTACATTTTGCAGCGACCAAGCTCGTTGAGGTATATAATTAGATTCACGATGAGCCGTACGGCGCGGGTTTTGCCTTCCCCGCACCGCATAGCAGGATTTAGACCCCAAACTTCGTCACGCCACCGCTACCTGTGAGACTGTCAGCGTCAAGAAGCTTGGCCTGAAGGCTGCGTCGAGATCCCACCGCAACGGCGCTTCCATTCTAGTGACCAGCCTGCTCCGAGATGAAGATTCGTGATATCCACACCAAGCTAGCAACTCGCCTGCGACTGAGCAAGAGATTCGATGAAAGCTCCTGCGCCCCCGGTCTCGGCCGCATGGTCCTGTCCGCGGAGCAGCAACGCAGCTCGAGGTTGATGAGCTTACCGCTGGAGATCCGGACAGCGATCTACGAGGAAGTGTGGGCGGATGCGGGCTGTGTACAGCACATTCTGCTCCGGGATGGCGGCTACACATCGATGAAGTGCATCACGACCCATGCGACCTCAGATGACGACCTCATGCAACAGTGCTACAACCATGGCCGAGACCACTTCGAAGACCCAGTCATCTGGCGACGTCTGATGTCGACGTGGGGCAACCACTGGGCGTGCGAAGAGTTAGCCCAGAGCCAGACTGGAGAGAATAGAAGCAAGGGAGCTTCCAGGAGTCAGTTCTTGACACTAATGCTGGTTTGCAAGCGAATGTAAGCAGGATCAGCATGGGATGAATTGTCACGAAATAAGTGCTGATAGACGTCTAAAGGTATATCGAGTGCCGCGCATCTATCTACAGCAATGTCACCTTTGTTGTTCACGACATCAAGACTTTGCATAGTATCACGAACCGACGACGTCTATCCCTTATGGACGAAGTCAGATACCTGAACATCGCTGCTCGTCTCCCCATTCGTCGTGTGTCCAAAGCGAAGATGAGTCCCGAGGGCTGCGCCACGATGATTGTCTGGCGGGAGTGCTGTCGAGCCCTGGGAGAGTTGAAGCATCTCAAAGCGGTCGATCTATGGCTAGACACATGCGAGCCCAGCTGGCGAGCCGTCGTCTGCGAGCTACAAGACGGCATTGTCAATCCATACGTGTTCAACGACAGACTCGCCAGCGTTCTGACAGTCGATTTACCTATGAATCCCGAGAAACCCGAGGTCTGGCAGAGCATCGCTGCGATCGAGCCGAGATTTCAGATCCGGGCGCGTGGATGGCCCTTGTTTCGGGCTCTCGAGGGGACTACAACGCCGTTCTCGATCATCAAACTATGGCCGAGTGCGGAACCTGGTGCTCCGCAGCCTCCCTTGGTGTTTGGTACCACTCGGTGTGGCCCACGCCGGCCTCGTCGTCGTGCAGGTATACTGGGCGCAGGGTAATGTAGATAATTAGCAGACTTTGACCAAAGTGGCTCTATCTGATTCTGATCTAACTCGGCTTCTCAAACTGACTCTCCAAGTACATGCCGGGCACAAGAACATGTTTGATACCATACAGCATTTACGGGCCAAGCTTCTGCACCTTGAGCTCGGACACTACTTAGGGCCAGCCATCTGCGACTCGTACACTAGACAGCCAGCTTGGATGCTACCGCCAATGCCTCCATTGTTGCACCTCTTGTAGTTGTCAAAGAGTATGTCCTGGCATTTCGTGTCACTGGGATTCTTTTCCTTCAGGGGGTTCGAGGCGGACATCTCCGTCAAGCCATTCTCGAGCTTGCAGCCCTCCTTCCAGAAAATTCTGAACCGTTGACGTGCCCAGTCCTCTTTGCTCCAGAAAGTGATAAAGGTGTCGGCGTTTCCGGCTTTTATCGGACCGTTGACTTTTTTGCACGCCTTCTTGGCATTCCTCTTCACGTCACCCTCGTGAACATCAAAAGCGGGCTTGTCAAATTTGTTTCTATCGAAGCAAATGCCGTTTTGCATCTTGAGCTGTGTCTTGGGCGGCGTCTTGGGTGACGGCTTCTTAGGCGGTGTCTTTTTGGGCGGTGTCTTCTTCGCAGGGTTGTGCATGGCATACTTGGCGGTACCGCAGTCGAGATGAATCTCCCCCGTGGCGTACTTTGTATGGGAGTCGGTGCCGCCTGTCAAGAGTTAATCAGCATTCGCGCCACCAAGAGACAGGTTCCCGGCCTACGTACACGAGGCGAATTTTCCGAAAACGTCCATGCAGCTGTAGGCGGTGCAGGCGTTCTTCCGCTTTGTGTCGAAATTAAAGTCAAACGTCCAGTCCTTGTACGCTGTCTCGCCGATATCAGATGTCTTCATCGTCTTTTTGAAGCCGCCTGAAAGATCCTTCTTGTCGACGCACAGCTTGTCCAGGAGCCTGTAGCCAGTCAACAACTGATCACCCGACCTCCCAGAGGGAACAACTTACCGAGACCACACTTTGGACTCCATGTTGGCGAGATTACGGTCCCCGGACTTGGTCGAGGTGCACTTGGGAGGGGGGACCTTTCGGCTTTTGCTGGGGTCAGGGTTCCCAAACACATACTGGCTGATCTCCTTGTCGACTGCAGCCCAGTCAGCACCAAACAGCGAGGTATCTGCAATCTGGGTGCCGGAGGTCAAGCAGGGGCACTTCTTCCATTCCTTGGTGCATTTGCCAGCCGAGCCGCTGCAGCGGTTGCCCGAACAAGCAAGCTTGTGAGTCGGGCACTTGCTGCTGCTCGGTGTCGGTTTGGGCTTCGTCTTGTCCGGCTTGGGCTTGGGCTTGGTCTTGTCCGGCTTCGGCTTCTTGGCCGGGCTGACCTTGACAAACTTGATCGGGGGTTTGGCGTTGGCTTGAATCTTCCACGCCTCGAGAAAGTGATCGATGGCGGCGAACCAAAAGGTGATGGAGGCAAACACGCCCATGACCGCGTCGCCCAGCGTGGCCAACGCGGCCCCGCCGTCCACGGCGGTGACTTCGGTGAATTTGATGATATCCACGACAACGCCCTCTTCCGCAAAGCTCATCATCCGGCCGCTGTCAGCCAGAGCAACGGCGTCGTTTCCGGTAACTCTCGCAACCTCCTCGTTCAGGTTCACCATCTGTCTCATGATGTCGGGACGTCGACGGAGCTCCTCGGCGATGCGGCCGGCTCGCAGGCGGACACACTCGACGGTAGCAGTAGCCCGCTTCTCCGCGTCTTCGTGCGGATGCCTGTCCCGTTCGCTCCGGGCCTTCAGTGCACACGACGGCACCTTGGAGCCGATGTCCTTCAGCGCATCTTTCAGGTACTTGCTCAAGGTGATCTCCACCTTTCCTGAGGAGGTCAGTGTGACTTTGAAGCCCTTGGGGATAGCCGTGGGCGTGGGCTTCCCATTCTTGCCCGTGGTCGTGATTGTCGCGGTTCCAAAGTCGGTCTGTTTGGCATGCCACTGGGGTCAAGTCAGCAGCTGCAAGCGGAGGGTCGTAGCCGCAAGGCTCCAACGAAAATGCAAGGCACTGCTCTCGACGTACAGAGGTGGTGGTTTTCTTGCCCGACACCACTTGTGTGAGATATGCTGTATCGACGCCGATAGGGGCAAGTCTGCAAGATTGAGGGTCAGTTATAGTGCTGGACGGGCGGGACATGTTTGACGACCGGCCACATGCATGCTTTTCTGAGGGGGTATGTCCACTGGGTTGATGCCAATCTGTCCGGGCTTTGTTGGAATTACGGCCGCGACGCGTACACCATCAGGAACCTTCGCAACAGCTGAAGGTGCTATGCAGTCTCCTAGAGAGATGATGGAAAGAACCAGCACAACAGTAGAGTGCAGATACATGTTGTGATAGAAACGCGACAGCTTCCATGTAATACGTGATTGTGTTATTGGTTCAAGAGTGCATGTGGCCTTTTGTGACGGAAGCAGCAACAGCTTTTATACATGTGCGTCCCAACTCCTGACACCAATTCGAGCCTCTCAATTTGCAGCTGCAAGTCACGACATGTCAAGATGCACATTGCGCGCACTGTGAGGGCCACAGGGTTGTGCTGGCTGATGCTGCTGATAGGGGCTGGTGTCAGTCGTCCGGTTGTCCGTGACGGGGCTGGTGATGGGGGCTGCTCTCCGCACGCGGACCGATGCGCCGTAGATATATTTACTCCATTCGGTATATTTAGTGCATCCGCACGTCGATGACCCCGGGCCCGCGATCTGCGCTCGGGTGGCTTGCGGCGTGGGCGGCAAGGTTTGGGAGCGAGCCAAGGCTGCGACCCACCAATCCTCAAGCATGTCGCGTGCCCATCAGGAGACGGCATTCCTTCGAAACGAGAATAGGTTGTTATTTGACAAGATTAATCCATATTCACTAAAGGCTGAGATTCATGTATATTGCTGTGCCAGACTGACGATCAAGAAACCGCAACATGTAACCTCTCAGGGTATAGCGTCGGAGTTCTGAAGAAACACAAGATCGATGTAAATAGTAGCATACAAAAGGCAGACAGAGCACTAAACCAGGGTACACAGTGCGTTAAGGGAGTCCAGATATCGCACTGAGGCGTTGATCTACGTAGAGGCCGAGAATAGACATCCTTGGAACTAAGACCCTGTGTGTTGTCTATATAACCAGGCAAGTAGCAAGTCGCTCCCATGCGGAGTTGACAACATCGTGCTTCTTCCAAGAATAACAAGTTCGCTTCAACACAATGAAGTTCAACAAACTCATTATCATTCCGTTTGTGCCAGTCGCACTTGGCTCGTGGGAATATGTCATAGACCGAGGGTCTTGCAGTAAGTCTACACAAGTATCCAACGGCGTCTTCGAACCCCCTTATGATGGAGGGAAATAACACAGAATCCTAGACGGTCGCATGCACGACATGGTCAAATTCTCCATGCAGACCGCCCTGGCTCGCTCTACGCTGGTCGCGAACATACTCCGGCCGTACAAGACGCAGGGTGCGAGTCACAAGCCCAACGCCCGCATCATGAATCAAATGAAACAGATCTTTGGCAAGGATGATGTCGACACGGCCGGGACTCTACTTGGTAAGTCCGGGCAGGTGTTCCGAGCCGCACGGGCATTTCCGTACTGCATCGTTCACTGAACAATTCTGCCGTACAAGGAATCTTCGAGCGGATAGCCAGCTTTCGCTACAAAGACCTGGATGCCAGGGGTGAGGCATGGAAGGGCGACAGAGATTTCCTGGATCTGGTAAGAACCACCACTCTCTCACGTGGTATCAACCCCTTGTCCATCTACTTAGCTGCCTCTCCCTCCTGCAGGAGATCTGGTGTAACAGCGACTATGTGATCGAGCTCGAGTATGGAGAGTCCAACGTCCTCTATCATGACACCGTACAGGACATGCCCGTGGAAAACTGGCGAACCCTCGTCAAAATGAAACACCAGCATGATCCAGATCTTGAAGCGGTCACATCGCCAGCTCATCACAAGGACCCGAAGAAGCAGTGGCCAGTGAAGTCGCCCGAGGTCATTACCTTCAACCCAGGCTACATCAAGGAAGTGACGGACAAGAACTCCATCTTCAACGCCGACCGCATCAGGAAAGCCGAGATAAATGATCTCAGGGATCGCATTAACAGTCATTTCAGGAGGACCAAGAAGGGGTGGACAAACGTCGACCTGTTGGAGACGCTAGAGCTGGTCCTGCATCATGAGGTAAGGACGGGCTCTTGGATGCCATCAGCGCCTATGAGCTTCTCTTTATGACTGGACCGTAAGCTGACTAGGATGATTCCGGACACAGCTCACGCACTTGAAGCATACTGCAGACACGATAGACGTGGACTCTCCAAACAGCTACGGGTGGCTGGATGTCCTCAGACTGAAGAGTATCAAGAATGCCGGTAAGTCTTGATATCGTCGCCCAGGGAAGGGATATTGATGCGCTCCAAATAGACAATCTGGCGTACTTTGCCCTGGTGGTCGACTTGATCCAGAACCACCACTACGACGTGGATGCAAAGGGAAAACTCGTTCGGTTCACTTAGAGAATGTTGATAGTTTTGTTTGAATTCAGTCGGCTGGGGGCCAAGAGCGGGAACTCGTCCGTGACTATCATGGTCTGTTGACCCGTATGTGGCATTGTCTACCAAGTGGGTGTCTGAATAGTTGACGGAAGTTCATCAGGAGCTACCTCAATCTTAACAATCAATATCCTTGTCACATCTTTGCCCTAGAACTCAGAAGGGCTATCCCGCTACCTAAATCCGATGGGCTCGATGGATAGTCAAGTACTTCTGTTAGCAGTCAGTCAACTAATCTGACCATCACTTGTCTACCCATCTGAGTATTTCTGAAATACTGTACAAAGACTCCTCAGGGTTGTTCAAATGGTTGACAAGGGTTGATGTGATAAACTTCAAATTGGCAGCCCTGTTTCAAGGCGATCTGAGACAATCATGACGGGAAGAGACTGAATATCTAACAACTCGTTACCCTCAAGGAGCTGCCTAAAATTCTCAACACTGTGCGAGGTTGTTGCCGAGATCATGCAAGTCATAAGTCATCAAGAAGGCTGAGTATCACGCGTACGTATCTGGTCTATTGTCAAGAAACTGAACTATAAAGTCCAAACATGTCTTTCAATGCCAAGGCTAGCCCTGTTGTCTAGTATATGCATACGTCTTTGAACCCCAGGATCTCTGCGCCACGCTCTGCTGCAAGAAGGGACACCCTCGACAGCGTCCACCTACAATAGGGGCAGCTTGTCATACATCTCATCATACAGCTTCCCGACCCAGCCTTGCACTGGCCCAGCGCGGGCCACCACACCGAGGCCGCCCGCCGCCCACAGGAGCGTCGCCAGCGCCGCGAAGCCGTTGATGCCCATCCACACCCTCCTCCTCCGCTTGCGCGTCGCCTTGTCCACGGCCTTGTTGCCGCTCGTCACGGGCATGTCGCCGATCCACCCGGCCTTGTCCGCCAGGCCTAGCCACTTGGCCCACCCCCAGACCATGTGGCCGCACCCGCCGGCCAAGAGGCCGACAAAGGCCAGCCACGAGAGGAGGCCGTGCCGCGAGAAGCCGTGCGAGACGAAGGCGAGGCTGATGTTGGCGCTGTCGCCCTCGACGGCGATGGGCAGCACGCGGTTGACGAAGATGTGGGCGCCGAGGAAGACGGCGAAGGCGTAGCCCGACATGGAGATATACCCGAGGCGCGGCCAGATGCGCAGCGGCCGGAGCCCGGCGGCGCGCTGCTTGTGTAGGGCGAAGACGCCCGGGGTGGCGCCGCCGTAGCGCCGTAGGTTCTGGCTCCGGCGTAGGAGGCGGGCGGCGATGCCGGAGCCGACGTGCGCGACCAGGGGGATGGCGACGAGCAGCGGTTCCGAGATGCGGGTCTGGTAGATCTCGCGGGCGAGGAGGAGGGAGGTCTCGGAGGCCGGGACGGAGCGGGTGACGAGGGGCACGAGGGAGGTGGTCGCGAAGTGTATGCTGGCGAAGATGGTGAAGGCGTAGGAGGAGTAGCGTTGGATGCGCGATACTATGTGGCAGGGATAGATGGTCAGTGACTGAGGGCGCGAGGACGAGCACGAGCGTGATCCTAGACAGACGGCATCCGGAGGGGTCGGGGACGTACGGTAGTAGAGGGCTCCGTGGCCGCTGCCGCTGAGGCCGACGGACCCGGAGGTGCCTGACTTGGCCGTTGACGACGACGCCAAAGTTGACTGGTCGCCGTCTTGTTGGCTGTCCTCTGGCAGGGGCGGGAGATCTTTGTCGGTGTCGGCAGGCGGTGTTTCTATCGGAGAGGGATCGAGCTGCAGGAGCGAGATCAGGGTCTCTTGCGAGGCCTCATGACGGGGCCCCTTCTCTTCCATCCTATCTAGACTCTCACACGGTGAGAAGAGGAGCGGGAGGAGAGTTGGTTGAGTGCAGCGATGGGTATGTCAGGACAGCCAGCATAACAGGAGCGTGTCAACTTCCGAGTCCGATGGATGGAAATCTCGAGTTTCCGCCCTCCCTTGTGCTCGTGAGACAGTGGAGTTGGAGCCCGGAGATTTTAGTGGGCACCCCAACGTCACAGGCGGTTGAGTCGCTGAGGGCTTCGCCCAAACGAGCGAGTCTGCAGGGGTGACAGCGGGCCGGTCTGGGCTGTATCCCCCCCACCATCCCACCAATCCGGGAGTCGCCATTACTGGCCGGGGGCTTGTGCTGCAATTCTCGATTCAGCGTGGTCAGCCAAGAGGAGGCTCCACCAGGATCAGAGAGCTTCACGAGCTTCCATCCTTCCATCCATCACGCGTCGCATCTCGTGGCACGCCGGCGACGATCAACCATTGCTCAATAGTGCTTCCAAACTACCGTTCGCATACCCTACCTAGCTCAGTGGCCCTCACAATGCCTCCGGTATGCTTGCGCGACGTCTCCATCTCGAGTGTTTGACAACCCTCCAGGCCCTCCAGTACTGACTCCCATGCCTCTTCTTTCTTCCACAGAGATTCCAGACGCTGCCGCCGGCGCAGACCTCGTCGGCGCGCGAGGCGCTGCAGTCCTTCTACTGCCAGCTCTGCCAGAAGGGCTACACCCGCATGAACGACTACGAGGCCCACCTCAGCTCCTACGACCACAGCCACAAGCAGCGCCTCAAGGACATGAAGGCCATGGTCCGCGACCCCAACGCCGCCGCTCGTGCCCGGAAGCAGGAGGCCAAGGCCGAAGGTGTGATCAGCATCAAGCTCGGCGACGGCGCAGGCGGCGGGAGCAACAGCGCGGCAGGCGGCGGCGGCGGAGGAGGAGGAGGCTTCAAGAAGGGCGGTTTCAAGAAGTCGGGCTTCAAGTCGGCATTCGTCGCCGTGGATGCCGAGTCCGAGGCCGCCGCGGCGGCACCGGAACCTGCGCGCAAGGACAACGCCCGGCCGCAAGCCGAGGCGAAGGAGCAGTCAATACCCAGGAGCACGCTCGTGGAGAGCGATACCGAGGACGAAGGCTACGAGATGTACGACCCGCGACACCCGACCGACTGAACAAGGAACGCTGTCTTGGTCACAGCAGCATCAACATATCTCGCTTGCCCTACTCAGGCAGGGCATTGTCACATCGCACTTCACGCTTGGGACTCGGATGGTTCTCTGTGGAGTCGAGTCTATTGTTTCGTGTGTCTCGTTACGCTACAACAGACGGCACTACGATCCACTCCAGTTCATCTGGCCAAACTGGGACAGATCCTCCTCCAGCAGCCCCATCATGTACCGATTGCCCGAGTACCAGTCCCCCAGCTGCGCCGCCTGTGCCATCTCGCCCGCGCCCCCCGGCGTCATGTTCTCCAGCCCCGCGCCCGCCATGGCCTCGTCTGTCGGCGCGTTGGCAAACCCCAGCGCGCTCAGGTACATGTCGACCTCGTTGCCGATCGGGAACATGGCCTGGTCCTCCTGCGACTTGGCCTTGGCGTCGACGTACAGCACCGCCACGTTGTACAGGATCTGGCAGATGCCGTGCAGCTTGGCCACCGCCTCGGACACGGCCGACGTGCTCTGCAGCGACCCCAGGAAGCCCGACAGCCGGCGCACGTCGTCGGCGTTGGACGTCTCGATGACGTGGCAGAAGAGGACGATGAAGGGCGTGAAGGGCGCGTACAGGATAGTCCTAGGATGGTGATAGGTGTCAGCAGACAAAAGAAAGGCTAGAACAAGAATTGATGAGTCATAACATGTCCCCAACCCCAACTCACCAATGCAGATACGCTTCCGTCAGGTACTCGCTCGTGACCAGCAGGTCCATGCAGTACAGGTGCATCTGGATCGCCTCCCTCGCCGACTCGACGCACTCCATGTTGAAGGTGCTCCTCGCGCCCGGCGGCGGCGGTATCGCGCGGTACACCATGGTCAGCGACGACAGCAGCGACACCTCGTCCGACTTGACCAGCATGTCGAGCGTTGTCGAGTTGAAGTCGGGCGTCAGGCCCTTGCGCTGCGGCAGCCGCGTGCGCATCAGGTGCGCCGACGTCGACATGACCTTGATCTCCTGCACCAAGCCCCGCGCCGCCTCGACCCGCTTCTCCACGGGCTCCCCCAGCGCCCGCGGGCTGTACAGCTTCTCGTAGATGTTGCCCTGCACCTCGGCGTGCTTGACCCACATCCCCAGGATCTCCTGCCACTCGGGCGTGATGGCCGAGTGCCTGATCTCGCGCGGCACCGTGATGTCGTAGTCCGGGATGGTCGGCGAGCGCCCGAGCCGCAGCGCCAGCCCCCTGTCGAGCATGTAGGCCAGCCAGAAGAGGATGGGCCGGTTGTCCATGTCCCGCGCCTCGGGCGACAGGTCCCGGAAGGTCGAGGCGCGGTGGTAGCCGAGCGTCTGGCAGAGCTGCGAGGCCATGATGTTGAGCTGCCACGCGAGGGAGGGCTTGGAGATCTCGACGGCCCACGATGCCTTGTATGTTGGGAGCCGTTGTTAGCTGCTTGCGATGTTCGAGTGGGTTAATGCAGAGAAGAGTGACATACCCCTATCAGGAGCGCCTCAATGTTCTCCTTGGTCGCTGGGAACAGCAGGTTGAGGTGGGCCAGGGCCGTCTCGAGGTTCACGCGGCATAGATCCGAGTACCGCTTGTACTCGTCCAGCCGGTCGTCGTTGGAAGCCGTGCCGATCTTCTCTTGGAACATGTAGAACAGGCCCACGATGACGATGATGAAGATGGCCGGCGGGTAGTCCTCGGCGGCAAAGTAGACGCGGCGGCAGTGCTCCGTGAAGTCGTCGAGGGCGACGAAGCACAGCATGAGCGTGAAGGTCGCGGGAGAGTCTTCTGTGTGTCGCCATCCCGGAATGTTAGCATACAGCCTCAACTACCTCTGTCTCTCCCCCTCTCTTGTACATGCCTCTTGCCGCCCGCAGCATCTCGACGACCATCTCCATCGGCGGCATGGGCAGCTCCCGCAGGCCGCCCTTGGGCAGGGGCTTCTGGTTCGGGAACCGGAGCTCCTGCGACGTGGTCCCCGCGTTGTGCATGCTGACCATCTGCTTGAGGGTCGCCAGCGCGCCGCTCATGTTGGGGCTCAGGTCGAGCAGCGGCGTGCGCTCGACGGCGTGCTCGAGGAACTCGCTGGCAAAGGCCGTGTGGGCCGACAGCGACGAGTTGCCCTCAAATGTCGAGTCGTCGTTGCCACCGGCGCCGCCGTTGCGAGACTCGTTTGCTGGCACGCCGCCGGGCGTCCCCGCGGCGGACGACGAGGACGGGGTGGCGGTGAAGCCCCTCGAGCTGGTGGGATCGTGGTGCGACGGCGCGCGGGAGGGCCAGTGGACGCCGCTGCCGCGTTCCGGTTCTGTGGTGAGTTTTTGCAGAAGCCTCTCGATGCTACCGAGCCGGTCCTCGATCTGATCTATCTTCCTCTCGCTGGCACACGGGGCGTGGACGTGTCAGCAATGGGTGTTGGGATAGGGTGTGAACGCCTGGGTATTTGATGTTACGCCATTTCCCCACGGGGAACGAGAACGCCATGCTACTCACTATTGCGTGGAGATGAGGACCCGCTGTCTCGTCTCCTTGGGCTTCTGGCCGATGCCCGTGGAGCTGCACGCCCTCTGGGCGACGCGGCAGTTGGAGCACGGGGACTCCTTGTCACATCGAATCTGCAGAAGCGCGGTGTCCCTGGTCAGATCTGAGAATACCCGGGCCCTTGGATCTGGGCACTGTGGAAGGAAAGGGGTGGGTATCATCATGCACGACATACCTTGCGTGTCCGGCATTGGTCACACTACCGTTCCCATCGACGCTCCGAGATTAGCATACTCGAGTGACATGATACACACACACACAGACACAACCCATGGGCTGGAGCCAACAGGGACCTGCAAGACAGAACCTACCGCTCGCTTGGTAGATGCATCGAGGCCCTCGTGCCCCTCGGGCCCCGGTCCGTTTTGGGCAGCGTTCATTGGTGGGCGGAGGGGTGAACCCGTGTGCAGTCGGGAGTGGTCCGAACGGAGGTGCCACAGGCCGTTCCGGCAAAAAGGACGCCGCTCGCGTGACGGTAATGGCCGGATGATCCTCTGCCAACCTGCGGATGTCCGCAATGGGGATCTGTTATAATCCTGATGTTCTCCCTTTTCGCCTTCTCTTCTCCCTTCGGATCCCATGGGAAGCCTGAAATGGCCAGTTCTCGTAGGTTTTTCCGGAGCCCGCGACACGACGTCAGGGCGCCGGGGTGACTCAAGACGCTGGCGTGGCCCCGGTGGCCGCGGGTTCCGCTCTCCGCTTACACACGGTTTGACCGCTTGGCGGATGGGCCAGCTATCATAAAGCACTTGTCCCTTGCACATATCCACCCGTAGATATCCAGGTACTCTCTGTTACTGGGGGCGCTGTCTCGCATTGCTCCACCCCTCTGGCCATCATATACGGCGCAGCGAGTGAAATGCGCAAGGGCATAATTGGCAATCATGGCAATGACGAAAGCACGCAAAGATCTGTCCGTGGCTCAATTGACGCACAGGAATATGTAGACCTTCTTTCCATCACAGTTCACCCAACCGGAGTGACCATCGCTGCTACCAGGAGACCGATGAATCGGCACACCAAGCTTGTAATTGCACGGCAACGAGGGAGACCCGGCGATAATGGAGGCAGACCCGAAGGCCCGCTCGGACGGCGGTTCGAAGAACAAGTCGGCGTTGTCGAGTTACATCGTGAGTATCATACGGCCCCGACCAGAAACCACCTGCATGCAGGCCAGGCCCTGACATCACGGCGTATATAGAGGGTCTTCAAGTATAATGATGGCCTGGGCTGGGCCATGAATGGCGGCGCAGTCGTCTGCATGATTGCCTCGGGAACCTTGCTGCCGCTCATGGATATCGTGTTTGGCAAATTCGTCACGGCTTTTAATGACTTTGCCATTGGGACTCTGACTCCCGACGGCTATCGAGAGGAGGTGACCAAATACACGTAAGACATTGGACCCGTGTAGATGCTCGGACGATGAGCTAAGAAAGCTGATGATGGCCTAGTCTGTACTACATCTACCTATTCATTGCCAAATTCGCTCTCGGATACATCTGGCTCGTGAGTTGAGAGCAGCTGCAAACAGGACAGACAGTGTCGAAGCTCGCACTGACAGGGCTCTGCTAGGTTCTCGTTTCCATGAGTGCCATCAGAACCACCAAGAACCTGCGCATCACGTTTCTGAGGCAGACGCTGCGGCAAGAGATCGGCTATTTTGACTCTTCGGAAGCAGGCTCGATCACGGGGCATGTGACCACAAATGTCAACCTGGTCAACCAGGGCATCTCCGAGAAGCTAGGCCTGACGATCCAAGCCATCGCGACGTTTGTGACGGCCTTCATCGTCGCCTTCGCCGTGCAATGGAAGCTCACGCTCATCACCATCGCCGTCGTCCCGACCATCCTCATCGTGACTTTCATATGCATGGCCATCGACACCAAGCAGGAAAACCAGATCATGGCCATCTACGCCCGGGCGGGGAGACTGGCCGAGGAGATCATGGCCAGCATCCGGAACGTGCATGCCTTCTGGGCCTTTGAGAAGCTGTCGACCAAGTACGAGAGCATCCTGGACGAGGCGAGAGTGGTGGGCTTGAAAAAGAGCCCCAACTACGCGGTGCTGTTCTCCGTCGAGTTCTTCTGCATCTTTGCTGGGTATGGCCTGGCCTTTTGGCAGGGCATCAGAATGTTTCACAGCGGCGAGATCACACAGCCCGGCAACATTGTGACGTACGTTGGACTATGGAGCTGGAGCCGAGCTCCTCAGCAAACCATTGCTAACATATACACGCAGGGTTATTTTCGCGATCATCGTCGCGGCGCAAGCCCTCACGATCATCGCGCCGCAGCTGGTCACGCTGTCCAAAGCCACGGCTGCAGCCCAGGCCCTGTTCGAGGTGATAGACCGGGAGTCTCAGATAGATCCCTTGTCGGAGAGCGGATCCGCACCGGCGACTTGCGAAGGCGATATCCAGCTGCAAGACGTCGATTTCTCGTACCCGTCTCGGCCCGGGGTCCAGATCCTGAAGCAGCTGACACTCTCGATCCCTGCGAAGAAGGTCACTGCCATTGTCGGTGCAAGCGGCTCCGGCAAGAGCACCATCATTGGCTTGTTGGAAAGATGGTTTGCGCCGGCGGCTGGGTCCATCAAGATGGACGGCGTCGCACTGGATGAGTACAATCTCAAATGGCTGCGCACCAACGTGCGTTTGGTACAGCAGGTATGCCGACCGTACTCTCGCGCTGCGTCGCCGCTCTGTGCTGACACTCGACACTACATAGGAACCCATCCTCTTCAGAGGCAGCATCTTCTGGAATGTCGCCAATGGCTTGGCTGGAACCGAGGCCATGGACTTGCCCGAGGCCGAGAAGAGGGCCAAGGTCGAGGAGGCGTGTCGAGCTGCCTACGCCCATGACTTTGTCGAAAAGCTGCCACAGGTGAGCCCAAGCCCTTGAGACGTTCAAATGTATCCGACGTGCTTACATCTCTGAAGGGCTATGACACTGTAATCGGAGAGCGAGGCGCCATGTTGTCCGGCGGCCAGAAACAGCGCATCGCCATCGCTCGAAGCATCATATCTAACCCCAAGGTCTTGCTCCTGGACGAGGCGACAAGTGCCCTCGATCCGAGCGCGGAGAAGATTGTGCAGAGGGCCCTCAACAACGTCGCGGTGGACCGCACCATGGTCGTGATCGCACATAGGCTGTCGACGATTCGCGACGCCGACAATATCGTGGTCATGTCCAGCGGCACGATTGTCGAGCAGGGCACGCACGAGGAGCTCATCAGAGCAGACGGCGCATACGCCAGGCTTGTCCGGGCCCAGGACCTCAGCGGCGCCGAGGACGACGAGGACGAAGCCGAGAGGACCGAGACTGGGTCCGATCCCGAACTCCACATGCGCAAGACGAAATCAGTGGCCCGGAGTGAGCATGCCGTCGATGAGACGCGAATCGAGGGCGTTGGCGATGAGAGGAAGAACCTTTTGACCTGTCTCTTTATTGTCGTGCGCGAGCAAGAGTCATTCTGGCCATTCTTTCTGCTGGCGCTTACTTCTGCTTTTGGAGGTAAGCAGATTGCAACTGTTGTAGAAGTGTGTATTTCTGGCAACCGGCTGACTTCATGCTAGGCGCTACGTACCCTGCCCTGGCCATCATCTTCTCCCACATCATGGAGGCGTTCACTCTCACGGGGCAAGCTATCCTCGATCGCGGCAACTTCTATGCCCTCATGTTCTTTGTGGTGGCTCTCGGGAATCTTGTCCTCTACGCCGTGCTCGGCTGGGTCTGCAATGTCGTAGCTCAGGTGAGAACGTCTTGTTGCGCCGACGGAGACGCGTGGCTAGCTAACACTGAAGTCTTCCAGGTCGTCATCAAGAAGTACCGTCTGGAGCTGTTCAGGCTCATCTTGAAGCAGGACATAGCCTTCTTTGACCGCCCGCGAAACTCGACCGGCGCCTTGGCTTCGCGACTGTCCACGGAGCCGACTCATCTCCAGGAGCTACTGTCCATGAACATCGGCCTCATCCTGATCATCATCATCAACCTGCTGTCGAGCTGTATCCTGGCCATTGCGTACGGCTGGAAGCTCGGCCTGGCCATGTCGCTAGGTGCCATCCCGCCCTTGGTATTCTCGGGCTACTTGAGGATTCGGCTCGAGTTCAAGCTCGACGGCGACACGTCAAAGTGGTTCGCCGACAGTGCGGGGATCGCCTCCGAGGCTGTGCTGGCCATCCGCACGGTCGCATCCCTCGCCTTGGAGCAGGACATCATCAACAACTTCAAGGCGACCTTGGACCACATCGCAGCTCGGTCGATTGCCAGCCTCGGCTGGACCATGCTGTGGTACTCTTTGAGCCAGTCGATGTCGTTTCTGGCCATGGCACTGGGCTTCTGGTGAGTAATCCATGTTTCAAGCTGCAGTCGGGCAGGGGCTCTAATACCAGACTCTCCAGGTACGGCGGCCAGCTCGTCTCGACTGGGGAATACACACCCACCCAGTTCTACGTCGTCTTCATTGCCACCATCTTCTCCGGCGAGGCCGCCGCAACATTCTTCACGTATAGCACGAGTAAGTGACGCAGGCCACCTATGTTCACGGACGGGCCAGCATGCTGAACGATGGAGCAGGTCTCACGAAAGCTACGAATGCGGCGAACCATATATTCCAGCTTCGGAAGTCGGTGCGCTCCGAGATGGACGAGGAGCATGATGCAGATAGCGAGAAGCCTCGACAGAATGGCCCGGAGCTATCTTGCGACAGGTTGGAATTTGCTTACCCGCAGAGGCCAAGCACCCGCGTGCTCAAGGGCATCTCGCTCAATGTGAGGACCAAACCCCTGGTGCTGATTGTGTTCAGAGCCGCGTCGCGCTAACTCGAGAGACTGCTAGGTGGAACCGGGGCAGTTCGTCGCCTTTGTCGGTGCGTCTGGGTGCGGCAAGACGACCATGATCGGCCTCCTCGAGAGGTTCTACGACCCAACGAGGGGTATCCTATGCTATGACGGCAAAGATGTCAGCAGCATCCACCTGGGACAGTACCGTAGCGAGATCGCGCTTGTCCAGCAGGAACCTGTGCTCTATCAGGGCTCGATCCGAGAAAACATCCTCATGGGCCTGGACGACAGCAAGATCCGGGAGGGTGTGCCCGAGGAGCAGGTTCTCCAAGCCTGCCGGCAGGCCAACATAGAGACCTTCATCTCGTCCTTGCCGGACGGGCTAAACACCGCGTGCGGTTCTCAGGGCTTGCAGCTTTCTGGCGGCCAGCGACAACGCATCGCCATCGCTCGGGCCCTCATCAGGAAGCCGCGCCTGCTTCTCCTCGACGAGGCGACGAGCAGCTTGGATACAGAGTCCGAGAGGATCGTGCAGGAGGCCTTGGAGGCGGCGGCCAAGGGAGAGACGGACGAGGGTGGCACGCCTACCAGACTGCGGACGACTGTTGCCGTGGCGCACCGGCTGTCCACCATCAAGGGGGCAGACAAGATCTTTGTGTTTGCCGAAGGGAGAATTGTGGAGAGCGGCAGCCACGAGGACCTGCTAGGCCGAAGGGGGATGTATTATGACATGTGCTTGGGACAGTCGCTCGACCGAGCGGAGTAAGATATGCATAGCCAGCGGGTTCGAGATGTTCACATTTTTCTCCACTTTACATCGTACATAGCATAGACATAGAAGCGCAACAAGCCACTCAGTTACCCACCGCTGCCTCGTTCTTCGACTAGAGTGGTTATTTGCTGACCAGTCTGGTTTATCAAAGGGGCAGACTGTTGCCAACTTTGGGGTAAATGTTGGAATGTTGTTTGCGGATCCGGCCCCATGTAAGCCGTTCGTCCTCCATCCCTATGAAAGCCAGGGGGCCGGAGATTATCTCTACCAGGGAACCCCGTCCGGCTCTTCGCCAACAATGTCAGACTCCTGAGCATAATTCCGCACGATCACCTACCCCGGATGCCTAGCACGGATCTTAGCTAACGTATACGACTCTCGGGTGTAAGAACCAGAGTTGAAGAGCCTGGTGACAGCATTCCAAGCCAACTCGTAAGAATCTGGATGGCTCCTGTCAAGCCAAAAGGACATTGTCCTGCAGGGTGGCGAACATCACGAAGTCGTGCCTCGGAGATGCATTGTCATGCGGCTGGCCCAGCATACGAATCACACAACGGTCACGGCCAGCACATTCCGTCCTTTCAAGTCGAAGGCAAGACGGGCTGGACTCGGCCAAATTTCCGCAAGCATCGTGTGTTACACGGTGCCCCAGCTGAGTGATGGCTTGGCGTACGACAGCCAATGCAACCAAGACGAGGGAATGCGGTCCAGCACTCTCGCCAATCAGCAGCATTCGGACGACAGGACAGGTGTTGCGGTGAGGAACATTTCGGCTCCCGATGCAAGGCGTCCGAGCACCAGCCAGTCAGTATGAGACAGCCAGGCAAAAAAGCAATGACGCTCCTGTTGCTGGTGCTTCTATATTTAGGATTCACGCAGGGGCTTCAGCCATCGGGACATTTGCCGGGGTGGAATGTTCTCTCGCTTGGCACTTCTGCCAAAAGGTCTAGCTCCAAAGGCCAAAGCAGTCGGGATCGGCAGCCAATACGAGGAACTCTCAAAAGCAAGCCACTCTCTCTTACTACTACGTGCTTCTCGGCACGCGGAACGTCAAAACACACATCACCGCCCAGAAAAGATCAGCGGGAAGCTAACCCGCCGGGCCCAAACGCCAAAGCCAAAACCAAACCCCAGAATGCCACCACGCGTGGGGATGCGGGAGGCAGTCGAATGGGCTGTCGGTACCCGGTAAGACGGCTCAACTTGCAGCCCTTTTGGGTCTCGGCCAAGCCTGGGCGCGCCCTGCCATTGGCCGTGGTGGTGCTGTCATGACCAAGACACAGGCTGACGGGCAGGCATAGCTGAGGTCGAGGATAACGTCACACTCGCCAGGCCAAGCTCGTGTTGAGTCCCCTGACTCTCAGACACCCAAAATGATACCGCTTCCAGTAAGTAAGTGGAGGTGTCCGTCCAACGTCCCTGGCAGGGCACAGCATTGTATGTTGTTCCCCGCATATTACTGCTTAATTCGACTTCCCACAAGCGGATTGTGCATCCAGTTGATCCCGATCCGAGATGAGCAGAACCAGGATTCCACAGCTTAATTCTTGGGAGTGACGATCCCCGTTCTTAGGGCTGTCTCGGCTGGCACGGAATATCGCCAAAGGAAGTGGCATGCACTTTTTTTTTTTTTTTGGATATATATAGTTGGGCCCCTTGACGCTTGACACGACGAAAATGCCTTTGCCGCAACCCTGCTGCTCCTGTCTGACCTACAACTTTATCTGATCATCCAATACACTCTTCACCATGAAGGTCTTTGCTACTGCTCTGCTCTTTGTAAGGTACGTACACACGAGTGGCTGTCTGACGATCGATGTCCCCTTCCTCCCACCCCAGTCCCTACATGGACGCAATCAGACCAGCTAACACCTGCACTCACCACCTGACCAGCTCCGGCATCCTCGCGGCAGCCAACGAGGCCGGGTACCCAGCCGCCTGCCCGACCATCACCTCGCACTCGCGCTGCTCGACGTGCATGGTGCCCCAGTGCCTCGCCCTCTCCACCATGAGCCTCCCCTGCGGCTGCCCAGACCCGCCCGCCACCACGACCGTGCACCACGACTGCGCCGGCCCGGAGCCCTGCAGCCCGGGCGGCTGCGGCGGCACCCAGTGGTCCGTCATCCCCGCCGCCGCGACCTGCGGAGGAGCCGGCGGCCCGGCCTGCCCGACCATCACCTCCACCGTGACCCCGGACGGCTGCACGCCGACCCTGCCCGGCCAGTCCTTCTGCGCCGAGCCCGCCTGCGCCATGATCGAGTCGGTCACCCTGCCCTGCAGCTGCGTCGGCGTCAACGACCCTCCCGTGCCCACGACCACCGTGACCGGCCCGTGCACCTGCCGCTCCGGCTGCGCCACGTTCACATCCGTCCAGTACCTGCCGTGCCCGGCGTCGATGCCGGCCCCGACTACTACTCCCGTAGGTGATGGACCTGGCTGCAAGGCTTGAGAAAGAGTTTGGCGATGTTGATGTTGATGATTTATGTTTCTGTCTTTTAGGTTTAAAGTTGGCTTCGAAAGAGCTATCTCATGGTTGCCGTTTGAGGTATATATAGCCCTGTGTCAAGGACCCGTTCTAGGAATTTGTTGAAAAGGTGGAACAAGAGGGAAGTGGCTTCGAACATTGTGGTCTTGCCTAGGAGGTCTGTGATGTTTCTGTTTATCCAGTCACCGGTAGATACCAAATGATATGCCTCAAGTCGGTTGAAATGAATGGGGGAATGAGATACTGATACACCAAGTGAAAATGGAAGTTGATTATTGTCCGCCAACCACTTCTATTATCATATTTTCTTTACATGACGCGACTCAGATCACAGTCATACAAAAACCTAAACTCGCTTGGTTGGGTGCCGCACTGCGGTCGTCCCCGCTAGAACTAGGCGTCATAATTATATTGCGTTCCTAGCCTGAGGAGGATTCTCATTACAAAACGACCGCATAAGTCTTGCACTGGCTCCGAGAAGCCAGGCGCGGAAGTGGCGTTCAAGATCGATGTTGACTTTGAGGCTTGTGACCCTGGGCCTCTTCAGGAACCCGGCGATTGTCAATGGATTCCCAATACTGAAGAGACCGGAGCTGCAGTCGGGACTGGAGATTCGTTGCAACCTGCAGCTCGACTGAGTGGAACGAAATTCGTTGATAGGTTTGGGCATGGAGCGTTCCTCAAGGGTTTCTCATCTATGGCAGTTGTCACCAAACGGACACGGAGATGTGCACCTGGCATTTCTTGTACAACGAGGACGGGAGCCGATTGCCCTACACTTGTGGACTTGCCTTCTCTTGTCCTGTGACCGGAGTCAGATGTCTGGATTCGGCGCGACACAACATTGGATGGACCCCGGATGCGGCGTACAACATTGGTAGGTGACTTAATGTTCCAAACTGGACTTGCGAGGATGTCCATATCTGATAGCTTGAAGGCTCTCCACAGGCAACGTATGCAGTCGAGCGATCCGGGCTGCCAGCACCCACTCTAGGATGCATCCTCCAGAAGGTTGTAATAACGGCGGGCATGCACGTCACATCTGGCTTTGAGTTTGCTCTTGGAAAAAGGGACATACCGGCACGCATGACAACGCATGGATACGTGCCACTACTTAGAGCCGTCTCCCAGAAGTACGTGCTGTTCTGGGACGAGAGAGACAAACGAGGCTGGCTTGCCAACGGCGTCAGCGCATTGCTCCATTTTCTTCGAGGGTCGCTGGAACTAGATCGTTTGAGCAAGTTCAGTTCGGTTCTGAAGATGAAGCTCAGTGACCTGCAAGAGGCGGACGGTACGTATGGTCCAGCCTCGGCTATCGAGTTCCTCACTAGTCAACACAACATGTCACTCCCGCTCTACGCAGAACGCGATGGCAAATTCTACTGTCTCCAAGATCGTGTTGAGCATCTCTGTAACGTCTTGGCGAAGTTGATAGACAGTCAGGAAGAAATGGGTCCATACCAAGGTTTAAGTTTGTTCAGACCGCGCGGGAAATTAGAAGGCTGGGACTATAAAGACATCCCCTCCTTGCGAGATCCGCTGCACCCAAAAGTCGCTACTCTCCACAACACTGGCAAAGCTTGGGTCGACTTTATCCGAGGCATCAAGGCTGTCACTATATTTGGCCGTGGATTCGGAGAGCTGCTTCAGCCAAATACCGGTGCTGCAGCAAGCTCCTCGTCCTGCTGCCCATGGTCTACCTTGCCCAAAGATAGATTCTACATTGCCGCTCACGTCACCGACCTGGCCGAGATTATGGAGGCAAATGGCGACGCCAACGCACAGCCCAGAAAACTGTGCCAAGATATCTTTTGGTACAGTCATGGCCAGGTCCTGGAGCCGTGTCCATGTGTCTCTCAGTCCCACAGCTCAACACTGGATGTCAGCAAGAAACACCATGATCCAGTCCAGGCTTTGTTCTCGTCCTCGTTCAAATTCTTCGCCAGCCTCTCGCAGCGCCGGCCCATCACCCTGACCGACAACGGTGCGGTTATCTTTGGGCACAGGCGAAAACTTCGCTGGTACTATAAAGATATCGGGGACCCTGTTATGGGAGATCCTGTGGAAGGTTCAGAATCCGCCTTGCCATCAGCCAGTGACACATTCAGCAATTCCATGGCAAGCGCAACGACGTCTTTCTCGAACAGCCAAGCAGGAATGGACGACACGTCTTCTGTGCCAAGCGAGTCATCGCCCGTTATTCGAACATCGAGTTCGAACGCATCTGTGAGTGGTGTGGGCAGAATCGCCCATAATCCAGCGTCAGAAGACACAGAAAGCGTTGCAGCAAAGCCCGCACGGGGGCGAAGCGTGTCATTTCCTAATTGACTCTGATTCATCGTACCTATAAAAGATAGATATTGAATTGATCTCACAGTTTTGAGAGTGTAGGGGATTCACGGATCGACGAGATTACTTGTTAGCGGCTTTGAGTTGCAACAGGACAGCTTGCGGCTCACCCGCCTTGATACCAAATGTGTAGTTGATGGCATCTTCGAGGGTCATGATATTGACTCATGAATGAGGTAGCAACATATTCTCATGGACTATATGTAGCAATCTCGATTCAGCTAGCGGTTTTGTGTAAAGTTCCAGTTTAAGAGTTGCTATTCATGGGAACTGCAAACTTTGTCCTTAATAAAGGGGAAAGAAGGGGAAAGAAAGAAAGCAAAGAGGAATAGAAGAGAGGAGAGAAGAAGATAGGGGGGATGGAGGAAGAATAGAAGTCGAGAGAGGTGTATTCAGTCCTGCCAGGGATAGCCTCGTTCGTATCGCGCTGCCTTACCTCCTGCCTCAGATAAACATTGCTCAGGCCATTGACGGCGTAATTGACTGCTCCGCCAAGGCATGCCATCGCCCGTTGCTGCTGCTACTGTTGGAAAGCTCAGGAATAGATTGATACATGTCCATGACTATTCCCCCCCCTCCCACTGGTGCACTCTCCGTCGCGTTGTAAACACGCTACTCACGAGCGCGAGCAGCATTACCAGTTCTCCTGCGAGGATACATGGCGATATCACAGCTCCTAAGTCAACAGAAAGCAAGGCAAGCAATTTCCCAAGGCACTTCCCTGATCCTGTTGCGTGGATGCACAACGGCAGACGGCGCGACGCATAAACCTGTCCATCCTTGGTAATCTCGGCTGTTGGGCCGTCCTTCTGGAAGGCTTCCAAGGCCCCCCGACAGCCCTGATCGGCTATCTATTTCGGTTTGCGGGTTGTGCAGGGTACCCCTCCTCTTCAAGCACCCCTAGTCGGGTGTACATACAAGTAGAGCTGCATGTACATGGCCCGACCGCCGATCGACGCAGGGTGCAGCATCAGTGCAGTTGTGCAGTTCAAAACAACAAAGCCAGTTGATACCCTCGGGCGGGGTTTGGTTTTGAAACACACGCCCCCCTCCCCGTCTCTCACTCCGAACACTGGGCCGAGCCAAAGCGGAGGTTTGTCAATGGACAGGCATTCGAGTACTTTAAACGTAGATCAATATGCGTTCAGTAGGCGAGGAATTACAAGTCGCATTGGCAGCCGTCGCTCGCGTGGGTTCGCTCGGTGCACATGCAGGAGGCGATGCAGAGGTCCGCACTTGGGCAAGCGGGCCACACCCACACGGACAGTGGCAGTGGTGCTAAGATAGATCAGACCAAACGCCTCCGGTAATCGACGGCGCCGTTTCGGTTCGGGTTGCTCACCGCCGGATGCCATCTTCATCTGCTCGTGTTGACGCTGTTGGTCCCGTACGTCAGCCGCTGCTGATTCCACCCCACGAATCTCATCGGCCAGAGGCACTTGGCACCATGGCCCACCAGGTTGCAAATCACGATCATGGTCAGCCGGCCCGCCATGGTTGTTGGCTTGGAGCAGGGAAAAGAGAGGCCTTCCGTGTAGATGGTAGTAGCATAGATCAGCAAGGTTGCGTGCAGCACTAATGCACGATGGGCCGCTGGAACAAGATTTGTGACTGAACGTGTACCTGTCCGCCGTCAGTCACGCTGCAGTCAGTCAGTCCGCCTAGTCTAACGCTCTGGAATCGCCTTAGCACGCAGAGAGAGCATGCACGCACGCACGCTGTCGACCAGCAGACTTGACTTGCCAATGTCAATGTCAGTGTCTTGCATGTGAAGCTTGCCCTCGCCGGGTTTGGCTCCGCATCCGTGTCCCTCCTGTCAAAGGGGACAAGAGAGAGAGAAGGGCAGACCGGACCTGGAGGTCCCCCGCTCTCAGTGAGCTAGGTCTTGCCTAGTGGTCAATTGCGACATTGTCATTCATGCCCAAAGTGGGTATCATCAGCATTAGCAGCGAAAGGGGGCGTGTGTGTTGAAGGGATAGGAGGGGGAGAGGATGGCAGGGCTCTAGAAATAGCAAACGTGTTTGTGCATGCACCAACGGGCGACAGCGAGTAAACAAGACGGCGTGGCTCCAGTGGGCGGCCGAGGGCTAACGGCGGGCAGCATCTCTCTCCCTCCCTTGTAAGGGCGGTGTCAGTAGAATGGGCAGCGTCTTATCTAACGGGGACAAACCTGCAAGACTCCTGACGACTCCGTAGGTGGTGTCCGTGGTGTTGTTTGATGGAATCCTGCCCACTGTCTCTGCTTGACGCCCCCCCGCAGCAGACTTCCAAACGCGCCCCGCCGCGATGCTCGCTCGTGTTTGTCGACGGGCCACTGCACACTGCACTCTGTCGGAAGAGGGAAAACCGCCTCGCAGAAAAGTCGGCAATTCGCTCCAGAACGGGGTCGAGACCTTCGGCCTTTTCGGCGTGGCTGCTTGGCCTGCGCAGGATGGATGTAGTCAACCGGGCAATGTGCTGCGATTCCCAGCGTACGAGTACCCCTCCTCCATGGAGAATCAGCCCTTCTCCTCACCAGGGAGGGTGGAGATGAGTGAGGGCCGATAACATTTGGCGCCCGGGCGGGGTTGTAAGGGGTGTGCAGTAGGGGTGAGAAATGATAAGCGGCTTATCGCGCCCACGGCGGGAATGTGAAATCAATTGATCTCATTGAATGGATGCCCCCCTCTCGGGTCGGATGCGGCACTTGGGGTCTGTCTTTGTTGTTGTTGTTGTGGCTCTTCCTCCCATACACGAGTCGTACGCATTATATCTATCCAAGCGGGAGGGTGTGCGGATGGAGGGAGACAGATAGAGAATCAGAAGCCATTGGTGTGCTCGCTGACCTGTGTTTTATCATTCAGAGACACACTGTCCGAAACAGGCAGATATCGTGGTTCATCCGGAGGAGGTGTGGTGTAAGTGGAAGGCATCATGACCTGGTCGGTCAGCTTCAACCCTTCCAGGGTGGTCAGAAGACGGCTCTAGCCGGATGTTTGCGGGCGTGATCGAGAGCGGAGGGGCGGGGAATGCGTGGATGATGGGAAATCGATCTGGCTTCCGCACCCTACTTTGTCCCTGGTGCACCATTGCAATAGCTTCACACACACTGTGGTCTGGGTGGTCTGGGGTCATGTGCGATCGACGTCTCCCACGCTGCGACCTCTGTCTCATCCACGGGCTGGCGAGTGTGACAGGGCGCTTGGCCTATACGGGTAGGCTGGAAACATTGCGCCAGTTCACTGTTCCATTGGTGGGAACTGTCAGAGGCCACTCCTGAGATGCATCTCTGCTGGTGATGCAGGTGAGTGGGTGAGTGGGTGAGTAGGTGCTAGCTGCTGTCACCGGGGAACTCTCTCGGCTTGTTGCTATTGCCAGCAGTACAATTGGAAGTCAATGGGTACGCGCTCTGGACTCTTCTCTCTCGAGCATCTCCTCAAGGCAGCCGAGAATGACGCGGCCAGAGAGGGCGCATTGCGATACAAGACTTGCGACGGGGCGGCGGACAACAGCCTCAGGTATCGGCGGACGTGCCTGGAGCGAAAGGTTCCGGGATGGGTGGAGGATGGTTGCCGACGAGCGAGAGGCGCTGGGTGGTGTGGGCTGCCTCAATGCTGTCCTTGGTTTACCACTCGGCTCGAATTGACGTGTATGACCTGCCGGTCTGTCCATTACACAAAGACTTTTGCCGGTGGCGGGCAAATGATGGATTTGTCTTGGGGTCTTGCCATGATCCGAGCGAGGGGAGGGCGAACCTGTGTCGTGGAATCATCAGATCGATCTCGCAGGTCGAGGCACCAGTCAAAGCCACCAATTGAGCCACCCAGTCGGTCAACCCTCTGGAGACAACAGTCCACCGTCCTCTGGGCCGTGGCTGGATACGAATGGGACACGGCCTGAGTGAAGTCGGACCCATCGGAACAGTGTCGCAGAAAGCTGTCGTCTTGGTTCCTCTTCTGCCTTGATCCTCCCGCCTGGTCCGAGAACGAGACCAATTGCTAGTATCGGATTTTAGGTCATCGGAATCCGGTTTGCAGCAAAGCCCATTGACAGCCCAGATCGTATTGTCGGTGGGCAATGGGCTCCGCGGATAGCCACCGAGTCGACATGCTTATCGCCGCCCTGTATCGGTCGGCGCAATTGAGGCGTCCAGCGGGATGATTCAAGATGATGGACCAGGGTGGAATGGAATCCGCCAGGCTGGATTTCTAAGCGTGGGGACGATGATGCACGCAGCACGCCGGACCTGCCTCCACTGGACCTTCCAAAAGTATTCCACTGCAGATTCCCTCTACAGGAGGCCCAGGTACCGCATCTCAGAAGGGAGGTACCGCGACTTGGGCCCCCGAGAGCACTGGGGAGGGACTTGGAGGGGTACTTGCTCCCTGTAAGTTGCGCCGTGGGACGTTTGTTCTGCGCACTTATCCAGGGCTGTTATTGATAAATGATAGCGCTATCGTCGGCGCTACACCCCAACGGGGCAGTCGCGGTGTTTCAAATTGATGCGTGGCAGGCGGGCACATGACCGCAGGCCCAGCCATTCCTCGATTCTGGCCAGCGAGAGTCCAAGTTCTCCAGGCAACTGGCGAATTCTGTAACCCGTTCATCCAAGGATGGGCCAGGACGAGAGCATGAGGGCATGAGAGGAGGATGACTCACAGCCCCGTCCGGCCTGTCGTCATCCTCGCCATCGGGCTCCCAAGCCCGTGCAAACCCGCTTCTTCTGGCGCTGGCCGGTCCTGATTGGCCAATTCCGTGTTTCTGCTTGCTGGCATCTTCCCTGGTGCTGCTGCATTTTGGTTTGTGATTCCACAGTGGCGAAGCCCCTTCTCACGATCCACACACGCCCTCCAGCTCCTCTGCACGCCAGCTTTTCTCTGCGTGCAGTCTGCCCTAGAATTGGTCAATCAGTCGGGGAAAACCTTGTTACGCAAGTGTAAGGGCACTGGGAGGATACTCGCCCCCAGAGCTGGGGCACACACGCAACACAAGGCGGTGCTAGCTTAGGCAATGCACGCGCACCCGTTGCTGGCGATTGCATCTCTGCAAAACCACTACCCTAAAGAAGTATTTCTTGTTTCTTGCCATGCAGAATCCTAGTTGGCTAAGAGGTCAAGCTAATACGTACCAGGTCCTGCATCCAGTAAGTCTGGACGTGCCTTGTGGCTGTGGCGTGCGGTCAATGGGCTCTGCCCAGGCATGATACTGTACTTCGTACCAACTCTGTGTCGACAGTGGGCTCTGGTAACTACTTTTTCCTTCTCGTACAAGGAGTCTCTGTGTCCATGTTCTTCTGGGCTCCCATATCGCAACCTGGTCCCGTGCAATCATGCAATCAAGAGTGTCCCAATTCCTAGCAGAGAGGTGCCAGTCCGGTCCATGACACGAGAGGAGCGTACCAGGCAACCATGGTTCCTTTGCGTGCATCGATAAACCACTCTGCTAATTGGCAATCTACACTTTGCGTCAAAATCCCCGATCATGAATCGTGTCCAAGTGGATATGAATGGTGGAACCAGCAGCAGGGCCTGCTCATGCGCCTGTCTCGCGAACCGCGTGTGGCTGTCGAGCGGTCTCTCCTCGTCCCATATCCTCAGGACAAATTTGCGGGAGACGACCATGGACCTTGAACCCTCTCTTACCTGGCCAAGTGGACTGCTAGGCCCCCAGTATTATTTCTGTGCATGCCATGCTTTCGAAGCCTGGTGGTGAAGGACCTCTTCTTTGTCCCGTTCCTGGTTCGGGACACGACCGCACTACTTCTCCCCTCTTCCATTGCAAGATCTTCAGCGTTCATTGCCTTTGCAGACTTGCTCTGCTCTCTCCTCGTGTCACTCGATTCAACACAGTCCAGAGAGCGGAAGCAAAAGTAAAATCGCGGGCGTGCAATCGCAAATACTTGGCCCGTACGTAGCCTGCTAGGCAGGCCGTAGCCAACGCCGGCGCCGGCGCCAATTGAAGCCCTCTCACCGCCTGCAGTGGAGGCCTGGCCTGGCATTGCATGTACAAGTAGTCGACGTCAACGTCAGTCAACGTCGTCTGGGGCGGGTCCATCTCGAGTGGGTTTGGGAGGGGCAACCCTAAAACGGACCGCGTGGCGGCCTCTTGGAGGGCTGCTTCAGGCTGGTCTGTTTCTGCTCCTGCGTTGGCTGCGTACATCCATACTTGTTCGCTGTACTCGTAGTTGCACTGCACACACAGACAGCAGGCACTGCACATGCGCCCTAAGCGGGGATCTCTGCTACGGCTTCTCAATTGGAGCACAAATGCATGTTTGAGTGGTCAATTGGCGGAATTGGGTCTCTCTGCTACAAGTACACCGAAACGCCAGGGTGCTTTCTTCTGCAAGGACTGGTGTGTAGCAGGACAAGTACCGAACAACGTCATTGGAGGGGGAGTCCCAGCACATGCCAAAACCGTCTTCAGTATGCCTGGATGCGTCCGTCGCAGGTACTTGGGAACACGCAAAAGGTACTTGCGCTGGTGTCGCTGCAGGCAGACTCCGTTTTTGCCTGATGGACCGGGGTAGCGGGATGGGGGAGCAGATGACTGGCTGGCTGACCTGGGCGAGTGACCAGGGGGGCCAGGGGGGGGGAGGGGGGTGTGTGGTGGCTTTTTTAGTGAGCGCAGGAGGTGCGGCGGGGTGACTAAATTGGCATCCTTCGTGTGACTCTTACACGCCCGCACCAGAGCTTGCATCAGTTGCAGATTCGGGTTTGCGACAAGACGACGCACACGCCCCAGTCCCGTCGCTTTCCACACCCCCCTCACGGATGGGCTCGTCGGCCACGGGTGGCCATGCACCCAGTGTCCAGTGTGTTGTAACTATCTAGGAGCTGTTCCCACGTCCAACCGCCGGCCTTGTCGCCCAATCCCTGTCCTCCTGACTGGATGCGGCGGGCTGTCGCGGCCAACTGGTGACGAGATGGGTGGAGGGCAGGGCGGTGCTGGAACATTGTTGGCGCAACACGCTGGAGAGGGGACTGGAGAGGGACTGGAGAGGGACTGGTGCTGCCGCCGCCGCCAAACGACTGCCCTGCTGCCCATCCGGTTTCGTCCAATTGACCAGTGTGCGAGCGAGCAGCGGCAGCGGGAGAGAGGTGATGACCAAGGGAGAGGGAGAGAGGAAGAGAGAGGGCCAGAGAGCGCTGGTGCCCTACCGTCCCTCCCTCTCTCTGGTAATCGTCTCAACTCTCTCATTCTCTCTCGCTCGTGCTCTCTGTTGGCGGCACCCCCCTCTTCGGGCGTCCCCCCAATCTTCCTCCTCCTCCTCCTCCCTCTCTCTGTGTCTTATTGAGTCCCTCGTCCTCCTCCTGCTCCTCCTGCTGCCAATCTCCCAACTGCCTTGCCCTACTACTTAATATTCCGCTTCTCTCCATTTCCTTCCCTTCAACACGCCCTCTCTTTTTTTGCTCCCCTCTTGTTTTGCCTCTCTCATTGTCGCTAGCTGCCGCCCTAGCAGCAGTCAATTCGGTCCTTCGTCATCCATTGTGACTAAACTCAATTGCGCGCGCGTCTTGCCGGAGGGTCGACGGACTTATTCGCCACCAGCACAATTCGCCCACCTTCCACCGCGATTCCATCAACAACCACGACGGTCCAGCACAGCGCAGGAACAGCTTGCACCCTGCTGCAGCCTCTTGACGCTTGAGTCCCCTCTCTCTCTCTGTACTTGCTGTTCGGCAATCTACTATTATCGTTGCGACAACGTGTGTGCACACGCTGTCATCACTTGACTTTACCACCACTCTACGACGGGACTTATCGCCTTATCGCCCAAGCCCAACGCCTCGATCCCCCGAGAAGTCAATGCAGCAGCCATCCACCCATATGGGGCGGACTACCAGCATCAACAATAGCAGCCACACAATAGACGGCAAGCCGCTTGTCAATGACTGAGGAGTCATCAGTTGCAACAAAGCAGAAGAAGCCTAGGCCCTTCCTGCCCAATCTGCACTAAGTCCGACGACGGATGCGGGAGTAAAGAGCTGTTGCCTACCTCCACCCAGCAAACACCCACCACCCACTACATAGGTACTACTTGCTTCCACCACCACCACCACCACAAAGAAGCAACTTAAATCCGAACACCTCCTGCCACCACCCTCGTGGGCCACAGCGCAATTGATCAATCCTGCTGACTGACGCTGCTCTCTTTCTTGCCTGCTCGACTACTTCTTCTTCTTCTCCTCCTTCTCCTTCTTTTCTTCTTGCCATCAATCCTCTCTTCTACTTATTGACTTTGTCCGTCCCGCGTCGATTGTTCTATTAAACTTCGACTCGACCAACTCGCCAAAGTCAACCAATTGCCTTTGTCTGCAGAGCGAGCATACCTCCGCAAGTTACGATTCGCCACGTTAGGCAGCCCCAAGAGCGAGCATAACTTCTCGCCAACCATGGCTGACAAAACCATAATCTGCGCGCCATTGGACCAGCGCAGCAGCCCTGCCCTCTCGGAGCCCAGCCCTGCTCTCAATTCGTCCCGCCTCTGGTCTCCCACTCTTGCTGCCTCGCAATCGCACCCGTCCTCTCCTTCTACGAGGCAGGACGGCGATGTCGACATGGCAGACGCGCCTGCCGCAGGACCAGCCGAGTTCAAGAAGCCGCTCGACATCAACAGCCTCATGTCGCCGCCTGAGCTTGCACCGTTCGAGAACTTCTCCAATTACTCAGCAATGCGAGGAGCCGTGGCAGACGCTCGGGCGGACAAGAAGGCCGGCGGCCCCAAACCGCTCTTGTCGCCCCCCATCTCGCCCTTCACCAGGGCCTCCAACACAATCGACCCGGTCCCCGCTGCGGGCGCCGGTCTCAGAGACCCGATTCTCTATCCCAGCAGCGACATCGCCTCCAGCCCTCCGCAGCCGCTTTTCGGGCCGGACGAGCAGTCGAAGGACGACGCCCAGCAGCTGGTCGACGAGCACGTCGCCTCCCGTCCTGCGAACCTCTTCCGCAAGGCCACTCCGCCAGAGCGAGAGGACTATGAGTTGGCTCTCTTCTTCAAGTCGGCCGTCATGGAGAAGTTCGCAAACAACCCCAAGGGATGGCTACGCAAGGAGCGCGAGTTCCTCCGCGCCGACCGCAAGGCCAGCGCCGAGCGGAGGAGCCACCTGCAGCCCGTGCTCCCGGCCAAGGAAATCATAGCACGGGGCATCGCTGCCAAGCCCCCGCGCCCTGCTCCCCGTGCCTCCAAGGCCGACAAGATCGTCAAGCCCAGGGCTCGCCCTGCTCCTCAGCGCATCGCTCCCCAGCGGCCCTCTCCGCAACGCATTGCGCCGCTGTCGAGCACGACGCCGCCGAACCACGCCAGCACGGGAAAGCGCCTCCCGAGTGCGACTCCCGAGCCTCGGAGCCGGCCCGTGGCCCCCAGCCGCGAGGACAAGGACTTCCACCTGCTTCCCGACTACTGTCCTCCGCTGAGCTCGCTGCCCAACAAGCCAAACAGCCTCAAGATCGACTGGAAGGGCAACCCGCTGGACCTCTCCAACGACCCCCACCGGCACCTGCTGCACCCGGACGAGCTTCAGCTGGCGGCGAGCCTGCGTCTTGACTGCGCCACGTACCTCACGAGCAAGCGCCGCATCTTCATGAGCCGGCTCGAGTGTGCTACCAAGCCCAAGGAGTTCCGCAAGACGGATGCCCAGCAGGCCTGCAAGATCGATGTCAACAAGGCCTCGAAGCTCTGGACGGCGTACGACAAGGTGGACTGGCTCAACCTCGCCTGGATGAAGCCGCACCTCGCTGCTGCCGGCAAATAAAGCACGGCTATCTTCCTCTGCGGGTACAGGGAGCGATCCGTCTGGTATGGATTGCCACCCGCCACACCACCTTGCATCTTAGTGTGACGATCTCCCACTGATCACCACGACTATTCTCATGTCGACATGTTTACGACCTTTGTTTTTCTGTTCCTTTATTCGTGCGATTCTTGATATCCCCCCAGTCGACCTGATTATCCAGGATCCTTTTTCTCTTTGCTTGGGGACTTTCTCTCCAGCTGGTTCTGCTTGCGATTCTACGACTCTCCGACTCTGCAGGGATCTGCTTTCTCCGGCACCCGAAACTTTACTTTTATCACATCACCATCAGGACTTCTCTTTCGAATTTCGGAATAATATGGCATCAGGGATTCTCATATACAGTGATACCCGGAGTGCGACGTTCAACACATCGACTTTGACTGCTTTTGTCCTGGTCCAACATGAACCCCAGTCACTCCACTCCCCTTTCTACACGAGTTTCATCATGGATATCCACGGTTTTCCCCCTGTTATCTGCATCATCGGTTGGGGGCCCTTTGGAAGGATTGGAAGGATCAGGATATGTCTTTTCTTTTTCTTTTTTTTTTTTCTTTTTTTCTTGCGATTCCCCCCTCCAGTGCTCTCGCATGACAAGATCGGCGTTTTGTTTATGTGCTTGGGGATTGGACGCCCAGGGAAGGAGACACTGGGTTTCTCTTGTCCAGTTATGAGAAGGGTGGATCATCAGGGCATTAGGAAGGATATATGACAGATACCCCCCCATTTATCAAGAATGCCGTCCTCATCAAGAGGAGGATTCTTCTATTTCCTTTGTTTCCCTTCTTGGTAGCTGTCAGTGACCCGAGGCGGGTGCTCTATTGGCGGCATGGACTTGTTTTCTCGCCGAGGGCTTCGACATGTGGCACTGTCACTGACTGAGGAACCCTCTGGTCCGCTGGCAGCGTTTTGTTGATTGACTTCTTGGACTGCACCCTGGCGAAGGCCTCGCAAGAGACAAACACCTGTATGTCTCGACCGAAAACGGCCGCAGGGAAGCAATATTTGCAATACACATTCATTATTCTACCATTTTGGGGCAAGTGCAAGCTGCCCGATGAATTCAAACACCTGTGGAACCTTTTGAGACTGTACGTATGAAGAGTGAAATGGCATCAGTGACAAGTCGACACAAGGCTGGCGATTCGGCCGTGATCCGTAGCCCATCCCCCGTAGCGAATTCGAATGCCGGTGATCTCTGGTTTGTTCTTCAGCCCTATCTTATCAACGGTGTACATCAATCCGCCCCATGCTTAAACCCTTTTTTTGACAGGGACGCTATGACTCTCGGCTCCCGCGCGGCGGAGCGGCTGTCCCTTGCTCTAGTGCCGATCTTGATGCGGGCGTGGGCAACTCAAACGGCGCTATTGGCGCAGGGGGGAGCCCTGTCTGATCTTGATGGTGGTGGGTGGGTTTTTTGGTCTGGCTGGACTGACTGATGTCATCGCTGGCTGGCCTCGCTACGGTCGCATCTCTCCGTGGTGCTAGCATCGTCGAGGTGATGATGTGCTCTACACATCACGCACGGCAATGTTGGGAGGTAAATAGAACGCAATTCTCATGGAATGGGGAGTTGACGCAATTGATGGCCAGCTCTGCGTGTTGCAGTACAGTAGTTACCTGGTGGGAACATGCAGCTTAAGCACAGCACAGCCGAAATGATAGCAAGACAATTGGGGGGTATTGCAGATCCCGTCATTGAAACAGTTACTCGTCAATTGGTGAGGAGCTACACATCGTATACATATTACAAAGCCCGTCGCCTGTCCGCACAAAACTACATGCCCGCCGCCAGCGTGTACCCGCCGTCGACCGCCACCGTCTGGCCGTTGAGGTACTGGTTGGCGGCCAAGAAGAGCACGGCCTGGGCCATGTCCTCGTCGCGGCCGGGGCGGGCGGCGGGCACCTTGTCGGCGTATTTCTCCTTGGGGATGTGGCTCTTCTGGTACTCGTCGCTCTCCTCCTTGGTGGTCATCTCCGAGGGGAAGACGCCCGGGGCGATGCTGTTGATGCGCACCTTGAGCCCGCTGTTGGCCACCTCGGCGGCCAGCATGCGCGTCAGCTGCACGGCGGCGCCCTTGGAGGCGTTGTACGAGAAGTGGTGCTGCGCCGACTTGATGAGCCCCGAGATGGACGTGATGTTGATGACGGTGCCCGACCAGCCGTCGTGGCGCTCGCTCGACTTTTGCAGCAGCGGGAGCAGGGCCGTCGTCACGAAGAAGACGGACGCCACGTTGGTCCTGTACACGTCGACCCAGTCCTCGAGCGTCGTCTTGTCCGTGTCAAACAGGTTGCGCCTGAGCTCCTCGGCCGCCTGCAGTCCGGCCGCCTCGGTCTCGGTGGTCAGGCTGGCCGACGAGACGCCGGCGTTGTTGACGAGGATGCACAGGCACTCCTCGCGGCGGGCGAGCTCCGCGGCGAGCCTGGCCACGTCGGCCTTGTCGGTCACGTCGCCCTGCAGCGGGATGATCTCGCCCTCGATGTCCCGGCCGTACGTCTCGACGACGTTGTCGAGCTTGTCCGTGCTGCGGCCGGCGATGTAGACCTTGGCGCCGTTGACGGCGAGGGCCTGCGTGGCCATGAGGCCGATGCCGGTGCCGGCGCCTGGAGAATGGAGAGCGTAAGTCTCTGAGCCTATATGTATGTTGATGCATTGCAAGGAGGAGATCTATGACTGACCTGTGACGAGGGCGACGCGGCCCTTCATGTTGAAGAGGCTGTTGCGGTTGAACTCGTCGTGGCTTGCTGCCGCTCTGCTCTGGGTGGACATGGTGGCTGGTTTCTGGTGTGGCTGGAAGCGATATGAGAATGATGGTGATATTGGCGTGAAGGAGGATAGTGAACTTCGTTGTGAGAATGGGAGAAAGACTGTGCTTGCAGCTTTTGAAAAGGTGTTGGCAGTGGTGGTGGTGGTGGTGGCAGAGGCTTTATTGAGTCGAAGAATGAGGTTGGCTGGTGATGAGATCATGACGAGAGACCAAATACACCCAATCGACCTTACTTATCGGATAGATCAATTGGATCGAGGAATCACTGAGAAGCACCTTTCTTTTTGATGCTGTTCCTCCTTCAACCCTCCTCACCCCCAATTGCACCTTTTGACTTTGGTGTAAGTCATGACGAAATGGATATGCGGAGCCCAGTCACAGTGACGTTGGCTGCCTGTGTGGGGTTAGCCACCCGCTAAGAGACACCCGCTAAGACACCCTCCGGCGCGCTGTGGGGTGGCCCAGTGGCCCCTGTGGCTGCCGATCGGCGGTCTTCTGGAACAATTCCAGGAGAGAATGGTCCGCACTGCTTTCAGTTGGATCGGCTTGCTTCATGTTGTCTGCATTTGTCTACAAGGCAGCACTGTATCATGTATTTCTTCATATATCCAGCTATCTGCTGCTCACATACGACCCAGTTCACGTGAAATCATAGACCAAAAGACTCTCCCTCCCCTGCTTCGACTCCTTGAGCACAATCACCATCTCGTCGTCGAACCCGACCCAGTTGCGCCTCTCGTCCCAGTCGCTGCCCTCGCCCTGAGGCTGAGACCGAGACTGAGGAAAAGGAGGCGGCGTGGTGCCCTCTCCATCGACGTCGCCCCCAGACGCGGCGCTGGGCCGGATCTCCACGCTGCGCGAGCTAAACGCCGCGCTGGGCCGGCCCTCGAGCTCCCACACCCGCATCTCGTCCCCGCGGCTGCTCACGCTGACGGCCTTGCCGCGGGCCGTGATCTCGGCGTCGCTGATCCCCGAGGTGTGGCCCCACAGCCGGATCCCCGGCGAGACCGACAGCGTCGACGCGTTGGACGTGCACAGGTGCAAGATCAGCGTGTTGTCGGGCAGCGTGGCCAGGAGGTACGGGTGCGTGTAGCATAGGCTCCTCGGGCCGGGCTCGTCGGCCATCGCAGAGATCCTAGGCGGTGCGGCGGGAGAGGACTCGACGACGTCTCGGATCGTGCCAGACCTCCGCGGCGGTGTGGACGGCGGCGAGCTCGACGGTATGGACGGCCTGCCCGATGTGATGGGCGGCGTGTAGGCGAGGCGCGTGGTGGTGACTTCCGGAATGGCCCCGAGCTTCGTGCTCGGTGCTCTGATGTGCAGGTCTTGTATGCCTATCGACCATCCCTGGCGGGTCGAGAATGTGTATGCTATTGAAGCAATCGTGGTCGCCGCCGTCCTCCGTATAGAGAGCGCCAGCGGTGGTCTCGATGTGTGCGACCGTAATGAGGTGAGCAGGTATGCAGGGCGGAGCTTCCCTCTACCGTTCTGGTCATGGATACCTGAGGAGGTTGGTTGTGCCAATCCTTTGACGCCTCTATCCTCCAGCCTATCGTCATTCGTCGCCTCGAGGTCTTTTGCTCCGTTCGTGGTATTTTCATCCAGCGCGTCGCCATCGCTCTCCGATGGGCCGTCAAAGGTGTAGAGAGAGACGAGAACCGACTCGGTTGCCGTCAGAAGATAAGGGTGGGAATACGCCATCCCGATCAGCTCGCCGTTGCTGGACTTTTGATGCCAATATCTCTGGTCGAACCGGGCGGCTTGCAAATCCAGCTTCCACACGCCAAAGCTGCCGTCGACAAATCCGACCGCGAGATCCAGTGACTTGTGATGAAAAAGGTGGTCGTCCACCGCCACGCATGTCGGCGCGGCCGTTTCGTCGTCGCCGAGCTCGACTTGGGCCAGCAGGTCCTTGGTCTTTAGATCCCAGGCCCTCAGGCCCGACTTTGCATCGACTGTGATAGCGGTGCCTTCAATGACCTTGACCAGCATGCGCCTCCCCTCCACCTCCTCGGGCGCGTCGGCATCTAGTCCGATCTTGAGCTCCTCCACGGCGCATTTGCCCCGCGACCAGTTGTGCCTCAGCTTGTACTGCTTCCTCCAGTCCACCCTCTCGCCCTCGTCCGGCACGTGAGCCAGCACCGACGAGCCCCTCGCGGCCTCCCGCACGAGACCGCCTCTCCTCCCGTCCGCCCACAGCCTCCTCCGACCCGAGTAATGCAGCTTGTGGTCTCCTTCGCCCCACCTGCCCGACCCCTTGCTCTCGCGGAAGCCCGGGATGCGCATGGCGCGCGGCAGCACGAAGCGCTCGTAGTAGTACGCCTTCCACAGCTGCGAGTCGGCGGCCAGGCGGGCGAAGCGGTGCGAGACGGGCGCGGCGGTGAGCAGGCTCGGGAGTGGCAGGAAGGAGAGGATACGAAGGAGGAGCTCGTCGGAGAGTCGGGAGATCCGGTCTGCGGAAGAAGACGATGCGGCATGCTTTATATGTGATGCGCCGGTGGTACGAGGTCGTTTCGATGGCGGGCGCGAGGTGTGCGCTGACTGGACCGTGTCTTGGACGTCGTCATCATCGTCGTCGTCGTAGTCAACGAGAGAGCGGTGGCGCTTGGCGGACATGGCGGCAGCGGCTGCCGAAGCGCGCGCGGCGTTCGGATAGAAGGAGAGTTCACCCAGGTCGTGTGAGGTTCAGTCTATCATGGTCATCGACGTGAAGCGCAGGTTCAGCCAGGTAGCGAGGTATTGCGCGCCGACTTGGCAGCTTTCCACTACGGAACTGAACATTTGCGCAAAGTTGTGGAGCGACCGCCGATGACAACCCCGAGCTGTGGGGCTGACTAATACCAGTCTCACGGTGGCTTCCATCCAGACTTGTCTTCAAATTGAAATATTTCCTACTTTACACAGTTATGCTCTAGGGCAATACGCAACTTTCTATGGCGAGCGAATGGACTGATATTTCGAAATGAAGGAGTTCCCTCAATATCAATTTCCCAATCTCAGATCAGCAGTATCCGCGCCTGCATGTGCTTTACAGTCGTCCGCCAGCACCACAGACTCTCCGGCTTGGATCGCCGGAGTCGCCAGCATTCCTCCATGACCATCAGGCCCTTCCAAGTGAAGCCCAATACATGCCCTGCAGCTTCTACGCGCTCAAGCATGGCTCGAAACCTGGGCTGATGTGCCTCCTCGACCATGCAGCCCGTGACTGTGAACGGCCAGCAGACCCGGATAAACAGTCGATAGGGGAGTGCCTCCAGCAGCTCAACACAGGCGAGCACGGTTTCTTGCATGTCGAATCCGAGGTCTAGAGATGCGTGGGCGGCGACTGTGTGCAGATACACCAGAGCAGCATGTGCGTGGAGAAGCGTCACCCACTTGCTGTCAGCCTCGGGGCCTTTTGATGAGACGTCGAAGGAGCAGGTTGCCTCCTGTATCAAAGCCTGGATATGAGAAGCCAAAGCAATCCCTGCGTCGACCGCATCGTCTTTTTGTTTCTGTTCTAACGAAGCAGCAAACATGCTCACTTCTTTGATGGCAGTCATGACCGAGTTGCGGCAGCCCATGATGCTTCGAGCGTCGATGAGGTTGCTCTGGAGCAGTGGGATGTAGTCGAATTTCCGAGGCTTACTGTACGTCTCGCCGTGAGTAGCTTCTGCGAAGATGTCGGTCCACACATAGGTGACGACGAAAAAGTCCAGGGCCCGGATCTCGAAGGACGGCGTCGGACTTGCGAGCAGCTCGCCTATGGGGCCGATATCACCAGCAGCCTTGGTGGCCGGAGCCAGGTTCGCCTCAATCAAATCCAGGACTGATCCGGCAGCATTCTGATGGACCTCCCAGGCCCCTTCAGTTTCTCCAAACACCTCTAGACTCGACAGCAGCAGGATGACCCCGATTGCTTGCGTTGCCTTTCGGAGTAAAGTGTCATTCAGGGGGTCCTGCCCAATGTCGGCGAGGTACGGCTGGAGCCCTCGCATCGCCAGCATCCGCGATGATCGAACTGCTGGCGTGACTTGGCAGCGGCCGCTCGTATCGCCAGACTGGACCCCCGATTCGAACGAGATACGCAGTCCGCAAGACGCATGGTACAGAGGCTCGGAGGCAACGATCATATCGAAAAGCCATCTGCGGCTGGGCTGCCGGTGGAGGTTGAAGAAGCCCCACTGGAGTGGAAAGATCACTTCCAGAAAGGTCTGCACGGACTGGTAGTCCGGCGAGTAGTCGCAGTCTCGCAGCGTCTGGGCGCAATTGGACCACGTGCGGTCAGGACTAGTGACCATATCCGAGGGTGCATGTGGCTGAGCTGGTTCCCCCAGGTCCTGCACAAGGACACTGACTGCCTCTGATGCAGGGCCAGCGTGCAGCCTTCTCTGTCTGCGGCGGGTGTAAGCCCTCTCGGCACCCTTCCGGATGGCCTTGGCTTCGTCCGAGTCGAGAACTTGCTGCCAGTTCCCCTTGCTAAGCATCCAGGCAGGCTTCTCACCATACCCATAGCAGTAAAGGTCCCGGGATATGCAGCTCGAACATGCCGGGAGACCCTCATCGCACTTCTTCCGTCGCAACCGGCATGTCCAACAACCCGTCTTTGTCCTCGCGCCAGACATGAGCGGACTCAAGGATTGTAATGATCGGGCCGTGACAGGCGAGCGCCTGGCTACTGAGTACGGTGAGATTTCTCGAGAACATGGATGGATGGCTTGCAAGATGTGCCCAACTGCGCGGCTTACGCGCAGAGATACTGCGTGGCCCCCAGTCCTGCAGATCCTGATTGGCGGAGAGAGTGCACACCACCTTTGACATCTCCGCCGCTCTATTGCAGAAGATATAAGGATGTGAATGCATTGCAGAGCCACTACTCCAAATCTGGGTCAATTGCGCTTAGGCTAGACCGCTTATGGTCGGCCTGCTGCTTCGGTGGCTCAGGCGCGTCAACGTGTAAGACGAAGGACCTTGCCTGTTCTCCTCTCTCTGGACTACGGAGAAGACGAGAACAGGGGAGTATATAAGGCAGCACAGTCTTCTCCCTCATTTCTGAACTTCGATATGATCTTTGCTCATCTCCAATTCTTCATTTGAAACAATCTCGTCGCCCTCAGCAACTACAGTCAAACATCCGTCGCCACCACCAACAACCACCATGTCTGCCCTGCCAGCAAACCTCGGCCTGCCAGACCGCGAGGCCATTACGGACGCCCTCTACCGCAGCATTGTCGGCCTCGATGCCAATGACAAAGCCATCTATGAATCGGCTTGGCACAAAGACGCCACCTTCATCTATGAGTTCACCGAGACGTCTACTGTGGAGGGCCTCGACACCATCTTGGCAACCACCTTCCAGTTCATTGGCGCCGGCCTCGACACCACGCACATGGTGAGCAATGTGCGTCTCAGTGCCAAAGAGGGCGCCAGCACGGCTGCAGTGACCTGTCACGCTCTGGCTCAGCACAACCGCAAGGGAGAAGGGCTGAACCCGACAGCGACTCGATTCCTCACTGGCAGCATGTATTGGGTGGACCTGGCCAGGGATGCAGGTGATGGGCTTTGGAAGATAACCAAGTTCCACCTCAAGGTTGTTTGGTGCGAAGGCGACGCGTCCATCATGGGGCAGTAGACATTGCCTTGGCTCCTTGCCTGTACATGTTCACTTGGCATGAAGGCTAGCTTAGGACATGAATGAATATGAATCAGTTTATCATCGGCTTCTGCCGAGGTCAAATCCCATCGAACGTGCATCCTGAAACAGGCTTCCAAGCCGGTCCTCCGATAAGTTGGTTCAGAAGTCTTCAAGGCGGCCAAAATGTGATATCCTGGATCACAATGGCTACCTATCTGCATGTATGATATAATAGACGATGCCACACGTATGATAAGATCTCCACAGACTGGATTGTTTAGCTAGAATAATAGAGTACACTGACTGCCAGGCTGTACATATGCAACAAGAAACATGCTACCTATTGTGTGAACTGCAGCGTACAGTTGACAGCCAGACTACATTTGGCGTCTGTTTAACCGACGAGGTGGCCGCACATTTTCAGCTGTCAGGAGTCGGCCGCCTTTCGGGTTCAAGTTGAATAGCTCAGTCCGACTTCGCATGCGTTGGGCCTGTGTCTTTTGAACGAACTCAGACATGGCTCAGTCAACGCAGAGAGTACTTGGGCTTAAAGCGGAAGAACCGTCTGCCAAGTTCATGCGTTGAAGGCGATCACAGATGGCTTGGGTGCTTGATCATTCTCCAGCCCACAGCAGACAGGCCATGTCTCAGCCGATCCATGCACCTGAGCGGGCTCCGTGCTTTGCAACGGAACACCCTGTAGGTTAACGAAGGGGAAAGTAGCCCCCATCTTGTTGTTTCTCGTGTAGAACAATCAGTGCCGCCCGTCCAGACGCGAGCTAGAAGGGAGGCCGCCAAAGGCATGAAGTGAAGCAGCATCCGGTCAGTTAACTATACGTGTCTGTCTCCGCCAACCGGTGTCATATTCCTTCGAAAGCGATGCCATTCGGTCGGATCGGACCTTTCGACAGCAGTCCGGAAGTGGATAGCCCCTGTAAGTTTTCCGTAGTGATCAGCACGATGGCTGCATTTCGTCGGCGGGGAAGAAGCTGAGATGTCTCACAGCCTCCGATGCTACGTGTACACAGCATCTGTCTCCCGGTGTCGGGTCACCTCCAGAAGCCCCTGCTATGTATCCGATCCTCGAACTACATGCTTGAAGTATTACAATGGTCCGAGAGGGTCTGCTTGCTAATCCGGATACACCCACATCATTGGCTGTCTAAGATGTGCTTGTCCTGAATGATCAACACGCATTCAGCGACACCGGACATCCCCCAGCGCCCCTGCATAACCGGACTGCGTCTCGACAGCTACTGCGTCAAATGAGCTATCGCATCCTGGGATCAAGCCATGACACGGCTGACACCGGCACACCAGCGCCACGAGGTCCGTTGTGCAGCGACCGAGCCGATCTATTGGGTCTATGTGGCCAATGTGGCCATGTTTCCGCTTCTATAGCACTGCATACAGACAGTCTTCACAGAAGTGTTGCTTTGGAGATTACGTATGATCTGTCCAAGATATCGTGATGCAGCTGTGCTGTGAACGCGCGCGCCCATCGAGCTGCAGTCCAGTGAGACACGACCTCGCCTCGCATAGTTGTGGCTGGCTGAGCGGTGAAGGACTTTGCAACCTGTTGTCGATCTTTGTGTGATCTCGATCGCGATGTCGCTGAGATCACCAAGCAGTATGCCCCGGCTTCCTTCTTAGAGAATTGGCTTGAAACGTCTATAAAAGGGCGCTCAGTTTCCACCGGATCCAGGTTGGGCTTCATCTCTCGAACCAAGCAAGTCCCACAACGAACAATTTCTCTCTACCTAAAAGCAGCTCAAGTCACCACATCGAAATCCACCATGTCCGAGCAGGAGCTAACCCTTGGTGAGCATTGCGTTCTTTCTCAAGTATTGTTCCCAGTTCTTTTGGATGCCGAGTTGACTGTAATACAAGGCGCCGTCGTCGAGCTTACGCAGACGGACAACGGGCAGTACACGGCTACGCAGAAGCAACTCGCCCAAGGTACCCCGCCCAGCCAAGTCGAGGGACGTAAATCGATCGACTGGGGCCTCGGGCCGGTCAAGGTAAGGTTTCGACTATCCTCACGCACCACACCATAGAGCCGTCTTCCAGCAGAGCGGTTAACCGCGACGGCCAGGTCACCGGCTACGTCGACCTCGCCAGCCTCGAGCTTGGCGTCAATGTGTACGTCGCCGGCATCAGCCTGGGCAACCTGTATGGCCAGCTCCAGGATGGCGTTGGGGTCAAGGTGGACCTGCTCGTTGTCAAGGGCGAGATCAAGTTCTACCTTAAGAACGGCAATGAACTTTGGACTTATTTAGATATAAGCATCAGTTTTGATGGCTCGTACAACGGTGACTACAAGATTGTAAGCCTCTAGGGCTTGGGCTTTCAAGCACCGCCGGGACGCTAGGAGCACAACCATGTGGGCACTTGGGGCCATCATACTACACAAATCACACTCTTTTGAACCCTGGTTTAGGAAATCAAACCGATTGCCTCCGAGACACCTTTCTCTTCTTTCATTGTACATCTCTCTGTGCCTACTGTGACACGTCTTGATAAAATCCAGGACTTGGCAAATCTCACCAGACCGGTTCCGCAGCAGGATCGGGTTTCAGAGGACCTCTCAGTGGGTTGTGTTTATTCTAGTAAGAGACGGTATTACATTCATTCTCCGTTCCCTTTCTGTACTGGCCCATTCCGCCAAGGTGATGACTGTTATTGCACCAGAATGCCATGATGAGTTGAGGTACTAAACGGAGTTGCTAATTATGTGGCTGAATTACACGATCTCTCTACTCCAGAGCCAAGTACTAGTACAATTCTACTATGTGTATGCATGATAAGTTGACGAGACAAGAAAGGTATATATCTATGCTTCAACCAACAAAACCCAGTCGATACCACCGAGATACATGCTGCCCAATCCACTCTCTCAACCTGCAGCGACGATCATGGACTCTTTGTGCCCCTCGGACAGCTTGGGCTTCTCCCACCGAGTAAACAAGGTAATGAGGAATCCAAGCCCGGCACCAGCGATCGCAATCGCAATCGCGACCTTGATGCCTGCCATGTACGAGGAAACAATGACTGGGACCTGGCCCGCCGGGAACACTGATCGGATCTCTGTAGCGCCGGTGGTCACGACTTTTGCCGGGTCGACTGCAGGCAAGGTCGACGCCAGCGTCTGGGTGAGCTTGTTGACAAACGCTGTCTGCGCGGCGGTCACGAAAACGGCACCGCCGATGCACTGGAAGAATAGCACCATGGCCGTCGCAGGTCCCACGTCCTCGGGTGTCTCAGAAACGGTGGCCTGCGTGGCGATGATGGGGATCTGGAAGGCGATGCCCCAGCCAATACCGCCGAGCAGCTGGAACCCAACCCACCGACCAGTGTCGCTGTCAGTATCGAGCGTGTATAGCAGGCCCGCAGCAACGGTGGCCACCATGGCGCCGCACGACTGCAGGTACGGGGTGAGTGTACCACCGCTCGAGCTGATGGCAGCGCCCGAGCTGATCATGGAGATCGTCGTGGCCACAATCAGAGGCAAGTTGTAGACACCCGACATAGTAGGGCTGGCGTTGCCGACCGACTGGAAGTAGACGGGCAGCTGGTAGATGATGAGATAGTAGCCGCCCAGCAGGATCATAGCAGTCAGACAGGAGACAAAGACCGGGCGCTTGCCAAACAACCGGGGCACGATCATGGAACGCTCCCCTTGTCTCCATTCCCAGAGACCAAAGAGGGCGGCGAGGGCGGCGAAACCGACGAGGAGCCCAACAATGTGACGACTACGCCAAGGATAGGTCTGGCCGCCTTGCTGGAGGGCTAGCATGAAGCACACGATAGAGCCCATCACGAGAGCGATGCCGAGGGGATCCATCTGGAGCAGCCTTTCACGCCAGGTCGCGGAGACGGGCTTGGCGGATATAGGTGTCTGGAAAAAGAAGAGGATTATCAGAGCAGCAAGGCCGCCGATCGGCAGGTTGATCCAGAAACTGGTTTTTCATCGTTGGTTTCAGTCAGCAATCCTCTACTCGAGGGTTGACTGGGACTCGGCCACTCACCACCACCTCCACGAGACCTCATGCGCAAAGACGCCGCCGATCAGGGGCCCAGCAACGCATGCAACGCCAAAGGACATACCAACGAACCCAGTATACATGGCTCGCTTGGCCGGCGGCGCAATAAAGGCGATGATGGTGTACGCGCCGGTGCCGAGGCCGGCTGCGCCGAGGCCGTTGATGGCGCGGCCGACGATGAGAGTAGCCGAGTCTTGGGCGACGGCGCAGATGAGACTCCCCAGTTCAAAGACGAAGACGGACGTGAGGAAGGTGAACTTGAGGGGAAAGTAGCGGTAGGCCTTGCCCCAAGAGGACTGGAAGCCGCCATTGGCCATGAAGAAGGCGGCGCCGTACCATGAGGCCTTGTCGAGGCCCTGAAACTCGTCGGTGATCTTGGGGATGGCGGTCGCGACGATCGTCTAGATTTTGTCAGTCTCCGAAGCAAGAATCCTTCGTTGGGGATCTACAGTCGAGCAGACGAGTCCACGTACCATGTCCAGAGAGGCAAGGAATATACCCAGGACGAGGGCGAGGATGATGCAGGTCAGACGAAAGCCGGTCGGATAGTTGACGGGCTCTTCTTCGGCCGCAGCCTTCTCAGCGCCATCATCGGTCTGACGCTTCTTGTCGATCGCCCCGGCATTTCCTTCGGGCTCGGCGACAGATCTAGAGTTGACAGAGGTCATGCTGTTGCTGGGCGGGTCGGTGCCCATATCCGCAGGCTGTGATATCGACCTGGTGGCCATTAGAGACCTGTTCCGGTGTCGACAAGTGTTGTATTGGTTGTTTATCTTTACATCGAGTATACAACTCAGTCTTAGGGACCCCTTAGAACAAGGAACAAAGGATAGCCAATCAATGGAGAAATCAACCTAGTTTTTTCTTCATAACCTGCACGATATTGGTGTCGCGTCTGCAGTGGTTTGGTCGGATCCGGAGGCATTCATCTTCTCGACGCGGTGTACCTTTTGCCCTTTATATCCGGTCTGATGATGTGGATTTAATCCGACAGCAAGAAAAGAGAAGGGACCAGGATGTTCGGCAAGGAACATCAATTTAAATACTTGAACCCAAGTCGCATCAGAATGATTCATAATGGAACTTGGCATCTAACTGGCCAGGCTGTCTGGTAAAGCGGGTACCATTCTTCTCAACCCGGGACCGCCTCGCCTAGATCGCAGCCTCTGCCAGTCACACCGGTTACCAGTTCAATACCCTTGGCTTGTTTGATTGAAGTCTATGTTCATCGATCAGTTTTATTAGTTTCAATATCGAGACTGCCAACGGCCGAGGGCGGCAAGAGGATTGCCCTCTTTGGTTATATGGAGCAGGAATATGAATGACAGCGCGTTTCTAGTTGTGGAATAGAACACAAGCCATTCGGTTGAAAATTGGTGGTTAGAAAGGAGAGGGTGGGGTTTAGAAGAGCAATTATGCAAGCCTGACCTTCATTTCAAAGTCTTGACTACTTTGATAGATAAAACTTGAGTTGCTTCGCAAGGCTGACTAAATACTGAAGTGCCCCGGACCATGTTACAAACTTGGAAGCTAGAATCCAATATTGATACTGCTTATCAACTAATCAATTCCCTAGCCAAATGTTGTTGAGCGTCTGATAGGTGACAGAGGGAGAGACAAACAAGCTCCTTGAACTCGTACAAACCCCTGGTACGTGACCGACCTGCTTTGTTGATCGATACCACTCACACCAACACCGTACGACTTGAACTGCACCTGCTCACTGGCTAGTGTAAACTTGACACCTTTGTGAGAGCCACTTCACTTGAAGCTTGGGCGACACGAGAGCCAAGCGGAGGGTGACAAAAAGGTCACTGCTATCCGGTGGGAACAGGTCATGAACAGTGCCATCCTTTGCCGCTACCCTTCTGAGGGCGTGAACAAGGCCATTGTGACGGGTACATGACCTATTCACCATTCGATCATCCCTCTTTTTTTTTTTTTTTTTTTGTTGGACTGCGATGCACTGCACCGCGATGTGTTTGTCCATCGCAATCATAACTTCAGATCCATCCCACCAATCTCAAAAAGAGTCACATCGCCACCGACTCCCGCGGCAACAACGATCTGCCCACTGAAATGTCGTCCCAGCAGCCCCTGGAGGGCAGGCAGTCCCCTGCTGCAAGCAAGAGCGAGTCGGACTTCGAGCACCGCTTTGCCGAATACGACCACCACCTCGGACCGCAGGTCTTGGCCGCCGCCGACCCGGAGCCGAGACGCCTGCCTCCGCAGACAACCATCTTTGGCACCGAGATGCAGGAATACGAGCCCCCAAAGCGCGACAGCCGCTTCGTGCAGGCCTGGCGCTGGCTCAAGGGCCACCCGTACCTCGCTGCGGCGGCGCTGACGGGGTTCATCGGGCTGGTATCGCTCATCGTGCTGCCGATAGTGCTGCGCGACCTCGACCAGCAGACCCCGGACGGGTGAGTCAACACTCTCAGGCATCCTCTAGATACCTTATGGTCGATCCTCAGAGAGCTCGGACTCTTGACTGACGTCTCTCTATACTAATTTCTACAAGTAGCACTAACACGCCCTCAAACTCGACAATTCTCCCAACGACATCGAGCACAATCCCACCCCCAGGATCAACGACATCGCCCACCCCGACCTCTTCATCAACAGCCGTAAGTCTTCCCCTCTTCCCCCATGTTCTCCTCATCTCCCTTGCCCTGGCATGTGTCGCTGAACCCTCCCTACCACAGGTCCCTACAGAGTGCCTCTCCACGGCCTTCTTCATCCCCGGCGTCTCCTTCATGGGCATCCGCGACGGCTCCGACTGGCAGTGGACCAGCCTCTCGCCCCGCTCGCCGACGCCCGAGTCGTGCTGCGCCGCCTGCTTCGCCATGTCCGCCTCCCGGCGGTGCAACTCGTGGTCCTGGAACCCCGTCGGCAACCGCTTCACCCCTTGCACGGCCAATTACGGCTGGGACAAGGGCGTCCGGCCCGACGGCCAATGCCCCGGCGGATATGCGCAGGTGTTCTTCGAGACGGACGGAGATCCGAACAAGGCTTTTGGTGGCGCGGGCCCTTGCGGTGCCGTTTCTTGAACGAGGAAGAACGCGATACGCGGATTGGTGATGCGTGAAGAAAGGGTGAAACAAAAGGAGACAGAGATGGAGAAGGCAAGTTGGGGTCGAGCAGTAATGGATGGATTCAATCCAAGAGACTGTGTCTTGCTACGGGCCTTTACAACACGCGGATTGCAAGTTTTGCTCCTCTTCATGCGGTGCTTATATGCATAGGATTTCCATTTTGACGAGAATACCTCTTCACAACGAGATAGAGACAAGACAATGACCATTATGTGAGAATTGTATTTCACAAAGCAACGTAGAATTACAGTGTTTTCCCGACAGACTCCTTCTATGGTGCTGCCAGATAAAAATCATCGTGATAGAGTTTTTCGACTGCTCCTCCTCTGTTGCCGAATCCAGTCGCACGTTCTTGTCCAGAACGCGTCTTCCTTCCCCGAGACGTCCCTTGTAAAGCAGAACCCATCCCTTTCTTGCTCTAGAGCTTGATTATCTTCCACTACAACCCTCTTGCTTCTCTCGCCCTGGCGGCCTTCAAAGAAGACGGAGCAGCTTGGCAGAGTGCTGCTCGATCAGAGATTCGGTAGGGAAGCTCATCTGCTCGAGCTTCTGGGCGTAGGGAGTGGGGACCTCGGCACCGGTGATACGCTGGGCAGGGGCATCGAGATAGTCGAAGGCATACTCCATGGTCAGGGCGAGGATCTCGGCGCCGACGCCAAAGGCAGGGTAGCCCGACTCGACGCAAACGAGGCGGTGCGTCTTCTTGACGGACTTGACGATGGCGTCAATGTCGAGGGGCTTGACGGAGCGCAGGTTTATGACCTCGGCCTCGACACCGTAGTTCTTCTTGAGGTTCTCGGCGGCGACGAGGGTCTGGCCGACGCAGCGGGAGAGCGTGACCATGGTCAGGTCCTTGCCGGAGCGCTCAATCTTGGCCTTGCCGAAGGGGAGGACGAAGTCGTCCTTCTGGGCGGCCTCGGACATGGGGAAGTGCTGGCCGTACATGAGCTCGTTCTCCAGGACGACGACGGGGTTGGGGTCGCGGATGGCGGCCTTGAGCAGGCCCTTGGCGTCCTCGGCGCTCCAGGGGGCGACGACCTTGAGGCCGGGGATGCTGCCGTACCAGGCGCTGTAGTCCTGCGAGTGCTGAGCGGCGACACCGGAAGCGAAGCCGTTGGGGCCACGGAAGGTGATGTTGCAGGGCTGGATACCACCGGACATGTAGAGCGTCTTGGCGGCCGAGTTGACGATCTGGTCGATGGCTTGCATGGCAAAGTTGAAGGTCATGAACTCGCACTGGAGAACGAGGGGATTCCCGGGTCAGTTACCAAACATCAACAAAGACCAAGATGCGGGGGGGGATCTGGGAACGTACGACGGGGTGAAGGCCGCTCAGAGCAGCACCGACAGCCAGACCACAGAAACCGCTCTCTGTGATCGGGGTGTCGATCACCCTCCTATCGCCAAAGCGGTCCAGGAGACCCTTGGTGACCTTGTAGGCACCGTTGTACTGAGCAACCTCCTCTCCGAGAATGAAGACCCTGTCGTCGGCCTCGAGCTCCTCGGCCAGGGCCTCGTTGAGGGCGTCACGGACAGTGTACTCCTTGGTGCCCTTGGCCTCGGCGTACGTCCTGCGCTGCTGGAGGGCGCGGGCGGCGATGGAGGGAGCAAAGGTCGGCCTGGCGGCAGGGGCACGCGCAGAGGCAGCCAGACGGGCAGCAGGTCGGAGGTAGCGGGACATGTTGAGCTTCGACGAAGACGAGGTGGAGGGAAAGGGATTGGTGATTGGACCTGATGGACTGGTCTTCGAAGCGCCTCGACCGGACTCTGTGACGAATTGGCCTGTCTCGAGATCAAATTCCGAGATCAAATTCCCGTGACGCTCTGATCAAAGACCGCTTCAAGGACCACAGCAGACAATTGGGGAGGATGGCGGTTGAGGACAAGAGAGAGAGAAGAGGGATTGATGGATGGTCAGCAAACGGTGATTGCGTCGCGCGCGCAGAAGGAGGGAATTTTTTTGGGTGGTGGTTTCTTTGGAGAGGAGCTGGGGGGCTGTTCTGGGTATTCTCCGAGTACCAGGTGGACGACTCCGAGGGCAGGATTTGCACTGGATCAGCTCGGCGAATACATTGCAGATACTTGGATCGCCAGACAGACAGGAGAGAGGTGTGGTTCCAGCAGAAAAAAACTGCTGGGACTGCTGGGAGCTCCCCCCGAACAGTGGGTCCTTCTGGCTCCTTCAGTGGTGTGCAACGCCCAGTCATTCGCTGGAGCCTCCCGTTTCCAGTGCTTGCTCAGAGGAGTCGCCCAGCTTGTTGAGCACCTCGCGCACCCACCGGGACGGGCCTAAACCCAGATGGGAAGGGCGCGCTCGGGACAAATCGCGCCAAAGCACCACCGATATCACACAATGGGCATCCTTGCCGCGAGCTGCCGTTTGGTGCCGCATGCACGCCGTTGTCGAGCGCGGAAGCCTCACCGGTCTCGGGGTCAACCTGGCTGTTATTCCCGTGTGCGATGGACGGTCTGCAGTGGATAGAGATGGATCTTTGGTGAGTGGAGGAAAGCAGAGCCATGCATCCATCTTATCCGGGATACCAGGTGTTTCGGTGTGATCTACGCTGCTCCGTCTTCAAGAGCTCCCATTGTCAAGTGTCATCACAAGGAGGTCACAGAGAGTGACATTACAACGTTGTATATTATTAAATACCTTTCATCTATATATCTTTTGTCCCGAGAAAGCACCCAGCGGCCCTCTTGCTGTTGTCGACTTCTTTGTGGCTCGCCCCAAGCAATGCTCAGCTTCGCATCATGTGCGCCTTCGTTTGGGACTTGGGATATGCATCCCCATTGAGCCCTGGACCCTGAACAGCTTAGCTGCAAACCGCGTTACATCCACCTCCACCCACCGAGACTCTTCCTGCCTCTTACTTCTGGGGCTTGCGTCCGACCATCAGGTACATGGGCGTGAAGAGGTTTTCCCTGGCACCAGCGACGAGGGAGTCGCCACCAATGGCCAGAGCATCGGCGGTCTTCTTGGTGCCGGCGGGCGCCACGCCGACCTTCTCCAGGACGCCGGCGATGCCGTGAAGGACAGTCCGGGCCCACGTCGTCATCCGCAGGATGGTGAACAGGTCGCCATAGGACTGGAGGTACTTGAGCTCACCAGCCAGGGGCCAGTACCAAGGCAGGGCATCGCCCCGGTCAGCAAGATCCTCGTGCCTCAGCAGCTCAAAGCCAACATTCTCCATGGCCGCAACGCCCTCCGAGATCTTGCACATATTGGAGATGCCGTTACCGTGCTCGATACCCAGACGGATCTCACGGTGGCGAACGTTGTCGTTGTCGTAGTTGTCCGTCATGAGCCACTCGTACACGCCAAAGGTACCGCCGGGCTTGAGAACACGGAAAATCTCGCCGTAGACACCCTCGAGCTTGGGCGCATGGACTGTCGCCTCAATCGCGTACACGGCATCGAAGCTGTTGTCGGGGAAGGACATTTGCTGAACGGGGGGGGGCACGGGTTCACGTCAGCATCAACAACATCTTGATGTCAGAGTAGCCTGCTCTGCGCGTTGCTTACCATGAAGTCGCCCTTGACAAACTTGAGCTGGTCCGAAAGGCCCTCCTTGACGGCGTATTGGGTGGCTCGCTCGATCTGGTAATCGTTGTTGTTCAGACCGACAACGTTGCAGCCGGTGAACTTGGCGATCTCGCGGGCCGGGCCACCAACACCGCAGCCAACGTCGAGAACGGTCATGCCCTCCTGGATGCCGATGGAGTGGGCCAGATAGTGCTCATGGCGGGCGATGGCCTGGTAGAAAGACTCATTGGGAGAGAAGCGGCAGAAGTGGAAGCTCTGTCCCCAGCCGTACTCGTAAAGGTCGGTGGCGAGGTTGTAATAACTGTAGCGCGCAAGAACTGGCAGTCAGCGTCTGCGAGGTGGGAGAGCGGGGAGACGCAAGCAGCATCAAGATGGCAGGCACGTACTGTCTCGTCAGAGTAGCATACTCCTTGGTTCGGGCCTAGATGCGGGTGGGAGTCTTAGCATCGACTGCATCTGTGACAGAAAGGCATAAAGGGGGGAAGCGGCTTGCGCCTCATACCGCACGATCCTCAGCGGTCTCGTCCTCGGCCCTCTTGTTGTCAAAGTGCTTGAAGTACTCGTCCATGGCAGCCTTCTTGGCCTCCTTGTTCTTGGAGAACATGGCGGCAACACCACCAGTGGCCTTGGCCGAGTTGCCGTGAAGGGCCTTGTTGAAGTCGGCATCACGCTTGTGATCCTCTCTCTCGAGACCCTGCTTGGAAGGCATTATGAAAACGGTGGTGTCGCGCTGCGATTCGGGACTGATGGTTGCTCGTGTCGCGCAACAAGGACGAATCTCGTGTGTCGAAAGGTAATCAGGGAGAAGGATAGGTACAGCAGAGCAGTCACGCAGTTGGAGGCAACGGAGTGGTGATGATTGGAAGCGTTGGAATCAAGTCAATTGGCGTGCGGCGGGAGAATGTACTTGGAAATGCACAGGGGACGATTTCAGGGACATACCCCTTCTAATTGGTCCGACTAAGTGAAAGAGACCCGCCAAATCTCAGGCCGGGGCGAAATTTTAGGGGCCTCGATCAATTGAAAGGGGGGTGGCCACTGGGGGGCCGGGGGGCAAAAAAAAAATAAAGGCGGTGAGGTGACCCCCTGCTCTTTTCCTTCTACGGAGTAACTTACAGCCTTCACGTGCATGCAGCTACCTAAGCCCAAAATGGTGTCCAGGTCGTGAGGCGATAAGCCAGCATCGAAGAATTTATCAGCGCACCAGCCTTGCAGCATCGACACCAGACACTGACCAAACAAACCCCACTCGCACCACCCAACATCGCAGCCAAGCTGCTTTGCCTCTCTACATTTCTGCCTCGAGATCGCGATTCAAGGTTCTCAGATCCCCTCTACAGCGCCGTTGGCTCGATTCCCTGAGGCCTCTTCCCGTTTCCAAGAACGACACACCTTGCGCGCGCGCTCGCGCCTTGCCTCCGCACGGCACCCGTCTCTTCGCCAAAACCAGAGTGTTTCGCCATCGTACCATCCTCCGCGACCGCCCACTTGGCTTGCGATGCCGCCCCAAATCAAGCAGGACCTCAACCGGTCCGGCTGGGAGTCCACCGACTTCCCTTCCGTCTGCGAAAACTGCCTTCCCGAGAACCCCTACGTCAGGATGCTCAAGGAGGACTACGGCGCCGAGTGCAAGCTCTGCACGCGACCCTTCACCATCTTCAGTTGGGCTGCCGATCGTGCCCACGGCCGCAAGAAGCGCACGAACATCTGCCTGACCTGCGCACGGCTCAAGAACTGCTGCCAGTGCTGCATGCTCGACCTCTCCTTTGGATTGCCTCTGGTCGTGCGAGACGCCGCTCTCAAAATGGTCGCGCCGGGCCCGAGCTCAGAGATCAACCGGGAATATTTCGCGCAGAACAACGAGAAGGCTATTGAAGAAGGCCATGCTGGCGTGGAAGAGTACGAGAAGACTGACGAGAAGGCCCGCGAGCTCTTGCGGCGCCTGGCGCAGAGCAAGCCGTATTTCAAGAAAGGGAGGGCTATCGACGAGGCGACGGGCGAGGCTGTGGCCGGCCCTTCGTCCGCTGGTGGAAGTGCAGCTGTCGGTGCCGGCGTCGGCGGCCCGGGACCCATCAGGACGCGCGACTCGAGAGCAGCGGGCGCACTGGGAGCGAGGCCCGGCGGCAGTCGCAAGGGCGCAAATCAGACCAGAGCACCTCAACCACCCCCGGGGCCCAAGGACTGGCTGCCCCCCTCTGACCCAAACGTCATGTCGCTCTTTGTCACGGGCGTCGAGGACGATCTACCCGAGTACAAGCTCCGCGAGTTCTTCAAGGTGCACGGCAAGATCAAGTCGCTGGTCTGCTCACACATGTCTCACTGCGCCTTCATCAACTACGAGACGCGCGAGGCCGCCGAGAAGGCCGCGGCTGCGTGCCAAGGCAAGGCCGTCATAGCCGGCTGCCCTCTGCGTGTTCGCTGGGGACAACCACGTGCGATCGGGACCATGAAGAGGGAAGAGCGGACCGAGATGATTAGGGATGGCCGGTCAGCCTTCCCTGGCGCAAAGGGCGCAGGTGCACGAGAGGGCCCTAGGGCTATCGGCGCCGGCGACCCTCAGGCATCGACTGGTTCTGGCGGGCAGGATGAGCTCGCGTCTCTGGCTCCAGCCGCGCCTCCCGGCGCAGCAGATGTACAATATGCAAGCCTGGCAGGCAATTAGGCCGCCTCGCTTGAACTCGTGATTTCGGGCCACGCGGTTGAGGGACTCGGCGTCAAGGTGGTTTTTGTTCTCGCAATTCTCAGCATCGCAGCGAGCTTCATCACGGCAGGGTACTGGCGCTACAAGGAATAGTATGCATTATGCAGTTCGATATATACTGGAGGGGGTATCATAGAAGTTATTGTTGTACAAGAAAGACACGAGCATTGCGCTGCCTTACTTTCATGTGTGGCGGTCGTCATGCGGTCTCGTCCAGTATTTGCATGGGCGTCGAGACGCGACCCCGACCCTCCCCATAGCCTAGCAACTCTTACATGTCTTTGCACGTCTTTCCGTCGATCTTGACCGTTTTGTTGCCCACTTTGATGGTGTCGTTGTCGCCGCGCTCGGTATCTTTATGTATCCGTAGCCCTACCAGCAGAACAAAGCAGGTCAGCGTTTCAACTCTTCCGCAATGCCGCATTTTCACGCACGGTATGTATCCTCGTGTTCTCCCTTTCGTCCCTGGACGACATTGGTCCGCAGGAACGTTGCCAGTTCCTCGGCCTCCTTGACGGCAGCCTCGGCGCCAGGGTCGGAAGGGGACAGCGCAGCCTTGTCCCGGAAGCCCTGTCGAATCTGCTGCCGTGCGGCCGTGAGTACCCGAGTATCGCCTGTGCAGAGAACAAGGTTAGCGAGGATTGCCTGGGCGCCAGGGTGTGGCTCAAAGCCTGGAGCTAGAGACTCGCCTTCGAAGGCGACACGGGCAGCTCGAAGTAGTTGACGGTAGGCGGCGAGAGCCATTGTCAGCAGGGAAGCGAGAGCAGCAACGAGAGGAACTGTTTGCAGAAGGGATGGGAGGTTGTTGACATGAAAAGTTGGTGGTGTTTCTGAGTGGCTGCTGTATTGTGGTCCTCAACTGTCTTGAGACGTTGTTGCTTGCAGGCAAGATCCACGTTGATCCGAGCGGTTCTGGCCGAGGCGAAGCAAAGTCGATTGGATTTGGTTACAAAACCAAGAGGATGGGAGTTGAAAGGTTAGGCAAAGTACAGAATACTTTTTGAAAGCGGCAATAATGGGTGGAATCTAGCCTGTCAGTGAAGTCTTGGATACTTGGTACATGGAAAAAAAAAAAAACTGCCCCGCCATACCGACTTTGACAGGGGTGGATTTGGAGTAAGGCAGGGCAAAAAAAAAAAGTGCTGACTTTCTCCAAACAAGTAACAAACGAGTTGGTCCTCGTCTTCCCCTCTACACTACAGCTTCTTCATCTTCACGTCAAGGAGCAACGAGACAATGGCCACCCCTACCGTCGTCGCTCGTCCTCTGCCGACCCTGCCCTCGGGCTGGGCCGCCGAGAAGGACTTCAAGCCCATAGGCAAGATCACCGCCGCCTCGCAGCGCAGCATCGAGCCTGTCGGCCCTCACTTCCTCGCTCACGCCCGCCGGGCCCGCCACAAGCGGACCTTCTCCGAGGATGACCGCATCCAGGCGCAGGAGCGCGCCAAGAAGGTCGAGGACGACGAGGACAGTGATATCAGCGAGCCCGAGGACCCCATGCTGCTCCAGCGCGAGGCCAAGGACTGGAAGGTAAGGAGCACCCGTGCACCATAGCACCCCGCAGAAGTCTCTGCTCCCTTCGGGGCCTTATGCTAAACGTCATCCCACTACGACAGAGTCAAGACCACTACCAGGTGTTGGGTCTCAGCAAGTACCGATTCAAGGCCACCGAGGAGCAGATCAAGCGCGCCCACCGCAAGAAGGTCCTCAAGCACCATCCCGACAAGAAGGCCGCCCAAGGCCGCACCGAGGACGATCAATTCTTCAAGTGCATCCAGAAGGCCACCGAGGTCCTCCTGGACCCTGTCAAGCGCCGCCAGTACGACTCTGTCGATGAAGAGGCCGATGTCGAGCCGCCGACCAAGAAGCAGCTCGTCAAGGGCAACTACTACAAGCTCTGGGGCAATGTGTTCAAGGCCGAGGCCCGCTTCAGCAAGGTCCACCCCGTCCCCGCCTTTGGCGACGAGAACTCTACCGAGGAGGACGTGCACAACTTCTACAACTTCTGGTACAACTTCGACAGCTGGCGGACCTTTGAGTACCTGGACGAGGATGTCCCCGACGACAACGAGAACCGCGACCAGAAGCGGCACATGGAGCGCAAGAATGCCAACGCCCGCAAGAAGAAGAAGGCCGAGGACAATGCCCGCCTGCGCAAGCTGGTAGACGACTGCTCCGTCGGCGACGAGCGCATCAAGCGCTTCAAGAAGGAGAAGAACGCCGCCAAGAACGCCAAGCGGCTCGAGAAGGAGGCCGCCGAGAAGGCCGCCAAGGAGGAGGCCCAGCGCAAGAAGGAGGCCGAGGAGAAGGCCGCGCGCGAGGCCGAGGAGGCGGCCAAGGCCGGTAGGGACCAGGCAAAGAAGGCCAAGGAGGCGGCCAAGAACGCCGTCAAGAAGAACAAGCGTGTGCTCAAGGGCTCTGTCAAGGATGCCAACTACTTTGCCTCTGGCGAGCCCTCGGCTGGCACCATCGATGCCGTGCTCAACGATGTCGATCTCATCCAGTCCAAGATTGATGCCGATGAGATTGCCGCCCTGGCTGGCCAGCTCAACGGCCTCAAGGTTGCAGACGAGATCAAGGGTGTCTGGCAAGGCGAGACCAAGCGCTTGGTCGACGCAGGCAAGCTCAAGGACGGAGACGTCAAGTCCTTCGCCTAGACAGTTTCGTCGGCCTTGCACCCTTTTCCGTAGACTAGCCCTGATAGCCCTGGATGATTAGATGGGAAAGTTGCTCGCTTGAGCAGGTGGTAATAGATTGCGATCCAGCCATAAGCTTTCCGTCGACGTCATGGCTACCTAGTCAGTGGTCCTGCTGCTACGGTTTGTGTGATGCCGAAGCCTACCTTAGCCTGCATTCCTTCTCTTCCTGAATCTGACGAATTTCTCCTGCATCAGACTGACACTTCATGTTTGCAAAGCGTTGCTATGCAGTACGATGGCGAGTGCCGTCGAGCATGTACCTACCTATCGTTACCTACCTATCCACTAGCAGCTCCAGGGTAGGTCAGCATTTTACTCGGTGATTAAACCTCTTTTGCGTCAATCCATCCGTGCCAGGTAGCCGGTTCTGGCGTCACGAATTTACGACAGCTTCTCAAAGCTGTCGTGAACAACATGCATCATGACTGTTGGGTTGGACATCGTACACCATCCGCCGGGCTCGGATTGCCACGGTCTTGACGCCTGGTAATCCTTGAGGCCAGTCGACAACAGTGATGAGGCCTCGCCTTGTCCGTGAAAGCCGAAACCCCGCGATAGCCCTTGTCACTGTCGCAGACTGTGATGCCGGTTCTTTTTTATCTCTTCTTGATCGATCTACAGCGAAGCTTGGCGTAGATCGGTTCGTCATTGAATAGTGCATACCACCGCTTCAGCCGCGGGAGAGCTGCGCTCCGGTTGGCTAAGCTTGTTCAGGTAAACAGCTCCGCATGAGTCGCGGGACGGTGCCTCAGTATTAGCCTGGAATGTGGGTGGTATTCCAGACCTCGCACGCCTGCTCCGCAGCTCTTCAGCTCAGTCGAGAAATCCTCGGCGAGGCCTTGCCAAGATACGGGGCCTGCCCTTGCGAGTCATTCCAGCGGTTCCTTTTGGAGCTACTCTGCACATTTATCCATCATCCCGGATACTCTGGCCGATGTCACTGAACGAACCGCGCTGGCGGTCTAGTTGCAGATGAAGCTTGGTCTGAGCGGACGGGATTTGCTCGATACGCATCTCCAGCGACATCGTCCAGCTCGATCAATGGCCTGCTTGCTACGCCTGGCGTATCAAAGGACTCTTTTGATCAAGGCCAAAGGACGTCGAAACAAGCTCGAGACATCATCTGAAGGATGGTCGTTGCTCGGCCATGCGCCGTGAGGCCACAGAGCTGAAAAACAAACTCCCGGAATGGGGCTATCAGGGATTTCCACATTCCGATCGAACGACGGCGCCTGACCCAAGAATCCCATTAGAAGAACTTTTGCTGATGTACAGAAGAGGGTGTGAGCTGTACCTACCGACCAACTGACCTACCTACCCAAGAGCCATCATCAGAGTTTTTCTTAGGCATGTCTCACATCGTGAATCCACTCTCGGCACGGCGGGGGGGATGGACAGTAACGCAAGCACTCCGTAGGGAGAGCGACGAAACAGCGTACGGAGTAACTATACTATCTGCCTAGCTTGCATCTTTCCACAGACCAGCATTTGTCATAGCAACACCAGCGTCAGTCAGGGCGGCCGAGCCATTTATTGACCTTGCCAACTAACTCTAATTTCAGGCGGCTCGGAATCGTGGCGTCCAGAAGCAAACGACGCCGTCTAGATCATCCCGCTCCGGACTAGTCATGATCTCGTCAATCATGATCTTGCTCGTCCCTTCTCTCAGCGCCCGCGGTGGCCGAAGAGTGAGATGGCCTGTTGGAGCGGGCGGCCGTTACGGGGGCTATCCTCGGCCCATCTTGGTCAGGAACTTGGCCGGCATCGCCGTCTTCCCTTATAAGCCTTCTTCTCCCCTTCGCTCCCCTCTCGCGCCTGGCTTGACCGGTTCTCCTCGCTGTTCCTGGTCTGCATTCCAGCCCGAGCCAAGTCCTCCGTCTTACACCACCCTCGTTGCGTGCAATGCCTCGGTCTCGGTACAGAAGGAGGTCTTCAGCCAGGGCGCCATCTGATGCTGGCTCGTCAGATGGCTCGACCACTGGATCGACGACGAGCGCGCCTCCTCGCATCGTCGTGGGGGATGTACTAGACAACGATCCCCTCACTCCTCTTCCCGAGCAAGATGAGTACGGCAATTTTCTCGACGCGGCGGGCGAGGCGCTTCGGACGAGCGATGAGACCAAAGGACTAGCTCCACCGTCAAAAGTGAGTGAGGTTTATCACATCTCCCTGGCATCGACTTGAGAACATGGAACTGCTGACACCGATCAGGCACATCATCCCGAAAACTACCAAGGCATAAGATGGACGTCCCCATTCAACGAGGACGAGCCAGTGGCCGGGCCATCCCAGCGCCCTCGGGCCCGCTTCCTCTCTTTTGCTCCCGATGAGAGACGATCAAGTCTGTCACAGCTGGCCCAGGCTTCCAAGAACCTCGCACGCCGATCGTCCACCGCAGTCGTCCAGGCCGCTCAGTCGCTCGATCCTCTGCAGACGCGAGGCAACCCCCTCGGCCTCGAGATCGACGAGATCAGGCCCATTGCGTCGACGGGATACTCGCCATGGAACGCCTTCAATGCCCGTCGCTTCTCTCACACACCGCCCAAACCGAGCTCGCTGTCGACGACGGCGTCGGCGAGGAAGAAGTCTTCGGTGGCTTTCATCCGCGCCGGAATGAGCGAGAAGGAGGATGACTACATCATTCAGCGTCAAGCCAAGTACGACGACGTTGAGCAGCTCCCAGCCTGGAAGCGCTGGCTGTACCGCATCAGCGGGCCCCTCACTATCGCGACCATCGGCAGTTACTGGATCTACTTTGTGCTGCGCGTGCTATACACAAGAGACGCCGAGAAACGTGCCCACCAGACCTATTGGATGGCCTGGGCATTCATCTGCGTGGAAATCATCGTCGTCATCCCCATGCTGCTGCACCGTCTCTGGGGTCTGCACTCTGTCGGCATGAGGACGCGGCCCAAGCTGAGAATACTCGGTGATAACTGCCCCTCGGTGGACGTCGTCATCACCTGCTGTGGTGAGGATGACGATCTCGTCCTCGATACTGCCAAAGCCGCCTGCAACATCGACTACCCGCCGTCTCGATTCCGCGTCATCATCTGCGACGACGGCGGATCCGAGAGTCTTCGAGCACTGGCGGAGCGGACAGCGGCCACACAGTTTGACAACCTCTACTACCGATCAAGGCCCAAGTACCCCGGTGTCCCTCACCACTTCAAGGCAGGAAACCTCAACTACGCGCTGGAGGAGACCAAGAAGTTGCCTGGAGGAGCGGCCAACTTTATTGGCGCCTTGGATGCCGACATGATTCCCGAGAGGGACTGGATCCGGGCTCTAATCCCTCACATGCTTCAGGATGCCAAGTGCTCGCTGGCCTGCCCGCCACAGCTCTTCTACAACGTGCCCAAGGATGATCCGCTGTGCCAGAGCCTCGACACCTTTGTACACATCTCTGAGCCCATCAAGGATGCCATGGGTGTGGCTTGGTGTACGGGATCTGGCTACGTCATCCGCCGCGCCGCGCTCGAGGAGATTGGAGGCTTCCCCACCGGTTCTCTGGCCGAGGACGTGTGCTGCTCTAGTATGCTGCTGGGTGCCGGCTGGCACACTGCCTTCGTTCACGAGCCCCTGCAATTCGGCACAGTTCCTGATTCCCTGACCAGCCACTTGAAACAGCGTACCCGATGGGTGAGTCAATACTCCACAGGTCCGGTTGAAGAGGGCGATCTGATAACTAACATTCACGCGTCCCCCCAGACCATCGGCACCGTGCAGACATCGCTCAAGCTCCGCTTCTCCATATACGGCCCTCTCGTAAAGCACATGACCTTCCCACAACGACTCTGTGGTTTCGTCTACACCATCTCGTCTTTCTTCACCATCGCTCTCGTCCTCTCCATGTTTACCTCACCGATCGTCCTGATTGCGCACGGCAACCTCGTGCCTTTTGCAAGCTACGACCAACTCCGCTGGCTGATCCGAGCCTGGTTTGGCTCCATGGTGCTCAACCGGGCCAATGACTTCGTGTCTTACCTCCCTTCGGGGTATCGCACGGGTCGTCGCGACACCCGGGCGGTGATGTGGATGGCTATCTGTAAGTGTCCTTGCACACATGTTGGAACTCGATCGGACTCTGACCCTAGCCCGCACGCAATAAACAGTCCACTCTGTGGCCGTCATCCGTACCTTCGTCCTCCCCAAGTGGCTCGGCGGCAAGATCGCCGTGTTCACCTCGTCTGGCTCACAAAAGGCCGAGCTCAACGAACGGAATCGCAAGCTCCGGGCGCCTCTATGGCGCAGACTCAAGGTTACCATCTGGGACTGCGACTGCTGGATGCACCTGGCCTTTATCTGCTTCGTCATCGTCGCTGTCGTCATGGCCACCTACTGGAACTTTAGAGACAACCAGACCAAGAAGGACCGACTCATCTCTGCTTACACACGCACTCTGGCCGCCGATTCTCTGGCTGACCTGCGCATTGTCCTGCTGGACCCCGATCGGCTACGCCATCTACCCGCCCAGCTGCCCCGACCGAGAAGATCTTCTGGAGAGGGACCCCAAGACGGGTGTGGCATACCCCAAAGAGGAGGCCAAGAAGACCAAGACTGGCTGGATCACTATGACTCATGAGCTTCTTGAGGATCTGCTGTCGCTCTACACTGTCGGCGTTTTCATCAGCTCATTCTGGATTTACTAGAGTGTGCTTGTACTTCTGTCTCGGTGCTAATGGCACAAAGGTACAATATTAGATAGATAATAATACATCAAACTTGCTGATGTACATCGATGAGTTTCTGGGACCAAATTCGCACAAAACCAATACGGTAAAGTCACCAGACGACGCCACCGACGCCTACAAATGCTGTTGCTAGTTCGCGGCGATATCTGTCGACCATGGTTGTACTCTTCAATGTGACCCGGTGAATAAGGCGGCTCTGTTTGAAAGTCTTGCTATCAACTAACTCTCACTGACTGAGTCTCGTCACTCTGGTGTTCATTCAACAGATGCTCGTTCAAGGAAAAGATAAGGTGTAGATCATGAAGAAATGGACGAAGAAATTGCTCCTTGACTCCTCGGTATGTCTTTAACTAGCATCCAATGCGCGCATCTGAGGCGCAAGTTTTATTGCACCCCGACGGGCCCCCAGAGTTTTGCCCATGGTTGAATCCAAGCCGCTCAGAGGACATATTTGAACAGCGGAGATCGGTCACCCATCTCAAATAGCTCCTCCTCAGTGTACTGCGCCGTAGCTTCGTTCGCGGCCTTAGCCTTCTTGCTGTTCGCAACTCTGTAGCTCCACTCGAGCAGCAGAGAGACAATCAGTCCAGTCGCTCCGAACGCTAGGCTGAGTCCGAAGCCCGTATAATACTTGGGCTTCTCGGTCTCCAGGTACATGTAACTTCCCACGATACCGCCCACATTGCCTACACAGTTCATGAGCGCAATTCCCACAGCTCGTCTGCTGGCAGGGGCGATATTGTTGGCATTCCACGACGCGGCTCCCGCTTGGATGGGATAGATACCAATGATGGAGAGCATGACGGCGAAATAGGCGACTCCCATCTTGGCTTGAAGTTCGCCCTTGAGAGAGATGATGATGGAGTAACCCACTGCCACGATCGTCATGGGTATGGCGACAAAAGGCATCCGCCAGTAGAAGATATCGGATAGCTTGGCAAAACAGATAGCTGAGATTGCAGCGGCGACGTAGGGAGGCGCCGAGAGTAGCTGGGCATTGGTGTTTTTGAAGCCCATTGCTTTGACAATGGTAGGGAGGGTGAACTTGATGCCTGCAGATAGGAATACATCAGCACGCCAACCCATACAACTTGAGGTATCGATTGACCTTACCGTAGGAAAGTGCGGACTGGCATATCAAAAAGTATGCCTGCACGTAAACTCTCCAGTTTGTGAGGTTCATCTTGATGTCCTTGAACTTGACGCTGGTCTCTTCGCGATAGCCTCCACCCTGCTTGATGAACATGGAGAGCTCAAGGTATCGAATCTCGTCCTGATCGAGCCACCGCGTGGACAGAGCAGGAGTGTCGATGAGCAAAAAGAAGCACATGACACCAAGGAGGACAGTGACGAGGCCTTCGAGGATGAAAATCCACCGCCACCCTTCCAGTCCGGCGAGACCGTCCATCTCGGCAATTCCTGCGGCGAGCAGACCAGAGAATGCACCTGACAAAGCACTCGCGCAGTAAAAGTATGAGATCCTGACCGCCAGGTCCTTGGGCATGTACCAATAGGAGCATAGATAGATTGCTCCGGGGAAGAACCCGGCTCTGTGGGGAGACAGGTCAGCTTGGAGATCCCAGCTGCCCTTGTTGTACTGTTCGCGCCACTCACTCGAAGATACCAAGAAGAATGCGGGTAGCCATGAGACCGCCGTAATTTTGCACCAAACCCGTGCACGTCATGATGATGCCCCAGGCAGTGGTCAGCCCGCCGAGATACATCGAGGGTCTCTTGAACTTCTTGAGCAGGACGTTGCTGGGAATTTCAAAGAGAACATAAGGAATGAAAACTATCATGCATCACGTTAACCACTGATGGCCACAGATAAGGGCGTCTTGGACTTCTTACAGATGGCCAAGATGGTATTGTACTGCACGCCCGTCATCTTCAAGTCTTCCGCCATGCCTTCAATTTTGGCATTTCCGATGTTAGCTCGGTCAATATGGCAGATAAGATACAGCAAGGCGAGCATAGGGATGAGGCGGATATCAATCTATGGGTAAATATGTTAATGGTCGTTGCTGATAGCCCGTCCTAGGTTGAGATCTTTAGACATACTTTGCGAAAGATCTTCTTTCGCTTCTTCTCTGGGTAGTTTCTGTAGAAGTCGGCATCTTCCACGCCCAGTCCAAAGACCCGGAAGGAGTCAATCTCTGTGATATCAGGTGCATTCTCAAGATGCGACGGCTTGTGGTCCATGACGCCTAGCCCGCCCTTTTCAAGCGAGCTGCGTAGGGCCATGTTGATAGGAGGCAAAGAGGAAGATCAAGATCAAGATTGAAGCAAATGCAAGATTGTGCCACTTCGGGAAGAGAGAGAACGAGCCACCAGACGTATCGTTTGGTGAAGAGCCATGGCTGAGATATAACGCTTGCTGTGCCTTTTGGGGACGGACACGGACTCTGAGCCCTGTGGTTGTTGACATGGTGCCCGCTCCGTCGGCCCACACAACGAACCACCTAGCCAAGTCACAACATCCGGGGATGCCTGGGGATATCTGGGGAAGTGCGGAGGCAAAAAGGAAAGGGCGGATATGTCGCCCATACCCCGGCCCCGTACACAGGCCCTTTTCCGTTACCCGTGACCCTTACCCGTTAGCATGCACATGTGCACCAATCCTTTCCCTATCGGGCTGCTCACATTGACATGTGCTCTGATCTGAATCTTGGCGCTGTCCATCCTGTCTCTTGGCCTTGTCTGCACATGCAATGGCGGTTGAATCTGCGTTCAGCACCATTCGTGGAGATTCTGTTCTCTGAATTACACTTTTATCTCAGAGGGCTTTCCGTACCTTCGTAAGGGGTTTTCCGCGCTTTTCCATGCATGCATATCGAGGTGCATGTTCCACCTCCACAGGGCAAGGTAAATATCCAATCGCGCTACTCCAAAGCATCTGGAAGGTGTGCTGGTTTGTTGGATGGGCTGGTCCATTGCAAACCGGGATACCAGCAGCTCGGTGTGGGCAAGTTCCGACGACGGCAAAGTCACAATAAACATGATAATATTACAGAATGGCCAAGCAAGGAACGCTATCCGTGTGAGCTTTGATCTTAGATGCCGGAGCTGTTCATTGCTGACAGGCCGATCCTGGTCAGGATGAAGTAATCCCAACACAAACAGTCTCCACCCACAGAAACTCTTTTAGGGGGCGGAACCCAGGTCCGCAAAGTCATTTCATGCAGGCACATCTCATGTATTCAGAATTGAACTTTCAGTTCGAGCCATGTCATCTGGGCGGACTTTCAAGCTCAACTCTGGTTATTCGATACCCGCCGTTGGGCTGGGCACTTGGGTAATACTCTCGTATTCCTTTCGAAACGCTGGAAAAGAATGCTGACGTCGTTAGCAATCTGCGCCGGACGAGGTTGCCAATGCTGTTGACTACGCCCTCCGGCACGGCTATCGACATATCGACGCTGCAGCTTGCTACGACAATGAGAAGGAGGTTGGCGCTGGCTTGGAGTCTTCTGGGGTTTCACGAAGCGAGATATTCCTAACGTCAAAGTTGTGGAACACACATCACAAGCCAGATGACGTCTTTGAGGCGGTGGAACAGAGCCTGAAAGACCTGCGTACTGACTACCTCGACCTATATCTCATACACTGGCCCGTCTCGTTCCAAAAGGCGGCTGACCCCCGCATACGATTTCCCCTGGACCCAGCAGACGGAGGAGTCCACATCATCCCCGTTCCGATCAAAGATACGTGGCGGGCTATGGAAGAACTTGTAAAGCAAGGGAAAGTCCGAAGCATCGGCATCAGCAATTTCTCAAAGGAAAAGACTGAAGAGGTCTTGAAGTTGTACGTCTGAATTGTGTTGGACTTGTCCCATGTCATCAAAACCACGCTAACAATACAAGTGCCGAGATCAAACCCGCAGTGAATCAGATAGAGGCCCATCCTTACCTTCAACAGCCGGGCCTCTTGCAATGGTTGAAAGAGCAAGACATCATGGTCACCGCGTACAGTCCATCCGGCAACAACATCTACAACCTGCCCAAACCCATTGACGACCCGGTAGTCATTGATGTCGCAAAGACGTTGGGTAAAAGCCCTTCCCAGGTTCTCATTCAATGGGCTGTACAGCGGGGGACGGTAGTTGTGCCCAAGAGCGTCACGCCATCTCGGATCGCCGAGAACTTTGAAGACTTCGAGCTGCCCGCGAAAGAGTCTGGCCGCATCAATGCTCTCGAAAGAAACAGTAGATACAACATGCCCGTGCGGTTGGGTGTGGACGTGTTTGGAGAACACAGTCCCGCCGAAGTGCAAAGGGGCAGACAGGACTGGATCGCGGCACAAAAGAAGATCAAAGCCGAGAACGGAAGCTCAGGCAACTGACTGGCTAGTTTTTAACAGAAGCAAGACTTGATACAGGCCTGCCAACTAAATCTTGTCCGGGGTAAAATGGAAGAGTCTCAACTCTGGTCGTGCCTACATTCCACTGATGGCTTGCCTGCATGCACGGTTTCCGTCTACCCCTCATCATTTCTCCGCGTCTGGTCGGGGTCGAGAACGGAAAACGTCAAATTCGAGCCACCATCGATCTTACTTCCGTCCTTTCGTCTTCCCGTCCTTGCTTTGCCGTTCCTCCTTCTGTCTCTTTCCGTTGTCTGTCAGCTTCCGCTTTCCGTTTCCCGTTACTTACCCTTGCTGCCCCTTCTTGATGTGCATTGCAACCTCACCCAGCACCTTCAACCGTGCGTGAATAGAGGGCGGGCGACGATCCATGTTTTCTCCTTGGTGAAATCGATCCACAATCCCAACGAACTCCAGGCTGTCGGAACACGGTCCTGGAGATGCCCCGGAAGAATCCGTACGCGAGGACCCGGGTCACCCGTGCTTGTGATTTGTGCAAACTGTGAGCAGGCTCAACACTGGGCGTCTTCTTCGTCATTGTTGTCCACTGCCCACTGCTGACCCATTGCATAGCCGCAAGAGCCGCTGCTCAGGCACAATACCCTGCAGTCTCTGCGCTCAGCTTCAAATCGAGTGCAGATTCACTTTTCCGTATCGCCGCGGGCGACGTCGGCCTTCCACTGCACTCCACGACAATAACAACAATGCATCGCAGGAGGCTGCAGCTTCGCCTGCAGCTACACAGGATTGCAATGAGCCCGCAGCTCCTACATGGGCCATGCAGAGCCCTGTGACCATGGGCAAGTTTGCAACGTCACAATCGGTGCCGACCCAGGTCAACTCGACCGTTCAGTCATCTCGGAACTCACCAGAGCCGGCGCAGACTGATCGCCAGGGCCACTATGTTGGCCCAGCATCTGGGGCTTCATTCCTTCTACGTCTGCAGCACAAACTGCAAGTTCCACCTTTGGCTTCGTCTTCTGAATTATCCATCTTCACATTTGGAGATCAGCCGCTACCCGAGATCAAGTCGAGGTTCATCATTCTCCCGCCACGAGCCAAGGCGGATGCGATGCTCTGCCGCTATTTTGAGTACTCCGCCGCAACGCACCGCTTCTTGCATCGCGCCACAGTCGAGGGATGGTTGGCAGAATTATATGAGACCGAAGGCCTCATGAGAGACCAGAGTGATGCGGGTAGTCGAACAGCAGTGATCTTCCTGGTCTTTGCCTTTGCCTTGAATTACACGCCCCAGGCCAAGTCTGGCATAATTGATCCCGCAGCGAGGTACTTTGCTGTCCAGAACGCCACTTCCATGTTAGCGAAGCTAATGCTCTCTTCATAGTGCTCGGTTCTTCGCTGCCGCTGAAGACCAACTGAGCACTGAAAAGGGAGTAATTCGCCTGAGCAGTGTCCAGGCGAGGCTGGCGCAGTGTCTGTACCTGCTTTCACATTCAAGAATCAACCATTGCTGGAGTCTCTTTGGGACGACTTCACATTTAATGGTTGCTCTGGGTATGCATCGAAGATCGCGTGTCGACCAGCACGGGCGGACTAGCCATATCGAGCTCGAGTGCCGTAAGAGAACCTTCTGGTGCGCATATAACATTGATACGTACCTGAGCGCGGCGCTGGGTCGCCCGCGGTCCTTTCACGACGAAGAGATCGACCAGGAAATCCCATCAACTATTGACGATGCGTGGATTACTCCGGATCGGTTCTTGGATCTGCCCTTTCCCAGCGATCGGTGCGTCATGTCTGGTTCCGTGGCGCATCTGAGGCAAGTCTCCCACCTAGACCGAGATGCAAGTAAATCCGGGTCCCTTTTTGACGTCTTACGGCTGTAGGCTCTCCCGAATTGTTGCAAACATACTTCGTGATCTATACAGCATCCGACCGCCACCTATGGAAACACAGTATGAGTTAGCCAAACAGTATTCGAAAGAGATCAGCGCATGGCGCAAGACCATCGCTTACCTAGTCGACAATCTCGGCCCCGGTTGGTCTCTGATGCAACCCATTTTCTTCCGACAAAGCAATACTCTGAACATGGCGTGTTGGCACGCTCAGCTCCTCGTACATCGGCCCTTTCTGCTCCGGAACTTTGCAAGCTTGGCAGACTTGGGAGCTACTCGTCGAAGCAGGACGCCACACAACGCAGAGAAGACAGAAGAGAATATTCGTTTGTGTCTAGAGGCCGCTATGAACATCGTCAGCCTCGTTGACAGCCTTAAATCGCAAGATAAGCTGTACAGCACACTTTGGGTAGGTAGCACCGGCTGCCTTGCGATGAATACTGCCTATTGACGAAGAATTTGTAGTTTACACACTATTTTGCCTTCTCTGCCGTTGTGATACTCTACGTATTTACCATTCAGGAGCGCCACGAACCGTCGCATGTGTACCTGCCGGCTTTCAACGCGGCGACCAAGTGCCAGCAGCACCTGTCATCCATAGCCATGCCTGGATCGTTGGCGGAGCGGTACGGAGTTGTCTTGCAGGAGCTACGCTTAGAGATCCTACGACACCACAGTGGTATCCAGACCTCTGCTCTCGGGGCTGGGATTGATGTTCAACAAGGCGGTGATACGACCGTTGATACTTACCGAGCCATACAAGAGCCCATCAGCCAGGTTTCGGTCACACTGGGCGAACATGGCATGGGCCTGGCCAGTGGTGTTTCAAATGTTGATCAGTTATCTGTAGCAACTGGCGTGGGCTTCGGGATGACGGACTCCGATCCCGGGAGCTCCGTCACGGAGATGATAGGATGGGAACAGTTCGAATCCCTTGTAAGTAAATACACCTGCCGGTTTGCCCAAATAATATGCCAGGTTCCATTGACTCAGTGGCTGTGCAAGGTCTCGGGAGGAGCAGGGCGATTTGATTCCATGTTCGGAGAGAATCCGACGGCTTGGAGTGCTAATATAGGAGCGCATAACATACATGTAGATACCGTACTACAGGAGAGTCTAGTTTACGAAGCCGCCAGCGCCATCTAAGTCGCCTTGCCTGTACGTACTTGGAACAATACGAAGCGCTTGATGTCTCTTGTACCGCCCTGTACAGAACATGAAAGCTACTTGGACTATCTCTGGTACTACAATCTTCATAATTGAGGCATATAAGCCACGAAGCTCATGGCTCTCGGGATGGACCTCCTGATCTCAGAGATGCCATCTAATTATATCAATCAGACGAAGATTAGTTCTTGCACAAAGTCATCAGATTAACATATCAATCTAGTTCCAATCTCTCTCCTTCCAATTGCGAACGCATTTTCTAAGCAGATCACTGCCAACTAAATCAAACCCAGCAGCAATAGACTTGCTCCTTGTCTCTGTTCTACGTGTTTCGTACACCAGGCCTCTTCTACCGGGTTTATCATTATCGTACTTCTCGGTGAAGAAATCCACGAGTTTGACTGTCGGGTTCTTTGCCGGGTCCTGTTCGCCCTCCCGGAGCCTCTTCACCCACTCGCGTTGGCTCACAACCTCGAATTGCAGTCCGGCTGCCGCGAGTGCTGGAAGTATTTCCGTGCTCCAGTCAGCACATCTAGGGTTCTGAACGTGATACACGACGTCATCCTCGTCGCGGACTTGGAAGTAGCCGGAAGCTTGAGTACCAGGCGCATCGAGGTGAGCCAGCTCCAGAACGGCTGCAGCCGCCCTATCAACGGGGATCCACGAGGGACTTTCGTTCAGGGACGGAAGGGCGCCCAATGTCTCTGCAGATCGGATCATCAGAGGGATGGCCTCGGTGGCATTCCAGCGGCCCGCGATTGAGTCACCGATAATCTGGCCCGATCGAAGGGCTCGTGCATCAATACCAGTAGACGTGGCGGCATGGTAGATGATTTGCTCTGCCACCCACTTGCTTCGGGCGTAGCCCATGGGCTGGACGTGAGCTATGTCGCTGACTAACGTTTCCGGGACATGCGCGGGAGCAGGAGTGCCTGCGGCGACCGAGATGGACGAGATAAATGCCATTCTGGCTGGCCGGGCAAAGGGCACCGAGAGGCACAGGTCCAATAGATTGCGCAAACCTGCAATGTGCTGTGCCTCGAAGCTGTGCAAGCGGATTGTGAAATTCACGGCCCATGCAGAGTGTATGACAGAGGTAACGACTGATTTCAGGGCGGTATAGACATCAGTGCCGAGACCAAGGTCTGTTCTGCCCAAGTCGGCAGGCAGTGCCGTAAATCTGGACGAACGGGGGTAAAAGCCGAGTCCCTTCACAATGCGCTGGTGAGCTTCATCGTCATCGAGGCCGCTCCGCAGGCCGCGAGCATCCAACGAGTCGAGAAGTCTTTTGTGGGCATCTTCGGGGGAAGAAGCTCTCACGAGACAGTACACATGCCTGACGTGGGGCAGGGAGACCAGCTGTGAGACGATATGAGCCCCGAGCGAGCCAGTTGCTCCAGTAAGGACCTGGCGAAAACTGTAAGCTTCTTTTCAATCTCTCAGACTAGGTTGTGACTTACAACAACTTCTCCAACAGGAACCTGCACTCCAGGTTTGAATGGAGTGAAATTAGAGTACTTTGATACCAGCTTGCGCATTGTATCCTCTTCAGTCTCTGTCTCGAGCGCAGATCCCGTCCGAAGGGAGTGCAAGTATTTGGCCAGCTGTGCCACCTTTGGGTGGTCAAAAACAACATTCTGGCCCGGCATCTTACCGCCAAGATCAATCTCCCGGACTATAGTGGCCCTGGCTGTGATGGCCTGCAGACTGTCTATCCCTGCCGCGAACAAATCTGCATCGGATGCTAGGTCTGCCGGCTCGACTCCCAACTGCTGGGAGAGCAGCTTGGTGAGATATCGTTCCAGATCCGCAACGTCGAGGTTTAGCTTTTCTTTACTTCCAATAAGCTCAAAGTTTTGGTAAGCAGCCTCTATCTCTCTTTCAAATTGCTTATAGCATGCAGCACGGCTGGCATCATTTGTGTCAGCGCCAGCATGCTGAATCGTGAGAGGGCGACCCAACTTACATGATTGTGCCCTTGTCGGTGGAAGGGTACATGGAGTAGATCACCTTGACCATTTCGCGAGAGACTCTCCCGAACTGCTCCGCCTTCTCATTGGCGTTCTGAATGGTGGGCCAGAGTCGATCCAGAAACTCCTCTTGGTTGAGATCCGCTCCACGCGTGCTGGGGAACACCAACAGTCCGGGGAACGCCTGAGAAACACCAAAAACGACGCAGTCCTGTACCAAGTCGCTCTGACGGACCCGGTGTTCGAAAGGGATAGGTAGAACTTTCTCGCCGTTGAACAGGGTCACTCGATCATCCAGGCGACCAAGATACTTCCATCTGTCCGGAAGAGTAGGGTGTTTTGTGAAGGTGTCTCGGGTTCGGTATGAGTTGGGCGGGTTGTCAGAGTTTGACTGTGTCTTGGTGGGGAGCCCATCAAGCACGACCGTCTCGAATATGCCGGGTCCGACTTCGTCAAAGAAAAGATAAGGTCTCACTGTCTTGAGTGGCCGCAGATAGTTCCAGGAGTGGTCGTTTGCATCTCGCTGGGACGTCATGAGCTGGCCAACCTCAGTTCTGACCTCGGAGTATCAGTATCTCCAAGACACACACGGGGAACCAAGAGTTGGGGCAACTCACGCGCCATAGTGACCGACAAGGTATACGCCTCGGCTGACGAGCAGATCTCCGAGCTCATCTGGACAACTGCTACCCCCAAAGAGCACCAGCTTTGCTTTAGCTAGTTCCTCGATGCCCTCTTCAGTCTCTGTCAGGACCTTGAGCGCATACGGTACACAGTGAAAGCTCTCAAAGGCGGCGGCCCGCATCGCGGCAACGAGATGAGAGTTGGTGATGGGCAAGTTGGCATTATACAACGCCACCCGCTTGCCTTGATACATGCCTCGAAACATCATACATATGCCGTGGTTGTGGTACAATGGATTTGTCACAAAAGCCCTCATCCCTGCTCCTGTGGAGTAGTTGTTGAGGCAGTGCCTATGTGACTGATAAATGGGCTTGGGGTACCCAGTGCTGCCCGACGAGTGAACAATGAATGCCACTGTGTCACTTTCGTTTAGGAGCTCGGTTTCTCGCTGGAATCTGGGTCCGGAGGAACAGCAAGAGTTCCAGACTGAATGGTCTGGCATACCAAAGCTTTGCAGACCGTACCCCTCCTCCTGGATTTTGGCTACCGTTGCTTGAGACTTGACATGGCTGACGATGCGAACACATTTCGTTTCTTGCAGCAGCGCGATACAGGCATCCGCTGGAAGACGCGTGGAGAGGAAGAGGATGGTGAACCCCATCCGTGACAGAGCAAGGATAGAGACGACATAGTCCATGGTTGACGGCCCCAGCATGGCTATCACATCTGCTTCATCTGCACGTAATCGCTATACAGCTACGTGTTAGCGACCTGGGGGTCAGGAATGCTCAGGGAGCCACACGTACAGAGGGTTTCAGACCAAGGGAGTAGAGGCGTTTCGCTGCTTCGTCGGCAAAAGAGTCAAGGTCCTTAGCAGTGTAATCTTTAAAATCAGCTGCTCCCAGTTCAGACTCAGGGTAGGCGATCAATGGCGAATCGGGAATCGTCCGGGCTAGAAAAGTAATGAGGTCGTTGATGCTTTGAAAGTCATCAGGACCAGACACGGCCCGGCCGGCCATAGTCTCGGCAACCTTGTCTAAACGGGGCAGATCCCCAATCAGTGATGCCAAAGTAGTCATGCCGGGTTCGGGTTTGGTGTTATGTCTAGGTCATTCCAAAATCGACAGGAGTGTGGAAAGGGGAATGTTCAAGAAGATGAACTGACTCAAATAGAGGACGGCCCAGTGCGATGAGAGCACCAAGGGGCTAACCACTCTATCTGCGCAACATTATCAAGCGGGGTGCATCACAGTAGACCAATAGCATCAGCACTTGAAGCAGCTCTGTTCCGATCCCGGGCAGATCATACCACGGGACTGTACAAGTGCCGGAGCGGGCCCCCCCTCAGATTAGCTAGGATCAGGTAGTGAAATGAACCATTTCTAATGAGAGTGGCCACCAGTAGCATCAAGCTGGAGGCGAGCGATGTGACGTGGATAGGTCGGGAATAGTCACAAAGCACCTGGAGGTCCCGAACCAGCGCCAAGACGGAAAACGGATATGAAAAAGGTGGGGGTACACGGACGGCCGCGAATGGAAGCCGGAAAATGGGAACGGGCCACATCGGGGCTGGGCTGACACGAGCTCTCGGGACAAGCAAGACAAGACGAGGAGGATTGAGGACTACTCACTAGGTACCTAAGTGTAGGCACTGCTGGGGATTGCGTTGTACTGTAACCTTTTAGGGGGTAACTAGATGTCCGGGTTCTTTTCGGCAGAGGTAACTCTCGTGCATTTTTCCTAGCCCTAGGCAACTCTCCCACGTTTGGAGGTCGACCTCATCATCAGCCATGATACTGCACTCCACCTCACGATGATAAACACTTGCTAATGCATGCCAGCCTCAATTTTGTACCGACATACTGTGTCATTACCAGCGTGCCTCATGTCCCTCATGGTATGATACCTAGCTTCCTCAAGCTTGTACACAGATTACAGAGAATATTTTGAGTAAAAGTCCTATGGAGCTAGATTCAACCAAACAAACGAAAGATCTTGTTTCTAGGTCCTCCATCCCATACTTGCAGTTACACTAAAGACTCAACTCTCAGCGGCCGAGCTGAGTCCAAAGTAATCAGGAAAGAGTAACTTGGATGACTCTTCGGAGCGGGAGGCGATACTGTACGGCCACTTGGCGATCAACCACCCCGCAAAGTGAAGCCAGCTTATTCCCCAACTAGTCTGGGGAAAGAATATGTTGAACATTTGCGTGCCGATGTTTTGCTTCTCCCAGACAGACGGTCTTAGGAGTCTCTCGTACTCCTTTGCTGCCTTCTCGATATGACCACACTCGAGGTTACTCGCATTTTCCTTGAGCTGCTTTGACAACTCTCCGGCGAGGAGGTAGGCCCCAATCAGAGCAGATGTTGTTCCACCGCCCCGGCCAACAGGCGTGGGGCAGTGCGCGGCGTCTCCGATGAGTACCACTCGTCCCTTGGACCAGCAGCCTTCCGGGAGCCGGATCTGGGTTAGATGCTGGTCGTAAAGGTCATCGGCTTCTGGCGACTCTTGAAGGGCCCGCATAAATCTCTCAGCCTGAGCTCCGACAGTGTCTTTGAATAGTAGAGCCCACGCTGCCTTGCGTTCCTCCAGGGTTTGGGCAGCATCAATGTGTTCGCATCCTCCACGCGCACCGAGGTACACCCTGATGTTTTGGTCGCTGTCCTTCCGCGTCATGATGGCCTTTCCGCCAGGTACATGACAAATGGTCCAGTCTTTGGGATCGCCGTCCTGGGTAGGCGCGGTGAAATAGGCCAAGTGCACTCCGAGGTCGAATCGTGGGTCGGGAAATGATGGGCCAAGCATCATCTTGCGTGTTGGTGAGCCGATACCGTCGGCGCCCACAACCATGTCGTAACTTTCCTTAGCGCCGTTGGCAAACGTTACGTGCACCTTCTCTGCATCTTGGAAAAGATCTTTGATGTGATTCCCGAAGACGTAGTCTACGCCCTTGAGATCCTTGGTCTTCTTGTATAGGATGTCGACAACATCACCCCGCATTACCTCGAGCTGGGTCGTGATGCTTATACTATGGCTGGCTGGAAAGTATGCCTAAACAGACTGTTAGGTTCACGAAACAATTTGCAATGAAAGAGGGGGGAAGGTAGGGGCTCGTGATGTGAGTTACCTTGCTCTTTCCAGTGTAGTCAACGAACCGCGCGCCGGGCTCCTTGACCGAGATGGCGCGCAAGTCATCTTCGATTCCCATCATTCTGATGATGGGCAATCCCTGGCCGAAGAAGTCGAGCTGCTGGCCTGTTGTTCGTAGACTAGGGCTGCGCTCAATGATGGTGGTGGTGCAGCCGATCCGGGACAGCCAGAAGGCGAGTGCCGGGCCACCGATGCCGGCACCAGCGATCAGTACTTTCAAAGGCATGATGCTGACGTATTGTTGTACAGGTGTATGGACTCGTCTTCGAAATAGGAATTGCTGTCGAGTGCGGCTGTACGGGAATCGGGTTCAGTGGCGCTTGATGGACGCATATAATCCCCTTAAGAAATAATGTAGGTCGCGATCCTCCACCATTCCCGTGACGCAGGAGTTTTTGTTTTATGTTTATCTCTCGGATGCTTGACCTGTTGCGACAAGTTTTACTGAAGGTCATGTTGACTTATGGCCGAGAGCGCATGTAAGCGGCCTCGAGGCCGTCCTTCGGCCGAGAAGCGGTCGTAACGATTAGGCGGCGCGAGAGCCAGCCTTTCGCTAGTCATGATGAGTTGTTACAGTATCAGGGGCAAGCTTCCCACTAATTACTAGATTGCTGCCTTGGACCAAAGCCCCAGCTGCCCTTAGTCGGCTTGTATATACGGCAATGCTCAGCCAAACTCGAGTTCATTGATTTGAACACCTCGATATTGCCTTCAACTGCTTCGTCTCATCCGCCCACACAAGTTCCTCGGCTCAACGAGAGCAGGTTCCAAAACAGGACCCAGCAACAGGCTCGCTCGTCCTGAAGCTCCTCCCCACTTCTTGTTGATGGAAGGAGAAAAGGCAAGCGTCTCCCTTAATCTTGCTGGATCTTATCCCTGAAGTGCAGTGTAAGTCGGACGGGATTTGAAGCCGACGGGGTCGGCTGAATCCCGTGTCGCCAACAAAGGCATGGTTCTCACTGGCATGACTCGTTCTCCCCCCGATCTGACCGGAATGACATAACCAAGACCGTTCAAGACATGGCGGTGCACGGACCACTGGGCAGCTTCATCCGACCGACAGGTAGTCAGCACGCGGACCGGTCGGGATTTGACAAATGCCTCTCAATCCCGTCCGCTCTTGGAGATGCCTGTGAGCCAAAGTATGCAAAAGGACCGTCCACGCGCACGCATATGAGAGCAACCGCCGCCTTCTACGGTCGGTTTTGAACAGAACTCCCTTCATCCCTCCCGTGTCTTTGCTTCCTGGAGGCCAAGTTGATTATTCCGTCGTGGTCAAACGGTCGAGCGAGCAACCCAATCCCGATCTCTCGTCTCTGCCCCCGGCCGACTCTGCCTCCTCGTCGAATTATGGATCAACAGTTGCAACAGCCGCAACCCGCAGATGCGGTCACACCCGCGCCGTATGGCCGTGCGTGCGTCAACTGCTCGCGAGCCAAGTGCAAATGCCTATTTCGGGCTGGAGCAGACAGTTGCGAGAGGTTCGCCACCCCTCTATTCTTTCTGCTTTCTTTTGTACTGTCCTCTCCTCATGTTGAATTCGATACGTGCCAATACCTGACCCTGGCTTGGCTCTTCGCACACGCTCGCTCGCATACATGTATACATACACACACGTGCCTACATTCTCACATCCTCGTCCTGCACCTTCATTTGTCCACCGTTGGCCGCCCAGGAGTCTCTTCATCCACACTTGCGTGTCTACCTCCGGTACGCTGACATGAGCCTGAAATCTACAGATGTGCACGTCTGCACAAGGACTGCCAACCCTCCGTGAGCTCACGCAAACGCGTTACCAAGAAGTCATCAACATCTCGGACAGCGCAGTTGGAGGAGAAGCTCAACGACCTGGTGTCTCTGCTTCAACAGTCTCACAATGCATCACCACCTGTGGCTGGATCTTCCGGAGGGCCAAAAGAGCCGCCTACCCCGGCCGGCAGTAGTGGAGCCGCCACCAGAGACGGCCGGTACCCAACTTCGAATACAATGACCACGCCCTCTGATGGCGAGCCCCAGAACGCAGCAGCCTTTCAGGCCTCTGATCCGTCCATAGACGAAGCTGAGCAGTGTCTGGATACCTTCAGGTCCATCTATCTGCCGGCCTTTCCGTGCCTGTATATCCCGCCCACGATGGACGCAATGACGCTGCGCGCACAGAAACCTTTTCTCTGGCTTTGCATCATGGCAGTCACTCTACCCTTCCCGGCTCGGCAGCTGGCCCTCAGCGAAAGGGCCAGGGCGTACATCTCGCAGAGGCTTGTCATCGCTCAGGAGCGCAACATGGATCTTCTTCAGGGGTTGATCGTATTCATTGGCTGGTAAGCAAATGATCACGATTTGCTACAGCGCCAAGCGGCCGCTCGCTAATGCAGAGACCACCGAAACAGGGGACAATATCTCAGAAAGGAAAGACCCTTCATGAGTGTATTTGTTCAGCTCTGTCTCTCCTTAGTCTACGATCTTCACCTTCACAGGTCTGGGAGTCAGGCAAATCTCGTCTTGTCCTGCTTCAAGGTCGCCAGAAATTCATTCGAGAAACCCCCGACGCCTCGCAATCCGACCATGGAAGAGCGCCGAGCCACATTCTGCGTCTTCATCCTGAACTCAATGTATGTAGGCTCTTCCGGATTCATGAAGGTTATTGCCAGGGCGGCCGGCTCAAGTGGCGGTCGAGGCTAAATTTCGTGACGCTCTCAAACTGACGCGGTTCTTTCTCTTAGGCTATCAATATTCCTCAAAAAGTGTGAGACCTTGCGGTGGACAAGCCTAATGGACGAGAGCGCTCGTGTCTTGGACGAGAACCCAGAGTGGCTTGGGGATCGTGTTCTAGTCCTCCAGGCCAAGCTTCAACTCGTCATGGAACAGTGCACACAGGCCGACCGACTGGCACAGGAGGATGGCGTCCGAGTCAGCGCCATGGGTGCCCGCTATCATGAAGCGCTCGCTGCTCGAATCGGAGAGATAGAACGCTCCATATCTCTAGAACTTCGTCAATTGAGTAAGTCCGAGCCTCCGGCCCTCCCCTGGCCCTCAATCTTCCCCTGCCACGCTTATCTCCTAATACTGCTTCCCAGATTCTGTCGTCGGGCCGTTGAGCACAGCCAAGCTGTTGGTCGCGGATGCGTGTGTGTCTAGCACGCCGCTCACTTCCCCCAACCTGGTCAACTTGGATCGCCTGGCCAACCTCGAGCAATGTCTCCAGTCCATCAAAACATTCTTCGATAGTCTTCTGACCGTTCCCATGTCACAGTATCCTGGCTTCTCCTTCCAGGACTTTATACACATGGTCCAGATGCAAGTCTCCCTGTTCGGGCTGTCCATGCTCAGGGAGCCAGGATGGGATCTCTTGGCGGTTCGGCGTTCTGTCAATCTTCTCGATTACACAGACCGCATCATCAGCAAGATTGCCGAGGTTCCGAGAACGAGGGGTATTATTGTCGATGAAGAAAACCTCGACATATTTACACGGACGACGCGGATCCTTGGCAATATGCGCGCGTCTTGGGCGGCCGAGATGAACAAGAGCGACGCCCCCGTTGTCCAGTCGGCGCCCGTACCAGAAGCGGCGGAGACCTTTCCGGACCCTGTAGCTGCCGAGGCTCCTGACTTCACGAACATTCTTCTTTCCGACGACACCACATGGCTCAATGATCTGTTAATGCCGTGGGACGAGGGAACGTTTGGTCTCTAGTCGACATAAGACTCGTGTACACACCCACGCAACTCACAAGTTCTTGGCTTCAGCATCACGGTGTTATGGAAGGACTGGCTTAGGGAGAAATCGTGTGTCAGCCGAGGATATCGGCATATGGATCGATACCTTGCTACGTAACTCTTTGATGTATCTCCGTCGCTTCACCTCGTCACAAGATTTACCCCCGCTCCGTAACCTTCATGAACCCCTGATCGGGTTACAGGATCGCCCACTATGCGCCGTGCTCCTCAGCAGTAGCCTCTGCAGCGGCCCTCATCTCGGCACGAGCCTTGTTCTTCCGGCCACCGCCGAAGCCGCCACCGAAGCCGCCACCAAATCCTCCACCGCCGAAGCCACCGCCAAACCCACCCTGGTTCATCTTGGCCACGGGGCCGTTGGGGTTCATGACGCCACCGGAGGAGGTCATAAAGGCTGCAGGGCTCACCGGAAGGTTGTTGTTGGTGTTGACGCCGAATCGGATCCACGCAAACAGGCCGTCGGAGAGACTGTTGCCGGTGATGGCGTAGCGGACGATGGGGTCGTCGCCATTGGCGCCCTGCATAAACAGGAAGTCGGCAGTGTTTTTCACCACACGCATCTTGTTGGTGCTGTATGGATCGAGCTTGTCGACAGCCGCCAGGAGACTCTGGTCGAAATAGAGCTGGCCGACATGGGCGGCTTTGCCTCCGGTGATGGTGTTGTTGGCCTCCTTCTTGGCACCCAGGTAGACAATAGCTACGGATTGGTGCGCACGCCCGCGTTAGCGATGGCTTTTCTGGGACGCTCCGCAGAGTTGATATCGTGCCACCAGTGAGGCATCAACTACTTACCATGGATATGAGTTGCACGTCCCTCGTAGTGACCAGGTAGCAAGCCGTCGAAGGTAGCAATACCGTGGTCGTCGGTGGGCTGCACACCACGAAGGGCCGTTCCCTTCAGAATCGATGCGTCCTTGGGATCACCCATTCCCGGATAGCCCTGCACGCCCACATAGGTGCCCTGTTCCTATCTGTCAGGCATTTATTTCTCTTGCAGGACCGCCTGCGCCTTCCAAACGACTTACCGTCGAGTTAGAACTCCAGATGTCGACGTAGGCGTTGGGCACGACCTCGCAGGTCTTGTAGTCCACCACTTGGATGGCCAATGTCATCTTCAGCCCAGCCTCGCCTTCGGTGATATCCTTTCTAACCTGCTCGCCCTTGACGTCTTTGTTGACAATGTCAGCCAGGGCGCCCGTTTTGGATCCGACGGACTTCATGGGGGACTCGGTAGCATCTTGGGAACTTACAGAGTGGGCCCTGGTCGACGGCAGGCATCAGAATGCAGGCACCAGCGTCGGTGAAGAGGGTAGCCGGGTCTGTGTTTGCGGTGACCGTCTTGTTGCTCTTGTGGTCAATGCGCGACACAGAGATGTAGTCGCGCTTGTGGATCTTGGGACTGTCCAACTATCAGCATGGCTCACACAATACCTTGGAAAGATCAGGGCGCACCTGTCATGAGACTCGAGGTTGAGAGCTCGTCTCAGTCTGAGATACTCCTCGCCATGGCGCTCAATGGTCCGCTTGACAAATTCGTCTTGCGAGAAGGCTCTCTTGCAATGATCCAGCGAGCGAGGCTCGGGCCCCTGCGCGTAGACTTCCTCGTGGCCCGGATGGGCCAGGAGTACAGGAACGGCGAGGAGCAAGCTCGCCAGTGAAGACTTGAGACCCATGGCTTAGATGGTTCGAGGGCGCGCTTGGCTTTCACGAAGGAAACTGATGAAGGGTAGATGCCTCTGCAGATATGAGGAGATGCCCGCCAAGTCTGGCTCGTTTACAGAACCGCGGGGAAAACGCTTCTGTCGCCTCGCTTTTCTACTTCCGCGCACTTCTGTTTGCCACACACCCATAGTCAAAGACAACCATGCAATATGTTGATTCTACTGCCGCCGATACCCTTGTGCACGATCTCTCCAGACTTGGCAGGTTCCACTTGTGGAGCGGATAAAGTCACCATGGTCTGAAGGAAGCAGGAAGGCCTCGTTTTACCCTGATGCAATTCTCCGGATGTACGCGATTGGTTAGGCACTCACTGTCCAGTTGTCGGCAAATGCGGTTCTTCTCCGCGTTTTGTTTCTGGAAAGGATCCAGTTAATAATATCGAGTAGCTCATTGGCGGCCCGATATTGGCTCCCACGGGACACGCAAACAGATGGACTGGCAATGCGATCAGAAACTCCCCGGTTGCATTGAGGATCACGCATCCTTCGTCCGGTACGCCACCGCTTCATTGAAGAGCTCGCAGTCATATCGGCTGACCTGGATTACGCCAGGGAGGCTTGTCATTGCGAATGGTACTCCAGATCCTGGTGGCATGATGTCTGGAAAATGGACTGCAACTCGGCTGTCCATGCCGTATTTCACCATCGCTGCAGTAGTAACATCCGAACATGCTACGTACGTCACATCAGTTAATTTTTGCAGTACAAATCCTCGGCAACCTCCTGGCTTCAGACTATCTTCGGTCTGGTCCGGGTACTAAATCTCACAAAAGACACAGATGAGCTCGGTAAGTATTATTTTGGACAATGCGGCAGCAAAAGGAATGACCAAGACGATGCATAGAAGACTAGTATCATCTCTGAATGAGAGTAAGTAGGAAGAGAAAACTACCGGGGCTGAAACAGGCCCGAGTGCAAACTGCACCAACGGTGACGAGGCATGTATCCTACTCATAGGCGTAGCAGAAAGGCCCGTCCACAATGCTCACCAAATCTTTGATCGCATACTTTTTGCCCTCCGGCGCCACCACACCCAGGTCCACCACATCGTCTAGAGACTGCTGCTTGGCACTAAAGCCCATCATGGACGTGCCGCCCTGGATGACCTGCATGCGGTTGGCCAGATCCTGAGTCTGCCAGATGGTCCATGTGCGGTCAATCATGCCATGATGGACCCAAAACGCCGGGTCGTTGGGAGAGGTGTAGAAATCGCCCCCTGGGTCTCCCGCAATGGTGAAGTGGCCAACCCCATGGACGCCCATGCCCCCCGTGGGTGACGTGTTCTGCATGGTGTTCTGGAAGGTCCCGATATTGGCACTCCTCGTGATGAGGGCGACAATGTCCTCGGTCCGCCCGTAGCGCGATGTCAGATAGTTAGAGATGTCGCGTCGGAGGCAGCGCGGGTTTGCGCCGAACCCATCGGTACGAGGGTTCCTTGGCGGTGCCGGATTCACTGCCGGTGAAACGGGACCCAAGTACACGGTCATGTTCTTGAAGGGGCCGGTCTTGACGCACCCGCCACCATTGCCGGCCGGGGCGAAAAACTGGCCCTGGTGCTGCACTTTCTCGCCGTTTCCGCTCAGGCTAGTGTCGCTGCCGTCGAAGATGGGTGAGGTCTCGGGGTCTTGGGCCCACCTGCCCCAGTCCCAATACTGGGCGTATTTCAGCACAAACAGCGACTTGGGGATCACATGGGATCTTGATACGAACCGGCTGGGTTCCAGTATATCCACACTCATTCCTCAGAGCATATTCGAATGCCCATGTATAGTATCGGTGCCATGACAAGAAGCTGCCCTGCCCATCGAGTACGATGTTAGCAGATGGGATTTGCTTGCAAGCAGCAGGCTACAACAGCGACCTACAGTGCCATGGATGTACAATGTCTGGTTCATATGAACGGCGACAAAGTCATCGTAACGTGACTTGGCGCCAGGATACTTTGTATGGTCCAATTTCGAGGGCTTGTCGAGCAGGCAGAGCATGGCGGCGATATATGCCTTCCTATCGGCAGCTGAGACATCACCCCTGACTCCAAAATATCAGTCAGAAAAGAGAGAGACCTTTGGAATTCAACCTGTCATCTTGTGATGGGCTTTCTTACCATTCCTTCCGCACCATGAGTTTATCCTTGGTGCACGTCTTGGACTTTGCGAGCTGGGCGTCCAACTGCGTGCGCCCCTTGGTCTGGAGATCGAGGAGTGCATCTCCAGCAACCAGGCCAGCAAGCCAGAACCAGGGCACTGCAAGCAGTGCAAGAGGGATGAAGCGGACCATCACGGCGGCGTCCTCAACAGCGGCTTCAGTAACACACGAGGTGTCAGCAGCCCAGAGTCTGTTTAGATTGAGGTGGTTCGACAGACGGTCAATTTTTCCCACCAAAGATTCGGCACAACTGCTCTATATAGTTCCGCCCTGCCATGGAACATTCCTTTCGGGACGGAGGGGTTCTTCGGCATCAATGCCAAGGAACCTTTCGTCTAGCCCTAAATCTGGTCAAGGAAGCCAGTCCTTGCGAGGTGGCTAAGGGTCGGCGGTCCGGGAAGTCAGACACGGACAACATGGACTGTCCAATCAGCTCCAGGGTCTGGATGACTTTGGTACCATGGTCAACCCTACCGAGCCTCGCCCTTGTCAACCAACAAACCCGCAAGTCTTGTTCATGCTCAGTCACGTAATAGTGGGTACCGTATTTGTTCGAGTCAAGTGACGAGCATTTGTGTATATTAAAGGCTCGCTTGGAAACAGCTCATCTAATGTACGTCCGGTAAATCTGGGGTAATTTGGGGTAAAATACCCGGTACGTGCGTGACTCCCTGTAAGCTCGAACGCGGCTCAACCGATTGGCTGGAGGGAGAAAACAACTCTATTTTCACTATTCACTGGAGCCTACGCCTACCCTTGGTGGCAAAGATCTCCTATGTTCCTCGAATATGTTTGGGATTGTTACATCCACGATATATGGTGCCAAGTCCGAGTACTCTATCCGAGGAAAAGAGATTCGCCGATGGGGTGGCCGCGAAGGCCACAATACATGCCAGCCAGCCAGCCAAGGCGGCTCTGATTCATCCACCATGTAAGAAAGGGGGCAAAATGCAATCTGTGCAAAGTTTGAGCCCAATTGCCGAGCAGTTTCCCAACTGGATTCTGTGCGTGAATTATCATGTCGAGCCCAGCGCGAAAGGTTGCAAATTATCCTGTAACCGAGAACCACTCTTCTGGAAAAGCTTGTCAGTACTTGGCAGGTGCCACAAAGATCCGTTCTAGATTGGAGGCGTGGGAACGTGTTTTCACAATACGGCTCGGCGAAACGGTTCTTTTACTGGATATGCGACCACCTACAAGAGATATTACAATACTTCCCACTGGTTGAATGAGCGTCGGCCAAGGCTCCATATCCTGGTTTCGAGGGCGAGTGCATGCTGCCATATTGAGGCACGGTTTGCAGCGGATGTTTGCTCGTATGGAAAGCAATTCATTGTCAAATAGATGTAACTGAGCGAAGAACGTGTAGCAACCATCGACACCTCGCAAAAACGAGCGGATGACTTGATAGAGTGCTTGGCTCGTTGATAGAGGACACCGGTGTGTGGACAGATTTTGTCCGAGAACGCCATGACCTTGATACATATTTTTCTCGAGATAACATGTCGCTTCGCAAGCAAATTTTAGGATCATTTGCGTGATAGAGCGCAAGCTTGATCACCTGGAGACTTGGACCATCAAACAGGCTAGATTTCAACCTTTGGGGATGTAACAGTTTCCCTGATCATAGTCAAGGGAATACTCGATGGAGATAATACATCCTCAAAAGACCAAGCGCAGACACGGGTGGGCAAGTGCTACAAGGTCTGTATCCTTCAGTCCTTGGGTATCCCCCCCTCAGATTCGATGCCTCAATTCGACTTTGACAGTCTTGACCTTGGCAAATAGCAAGCAGGATACAGGATTGGTCAGCATACCGTGAAGTCGAACACCAGAAGCAGATAATCGCAAGCTATTGCCGAGGTGGAAAGGAAAGAGGTGACCTATATAAATCAATCTTCCAGTTCACCGTAGTGACGAGGTAAACCCCCGGGATAGAACTAAAATTGGGAAGGGGCAGAGTAAAGGTATGGTGACGCAGATAACCTCGCCACAAGTCTGGGTCATTAGGTAGATTCTACCGATGAAACCACAAGTCCCGAAATCGGCAGTGAGTCAGTGACAGTGACGAATCGTATCATGGCTGTTCTCTCACAGGAGCTGGACTTTACATTCTGTACTGATTTTGGCCGTGCGTGGAAACAAAGGGAGAGCAGGTGAGAGAGAGTCGAGCAATGTGGCCGACATAACCTGGAAGACCTCCATTTCAGGTGCTGCAGCGAACTGAGTTGGGGGGAGCCAGAAAGTGAGCGAGTCTAGGGGATTCAAGGACAGTAAAAGCAAAAGAGGGCTCTAACCTACAATGTGACATGAACAGCGCGGCTAGGCTGCAATCCACGGAGGTTCATGCGTCTGATACCAGCTTCGAGTGCTTGCATCACAGGAATCCACATCGTTCAGCTCACGAGCCTCAGCATTCTATTCAAAATCGCACCACAGGAGCCCTGGGCGAAACTCCCTCCTCCAGGCCCGAATGGTAATATACAGCGGCACGTTGGCATTTCGGTCCCCAGGAGGAGACAGGCAATATGCGTCGCGCACGCGGTGAAAGTCTGACTGGACAGGGTCCCATTGGTTTTGCGTATCGGACTGGAGCTTATTTGGACCGCTGGCTATGCTAATCCGTCACGCAAAGACGCACAGGCTCAGTACGCTCGGAATGAGGCGCTCGGAATGAGGGGCATGGTGACCTTGTTATCGAGCCATTTTACGATACTCTTTTCAGTGTTGTGAGGCAATGCATCGAGCTTAGATTTCCCGTCCTTTGACCCACCGACCGTACCGAACCCCGAGGTTGCTTCTTCGTCCTATGATAGTCGTCCAAGTCAGGGTCTTTGAGCTGCAACATCACATCAGACGGCAAATTATTGGGTCTCTTGTTGAGCTTCTGTGATTAGATCAAGTCGTCGCGGCAGCGTGGTCAGACACACCTCCGGCGACATTTCTAACTCTAATCGGGTATCATACAAAGTCTCTGATGGAGATCTGCTTGCTTTATCGCGAAGAGGGCTCATGCTACCCCGTCGATGCCATCGCCGCTGCTTCGGCACCCTCCTCGGGGGTGTCCCCTTGCCCACACCTGTGTGTACACAGTGTATATATGCCCTGTTCACACCTCCTATGTCCGTGCGAGATTATTATATGTGTTCTAAGAGGGCCTCAACAACACAGTCTTCTCTAGTCGTCATGTCAAACTCCCAAATTTGTCAATGCCCTGTACGCCGTCGCCAAACAATGCCGCCAATCGAGAGAGGAAAGAGAAAGCAAGAAATATAGAAAGAGAAAAAGAAAAGAAGGATGTGGCTTCAGGGCCACATGCCGTCAAACATGAAAAGCCAACCTCCGTAATATTCGTCGTATTTACCGACCAGGTAAGACCTGCCATCACCCTCGGTGCCGACCTTGTACGGGCGAGAATAGATGCCTTCCATCTTGAGGTGGCGCTTGATGGTCATGTAGACGGAGAAGCTGCTGGGCATCACACCAACGAAATACTCGCTCGCGAGCAGGACAATGAAGTCGACCACGCCCTGCTGGTCCCACGTCAGGGCCTGCAGCTTCTCTAGATCCTGGGGCTCGAGCAGGTCCGTCTTGGACCAGACCTTCATGCCGAGGGTGGCCTGGGCGCCGTCGGCGAGTTTCTGGCCCTCTGTGGCGTTGCCCGTGGCCAGGTATGCCGTCTTGTATCCCTTCTCCCGAGCCTTGTCGAGGTAGGCCTTGTTCTGGTCCTCATATTGGGGCCAGAAGCCCATGGAGTCGCTCTCGGAGCGCAAGTGCATGCCGAGGAAATGACCCATGGGGTCGCCGTTCTCGCGGGAAAGGCGGTGGAGCGACTTGACGGCCTGCTTGCCGAGATACATGAGCTCGGGGTGAAACTTGAGAATGCTGCCGAAGGTGGTGGCGAACTCGGGGCCGTCGCGGTAGACGGGCCAATCCCACAGGACACCCCACTTGAAGCGGATGATGCGAGGCTTGTCGACAGTGGGCGCGCGGGGCCGCTGGTCCGGAGTGGCCTCGGCTGCGGTTCCCTCGACGCGGAAGCCCTCGAAGAGCCACTTGCGGAAGACGTCGCCCCAGTGGTCGGTGTGGCGGTTGAAGTCTTGCCAGTCGACGTGCTTGTTGACCATGTCCTTGGGCTTGATCTCCTCGACCTGCAGGGCCGCGTCGTGGAAGGAAGGGATGTCAGTGAGGTTGCTGTAGAGGGTCATCTGGGGGCAGAAGGTGGTCATGGAGGTGCGGAAATGGTCCTCGTCAAACATGTAGTTGAAGGGCAGAAAGTCCGTGAAGAGATCGGCAAGATCCTTGTCGGAGCGCTGGCGGATGCGAGGCACCACGAGGCCAGTTGCGCCGGCCTCGATGGCGTAGCGGATACAGGTCTGGATGTAGTTGCGAACGTTGCCAATGCCGCCAGAATTATTGTCGCAGACGAAGACGAGACCATCGACCCAATGGGCCTCGTTGCAGACCCTCTGGAGGGGCCAGCCGACGAAGGGGGCGTCGGGCTGGGAGAGGTCGACGGGCGGAGGAGGATAGTTGACGTTGCTGCCGCCACCGCCGGCGACGGGAGGGGGTTGAGGTGGCCCCTTGAGAACAGACGACGACGCCTTGGCCAGAGAGGGGAACGAGTCGCCAAAGGATATGCGAGCGGTCCATAAGAGGAAAAGAGCCAGGACGAGGGCGACGGGAAGAGTGAGAAGGCGGCGTGAGGAGCAGCCGGCAGCGAGCTGCTGCTGGATGAGCTTGTCGAGACCCATGGTGACGGGGTGGGCACAGATGAGAGTGGCCTCGTCGGAGGAGACCGTTGTCGCAACTCGGCTCGATATGCGGCTGAGAACGGCACGACCGATCCTCTAGAAGGAGCGCAGGCGAGGTGGACTCTGGCTGCGAGGGGACGGGCACTGCGGCTGGCAACTCGTTCGGCGTTGCTTTACGCGCGCATCACTCTGGCAGACAGCCCGAATCCACCGCCGTCGCGGACAGTGAGAATTAACACGCTCGACCCAGAGCGGAAGATGGGCGAGTGAAGAGGAGTGACCGGGGGAGAGAGAGGTCACGGGCCGGGACGGCCAGGCGCAAACGTGACCAGAAGACGAGTTCAACAAGGCCCGGACGAGGCAGTGAAAGAATGAAGAGGGCGAGCGAGCCCTGGGGACAACCGCGACGATGTTGAAAAGGGGTGAGGACGGAAAAGGAACTGCCAAGCAGAGGGAGAGTGTGTCAGAATACAAATCAGAGAGTTGAGAGAGTAAAGGGAAAAAATTAGGTAGAGATAAGATGGATGATAGAGGTCTGGCTGGCTGCTGGTGTGTGGAGATGAATGTGGGCTGGATGTGGATGTGGGATGTAAGAAGAGGAAGGCACGACGGGGGAAGGGTCTAGGTACTCCGTAGTTGCCAATCTCAAGTACGGAGTAGGCAACAAGCGGGCGGGGGCGGACCGAAAGGAGCAAGAGAAGAAAAGCACATTGAAAAAAGGGAACCTTGGAAATGACAGCCCTACGACTGGGTACTCCGTACATGGACGGACTCGACTCGACTGGGATTGAGTATCGTCAGCCTCTCCCCTGCTGGCGCCGTCCTTGGGTGCCCAGACGCTTGTCTGTTGGTAGCCAAGAAGGGACTAGACGGCTGCACAAGACGATTAATCACCAACCCGTCTCTCGGCGCATTGAATCCCACAGAGGCCCTGTTCCCCCCCTCGAAGACTCGAAGAGCACACGGGGAGTGGCTGCGGAGTGGTCAATCTCCTCTCCTACCAGTGAGCAAGTGGCACGGCGCCCGCCGAGTACGAATGGAGTAAGAATGCGGTCTGACGTGAAAACAAAATGCAGACTAGGTAACTCGAGCATCCTTCAAGGAAAAGCCACCGCATCCATTCACCTTGAAGACCGACGCAGGCGTGACAGCACGGGGGACAGAGGCCGAGACCCACCAAGGCTAAAATGCCAGTGGTCACTTGGGCGCTATTTGTACTTGTACAAGTTACTCTGTACTTGTTCAAGGATGGGAACCGAAGAATGGGATGTCACAGCCCTCGCCAAATCATCGTCGATCTCATGAGGCTCAGCACTCCCTCGCCTTACCTTAGGTACTCCGCGCCCTCCCCCAAGCCAGCCCTGACTCTGACGCCGGGGTCTCTGGAGCAGCACTTCAAAGCCCGGCTGGATCGACACAATTGGAGACAACAGCATCAGCGAAAGAAAAAGGAGGGGGATGAGACCGAGCACGACCAGTCATCATTTGGGCTTGAAAAGGGGAGTCTCTCCATTCCCAAAAAGGGCCGTCCGCCCCCAAATTAATTTAGCTGCTTACCATGGAGCACTAGGCAGGGACTTCGCACCGCTAGACATCCGAACCAACGACTGGACCACGCGCGCTGCCATGCGCCCACAACGGCGGGTGAGCTAGCACCGGTTTAAAGGCCTTGGCAACACGCAGAAAGAAAAAAGAGAAATGGAGAGGGAAAAGGGGGATGGGGATGAAGATTCGGAATGAATGATTTGTCTGCCCCGCTCGCCTTCACCACTCTGTACTTGAGGTTAGACTCGTACACCAAGAGAGAGCCAAGCCATATTGAAGCCAACTCTCGGGGCTGTCCTGTCCGTCGGCGCAGACCGACGTGGTTGCAGCACTGAGCTGTCACAGATGCATCTGGTTGCCTGCTCATGTTGTACTTGTACCATGTGCCTGACATTGGCCGTAAATCTGACCCGGGGGACCCTGATGAGACCTTTTTTTTTTTTTTTAGGGGACCAACAAGTTTGATTAAGATGGATGGACGCATGCGGGCCCCGGTCTCGTTCTAACCCAAGTTTGACTTATGCTTAACTCTGTCTGGAGACTCTGATTACCTCATTATCTCCTTGACTTCCTACAGAGTACGTACTTTGTACAATAGGTGCGAGAAGAGGAGACACCACAGTTGCATATCATCACCGCATCTCACCAGTGTAAATGTAGATTGGGCCAAGCAAAATGCCGGTTTGCCTACGCCCTTGCCTCTTGTCGTTCTGGTGCCAAGGGAAAAGGCATGCGTACGCGCAAGCTGTCCTGGGCGATTCGCACAATCGTGTCCCGTCGACAAAGTCGATCACACCCACCGCCCCAGTAAATGCCAGACACACCAAGTCGGCAAAGTCGGCAACGTACGGCGGCTGCCGCTTGCTGCTCCGCTGGTGCTGCCTCAACGTCGACACTGTACTTGTACGAGTGCTGCACCTTGATCATCCATGCATCATGTACCTACCCGCGGCCTGCCCACCCTCGCTCTTGGGAAGAACAACATGTCCACATCTACTTGTACATCGCACGACGAGTGAACACAGACCAGCCTCTCAAGTCTCTCAATGATTGGGGGTACTACCTACCAGAATTACGCCATATGTAAAGATTCTCGGGGACACAGACCCAGCCAAGCCGGCATTGCGGTTTGGCGTGTTTCAAATCGAGAGGGATGGGGATGACGGGGAAGGGTGGTGCTGGCAATGTTCGCAACTCTTCCATCTCCAGATTCTCCTCCCACAAAGCAGTGCGGGCTGCACATCGGTGCTCCTGTGCTCGTCATCTGCAGTCTACCTATCCTGTTCGTACACTGAATACCGATAATGGCAATTCCAAGAATCATACACAACCACCACATTGCAAGGAGCCGTGATAACTACCGCCTACCGAGCACTCATATGCTGTACCGCCGAGAGCCATTTCTGTTCGTCTGCCCTGTGAGTGCGTACGGCCCCGTCAGCAAAGCTGCCATCTTCCCTCGTAGCGGGTGAGTGGGACGAGAGAGACCTACCTGTCAAACTTCAAGAGCTTCCCCAGCACCGGCACTAGCTGCGCCCTCAGCTTGTTGTCCTTCTGCTCCAAGAACTGCAGCAGAATCGTCTTGAGGTACATCGTGTCGGGGCCGCCCTGGCCGCTGGCACCGTTGGCCGCCGGGCCCGAGCGCGTCGAGTCCATCGAGCTCCGGCCCGACCCGGCCGGGCCCGGCGAGAACGACGATCCCAGTCGCGCCTGCAGGCCCTTGCTCTCCTTCGACAGCTTGTCGTACCGCTGCCGCAGCTCGTCCAGGCCCCGCCGCAGGTCCGCGTTGCGCTTCTCCGCATCCCGCACCTGCTGCTCCGACGCGTCCAGCGTCGTCCGCAGGCTCGACACCGTCGACCGCATCTCGGCCGTCTCCGCCTCGGCCTTCTCCTCCACCGACTCGAGCTCCTCGCGCCGGCGCCGCCACTCCTTCTCCCGCTGCTCCAGCTCCTCCTTCTCCCCGCTCAGCGCCTTGACCTCCCGCTCCAGGTCGCGGATCTTGGTCTTGAGCTCCTCTGCCTCGCGCGCCTTGCGCCGCGCCAGCGTGCTCGACTCGTCCTCCAGGCGGTCCCGCTCCTCGACAGCCGCGTCTAGGCGCGCCCGCATGTCGCGCACCTTGGAGTCTGCGCGCTCGTCCACGTCGGCCAGCAGCCGCCGCATCGTCTCTGCCTCGCGTGTCCGCTCGCCCAGCAGCTTGCGGCACTCGTTGAGCTCTTCGTCGAGCGACTCGGCCTGCCCCTGCGACTCCTTGAGCTGTATGCTGAGCTCCGCCGTCTGGTCCCGCATGCTGCCCAGCAGGTTCTGCGCGTTGGCATATTGTGACGTCTTGAGTTCCGCCTCCTCCCGTAGCACCTCTTGCTCCTTGCGTAGCTTTGTGATCTCGTCCTCGAGCTCCTTCAGCTTCGGCCGGCTCTTGGCCAGCTCATCTTGTAGCTTCTGCAGCTCGCGCGTCGCCTTCTCTTCCTTGGCGCTCAGCTCGATCTTTTCGGCCTCTGCCCGCCGCAAGTCGCGACCGGCGACGCGCTTCTCGTCTTCGAGCTTGACCTTCTGATTCGTCTCCGCCGTGACCTTCTCCCTCAGCGTCTTGATCTCGCTTTCTCGATCCGTGGCAAGCCGCTGGGCCCTGGCGACCTCTGTCTTGAGCTCCTTCTCCCTCTTCTCCATGCTACGTAGCTCCGTGGTCTTGGTAGCAAGCTCTGCCTTGGTCGTCTTGAGAGTCTCCGACTCTTGCCGTAGGCTCTTGAGCTCCGGCTGCGCCTTTTGTAGAATCTCGCGCAATTCGGTGAGGTCCTTGTAGCGAGTCTGCGCCAGCTGTTGAGCAGCTCCCAGATCGGACTGCAAAGTCGACGACTTGGCCTGCAGATCCTCATATTCTTGCTTCAGCGATGCAAACTCTTCTTGGACCTTCGAGTTGGACTCGGCAGATGACGTCGAGGCAGCCAGCTCCTTCTCCAGTTCGGCGATCCGCCCCTTGAGATTCCGCTTCTCCTCCTCCAAGCTCTTGATCTTCTCCTTGGCTTCGACATGCTCCTGGCCGACATGGAGCAAGTTCTCTTCGAGGTGCTCAATCTCCTCCCGCAGATCTTCTTCCGTCTTCTTCCTCTGAGACAGCTTCTCAATCTGCTCGTCCTTCTGGCTGATTTGCTCTTTCAATTGATGGATCTCTGCCCTCAACTCCCCGGTACCTTGAGCTTCCGAGGGCGAGGACGCGGCAGGAGTCTCTGCGCCGGTAGCATCTGCAGCTCCACTTGCCGCAGCAGCAGCAGAAGCAGCGCCGCCCTTCTTCTTCTTTTTGTTCTTCTTCTTTGCAGCAGTACTACTTGTTCCCGCAGCCGCGGGCACTTCCACGTTCTCCGAGGCGGTCGCGCTTGTTGGCGTGGGCGGCGCCTGGAGTTTCCTGCCCAACTCCTCAATTTTAGCCTCATTGTCCGATTTGCCCTTCTTGAGAGTTTCGATCTGGCCGTTCAGTGCTGCAATCTGCTTATCGAGGGCCTCCTTCGCCTTTTGAACGGCACGGACTTCATCTTCGAGCTTCGTCTTGTGGGACGCAGATTGAGCCAATGCCGAGTCGTGCTGCTTCTGTGCCGCGGCAGACGCTGCCTTTTCCTTCTCCAGCTGCTTCTCTACGTCACGTAGCTCGGTCTGGGTCTTGTCCAGGCGGTCCGTCAGAGAGGCGATCTCGGTCTTTCTAGCTTCGAGTTGTGTCTTGAGCGACTCCTGCACCGCAACCGCATCCTGCGACTCGCTGAGCTTCCTAGTGACATCCTCGAGATTTGCCTGCAGGCCGGAGCTGTTCTCCTTGGCGGTGGCGAGCTCACTGCGCAGTGTCTCGACCTCTCGCGTCAAGTTCTCGACTTCCTCGGTCTTGGAAGTCACTTCAGCTTGCAGTTGTGGAATCTCACTGTCGTAGGAGAAGAACTCCTCGGGCTCCTTGTCTACATCTGGGGCAGTCTGGGGCTTCTGTTTGGGTGAAAAGATGCCAAGCACTTGAGAGACGGGCGACTTGGCCGCAGAAGGCGCAGTCGACTGAGCGCTCGAGTCCGCGGGCTTCTGGCCATCAGCAGAGCTCCTCGTCGCACTCTCCTCTGTGGTCGTTTCGGCAGATTTGCCGGATTCCAGAGCTGCCAGCTTTTGCTTCAAAGCCTCGACTTCCTTGTCGGCGGCCTCAGACTTCTGCTTGAAGCTGTCCTTTTCAGCCGAGACACGCTTGAGCTCTTCCATCACCATGTCGCCCTTGAGGCTGAGCTGGTTCAGGTATTCGGTCAAGGCACCCGGGTCCTTGATGGAGGTGAGCGGTGTATTTTCGCGGAGTGCCCGCTCAAAGGGCTCGATCGAGGTGGCCCGGCCATGGGCTATGCGATACGATCGAAGCAGCTCTGGATACGTAGCCTCGAGCTTCTCCAGTTTGCGCAGCTTTGCTCGGATCTCGGGAGGCAGCTCCGATTTTGAGTTGGTCGAAGGGCTGGGCTTGGGAGTTTCGCCGGGCTCGGTATTGTTGCCGCTGGACTGATTGCTTGGCTGCACTTTATCACCATCTCCCTTTTCCGAGAGCTCTTTCTTGCCATTCTCCTCTGCCATGGGGCTGTCTTTCTCCGGCTGATCCTTGGCCGTAGGCGCAGGCGTGGGCTCTCTTGACAGCTCCTCGTCGTCAATCACAAAGGCAGCCTCAAATACAGCTGGATCTGGGTTCAGAGGCCCATCGCCATCCTTTCCATCCTGGCCAGCCTGCTTGGCGCGGGTCCGCTGGGCTGCTACATCGCTCCTACCGCTGGCGCTTCGTGAAACAGGGGCTCCAGGACGACGGCCAGCATTAGCAGCTCTCTCGACTTGGGCAGCTTGATGTCGAGCTTGTTCTTCCGCAAGAGTTCGGTCGATGGCACCGCGTAGTTTCTGGAGCCGGGGAGCGTGCTGGTCAGTGATTGTCATATCACTCCGATGATTCTACAGGAGCCCAGACTATTCTGGCTCTTTGGTGAAGAGGAAGAAGAAGCAGAAGAAGAAGAAGAAACAGGAAGCATGGCGACCTTACCTGAAACATGTCGTTGCGGTCGGCACAAAGGCCGAGATCGTTGCTCAGGGACTACAGTTGAATCTTGGCGAGCAGCGGCGGCATTCGTAGCAATAGGTGCGTCTGTCGTATGAAGAAGGGGGTTCTCTGATGTGGCTGACAGAAACACATGAAACTCTCAAGTCATAAGATAGACCAGCTCTCGTGCCTGGGTGCGATACAAGTGGTGCGCAAGGGAGACTCTGCTGTTCGCAAAGCAATGATACCTAGTGTTGTGGTGGTGGTACAGAAAGCGTGGCATCAATCATCAGTCAGCCTTGGCCTTCTCCAAAAGGCCAGCCCTCGAGCTGAGCCACCAGAAACATCCCCTAAAACAAGGAGAGCACAGACCCTCAAAGGTGCTTCAGCGCTGCAGGTGGGCTCCAAAAACTCCACTTTCCAGCTGTCATAGGTCACCTTTTTGGGGGACTGAAGCCCCATTTAAGCACCGTCATACAGCTCTTGACGCACTAAAAGGGAAGAATATCAGGCGATGGGGCTTAGTCGCTTTAGGTACCTATGAGGTCACCTAGGCCTGCCGAGTGACCACCTGGGCCACCAGCAGCTTGTGATTTTCCCCGAGGCGGCGTGAGGCTGGAGCTTCAATGCTTCAACTGTGCCTGGGGCCTTCCGACTTTCATCCTTCACTTTTTGGTGCCCACGACAACAACCCGCCTGCGAGAGATAGGCTCGCGACAACAAAAGATTGATTGTTGGAAAGGTAGTCTACCTTGTCTGGACAGCATTTGAGCTCCTGGTCTCTCGCCTGTGAGCAGCCAGAAGCAACGAACGCGTTGGGGCCGCCCCTCAGCGTGAGGGCGTGCGTGTGTGATCATGGTTTCTCTTTGGCCTTGGCGGGTAGGTGTCGCCTCCTTCTGCTCAACCTCTCTCTCTCTTCTGCAATCACGCTGCTAACAAAGGCATGTGCAGGGAGATGACTCGTCGCCCGCCTCCTTCGAGAAAGCCCTCTCCTCGCTCGCTACCAAGATCACTGCCACGCAGGCCCAGCTCGACAAAACACGCTCAACCTCACGGCGGCTCAAGGTCTTGTGGACCCTCTACCTCACTTTTGCCTACCTGGTCTATGCGATCGTCCTTGTCTTGGTTGTGGGCTGGAAGAATCTCGGCGCTTGGGAATGGACAGGCTTAGCCGGAGGGCCGGTCGTGTGAGCAGTCACCCTGCAGCTTCGCGCCTCTCACAGGACCCGACAGCTAACAATGTTGGCAGCATCTATGTCACTCGCACCATTCTTGCTACATACTTCAACTTCCGGACTGAGTCTCTCAGCGCCAGGCTCAAGGATCAGCAGAACGAGCGCGCCGCCACGATCCGCAAGCTGAAGGCGGCAACAAAGTACGACTCTACCCAGGAACTCCTCGAGAAATATGGCGGCGAGTCCAAATCCAAGGCCAAGGGAAAGGAGAGCGAGGACCAGAAAGAGGCGGCCAAAGGGAAGGCAGGGCCGCATCACGGGCAGCCAGGAACTCCCCAGCGAACAAACCTCCCCCCTCCGCCCACGGCCAACATTCCTCGCAGCGACACTCGGGGCTCTATGCTCTCCCATCCCGGTACCCCCCAGAGCATGCACATGGGCTCGGTCCGCGGCAGCCCGCAAGTCGCTGGTTCTCACCTGCATGACATGGAGCCCTCGGCCGAATTCGCCCCCAACGCTTTCGGTCCGGAAGGCGCCCCTCCTCCTGTGGTTGCCGGGACGCATCAGTACGCCCCTGCTTACCAGGGGCCCTCCGAAGGGCACTGGTACGATCGTATTATGGACTTGCTGCTAGGGGAAGACGAGACGGCGCCCAAGAATCGGATCGTGCTTATATGCAGCAGATGCCGGCTTGTCAACGGACAGGCCCCGCCTGGAACAAAAGCCCTCTCCGAGATCGGCACATGGAAGTGTATGGGTTGCGGCACATCGAATGGCGAGATGGACGAAGGCAAGAAGATTCTCAAAGAGGTCCTCGGAACCCAGTCGCGAGACGCCGACGATTCGGCCGAGTCCGCCGCTGAGGTTGACGAGGAAACACACGTGGGCGAGGACGATAACCGTGTCAAGGAGCAGGAGGCTGGCGAAGAAACATCAGGGTTGAAGAAGCGACAGTCCAAGACTTAAGCAATGAGCCGCCGGCCACCAAGCGGCCTTTTGCCACATACGGACCTGATACTACGAGAATTCGAATTGTCTCAGTCACTTTGTGTTAGGTGCTCATGCTGGCTGTCTCTCCTGCCTTGCTTCGTGCAGATTGATGGGTTATCGGCTAGTCACCCTCGTAGTTATTATCTTGTTGCTATGACACTCGTGCTGAATAAACTCTAATACTGGAACGAGTCGTCTCCGTGGCCGCTCGTCTCGACTATCGCTGATGGCGTCTACGGCGGGAGGGAATCTTCTTGGTTCAATGTTGTATCAAAGTCGAGTATTACGAGACAGAGGTACCGGCCCATTCGGCCGTATCAATCTTCAATAGTGTGCATTTCCAGCCACAAACTCCAGTCGGTCTAACATCAAGGGCTGATGTTGCTTGGAAGTGTAGGTCAGTATAATGTCCTATGTGAAGGGTGCGACGTGGCCAGTTTCAACGCGCAAGAAAACGTCTCGTGCATGGATATCTTGGCCCGCGAGATGGAGTGGCTCAAGTCTCATGTCGAGGGACATCTTGGTAACCCCTAATTTGAGGATAACATAGGTAAACTAATTACTTGAGATGTGCCTTGTGTATGAGAACAGTGCTCCAGGAGCAAGTACGTCTCCGTTATCGATGCCCCTGGACGCATCATTAGCATAGTTCAGATAGATGTCTCGTTACATGTCTCGTTACATGTCTCGTTACATGCTCACATGAAAGAACACCCGTTCCTGTCGTCTCCAGATATAGGAGCACTGGCCGTTGCAGTGGTGAGGGACCTTGGGCGCCAGGCTACGTCCCCATCGCGTGGCACGAGCTGTTGTCAGCCGTCGACATCCCCGTGAGTTAACACGGCGATGATATAGGACGAGAGCTATATAAACATGCCATAAAGTATCATAGAGGTGGCGCAATACCCCAGACTCCAGAAGCAGCCGTGCCTTAATATCGCTTCCTTTTGCCGGAAGCTCGAATCGCAATTGCCGGCTCGACTTTACCCTTTACATCCAAACTGGAGCCAACCTCAAGCCGGGTCAACGATCCCCCCCAAAAAGATTGAGCGCCTCCTATCGTGATCAGCTGCTGGTTCTCCCAAGGTCTAGAATGACTTGGAATTCCTTGGTGTGTGGTCCCGGAGTGGGACGACTGTTGGTTTGGGGACCTATCTCCCTGGGAGATGCTCTCGCCTCTCCACCCTCATTGGCGGTGACGTTCCGGAGAGTAATGAAGAATAGTCTAAACAGTCCGAGAGTTCGGGCTTGGCGCTTCGAGGCGACGCAAGCGATCCCAAAACGTAATATAACACATTCTCCGCGTCGTGGCGGATCCTACTGCCCCGTTATCCGCGAGCACCTCATCACGGACTGGACCGCCCATAGGCCAGTCCCGGTGACCCCTGGCCATCTGCTGACGAGTCCACCCTCATGTGAAGTGCCTTCACGATCGTGGTCGACTTGCCATAAAGGTGGCATCGCTTGCACCTACCTTTCGGTCCCTCCCGCGCTTCTCCTTTCCTTCTCTTTGTGCTGCCGAGCCAGTGACTGTCGTGTAATCCGGCACTCTTCCGGGCCCACCTACGGAGTCATGGGCCATCTACGCACCCTCCTCGCCTCTGTGCTGCCCCTTCTCGCGGCGCAGGGGGTCCACGCGCAGGACCCCGCCCCGGCGGCTCCGGGCAGCGGGAAGTACTGCAGCTCTGGCGAGCAGAGCGTCTGCTACTCCGAGTACGCCGCCTCGCCGTCGGGTGTGCTGTACCGGATCGCCATCCCAGATGTGGCCCAGCCGCCGTTTGATGTGCTCCTGCAGATCGTGGCGCCGGCCAAGGTGGGTTGGGCGGGCATCGCTTGGGGCGGCAGCCTCAAGGGCAGTCCCCTGGCGGTGGCGTATCCGAACGGGGATACCGTTGCGGCCTCTTCGCACTGGGCAAAGTTAGTAATCTGCTGCCTCTGACTCATGATGCTCCCGGTCCGGCCAGATAGGGTCGGCATGCTAATTGCTGTACGACACAGTGGCGACGATCTCTCTGCGCCCTTCACCAGCGCATCTTACACCGTTCTGACATCCTCCCGCAACAAGACGCATTGGACCGCCGACCTGCTCTGCGCCGGCTGCAGCTCTTGGGACGCCGTCTCGCTGAACCCGACAGGCGTCAACACCCTGCTCTGGGCCGTCGGCGACAAAGCCCCCACCGATGCCTCCGCCGTGCCCGCCAGCACCGCGAGCGGGACCTTTGCCGAGGACCTCGGCGCCGCTCGCGTGTCGTCCAACAAGTTCCGGCGGTACATTCTCTTCCTCCAGGCCGGCCAGCCGGCCGACGGGCCCCCTCCGCCGGGCGCGACGAGCGTCGACGGCCCCACGGCGCTGCGGCCCACGGCCTCGACTATCATCCGCCCGCCGCCGCCCGAGGGGGGACCCACTAGTGTCCGAACCTCGGTGACGGTACTCCCGCCGCGGCCGCGTCCGACGACCAGTGTCAGCAGCTTCCCGCCCACCGTGATCGGTCCCGGCGGCGGCGGACGCCCCACATCCCGGCCGACGCTCCAGCCGCCGCGCCCGACGACCACGATGCGCACGAGCCCGAGACCCGGCGGTCCCGTGACTGTTACCGTCACCGTGACCCGGCCTCCTGGAGGCGGACAGCCCACGCGGAGCGCGCCCGGTCCGCCGCGGCCCACGACGTCGAGGGACCCGTGCAGCGGCTGGGACCCGCCATGGTGGTGCGACGACGACGATGACGAGTGGTGGTGGGGCGACGAGGGCGAGGGCGAGGGCGGCTGGGGTGGTGGAGGTCGCGGCGGCCGTGGCGGAGGTGGCCGTGGCGGACGCGGCGGTGGCCGTGGTGGCCGTGGTGGCCGCGGTGGTTGGGACGAAGCTGAGGGTGCAGAGCAGGCACAGGCTTGAGCGGGGCACGGGAAGGTAAAAATCGGTGTTTCCAAAGGTTTCTTCTAGCAGTATGACAGGGTTGCATGCAAACTTCGGGGTAGGGGGTTGGGGATATTGGTCCTGACTGGATTTACACGTGGACTTCATACACTCGTTTTGGATAGAATCAGATAACCTATGCACTTTTCGTCAAGGACGTGGTACTACCTATTAGATGCATCCTACATACCTATACTTATGTGCTCTTGCTCCCAGCGGTCTGGTGCGGGTGCCGAGGTGGACTCCGACTCGGTGCGGAGTTGATGCAGCCTGATCGGCTTCGGCTTCGGGCGCCGAGTTGCCAGTCCGACGTGGCCCGTCTGATTGCCCCGCCTGCCGCCTGGATTTCCAAGTCCGATCCCCTCTGCTTACAGCTCTTCTCCCAACTCATACTTTCGCCGTCATTACCGCGTCGTGTCTCCGTCCCCGGTATCTAAAACTGCACCCGAGATGAGCACGTCCGCGTTCACCCTCCCGGCGGGCTACGCCCTCGTCGAGGGCTACCCTGCGCCGGAGGCATACATGCGCCTCCGCGCCGACTCGGGCCTGTCGCCGCGCACCCCCGCCCAGGCGGCCTGCTACGCGGCGGGCAGCTGGCACGGCGTCTACATCACCTACGCGGACCCGTCGTTGCCCTCTCCGTCTCCGGTGCAGGGACAGGAACCCTCGCCCGTGGGCATGGGCCGCATCCTCGGCGATGGCTCCTGGTACTTTGTCATTGCCGACATGGCTGTCCTGCCGGGGCACCAGCGCAAAGGCCTCGGGGACGCGATCCTGAAGAGCCTGCTGGCGCGGATCCGCGAGCGCGCACCCGAGGGGGAGACGTACGTGAGCCTGATGGCGGACCCGCCGGGCAAGAAGCTATACGAGCGCAACGGGTTCATCGAGGGAGTCCGGTGGAACGAGGTGGGCATGGTGCTGGAGACGGAGGAGGGGAAGAAGAAGGAGAAGGTCTAAAGATGAGACTAGACTGAAAGGATTCCATTGTTGTCCCAGCGTGATGGGCGATCGGGATAGGTTGGTTTCGACGAGTGGTGACATTAGACGGTGCGGATGTTGTGCTTCTTTGGTAGATCTAGGCGCATACAGGCGAATGCTAGAGAAGAGCTGCAACTTCCTTTGCTTGCAAGAAGCATGCTTGGAGGCTCGCATAGAGCTGAAACGCTCTCGTCACAGAAATGCCACGGGAGAACAGAGACCAAGTCTGGTGTGGTCAAATGTCACAGGAGGCCCTTCTTGGGGCTCCCCTTTCTCATTACGGGGTGTCCTCTAGTCAGGATTTCTGACATGCTCCCCCCAGCTATCTATGGTCTGGATAACGCGCGTAAAAGCAGTGAAGTGGTGGTATCGGTGCTGGTATCCCATTCCCAGAAAGCAAATGTAGTGCAGTAAACAAATGAATGAAAAGACTCGATCCCGCTTGTTTTTCCTGCTCTCGACGAGACGATTCATGTCTCCCAATAATCAAACAATCTGTCTCCGTGGAGACATGATGGTATTAGATGATGCTGATCCATCTCGCCCCGAAAACGCCATCGTTAAACGACAATGCCATGCACCGGTTTGTTTTTTGGTGATCCGAAACTCCGCGAAACCCGTTGTAGCAGCAACAGTGGTAGTAGTACAGAACCAACAACAAGTCCTGTGTGACTTGCTCACACACACACAGCCTCTTCCTAGCATTCTTTTCGCTTTTGCTCTTTTTCCCCCTTTTCATCTAAGCCCACAGGCATTCCCTCTCATCGCCGCGGCTCATCATCATCATCTCGAAGCCCTCGACGCGGTCCCTGAGATTGGCGTTTTCGCTCGCGAGCACCTGGTTCTTCCTCTCGAGGTGGGAGATGTACTCGGTCGCCTTGCTCAGGATGGTGGCCTTGTTGAGCTTGTGGGCCGGGGCGAGGCCGCCGAGGTCCTCCTGGTCGTCGAGGGAGCCCTCGCGCTTGACCTGGGCGCACTCGTCGTCGTCCTGCTCGGCGCGGTTGACCATGACGCGCAGGGCCGGGACGGCGTCGCGCAGGGCGGCGATCTTGTCGTTGAGGTTGGTGCGGTACCGCTTCTCAATCATGTTGTGGGCCGTCTTCTTGGGCCCGAGGACGCCGTTGCCCGTCGTCGGAGGCGAGGCGCTAGTGTTGTTGTCCTTGCGGCGCGAGGCAGCCGGCGGCGGGGAGGCGGAGGAGCGAGAAGAGGACGAGCTGGTGGTGGACTTGCGCTTGAGGCTGCGCTGCTGCTGCTGCTGCTGTTGTTGTTGTTGTTGCTGCTGCTGCTGCTGCTGCTGCTGCTGGCTGGCGCGAGTGGACCGGCGGGGCTCTGCTTGTTGCTGCCGGGGCTCCTGCTTGATCTGGATCTCGGCCGGAGCAATGACTGTCTGCTGTTGTGGCCTCGACGAGGCGAAGGGGGCGGTCTGGAAGAGGGGCACATTGTCGTTGAGGCCGTCTTGGCCAAAGGGGACAATGTCGTCGGACAGGCCGTTGCTGTTGGTGAGGTCGAGCGGGTTGATGGCCGGGCTAACGGAAACGCTCCGAGCGGGGACGGAGGACAGTATGGGGCTGTCGTAGGGGTCGTTGGGCCTCACAAAGGGGTTGTTGGAGGCCTGCTGGGCCTTGTCGCCCCAGGAGAGCCAGTCGTTGTCCATGGGCAGGGCGTAGGGGGCGGCAAACATGGGAGAGACGGGAGACCCGGGCGACGGGGCCGAGTCCGACGTCAGGTCTGCCGAGGCGTAGTCCTCGAGGGGGCTGACGTAGAGAGTGGCCGGAGAGAAGGTTGCGTAGTTCTGCACGAGAGAAAGAAGAAAGAGGGTATATGTCAGTCTGGGGCTCTCCTGGGTTCCCTTTCTGGGTCTGCGGGCGAGGGAGGGGACAGAGGTGGTTGAGGGTGGAGGGAGGTATGTTATATTATGTTGAAGCGTATTGGGTGTTGTGTGTAAGTGGGTGCGGGATCATGGAGGATGGGCGAGCTGAGCAGCAGCTCCACCGCCATCCATGCTGGACTAGGCAGTCGGATGCGAGCCAGGGGGTGGTCCCAGGGACTTGTTGGCGGTCCAATGGGGACAGGGGAGTATCTCGTCGTGTATGACGTCGACGCCTATTTGACCCAAGGCTGGGAAATAGAGGAGACGAGACGAGACGGGGAGATGGGGGATGGGAATTGGGAATTGGGAAAGGGGAGAGGGCAGAGAGCAGGCAGAGGGAAAGGAGTGAGTAGAGAGAAAGAGAAGAATCGAACTAACCTGTTGCTTGGCGTTGTAGGCGAAGGGATTGAAGGCGAGGGGTGGGTTGTTGATCGTTGTGCCGGACATTGTGGGGGGGGGGGCTGATGATCGGTGATCCGGCTAGCTAGCTGGTCTGGTCTGGTCTGGTCTGTCTGTCTAAGAAAAAAGAAAGGCAGAGGCAGCGAGAGAGTGGTGATGTTTCTCGGCTGTTGACTGTGGTGGAGTGCTTGCTCTGCTAGCTTGTGCTTGTGCTTGTGCTGGATCGAACTCGGGGTATCGAGGGATGATGGGCGGTGTTAGCGGCGGTCGTCGATGACTCTGTGTACAGTAGGTATGGTAGTGTTGGACGAGTAAGTACAAGTAAGTGGTGATATCAATGGAATCTCGTGTCCGTTGTTTGGTCGGGTTTGCCTCTTAGATGGGGGGGGGGGGGGGGACAGGAGACACCGAGAAGAGGGGACGTGTATTTGATATAAACCTTGGAGATGCGTATCGTTTGGGACGTTACGGAGACGGGGCACATGGGGGATGGGCACAACAGCGTTTCCGCAGTACCTAGTTACGTATTCACAGCTCAGGCCGGGGACTGTTTGGTGTGTGTATACCTATTCAGATCTTATTTTCTTGGTCTGATCCTGTGCACGACAGAGCCAGCCAAGGCCAGCCAGCCAGCCACCTACCTACCTAGGTAGCCAAGTCAGCCAAGACAAGACGCCGGGAGGGCGAGAGAATACGGACAGACGGGAGGGCTTAGACTGCAGAAAGAAAGTAAGTATCCATGGATTGCCGGGAATCTGCTTCAGCGGCGGGCCCGCACTTGTCGGGAGGCCCACGTGAAAGGGAGAAACAGACGAAAAAATGCACAAATGGGACGGCAATGCCCTACCCGCCATGGGCAAATGGGACAAATGGGATGGGGGATGGCCTCGGGTGGCACTGGCGCGATGGAGAATGGGCTCAGGGACGAGAACAAAACGGTGGGCGGCGTGGACGGCGCGCCGGGGGCTGCAGGGTTTGACTAAGGAGAACGAACGATTCGGGGCGGCAGTCTTACGATCGGTCGGGGATCTAGACAGCGCACGCTTTTTTTTTGTATTAGTATCGCTTTTCTCACTCCCTCTCCATCTCCCTCTCCCTCTAATTAGGTAACGCTCTCGCCTGAGTGAGGGAGTGCGTGTCCATGTGACCCATTCATCCAGCGCAGGTCAGCAAGATAGATACCTACCTAGGTAGATGCATGGATGGGATGGCTTTCCATCTGGTGGTGCCTGTTGTTCTTCTCGCGATATGCTCGCGTATGCTCTTCTGAACGGGTGTGACATTTGACCTTGGATCAGACTTGGAGCCCGCGTCCTTAGCGACTGCCGAGTCAAGAGCTGGAATGGAACATCGAATGGCTCAACATGGCTTGGTTGATGACGCCGGGCGCCGTTGACTCGCTCCGTTTCAGGTCTCGGCGTTTTCTCACCCTCCCCAGTTCTTGTTAGTTAGTGCCAGCGAGGGCGAGACGAGGCCGGACAGCTGACAGGGGAGGAGACCTTACGGTGATCTGCACGTACAATAACTAGGTAGCTAGTTACGTATGGAGCGCAGACGGTGGCTCGTCATCCGCTTCCGTGATGTGTGTTCTAGGACTGTCTGTGTCCCTGGTAATCAACTACCTGCTCAGGGCGGGCAGGGCTGACTGCAGTCCCCCAGATCCTCCAGAAGAAGACGGGCGTGGCAATGCCAGGCTCGAGGAACCGGATGCAAAGGACCAAGTTCTTGCAAAGGCCTTGTGTGCGTGCTGTCCGTCTCTCCGACTCTCGTCAGTCCTCGGCACCGGCGCCGTCGTCGTTCTTTCTTGGATCCCGCCGCCCGGCCCAAGATGCCCTTTCGCACCAATCAGATGGGAACGACGAGTGGCAATCTTCAGTCTCAAGGTAGGGGTCATGGAATCGGCACCACCGTTTCCTGTGCCGCAAGCAACACCGGCAGCAAGCTGTGGGACTGAGCAGTGAGGCCAGCATCTGCCCATCGTGGGAAATGGGCTGATCTTCGGGGCGCGGGCCAGGCCGTAAAACCCCTCCCCATCCCACCATTCACGGGGCCTCCAGGGCTCCAGGGCTGCATCTGGCCTGAGGCTGCCCCCTAAACGCGTGACTCCGGAGGTGCCCGCCCAGGGCTTCAGGCGCTGGCTGATAGCGCCAAAGTACCTACCTAGGCATTCTCTTGCGCCAGCCCTGCAGCGCGGTACCCGTCGCGCCATCGCGGATCATTATCGTGATCGCGAGAATAAACAGGGCCTTCAAACGGCGAAAGTTCGGCCTCGCGCCCACACCACACGCCCACCGCCACTACCACCATGACCGTCTTCGTCCATCCTGTGGTCATCATCAAACACCGTCGCCGAACAGATCTACACCCCTATTCAAAGGATCTCTCCCGCTCTTGCTCCGGATATCCCCCCCTTGATCCCCCTTGATCAACCCCACCGTTTTCCGGCTGGCCCGGGGCTTCATTCACATGGCACATTGTCCAACCCGTGACATCTACAAGTACATGGAACTCGATCGCGGCATTCTTATATCGTCTCGTGCTGTGTATTGGACTGCAGAAAAAGGAAGGAGAACGCAGCAAGCCAACCGGCGAGCAATGTGCGTTTCTACGAACATGGTAACCTTGAAGCACTACACTAGTCCAGCCTCTCCCCATCTGGACCCTCTGTGTAGGAGTACTGCCACTCGTATTTGGGCCTCTCCCATGGCTTCACCTCCCGCATGGTCCCGCCTCTCCCATACGCGGATTCCGTATCGCGTTCTCGACGTCGTTGGCGCCTCGGTCTTTGCTCCTCGTCCCGTTCCAGGAGGTCCAGCCTCCGCCGTAGACGCTCCATCTCCTCCTCCATCAAGTCAGGTGACCCTCTCGATCCTGCAGGCCGCCGACGGCTACTCGACCTTTTTGGGACCTCTTGCCCAGAGCTGCGTGTGCCGGATTTGTGTTTCTGGTGGCCGGCCCGTTTCGGCGGCGCAGGGTCTCGCTCGTCGTAGCTATGCTTGTGACCGCGGCGAGAAGGCCAAGGAAAGGAAGACGTGGTGGGCGAGTACCCGCCGTAACGAGGGGGCGGTGACTTGTCCTCGTCCTGGCTGCTCCAGGAATAGGATCCCGATCCTTCCGAGTCGGCGTAGTACTCCGACGTCGAAGATGGGCCATGTCGTGGGACGAGAGACGGCCGCACGTATGCCCCGGCGTCTCCATCCCCGCCGCGGCGCTCGCGACGACTATACAAGTACTCCCAGTCGTCAGCTACCTCGCGAGCGGTGTAGGACGACCTACCTCGGGATGCGTGCGGTGTGCCACGGCTACTGCCCTGCGATGCGTAGACCACCCTGTACGAATAGGATGCAGACGCAGACGCAGACGGTGAGTACGGCGGCCGGGAGGATGACCGGTACCGCCTTTCGGGGTAGACGTAGTCATATGATCTGGACGAGTAGCCTCGGGGCGACCCCGAGGGGAGCGCGTCCGGACGATATGATCTAGGCATGGTCTTGTTAACCGGTGGTTTCTCAGGAGAAGACTCACCTCGTACTGATTATGATTCCCAAGCCAATATAGGTATGCTTTCACTGTTTGTAGATGACTTGCAAGAAGCGCCTTGTTTGCAGAAGGAGTCCCCAGGCTCTGTGAAACCGTCCATCCGAGCTGCTTTATATATTTCCGATGGGACAATAAGGTTGCTGAACACCCGCGCTTTGTTGCATGTTGTTCGTCAATGGCTTTGTTGCGGTGCACCTGTTCCAAGGGAGGCCTGCTTTGTGATCAATCGGCTTTGCACACGCGCTACATCATTCTGTTGTCCAGACCCTTCAGACAAAGGGGGGGGGGGGGCAATATTAATCTTGTTCTCGAGCAATGGTACCATAATGGCCAACAAAGCGATCTTAACCTACATAGCGAGGCCAATGACCCGAGCAGTCGCGGAGGGGGCCCCTGAAGAGGCCGCTGTGCGGGATCCATGTCCCTACAATCCATGAACCGGCAATTGTCGAGATCAACATACCTATCTTGGAAAATAGTCCGCGAGGTCCGCGATTGACTATGAATTACACCTGCCCAACAGCTGCACTCTGCACCCTCCTCACTGTCTCGTGGGCATTCGGAATTTCCGTCCAGCTTGAAGTGGCTCAACTGATGTCTTGCATATACAAGGCCCTCGGTGATAGACATGGGTAGGATGTGTCATGGATGGGCTGAATGTAACCCAGTGAACGCATTGTGTTGACGTGTGGCCTTTGAAGAAACACGGCACATCTAACTAAGCACAGATGCCATACTCCGTAGTTAGATGCCATCCCAGTAAGCCAAATATGCAACCACGGTCCCTTGCATTAGCGGAGAAACTAGCCAGCTGGGGGGTTGCCTGGGAGCCTGGCTCGCCTGGGAGAACCTCCTCCCTGAGGCCGTAGAGAGATCTGCACTTTGACGTACCGGGGGCGTTGCAGGCAAAAAGCCGGTTTGGAACGATCAAAGGGCTGGCTCCACACAACTTAACTACAAGCCATCTATGACGACAGCGGGGCCCTCCTTCTCCAGCTCATCACGTCCACAATTGGCCTGGGTCTTTGGTTCCGTCGTCTTTGTGAGTCTTGGCCCAGGCATTGGGGCCAGATGCTTGTCTGTGATGAGCAGGACAAGCAAGGCCTTGCTTAGCCTTGAATCGTGGGAGGTACGGAGTAGAGTAGTCTGCCTGTCCGACGATTGGAATATTACGAGGTGCCCGCGTGTCTTGCCTTCGCTTTCTGTTCTCAGTGCCTCTCTCACTCGCTCTCCCCGGAAATCAGCTTCAGCTCTCACCAGCAGTGGCAAGGAGGTTTAGCGGTGCAGAACATAGGAGAAGAGTCAAACCCACGACGGCGTCATTCACCACCGAAATGACGGCTCTGGCCCATATTCTCACACTGCTCACCGCGGCCGCGGCACCAGTGACGGCTCTGACGCCACTGTATTCGACTTACACCTTCAACCCGCTCGAGCACCTCGCCGGTGTAGCGCCCTACTTCGAGCCGCAGGATCCTCCGACCTCGCCCGATCCTCCTCGCGGCTGTTCCCCTGCGCGCGCCGCATACCTCGTGCGGCATGCCGCCATATATGCGAATGATTACGACTACGAGGAGTACATCGAGCCTTTCCTGTCCAAGCTCGAAAACACGACCGTCGACTGGGCCAAGATCCCGTCGCTCGATTTCCTGGCTGGGTGGAAACCGCCCTTCTCCGACAAAGAGGTCGAGCTACTGACCCGCGTCGGCCGGCTTGAGGCGGCACAACTCGGCGTGAGCCTATCCTTTCGCTATCCGGGCCTCAAGACCCCGTCGCAGGTTTGGACCTCTTCCGCCGAGCGCACGCTCAAGTCGGCTCGGGCATTAGCCCGCGCCTTCGCCGTCGATGACGACCAGCCTATCGACGTCTCCTCCATCTACGAGTCCAAAGAGGCCGGCGCGGACAGTCTGACCCCCTACAAGAGCTGCCCGGCCTACTCGTCCAGCGCCGGCTCCGACCAGTCGGACGAGTACGTGCAAAAGTTCACCGCCCCCATAGCCGCCCGCCTCAACTCGCTCGCGCCTGGCGGCTTCAACTTCACCGCCGACGACGTGTACGGCATGATGGAGCTGTGCGGCTACGAGACGGTCGTGCGCGGCAGCTCACGGTTCTGCGACCCGGACCTCTTCTCGCCGGACGAGTGGCTGCAGTGGGAGTACTCGGCCGACGTGCAGTACCACTACAACTCGGGCTACGGCAATCCCATCAGCGGCGTGGTGGGGCTGCCTTGGCTGAATGCAACGGCGGGTTTGCTGCTGTCCAGCCCCCAGACCAATGCCGCTTCCGACGATCGCAAGGCCCAAGATCTGTACATCAGCTTCACCCACCGTGAGCTCCCACCCATGGTCCTGGTCGCCATGGGCCTGTTCAACAACTCCGAGTTCGACGGCGCTCTGGCCGAGGCCCGCATCAACGACACCATGCCGCTTGACCGCATCAACCACCGGCGCGCTTGGAAGAGCTCGCACGTGTTGCCCTTTCTCAGCAATATTGCCGTCGAGAGACTCGACTGCACCCAGAGCTATGGCTTTGACGACGGCGAGTACTACCGCGTACTGGTCAACAATGCCCCCCAGGAGCTTCCGGCTTGCGGGGATGGTCCGGGCCAGAGCTGCTCGAGACAGGGATTTGAAGAGTATCTGCGAACGAGGGCCGAGCTCTTTTCCGGGTTTTCGGACAAGTGTGGTGTCAAATATGACAACTCGACGGACACCCTGGGCATCTACTCGAGATCGAAATGAGGGAGGGCCGGAGCCAAGGGGGGGGGTTGAGGGAAAGCTTCTCAGTCGACCAAGTGTAGACACGGGCTTGGTCATCAAATAATGTATATATGAGCCATATTGATCATGAGCAAGAAACAAAATGAGCATGTAAATCATCTTCATCATCTCTCGCGCAAGTCAGCCGTCGCAGCCATCCAAACAGCAAAACTCCGGACTTGATCAAAGAGGTTTCCAAAGTTGCACTCGGCGACCTTTGTCGCTCGATGCGGGGTAGAGTAGGTGGAGGAAGAAAAGAGGACGAGAAATTGCGTGGTAAGCAGATGAGGGCAAGGAACAGACTGAAATGTCTGGCTCTCGGACATTCCCTTGTTGGGGGCGCTTGCAGCTCATTACCAAGTTGAGGGCGGGCAGATCATCGGGTCTGTTGGAGAAATATCTACCTCGCGTCCCCCTCCCGCTCCCCCGCAAACCCGTTTCCACAAGGCAACTGGGTAGATCCTGGGGCCGAAAACGTCAAGCTAATACCAAGCTGGCTCGGTTGCCTGGGGCCTGGTTTGGCTGTCCAAATCCGTCACAAAGTGCACAGAACGCCAACCATTTCCGCCTCCCCGCAATGACGGACCCAGAAGTCGGCGCCTGCTCCATGGAGTTAGCCCTCAACCCCATCGTTAAAGGGCCGTAGAAGTGTTTCTTGGATAAGAAGCGAATCACGGACCCATGTTTTCCCCGCTGTTCCTCTCATGTCCGATGGGGCACGACATGTCAACGGCCACCCGATTTCCACCATCGTATGCTGCTGCGCCGCAGTCGGGCTCGATATAAAGATTGCAATGCCGGCCGGAGGGAGAGGGTGAAGGCGTCCGGTTCTATACGACGCCAGCCTTGTCTCCCTCGAACGCACTCCCTTCCGTGCGCCGCCGTCCCTCGGCTGTTGTTGTCACAATGCGTCCTACGCTTCTAACCCTCGTCGGCAGCTTCGCCGCAGGCGTATTTGCTAGCTACCCAGCCAAGACCAAAAATGTCCAGGATGTCTTTGACACGTCCATGGCGGTGCTGGACACATACTACGACCCCAGCGCTGGCTACATCTACGACTTCAGCGAGGCAGCTCTTCGTCACACCGTTACGGAGACTGCCTGGTATGCTCTCGGCCTTGTCATGCGAAACGATGGCAACGATATTGAGGAGGCCGAGAAGATCATCAACAACCTGGTCAGGGGCCAGTTCAAGGACAAGTCCAAGCAGTGGTACGGCACGTACCAGAAATACCCCGAGGAGCCCGTCGTCGGCTCCGACGTCTACCCGCAGAGGATCTACTGGACGTGGGATCCCAACTGGCGCGGCTTCGTGGGTACAACCTTTGTCATGATCCTTGAAGAATACTCGGACCGCATCTCCAACGAGACTCAGGAGCTCATCGTGGAATCTCTGAGGCACGCCGTGATTGGAGACACGTATCGAGTCGGAGGTGTTGATAATGACAATCTGTATCCTGGATACAGCAACCCGGTACGCTTCATGTGCTTTACGCGTGACCCGCGATACCTTGTCGCGCTGGGGACAACACACTGACTGGAACAAGGCAATCATGAGGGCGTTCACCTCGGGCTGGCTGGGCCGTCGCATCAACGACGAGAACATGACCAGATCCGGGGAAGCATATGCCAACGAGATCATTGAGCTCTTCAACATCACAAACACGCTGTCCGAGTTCAACAGCGGCACGTATACCGGGATTTCTCTCTTTGGCCTGACCCTCTGGAGCACCTACCTGCCCAAAGACTCTGTCATGGCGCAGTGTGCTCCGAACATGATCCGAAAAACCTGGAACTCTGTTTCTGAGCTATGGCATCCCGGCATGAGGAATCTCGCAGGCCCCTGGGACCGGGCATACGGCTGGGACATGAACCGTTACTTTAGCATCATGGGCGTGTGGTTCTGGGCATACCTAGGCAAGGAGCACTCCTCGCTCATCAAACACGTAAGAGCACGTCCCGACACATAAGACACCGTGTCCATCTGGGGCCGGCACCACACGAAAGCCATGCTGACTACCGTGAAAACTAAAGGCCCAAGCGATGACGCACTCCAAAGACCACGCTTGGGCGCCTGTCATATCAGTGTTGGCCGACAAGCAGGCCGCGCTACTCCCCGAAGGCTTCTTCGAGAAGCTCAAGACCTTCCAGGGGGAGCATACCTCTGAGAACAAGGTGTATTATCCTCCGTATGACTTGGAGATCAGAAACGTCTCGACCTGGCTGTCAAGAAACCTGACCATCGGGGCCCAGTCCATCAATCAGATGGCTGTCGGTGGTCCCACGACAACTGCCTTTACGCCTGCTGGCGTCCAGTGGACGGCGGGCGACCAGATTGGTTTCTGGATTGTGAGTGTCTCCATGTCTTGCCCCAAGGCCTTTCATGCCATGTGCCAAATATTCTAACATTGCCCTCAGCTTCGACCTACAGAGAAGAAACTCCAGTCTGTGGTCTCTCCTGGCAAGCTGAGCCTGACTTACCCGGAAGGTACCAACCAGTCTGTCTTCGAATTTGCCATGTCGACATTCCGAAGCAAGCCGATGATGAATAGTCTCGATGACATACCAAATCTCAAGATATCCGTCTCGGGCAATGTCAACCATGCCCCCAATTTGACCTTCGCGGGAGTCAACGGTGGCGCGGGGAAACCATTGCAGTCGTTTGATGTGTGGATCTTCAGGTTTTCCATGCCCAAGTGCTTCAAAGGAAAGCCTACAATCACTCTAGACTTTGCAGTTTGAGGTGGAGATGGACCCCACGTTGGGCTTTTGATCGGGTCAGTTCCTCGGAATTGGCAATAGTCATTCTATGCCACTGTATTGCCAAGACAAGCTTTGATTGAAGATGTTGTTTGGTCCAGGTAGCCTGTTGCGTGTACAATTCCCTGAAAGTCTGGTGTGCAGACCAGGCAACTAAACCTGTCAATTCCTGAAAATTCTTGCGTCGATTTGTTTACCTGCAAAATTGCTAGAATCCGTACAAGATTCACGAGATGTGCTTTCTGAACCATTGATTTCTTAGCAATTACTGAGACTATGCAGGGATGCCCATCCACCAGAGCATACGACAACCTGACCCGTGTGAAAGATTACCGTCATTGCACTCTCCGTGGGGAGGCCATATGATATTGGTAAGAGGGTATGAACCGCCTCATCCGCCACCGCGACCCAAGTGTCGTCAAGAGAGTCAGAGCATCTATTGAATCTTTGAGCTTTTGCCCTGGCTTCGCCGCCTCGTCATGTCTTCCAACTCATCTACATCGCCACCGCACAGAAATTCAACCCCTTCGCACGAAACACCAAGGCATCCAAAGCTTCTGTTGAGTCAACCGCAACCCACCACCAAACATGTCGAGACAGAGATCGTCGTCGTCTACCAGCGGCGGCTCGAGGAAGACCGCGTCTAGTATGCTGGAGCGAAACGAGGCCCAGGGAACGAGGTCGAAGCAGGGGTGGTGCGGTACGCTTCGCTGCGTGGCTGTCGGTCTGAGGTCCACTCATCCTTTCCTCCTATGACACCTGGCGCGTGCTATTGGAGCCCGGCGGCTTCTCGTCAGTATTGGGTCTCTTGTCTCTCCACGAGGGGCCAGTGGGGTCTTACTATGCCTCCAGAGATGGCAGGTAATTTAGAAGCCGGATAGCTCCTCGCGAACGCGCTCTCTCCGATCTCTTACACGAGGTGGAGGAATGATATTGAAAGCGTTTAAAATCGCAGAGGCATCCGGACCAGAGAGAGAGGATATCTCGTCAGTTGTACGAGGGCAATTTTCGATCGGTGCGCCGGTTCGAATATCAAGGAGGGGATGCAGTATGCTTTGACGGTCACTAGCCAACAGATGTGCGTTCTGCTTCCGATATCTCTCGTTTTCAGCCCTTATCTCGATGGCAGTGAGACGAATCTCAACAGCATCCAGGCGACCGTCAATGGTATCCAGGCGACCGTGAATGGTATCCAGGCGACCGTCAACGGTATCCAGGCGACCGTCAATGGTATCCAGGCGACCGTCAATGGTATCCAGGCGACCGTGAATGGTATCCAGGCGACCGTCAACGGTATCCAGGCGACCGTCAATGGTATCCAGGCGACCGTGAATGGTATCCAGGCGACCGTTAATGATACCCAGCTGAGCAAGGATCTGCTGGGTACCGTCCTGCTGGGCTGCTGGGATATTGGCAAAAAGGGGCAGCTGGGTAGCGAGACCGTCTAGATGAGACCTGACGACGACGAAGTCAGGCTGGGGTAGGTTCTGTTGTTGTTGATTCGGCAAATTATTGGCCATGATGATGTCTGAAGGTTGTAAGAAGGGAGAGAGAATGAAAAGATTGTGGCCCATGGCGGGATTTAAGTAAGGGACTGTAGGTAGGCTGAGGCAGTGGGGAAGTGCGGCCGAGTCGCTTCCAAACGAGCGAGTCTGCAGGGGCGACACCGGGCCGGTCTGGTGTAAGGCGCAGGTGCCGATGGACATAGAAAGGGCCATGATTGTGACGGTGGGGTGCGCCGTGCAAGCTGAGAAGGAAACTGCTCTACTCTGAGTATCTTGCAGGAAAGAGCACACAACCATGCCCGAGATTGTCGGGGCCGGCTGGCGGTAAGAGCACTGGTCCAACAATAAGTCATGACGGCCTGATCACCAGTTGAAAAGTAGTTAGCTAAGCACTGTAGTAATTGGGTAGCTGCAGCCCTACCCTGGCCAATGTCCCAGTTCCAATATTGACAGGAGCGACGCCCAAGGGTTCCAGTTCCTGGAGAGCTATGTCGAAGGAGGGTCGAGTCGTTGGTCGCAACGGTAAGATGCAAGGTTGCCAGATCTGGTGACAATAGTTTGAGGATCTGGTTGAAGTTTGAAGCTAATATTGGAGCAATGTTGAGCGAGTTGGTGATGTCCATCCAGATCAGAATTGAGGGGATCGGGCGCAACGGCTACCACGAGGCCCGGACCTGAGGTCCATTGGTGACCGCCGAGGGCGATCGGTCGGGGAAGATGTTCGTCGTGGGGGGGGGGAAGGTCCACGACAGGGAGCCGTTCTTGTGTTCCCGGAGGTGAGGTTGTGCTTGTCTTGTCGATATACGGCGCATTCTCATTTGTGGTCTTTCACTTGTGATCTTTCTCTGGGGTGTGCTTGTGGTAGGACAGTGGTCGGCCGGCTGATCCATCTCAATCAATACTGGGAAATGAGAGAAAAAGCTTCTTGCTACCATAACATGCCAAGAGGGGAAAAAACAAAGGGATGAGATGATATGACCTAAACAGCGAATTCTCTTTGAAAATGAAATTTTAAGGCCTGTTCAATTCTGATGGTGACTGCAAAGGTGATGGAGAGAGGGAGGCGTGAATGGAAGGCGAGGAGGCTAAAAAGTGGCCCAGTTGGTGGATTTCGAGGCAGCGCGCACGGTCCTCATCTATTCGGGGTGGTGTTGCTTTTTGGTGGGGATGGCGCTAGAGTCTTCGAGGTTGGGACGGGCTAGGCGTCATCTCAGCACACATCCATCCATTCAGCTGTCGGCTCCAGGGCTTTATGCCCGTCGAGCAGCGTGGGCCGGGGTCGTATTCCCGCAATACACAAGCCCAAGCCAGCGCAGTCCGGACCAAGCCTCTTGGGTCCTGCAGTCTCTCTAGGTAAGGTATCTCATCCATGCCCTCGATGGACATGGCTCCCTGAAGTCAGCCTTTAAATAACTTTCATTCGGGGCTCCATCGCAAGCGATCAACAGCGAGGACCCCCTCGCGTCCACTCTGCAACGAGTGGGACCTCTCACTCCGCCCGCCAGTCAGCCAGCCAGCGCCAGTCCGATGAAGTGCACTCACTACAGATGGATAAGGGGGAGAGAGATGACGGGAACGCACGCACACACGCACACACGCACCGACTGGATCGGGAAGTGAGGGTCGAAGCCAGTCACCCCAGGAGCCATCACCATCAACCACGCTCCAAACCATCAGTCTATCGTGTCTTCCATTCAGACTCCTCTTTCACCATTCACGTTTCTCATAGAGTCCTCACACCAGTCTTCTCTTCAGAACCCATCGATATTCAGACGAGGTAATCCCCTCGAAGTACCGCCAGGACCACCAGTCGTCCGAGCGGGAACGGTACGGCAGTTGATGCCCTCGAGCTTGCAGTTGGTCTCCATGGTCACATTCAAGCAGTACTGGGGAGAAGCCTTGACAACGTGTTGATGGAGCGTCACGTCATCTGCATGTTCGAGCAGTACTGGGGAGAAGCCGGTCAAGCAGTACTGGGAGAAGCCTTGACAACGTGCCGACGGAGCGCCAGCTACATGTCCTTGTACAGTCACATCCTACTAGGTTGTCGGTATGATCTACTTTACATATACTTAATTCGTTGAGCAAGGCCGTCATGAGCAACATCGACCCTCTTAGCCGTGTCAGGGACCCTTGCCAACTTTGGCATCCGCGTCCCCATCCGCATCATGAAGAACAAGATCGAGTTTCTTAGTCGGGACTGGAGCTCCAGCTAACTTTGACATTTCCATCTTTGAGAGTATGTCAAGGATCTGCAAGGACTCGAGGCATGCCTCTAGCCCTAGAGCAAGGACCCGATACTGGCAAGCATCCGCATCTCCAAGAACATACCGGAGATTGAGTACAATGACCTGCACAGAGGTGATCCATGAGAACCTCGTGTATAGCGCAGACCTTACGTGGCCACGTTCGACTGGAAGGAGACGCAGGACCTGCCGTTCGTAAACTTCAACGTGAACAAGAAGTGCCCCAATACAGAAGCCCAGATGGAGTAGCAAGAGAAGAGCACCATTGTGACCGATAGGATGATAAGCCTTACCAAGCCTGCTGGGGCCGAACGGGTGCTTGTGTCTGTCGGCTCAAACCACACAAGTGCCATGATACAATGAGCTGCGTTGGCCACGATTCCTGATTCTTTCACATGGCAGACTGGCAGATGTGTGGTGCTTCCTCTCCGTTGTCTCCAGAGCAGCCTTTCGCGAGCCATGCAGGAAGACCTCGCGGAAAGGGTGGTAGCGTGCACAAGATCATTGAGAACCGGGGTGAATACAACCTCGGAAGCTATCCGCCGAGTACTGATCCTGGGGAGCCTGCCTGCGTTGTCTAGCACTGCCCAGAGTGAAACGATCGTCGCTCCTTTCTGACTGTTTCGACGCGGACTAAGATGGTGAACTACATACAGTCCAAAACCAAGGGCAATGGCTCGGGGAGCCCCTCTGGCAGAGGGAACATTAGGGGGGCTCCTGGCTAGCCAGCAATCATAGTGCAATGGTCGGCAACTGCTAGCTCCGCTGGCCTGGCGGTGAACGTCGACGTAGCCACCGTTGCCTTCTGGTCCGGTCAGGTCATGGAGCAGGCGTTCCAGACTTCCTGGGAACCCAAGACAAGTCTATGTTTGAGCTGTCAGACCTTCTCATGGCGGTAAAGGAGCACAACCCCAATATCCAAGACTAGAAATCGTATGTATCACAGGACTGTAGGGTTCTATACGTCTGTGATTAAGTCTACTATTATGGCAGTTGCGTCACGCCCTGGCTTTGCCAGGTGTTGGTCGCTGTATCGGGCGATAGCGTACAGGGTTTGAGATGAGCACCTCGAGAGTCGTTGCGCCTACCGTTTAGGCCGGACGTCCTCACCGGCGCCGGCAGCGCTATCGACGTCACGGCAAAGTACACCACTCTGTCCGACGGCACATCTAATTATCTGCGTGCGCGGCACGTGCTTCTATTCCGTGAAGCTGGAGGCGCACATGTCCCAATTTCACCCCTATCCGACGACCTCGGCCTTTATTGGGCAGCACTAATTGAAGAAGCCAGAAGGCGAAAGCTTGAGCCGACAAATTACGAGTTGGCACTGGCAGGTCGCGACGTGGAGAACGTATGGGAGATAGCTTTCTCGACAGGGCAAGGTCATAAGTGACCGCCTTCCGCAAGTCCCAGCATCCCAGAGTGTAATCGCCTAACACACGTGTGACAGCGCCATGCGAAACGGTTCACCACTCTCTCCTCTCTCCCCTACGGAGAAAGCCAAGGTTGTCAAGCACGTGAAGTCCAGGACCGGGGCTTTGCTGTGATGCTCCACTCCCAAAACCCGCAAGGAGCACAAGAGCCATCAATCCATCAGCGCATCGTAATGGACTCCCTCCCGCTCGGCCCTCATCTTTTATCGAAGGAAAAAGATCGCTTCTGCGCAGTTAGAGTGTCGGTTAGAAGGGCACGAATGTCAATCGAAGATCTTCTCTATCACAGGGAGCCGAGGGGAATGTCGCGTACGGTACTCTATAGAAGGCAATGTCAGTAGGCATTTCGATACACTTAGCTGGAACAATACTTGCTGAACCCTGCCGTATCCAACAGCCACTTCTTGAACAAGACGGACGGATTTGAGACGAGGATTCAGGCCTCGGACAGCCAAAACACGGAGGACAGGGTGAGGATGACCAGCTCATGGCTTGGGAGATTTGGTGTATGACTGGGAGGATGGTCTGATGTCGATGGAGGGCGGTTGGTTGACACGGCAAAGGAGGGCCAGGGCTGGTAGAAGAGCATGGATCTCCCGGCAGATCAGAAGGAAGCCATCGCGCAGAGAAACAGTACCAAGCTATTCAAATTGCCACTGGAGCTGTAATCATAGCTACACTTCATGGCTCAATTCAAAGTCATCGAGGCGATGTCGGTGCGGTCGGTGCCCGTAGAGATCTCCCAGCCTGTCGAAAGAGAAAGATTCGTAGTCAGCGAGTGATTAGGGGCGGTATTATTGTGATTGGTGCCCTGGCGCAAACTCACGAAGTGGCGGCTCGATGTATGTCCCGACCAGGCGGTACCCGCCGTCGCCCTGGACAACCTCCTTGCCCAACCCGGCCACCCAGCCCTCGGTCAGGCTGATTCCGATATTGATCTCGTCCCCTCTGAGCGCTGTGGTGATGTGGCCCGTACCGGAGGGAAAGGGACTTAGCTCGGTGTTGAGGCCAAAGTGCTTCTTGGCAAATTAGATGGGGTGCCTGTCGACGAGATCTTTGGGAAGGGGCCCAATGGAGAGGACTGGATTATGCGAGGGGATGTTTTGATTGCTTGTGCTTGAGGTTCTGGGTACATCAAATGTTTAAGGAGCGCGGAGAAAAGTAGGCGCGGGCACGCCGAAGTCCTTGGAGGTCAAGTGTTAGATGAGATGAGAATAGTCCGCTCGCGCTCGCTTGCGGAGACATCGGGACGCCTTGAAGACGAGCTCAAGTCACTCCTCGGTCACCTCCTTGAGTTGCAAAAAGCTGATGACGCCCGAGCTACTAACGACGATATTTAGCTAGCCAAAGATACCGATAGCGTAGTCAGAGAGCTTGACAGTCCGAGGCACCTGGCGCACATCGCTTTTGATGACGACAGCGTCGGTGCAGAGGTCCTTGATATTGTGCACGACCTTTTTGGCCAACTCCTCACGCAACGATTGCCCACTTAGTTAAAATACTTCACTGAGCGATGCCGAAGTTGGCCAGCCTCGGCGCTTTGGCCCAGCTGACGGAGTTGATGTTGGCCACGGTCGCTAACAGAAGGTCTTTGGGCCGAGTCGAGAGAGCTCGATCATGTCGGAGGTTTGGTCGAGTCCCCACGGACGCGATCATGTTCGAGGTTCGGCCCCGGCTGAGCTTGTAAGAGTATCGCTGGAAGCGCGGGATCTCGAGAACCTTAACGGGGAATGCTCTGCTCCGAGTAGTATAGATGTCAGCGAGTAGTACTTCATAGTATCTAGAGGTTCTGTTCGAGTCCCTATAAGCCTTTGAGGATGTCATGGGCTATCTGCGTAAGATCTCCCTGAACATACGCAGGAGACGCAGTCCAGAGAAGACCCGGGCTCGCTACAAGCGAGCAACGTGCGTGCCGCTAGTGGGATCAAGACCGCTGCAAAGCCATCATCCATAGACCAGGTGACTGGCAGCTTTATGAGTTCACAGCCAAGTGGATTCGTTGAAAAGAATTCTTGGAAATTCCCGATCCCAGAAACAACGAGCTCCGGTGGAAAATGTGTCTTGCACTGCACACATAGGGTCCGACATAGAATTTCTACAATATGTTTTCCATTGATCTATTGTCCGTATGTAGCCAGGTGGGATAATGCGATGAAGGGGGGGGGGGGGGTTACAGACACTTTCATTGTCATTAGTTATGTATACGTCTAGTAGCCCCATTTTGAAGTCGGTCAGTCAGGCAATCAGCCACGATGGGGGTGGGGGAACAGTCTGGGCAGCAATCACTCATTTTACCCTGGTCAAATGGTATGTTCAATTCTGATGGTGACTGCAAGTTGCGGAATATCTGCGCGAGAAGAAAAGAGAATCTATCACGGAGGGACCACTGGAGAAGTCGTATGTCCTTCCGAACAGTTCAAGATAATATGAAATGAGAGAAACAACACGTAAAAGACAGCATAAAACAAGAGAGCAACCCCTGATGTTGGAGGGATAAGAGTAGAGACCAGGTACTGTGAAATCAATCTTCAGGGGTCTTTCCAGCATCAGTCACCAAACAGTGGCCGGACCCGACCCGCCTTGCTCCCAAGGCTCGACCGAGTTGTCTTGCTCCCGGGGCACGACCGACTCGTCTTCCTCCGATTCCTGAACCGAATTGTCCTCCTGTGGCTCCTCAGCCGAATTGTCCTCCTGTGGCTCCTCAGCCGACTTGTCCTCCTGTGGCTCCTCAGCCGACTTGTCCTCCTGTGGCTCCTCAGCCGACTTGTCCTGCGAGTGCTGAACCGACTCATCCTGCGACTGCTGAAGCGAATTGTCTTCCTCTGGCTGCTGAAGCGGCTGGGTATCCTCGTAGTGGGAGCGTTTCTCGGGAGCATTCTCTCCAGGACCCTCAGCGGGCTGCTTGTATGGTGTCTCCAAATCATCCAATTCCAAATCCCTGTGCCAAACACCGTCCCAGTTCCGGTTGGGAATCCATTGGGGTCTCATGATCTCGGAACCGTCGTTATCGAACAGGACGCTGTCGAAACACTGGCTTGGTTTGCCAGGAACGGTGTCGATAAGGATCATATGCTCGTCCGTCTCGATGACGAGCACCCTCTCGCAAGTGCCTCCCATGGTGACACGGCACGACAGGCACTGCCAATACTCTTGCTTGGTTTGAGCATCAACGAACTCCTCGTCAAGAGTAGCCTTGCCACAGTTCATGCAAACGCGGTGCTTCGGTGTCTCAGTGTCTCCTTTGCAGGTCTTGCAGGTGTCGGAAGCTTCGTCGAAGTTTCGAGCCGGTCGGGGTTTGCCACAGGGGAGACATTTCTTCCACGGAACCGACAAATTGTCCTCCGGGCAGCCAATACCTGCACGGACATCAGCAATAGAGGTGCTACCGCGGTACTCGTCGGCGAGGGTCATGATTTTCTGTTGCCGGGGGGTGAGAGCTTTGTCTGCTGTGGGTCGGTCGACCGAGAGGCCTCGCATCTCTGCACGAGTACGTGCGCCTCGCTTCTTGGGCCTACTTGAGGTCATGCCCTGGGTCGAGGGCTGTTCTTTCAGCGAGTCTGAGGTTCCTTCAATCGTGTAAGGCACAAGCTCTGTAAGCGGGCTGGTGACATCTTGCAGGCAGTTGCGGACATGGTGCTGCCTGTCACAATTGGAGCAGCGAGGCTTGGTCTTGCACTTGCCCTTGTGAGTCTGATAACAGGTCGTGCAAAGGTCTACATAGTGTTCGCCTCGGACTTCCAGAACGGCGTTCTGCTCTTTGTGCCAAGTGAAGTACTTGAACAACTTGGTCTGGTTCTTGTTCTTGCTCCGTTTCAGCATCGGTCCGCTGAGGATCCAGACGGTTGCATGTCGGGCCCGAGTGTCCATGGTGTTGATAATATTGGATTGGCCTGTATGGCCAACACCTGAGGATCGCACGTTGTCGATGATGACAAAGTCTGCCTCGTCGCCCATCGAGGTGAAGTGAGTACGAACCGACACGAGCTCAGGGACCCATTCCTTGGAGGACAGGCCACGCAGCTTTTGGCGAATGAGCAGACGTTGACCTGAGTAGGGAGTGATGATCATGATGGACATGCGCTGGCCATCTTGCTCGGTGCTTGGGAGCTTTGAACAAAGGTTATGCCTGAAGATGTCCGCCACGAGTTCGCGTATGTAGATTGCCGAAGCAGGGTTGGTGAAGCTGGTGCCAAGCGGAACTTCATCCTCCCCTTGCAGGGAGATAAGGAGCCGTGAACCCCTCGGGGCTTCGCGCCTCAAGTGGGTCAGGAAGCGTCGAACCCCCAGCGTGACGGGGTCATTAGACGGCTGAGGGTGTCCTGCGACCATGCGTCCCCTATAGAACTGCTTGGATGGAAGGCTGACAAGACCACCCTTGGCGCGGAAGTTGTTATTGAGGTACAGGACCGGAGCTCCACAATTTGCCCAGCGTTGCTGAAAAGACACCTTTAACTGAGGGGCAAAGGCACTGACGAAACGCAGTGTCTCGTCTTTGTTATCGTGGCTGGATGAGGATTTGGCCAAGGGATTGATTTGAGCAGGATCTCCATCAAGCATACCAAAGACATGGTCGGGGGCACAAGCTAGTACTGATAGCAACAGACCCTCTTCCATGCGACTGGCTTCGTCGACGACAATAATGTCGATCGGGAGATCGTGTCCGTTCTTGTACTTGTGCAGAGCGACGGGCGTGGCGAACAATATGTCGGCTTCCTCGACGGTCTGTACCAGAAGCTCCTCGCACTGGCGTTTGTACTCGGCCTTGTTCTCGTCGAATAAGTCTGGGTCGTTGAACATACTGTCGCGGTGTGCAAGAAGTGACCCGTATGCTGCCTGGTTTGCGACGACTTTGGCAGAAACAATCTCCGCAACGCCACGACCGTCGCCGTAGTAGGTCTTGTTGAAGACACCATTGGCCTCGAGGTCGCGGTACATTTTCTGAAGCTCGACGTTGGACGAGACGAGGTCAGCGAAGGATACGGCATCGTCTTGGCGGTTGACATTGTTGAGGAACTTCTCCTCACGCATCCAGGAATTGAGGCGGACAATTTTGGCCTTGACGCCAAGCTTTTCGGCATATTTGGCTGCACGATCAGCCAAAAAGTTGAGCTGTGTATTGTTGTTGCCAACGATACAGATCTTGGGACGGCGTGGGGCAGTCTTGGTCCGATACTCGTTCGAATTGCCGCCCCTTGTCCAACCGCCGGATCCCATCGAGGTTTGACCAAGAGCTTCAAGGGCGGAAGCGTCTTTCTTATCTTCATCCTCATTCCGAAGAGCAATCTCCTTTTCTACCTCGGACATAAGATCAGAGGGATGATGCACAGTGTCTTTGGCCTTGTCCGGATCAAACTCCTCGGCCAGTGCAGCGAGAATCGTGAAAAGAACAAGGCGAGTCTTTCCGCTTCCAGGTACACCGAGGATGTTGATCCAGCCGAAGGGGGCATTCTTGAGGGACATGACTGCGCTGCGTTGGCAATCATCGAGTGCTTTGAATTCCTTCACGAACTTTTGGAGAAGGCTGCCTGGCTCAGGGGACCTTCCGCTAGAGACTGCATCAATCACACTGCCAATCATTGGGAAGAGGGATGCGATGTTATGAGAAGGCGGCTCCTGCTGAAAGTCGAGGCACCATTTGGAAAAGGTAAGGTCGTCGACGGAGGCCTGCGTGCCTGCGAACTTGATACCGTCAAGTTCAGCCTTGAGGGTGTCATTCTGAGTCCTGCGCAGAATGGTGATCGTCTCGGATAGCCTGGGGTTCTTCTGTGCTGCTCGCACCATGCCGTCAACAGTGGAGAAGAAAGGAACCCGTCGAATCTTGGAGAAGTCCAGGAGAGGGCGCGTGAGAGGCGATTTCTTCGGCCATTTGGGATGCCGAGGAACATTGGCGAGGAGAAAGACACCCGGCATTTCCGCCAGCTGGAGTGGAGGCTCAATCCGAGTTGCATGCCAGTAGGGTGTAGCTGGAGAATTGTCAAACTCAGGAGCTTTGAGTGTATTGTCTTCCATGCCGCCCTTGACGAACTCCAGGACCCGCTCGTCGTACTCAGTATTGGTCTCGGCGGGCTTCTCTTCCTCGGTCTCTGTGCCGGGGATCTTGAGACGGCGAGTCATGTTTGTGGCCGAGGTCTCGGCAAACTGTCGAGCGAGATTCTCTGGTCCATTGAAGATGTCCAGGAACGCCATAACAACCGTGGCTCGGGCCTGGTTCTCGTCATGTTCATGAGCGGCATTACCATAGGCCTTGAGGATGTGGTCCTGGATGCGAGTCTGGATCTCGACTTGACTGAATTCACTCTCAGGTGGGGCGGGAATGGTGATGGGATGAGATTGGATGGAGAAACGGACGGACTCTCCGACAACTGGCATGAGCTCCAAACCATCGGGCTCGTTCACAACCACATAGTAGTGGCGAACAGGCTCGTCTTTGTCGGTGGGATGCGCGGGAAAAAATACTGCCTTGCAAGGCTTGTCAACGAGCTCTGTCGCGATGGCACTATCGTAATCGAACTCTGCCTTGGCACCGTAGGCGAGAACTGCCGCACGATGGTCCACACTCTGGAAGTAGTTCACCGCAGGTTCTGCGTGATCAAAGATGATATCGTCCTGCATGGTGCCAATGTCCAATTTGCGCTTCTTTGGGCAGCCTAGGAAGAGAGGTTCGAGAGGGTCGTCGAGGAATTGGGCATGCCAAGAGTGCTGAAACCGCGAGAAGGTATGGGCGGCGCCAGGGAGAGCCGGATCGCTGAAGAGCTCGAGACGAACCTCATCCTGTTGCCACATATCTCGAAGCGTAGTGCAGATCTTCATGAACATGTCTTTCTTTGGGCAGGCCAACAGGGTACGAGCCTCCTCATTGTCGAACTTGAGGATCTGTTTTCCTTTGCGCACTGCAAAGGTACCGCGGAAGGCTGCCTGCAGTTCAAGAACGTCGGCGTTAGGAAAGCGCTCCCGAGTTTGCTCTGGCGTAAGATGAGCGAGCTCAGGGCGAGCCGGAATGCCACGAAAGAAGATCGTGCTTCGAGCAAACCAGTGCATATTGTTGCGGAGAGAAAGACCGTACATGATGACGACTTCGCCATATCCGTACTCTGGGCATTTGTACTGGATGAGAGTACGAAAACCGTTCGTCGACACGTTGCCAATTTTGGCGACATGGGCTTCATCATAAGGGACAACGAAATGCCCGTCATGAGCAAGGAGGCAGGGGAATTTGCCAGAATCGTTCCTGGAAAGCGGCACACCATTATCATCGTAACGCATGCGAAGTGCCTGGTCCGCGAGGTCACGAGCATCCGTCGAGTCGGTGATTTTGACGATGAAGTCATCGTTTCCATCAACGTGGGAGGTGGAGGCGTCTTCCTCATGCTCGTACTGAGAGTCTTCGGCGTTCGTGGCAGTGTTCTGAAGGGCCGCTTCGCGAGCCTCCTCTGGACCGATCAGGCGAGTCACCATGGCCTTCCGCTTTTGTCTCGCATGCTCGCGACGAGCCTCCTTGTCGAGATGATCCTGAGCGTACTGGCGGTTGATCTCGAGGGACGCAAAAGGCTCGTAAGTGTAATCTCCTACAGAGGCCTTGTCGCGCAATTGTCGGCGTTCTTTCTGCTGCTCCTCGGTTTCGCCGAGGAGGGCCTCCCGAGCAGCAACACGCTTATCGGCCTCACGTAGGGCCTCCTGGCGTCGCTCTGCTGCGAGTTGCTTGGCTTGCGAGTGAGTGGGGTCTTGACCCAAGACATGAGCGAGAGCGAGTTCTTCGGCTTGCGTGGCTTGGTATTCTTTCATGAACTTGGCCATGCTGTGGTCTGTCGGCAGAGGAGTTCCTCCAGCGTGCTGGGTCGAAGGAGTTCCCTTAGGCGTAGCAGCTTGACCGTAGGGAGCGACAGGAATGCCCATGACATTGGCAAACTCGACGGGGACATCGTCCATGCTCGCGGGTTCCTTGGGAGAAGGAGGCATGACGGAGATGCGGTTGAGCGCAACCGAGGACGCGTGCTGAAGAAGTTTGAAGACGCGCTTGATGATACTGGGGGTTGCGGGAAGATTGAGGAAATGGGTTCGACGGGGGTGAGAGGTGGTTGGGCGGGTTGTGGTTGTCAAGATGAGTACCAACAACTGAAAAGGATCGAGTCGAGAAGGTAAAGGGTAGGTGAGTGAAAAGCTGAAGGGAAAGGAAGGGAAATCTGAATCCAGTCTGAGTGGCTTATCGAAGACGAGGGTGGGTCATCTACGATGATGGTTGGTCTGGTATGAAAAAAACTTCTCCAAGAAGAGCTCCGATTCTTGGAACGAGGGATAAATCGCCTGCGAGGTAGACAAGTTGCTGCCTTAAATGTACCTGGGAGAGGCTGAGGTTGCCAGTTCAGTGGGTGTTCGGATTTGTGTTGTGTTGTGGGGGAGGAGGGGGGGGGGGCGTCGTCTTTTTATTGTGTTTTTTTTTTCTCAGGTGTTGCTTCGACAATAGCAAACTGATTGCTATTCAATGCCCAATGCTCCTTCCGGTTCCCCTGTATTCTCCGCGTAAGACACCTAGCCATTCAGTATTGTACTGCATGCATTCTGGTTCCAATGCAGACTTTGGTATGACTGTGTGATCTTCAATATCGTCGATCACAAACTTTTCGATGTCGTATCGAGCGATCTGTCTAAGGGGGGAAGATGCCTGTGCAATAAATCTGGCATAGCAGGCTGTTAGTATGAGAAATATTGACATCAACCGCCCGACCTGGGCCGTGGGAACGAGATACTTACGAGGCGGTTTGATCTTGTATGGGAGGGGACCAACTTCCTCCGGGACTTCACAGCGCCAGTCTCTTGGAAGGAAAGTTTGGTCCGACATTTGGTATGACAGACATATTCTCCAGGCTCGGGATCTCGCAGTTGCTTCGAAGGTCTCCTGTCGCGGCGCAAGAATGGATCCGGTGAGGACGAAAGCGTGTCCGGATCAAGGTGAAGGGGTATGGGTGAGAAGTTCATCGAGAAGCTAATGCCTGAGCAGAAATAGAGCAGCAAAACCAGAACTGGGGGGGTCGGGCGTAACGGCTGCCACGAGGCCCGGACCTGAGGTCCTTGGTGACCGCCGAGGGCGATCAGTCGGAGATGTTCGTCATGGGGGGGGTGCTACCACGACAGGGAGCCGTTCTTGTGTTCCCGTAAATAAGGGTTGCCTGTAGACATGGTGATATTTTCTTGGCTGTGGCAGGGTGAGGTTCGGTCGGCGGTCAAGTTCACTTGATGCGAACAAGATAAACAGAGGCCGCTTCTTGCTACCATATCACGCAGAGGAAAAGAGGAACGAGGAAGGGTCTAGGCAACAAGCACTTGGTATGATTTGAAATGGACGGCCTGTCCAATTCTGGTGGTGATTGCAATAGGCTGAATGAGGAAAAAGAGAAGCTATCGCGAAGAGGCCGGGCCCAAGAAGTCTCCCAAGAAGTGGTGGATGGGCGCGGCTTAGGGGTGCACGTGACCTAGCACAGTGAGGGAACAGGGGCCATCCAACACTATCGTGCATGGTTGTACATCATAGATATAAGACAGTCTCGGTAGTCTAAAGGCCTGCCTCTTACGGCGTAGACCACTTATGTCAATACTGGGGCCCGGCGTGGAGTCGAGTGCAATTTGATTTGATTTAGTCCGGGCTAGACGCACTCGCGACGAAGCATAGCAGGCCACTCAGTACTCAACCCGTATGCAAGACAACGTCTGAGGCGCGGTAACACCATCCTTGCTTCTTCCCGGGCTACCCGAGCGAAACTGTGAACTGCTAGCAAGGTACCACGGAAGCTGCTTGGGGATTGGGGTGTTTTGCCGGTAATGCAAGGGCCTGGGTTAGGTGGGCTCGTGTCAGTAATACCCTGGAGTCCCGGCACACGTCGTCATGCTGCTTGCATCTGCCCCGCATCCCCTCCCACTTAGGAAGGTCGTGATGCGCGATAATCAAAGCTTGATCTGACTGGGGGTGTGCGGACGAACGAGACGATAACCATGTGTCCCATGTAAATACATGAGCCTGTCCCATGTGGCGGGCAATCCGTGCCAAGGCGGTCTGTTTCTCCCATCGCCGGCAATTCTTCATCCACCACCCTTTTAAATCAAGTGCCACATAGCTAAAATGCACTACACCTCTTGGCGATTCGCTCTGGCCATCCTCGCCCTGCTCAACGGCCTGGCCGCTGCCGGGCGTATGCACGAGCGAGCGCGACGCAAGGGCTTTGCAGAAGGGCTTGTCAATGACTTGAAGACCAGGGCTTCCTACCAGCCGAGGAACCACACCGACTTCAGGTTCCTTTCGGACGCGACCAAAGAGTTCCAGGTCAAGGCACTGCCCGACATCCCCTTTGACGTCGGCGAGCTCTATTCCGGGGTCATCCCCATCGACGAGAGCGAGCCGGGCCGAGGCTTGTTTTTCGTCTTTCAGCCCACGGTGGGCGAGCCCGTCGACGAGGTCACCATCTGGCTGAATGGTGGCCCTGGCTGCAGCTCCCTCGAGGGCTTCCTCCAGGAGACGGGCCTCTTCAGTTGGCAATGGGGCCAATACACACCGCTGATCAACCAGTACTCCTGGGTCAACCTCACCAACGTATTGTGGGTAGAGCAGCCGGTCGGGACCGGCTTCTCCCAGGGCGAGGTCAGAGCGACTAGTACGGCAGACGTGGCCAAGGACTTTGTCGACTGGTTTCTCAACTTCCAGAAAACCTTTGGCATCTGCAAGTTCAAGATATACGTCACCGGGGAGAGCTATGCAGGCATCTACGTCCCCTACATCTCGGGCGAGATGCTCGACCGGAACGATACCGACCGGTTGGATGTTCGCGGCAACCTCATCTACGACCCCTGCATCGGCTCCTTCGTCTACACGCAGGAACAGGCGGTCGCGGTGCCCTGGGTCCAGCAGAACAACAACATCCTGGGGCTCAACCAGACCTTCCTCGCCGAGCTCGAGCAGCGCGACAAGTCCTGCGGCTACGCTGCATATCGTGAGCAATACCTGACCTTTCCGTCCTCGGGCCTGCAGGAGCCCAAGTACTTCAACCATAGCGCCGACACCGGCTGCGATCTATGGTCGCTCGCGCACGATGCGTGCTTCCGCACAAACCCGTGCTTCAATGTCTACGAGCCCAATCTGCAGTGCCCGCTTCTCAGCGACCCGCTGGGGTACCCGACCGACTTGCAGTATGCATACCCGGGCCTTCCAGTCTACTTCAACCGCACCGACGTCAAGGAGGCGATGCACGCCCCTGCTGACGTCGACTGGGTCGAGTGCGCCCCCAAGCCCGTGTTTGTCGGCGACGGAGGTCCCGAGGACGAAGGAGACCTGTCCCCGGACCCGATCCAGCATGCCCTGCCCCGCGTGATTGAGGCCACCGGACGGGTGCTCATCGCCAACGGCGCCCTCGACTTCGATATCATCACCAACGGGACGCTCATTGCCATCCAGAACATGACCTGGGGTGGCACCCGCGGTTTCCAGCAGCAGCCTAGCAAGCCGATCGTCATCACCTTGCCGGATCTGCAGTACCGGCCCGCGTTTGAGGCAAACGGCTTTGGTCCCATCGAAGAACCGATGGGCACGATGGGTGTTCAGCATTTCGAGCGGGGGCTGATGTGGGCCGAGACTCTCCTCAGCGGGCATATGGAGCCGCAATTCCAGCCCCGTGTCGCCTATCGGCACCTCCAGTGGTTGTTGGGTAGGATTGAAGAGCTCTGATGCTCGATAGAGTCTAGTGGTCTAGCCCGCCAGGAGGATGAAAGAAGCCGGGCACTAGGAACATGAAAACCAGGGAGTGTTGATGAATCTTGCCAGGATCTTCTATATCGTAACACCAAGAGACACCAAACCTCGATCTTATTATGCCGGCGTGGCTGTCACCTCGCCAGCCTCGCACTGTTTCCGCCAATACAAACTCGTGTCATTGAACGCATGCAGACCGTCGTCGTCACAAGGGAATGCAAGCTTGTTGAATGTCTTGTCCATCTCCTCGAGTCTTTCTGACGACGCCTTCCAGTCATCCTTCATACCGCTGCAGGATGTTGTCAGTCCACACACAGTCAAACACATCGTGCAGGCGGAAGGGAAGACTCGCATGTCCCAAGATCCCCAATCAGTGCCCACAAATATGGCTGGAAATCCGTGCTCGACAATCCTGGCATACACGTCACGGTAGAGATGAATGCCGTAGACGAAACTCTGGGGCTGGACCATGTCGAACCCCCGGGGAGACTGGACCACTGTGTGGCCGAGACCTTGTAGGAACGCCACATCAGCTGGGACGTAGGCCGGCTCTTGGAAGACACAAGTGATAGGAGCTCCATTACGCTCAGCTGTCCTCGTGGATGTCGGTCAATAGCCGCGGCGCACAGAAATAAGAACAAGAGAACAGTGGGAGCGATGGACAAACCTAGGATCTCCACCATGGCGAGAAAAGCATCGAGCTGGATATGCGTGGTCCGCATTGTCTCAAACCGTACTATGCTGGGTACGAAGGAACCGGTGCCGAGGCAGATGGCGTGGGTGATGGAGGCAACAGATTCGGACTGGGAGTCCAGGATTCTGGTGATGCACTGCTTGAGTTGACGATAGCATGCGCTGTCCCGGAAGCGGGCACTGATGCGTTCCCGATCCTTGAGGATGTCATCAGAGGTGTAGTCGGGGGCCGAGACAGCACCGGTGGCGGCGGCGGCGGCGGCGGCGGGCAGTTCCGGAGCCCGATGATTACCACGACGTCTCCGACCGCCAGATCTACGGCTGACTACGGTCCATTCGGCGGTTTCCGGCGGGTTCGTGACACGACAACTACTACGAGACGTGGGTGGGCTGCCATGGATCTCGTCACCAACGGGACGGTGCCTGTCCTTGGCTTGTGTGCTGGGTGCCGACGACATGGGTGGTGGCAATTGGCATCTTCAACGAGCAGCCATCGGACCCCGGATCAGTGAGGAGAGAGAGAGAGAGAGAGAGAGAGGGGGGATAGATGTGCCATGATCATCGCCACAAAAGCTTCAACTAATATAGGGATTTTTTGGACCATTCAAGCGATTTGACAGACCGGAGGCGGGGCTGGTCCGATAAGACTTTTTTTGCGCTCTTCCAGCCAGGCAGGCTTGAGACAGTCTGCCTATCTTATCGATAAGAACCAGTCCCATTTGATCAAATCAATGTTTGATCAAATGTTCAATGTCGAGGCTCGCCCCCAGAGAAAGAAAAATCAATCAAGTTATTGCTGATGATGTTTGACGACTGTCATGATGCCTGGCTTATCCCCTTCTCATCACTCATAGCAGAATGGAGAGCGTCGATCGCCGAGCTCTTGGAATTCATCCAAATCCAACAACCAATGGCTCGGCTTTGCCGGTTGTGCCATCCCCAGTTGCCAGCGTGGCGGTCGCAGTGGCTGGCACCTTGATTACATTGCATACCTCTTCGTACATGCACGGATTCCTCCTCCTGATACCGGCAAAGCAGTCAGCTTACCTCGCGTCCGCGCATCTTGTTCCCTTGCCTTGACCGGTCGGTGCCACAGACGTACGCACAGACGGTTGCTCTCCCCGCTGAGATGATCGGCAACTGGGACACAGAATCGCATCGCAAGACTGAAAAATGGATGGGGTCACTCATCAGGAAAGGGAGTGACAAGGCTGGGCATCATTGGTGTGCCTTGACCAGGGCCACGCTCTCTGGCCGCGTGACGGCGAGGCAAGATGAGGCGAAAAACGTTGCCGATGCCGCCGCATCGCAGACCATGGGGTCCCGGCCAAGACAAGCCTCGAGAGTGGTGCGAGGCCCTGGCCGGACACCGCCGTCGTCATTGGAGTGGTGCGTGCGCCCGGTACCACACCCAGGCTTCCCTTAGACAGTACACTTCTTCTAAACACCAGAGGACCAGAGGATTCCCATCGTGAACGGTGACGCGCCGCCTGCAACATGCGTTCGTTCAACAGGCCATGCTCGTGCCACCATCCCTGCACGCGTGCTGTCTCCGAGAAAAGCTTCTTTCCGGTTCAGGACGGAGGGAGAGAGAGCGAGGGCGCCAGCCAGGAGTGGAGGAGGCATGGAGCGTGAGAGAGGCCGGGAAAAATGCGACCGCCAAAAATAGCCCCCACAGCTTGGCACCAGACCAGACCCCAAGCACCCTGCTTCTCGCCCTGGATTGGCTGGCTGGATCTCGACGGGCGCTTAATCGTCTTCCTCAAATCGTCTTCTGGCCACCAGCCAGGGGCCCCATTGGCTGCAGGCTGGGTGATGAGAGGGCAATCCCTGTCCTTCCCGTGCAGCGCGCATCGCTGGCTCTCTGTCTCTGGACTCTCTCTCTCTCCGCATCTCCCCATTGGCCCCAGCCTTTGGGTGCACCTTGCTTCGAACCATTGGAGGCAATCGTGCAGGGGCCGGCCCGCTGCTACTGGTCCGCCGGTCTGAGGATTTGCCCCTCAGTAGCTGCCGTTGGCGGGCTGCAGAGAAAGAGGACCCGGCCGAGAAGGGGAGAGCTCTCTCTTCCAACCACACCTGTCGATCCAATTACCGCCCGCATCCTCAATATGCACACAATGCAGAACCGGGGGGGTGAGGGGGCACCACATGCTGACTTGCCTGTGGCCGCCTGTGAGAGGTGTGTGTGTGTGCCTGTGTGGCACGTTGGCAACGATGCCGGGCGGCTGGGAGGTGATGGGAATTGGACAAGGGCCCTGCCCGGGTGCCTCCCACGAGCAGCGCAGGGTCACACTGCAGCCAACGAGAGGCGGCGAGTTGGCTGAAATGCGGTGACCGAGAGGGTGCGACGCTTCTGGACGGGCAATATTACCTCTCCTCCGCCCGCCCTCTCGATGAGCCCTACGGCCCGACCTACCTCTTTTCTCCCCTCTCCAGTCGTGGATTACAGTCTACAGTTTGTACTTCCCACGCCCCTTTTGCTTCTAAGTTGGAAGCGACAGAAGGAAGAAGAAGAAGAAGGAGACTTTGCGGACATCGAGCATCAACATCGGACCGCCTTCACAGCCCCGATCAACTGGATTGACACACTGGTACCTAGTTGACCAGGGCTCGTCCTCCGGCAGGTCGAGATTCACAACCCCCAGAGCGGATCAGCATTAAAGCCTGGCAAGCGACGGCTAGGAGAGAAGAAAAAGGCCTGGAAAGCCCGCTTGTACCGCACTACATAACAGACGCGCATCGATCCAACATGCTCTCATCACAACTCATCGCCCTCGCCCTCGCGGCAGTCACCTCGGCCCACACCGTCATCTCCTACCCGGGCTGGCGCGGCGACAACCTCGTCACCAACGCGAGCTTTCCCTACGGCATGCAATGGATGTACCCTTGTACGTGAACTCACCCTTGGATCCCCTCGTTTCTTCGGCCTCTCTTGTATCTCTTCTGCGGCAGCAAGAAAAGATGGCTCGTTAAAGCTAACACGCTCTTCCTAGGCGGCGGTATCCCCCTCACCCATAACCGAACCTACTGGCCCGTTACTGGCGGCGCCATCGCTCTGCAGCCGGGCTGGTTCCAGGGCCACGCCACGGCCCAGCTCTTCATCAACCTCGGCATCGGCGACGAGGCCCCCGACGGCGGTCCCCTCAACATGTCTCTCCCCATGGTCCCGCAGTTCGGCATCCTGGGCCCGTCAAAGAACCCCTACCCCGGCACCATTTGTCTGCCTCAGGTGCCCATGCCCGCCAATCTCAGCCTGAGCGTCGGGCAGAACGTGACCATCCAGGTGGTCGAGCTCGCCGTCCACGGCGCTGCTCTCTTCTCGGTACGCCTCCCCCCGCTCAATGCCACCGGCAAGGCTGTGTGGCGTTATGAAGAGCACTACTGACACAATCTGCAGTGCGTTGACGTAACCCTCGTCGAACCCAACGACCCACGCCTCAACGAGGTCAACGAGACCAACTGCTTCAACAGCACCGACATTGGCTTCTCCGACGTCTACACTATTACCACGCGCGCTTCCGGACAAGCCCAGGCCCAGGGCAACGGCACCGTCACCTCGGCCGCCGTACGGACGCTGAGCCAAGTCGCCGGCTGGATGCCTGTCGTAGTCGGTGGGCTGTGGGCCCTGCTATGAGCCTGATGCAACAGGACTTTCTTCGGGGCGTTGGTCTCTCTGAGCGGAGACGAACCAAGACTGTACATTCTTTCTTCAAAACTTCCTGCTTGCCGCACACTCTCGCAACTTTGTCATATACATAATCTCCGGCGTTCATAAATAGGACAAACTAGGTATCATCAAAGGGATTTTATTTTCAGCATCATTCATCGACGTCATATAGCACCAATTGAATATGTTTCTATTGAAAAAGGCCAACCCGAACACACTACCAACAACCGAAATACTGTACAACTTACCCTGTAGTCCCAAAACTGGCCACATTGTAGAGATTGAGCTCTGATTAGAGCTCTAATTATCACTGGATGCTCTAATTAACCATGGTTCTTCGCCAAAAGAATATTAGTGTTATTCTCATCTGGATCTCATCGCTAGACTAAGGAGCGCTGCACTTCTGTGAATCTTTCGAGCCAGTGGCCCCGAGCCTGTGGCCCGCAAAAGCAGATCCGGGCAGCCCCATTCTAATATGCTCTTGTGCAGCCCTCTCGAGTTGGCTCGTATGCTATGTTGAGATATCTCGTTTTCTCTATCTGCTCTGAGAAACATGCCTCTGGGCTCGATCCACAAAGGCCAACATGCCCAGGCCACGAGACCGAGACGCCAAAGCCGCGAAGGAATAGCGTTCTCTATGAATAGCCGACTTCCCGCAGACCCAAACTTGGAGGTCTGGGCTCACCTGAGCAATTTGAGGACTTCATCCGCGACGTCTTTGACCCGCGGCTCGCTGGCCTGACTCTTGGCCTGCCGAGCCCAGTCTGCCGCCCCCAAGTCCTTTGCAATCGTCGCCGCATCCGCTCCGTCGCCCTTGGCCGAAAGGATTGTGCCGAGCGCCACCAGTGCCCTGAAGACGATTTCAGCGTCTGACTGGCCCTTGAGCACCTGACCCAAGACGTTGATCAGCAGCGAAACGGCTTCCAGTCCCACAGTGGCGCTGCCGCCCGCCTGCTGCTCTTTGTGGAACAGGACGGCAAAGTTGACCGCGGCCGACGTCAGGGCGATAAAGAGTAGGCGGTTGGTAGTGCCGATCGGCCCGGCGACGCCAGCATATTCCGAGACACCCAGGATACACTCCATGACCGAGATGACCTGGTCGGCCCTGCTGGCTGCCACAGCGCGGCCCTGCTCGGTGACAAAGAGGTTGGTGATGCAGCGCAAAGCCATCATGACTGAGTTCTCGTTGGGCTTGGAGCCGGGTATGCCCGGCTCCAGCGCGCTGGAAAGGGCAAGGTCCAGGATGGAACCCTTGCTGGCCGGCGTGTAGCCCGCAATGGTAGGAGAGGGGCACATGCATCGCAGGAGATCCAGAGGAGCCAGGCGGTGGGCGTACGGCCACGTCGTGATCAGCTTGACGACGAGATCAGCAGCGTCTTCGGGGATCGGGAAGGCCGCTGGTGATTGTGCTGCGGACACATAGGCCGGGATCTTTGTTGTCTCAGTAGTCAGGAGCTGGATGAGGTCTTTGAATGTCGCCTCTTCCGTCGGGTTTAGTGCATGCTGCTTTTCTCCAGTCTTGATGAGTTCGGCGTTGACAGAAAGAATTTTCTTTTCGATTGCTGCCCGTCATGTTAGCTTGCTGGATGCTGGATGATTCGATACCATCTTGAGGAGGGACTCACGCGGGAACTTGGCCTGGGCAAGCGTGATGTACTTGTCCTGAGACAGGAGGGACGGTTTAATGGGGGCTTGCTGCGACTCCTGTCCAGGGATATATCTCGACTCGGTTCCGTAGGGGTCTGGTCCAGGCTGCGAGCTGGTCTGGCCGAGGGTAGCGCCCTTTGTGTTCTCGACAATGAAATTGGCCACATTGTCGAGGTAAGTCATCGGTAGTTCATTGTCGCTCAGGAACTTGGTGGCGCGTTCGTAGGGATTCTCGGAGAGATTGTAGGGGAGCTTTAGAGGTGGCTCGCCGTCCTTGATGTCAACGTCAAAGACGTAATCGTAGGACTTGCCGTTGTATTCGACCTTGCGGCCGCTGCTTCCCGCAGAGTCGACGACAGTGCCCACGTTGATCCACTGTTGATGGCCTGCAGAGAGGGTTAGCATAGAGCGTCTCAAGCGCAATCGCTCGACTGACAAGGGCGCGTACTTATTGACCACTGATGAGCAGAGATGGAGCCGTCCTCTTCCCTAATCATCTGGATCTGTCCCTCCTTTGTGCCCGACTTGGACTTCAAGAAGTCGGGACCAGGGAGCTTCTCCTTGTTGATGGAGCCGACCTGCTGCTGGGGGATGGAAGATGCCTTGACGGCATCGTCGAACTGGCTCAAGGCATCCGCAGCGGCTATCCTGTCCTCGCTCCGAGTGAAGACCCTGACAACGTTGTCACTGGCGCCCGAGACGATGTCGCCATTCTCGGGGCACACGGCCACACTCCAGACGGAGATGGCCGGATGCGTTATGGTCTGCACACACTCGAGTCCCTTCCATACCCGGACCGTTCGATCTTCTCCCGAGCTGACGAGCTCGCCGGAGGGCAGGGCGGCGAGGGAGTAGATGAAGCTCTCGTGGCCGTGCATCTCGGCAATCTGCTTGCCATCCCGGACGGACCACAGACGGATGACGCCATCGTTACTAGCTGTGGCGATATCGGCGCCGCTGGGGTGGCCCTTGGGGACGCGGCAGAGGGCGCGCAGGATGTCGGGGGTGTAGATAGTGGTGGTGGGCTGGACCTCACCGGCGCTGGCGGTACGGAGGTCGTAGCCGCGGATCATCTGGTCGGCGCAGCAGGTGAGGACGGTGTGGTCGTCGAAGGCGAGGACGCCCCAGATGCCCTTGCCATTGTGACCCTCGAGCACCATCTCGGTCTCCCACTTGCCGATGCTCCACACCCGTGCCTGGCCGTCCAGGCCGCCAGAGACGAGGAACTTGCCGTCCGGGGAGGCGTCGAGAGTGACGACGTTTCCGGCGTGGCCAATGAGCAGGCGCTCGGCATTGTCCGAGAAGTGCGAGCCAGGACGGCGCACCTCGATGATGGCATCCTTGCCTCCCGAGGCAATGAGCCCGTCAGGGAAGTCTTGGGAGGGCTTGAGGTATATCACAGAGTTGATGTAGTCGTGGCCCTGAGTGGCTATTTGGGCCTCGAAGGAGGGCGGGGCGTTGGACGTCCGCTTCCACAGGCGGACGGTCTGGTCGCGAGAAGCAGAGAGGACCACGTCGGGGGAGGGGAAGCAAACGGCGCGGACCTGGACAGATGAGGCCGAGTCAGCCTCTGAGACTCGGGATGAGGGAACGAACATAACACATCCCGCTCGCAGCATGGACGGGGTCAGGTCAGGGTCAAGAGACGTACATCTTGGTCATGGCCAGCAAGCTGGGCGGAGAGCTTGAACTGGGCCATGGCGAGGCGTCACGGAGGCGATGGGCCTTGGAAGAGGGATGGCTCCTCGTGAATGAGCTAATCTTTCCTCTGTTTACAAGATGAGGAGGAGGAGGGAGGGAGGGAGGGAGGGATAGTGAGAGCCCGCAAGATCGCCGAGCTGCTGTTCCGTGGAGTGAGGGTATGTCAGCCGTGGAACCTACCATGAGGTAAGGTACCTTACCTATCTCCAAGTACCTACCTAAAGTAGGTCTACAAGTAGGTAGGTACCTAGGTAGCTGCGAGGGCAATATGGCGGGGTAGGTTCCACTTTCTTCACCGCCCGCCGCTAACTACCTACCACTCCAGGGCTGCCTTCTTAGGTACCTTAGGTAGCTCTTCAGGGGTTCCTGAATCTGCGACAGGCCCGCCCCACCGAGCAACCCTGGCGCCTGGTGCAGTTGCGATTCTCGATTCGCATTCGTCCATCGTGAAGTGAAGCTCACCTCCAAACCCTCCCTCCCTTCATCTTCCCTTCACCTTTCCCTCCTCTCCCCAAGCCCTTTCGCCAGACCCTCGCCCGACAGCTTCCCTCCGTTTCCAGGCTACCTACCTTGGGAATTTCCTTTCTATCCATCCCTCTCTCTTTCTCGCTCTCTCTCTCTTTACCGCTCCCCACGTCCTTCTTGGGAGAAAAGGAAAAAAAAAAAAGCGAGAAAGTGATCAAAAGTAACAAAAAGAAGTTGGTTTGACTTGGGGGCTTTCTCTTTGCACCGCGCACGATCCCTTCCCTCTCGGAAGAACCAACTCGGGTCATCTTTTGGTTTGCTGAGTTTTGACCGTTTTAAATTCCTCCTCTTGACGACCGCTACGAAGTTACGACCACGCCATCCAGTCCCAACCCGCATCACACACGCCTCGACCACTTACTTGTCCACGCCCGAATCTTCCCTGCTCCGCTAAAGACCGAACCCATCCTTGCATTGCGCCTGCTTTTGTGCGCGCAGCTGGCGTCCCTCTGCGCCATCACCGCTTGCTGCGATCCAGGACAGATCCGGATTCACGCCGCGAACCCCCTTCTAGATTCCGCTGCCGCCGCCGCCGTCGACGACGACTCTAGGCGTGTTGCCCTGCTCCATCCACGCCAACCTCTCGTCTCGCTGCCCGTACCCAGGCACTCCACATCCCGTCGAGGCGAGCGCTTCTCCCAGCTCCTTCAGCTCCTTCAGTTCCTTCAGCTTCTTCAGCTTCTTCAACCACCAGACCATCCCACCCAACCCGCCATCAAGCAGCCCTCGTAATCATGGCTTCCGAGGCTCCTCGACAATACGTTCCCCTCACCTGTCACGGCCACTCGCGTCCTGTCCCCCACATCAACTTCTCCTCCCTTACCAAAGATGAGAACTACTACATGATCTCCGCCTGTAAAGGTACCCCGGCAACCCTTCCCCATGATCGGCCGTGAACGGACGCGCTAACGCCTACCCAGATGGGAACCCCATGCTCCGAGACGGCAAGACTGGCGACTGGTACGTGCCGCAATCCCAGTCCCGGCGGCAGCAGGGATCACGTTTCCTTTCCGCCCAAAGCAACGCCGTGCTGACGGACTGACGACATTGTGTAGGATAGGTACGTTCATCGGTCACAAGGGAGCAGTCTGGCAGGCCAAGCTTAGCCCCGATGCCGCCACCGCTGCCACTGCCTCTGCAGACTTCACGGCGTGAGTCCCCGTCCGCCCCCATGCGACCTCGCGCTTCGAGCGGCCCTGACCCTCCTGACAAACCAAAACAGCAAGATCTGGGATACCCACACCGGCGAGCTGCTCTACACCTTGCAACATGACCACATAGTACGTGCTCTTGCATATCCTTCGCATGCTTCCGACATGGTGGCCACCGGTGGCTTCGAGAAGAAGCTCCGCATCTTTGATCTCGCCGAGATCCGGCCTCAGGCTGCCTCCCCTGCCGTCCCGAATGCGCCCGCCGACCCCGTCACCATCACTAGCAACATGGCCTTTGAGATTGGCGAGGGTGTCCACACCGACTCGATCAAGTGCGTCGTCTGGACCAAAGACCCGACTACCCTCATCACCGCCTCGGGCAAGACCCTGCGCTGGTTCGACATTGCCTCGCGCAGCTGCATCAAGACCGTCGATCTGGACGGAGAGATCAAGTCGTGTGAGCTCGTGTCGCTTGCGCCCCAGTATAGCTCTCCTTCCGACATTGGTGGCGGCCTTCCCGTCCTGGCAGTCGCTGCCGGCAAGACGGTCTCTTTCTGGGGTGGCGACCTCAACGACACCGAGATCAAGCGGTTCGACCTCGCCCACGGCGTTGCCAGCGTTGGCCTTGATGTCAAGGGCAACAAATTCGTCGTCGGAGAGGAGCCCGGAACATGGGTGCGAGTCTACTCCTGGGACGATGGCAGAGAGCTCGGTAAGTCGCGTCTCGCCGTTGCGTGATTTTGGAAAAAACAAATGTCCTAAACCCCTTTGCCTAGATGTGCTCAAGGGTCACCATGGCCCGGTCTGGTCTGTGGCCTTTTCTCCTGACGGTAAGCTGTACGCTACCGGCTCCGAAGACGGCACCATCAAGATGTGGAAGAACTGCGAGGGTTTCTACGGTCTGTGGAGGGGCGGCGCCAACACTGTCCCTGAGCGGAACGCCGACTAGTACTCGCGGACCCTCTCGGATCGCAGCCATGGCTGCAACAGTAAGGGCAGGCTGAGCCGTGATGCCAGACCAGCGTCGTCTCGTGGTGGCCAGAGCGGCCTCTCTGGGGAGAGTTACCAGATGATCTCGGCCTCGGAATGCTCGGCTGCAAGCGACTGTCGCCAGGGCACTGAGTCGAGCTCAGCTTCTGACGCTGTAATCATTGTCAAGCATCCCAACTCCCGGTCGCCGGGCCAGGGCCAGGCCCAGGCCCGCCACGAGGCTAGGTCGGAGTCGGCCGTCGCCTTGGAGTCCCTCGACGTCCCCAAGCAGTCCAACACGCGACCTCAAACGCGTGCCGAAGGGATGCTCAGCCCTGGCGATCTGAAGAAGCAACTTTTCCTGCAGAAGCTAGAGCGTCGGGGGCTTTCTTTCAGTGACCCCAACCCGCGTAGCGCCCCGGAATAGCTCTCGGCCGCTCTCCCGATGTCCATCTTGACCAACTTGCCCTCCACGCTGTGCTGCTCTTTTGCTCTCTCCGTCTTGGCCTGCCGGCGATGGAGCAGACCGAACGCAGACTCGGCTGATAAAAGGGGACTTCCATCTATACGTTTTGCTTGGACAACGCTCGTTTCTCTTCGCCTAGACCCAGCTCGGGCCTTGCAATGGCCATAGCACTCACTGCCAGTCTTTGTGGCAGTTAGCGATGGGCTTGGATGAGCGAAAGGTCCTTCCTCTCCGTTGTCTCTTATCGTCCTCATCTGGTGTATTGCTCTTCCCAGGTCCCGTTGATTCCACCACACTGTGACGGCGCCAAAAAGGATGGAGACGGGCCAGGCCAGCAGCATCACCGGGCGAACATCTCATCTTTGGTGTGCCATTGACTTTTCTTTCTTATGAATACATGTACGAGATAGACATTCTATGGGTGGGCATGTTTCCAACCATGGACAAGCGTATGTAAAAGTTATCCTGACACCCTGTCCCCTGTCTAAGACTCCAGTGTGAACGAAGGATGAGTAGATGCAAGGTGGCGTCTCCCCTGTCTGAAGCCCTTTGCGGGGAGCGTCATGATCTGGAGGCTAGTCGAGCACTTGGGATTTCCCTCGTTCGGGCACACCACGTAGACTTTCTCTCTCCCGACCTTCGAGTGACTTACCCTAACTACCTTACCTACATTACGGGCCTACGCACCTACCTCGACGTCGTGAGGCGAGCCAACTGCAGTCTGTTGATACCGATCCCATCTCGCAAGTCGCAGTCCGCGATCAGCATGGGACCAGGCAAAACATCGTCATCTGATCACTTGTCCTCCACTTCTTCCCTGGTGCCTTTCCCAAACTTCTTTCTTTCGTTCGCAGAATCCCTTCCTCTTTGTGACCCAAAACAGAGCACATCATCGACCACTTAGCTATCCATCTACTAGTCCGTATTCCTCTTCCCTTTGGACCTTGTCGTCCTCTCCGACTCACAACACACGATTGTCGATCCCATATCACTAATTGCTCCCAGCATCCCTCTTTTTCAGGCAACACGTTCATTCATCTGATCCTCACCACCTGACACACTCTTGAGCGTCATATCTATCCCCTTGCCCCTGGAAACCAATGACGCGTCGTATCGCGGCATCCCTTTTGTCTGTTCGCGAAGTGAACTCTTCCTTGCTCTCCTCCTTTTCTCTTGACCCTACCCTTCCTTCCACCTCATCTGATTATCATCTCGAGCCGAAGCAGGGGCCTGCACCGCGTGTTATTTTCTCCAGCTACCGGTTTGAAACCTGATATAGTTCGCGGCCAACTAAGCCACTGCCTATCACCTTCGTCAGGCTTGAAGTACGCGCCGGAGCAGCGACGGCTCCCAGCAGTCAGTGCTACATGTTTGATCACAAACACGTCCAGTGCAGGGCCTCACCAGTTCTAGTAACTTCCTGTACTGCTTGCTCGGTTTCCACTACACAAACAGGGTACACTAACGCGAAGCACTCTCCGTTGCTGACAAGCTAATTTTGGCTCCGGGGTTCTGTACCTCTTGTTCTTCTTTCGCCCTTTCCTGTCGTCAAGGGATTAATCACATACACCACTGCAAAGGCCTCAATCCAGTCATACACGCCGCCATGGCTCATGATACACCCGAGGGCCAGCAGCAACAGCATGGAATGCCTCCGGAACTAACCCCTCCCCCCCGGGCAGAATACTCGAGCAACCGCAACACGCGCAAGGCTCGTCAACGCAAGCTGGCCCTCACAGGGGCAGCCAAGGTCGAAGAAGCCGCTCGGAACTCCGACTACAAAGCGATGATCTATGTGCGCAAAAAGGTCGCAGCCAAGGACGAATACAAGAATGCCTCGGACTTGGTCAAGGACCAGATGCTGCAACAGGCTATGGCAGAAACTATGGAGGCCAGGTCAGTAATTACTCCTTGGCCGTTTGCCCATCCCAGGAGAGAAGGGGTGGAGGATCAGGCAGGACACTGCTGACGCTGCCCACAAAACAGAAGCAAGAAAGGCCAGGACACAACGTCCAAGATGGAGAAGTACTATCGGGGCGAATACGACTATCGCCACGAGAAGGCAGGGCCGGATTCACGGGTTTCGGTCACGGGGTTCATGACGGCGAACCGGGTCGCCCCCCCGCCGCTCAAGTCCGGCCCGGCCCGCACCATCGGAGCTCGGAGCCGACCCGCGACGGCACTGGTGGTCGCCGAGAGCGACGAACGGGATAACGATGACCTCGCTCAAGATGGGGAGGATGATAGCAAGGCCCTCAGCCTCAGTCGCGAGGCCGCAGCAGAGCCACTCGCTCCGGTCGCTCGTGCCATCAAGCTCTCTCAACCCCCCGAGGACCGACTCCTGATGCGTCCTCCGCCGGCCCGCTCGGTCTACTCGACTCCCCCACTGGCAACGCACGCCTCAAGCACGGCCCCGGTGACCACGCTGGCACAGTCCAGCCAAGTCTCGCGCCTGCAGACCGAGGTGGAAGCCCTGCGGTCCATTGTCCAGAACCTCGTCTCTGGCCTCGGCAATGCCCGCCACGACGTGACCAACCTCAACTCGACGCTGACAACCGTGCGCACCGACGCCTCGCTGCTGCGCGCCGAGATGTCGGTCAACAAGGCCCAGACCGACCAGGTGGTCAGCCAGATGCCGCAGATGCTACATGCGCTGGCGACCAACCGCATGCCCGGCGTCGAGGAGAGACTGGCTAGGGTCGAGGGCGTGGTCGACGAGCTCCGCCGGAGGATGGACGAGGTCCTGATGGGATACGACGCTTCGGCATCTGCGGACGTCAGAAGGGCCAGGGCCAGGACCAGGGCCGAGAACCAGAGGCGTGAGGCGGAGGAGCTGGAGCGCGGCGAGGAGGTCGCGGGTTTGAGGGAGAAGCTGAGGAGCGTCGGGGCCGTGCTGAAGGGGCCGTGGTAAGGGGCAGGCTGATTTGTTCCCTCGCAGCCTTTTCCTTTTTTTCTCTTTCTCGTTGCTTTGGTTGGACGGCGTCGTAAGTTTTGATGGTTAAACAACAGGGAGCACCCGAAGGCTACATTACAGTCCAGATTCGAACTTGCGATGACATGGTCCCTTTCTCGTAGCATAGCAACGAAGACTAGCTCTTGGCGGTGGAAAGGCAATACCAGACACTTTACAATAGGCTCTTGATTGCGATCTGCCAGTAGAATCGATAACTTTGATCTTATGGATTTCCCGGTGCTCAACAGAATACAGATACTGATTGCAACCTGCCAGTCAATCGTGCCGCTTTCGCGCCTCCTCCTTGGAATAACATGCAACAGAAAAAGGGAAAGGGGGGTTTCTCCCGTCAATGGACAAAAGTCTATAACCTCACCACCATCCATGCTGGACCAGTTAACACCCAAACACCAACCGCTGGCCCGAGGGCAGCCCCTAATCAAAAGTAATCCGGAAACCCGCACCACGCTGCCCCGTTTTAAACCGCTGACACTGCTGCCCTAAGCCCTCTCCCACCCCTTCTCTCCGTCGTCACGACGGCACCACCCCGATCTCGTACCCGATCAGCACCTCAGTACACGTGCCCTCCCAGCCTCTGGTCCCCGCCGCCGATATCATGTACCGCGACGAGGGGTCGACGTAGAGCTGGCTGATGACGCCCGCGCGAGGCGGGCCCGGGATAATGAGGAAGGGCACACTCGAGCCCTTTACAGCGGCCGTGTCCCGCAGGTCGTAGAGCCGGAGGATATCGTGGGACGCACTGAACAGGAGGAGAGCAAAGAATAGTCAGTGAGCGGACCGATAAGGAAAAGAAGAAAGAGATAGACAGAGGGAAGGGAAGAGAGAGAGAGCAGGCACTTACCACACTAGATGCCGCCCATTGACCATGGCCCTCACTGAGCTCACGGCCCCGGACCCGGCGGGAAACTTGAGCGTCCGCTCGGGCGCCCAACCGCCGCTCCCGCCGCCGCTTGCTGCGCGGTGGATGCTAAACTCCTCGACCGTCCCGTTGCGCCGGCCCGCGTATATCCAGTTGCCGTCGGGGCTCCAGCACGCGCCCATGCACCAGGGCGGCACGCCGGGCCGGTTAGTGATGCGCGCGACGGGGTTGGGCACGCGCCGGTCCCAGATGCGGATGGAACCGTCCATCGACGCCGACATGAAGGTCGTGTCGGAGGCCTGCGTCGGGTCGAAGTGCGCCGGGCCCGGCTGCGATGCGAATATCATGGATGGCGAGGGCGGTTGTTCTTGTCTGGTCTGACCGTCACCCCCCAAGAGAACGCCGTCGGCGGCGGCGGCGGCGGCGGCGGCGGCTGCTGGTGGCGTTTGTTCTTCGCCCGTCCCGGATTGCTGGGCGTCGTTCGTCCCCGACGCAGCGCCATTAGCCCAGGAGGATGATTCCATCTGACCCTTGCTGTCAGGTGGATGATCAGCCCCTGCAGGCAGGGCGGTTTCACTAGTGCCGATGTCCATAGCCTGGTTCTTGTCTTGATGGAGATCCGTTGGCTGTGACTGCTGCTGGTCCTTGTTCTCGGCGGATGAGGCGGCCAACAAGGTGGTGGTATCTGGCGCTTCCATACCCGTCATGTCGACGTCGCCACCCCCAGCAGCGGTACCTCCAATCTCGTCTGCAGGGGCATCCGGCTGGAGGGAGGACATGTCCATCGAAGCGCCAAACTCGTTGTTGTCGTTGTCGTCTCCGAACGGATTCTCGCCAACGGCATCGTTCTCGCCAAAGAGGGACCCTCCCGGACTGCCAAAGAGGCTCTCGTGCGCGGGGGAGCCATCGGCGTCGGCAGCGCCGGCCTGGTCGCCGCCAGTGTTGTCGGCCGTGCCAAAGAGGGTGTCGTTGTCGTCGTCGCGACTGGCGCCATTCACGGCGGTGCCGTTGGCCAGCGGCTTGGCGTTGTTGCTAGAGATGGTGTCGCTCGCGACGGCGGGCTCCTCGTACGCGGCCTGGGGGATGGGCGCGCCGCTCGCAGGCCGCAGCTCGATGGCCGAGACCTGGCCGCCGCTGCCGTCGAACTGGCGCTTGACCTGGCCGTTGTTGAGGTCCCAGTCCAGGATCGACTTGTCCCAGCTGCCGCTCAGGACGCTCTTCTCGTCCGGGGCGAGCTGCAGCACCGAGACGGCGTTGGAGTGCCTCTGCAAGCAGGTGATGCGCTTGCCCTCGTCGTGGCGCACGCTCTGGAGGTTGATGCCGCCGCCCTCGGTGCCCGAGAGCAGCCACAGGGCCTGGCTGTGGACGGCGAGCGAGTAGACGGGGCTGAGCACCCTATCCTCGGCGCGGGCGCCGGGGGCCATGGGCTCCTCGTTCTCCCAGTACGACATGAGTATGCCGGCCTTGACGACCGAGTCGACAAAGGGGTGGCGCTGGGCGACCGTCAGCAGCTGCTTGCCGTTGATGGTGCCCACGCCGTCGTACTTGCGCACGTAGCCGTCGGAGCCGCCCGTCATCCAGTACCGCATGTCGGGCGTGACCGAGATGGCGTTGATGCTGGTGGCCTGGGGCGCAGCCATGGTGGGCACAATGTCGTAGAGCTTGGCCGTGAGGGCCTCTGGCCGGACTGTCGGGCGCCACTTGAGGGACGGCACGGGACTAGCGCTGGTCCGCTTGGGCGTGGCCGATGTGTGCGTAACGGTCGGTCTTGAGCTGCCGTCTTGGCCCTCCTTATCCTGGCTGGCAGAACTCGGGTCCCGGTCGTCGTCTCGGGCGCGGGAAGAAGCGCCAGCAGCACCGACAGCAGTGTCCTGGTCTTGATCTCCCTCCTGGTCGCCCTCGTCGCCTTCTCCATCTCCATCTCCGTCCCCGTCCCCGTCCCCGTCCCCGTCCCCGTCCCCGTCCCCGTCCCCGTCCCCGTCCCCGTCCCCGTCCCCGTCCCCGTCCCCGTCCCCGTCCCCGTCCCCGTCCCCGTCTGCGTCCCCGTCACCCTCGTCTTCATCATCTTGCTCGTCCTCATTGTCCTCTTCCTCTGGTTCGTTGTTATCGTTTTCGGGCTCGTCGACGTCTTCCATCACCTCGTCCTGCTCGTTGTCCGAGCTTGCGTTGGAGTCTGGGGAGAGAGAGGAGAGAGTCAACAGGGAAGGACGATACGAGGGGAGGGTGGGCGAGCTCTGCTGCTGGATGTTGGGTGTGGCGGAAGGGGACAAAGCTTGGATCTCACCTCGGTCATCCTCGTCCATGGTGGCAGGCTGCCAGCTGCCGGCCCGAGGCTGGCGAGGCTGGCTGGCTGGCGCTCTGTCACGCGGGCAGCGGGCAGGCAGTATAGGCTATGGCAGGCACCCTATAGCCTATACTCGAGGGTAAAGATGCCCCGATAGCGCGTCACCGGGTCGGTCCGGCAGGGCAGAGCCGGGTGCGAGCAGCTCCAGGGCGAATGCGACAGAGCTGGACTGAGCAGAAAGAAGGCGGGCAGGGATGCTGGAGTTGATGCTTTGTGTGCGCCGCACGCGCAATTGGGCCGGTCTGTCTTTCTTTGCTTTTGCTCGCGCCAATTCTGATGCCAGCGTGATGAAGAGGACAAGACAGAGGCGGCCGTAGAGTGCGTGATGTCAAGCTGATACTGGCAAAACAATGTCAATATGCGGAATGTTGGATTTGTCGATGCAGTTGCGGCTACTTCGAGTTAAGGTCAGTAAACTGAGTGGACTGGGGAGGGAAAGTCCAAAGGCTGGTGTGGTGGGATTGGTCGAGGGCTCCATTGACAGGTGGGTACTGACTACCGAGTACCGCATGCCTAGGCAGGTAGGTACCTGGACTGCAGGTGATCAGACAGCCCGTAAGGTACCCGTACACCTCCCTACTTCCAGCGACCTACCGGGCTTACCTTAGGTAAGGCATCTAAAAGTCCCTACCCTACCTAGGTACCTTAGGTACCGAGGTAATTAATTAATTAGCCCTGCAGGAGAAGAAGGGCCGCCGCCTCCAGCTAGAACATTGAACCATCGACAACTCATTACCTAGAAGGAGAATGCTCCGTACTTGTAGCTGGAGGTCATGTAGTACCTCCTAGTAGTTGCTCCAGTAAGCTTCATTTCATCTAGTACTAGTAGTTGGTAGAGCAAGCACCATTCTTATTCTCGATAGACTCCAGACACTGGATCTACAGACACTGCAGCCAGAGACAGACCTCGCCATGTTCCTCATACTGGCAGAATCGGATACTGAGCTCTGTCAGAGAAGAAAAACCCACAACTTTCTTTTATTTCGAATTAAGTCACCCAGAAGGTCTAGACTGTCTTGCTGTCTTCCTGCTGCAGGACTGACTCTTCCACTCCAACCTGTCCTTTTCCCTGGGCCGCAGAGACAAGAGAGTGAATAAACCACCAAGAGAATAACGATGCATCAAACAAATGGCCCAGTTCTGCTTTGCCTGTTCAAAGTCGGGCAGCCATGGCCTAGACCCCTCATGACAGCATGAGATGCTGCAAGTATCTGTTGTTGGGCAGAACCAACTTCAGAAAAGGAGCGCCGTGGATGACAAGACAAACAAATCAACCAAAACAAGAAAAAACAGAAAGCAGAGGTGGAGAAAAAAGAAACAAGAAACGTGAAATGTGAAAAAGGACCCAGCCCCTTCAGAATTCAATGAGCGACTCCTCCTCAGTCTCATTGAGATCCTCATCCCGACGCTCCTGCGCATCTCCCCCCAGAGTCGCTGTCATAGCAGCTGGCTCAGTCTGTGCGTTTTGCCTTCGGCCTGTCGACATGTTGAGAATTTCTGCCTCAAACCCATAGGCCGCCATGGCACTGCCAGGTTCTGTCTGACCCCGTGCATCCCTGCGACGCTCTCCGCCGCTGGCATGATCTCGAGTGGCATTTGAGAAGAACTGCCTGTTGACCGTGCTTGTAGCCATCGCACCTCGGCCTCGGCCAACAACATCCGCTCTGCTGGAGTTATTACCGCTGCGGCCTCGTGCAGTTGTGACGCCAGATGCGTTGGATCTAGCGACAGCTCTCCTGGTCGGGGACGTAGAAGAGGAAGAGGCCATGCCTGAGGGGAGCAGTGAGGTAGAGTGAGCCGTCGTAGAGACTGCCTGGGCGGCTGCAGACATTGAATGACCTGCACCTGTAGCGCCTAAGACCGGGCGGGAACGAGTAGGAGTGGTTGGAGCCAGCGGCAGGACAGTTGGGTCGAGTCTCTGGGTTCGCTTGGGCGGACCACCTACACGCCTTCCCTGTTCGATACCTGTCTGTTTGAATGTCTCGACGATCATGTCTGCCAGCTTGACATGCGAGTTGTCGGTGCTCTCATGCCCCTCATAGGTGATCAACGGCCTCTGTTGTGAAGGCGCGGCAGCAGCCAGACGCTCCTCCCGCATCTGGGCATCGTGTTGAGACACGTTCTTGACAAAGATGTTCCACTTTTCGACACTGTGCTGCTCCTGGCTGGACCTGGGCCGTGACAGCTTGCCTGCTGCTGGCGGCGGCACTGGCAGCTGTTTGATATGGTGGGGAGCAGACCGTGAAGGCTGCGACGGCCGGGTAGGCAAGGCTGTGCGTGGAGTGATGGGAGCGTTGCGTGCTACAACGTTGCCAAGGGCCTTGGTCTTGTCGGTGGGAGTCTTGCTGGTCGTCAGAGCCGGCGCCTCGGAGCGCTGGAAGCGATTGCATGGGCAGAAGCAGGGCTCGCTGCAATAGTTTGAACAGCTGTGGTCGCAATTGAGCATTTGGGTGCACGGCTGCCTGCACGGGAGGCTCGAATGCGGCGTGGGGTGGCAGGCCAACTTGCAGTCGTGACCGCACGGGAGCTTGCCGTGGCACCTCTTGGTACAGCCGCCGGCAGAACCCACAAAGTCATCTGGCTCCCTAGCCCAAGTCTGGTTGCCGTGGTTCTCGCAGACCAGCGGCAGGCCCTGCTTGCGCTTCACGGCGTCCTGACCGGCAAACCCATTGAAGATGAGTCCCCAGAGGATGTATGACTGGTCACCCGCACCCAGCACATTCTGGACATTGCCGAAAATGTAGAATCCACGACGGGCACGGCTGATGGCCACAACGCCACGGTTCTTGTTTCCCAGAAAGCCGACCTGGCAGTTCCCTGCCTGCTTCGGACTGCGAACAAGCGAGAGCAAGACAATGTCGTTCTCTTCACCCTGGTAAGAGTCCACAGTGAACACGTTGGCCTGGCCGGTGACGCTGCTCACGAGGCCATTCTTTCGCAGCATCTTGGACAAGAGCTTGCGCTGGCCGTTGTAGAATGTGAGAATGGTGATCAGGTCAATGCGGACGCCATTCTGCACCAGATAGCCGACAAAGTTGACAATCATCTCAGCCTCTGTGAGATTGAACTTGCTGCAGTCGGCATCAGACTCCTCAGGCCAGCGGTGGTCAAACCACCAACAGTTCTGATTGCCCATGCCGGGAACACGAGGTCGGTTGGCCTCTTTCTCGACTTGTGGGTGATCAGTAAGTCCGGGGTAAAACTGGTTGAGGATGTGGCGGAGTTCAGGCCTCATGCGCCGCTGCTGGTTGAGCATGGTGAAGGGCACCCCGACTTTGACCAGCCGTTCGAACATGGAAACGTTGAGGTTGTAAGGAGCATATGCAAGCCAGTGGACATCGCAGTTGGGCGTCAACTGCTGATGGTCGCCAACGAGAATCAACTGCTGCAGTGATTTGTACAAGGCAGAGGCAATGTTGGCTTCACGCGTCTCGGCTGCCTCCTCGATGAGAAGGGTGCGTGGCTCCAGTGCGGATAGGAATCCCCGATACTTGGTCAGGCCGGTTGTCGTGCAGCCGACAAGATTGATCCGGTGCTTTACAACCAAGTGAACGTCCTTGAACCACTTGTTGACTCGGAGGTCCTTGCAGATGGCCACCATGTCAGACAATAGATCCTTGAACCGTGCCGAGATAGCCGCAAGGAACCTAGCGCGCAGGATCTGGTAGACTGCTCCCCGGAAGCGTGGGGGGATGTTGTAGAGGTCGTCGTCCTCGCAGCTCTCGAGGAGTTCTCTGGCCTGGTTTCGGCGGGCGCCTGACGGGGAGTCTTTGCCTGTCCAGATGTGTTGAAGGGAGACCCAAGTACCCTTTAGGCGGTCGTGCTCATCCTTGTCGTCCATGAGGTTGTCGAGGTCTGGATCAACCTCATACTCGAGCTCTCCCTCGTTCTCGACTTCTTCCTCGTCAAAATCCTGGAGGGAGACCACGCGCCGGTTGGCTGGGACCTTTTGCTCGCCGAGCCAGAGGTCGAATGCGCCAAGGTTGGCATTGTCCCCGATCGGAGTCCATTCGTCGTTTGACAGAGACTTGTACTGGGCTTCGGTGATGACATCGGCTCTCCAGAGCGCTGCCGGGTCCAAGAGCTGACTATCCGAGAAGATTGCCTGGCTCAGCGCGACGAACTTGTCGACCTTGTCTCGTCGACGGTTCTCGAGGAGCTGGAAGTCTTTGTCCGGGCAGTACCCTCCAAGCTTGCGGAGCTCAAAGGCCGTTCTCTTTGCGATGGCCTCGCTCTCGGTGCGACCACCGACACGCAGGATGTTGGCGCCAGCTTCTTGGCACTGGAGGAGCAGCTGGTCGAGAGCATGGTTGGTTTGGGCGGCGACGATGATGGGTGGGTCTCCCGGCCGACGATTTGCGAGGAGGACACGGAGTGCAGACACCGATGTGAAGGTCTTGCCGGTACCTGGCGGACCTTGTATAATGGCTAGCTCCTTGGAGACGATGCGTGATAGAGCCTCGGTCTGCGACGCATCGAGGCTTGTCACGTCCTGAGCAGCGGTTGGCGGCACACGGATGTCTTTGCATCGCCAGGCATCTTTGGTCTTGATCAACTCGACGGCAGCGTTGAAGTCTGGTCGGGATGTGTCAACGCTTGCGGGCAGGTGGTCGATGAGACAAGACAGATCCAGGTTCGGCGCTCTGGAAATGTAGGCCGCGGGATAATCTCCTTGCACGCCATCGACGATGTACTTGTCCAGGATCGAGTGAGTTTGGCGGGCGTGTTGGAGACCAACAAGGGCGTGCCGCACGGCTTCAAAGTAGCCGCCCCGAGCCTCTATCATGACCAGCTGTTCATCTGGGTCAAAGACGGCGTCGGCGATGTTTGCCCACGAGATGTCCACCTCTGGTGGCGTTTGATCAAGCCCCCCCGTGAAGGGACGCTGGGTGACGGTCGCGACCTTGCAAATCGACCGGAACTTGTCTTTGGCCGTTGTGACGGCCACAACAGTGCCGGGCGTCAGACGCCGGGACTGCATCCACTGAATTTTTCGGCATGCCCGGCGCGTGGAGAAACTGACGCGGCACACCGGCCCGACCCTGCACATGGTGTAGCCTTTGACATAGACCTAGGATATGGTTAGTGACATACTCAAAATGCAGAGACCGGGAGCCAGTGCAACTCACGTCCACGTATATGCACGTTTGTGCATTGTCAGACATGCTGGGGTCTTTCTTGTACGACCCAACCGAATCGCGCAGGACCTGGACGCCCTCACAGCGAAGGATGCGATACTGTGATTCCAGGTAGGCCTTCTTGGAAGGCCACGGTTCGTCGATCGGGTTGATCGGCAAACCTGCAAGGTCCTCATCTGTTGTGAGGATCTCCTCGGGCGTGGGGAGGTCTGGCAAACCTCCCCAGCCGTCCTCGGCGGACGAGGGTGCGAAGTTCACGTGGGAGGCGATGGCCTCCATCGCCCGCACCTGAGGGATTCTTGATCAGTATGTGAAATGATTCACGGGTCGGGAGTCAATACGTACGTTGTCATATACCGGGCCGGCGGCGGCGGCGGCGGCATCGCCACTCATGATGGCGACGGCGGCGGAAAGTGGGGCGGGAGCCCGGGGGAAGAGAGAGAGGGGGGGGAAGACGGCTGCCTAGAATGAGAGAGTCAGGCTGGTCCCTTGATGTCAAGCTCGAGGGCAGCGGATGGATGTGGATAAATACCTCGGAGGGAAGAGGAAGAGGAAGAGGTCCAGCAAGACGCGCTGGAGTTGTTGGTGGGATGGTGGTTGAAGACAAAAAGGGTGGAGGGAGGAAAGGTGGGGGAGGCGGAAATGTCCAAGGCAGGAGGTTGGGAGGGAAAGAGAAAGAGGATTTGTGGGAGCAAGTGGTGGCCAAGGCGGGTTTTTATAGACAGGAGCTGGTTGACGACCAGCTAGTCGGATGTTCTAGAAGGTTGGAGACGTACTCTTATTGTCAATGACAATAGCCAGTGGCAGACAATGGGCTCGAGCGAGGGCAGGCCAACTCCAATTGAAGCTTCTGTAATGCTGGCGGCAGTCAATGGTGAGGACAAAGTGAAGAGCGAGTTGGCCAGTCAACGAGTAGATGGTGTCAACTGTAGACTGCAACTGTAGAGTTGCCAACCAGTAGATCAAGGCCTCAGCTTGTTCTGTCAATGATCTTGACAACCTCAAGCTGCACTGAACCGCCGGGTTCTTGGCACTCCGGAATCGGGGCGGAGTAGGCAGGAAAGAGTGATGCAGAGAGGTTGGAGATGATTTGCTCGGTTGACGATACTAGTTGGCTTTCCTTGTCTTTTGTTCTTTGCAATGGCGAAGAGGGCACGGGAGCTGCAGAATATAATGGTCTGTCTGGGGTAGTAGCCAGAGGACAAGTCTGGTGCCTTGGGTAGGTCTTTCTCGGCAGACGCACGGCTATCTAGAGACGCCTCTCCAGTCGGTCTGTCTGGTTCGAGCCAGGCCGGGTAGGAAGGCCCTCGAGCTTGAGCTGACTCTGGCGAGATTTGGTTGACTGAAGGGGGAGTTGTCAAGGCGAAACATGAGAGAGTGAGTTGCGAGCGTGGACCGTGCATGAAAAATGGAAGAGGAGAAGAAGAGAGGACACCAGATTGGAGGTCGTCACATGAGCAACTGGTGCATTACCATCAATCACTCGGGAGGAGCAACGCTGAAGTGCCTGCTGGTCCTTGGTGGCAGGTTCGTTGAGTAAGTAAGTAGCTAATTCAAGTTCTCAAGGGGGAGGGAGCGAGTGGCGGGGGCATGTACTTACCTTGGGTACTTTAGTATCTCGACCTCAAGTCTTTGTAGTTTCCCGGGCTGTTTCTGTGTTCCCTTGTTTCCCTTGTTTCCCTGATTTCTGCCCTACTGTCTTGCAGGTCTGTTTTTGCGTCGACCTTCTTCTCCGATCTTCTCTCGTGGATCCCGGCCACCGATGCAGGCCGTGCACCGCTGAGATGTTTGTTTGCTGGCAATCAACTCAACCATGTGCGATTGGGCGGACTGACCGAGCTTTCTTTGACACCCGCGTTTGATCTCACGGCCGTGGGAAAACAAACCGCCCTGTTTGCTCCCGTGCTTCCATAGTCCGCCATCCGCTTTGACAAAAGGCTTTGATTGATTTGTCCTGTCTGTAGCTCTCGACTTGGAGGTTCGTTGGGTCGTTGCCGTGCACCAGAAGGGACAACTCTTCGCTTGATAACTTTAGAAGCTCTGGGTGGAGAGTATACCCAGACATCCATAAATATATAAAAGGCACTTCTTCAATTAAGTGGCGATGATTTTATGCTGGGATAGGGAGGCTCTTTGGCTGGTAGGAAATGCTGGTGCTTTTAACTTGCCATCGTGAGAAAAGGGAATTAGTTGAGCTTGAGAAGCAGGGCTGGCTCGTCTTTTTTAGTCCTCTTTATTTCATTTCTGATTGAGCTATATGAGCAACTAGGGGGAGTGAGTCAATGGTAGTATATAGTCAATCACCATCACTGCGGGCGGTAGATCGCCGACAGGCTATTGGCTGTATGTACATGAATCACCAACTAGGTTCTCTCGGGGGCCACCGCTGGCACCTTGCGTGGCCTTGACACGTCTATGAATCACATGCACTTCAGCCCTGGCTGCAGGCAACAAAGTTGTTCCCGCTGGCGCCAGTGTGGGTAATCAGCGCGTCAAACTGCCCGTTATCGTCAAAGATGACGCGGTCCGGGCCGGGAGAGCCGCCGGAATAGACCTGGTAGCTCGAGAGAATGGGAAACTCGTACCACGGACCGCTGGTGGGGAAGTCGAAGCCCTCCGAGTCGCGATACTCGTGAGGGTAGCTCCCGTGGCCTGTGTGGTTTCAAGTCAGTTCCCGACCCAACTTCTGCGGAGGGAGAGAGAGAGAGAGAAGGAGAGAAAAAGAGGCAGAAAAGAGACAACGTACCGAGGGTGCTGCCAGAGTTATGCAAGGAGACGCCCTGGTTGAGAGCGTTGTCAATGTCCTCCTGCCAATAGCAGACAGAACCGCAGTGATAGACGCAGGTGGCGCGCTCCTGGACCGGCTCGACCGGGGCGGCGGCGGCGAGGGCGGCGGCCAAGAGCGAGAGCAAGCAGGACTGTGAGTGGATTGTTAGACACGATGCACGGCGCGAGCGTGAGAGAGGTAGAGGTCGAGCGCGAGCGCACGCAGACCGACCTTGAGGGCAACCATGCTGGGCGAGGCGAGCAAGAAACGAGGAGGAGGGACGTATGCTCAGCGATCGTCGCGTCGAGCCTGCTGTGCGTTCCCATTCACACCCATCGTCGGTGTCCCCTCCCTCGCTTTATATACTTTGCTGCAGATCGCAGCAACATCGACGGCAGCTGGACCTCGGGCTCCAATCCCATGGTCGGCTACCCGACAGCGAGAAAGACGATCGATAGCCAATGCTAATCGGAGAAAGGAGCACACGTCCAGTGTGGCAGCTTCTGCACATGCCCGCTCTGGTGCATGACACCTCGCGACAGGGGCTGGTCTGCCCGCAGGCACTGCCTAGGTGCATGCCATCCTGGCAGGTAGAAGCCGTTCTATCGCTGGCTTGCCGTGCCTGATTGGCTGGAGCCAGCGAGTAGCTGCGTCTGAGGGCGAGATGTCTGTTTCACGGTGGTCAGGGCTAAGCTTTGTGGGAGGGTGGGGGGAGGCCACGGGAGAACGTTGGCGGTCCTGATTGGGGAAGCCGGCAGATTGGCGGATCGCGGGGATCTGCGATGGGGGCTGCAGGCGATTCCGCTCTCAAGGTTCTAGCGCCTAGACTAGCGCCTCCAGGTACTCCCGCAGGGGCCGAGGTGCTACAATAGCAGCCCAACCCCGGTCGAGCTCCAGCGCTGTCCAGGGTCCGTCATAGCTGGAGGACCCCTGAGGGCCTTCAGTGGAGGGGCCTAGCAATCAGCCCAGCCATCACGACCAACCTACCTCCCAACCTTGGAAGGGTCGGGTGGCAGAAGCTATCCTCGAGACGGTGCTTATCATGAGTTGACGTGCAGGAGACCAAGTCGAGTTGCCTATTGCAGCAACCGTGTCCGAACTACCCCTTTAGTCGAGGTGTTTACCTACCTAACCTTACCTTGGAAGGCCCGGCGCATTTCGAACATGCGGCTGCGCAATGTACCTGGCCGACCATGGTCGCCTTTCCCAGAGTCCGGCGCGGCATGTTTAACACTAGGGCTACCTGTGCTTGGAGAGGTATCTGCCGAATCACCTGCGGGAGGTTGGTCTAGTCAAGCAGCAGACTCATGTGCTGAGTTATGGCTACCTAGCCCAGTAGCATGCGTGGCTCGGGTTGCTTAACCAGACCCGACGACCGACCTACCGACCGACCGAAGCCTTATGATATGACTAGGTAATTATCATCAGCACGCACGCATCCCAGCACAGACTCGAGTACGGAGTAAATGCTTACGTTAAGTGAAGTGTAGTACTGGTACATCAACCGACGACCGTGTTGTAGCCGAGCCGTGTGGGGTCTATCGGGTGCATTTATGCTTACGTTTCCGACATGAAGCTACGTCCAGGCCCAACCCTGGCTTTTGCTTACGTTGCGTACACAACTACATCAAAGCTGAGTCCTACTATTGGTTCCCGTGGCCGGAAAGAGGATCCATTGGACTGTCGAGCCAGGATGGCAGTCAAGTTTGATGTTAAACCAGGGGTTGCGGACATCAACGACTATGAAGATGCTTACGTTGACTGCAGTGTCTCTATTTAGACAACGATCATGGTTGGAAAGAACTGAGTGGTGGCATGTCTGGAATAGAGAAGGCACTCCAAACTGTCTATATAATGCAGCTGTCTGGCTTCGCCGCCTCGTCATGTCTTCCAGCTCATCTACATCGCCACCGCACATAAATTCAACCCCTTCGCACGAAACACCAAGGCATCCAACGCTTCTGTTGAGTCAACCGCATAGCCTGGCTAGCCAATGGAGCAACTTGTGTCCTCCCGCGCCCGTTCTCACCGAGAAGAACCTACCGGACCAGAGCAACAAGGTCAGCAGCTCCCTTCTTCCGCCCTAACATATCATCGCGATTCACTGACATGCCCGGCTCGGCATAGGTCTTCATTGTCACCGGTAGCTCGGGAGGCTTGGGAAAGGAGCTCATAAGCATCCTGTACGAGAGGAATGCCAAGGTCTATGTCGCCGCGAGGTCCGAGACCAAGGCCATGGCCGCCATCCACGAGGTTGAGAGGTCCTTGCCCGGCTCGACCGGCCAGCTTCTATTCCTTCACCTGGATCTCAGTGACCTCAGTACCATCGAGAAGTCTGCGCAGACCTTCCTCGAAAGAGAGAGCCGGCTGGACGTCCTCTGGAACAACGCGGGTGTCATGATGCCCGCACAAGGATCCGTGACCACTCAGGGCTACGAGCTACAGATGGGAGTCAACGCCCTCGGGAGCTTCCTCTTCACCAAGTTCTTGCACCCCACACTAGCTGCAACGGCGCGCACGGCACCCAGGAACTCGGTGCGGGTGGTCTGGGTTTCTTCGAGCGCCGCTGTCATGGCGCCGAGCCCGGCCATTGACTTTGACAACATGGACTACAAGAAAGACGAGAGTGCACTGAACAAGTACATGCGGAGCAAGGCTGCCGTGGTAGTACACAGCAGCGAGTTTGCCCGGAGGACAGCAGGCGAGGGTATCCTCAGCATAGTAAGTTTCTGTGCGCGACTCCCGGTCGGCGAGTTGGGGGGGTGGAAGCTAATTGAGCTTGCGCATTACAGAGCCTTGACCCCGGGTCATTCATGACTGATCTCCAACGGACGACACCTACGGCGATGAAGCTGCTTTTGGTGAGTAGCCCACCGCATGAATTCGTGCGGCACGTACATCCGATCTAACAGCACCGCATTTCCAGAGACTGATTTCACGACCGCCCAAATACGGTGCATACACGCAGCTTTTCGCGGGTCTGAGCTCGGAGATCACAGAGGAGAACAATGGAGGCTGGGGTGAGTCTGGCCCAAAATCTCCTCTGCTTATGCACCATTGACTGTATCGTCTAGTTGCGCCATTCGGCCGTCTTGTTGAAGGCCGGCCCGATCTACAGGAAGAGTCTTTGGGCAGCAAGTTCTGGGAGTGGACTGAGGAGCAAGTGCGACCCTTTCTTTGAGGAAAAGGAATCAGGGTCTCATGTGAGCGTCAATCTGGCTAGATTTTCATCGAATAGGTCGATTTCCAACTCCATTGAATGATAATGAGCCTCCAATTATAATGTGATAAGTCTTCCTCGCGGCACTTGTTCAGGTCAGGTCAAAAGTGTGGCCACCTCTCCATCTCGTCACCCTCGCCTTCTCGCATGGCCCTCCACCAGGCGCTGTTCCTCTGTGCCTCATCCTCCTCACCTCCCGTCAGGACCGCCCACTTCTCCAAGAACCACGGCATAGCCTCCCAACTGCGCGAGTCCCATGGAACGCCCTGCCCGTGGCCGTGCACCGAACCATAGGTAGAGCCCCAGCACCGTAACCCGCCACCGAACATGTCGAGACAGAGGTCGTCGTCGTCTACCAGCGGCGGCTCGAGGGAGACGGCGTCTAGTATGTTGGAGCGAAACGAGGCCCAGGGAACGAGGTCGAAGCAGGGGTGGTGCGGTACCCTTCGTTGCGTGGCTGTCGGTCTGAGGTCCACTGCCAAACGCATCCTGTTGCGCCTCATGTCCTCCTCGAGCTCGCTGGTTCCGGACCCGGCCGAGTAGAAGCGGGACTGAGCCTCGTCGTCCATGAGGGCCTCGGATGGAATCCGCAGCTGCGCCGCATTCGTCAGCATGGCGGCAGCAAAGGACATGCCTCGTATCGTGATGGTATTTGTGTTGAGCCTCGGGCACGGGGAACTGTACCATTCGGCCGGAGGCCATTCCGCTGGCGGGTTGAGCTGAGACAAGAACTGGACCCCCGCGGACACGGCTCGCGTGATGTCGATGCCGGCATAGTTGGCCTGGACCAGCTCCGCCCAGTGACGGAAGGGGAGGGAGGTGGCGCAATGAAAGAGCTCTGGGGTCATGGCGTAACCCATGGCGATGAGGCCGTACTTGACGACATCGCGGATGGCGAAGTCCTCGCGAGCGACGACCCTGTAGTATTTGGACGAGTCGTCTTCGGATAGAGGTCGCAGGATGTGGTAGACATCGGCGGTGAGGCGCTCTGGCGAGCTCGCTGATCTCGACGTGCTTTCGGGGCCGGCTTCTGTCGGCGAGGAGACTTTAGAGGCGGCGGGGGCGGAGGTAGAGGAAGAGGCGGCTAGTGTTGGCACGACTGCTGGCCCGATCACGCCCTCTAGGTCCTGAGCGTCTTGGTTTTGGAGAGCAGATACGGCGATTTGCTCAAGTACTTGCAATCTTTGCTTATGTCTTGCCCCTGCATCTCGGCGGTCAATACCATGGCGGAAACTGAAACACACGGCCGAGCGCAGGCTGCATGTAGGCTTTGTCACTCACGATAGGCGCGCTGGGCCTCGGCGTTTTGGCGCCGGCGCCGGCCCGCAGGATCCGGCAAACGCGGCCGGGGCATCGGCGAGGCAACGGCAGCAACAACCTGAAAGGGGCGGGCGCGATGTATATACCAGGTGTGAACAGCTTCGCTGTCAGTGCTCGCGGTGAAGGATAGGGAGGAAAGTGAAGAAAGGCCCGATGATGGCCATCAGCCGAAGAACGGTTGATCTGCCGTAATCATCTGTCAGATGGGAGGGACAGTAGCGATGCTTGTGGGACCAGCGGCGGTGGCCAGCCAGTAGGATGGGGGTTCGATCAATGATGCTGCGTTGCTGTCGCTGGCAGGGAAGAGCGCCGCTCAGTTGACAAAGCACCTATATCCTTCCGGCAACAATTCAGGGAACAATATATAGGGCAGGATATTCCGACCGCAAAACTAGACTCGATAACGAGTTCATTGCACACGAGCTCTCAGCGTCTCTCGGCAGCAACATCCTCGGCCGACGCCGGGGTCCTTTCATCGGCACCCTGCCACTCCTGCCCTTCCTCAGTGAGCCCGCTCGCGCCCCTCTGGCCCTTTATCTCAGCCGCCCGTCCTTCCAGGTCTGCTCCCTCCTGCCGCACCTTGTCGAACACACCCCCCTTACTGGCTCCGACCCCTTCGAGGCCGGACCTTTCCTTCTTGTGCCGCCCGTGTAGCTCGGCACTCGACTGGCCCTCGATCGGCTTGCCGAGATCGGTTTCGTTGTAGATCTGCTGCGAGGTGGGGCCTGGCAGTAACGCCTCTGTTGAGGTGCGCTGGCCTCCAGCCGTATCTTCCGGACCGGGGTTCGGCTGATGAGTGAATTTGGCGGGCGCAGTTCCGGCTGGGTATGCCTCGGCGTGGAACTCTTGAGCGGCGTCCTTTCCTACTTTGACACCTGGCGCGTGCTATTGGAGCCCGACGGCTTCTCGTCAGTATTGGGTCTCTTGTCTCTTCCACGAGGGGCCAGTGAGGTCTTACGCCCTTGGTGGTAAGAGGCTCGCTAGGAGCAACCCGTGAGCGGAACTCGCCTTGGGTGCTGGTCATGGCATCGGGATTCTGCGAGGCCGACATGGTCTGTGATTGACTCTGCAGAGCGCTTCAGTTCTGGAGTGGGCTGGTATGATTGATTGCTTGGTGGCGAGAGACTATTCTGCGAAGAATCTTGATAAAGCTGAGAAACGATGGATAGATACACAACACAGACAGGTCGACCAGTGTCAGCTAATTGATCTCTTGTGAAATATATATATTACCCCCCCTCTGCAGTATATAACATGGCAAGTGATGGTCAAATTAGTTGACAGACTGCTAACAGAAGTACTTGACTATCCATCAAGCCCATCAGATTTAGGTAGTGGGATAGCCCTTCTGAGTTCTACGGCAAGTATGGGATAAGGATACTGATTGTTAAGATTGAGGTAGCTCCTGATGAACTTCTATTAACTATTTAGACATCTACTTGTATGGGAAGGCCGTTGATTTGGGGAGAAAGACGTGTCTCTTGATGATGTCAGATCGACATGGCACTTACATCATGGGCCAGCAGTGCTTAGAGTTGATCATAAGCGGAGATGGCAGACACACAACTTTTTGGTTGCCGATCTATGTCAATTGCTAGTCTATCCCCTTGAGCGCCAAAACGTGGGTTTTTCGTACCGCCGGCTTTTGATGAATAAGAGGGGGCTGTCTGGTTCAGTGGTACTTAGAAATACCAGTGAATCCCACCAAAATCTGAGCAACCAATAAACTTGATCAACCACATATCATAATAGGGGGCCCTTAGCCTTCTAGCGTCTTAATTCATTTAAAAATATAATAAAATCAATAAAATTTTAAAAAGAGTGATTTAATAACTAAAATAAGGCTATAAGGCTACTAAACAAGACTATTAAGCTACTAATTTAACTATAGTTAATATTATAACTTATACTATATACAACCTCTTTAAAATTATATAGATAATAACTTCCTATCTATTTTCTATAATAATCTATTATATTATTATTTCTAATAGTCTTTTCTCTTATATAAGAAGATATCTATCTATTTTATTTTCTTTTAATATATCTATTAAGTATAAGCTAAGTTATACTATTAATATAATATAATTAAAAGAGATATAATAAATATAAGATCTATATTCTAAAGATATTATAATAATATCTAATAATAAGAATATAATTATTATTATAGATTAATTAAGTATAGTTTTCTAATTATAAAGACTCTTAAGTTTAATAGCTATTAATTATTTTTAATATAGATTTAAGATCTAGAATTAGTTTTAGACTTTTAGATCTTTTAATTATAATTAAGATTTAAAATTAGTTCTAGACTTTTTAATCTCTTAATTATAGTTTAGTCTATAGTTAATTAATAAGTTAACTTATTTAAATATATATATATATAAGTTTATAAGTTTAGATATATAAGTTATTTAATAATAAATATAATTAAAGTATTATAATAAATAGTCTTTTAATAATAAGTAATCTATTCTATTTATCTATCTATTTTATTTATTTTTAGTATATCTATTAGATATAAGCTAAGTTATATTATTAATATAATATAGTTAAAAGAGATATAATAAATATAATATTTATATTCTAAAGATATTATAATAATATTTAATAATAAGATCCTCTCTTAGAGGGTTTATAACTATAGTATGATTCTATAATATTAGATTGATTAATTAATTAGAATCTTATATATAAGTTATTTAAGTAGCTTCTATTAACTTTATTTAATTTATAACCCTACTAGAATAACTATTAATATAATAAAACTACTACTAGTCCTATTCCTTCTTTCTTCTTTAAAGATACTTAACTATCTTTCTTAGATATTCTAGCTATAACTAGTATTTCTTAATACTAAAGAGATAATTAAGATTTAAATTATTAGATTATATCTCTTTAAGAATAACTAGACTCTTAAGTAGCTTTATAATATTAATAATCTTTAATAGGCTATATCTAAAGTCTAGAAAGCTATAGTGAAAAGAGCGAACCCAGACAGACCATCAATAACCACAATGCTGCCTGGATTGTCCTAGGGTTCCAGAAGTGGTTATATTATAAAGATTGAACTTGGATTGGAGTTCAAGATGTCACAGCTTATTTTAATTAAATGCACTTCTTTGTAAAAAGAGTGTTGTTGTTCTTTTCTACTGAATCTTATTGCTAGTCTAATAAGTGTAGTATTTTAATAAATTTTTCAAGCTAAAGGGCCTGTGTGTATGCCTGGAAGATTGATCTAAGTAAATCTATTTTACTCCTCTCTCTATAAAAGCCTAATATTATTACTTTTATGTCTATAACTCTTTAATTAAATAACTATAACTAACTAATAGTACTATTATAAAAGTAATTTCTATTTCTATATTAAATCTAATCTACAATTAATTAAGCTCTCTATTTTACTACTGTCTTAAGATTAAGGCCTATTATCTATAAAGACAGGCCTCTCTTTTAGTTATCTATTATAAAGTAACTTTCTCTTTAGTTAGACTTTATACTTAATAAAGTATATTATATCTAGTTTAATTAATCTATCTAGATAGGTATATAGACAATATACTTTATTCTAATAAACCTAAGTGATTATAGGTGGGAATTAACTAGCTTTTAGTATACTATAATACTATTTAAATCAGCTTATTAATAATATTATTAAAGGCTTCTATATAGTCCTCCTATTAGTTAGAGTCTTTAAGATCTTCTAGGTTAAGATGACTAGAGAGATAGTAGAGATCAGCTATTTTAGTCTTATCTTTACCTATTATACAAGCTCTATTATTAAATTAGTTGTAGTTTATTCTAACTATCTTATCTTCCTTTTTAAAGAGGACTGTCTTCTATTACTAGTCTATAGATTAGTATATAATATATTAAACTTCTAGCCTATATATATATATCTTAATGGCTGCTTATCAGTCTATTTCTATAAACTTAAGAAGATCTATATACTAATTAAGCTATTCTTTCTAGCTGGCTTCTAGATATCTTAGGTTCTTATTAAAATCTACTATAGGCCCTTTAGCTTTAATAATATAGTTATTTAAGTAAGACTTAGGTTATAGTAATATCTAATTAAAGTCTAATATAGCTATTAGACCCTTAGGGTTTCTCTAGTAGTAGTATATAGTTCTATTTTTAATAAGATAGTTATTTATCTACTTATAAACTAGCTTTTTAGTTCTATCTAGATTAATTAGAACTTAAGATATCTCTATAAGAGTGAGAGACTTCTACTTATTTATTAATTACTTCTATTATACTATCTTAAGAGTCTTAGTCTTATTATTAGAGGGAAGGTAGTAGATGTCCTTAAAGTCTATTACTAGTCTCTTTATTACTACTTTAGTTATAGTAGGTATTAGTAAGATGTCTTTAATAGGTGATTTTATAGGCGGTTTCTTTAAAGTAGATATATCAGTCTTATATTAAAAATAAGTAGGTCTATAGTTAAGAATAGAAGATTTACCTTATATCTCTCTTTTATTAATCTACTAGATTATATTATTATAGAAGACTTCTTTAATATTAACTCTATATCTAATTATATCTATAGTAGTATTAACTAGAAATTTATTAAGGCTAAGATATAAAGCAATAGCTTTCTTTGCTTTAGTTTATATTAGTATAAGCTAAGCTATAGGCCTAGTGCCTAGAATCTAGTTAAATATAGTCTTAGTCTTTAAGATTGTTTTCCTGTCTTTTTAATAGCTGATTATATCTATAATAACACTCTTATAATTTTAAATCACCTTATTATTAATTATTTTAATAATAATATACTGATCTTTAGATATTAGTATAAGATGCTTAGTAATATTATTATAGAGCTAGTAATTCTCTTTAGTCTATACTATAAAGAGTATTATTAATCTACTTAGATTAATATCTATTATCTTAGGTCTAATCTTTACTTTAGTAATATCTAGATTGTTTTTAATAGACTAGAGAGGTATATCTACTAGAACTAGAGAATCTATTAGTAATGGTTCTTCTAGGCTTCTAGCCTTCTTCTAAGCAATCTTTACTTCTATATTAGATATATTACAGTATATACTCTATTATAATATAGAGACTATAGGGTTTACTAGTTCTTATAGCCTCTTTCTACTAGTATCTCTAGCTTAGCCTAGTTCTTAATAGAGTGCTTTTAACTATATCCTTATAACTACTTCAGTCTTTTCTATAGTAGATAGATAGTTAGTATTTTTTAGGATTTTACTTTTAGTCTAGTTATTATAGTAGCTATAGATTTTATATATAGTAATCTAAACAATCTTAAGAACTATAAGCTAGTATTACTAACTTCTAGCTTATTAAGTGATATTTTAATAATAAGAGACTAGTCTTTCTGTTTTCTATAAGAGCCCTGCCTTCTAGTAGAGTGAACAGTTATTTAAAGAGGTCGCTTAAGAGGATGTCTAGAAAGTTTAATCTACTTAGGCCAGAGGTTTATAATACTATATACCTATAAATAAGCTCTAGTTCTTTTACTACTTTAATAGCTTGGCTACCAGCTCTTAGATAGCTTTAAAGCTATTTTTACTGTCTGTACTTAGATAGAGTTTTAGATTATCTAGCAGAACTAGGAGTAGTAGGGCTAGAATACTAAGAGGTTTAGAATTACTAAGAGCTAATAGAGGTTTTCTTAGATATCTAATTAGAATTATTAAATTAGATAGATAGAGATAGTAGTGTTTTCTAATACTGTTTCTTAGTAATAACTTAAGTTAATCTTAATATAGAAGGATCTATTTTCCTATCTTATTTATCCTAAGAGTATATATACTTACTAGGGCTCTTAGGGTCTACTATAGTAATAGAGTATAGATATCTTAAGATAAAAATAAGAGGAGGAGAGGATATAGTTAAGAGGTTTAAGTAGGATAGACTAATAAGATACTTCTAAAGAAATAAGTCTTATAAAGATGCTTAGATATAGAGAATATCTTAAAGTAATAATAATTAATCTAATTAGAATTAGAATATTATATAGAAGAGATTAAACTAAGAGAAATAAGATAAGGGTTAGGAAAATAGAATAGAGAA